CTCGACCGGCAAGACTCTCCCAGGCGCACTCGGCGGTACAGGCCGCACACGAGCTCGCGCATTCTCTTTCCTCAGCGTCGCAGGGCAGCCCGCCGCGACCTCCCTCTCGGCACCTTCTCCCGCGACAGGCGACACCCCCTTCGTCGGCGGAGCCTACGACTTTGCGCTCGCTGCAGACGAGCTAGATCCGTCTGAGGACGAGGATGACGACGAGGTGGGCCACGAGATGCGTGCGCTGGGTGGCGGATCCTCGGGCGCGAAGATGTCGGCTGCGTCGTCGTATCGCATGCGCTTCCAGCCGCTCGAGGCGCACGAGCTCGCGTGGATGGCGGTCAGCGCCGCGGCTGTTACGGGCTTGACGGTTGCGGCGGCGGTTTTGGCGTTTGTCGGATGAAGGTGCGGTGTCGAGATGCGGGTTTGACTGCGACTTGGGCAGACACTTTACGTGCGTTTCTAGCTTTGCCCCCTTCGCTTCTTGAGCCGGTGCTGACTCAATTTGTTGCTCGCAGACACGGCGCACATCCATCCAGCTGGTCGGCCGCGGCAGTCGAGGCAAGTCGACGACCTGGACTTGGTTCCGACTTCGCGATGTGCGCTAGCCTGAACGGCAGGCTGCGGCACAGCTTGCCGAGCGACGAGAACTTGACATAAGGCTCAAGGTCAGGGCAGAAGCGGAACGCGGGAACAGCTCGGATGGCAGGAAGAGTCGAGACAGAGCGGATTGGCCTTGGCGGTTTCAGCGGTAGCACGACGACGGCCCCAGGCTCCTTACCATCACAGAATGACTTATTGTGACACACTCGAGCTGCGAGAGACGTTGGACGGCGTGGCTTTAACGTGAGCAGTGCGCGAGAGGGTTGTCGACGACTCGAGCGCTTCTTTCGTGCTGCCGCTTTCCACGTGGATCCCGTTGAGCAGGCCAGATAGCAAGTCAGCGAGTGACAGTGTGCTACAGAGCAAGCGGAACGGGCGACCAAAAGCGAGAAAGGAAAGCGAAAGCCACTCTTTTCTCCGCCTCCTCGACGGCCGTCAAAGACGCATTTCGCAAGCTGCCGCGTTCCACCGACCGTCAGCGCACTCAAGAGCACTCGCTAGACACCAGGGAGTCTGTCGGGAGAAGAATGGTCCAAAACTGCGCGAAAACTCAGTACGCCGAGAAATCCCCGCGATCAAAGCGCTTGGCTTTGCCGGATCTTCAATGTTGAGTCCAATCCACCTGGGAGATGTCAATGCCTTCTTCAAGCATCTCCCACAACGGTGAGAGGTCCCGGAGGCCTGGGAACATGACATTGTCAGCGCAAAAGGCCGATAAAAAGTCCGAACAGAGAGCCCGGCCCAAATGAACTCGCAACGCACGCTGAACACTCTTGATGACCTTCTCGACGACGTAGTCGACCTCCTCCTCGGTGGTGAAGCGCCCAATACCGAAGCGAATCGACGAGTGCGCCATGTCTTCCTCGGCGCCGAGCGCGCGGAGTACGTACGACGGCTCGAGCGAGGCGGAGGTGCAGGCGGAACCGGAGGAGACGGCGATGTCCTTGATGGACATGAGGACTGTCGCAAGAGGGAGGGAAGAGGGAAAGGAAGGTCAGCGTTCGCCCGTCCGATTCCATCCGACTACGGCCGTTCGCAGCAGTTCGGCACAGTTGCATTCAATAGCAGCGACGATGCGAGATATTGTGACGCACGCGACTCTCCCTCGACCGCCGCGAAGCTGAGGTTGGTGCATCCGGGGTATCCGTCCGGGTCTCCGTTGCGAACGACGTGCGTGAGCTCGGCCGTGATGCCGTTGTAGAGACGCTCGGCGAGACGGCGGATGTGCGCCGAGTCGGCCTGTCGTGGGAACGAGCGGAAGTGGAAATCAGTACAAGGAGCGGCGAAACGAAGGTGCGTTCCTCGACGACCCCAGCCAGCTCAGAACCCCTGCACTAGTCTCTCCGCATCGCCAACCGTCCATGACCGACGAAGCACCATCCCGCTTGCGCAAGAACAGGCCAAGTTGTCGAGGAGGAACAGTTGCGACGCTCGTCTCGGCCATCTTGGCGTGTCCAAATTCGCTCCGCTTGATCGTGGAGGAAGAGGCGGATCATTCTCCTCATCGCTGATACCCCGCCACAACCCGCTCATCACCAACGAGAGAAGGAAAGGAAGAACGCACCGCCATTTCCTTCTTCGCCAACCTGCATGCTTCTCCCAAACCCACAACGAGAGGCACGGGTACCGTTCCACTCCTCAATCCACGCTCCTGTCCACCACCATTGATGATCGGCTCGAGGCGGACACGAGGCTTGCGGCGGACGTAGAGGCAGCCAACACCCTTGGGGCCGTAAATCTTGTGTCCCGACATCGACATGACGTCGACCTTGAGGTCGTTGACATTGACAGGCACTGGAGAGAGCGGAGAAGGTCAGCTTGCTGCACACGAAGTGGGCCGAGAGAAGAAGGACACTCACCCTTGCCGATGGCCTGAGCAGCGTCGGTGTGGAAGAAGACACCCTTGTGCTTCTTGACGATGTCGCCGATCTCCTTGATCGGCTGCATCGTCCCTATCTCATTGTTGACCATCATGATCTGCGAGTCGCGAGTTCGTCAATCTCCTGCACGCGCACCGGAACTTCCTCCTAACCCGACGCACCGAGACGAGGACCGTGTCTGGCCGGATGCTGTCCTCGAGAAGCTTGAGGTCGACGACACCGTTGGACTGGACGGGGAGGTAGGTGACATCGAAGCCTTCGTCCTGGAGGACACGGCACGAATCGAGAACGCATTTGTGCTCGGTCTGCGTGGTGATGCTGCGAATGGTCACATGTCGTCAGTCTCAAGCGAGGGGAGGAGGCAGTAAGGGAGTAGAGGAGAGGGCACGGACATGTGGCGACGCTTCCCCTTGTAGAACCTCGCGATGCCCTTGATCGCCATGTTGTTCGACTCCGTCGCTCCGGACGTGAAGATGATGTCTTTGGGGTCAGCACCGACGATGTCGGCCACTTGCTGCGAGTGATGGCGCAAAGTCAGCGACTGAAGCGGCGGAACGCTTTTGCGTTAAAGGGCTGAGAACCCACTTTGCGCGCCAGTTCGACTGCTTTCTCGCTCTCCCAACCATAAGCGTGGGTCTTGCTTCCCGCGTTTCTAGTGAAATAGACGGGAAAGAGGTGTCAAAAGCCGGCCCAGATCCGAAAGGAATGCAACCTGGCGCACCCGTATTCGTTCGTAAAGTACGGCAGCATGGCGTCCAGCACGCGAGGGTCGACGGGCGTCGTAGCCTGTGCGTCGAGGTAGATGGGCCTGCCAAGGTCCTGTCTCGACTTGCCAGTAGTCTGCGACGACTCTCCCGCCGTGATCTCGAACCCGGCCATGTCGCTTGTGGGCGTGACGATGGTCGCAGGCTCGGACTCGATTTCGATGGGGATGCTCGTCGTGTTGCCGAGCGGGATGTTCGTGGCGACCGTGGCGAGCGAGCGGCGGCAGGCATCGGAGGAAGTGGAGGAGGACGGAGAGGCGCGGCGAGCTGCTGCGAGACGGCGTGAGCGGGTCAATTGCGGCTCCGCGACATAAATCTGAGAGATTAGAGGAACGCACAGGTCCCCGCAGTCGCGGAGGAAGCGTGGATGCTGCCGAGAGATGAGGAAGAGGCGAGGGTGCGGCGGGGAGTGGCGGCCGAAGCGACGGCCTTGTTGCCCGCCTGCCTGGCGGTGCGAGAGATAGCAGCAGTAGCCCTGTGCATCCTGCAAACAGAGAGCGACCGTGAGGTGCAGAGGAGAGGTTGCTGATGGAACCCAGGTCGACTTGACCATCTCGCTCACTCGCGCCGGAAGCAGCTTGAATCGCTCAGAAAGGCTCACTTCGACCTTCACATCAGGTCGTCATACCGCCGCACCCGTCGCGAGCTGCCGCCGCTCTCGCCGTCCTCCCCCATCGACCTCCATCTCGTCCTCGCTCGCCAGATCGCAACGCTCGATAACGCCGGAACAGATGCCTGTGGGCTCATCATGACTGTACGGACGGAGGGCCGATGCGCCGACCCCTTTTACGCGTCTCTCGAACGCTCACCTTGCTTCCAGCTCGAGGCCTCCTCTCTCGTGGGCCTTGCTAAGCTTCAGACGGCCCAATAACGTTACAATCCGGATACTGCTCAACTTGGCGGCCTGCCCGGCAAGAGGTGCGCCAGATGCGCAACCCCGTCGTGCCCACCGCCTCCGACCTTGGGCACCGCCGCATCCCACGGCCCGCTCAACCTGTCCTTGTACCGAATCATCAGCCATCCCCTCACGAGGGGCGCGACGACGCTCGTGCCGGTCAACATCAGGCTCGCCATGACTGTCGGACCGGTTCCGAGGCTGCGGAAGGCGACGAGCGCGGCGGTCGAGAGCAGCCAGGTGAGGAGGAGTGTTGGGCGGAGGGTGAGGGACGAGCGGAGGAGAGGGAAGGGGCCGAACCAGAGGGTTGAGAAGAGGAGGAGGGAGAAGACTTGGAGATTGGACGAGAGGCGGGAGGCGAGGACGGTGGAGCCGGACAAGGCGGCGGTGAGGGACAGGGTTGAAGGGAGGGGCGCGCGTCGAGCGAGGTGGCCGTGCGGGGCGGGTGACGAGAAGGCCGAGCGGGAGAAGATGGCGCGAAACGAGTGGAAGCGGAGTGACGAGGTGGTAGGAATCGCGCGGTAGTCGCCGAGGAGGAGATTGACTGCAAAGAGCGTTCCGCTCAGTGCCCAGATCGAGTCAGACGTTGTCGCCCTCGTGAGCGTCTTGAGCGCGGGCGAGAGAAGGTAGAGCGCAACGAGCGGGATGACGGGTGCGACGGCTGTTCCTCCTCGTCCCGCTGCCCCGCCAAGCAACGAGCTCGACTCGCCGATCAGCCACGACCAGACCCTCAGCACGACGCTCAACCCGGCGCAGATCAACAGGAGGGTCGAGGAGGAGAGTGTGCCGCGCGAGAGGCGGACAAAGACCGCGACGAAGAGAAAGGTGCAGGCGAGATGCTGGGTGATTGGGAGGGTTTGGCGGAGGAGGGCGGGTAGAGAGGCCGGGTGCACGTTCACTGCGGGCGCGTCTAAAGTCAGCCAAGCGGTCGAAAGAGCAAAGAGGGAAGACAAACCATTCCGCTTGAGGTCGGCGAGAAAGGTCGCGTCGACGTAGTTGTCGGGGTAGGGCTGCTTGAGGTAGAGAATCTTCCGGTAAGGCGGTAGAGGAGGTGTAGGCGGATCTTCTTCGGCCGGAAGGTGCGGATTCGCGAAGTTGAGGGGGGAGGATGAGGAGGACACGCAACTCTGCGCGCCACTCGCCCGTTCGTACACCTCCTCGGCGTCCTTTGAGCATCATGGGAGTCAGCCACATGCCCAGCGAGACCTGGATAGCACGGTACGCACCTGTATCCACCCGTCCGTCAACTTCCCGTCCCTCATCCGGCCGCAACACCTCCCGAGCAGGAAAGGGACAGACTAGCGAGGGTTCTAGCAGCCTGTGCTATCGCGTGAGCATCCCAGCGAGCAGCCTGGCGAGGCGAGAGCGTGTGGGCGGAGGCCAAAGAGCGGCGCGCCGCTTTCCGCGAGTTGTCATCGCCTGTTCACGCTCACACGCTTGAGACGCGCCTGCTGAGTACGCAAGAGCCGAAGCAGACCGCTACAGCCCATACGACTCCGCTCTCCGGGCCCCAACGCGCCGCGTTCCCTCGTCGCTCCTCCACGTCTCGTCGGGGTCTTGGTGGACGAGATGACGGCGACTTTGCAGGATGGCGGGCTTGCCCGGCCCGGGGGACTGGCAGAAGAGGCACCTGCATTCTCTGTCGAGGTCCCGGTGCGTACAGTGCTACCCCTCACCCCACTCTTACATCTCGGCTGACCTCTGTCGCTTGCACGGTCGCAGCGCGCCAACCTGATCCACGCCGAGATCCTCGCCGTCACGTCAGCGATGCGCAAGAACCAGCGCTGGGCGTCTGCGGCGGCATTCACGCCTTACCCTCTCCTCGCTTCGCACCGACTGAACGGCTCGGAAGGCGTGGGAGGCAGCGGCGTGAGCCAGGCGGGTTCGCTCTTCAAGGGGAGGTCGGGGGACTCGCAGTCGCGGAGAAGAGACGAGTCGCTCGGGCTCATGGAGGGATTCGCGGTGCTCAAGATGCGCTTGCGAGACATGGCTGGTGCGTGCGCGACAATACGGCTGCAGGGTAGTAAGCCCGCTGACGCATCGACGACAGACACGGACGAGGTCGACGCCGCTGCCCTCCTACAACCCTTCCTCGAGGTCGTCCGCTCGCCAGAAACGTCTGGACCTATTACCGCAACCGCCCTCTCCTCCATCGACAAGTTCATCAGCTTCTCCGTCCTCACACCGTCGTCGCCCAACCTCGCAATCGCCATGGCGCAGCTCTCGTCTGCCGGAACGCACTGCAAGTTCGAGGCGAGCGACTCGGTCTCGGACGAGGTCGTCCTCCTCAAGATCCTCGACGTCCTGCGGAACTGCTTGACGGGCAGGCTTGGGCAAGTCCTGAGCGACGAGAGCGTGTGCGAGATGATGGAGACTGGGTTGAGCATGTGCTGCCAGATGCGGCTCAGCGGTGCGTTGCCAGCCATCGAAGCTGAACCTCGCCTGCTTGCTGATGTGCCATCCGTTCGCAGAGATGCTTCGTCGGTCAGCGGAACGGACGATGCAAGCCATGGTCGCGGCGGTCTTCTCTCGACTCCGCTACATCCCGGCAGAAGACGACGAGGCTGCTCCGGACGGCGCGAACGTCTCGTCGAACGCGTCGATGTACGAGGTCTCGGCGGATCAGTCTGCACCTGGAGGTCCGAAGATGGCGGCGCCTGATCCGAGGAGCGCCAAGATTCCCGCTGCTGGACCTGCGACGCCGACGAGCGCGCCGCCACATGCGGAGGCGGGACGCGGGGTGGAGGACGGGATGAGCAGGGCAGACGGAGAACCGGTCGACGGTGTGTTGAACCATTGTGGGTGTAGGGCTGGCGCTGACCATCCTACCATTCGCAGAAGAGCTTGAGATCGCTCCCTTTGGTCTCGCTTCGATTCAGGAACTCCTTCGCGTCCTCATCTCCCTCCTCAACCCTCACGACCAGCAACATACGGATACGATGCGCCTAATGGCCCTCGGGCTGCTCAACATCGCGTTCGAAGTCGGCGGCCGGAGCATCGGCAAGTTCCCGACCCTCCGGATGATGGTGGCAGACCACCTCTGCAAGCACCTCTTCCAGCTCGCCCGTTCAGACCACCCTCAGATCCTCTCGACTTCCCTCCGCGTCATCACCAACATCTTCGACACCATGCGATCACACCTCAAGCTCCAGCAGGAGCTCTTCCTCTCGTTCCTCCTCGACCGCCTCATCCTGCCCAACGCACCGCCAAACGTCCGTAAGGCAGACCTCGAGACCGAGCTCGACCGGGCCACGTGGGCGCAGGACTCGACAGACTCGACAGCCTCCGCTCGGCCGTCGACCCCTCTCTCAGCCTCCGTCCGCGAGAAGGACCGCGATCGAGCCGGACCTAGCGCAGAGTCTCGCGCGCTCATGCTCGAGATCCTCGGCCACTTTGTTCGCGGCAAGTACTCGATGGTCGACCTCTGGGTCAACTACGACTGCAACATCGAGGGAGAGGACCTGTACGAGCGGCTGGTCAAGTTCCTTAGTCGCGTAAGTCAAGCCGTTCTACTCGTCCTCGCTTGAGCTGACTTGTTCGATGTAGGGCGTTTACCCGCAAGCGCATGGATCCTCGTACCAGCAGGACAGCTCGCAGATGGTGTGCCTCGACACGCTGCTTGATCTCGTCGCGCACATGGCTGCTCGTCTCGACGAGGTACGTCAGCCGATGCCCAGATCTACCAGGTCGCTGACGAACTGACCTGTAGCAGCCCGACGCTTCGCTGCCGGCTGGTCTGGCGGACGAGGTGGCCAAGTCGAAGGCGAACAAGCGGATACTCCTCGAAGGTGCCGCAGCGTTCAATCTCAAGCCCAAGGTCGGCCTCAAGTTCCTCGAAGAGCACGGCATCATCTACAACGATGCATCGATGCCTCGAGCCGAAAGTCTCGCACGCTTCTTCAAGACGACGCCGAGGCTCGACAAGCGCTTGCTCGGCGACTTCATCTCGCGACCGGACCAGCTGGACGTGCTGCGCGCGTTCATGCATCTCATGGACTTTGAAGGCGTGCGTTGTCTTCCGTCAGCCTTATCTCGGCTCATCACTCACACAAGCTCGTTTGCCCGCTTCCGCAGAAGATCATCTGCGACGCGATGCGCGAGCTGCTGGAGGCTTTCCGCTTGCCAGGCGAGTCGCAGCAGATCAACCGCATCGCCGAGACCTTCGCGGAAGTCTACTTCGCCACCCAGCCTCGTGCGTCCCTTCGTTTCCGATGCGGCCCATCCCGCTAATGCACCGCGTTGTGTAGCCGAGATCAAATCGCAAGACGCGACCTACGTCCTCGCTTACTCAGTGATCATGCTCAATACCGACCTTCACAGCCCGCAAGTCCGAGTGCGCCCCTCTTTTCGCCTTTGCGGAGCCGCGGACACTCACCAAACCTGTTTTGTCAGAAACGCATGGACCTTGAGGCCTACTCGCGCAATCTTCGCGGCGTCAACGACAACGAGAACTTCGACCCCGAGTACCTCGTGCGTGCGCCTTTCTCTGCCGCCCTGTACTCTCCGGCTGACCTCTGCTCGCCCTGCAGCGATCCATTTACGAGTCAATCCGCAAGCGGGAGATCGTCTTGCCCGAGGAGCACCAGAACCAGGTCGGCTTCGAGTACGGCTGGAAGGAGCTGCTCCGGAGGTCGCGGCGAAACGGTGCGCCACGTTCGTTCGGCTACATGAATGCATGACTGACTCACTCCCGCACAGGCCCGCTCACCTCGAACCCGACCAACGCCTTCGACCGCGGCATGTTCGCCATCGCGTGGAAGCCCGTCGTCTCCGCGACATGCTACGCCTTCGCCTCCTTCCGTGACGACTACATGATCCAACGCGCGATCGGCAGTATCAATCACTGCGCCGCCCTCGCCGCGCGCTTCGATATGCCCGAGGTTTTCGACTTCCTCATCGTTTCCCTCAGCCGGGTCAGCGGACTCGTCCAGGCTCCAGCCGAGGCGAGCGAGGTCGGCAAGTTCCCCGTCGTCGATGTCGAGGGACAGAAAATTACCGTCAGCCCGCTCGCCGTGCGCTTCGGCATGAACGTCAAGGCCCAGCTCGCCGCCGTCGTCCTCTTCGCCATCGCCAACAACAACGGCCGCTCGATCCGCAAAGGCTGGTCGCAGATTTTTGAGATCTATCAGACGCTGTTCACCCATTCGCTCTTGCCGCCGTCGATGCTCATGATGGAAGACTTCCTCTCCGGCACGTCCGCCATCCCGCTCAAGCCGAAGATGGCTCCTACGCCTCGCGAAGAACGACGCGGCGATGGCGGTCTTCTCTCGACCCTGTCATCGTACCTGCTCTCGCCATACGGGCCGAGCGGGGACATGGCGGGCACCGACTTTACGGACGACGATGTCGAGACTACCCTTTCAGCCGTCGACTGCATCGCCTCGTGTCACGTCGACGAGCTCTATTCGCAGATCTTGTGCGCGACCTCCCTTTGACTCATGTAACCCGCCGCTGACGATCAAGCATCCCTACAGCGACCTCAAGGGAGACGCCCTCGTCGCGCCCGTTCAGATCCTCTTCGACCTCGTCCACCGCATCACGATCGACCGGGTTCGCAGTCGTTCCGGCTCCGGCTCCGTCCCCAATTCGCCGCAAATCAACATCAACGCCTCGCGTGTGCAGCTCCCGTACGACCCGGCTGCCGTTCTCCTCCTCGAGATTGCCACGAGCATCGTTGCTCGCTCGCAGGATTACTTGACAGAGCTCTGGCGAGTCAGCATTTCTGTCCACCTTGCCCTGCCCGGCTGACTTGGCTTCGGAAATGCAGGCCCACGACGTTCGACTTCCTCTCCCGCCTGATCGGCCACGCCAACTCGTTCAGCAGCCTCTTCAACGAGCGTGTCGTCGCCGCTCTTCTGCGCTTGATCGCAGAAGTGATCAAGATTGACGAGCTGCGTGACTCGTGCTTCCTCGCGCTCGACACACTCCGGTCCATGTCGCCGCCGGTTCTAAGCAGCGTTGCGGAGCCGTTGATGGCTGGCCTCTCTCGCGTGTTCCTCGAGAACGCTGCACGAGTGCAGTGCGTACATGCCCGCCACCTACCATCCCAGCCGGGCTGACTGTTCGCGCATTGCAGCTCGACGACCGAGTGGAACCTCCTCTTCGCCCTCTTCTCCGCGACTGCCCAGCAGGAAGAGGCGGCGAAGATCTCGATGGACCTCATTCGGCAGCTCGCGTCCGGCCAACTTGGGACGAGCCTGCACGCCGACAACTACGCCGCCTTCCTCCAGACTCTTGCCGGTTTCGCGCACGTCGCCCCATCGAACAAGGCGTCTGACAACGCCAAGTACGCACCTCATGCCGCCTCTTCGCTTATCGCGCCGCGCTGACAGATCACTCTTCTGCAGCGACGAGGCAACTCTGGCTCGCGGACTGCAGATTGTCGACGTCCTCCGCGAAGTCCAGGCGTCTATTCCGAACTTGATCTCGACGTCGAACCTCTCGCCCGCACGAGGTGAGTCCCCTTCTCACGACGGAGAGCAGGAGCAACCGCTGACCTCCTGCTTGCAGCGTGGGAGGCGGCCTGGATCCCCCTTCTCTCCGCCTACGCCCAGCTCTGCCTCAACCCGGCCCGCGAGCTCCGTCAAAGCGCCATCACCAGCCTGCAGCGAACGCTTCTCGCGCCCGAGATCCTCCAGAATGACGACGTCGACCTCACCATCATTTTCGAGCGCGTCTTCTTCCCCTTGCTCGAGGAGCTGCTCAAGCCGCAAGTGTTCCGCCGCGACCCGGAAGGCATGGGCGAGACTCGCTTGCGCGCGTCGGCGCTGCTGTGCAAGATCTTCCTGCAGTACCTGACGCAGTTGTCGGAGCGCCAAGGGATGCAGACGATGACGGAGTTGTGGCTCAAGATTCTCGGGTACCAGGACCGGTTCATGCACAGCGGCCGGCGCGACCAGATGTACGAGGCCGTGCCCGAGCTCCTCAAGAATGTCCTACTCGTCATGAACGCGTCGGGATTCCTCCTCCCGCCGTACGCCGAGGGTCGCACCGAGGCGCAGGCTCGCCTCTTCGACCTCACCTTCAACCGCATCGAGCCGTTCCTCCCCGAGTTGCAGCGTGCGTAGCAGCCTCTCTCTTTACTCTCGCAAGACCTGGAGCTGACCTGAACCCGTACGCGCAGGCGAACTCTTCCCTCCTCCGCGCGTTCCCGTACCTTTCAGCACCACTTCCTCCAACCACCCGCCCGCACCTGCACCACCCCAGCCCGCACCCGCACCTCCTCCCATCTCGCGCCCAAACCCCGCCGACACGCAACCGCAAGAGCCGCAAGGGCAAGACGCGTACTCTTCTGCGCAGACTGTAGACATGTTTGGTCCGTAGGCTTTTTGTGTGGGTGCATCGAGTTTGTTCAGCTCCAGTCGAGCCGGAAGAGGAGGAGGAGCCAGAGACGAAAAAGCAGCGTAAGAGTCCTCGAGTGACGGAGGTTGCGAAGCTCTCGTAAGGAGCGAGAGCAAGAGAGATCCAAAGCGACACAGGAGCAGGAGGAAGAAAGAGTGCGAGCAAAGCGAGACGGGGATTGCCGCGTGAGTTCTTGTGCCATGAGGAGAGTGAGGAGATGCTCTGCGGGAGCAAAGACGTGGAGCGTCGAGCGGAGCGAGAAGTGGAGAAGTCGAGCGCAGCGAGAGGAGGAGGAAACGAGCGGTGCGAAGAGAGAAGGAGGAGACGAGCGGAGCGAGACAAGGAGGCAGCAAGCGGAGCGAGGGACAGGAACTCGCTCTGCGAAGGAGTCTCGCTCTGCGAAGGAGTTTGTACAACGCTTCGCCTGCTTTCGTATCAATTCATTCCTTCAAGCACCTTCTCTCCGCTCATCCCTACTTCTTCTTCGGCCCGCCAAGGGGTTGACCGATCCCCGCTCCGCGCAGCTTGACTTTGAGGATGCGCTCCATCTTGCCGAGGAGTTGGGGGTCGGGCTTGGCTTTCATGTTCTCGTCTGCGTGGGCGGGAACGAGGGGGAGAGGGAGGCGGGGGGCAAAGGGAAGGAGGCGAGAGGAGTGGCGAAGACGGGAAGGGAGGAAGGCGAGTTCGGAGGTCGAGAAGGAGAGCGCAAGTGGCCGGAGAGATAGTGGAGAGGAGGGGAAGGAGAAAAGGCGGAAGCCGTCGAAGCAGCGATGGATGGCGGATGTCCGAGCGGCGGGGAAAGTAGGCGAATGGCGAACGCGGAGGAGGAGCGGCCGTGAGATTCGTTGGCGAGCAGCCAAGGATATGCGGAGGCAGGCACGAACGAATCGCAAAGCGGAAGAAGAAAAAGAGAAGGGAGGGAATGGGAGAAGTGAAGAGATCGTCAGCGCTCCGCACGCAGTACCATGCCAGGCATGCACGCCAACTCACACTCCTGCACGATAGTCGGCTTGACATTCAACATCCTCGCCAAATCTCCCTGACTAAGGGGCTTGTTCTCCCCAGCCGAGTTGACATAAGTCTGACGAGCCTTCTGGATGACTTTGCCAAGTTCGAGCGAGACGGTCGGAGGCGGAGCAACTTCTCCCGATCGAGTTTGGCAATCTTGGCGTGGTCGGGACCGGTAGAGGCTTTGTTGCCCGTGGCTGCGAACGAGCAAGCGAAGCGAGTCAGCAAGCCCTGCTCTTTAACCAATCGCTTCCTCGTGTGGACGAGATACGTTGGAAAAGGAAAGGCACGCGAAACTCACACTTCCTATCGGAATCCACAGGCCCGCCAGCCCGTCGCGCAGCGTTCACCGCGCCCTCGGAGCGCGCAACAGTCGGTGCGCGAACCTTCTGACCGATGACGGTCTGTTTCCATAGGCAAGGAAAAGAGGAAGAAGAAGGGTCAGCGGAGCTATTCGTTCACGGGAAAGTGGTGTTGGAGAGTTCGGGAGCTTGGGGAAGCGGAAGAGGTGAGAGGGAGGGCGAAGCAGCGGTAAGAGGGAGTAACAGGGAGCAGCGGGTAGCGAGCGCAGGCGGGAGGAGAAGCTGCGGGAGGAGAAGGACAGAAGGAGGACAAGAGGCGAAAGATCCGCTGATTCGGCGAGGCGTTCCCCTCTGGCTCGTTGACCGTGCATGATCCATCCCCTTGATCCAACCCTAGGCCGCCGCGCACCCTCCGCAGACCCACAAGCTGTCGCTCGTCTCGAGAGGAGAGGGTGGCGCCACGAAGTGCAGTAAGACTGCCAGACTTGCCTTACTCTCCCAGTCGGTGATGCTACCCGCCATTCTTGTTATCTGAAGCGTCGGAGGCGGTAGAAGGAGTGGCTGAGGGGTGGCGATGAGGAGGGAGGAGCGGGTCGAGGGAGTGAGTGGGTCGGAGGCGGTGGGACGAGTTGCGGGTTGGTCAGCGCGTGTGAGTGAGTGTTGTAGAGTAAGTGGTGCTCACTGTGAGGCTGTAGACGGTGTCGAGTGCGAGAGCGAGTCGTGTGAGGGAGCGCAAGAGAGCGACGTCGTCGAGTCGGTCCCAGTCGACCCGCTCAGAGTGGTTGATCGAGTAGTTTGCTGTATTGTGTACAGTCTAGTGCATAGTAACAGACTGTCACTCGCTTACTTTGCCGTGGTTGCGATTTTCCCGACTTCCATCATCAGCAACGAAGGTTCGAGCAAGCAACTCTCTCTCTCACACCACACGCTTGACTCTGCTCAGACTCACTCGAGTGCACTCACTCACACGCTCACACCCACACACTCACACCCACCGCTTGTCCCGCCTCACCGCACCCTCTCCCTCGTTCCCCCACCTCGACACGCCCTCTCGCCATGTCCACCGACGAATCCAAGACCCGCGCCGACGCCCTCAAAGCCCAAGGCAACGAGCACTACAAAGCCCGCCGGTTCGACGAAGCGCGCGCGGCGTACGAACAGGCATGGGAGACGCACAAGGACATCACGTACCTCAACAACCTCGCGGCGGTCTACTTTGAGCAGGGAGAGTACGACAAGGCTATCGAGACGTGCGAGAAGGCGGTCGACGAGGGGCGAGAGACGCGCGCGGATTTCAAGCTCATCGCAAAGTGGGTCCACGGTCTCTCTCCCGTTCAGCTGGCTTCCTTCGCCAGTACGCTTGATCGCGTGACGAGCGTGCTTGCGTGGTATAGCCGACGTATGTGCGGAGATGTACTGACAAGCTCGCTCGCTTTCGCTGGCTCCATCCCGCAGGGCCCTCGGTCGCATCGGCACCTCATACATGCGCAAAGACGACTACGACTCAGCGATCAAGTACCTCCAGAAATCCCTCCTCGAACACCGCACGCCCGACATCCTCTCGAAACTGAAAGAAGCCGAGCGCACGAAATCCGAGCGCGACCGACTCGCGTACATCGATCCGGCCAAAGCCGATGCCGCTCGCGAAGAGGGCAACGTCGCGTTCAAGGCGGGAGATTACGTGACGAGCGTTACGCATTATTCGGAGAGCATCAAGAGGAACCCGGAGGACCCGAGGGGGTACACCAATCGCGCGGCGGCGTATACCAAGTTGATGGCCCTTCCGGAGGCGCTCAAGGACGCCGAGAAGGCCATCGAGGTCGACCCCAAGTTTGGTGAGTGCCGGCGTGACGGCGAATCGGTTCGCCTGGCGCCGAGATCCGCAGACTGACCCGTTCGTTTTACGTTCTTCTCGTCGCTCCGCAGTCAAGGGCTACATCCGCAAATCGAACGTCCTCTACGCGATGAAGGACTTTGACAAGGCGTACGCCGCGATCGAAGAGGTGCGTCCCTGCTCTCCCACTCTCGCGCTGTCCCGCTCGGGACTGACGCCCTTCATCGGCTCGCAGGCCATGGAGAAAGACGAATCCAATGCTCACACGAAAGAAATCTCCCAACAATTCTCCAAAGTCACCCAGGCACTCTCCTCCTCTCGCGCCGGCGAGACCGACGAGCAAACCTACGCACGAGCGATGCGCGACCCGGAGGTCCAGCAAATCATGTCGGACCCGGTGTTCCAGAGTATTTTGCAGCAGGCGCAGCAGGACCCGAAGAGTCTCCAGCAGCATATGATGCAGAATGAGGGGGTTAGGAAGAAGGTTGAGGTGCTTGTTAGGGCGGTGAGTCTTCGCGCGCGCTTCGGTTTGCTCTTGATTCGCGAGTATCGAACAGCAGCTGATACGACATATGCGTGAACTCGCAGGGAATCATCAAGACCGGCCCGCGATAACCGCATCCTCCCAGGCCGTCCTCTCTCTCGCCCCCGCTTCGCTGTACCTCATCTTCGCTTGCAACCCGAACTCGCATCATCTTCCCACCTCTCCTGCTTCCTCCTCACGGTGTTCGCGAGAGAGAGAAAGAGACGAGAGTCGTGAACATGCTCGAATGCAGAAAACAATACGAGCCCGGAGTCTGGAACGAAAAGGAGAGCTTGGGGTCATGCAAAGGCGCGCGAGAGGCCGGGAGCGAGAATAAGTGACAACGAACAAGGAGTCTGTGTGTACGGAAGGCGAACGGATGCAGAGAGCGAGAGAGGCTGGGAGGGGTAAGCTAGTTGTGCAATAGGGTGATTAGGTGGGAAAGTCGAATGGAATGGCGAGTGAGTGAAAAATTGCTCAGGCGAGACCGACTGTAAGACGCATGCGATGCAGCACCGTCAGTATGCCACTCAAGACAATCCTGACGGACAAGCTCGACGAGTAGACTCACGTTGCTCCCTCAACCCAAGCAACCACCTCGTCCACAACATCTGCGCAATCGGGCTCCTCTCCTCCTGCCCTTCCTTCTTTCCCCTCCCATCTGCTGCCTCGTCTTCCTCATCAGACGAATCAGGATCTTCCACGCGAGGAAGAGGGCGGGCGTGTCGGTCGAGCGTGGAGAGGAGGACGGCGGGTCCGTGAGGGGTGGCGATGAGCGAGTCGCGGGCTGCTGCGGTGGGAGAGGGGGTGGAGGAGGCGTATGCGGCGGCGAGGGAGGGGGAGACGTGGGGGAGGGACGAGCGGATGGTTGAGTTGCTGCGGTGCGAGCCAGAGTCAGGGCGAGGAAAGCCCACGAGAGGACGGGGGGATGAAGGCGGACGCACTCGTTGACTCCGCTCAAGACGCCCTCAACAAGCTTCCAAGCAAGCTCAGGCCGACTCGCCGCGAGCTCCTCAAACCCCTTCCGAATCATCGTAAGCGACTCCAGCTCCGCCGCGTTTGCCTCCTTCTCTTCCCCAACATCTTTGCTACCCTTCTTCTTCCGCTGCGGCGCGCACATCGAGTCAATGACGGGACTGATGACGTCCCGCACGACCGTCCTGCCAAGCTTCTTGACTTCCTCCTCACGCCCGTTCTCCGAAGGAGGCGCGAGACTCGCAGCGGACGTGTCGGGCGTGATCTCGCTCGTGACGTCGTCCGTCTCTGCCGCGGACGAGACGAGCGACTCTTTGCTGGACGAGGCGGGAGAGGGGAGTGAGGGCGCATGCTGGCGCTGGCGTTGCGAGACGGTACGGATGAACTCGGTCGAGTTGCGGTGCGAGGTGGCTGAGTCGAGGCGCTTGATGGGTCGGACGGTGTTGAGCCTGCGCAACATTAGACGGTCAGTACCGGCGATCCATCGGCAGCCTGAAGACGGCGCAGCAGCGCAGATCCAGAGAGCGAGAGAGGCGCAAACTGACCCAGAACCGACATCTCCCGCCGCAAGCACAGTCCCATTGATATCGTGTCTGGCACGGTACGAGTTCTTCTTGCTCGGACTGGCCGAGCGCGAGGGAGGAACGGAAGGCGGGCGGTACGGGATGTCGTTGACGGCTGCGAAGGCGGGGGAGGACGAGGCGGCGACGAGGGCGGACATGGAGGGTTCGGGCGTAGGAGGTGAGAGAGCGGCGAGAGCGGGATCGACCGGCTGGGCCTGCGAAGAGAGGAAAGTCAGCGGATCCTCGATGTCGGAACAGGCTAGAGCACGCACGCCCTGCACCTTCGCCAACGCCTCCCCCTCCTTCTCCGCCTCCGCCTCAGCTCGCAAGGTATCGAACGACCACTCGCTCATCATCGTGCCCTTGAGCGTCTCATCCTTGAGCGGGTCCGCCGCACCAGCCTTCCCACCCTTGCCCTTCGCCGCGTCCGAGTCTTTGCGCGTCGACCGCCATTCGTGGTGTCGCTCGATGAGCTCGGAGAGTTGTGAGGTCCGGCGGGCGTACTTGACGAAGCGGTGCTGGAGCAGCTCCTTTGCCGAGGGACGCTGTACAGCGAGGGCAGCCGTCGCTAGTCAGCAAGAACGTCTTTGAGATGTTGCTGACATTTGAACAGCTCGTCGACGCACCTCCTTCGGGTCCTTGATCAAGCAAAGCGCAACAAAGTCCTTGAACGCATTGCTAAAGTTGCCCTCCAAACTCGGCGGCCTCGCCTTGGGGATCAAGAACAGCACCCTCATCGGATGATACTCAGCGAGCGGTGGCTCGCCTTTCGCGAGCTCGATAGCGGTGATGCCGAGCGACCAGATGTCGGCTTTCGAGTCGTAGCCGGCTTGGCGGATCACTTCGGGCGCCATCCAGTAGGGCGTGCCAACGAAGGTGTTTCGCCGGCCGAGAGTTGCGGTGAGCTGCGCGGCAACGCCGAAGTCGGCTGTGAGAGCGAAATCAGCGAGGCAGGACGGAGCCGATCTAGAGGGCACGCGCACCCAATTTGACGGCGCCGGTCGCGGAAAGGAGAACGTTGGCAGCTGTTCACAAGGAGCCACCCCGTCTAGTCAGTACCTTGTCTTCCTGACAGAATCTGCTGACGCCGGTGAATCGGGGCGAACCTTTGATATCGCGGTGAATCTTGTTCTCATGGTGGAGGTAGTCGAGGCCGAGCAAGAGTTCACGGCAGACGATGGCGATGTGTGCTTCGGAGAACGGTCCAGGCTTCAGCTGCGAGAGAAGAGAGGAGGAAGATAAGCGAGAGAGGGAGCGGAAGGAGCAGGAGGGAGGACGAACGAGGTCGAGGCAGGAACCGCCGGCGAGGTACTCCATCACTGCGACGGATCGGTCAGTACGTTCCCGCGCCGTCACGCGACATCCTCCACTGACAGCAGCCAGGGATGCGATTGGCCGGGAACCAGAGACGAGCGCGACTTACCTATCCACAGCTTCCAACCGCGCAGAAAGCTCCCGTAATACTTCGTCACCCACTCCGAGTCGCATGCCGCAAGATGCGAGATCTCGAGCTGGATCTCGGCAATGTCGTCGTCCGAGCCTTCGAGGTCGATGATCTTGATTGCTACAGGTCGAGAAGTCGGGAGGTGGATGCTGTGTGCGGGCAGAACAAGATGAGGCCATGACTCGCGATGTGAGAATGTTCAAAAGGCTACGCACGCCTTGTAGACGACGCCAAAGCTGCCCACGCCGAGTTTCTCCTGAAGCTGGTAGCTGCAAAGCGTGCGGACCATCTGTCAGTCAGCCCGAACAGGCCCCCAGCCGCCGCCACTGACACAGGTGAGCTCGCACGCACTCTTTACTCGGATCCACCTCCTCCTGGCCTGCTCCAGCGACACCTGCCTTGGACGCCGGGTCCTTCAACAACCCCACATCCCTTCTCGCCGCTCTTGGCGCCGCGGGAGGCGGTCGTGCAGCCTGTGCGGGCATGCAACGCGTTGTTCGAATGTGGAACGCTGAATCGAGCTGGTGGGAGACGCGTTGGATGTCGCGGACGGAGTCGGACGACCGGGGAGAGGAGTCGCGATTGATGAGGCGAGCGAGGGGCGCAGGCGTCACAGGGAGCTCGCTGGGCTAGTCGTGCCCGTTCACCAGCTACCTCAAAGTCAATCACAGCAGCGAACAACTCAAACGAGCGAAGTGGGCGAGACGAAGAGGCGAGCGAAGAGGTTTGACGATGTCGTCGAAGAGGAGGCGTACAGAGGCTCGTCTCCTGACAAAGGCCAGCCACGCCGAACGGATCTGACGTCTCTGCACGACGGATCACCGTCCCCAAGGAATCGTACGAGCCGAAATGCCTCGTTACGACGAGCAGACGATCCCCTCTCTACGGCTTCTGCCACCGCACGCCGACTTCCTCCAGCATCTCTCCCAACTCGCCACTCTCCAACAGTCTGTCGAGGTCGTCTGCGCCGCCAATCGAGCGACTGCCGATGATGATGTTCGGCCAGGTCGAGTGGTTTGTTCGGCGCGCGAGGAGCGCTTTGAGGGCGATGATGTCGGCTGTGTGGGCAGCGGAAGATCAGACAAGACGGGAGAGTAACGTGCGAGTAGGGGAACGCACGCCGCAAGTCCACCTCGACGATGTGAGCGGACGGGAAGAGCTGCAACTCCTCGAGTCGCTCCTTCGCCCGCTTCGAGAAGCTGCGTCGCCGAGATGGAGTCAGCTTGGGGCGTTGCAGAAAGGGCGCAAAAAGAGCACTCACGGGCACGTTGTCTTGCTGAAGACGACCACCGGCACGCGCCTAACCATCTTCTCCACCTGGACCTCCAGCGCACTCTTCGGCCGCCTGGGCTCCTCCATCGCCGCATAAACCCTCGCCCAAGCCTCCGCCGCCTCCCTCTGTCCCTCTGGATCCTCCCTCACCCTCTCGCGCAGCGGCAGCTTGTCGAAGAAGCGCTTCTCCTTTGCTTCGAGCTGGAGTTTTTCCGTGTTGAGGCGGTCTTCTTCGTCGAGGTAGACCCAGCCTTTTTCGAGGATGTGCTGTGAGAGGGCGTGTTGGGCTGGTGAAGGACGCTGGAGGGACATGGCGGCGGAGGAAGAGGCGGGTCGGTCGACTTCGTCCGCCTTGACAACGTCCATCGCGTATGACCCGTCTTTGCGCATGTCGACGCCCGGTCCGAGGTACGTGCCACTCCCGACAACTCCCGTACTCCACTCGACACTCGCACCTCCAAGCACTCCATGCCTATGCCTCTCAAACGAGTTCCTCCCCTTCCCAGCCTCCTTCAAATCCTGCTTCTCCACTCCCCGCTCCTTCTCCTCCCTACTCCGCCTCTTCCTATACAGCGGCCCACCCCCAAGCGCCTTATCAAGGTCCGGAAACTTGTCTCCAATATCCGCATACCCCTTGGGCGTCGCATCATACACCTTTTGCCGCTGATGTCCCAACCCGACGTAGTCTCCCCAGTTTACGATGGCGTCGGGATGGGTACCCCATGCGAGTGGCGCGTGGTTGTAGGGATTCGAGTCGCCGCGGAGGAAGACGAGGTAGACGAGCGAGAGGGCGAGGAGAGCTGCGAGGGAGGAGGTACGTTTGGGGTGCTGCTGGCGGTAGGTGCGGGCGCGCAGGACAAGTGGGTGGGAGAGCAGTCGGCGTAAGGGCGCGGGCAGGGACGAGATGGCGCGTTTGGCGGCGGCTGACGGGATGACGGGTGTCGAGGAGCGAGGGGAGGATGCGGCCGGGATAGGGAGCATGGCGGCGTGATCGGGTGGGTTCGCTGGGTCTATTGACCTGTTCTGAGCATGCAGCAGCTGTGTTTGGGCCAGCAAGCGGTGTGAGCGTGTGAAGAAGAACTCCGAGAGGGACGGAGCGGGTTGAGCAGCGACAACAACGCCTGCAACGCTGCTGAGCGCGACGATGCTCTGCAGGACGCTCTTGTACTGTAGTCAGGCGTTCTCAAGCGCCTCTCAATGCTCCCACGCCGTCGCCTCATCTTCATCGCTTTCGACCTCGATCGACTTGTCAAGACGGCGAAGCAGGGCACGGTGGACGCTGTGTGCACGGCCCGGCTGATGGATGTGCTCGTGGACTGTTATCTAGCAACACCGGACATTCAGATTCGGTCGCAGATGAGCGGTTGACTGGCCCATGACGTCCTCCTGGCTCTGGAGGTCGCCTGCTTGCTCTTTCCCTCCGCCGCTTCACCGCTCACCAGCACAGACGATGTCAGACCTACTCGAGACGCTCACTCACCCTCCCGAAGCTCACCCAAAGCTGAGGAACTGGAGCTCGACCTACAACGTCTCGCCAGAACTGCTCTTCCACCCGACGACGAACGACGAGGTTGCGCTGATCCTGAAGGAGGCAGGAAAGAGAGGGAAGAAGGTGCGAGCTGTCGGACTGCACAACAGCCCAGGACCGATCTGGCACTCGAATCAAGTGCGTCCGCATCCTTGACCTTCTCGCTTCGTGTCTTGCTAACGCTCACCCTCGCGCAGTGGCTCGTCTCCCTCCGTCACTTCACCCACTCCTCCTTCCCCTCGACCTCCCGCACCGCAATCCTCGGCGCCGGCCTCTCTCTCCGCGACGCCAACCCTCTCCTCGCCTCTCACGGCCTCTCCCTGCCAACACTCGGTTCCCTCCCCGACGTGACAGTCGGCGCATGCTTTTTCGGTCCAGATCACGGCTCTTCCGCCTTCCATCCGATCTCGGCTGGCGCAGCGAAAGCAGTCACGATCGTCCTTCCTACCGGCGAGATCCGTCGGCTTGAAAGGGGCGACGAGCTCTTCCGTGCAGCAGGAGCGGGCGTAGCGGCAGTGGGGATCGTGACGGAGGTCGAGTATGAATGCGAGGAGGCGTTCGGACTGGAGTTTACGATGACGAGGACGAGATTGGAGAATTACCTCGATGAGGACAACAGCGGGAGGAAGTTGTGGGAGCTCGCGAGGAGTAGCGAGTATGTCAAGGTGCGTAGGGCTTTCATCACTCTTCGTAGATCTGCTGACAGCGCGCGCGCAGCTCTGGTACTACCCTGGCCCGACACCGACCTCTTCCTCGCCCAACACCGTCCTCTGGCGCGCCTCGCGCTGCCCCATGCCCCCGCCACAGCAAAACACCCTCTACACCCGAGTCTCATCCCAGCTCACACATTTCATCCACGCCACGGCCTTCTTCATCACGACCTACCTCTTCCCTTTCCTCCAGCCGTGGTTGAACGCATTGGGGTACTGGTTGCTCGCCAGTACGATGCCAAAGACGCAAAGGTTGAGGAGCTATGAGGCGCAGTACATGGATTGCGGGTACTGGCGTGAGTCCGAGCATCTCTCATTCTTTCTCAGTGCGGAGCTGATTCCATTGCGCGCAGAACTCGTTGACGAATGGTCCGCTCCCCTTCCCGCTCCGTCCTCCTCCGCCAAGTCCCCACCCGCACCAGCAGCCCAGATCCTCCGCCAATTGATCACCTTCTTCGCCTCCGCCGAAGGAAAACGAGTCGGGATGCACGCACCAATGGAACTGCGCTTCACGCGCGTCAGAGGCGAAGACTTCTTCCTTTCGCCTGCTGCGTCGTACGAAGAGCTGCTGGGCCGCGAGGAGAAGGAGGACGATCTGGTTATGTGGTTCGAGCCGATCATGTGCGTCCCTCTCGACTCTCGCCCTTCTCGCGCCTCTAGCTCACCGAGTCTCGGGACGCAGCTACCGCCCGCTGAGCCTCCCGACTCCCTCACGCTTCTACACTTTCCTAACCTTCTTCGAATCGCTCTTCCGCTCTCGCCCCGCCTCACGTCCACACTGGACCAAACCGACCCTTCCCTTCTACGAATCCGAGCGAGTCAGGATGTTCGGTCGCGAGCGGCTGGAGCGATGGAGGAAGGTTAGGGAGAGTGTTGACCCGCAGGGAGTTTTGTGGAGTGAGTGGTTGGAGGAGAGGGTGGGGAATGGTGCGCAGGAGAAGGGGATGGAGGTGAGGAGGGAGGGACGGTGGGAGGATGTGATGGGTCAGTCGGGGTGGTGGGGGCTCTGGTAGGGCGCTGTGTGGCTGGTGGATGTATTACGGAGTCGAACGATGTCGCTCGGGACGCCTTTCACCTCGAAGGACCGCGACGAGGAGGAGGCGGAGGAGCGAGTCGGCCGCTTCGCTGGCTGTTTCGCCCAGTCTGCAGTATTACTACAGTGCTTCTCGATGCATCTACGAGTCGCTTTGCTCAGCCAGCGATCCCCGAGGTTGATGCCGGACGCCTTCGTCATCTCTTCCGCCAAGTTCGCTCGCTGGCACTCTCTCTCTCGCTCAAGCCACTCTCTCACAAGCTAGAGCGATGGCAGCAGCATTCACACGCACGCTCGTATCGCACACAGCGCTCCACGCACACGCGCCCGTCGCACCCGCCTCACTCCGCTTCGCCGCCGTCTCCGCGAAACCCTCATCATCGACCCGCCTCTTCTCGTCCTCCGCCCGCGCAGCGTTCTCGCACCCGACACCCAGACAGCCTAGCTCGGCTTTCGAGGCTCTCAAGAGCGCGTGGACCCGCGCCGGAGCGAAGAGAGGGGTGGCGACCGCCCCGAACGAGGCCTATGGGTACGGAGCGGGAGCGAGGCAGGGCATCGACTGGGGCAAGGTCGGCATCAACGTTGGAGTCGGCATTGCAGGTCCGTGAGATCCCGAACCGCGCGCTGACTTGCGCTGACGAGCTCCGTTCCACAGGCGCCGTCGGCCTCAACCTCCTCCTCAACCGCGAGACGAAGCCGCTCGAGGGCTTCGAGTGGGACTACCTGCGCTCGACGTTCAAGTACACGGGCGCGGGTCTCGCCATCACCGCAGGAACGGCCTTCCTCGCCTTCCGCAATGGCGCGACCTACCGCATGATGGCTTTGAACCCGTGGCTCGTCGCGGGTATCTCGCTCGTTGGAGGAATTGGCACGATGATGGGCGTCTACTACACCGCGCCCGACTCGCCGGCGCACTACCTCTGCTGGGCCGGATTCTCGGCCATGCAGGGTCTCACCCTCTCGCCCCTCTTTTTCATCGCGCCGCACATCCTCGGCCGCGCCGGTCTCTACACCCTCGGCGCGACGGCTGGCATCTCCTACGTTGGTGCGTCCGCCATCCTTCCTTCCTGTGAACCGTGACTGACGTCCTCCGTCTCGCAGGCTCGACCGCCAAGTCGGACCAGTACCTCTGGATTGGCGGCCCGCTCCTCGCCGGCCTGGGCGTCCTCATCTGCACCTCACTCGCGCCCTTGATCCTCCCCGCTACGACCTCGCTTCGCACGCTTACACTCCTTGAGAGCGTCAGCGCTTACGGCGGCGTTGCCGTCTTCTCGGGCATGATTCTGTACGACACCAACAAAGTGAGTTTATTCATCTCGAGCTTGGGTCGGCGTTCCGGAGATTGGGCGAACTTGGGCTGACTCACCTCGTCGTTTCCTCGTAGGTCCGCCACCACGCCAACCTCGCCCAACGCGGTGCCATTCCCGCCGACCCGGTCCGCGAGTCTGTGGGCATCATAATCAGCGTCATCAACCTGTTCCAGTCTATCGTTAGAGTCTTGCTGCTCCAGCAGGGTAGCCGTCGTCGTTAGGCCGGACGAGGAAGAGGAACTTGTAGTTGCTTGTAGCTTCGTGTCGGATCGGCTTCCCCTATATCGCATCATCTTCTGAAGTAGCTTGACGTAGCAGTAGCGCGCAATCGAGCCTGTAGCGCCACTCCAGCTTCTTGCGCGACTCGAGACGACGAGACAAAGAGGAGGATGTGGAAAGCCATTACTTCCAACACAAGCCCGGGAGCGGCTCGATACTACTTCTACACGGACAGAGACAATGATAAAGACGCCCTCGCGGATATGCACACCTTCGCCCAACCATACTCCAATCAAACCTTCTCGCCATCGCTGGACGAGGCGTTCTCGATCTGCTCCTGACTCGCGGTAGGCTTGAGGTACGCGGGGTTCTTGGCGCCCAGCTCGTGCTCGCGCCGAAGCTCGGCCATGACGATCTTGTTGGCGTTCCAGACGTTGCGTTGGGCGAAGAGGCGGTCCATCTCCTCGAGGGGGATGTTGCGCGTCTCGGGGAGGAGGAAGCAAATGTAGGGGACCGAGAGGACTTGCATCGTCGCGAAGAAGAGGTAGACGCCGTAGCCCGAGTGGCCCATGTTGAGGAACATGGTGGGAGTCGCGCGGGAGATGACAAATCTTCCTGCGAGTTCGTGGCGGGTCAGCGCGCTGCTGGACTCGGAGGAAAGGGGAAGGTGGACGCACAGAGCCAGTTCGAGGTTGCGGCGAAGCACTGCGTGACCTGGCGAACAGCGCCGGGGAAAGCCTCCGAGTTGACGACCCAAGGCGTGCCGTTCCAGCTGCGCACCAAGTACAGTCAGCTATTGCTCGGAGCGACGGAGGTGAGGTAACGCACGAGACGGCGTAGAAGGCGGTCCAGAGGTAGAAGAAGAACATGGCTGCCTTTCCGCCGGGCGGGAGGTTGGGCGTCGGGTGAGCGGCAGGGTTCTGGATCTTGTTGTACGCGCCAATCGCGACTGCACATCACGTCATGTCAGCTCGAGCGGCGGACGGAGAGGGAGGACTCGCAAGTACACATCGAGATGGCACCGCCGACTGCGCCGACGAGGAGGATGCCGCGACGACCGAACTTGTCGATGATGACGAAGCACCAGACGAGCGCGAGGGCGGTCTTGATCACGCCAAACACGCCGGTGGTGAGGAGCGAAGTGTTGGTGCCGGTGATGCCGAGCGACTTGAAGATTGTGGGAGAGCTGCGCGCGAGAGGGTCAGCGCGTGTCAGGTGCTGGTGAATGAGAGAGCCACGCACTAGTAGTTGACAGCGTTGATGCCCGTGCCGTTTTGCCAGATGAACAACGACGTCGTAATGAGCATGCGGCGGAAGAGGAATCCCTTGCCGAAGACCTGTCGGAACGGCGCCCAGAAGCCTTCTCCAACAGCCGTGCGGTCGTGCTCGACCTGAACGTCGATCTCGTTCATCTCGTTGATGATGTACGCGTCCTCAGGCTGCAACTTGCGGATGTAGCACAAGTTCTTGAGTGCCTCGGAGCGGCGACCACGGGTGATGAGCCAGCGAGGAGACTCGCGGACGAAGAAGGGGATGCCGATGGCGAAGAGCGCGCCGGGGATGAGCTGGACCGCGAAGGGGATGAGCCACTGCTTGTGGCTCGACGGGATGTTCTCCGAGACGCCGTAGTTGATCCAGAACCCGACGAGGCCGCCGACTGTGAGCGAGAGCTTCGTCAGTGCATATCAGACATCGAGGGGAGAAGTGGTAGACCCACTCTGCCAGCCGAGCTCGTACATGCCGACGAGCTGTCCACGAATAGCGGGAGGCGCGATCTCGGAGATGTAGAGGGGCGTCAAGTTCGAGGCGGCACCGATTCCGAGTCCGGCGACGATTCGACCGCCGTAGATAGGTCCGAGACCGCGTGCGCCGTCAGCCGCGAGCATCTGCACGAGTGCAAAGCGGGTCAGTCAAATCGCGATGAGGAGGGAAAGCGTTCGGGCGACTCACGACGCCTGCGCCGAGGACAAAGACGAGTGCCGAGATGAAGAGACCGATTCGTCGACCGAGGATCTGACCCAGCGGGTATCCGACAAGCGAGCCAAAGAAGCAGCCGCCTTGGTACGTCGAGACGATGTTGGCCGAGATGGCGGCGAACTCTTTCGACGTCTTGTGCGCCAGTCCGAACTCGTTCTTAAACGACGCGAGGGCCATGGACGTGCCGATGAAGGCAGAGTCGTAGCTGTCAACGACATCGCGCGAGGAATCAGCGTCGGAGTCAAGCGGCGGAGGGAAGGACGAGAAACGCACCCAATCATGATGGCTGCCGTCGCAGCGACGATGGCGCATGCGTACACACGCCAGTTGTAGACCGCCTTGGGAGTCGGGCGGTCCTCGACGCGCGCGAAGAGGTTGACCATTTTTGTCAGGCGAGCGAGAGCTTGGGTGGGCGGAGTGGAAGGGGTGGGGGTGTGTGCAGTCGATGGAGGGGCAAGGCCAAGCAGAGACCAGTGCGAGTGGTCGAGGAGTGTCGAAGATGGAGCCCCGAGGCGCTAGCGAAGCGAGATAGAGAGGAGGCGGAGTGAGGAGAAGAGGAGGAGAACGAGGAGGGAAGAGCAGGAGATGGAGGGCTCCGGCTCGCGCGCTGAAAACTTTGGGGCACCGAGTTCCGGGGCCCAGAGACCGGGTCGTGGCGAGCGTGAATGAATTGCCCGCGCTCAGCTGAGCAAAGCGGGAGAAGGCGAGAGCCAGCTGATCCGGGAGAAAGAAGAGCGCGCTCCGCCCACCTCGCCGTCCACGCTCGTTTGCAATGCGTCTGCGCGGACAGCTCGTTAACTTACTCGTCCGTCGCCGGTAAGCTAGCGGGCGCACAACGTGTAGCGAGCCGCGGCTGCGTGTCGGAAGACTACAAGTCAGCGGGGACTTGTTGGAAGTCGAGGAGGGCGAAGGACGCATCTGTGGTCGCTGAGTCTGGAGGACGAGATTGCCTGCAAAGCTGTACTCGAAAGGATGTTTGGCACGTCGCACATAGAGCCTCGTTGCGCGGCGAGCTCGAATAATCGCGCAGACAAGCACGTATCGGCAGGACGGCGTCCCTCCGTTCCGTGAGCAACCCACCGACCGGATGTCTGCGCTTGTAAGAGATAGTTGGGCGGCAAATGTACGATGAGCTGTAGCGCGCGCGCACAGGAAGCAGGACGAGGCGAAGAGCAGCCGTCCAAGTTAACGGCGTCGACCTGGCGAGGCGCGTTCCTTCAGGCGCTCTTCTGCCCCCCAATAACCCCCTAGGAAGAGCGTCAGCGTGTCAAGAGGCTCGACGAGTCCGTAGAGGTGGTGTCAGGGAGGGTCCCGCGACACAGAGCAACCTCCCTCCGCCCTCCAGCCCGTGGAAAGCGTCCCTCGACCAGGCCCACTCTGTCCTCGAGCTCAGAGGTGTATGCTGTAACCTAACCATCCTCTTCGTGCGCTGCCACCGTCGCTTGAGCCGGATTGCCGCCGTCGAGCTGATGAAGATGGAGAGCAGCGAGGACGGCATGAGGAGCGATGTGGGTGGTTCGAGTGGGTAGCTGTGGGTCTGTCAGCACCACAAAACGCGCGCAAGCATCGTACGAGCGTGTTGTGCGCGCAGAAGGAGGACGAACCCACCAACACCGCCCTTCGCTTCTCTTCGCCGCGACAACACCGCTCGACCACGCTCAGCACGCTCACAGACACGCTTGACCCACTCACACACGCTAGACACACCTAGACGAACCCGCACACCACACCCACACACGCCGCTGCCACTCCCACCGCCGCTCGTTCGATCCTCACCGACTCGACTTGTCTCGCCGCGACCACGCTCGCATCGCAAGTCAGGCATGATACAGACGCACGCAGACGCCACTCGTGTACCTTCTGCGGACCCGCAGGTGCGCCCGCATCATCCCAACCCCCGTTGATCCCGCTGACACTCGCCGCTTCTCTCGCTCAGTCCGCCGCTGCGACCGAATTCGACATCGCCATCGTCGGCGCCGGCATCCTCGGTCCAGCTCTTGCGTACGGACTCGCCGAGTCAGGCCGGTCCGTCCTCCTCCTCGAACGCGACCTGTCCGAGCCCGACCGGATCGTCGGCGAACTTCTCCAGCCAGGCGGCTGCCTCGCCTTGCAGAAACTCGGTATTGATGATGCGCTCGAGGGGATCGATGCGGTGCCTTGCGAGGGATACCAGGTCTTTTGGGGAGACCAGTCGGTCGCGATTCCGTATCCGGAGGAGAGCAAGAAGATGATGTGGAGCGACGGGACGGAGCGGAAGCAAGAGGGGCGGAGCTTCCACCACGGGCACTTTGTGCAGAACTTGCGACGGAAAGCACAGTCGGCAAAGGGCGTCACGCTCGTCGAGGCGACGGTCAACGAGTTGCTGGAGGATGCGGCGGGCACGATCGTCGGCATCAAGGCGACTCCTCGCAAGCGCGACGATGGCGCATCCGACCCAGCGCAGGTCGACTTCCGCGCCAAGCTCACCATCGTTGCCGACGGCTGCATGTCCAAGTTCCGCCGCTCTCTCCTCCCTTCTCACGTCACCCCTTCGACCCGTTCGCACTTTGTCGGCCTCGTCCTCGAAGACGCCGACCTACCAGCCCCTCACCACGGCCACGTCATCCTCGGCAAGATGGACCCCGCGAACCCCCCTCCTCCCGCCGACTTGACCGTCCCCTCTCTCGGCCCGGTCCTCGTCTACCAACTCGCGACACATGAGACCCGCATGCTCGTCGATATTCGGGGTTACAAGCTCCCTCCGCAGCGAGACCTCGCCTCCTTCCTCCGCACGCACGTCTCGCCCGTCCTTCCCTCCTCGATCGTTCCCTCGTTCGAAAAGGCCCTCGAAAAGAGTTTGTCAGGCGACAAAGCGTACCGCCTTCGCTCGATGCCTAACTCGTGGTTGCCGTCCTACCCGCAAGGTCGAGACGTCCAAGGCGCTTTCCTCGCCGGCGACTCGCTCAATATGCGACACCCGTTGACGGGCGGAGGGATGACAGTCGCTTTCAACGACGCTGTTATCCTGACGCAGCTTCTTGGCGGCGGGAAAGCGGTGGGACAAGTCGAGCCGGACGAGCGGGGAGCGGTGGGTCTCGAGAACTGGCTCGATATGAGCGAGCGGCTCGAGGAGTGGCATTGGAAGAGGAAGGCCGTCGCGAGTTGTATCAACGTGCTCTCGCTCGCGCTGTACTCGCTCTTCGGTGCAGACGGTGCGTCCCAATGCGCTTCTCTCCCTCGAGGACGAAGCTGACGATTCGAGTTACCCTGCAGACGAGAACCTCGAAGTGCTCAAGACTGGCTGCTTCAAGTACTTCGAGCGCGGCGGGGACTGTATCAGCGGGCCCGTCTCACTCCTCTCCGCGTGCGTCTCCCCTCCCCTCCCTCTCACCCACCTTCTCACGCTGACACTCTTCCCCTTTACAGCCTCCGCCCCTCCCCCGCCTTGCTCTTCTACCACTTCTTCCGCGTCGCATTCTACTCAATCTACTGCCTCTTCACCACTCCCCTCGCCTCTTCCACCTCCAAGGGCAAGCCAGCGGTGTGGCAGTACCCTGCGCTGACGGTCAAGAGCATCAGGGTGTTTTGGACGGCTTGTGTGGTGTTGCTGCCGGTGTTGTGGAGTGAGGGACAGATGTAGATGCTCTTCTTATGCTTGTTGTGCCGTTCATGGACCCTTTTCTCCTTTCCCTCGCGTTTAGACACTCCTCCTTCCGTCGTTCGTTTCCGCAGATAGCGTACCTAGTCTCTCGCAACCTTTCTAAACTTGCAAACGTCGTTAATCGCTCCCCTCGCGCTCTCATCGACATCGAGAGGAGAGGACGAAGCGAGACTTCTGCTAGTGATTCCAGTACGAAAGAAAAGACGATGCGAAGGAAGCGAGGTGAAGAGATGTACAGCGAAGGCGAGTGATGCGGAAACAACAGTGTACAGCGATGCGAGGACTGACGGCACGGACGGGAGGCGGAGTCTAGAGTGAAGAAGGATGAGAAGCGAAGGAGGAAAGAAAGGTCCATTCTGCGCGACAAACGTCGTCAGCCCCGAGGTCGAGTAGGTAAGAAGAGAAGAAGGGAAAACGCACCAAATCTTGCCCGCGCGCTCATACGCCTCCTTGACCGCCCTCTCCAACCCCCTCATAGCCCTCCTCGCATGTTCGCGCGGTACCTCCTCCCCCTTCGCGCTCAAACTATCGTTGAACACCTCGGCACTCCACGTCCCCTTGTACCCGGTCGCGAGTACAGCGTCCGAAAAGCGCTGGACGGGGAGGTATGCGCCCAGAGAGTGTTCGAGGGGGAAGAGGCGGTGGGAGCGCGACCAGGGACGGATGGGGGGGATGGAGGGGTCGGAGGGGGGAGAGAGGGGTGGGGACATGAGGCGTGCGTCGGCGATTTGGTAGAGGAAGATCTGTGCGGACGAGGGGGAGGGGGTGAGTTTTCGAGCGAGGAGGAAGGGAGGGAGAGCGGACGCACCTTGTCGCCCGGTACACGCCTCACGAGTTCGCGCATGTTCTTCTCGAGCTTGTCGTCGACGTCGTCGCTGAGCCGTCCAGAGCGTGTGTACGGACTAGCCCACTCGAGCGCGAGGGTGTTGAACGAGTCGAGGCAGATACCGAGGTTTGGCCTATCGGCGCGCTCAACGACTTGCCAAACGTCTTGCCACGAGCGCCGGTGTGTGCCGAACGAGAGTCCTTCGTACATGATGCGGATGGGAGGGGAGTAGGATGCTGCGAGGTCGGCGAGCCAGCGGAGGTCGGAGACGGCTTTGTCGAGGGAGGAAGTCGTGCGTGAGGCGGGAGCAGTTGTCGAGCAGCACAGGACGAGGTCGGTGCCGAGCAAGGGGAGGATGTCGAGGATCCCCCTGGCGTACTCCCTCGCTTCCCGCTCGTCCTCCTCGTCCAACCACCCCTCGAATGTCCGCAGAGGCTGCCAGCAACTGATCTCGACCCCTGCGTCCCTACACAGTCGCACGACCTCCCTCGCCGCCGCGCGACTCGCCTCGTCGCCCTCCTTGCACGGGACGGCGTACCCGTTCTCCCTCGCGAAACGGTCACGGAAGTCTTGCCAGTCGAGGTCGAACAGCTCGATGTTGGCGAACCCTTGTTCGGCTGCGGCGCGGATCTTGCTTGCGAGCGAGTGCGACTTGCAGGATCCGAGCGAGAGGGAGGCGATGCCGAGCGGGACGGGGGGGAAGAGCGACGTCGGAGGGGAAGCCAGGGCGGGCGGAGTCGATGGGAGCGAGTTGGGTGCGGACGAGCAGGTGTCCGAGGAAGCCATCGTCGTCGTTGGGGAGTCGAGACGAGGGAGATCGCAGTGGGTGGGACGGGCGACACAGGCGGAGGGCGTCGAGTCGCAAGACCGTTCCCTCTCGTCTCTCGTTGCGCTTTGCCGTTGTGTCGCGCTGTACTTTCTCCGGCGTGGCTCGCACAACGCTGACGAGCTGCTGACGAGGTCGACCCACACGCTCTCAACGTTCTCCCGCCCGCCTCGTCCGCCTCCTCACCCCGCTCCGGACTCGCAGCGGGATCACAAGCGTGTGTGGAGACCCCTGCTCACACTATCAGCTCGCGGAGGAGTGCTACGAGGTGTCGACGCTGCCGTCCGCGCTGTTTGAGAAGGTCGAGTGGTGGCAAACTCGAAGCGGTCCAGGCTTTGCGAGCGCTCGTTTGGCGCGGCTGGAACGGAACGCAGGCCTCCGCGCTCGCCCAAGTTTCCGCCGCTTGACTTTGTCCGCTCACTCGCTCGTCCAGCTACTCTCTGCCGCCATCTACTCGACTGTACTGATTCACTAGGGCTCACTGCTACACACGGGGCTCATCCAGCGACCCACTGGAGTCTCCCACTCTTCGCCGCACTCCCCCTCCTCGCCTCGCCGTCCTCTCGCCAGCCATGGTCAACCTCTTCGCGCGCGTCGAGGACCGCCCGACTCCCAAGGCGGTCTACAACTGGCGTGTGTACGCATGCGCCATCGTCGCTGCGACGGCAGCCATCATGATTGGGTGCGTTTCTCGTCCTTCCCTCCGCCGCTTGACTCCGACGCTGATTCCTCGCGCGATGTCGCAACAGCTACGACTCTGCCTTCATCGGCACGTCCATGGCCCTCGCGTCATTCAAAAACGAGTTCGGACTGGCGCACAAGACGTCGAAAGAGTTCGCAGCTATCTCGGCCAACATCGTCTCGACGTACCAAGGCGGCTGCTTCTTTGGCTCGCTTGTCGGCTACCCGCTGGGTCAGATCCTTGGTCGACGAATCGGTCTCTTCATCTCGGCACTCGTCTTTGTCCTCGGCGCAGGCGTCGTGAGTCGCCCGAACGCTTTCCCTCCTCATCGCGATTTGACTGACCCGCTTTGCACTCGCGCAGATGCTCGCGGCTGACGGCGCACGCGGTCTCGGACCCATCTACGGTGGTCGCATCGTCGCCGGACTCGGAATCGGCGCCGCCTCCAACTTGACGCCTCTCTACATCTCTGAGATCGCGCCTCCCGCCATTCGTGGACAGCTCGTCGGCATGTACGAGCTCGGCTGGCAGAGTGGGTCTCGCCCGAGTCCTTCGAACCTGTGACGGCCGCTTACCCAGCTCTCGCGCGCAGTCGGCGGCCTCGTCGGTTTCTGGATCAACTACGGCGTCTCGGAGAACATCCCCTCGAGCCACAAGCAGTGGCTGATCCCCTTCGCGGTCCAGCTCATCCCCGGCGCACTCTTCGCCATCGGCATCCCCTTCTTCGTCCGCGAGTCGCCTCGCTGGCTCATCACCCGTGGTCGCCGCTCCGAGGCACTCCAAGAACTTGTGCTACATCCGCAAGTTGCAGGCTGAGGACGCGTACATCATCAACGAGATGAACGAGATCGACGTCCAGGTCGAGCACGACCGCACCGCCGTTGGAGAAGGCTTCTGGGCGCCATTCCGCCAGGTCTTTGGCAAGGGATTCCTCTTCCGCCGCATGCTCATCACGACGTCGCTGTTCATCTGGCAGAACGGCACGGGTATCAACGCTATCAACTACTAGTGCGTTGCCCTCTCTCCTTCACCGGCACCTGACACGCGCTGACTCTCTCGCACGTACAGCTCCTACACGATCTTCAAGTCGCTCGGCATTACCGGCACCAACACTTCGCTCCTCACCACCGGCGTCTTTGGCGTGATCAAGACTGCCCTCGCACTCGTCTGGTGCTTCGTCATCATCGACAAATTCGGTCGTCGCGGCATCCTCCTCGTCGGCGCAGTCGGCGGTGCCATCTCGATGTGTGCGTGCGAGTGTCTCCTCTTCTCAGTAGCTCGAGCTGACGGTGCTGTGATGAACAGTTGCGATTGGCGCGTACAACAAGATCCAGAACCCCGCCGCTCACCCGACGCCCAACCTCCCGCCCGGCGGAAAGGCAGCCATGTTCTTCTTCTACCTCTGGACCGCCTTCTACGCCGTATCGTGCGTCCCCCTACCTCCCCGCTTTCGAGCGCTAGCTGACTGGGTTGAGAGAACAGATGGAACGGCACGCCTTGGGTCGTCAACTCGGAGGCTTTCCCCGGCGCGGTCCGCCAGGTCACGCAGTGCTTCGCCGCGACGTCGAACTGGCTCTGTGCGTCCCAGCTTCTCTCCTGATGCACGCACCCCACGCTAACCTGCCTCAACTCGCAGGGAACTTTGTCATCTCCCGCGCGACTCCCACGATGTTCCTCAACATGGGCCACTCGGGCTACGGCGTCTACCTCTTCTTCGCGACGATGCAAGTCCTCTCGGTCCCCTACATCTGCTTCCTCCTACCCGAGACGCGCAACATCCCCCTCGAGGAAATGGACCGCCTCTTCGCCCAGCGCAACGTCTGGAACGCCAACAAGATCGTCATGGCCGAGCTCCGGCGCGAACACGAGTTGGGCGCCAAGAACCCCGCTTACCTCAAGCCTGAGTCGGGGTCGTTGGAGGAGGTTGAGGATGTCAAGGAGCATCAGGAGGTTGCCTGAGGGATGGCGGGGGGTTTGGGCGCGGGTACGGGTGTACTTGTAGGGTTAATTATCGGGTCATGGTTATCGCTGCATCATTTTGTTCAGTCGCAACATTTCGAGGAGGAGGACGAGGAGAGTGGGAGGAAGGTGGCTTCCTGAAGGGCTGATCGCGTCTCTTCGAGTCTCCAAAGTCTAGCAGAGTGCATTGCGACGCTCAGCAAGTCCCACGACGGCGCTGTCGTCGCTCACCCACTCCCATCGCGTCGAGCCGCCTCTCTCGCTTCATCAGTTCACTCTCTCCCGCTCCACCTGCCTCCAGCTGCTATGCCACCGCGCCCAACTCCCTCCTTACTCTTCCCCGACGACGCCAACGCCTCAGCAGACGAGATCCCCCCGCTCGCGTTCGAATACGAGGACGAGGTGCGGGGTGTTTTGGACAGGTTGAAGGGGGAGTTGGAGGAGCGTATGGGGGCTGGGGCTGGAGCGGGTGCGGCGAAGGTTAAATGGAGGGGGAAGGAGAAGGCTGTGCAGTTGGATGACCAGCAGAGGAAGAGGATGGAGGAGATGGTGCGGAAGGTGAGTACCGAGTATTGTTCGATGATGGCTTGCGGCACGCGCAGGGCTCTTTGGTGGGCTGTTGTCCAGCGCAAGGCCTCCCAGAGTGCAGACTGCAGAACAAGTCGAGGCGCAACGAGCTGACTGACCGCTCCTCTTCTTCGCACTCCCCAGTTCTACACGAAAATGGAGGCTGTCATCCTTTCCAACTGCACGATCGGTGGCCTCTCCTGGTCAGAATACGAAAAGAAGAAGAAGCGAGGCGGTTCGTCCCCCTTGCCCACTACCCTTCTGAGCGCGCGAAGCTGACCTTGCTGGGTTGTTCATCGCAGAGGTCGGCAAGACGCAGCCTTTCGACGAGAACCTTCACCAGCGGGTGTTGAACTATCAGAACGAGTTGTTTGATGCACGGGAAGTGAACGCGAGGGAGCGGGTGGACGCGCCAACTCGGACTGCGCAGGTTCGTCTGCTTTTCCTTCCCTTCCCTCACTCCGCAGCTGCTGACTTACTCTGTCCGCGCCAGTATATTCAAGAGATTGTCAACATCGACAAGGACCACCTCGCCAAGCTCGAAGAAGCGCAGATCGACGTGCCGGAGGAAGTCAGCCTGCCGAAGCCGCGGTCAAGGAAGAGTCTGGGTGGAGCTGGTACGTTCTCTTTCTTGTGCTGTGTTGAGCAACGGGTCCCTGATTTTTGTGGGTGGCTACGGTTGCGTAGTCGACGCACCGACGGCTGTGCAGGCGCAAGAGTACTTCGAGGAGGGCGAGCAGGCGCTCGACAAGCTGCTCGAGGTTCGCTTCTTTCCGCTCACCCTCCTCCAGCGCGCAAGGATTCACGCGACACCTGCAGGACGTGCCGAAGCTCGCGACAGCTGCCGACGAAGCTCGCAAGGTCGCTCTCGACGCCGCGAACATCCAGTAAATGCGCCTTCTCTCGGCCCCTCGGCACGGTTCGCCTCTCGGCTCGGCACCTGTTGTACGCATCTCCGTCCGCTGTTGACTGTAACACCATTCTCTGCCGACTCTCGCAGGACGGGTCACGTGCACGATATCGGCCGGACTTAGGTTTCGGAGGCGCTCCACTTTTCGCTCTTGCGCTCCTCCTCCTCGCTTGCCGACACTGCCGCTCTCGCCAGCACACCGCATGACTCGCTTGTGACGCTTGCTTGACTGAAACGGCTGTCCATTCCTTCCCTCCGCTCTCTCACCTCTCGCCAGGTCCTCCTTCTCCTGCTCGCTCACGATTTCCGCCATGTCGAGCGACGACAGGTGGTCTGCCCAGCGCTACAACACCAATGCCAGCTTCGTCTACTCTTCGCAGTACACAAGCCCAACACTCAACCTCCTCGCTCCTCGTCCAGGCGTGCGTATCCCTTCCGTGCTTTGAAACCGATACCTCACTGACGACGCTTACTGTGGCGCAGGAACGCATCCTCGACCTCGGATGCGGCTCAGGAGACCTGACTATCGACTCGCTCCTACCCGCTGTCCTGCCTGGCGGAAGTATCGTCGGCCTCGACTCTTCCTCCTCCCTCCTCTCCAAAGCGCGCCAAAACCTCTCCTCTTCCTCCACCTCCTCCAACGACAAATCAAGTATCTCATGGATCGAGTGCGACGGCCACGACCTCGCAAGCCTGGGCAAAGACGGGCAGTTTGACGCAGTCTTCTCGAATGCTGCGCTGCATTGGATGAAGCGCGATCCGCAGAGGGTCGTGAATGGTGTGTATGGGTTGCTCAAACCAGGAGGACGATTCATAGGCGAAGTGCGTGCCCTCTCCCCCCTCACTCGCTCTACCAGCCCTGACTTGCGAAAGTTTGGCAGATGGGCGGCGCGCTCAACATGGTTGGAGTCCGCTCGACCCTGCATGCTGTACTCGCCAATCACGGAGTCGATGCGAACAAAGTCGACCCGTGGTTCTTCCCGACGCCGGAGGTGTACCGCGCGATATTGGAGAAGGCGGGATTCCGCGTCGAGAGCTGTGGTTCGTCTCGCTCTCCCCCTGTCCACAGGTATTGAGGTTGATGGTGTGTGTATGGCACAGACCTCGTCCCGCGCCTTACGCCCCTCCCAACCGGCCTACGAGGCTGGCTCGAAACCTTCGCATTCGCTTTCCTCGACGCCCTCCCCTCGTCCGCCGATCGCAAAGCCGTGATCGACGAAGTATGCCGCCGAGTCGAGGTGGATATGAAGCATGATGTGGGCGATGGAGGGGAGGGGAAGTGGACGGTCATGTACGTGAGGTTGCGGTTCAAGGCGTGGAAGGAGTGAGCGGGTCGGGCTGGATGCGCGTGATGCATTGTCTATAACAGTTCGTCGTGTGATCGTGTATGGCTACAAAGGCGTGAAAGAGTGAAAGACCGAGTGTCCACTTTCGTACATGTCCTGCTCCTCAAGCAACGACTGCGACCTGCACAGCCTGCCCATGCGTCTCCCTCTCATACTGCTCGACATCAACTCCCCCAACAACGACATCCGCCAACCCTCTCTCGAGCATCCGCTCTCCCAGCTCGTGGTCCGCTTCCTCCCGATAGGCCGGCAACGCCTCGACTTCGTCTTCCTCTGCTCGGCGGTGTCGACTGATGGGCGGTGGGCGTGGGACGGTGAGGATGAGGAAGTTGGCGTCGAAAGCGAGCGGGAGGGGGTAGGGGAGGTCGAGGAGCGAAGGGGGGAAGGAGGTGTGTGTTGGTCGGTAGGCGAGTCTGTTACGGCGGTCTCCTCGGTCAACATGGTTCCTGAGAGAGAGTGACATCGAGAGGGGGTTTGCGCACCCTTTCCCGCCAAGCAACCGCTTGACAGACACCTTCCTCAACCCCTTCTCCTTGCACCACCCTATCGCAAGCCTCAACCTCTCCTCGACCCACTGCGCCTCCTCGATAGCCTTCTTGACCGCCCTGATGTGTCGACTCGAGACTTTTCCCGCCCAGCAACTGGTCCAGTTCTTTGATCGCGCATCTACGAGGGCGAGGTGTCGGGCCGACAAGTCCCTTACACGGACGAGCCAGGCGAGGTGCGACGCTCGCAGGGAGCGTTCTGTTAAGGGTGGACGGGAGCTCGAGAGTGACGACGAGGCGGACGAAGCGGTGGACGGGCGTGACGAGGCGGGAGAAGGGGTCGCAGCTGGGTGGTCTGCGGGAGGCGGGATGAGCGGGCTGCGCAGGTCGGCGAGGGTCTCTCCCGCTCGCAGTGCTGCGAGGACGAGGATCGCAGCCATTCACTCCGCCGGCTGCTTATTGGCGACGAGGAAGAAGCGTGCGTCGCTGCCGAGGACCATCCCGCTCCGCTCCGCTCGCTGCCTTATCCTCGCGCTTCGCCTTATCATCTTCGTGCCAGCATGGGCTAGTGGCACGGATGGACGCTGTTCGACTCGCTCCTTGCCCTTCGTCTCCCACTCGCCCCCCATCCCTGTCGCCCGACTCGCGGCGTCGCCCTCTTCCTTGCTTGACCTCTCAGCCTGATCAGTGACCCATGCAGCGCCGTGACCCTGCGCATCTGTCCCGGCGTGCGCAGCTCAAACTCGACGAGGCGGCCAGCTCGCCGCTCGTCTCGGCGCGCGCGCGCACGACCGCCAACCAGGCTCGTCTCGTCTTTGCCTCTTCCCTCTCGCGCACTCGAGGGCTGACCGGCTCTTTCCTCTGTTGTCAGTGGTCCGAGGACAACACGGGCGGCATCGTCAACGCCGGCTTGGCCGAGAACGTGCGCCCTCTCGCTTTCTGTCCTGGCTCACAGTTGCCTCCAAGCCGGCGCTGACTTGGGTTGTACACCCCGGCACAGAGCCTCATGCATGACTGGCTCACGACGCTGTGGGAAAGAAAAGGCTCGCTCAAGATAGAGCGCACCGTTTGTTCCCGTCCCCTCGCTCCGTCGTCGGGAAGCGGTTTCTCACGTACAGCTTACGGCTTCAGGACCTCACGTACGGCACGAGCATTCTCGGCTCGCACCGCCTACTGCGCGCACTCGCCGCATACTACTCGACCTACTTCAAGCCCGCCTCGCCCGGCGAGCCCCAGCACATCGCGACGTCGAACGGCTTGTCCTCCATGATCGAGCATCTCGCAGCCGTCATCTCGGACGCCGAAGACGCTTGGCTCCTTCCTACGTCAGTCACTTTCTCTCCTGCGGCTCAAGTGTGTCTTCTCACTGAGACAGCCGTCAAACCCGCGCAGGCCGTGGTATTACAGCTTTGTGCGCGACCTCGGCGCCGTGAGCCAGGTCCGCATCGCAAGTGTCGCCATCCCGACTGGACAGAACGGCACGCTCGCCGAGGTCGAGGCAATGGATGCAGAGATGGAGCGGCGGCGGCGCAGCGGTGTCCAGCAGAAGGTCACGGCCATACTCGTGACGAACCCTCACAACCCGCTCGGTACGCGTGCACGGTTCAGGGTTAGACCGGTTTTGCATCATTTTTTATCGCTGACCACGAGCTTGCACCCAGGCTTCTGCTACCCTCGCCATGTCCTCGTCGCGTACGCCAAGCTCGCGGAAAAGTGGGGTCTCTACCTCGTCTCGGACGAGATCTACGCCAACAGCGTCTTTGGCGGCGTCGACTTTGTCTCGATCCTCTCCATCGACGTCCTCCGCGAAGCCAGCTGCAACCCCTCGCGCATCGTCGCCTTGTACGGCATGTCGAAAGACTTTGGCGCGAACGGGTTCCGCGCTGGATCACTCGTGTGCCAGCACAACGACAGGATCATGTCGGCGCTTGCAGCAGGCGCGATGCCGATGCGCATGGGCTCGCCAACCGACATCCTCTGGTCCGCACTCCTCACCTCGCCCGACCTGGCCACCTACCTCGACAAGAATCGCCAGAAACTCTTAAGGGCCTACACATACGTGACTGCCTGGCTCGACGTCCACGGAATCCCGTACACACCAGCAAACGCAGGCCATTTCGTCCTTGTCGACTTTAGGGCATTTGTCGGCCAGACGGCGCGTGGGAGCGACGCCGCTGGGTTCCGTGGCAACAGTGGGAACCAGAAGCGGATGGCGGAGGAGAGGGAGGGCAACAGCATGTGCAGATACAGGGACGAACTCGACTTTCTCAACTTGCTCGTCAACGGCGGAGTCTACCTCAGCTCCGGTGCGTGCTCTTTCTCTCCCCTATTCAAATATCCACAACTCACACAGTCCTTCCCTTCGTCACAGGCATGTCATACGCCTGTCCCGAGCCAGGCTTCTTCCGTATAACCTTCTCGATCCCGCGGAAAGAGCTCGAGGTCGCACTCGAGCGCATTGAGCTCGTTTGCGGGCTTGCAAACAAGGCGGCAGCTCTTAGTAAGGTGTATCCGCAGTAGACTTGCAATCCTCTTTGGCAGATCGCCCGCTGTCTACGCCTCGAATGAGGCTGGAATCCCGCCGGCCGCACAGCTCGAATTCCACCATCATTCCCGGCGCCGTTCATCCATCTTGTACCACTGCAGCAGCGAGATTGTCAGAAAGGAGAAGCGGGAGCGAGACTTGGGAAGAAGCATACTTCGACACCCGTCCGTATGCCTTCCTCGAGGCTCTCAATCGGCTCATACCCAAGTAATCGTCGCGCCTGCGGTTCAGAAGGCGTCAGCGCGGACTCGCAACGAAGAGGAAAGGCCGAGACGGACCCGCTCGATGTCCATATAGAGGTCGTGCAGGACGTATTGCATGTACGCCCGGTTGACCGCGCACTCCTCCGGCCTCTTCCCCACGCACCACCCCGCCCACTCACACAGAGTCGCATACAGCATCCCCACACTGCTCGGTAGGACGACAGGCTCAAACCACCTCGGTGGGCGGCGAGAATAGGCGAAGTAGACTGCTCGCGCGAAGGACCAGAACGAGACTGGCTCGCCGTTGGTGATGAAGAAGGCTTGGCCGGCAACGGAGAGGGACGGAGCGGATGATGGGTCGTCGGTGAGGGGGAAGAACTGGTTCCAGCGATTGCGGGAGGCGGGAAGAGGCGGATCGGGTTTAGCGGCGCTCGCGTCGGGCTGTTCCGACGTTGGGAGATTCCGTCTTGGTACCGTACACGCAACAGGCTTGATGCGGACCTCGAAATCGTCGGGGGAGAGAGGCGGCGCGTCGAGTTTATCAGCGGCGAGGAGGTGCGCGTGGACGGCGTTCTTGACCGTCACAAAGTCGAGCATGTTGCGGTTGTCGCCCATCTGGAAGGCGGACTGGCCGTCTTTCCAGACGCCGATGAAGCCTGGCAAGACTTGACGGTCGCCGGGGCTGTAGAGGGGAGGTTAGCGAGCGCAAGCGCAGCTCGCTGAGGAGTATCCGCACCCGATGATGCCGCCTAACCGAATCGCGCAAGTCAACAGACCGTCCTTGCCGTTCGCGTCGAGCACAATCTTCTCTGCAGCAGCCTGTGAGAGCGTCGTCAGCGCCTGTGCGAGCGAAAGCGGCGTCTTAAGGCGCACCTTAGTCCCAGCATAAGATGGCACCTTTTCCTCCGTCTCGATCCGAGGTAACCGCTCATCGACGTTCGTCAAAGGCACTCCAGGTCGGTACACAGCCGTCATCGAGCTCGTGAAGACGAGCTTGCGCACGCCCGCCTCTCGACACGCCTGCACGACCGCCTCTGTCCCCTGCACGTTGACCTTCTGCCACATCTCGGGCGTCGCATTCGCATGCGGACTCGCCGTATGGAAGACGGTCGTCGCGCCTGAAGCACGGAACGCCTCGACGATCGACTCGCGAGAGGTGATGTCGGTGCGGAAGAATCGGTATTCGCCTTCGGGGTCGAAGCGGCGCTGAGTGAGGCCGAGGGAGGCGACGCGCGAGACTGGATGGCGACCGAGAAGAGCGGAGACGAGTGCTGCGCCGAGGAAGCCTTCGCCGCCGATTACGGCGTAGGATTCGCGGGAAGGGGAGGGGGAGGTGGACATGGTGACGGGACGGCCAGCTGACGCAGAGATGGCGGGGTCGGCTTGACGCATCAAGGGAGAGCCTGTGCGTTTCTCAGTGTGTCAGCAAGGACTTCACACAGCAGAACCACGCTTCTCGTTGAACGAGCGGCGAGATTAATGTGGGGAGAATGGCTCCAGAGGAAGCCCGCCGACTCACTAACGGTGCCAGACTCCGCCTCGACTCGTCAGTCACGCTGCTGAAGCCCGTCGTGCGGCTCTCGTCGGGCTGGGTGCGCTCGTTGAGGAAGCGAGAGTTGAAGGAGATGAGAATTGGCGAGGGAGGCAGCGGTCGAACGGCGGTGCGGCGGGACAGGCGGGTTCAACAGGTCGATTGAGTCGATGTGTATGTAGACCTGTGTGTGCTCCTGCAGCCCTACGAGCGTGGAGTGAGCGAGGACAGACTGTGGTTCGATGCGAAGGTTGCTCGCGCCTCTCTCGCTCCCTCTTGTCACTCGCTCTGCTTCGTTCCGCGCTAGAAACACACAGACGGCGCCTTTGCATGCTCCAGAGTCGTACCAGCGAAGCTAGCCGGCCCCACTCCCCTCACGCGCTCCGACCTCTCGCCTCCTCTCTCACGTCGCCGCCTTGTCCGGAGGAATGCTTTGTCCTGCTGGCCTACGCTCGACGACTACCTGCTAGGACTGTACACCCTTGCGCTGTTCTCGCCCGCCATGTCGCTCTCCGTCAAGGACATCATTGGGCCCGTGGTGCGTTTCCTTCTCCCTTCTCTCGCTCCTGACGCCGTTCCTCGGCCTCTCCGTCGCGAGTCGTACCACCGCAGACGCAGAGGACTTACTGACCTTGCACGACCGCAGCTTGTCGGCGCCTGCCTGTCATGCTTCGCGTGCGGAATCACCCTCAGCCTGTCGACGCGCTACTGGGCCCGCTTCCATGTCGAACGCATCTGGATTCGCATCGCGGTAGTCTTGTCGATGCTGTTGGCGATGATAGACACGGCGTTCAACGGCACTTGGGCGTACAAAGTGCGTTCCGTGCCCTTCCTGCGAGTGAGGACCACACTGACACCGACTCGCTCTCCTTTCAGTGGACGACCACCTACTACGTCCTCCCCGACAAACTCTCCCTCTTGCCATGGGAGCTCACGGCCAACTGCTTCGTCATGTCCACCTCCATCGTCCTCGCCCAGCACTTCTACCTCTACCGCCTCTTCTCCCTCAGCGGCAAGAACTGGCTCGTCGCTGCGCCCGTCAGCGTCGCGGCGCTCGGTTGTTGGGGCGTCGCGATTTACATGGGGTGGTTCTGCTCGAAGCACCCGAACGACATCGCGGCGTACGCGGACATCACGTGTGTTTGCATCCCTCCTCTCCTTGCTCGTTCGGCCTGGCGGGCGTGGTCGAAGTGGTACTGAGCCTGTCTCCTCCGACAGGAATGTCTCGTGGGTCTGGTTCGCTGGCGCGTTCGTCGTCGGTGCGCTCGCCTGGCCTTTCCGCTTCTCCCACCCATCTCGCTGACTTCTTCGCTCGACAGACGCCTACATCACGTGCGCCCGTCTTCGACTTCGCTGACCATGTCGTTGCTTAGCTAAGCGATGCTTCCAATCAGAGCGGGCCTGGCCTACTACCTCGTCATCCGCCCGAAGTCGGGTCCTTCGCTCGCTAGGTCTGCTCCACGCTTCTTCTCATCTGTGAGCGAAAACTGACGGTTTCTTGTGACTTTGAAGCTCGCCTAAAATCGCTGCGCTTCGAGCGGCGCAATGCAACGCCTTCGCCATCCTCTGGCACCTCGTGATCGTCATCCTCCACGCGCGCGACAGCAACACCTTCCAGGACACGTACTTCACCTTCTCACTCGTCAAAGTCTGTGCGTCCCCGTATCATCCTCGCTCTTTCTCCTCGCTCGAATCACTGAAGTCGTCCAACTTCGCGCAGACACCGGCTCACTCCTCGCGACTCTCAACGCGCGCTCCCCGCACGCCGAAGGTTCCTTCACCGACCGTTTCCCCTCGCGCACCGGTCACGCATCCTCCTTCTCCCCTTCGACCTCCTCGCGCCTCAAAGGCTTCGGCACGCCCGCCGGTCCGCCTGTTCAAGTCTCGGTCAGGCAGGAGATGCATATTGAAGCTGAGAGGGGGGATGATGAGGAGGTTTTGGGGTTGGAGGGGGTTAAGAGGAAGAAGGAGGGAGGAGCGGGAGGAGGGGAGGTGGTTAAGGTGCAGTTTGCGGGGGCCGGAGAGAGGAAGGGCGCGGACAAGGCGGGAGAGGGAGATAGCGACGAGTTCTAGGACGGACACGTCTCTTCTGCTTGAAGATGCAGGATCGAAGAGTGCAGCAACCACTATCGTTAGGCGTATTCGTTTGCTATGCCATACACTCGTTTCAGTTCTCTCGCGATGCTCTGGCTCAAACAGCTGCTCATTAAGACCGTGAGAGTGGAGAGAAACGAAAGTCTATGTCCAGAACACATCGCAGCGCGGCGAGACCAACCAAAGGAAGAGCGGGAAAGGGACGCGACGGATCTACAGTCCCAGGATCGCGTCGAAAGCGTTCTGGTTCGCAGCGGGAGGAGGCGGGACGGGCGATGCGGAGGATGTCGAGCGGGCGTTTGAGCGCTGAGAAGGGGGGAGGTAGTCGTCGAGGATCGAGTCGAAGGCTGCGTGACGAAGGGCTGTGTTAGCTTGCTGAGTCGCCGGAGTGAGGAGAGCTGGCTGCGCACAGAAGACGGGCGCGGAGACGATCGCAGGCTTGGGTCCCGCTGCTGCGGTAGCGAGACCCGAAGCGATGATCCGGCGCATGCTGGGACCGTCGAGCTGGACCTCGACCGGCTTCTTGACCTGTGTGAGCGGTCGAGACGTCAGCTCAGCTACTTCGTGTAGGGAAAGCGCGGGCACTGACGTCTTTGGGCGTCGCGGTGTACTCGTTCGCAGGGTGTCCACCATGAGGCTTCTCCTTCGGCAGCGATCCTCGCGGGCTGCTGATCTTGCCCATGAAAGCAAGAACATCTCCCTTCGTCAAAACGCCGTTGTGTCCAGTTCCCTTGATCTCGCTCGCGTCCTGGATGCCGTTCAAGGCGAGGAGGCGGAGGACGGAGGGGAGGAGAGGCTTGGAGTGGTGATGGTGGGCATGGGTGGCGGAGGGAGTTGGGGAGGGAGTGGCGGGAGAGGGAGTAGGAGCGTCGGAGGCGGTAGGAGAGGTTGGACCGGCTTCGGACTTGGAGTCGGAGGGGGAGGGGGCGGAAGAGGAGGCGGCGGCTTCCTCTGAGGGAACCTCGATGTTTGCCAAGTCGTCGCCCTCCTCTGCCAAAATCGCAATGAGCTTGCCGACCTGCACACCCGCTGCGCCGTCGCCAACCTGCGGAAACGGGGTCAGCTCGACGTGAGACGGGATCTGACCGGGATAGTCGGACGCACCAAGATCTTGCCCATCACACCGTCATCCTGCGCCTCGACATCGATAGTCGCCTTGTCCGTCTCGATGGACAGCAGGACGGCGCCTGCCGTGTATGCCTCTCCCTCCTTGACCTTCCACTCCGAGATGCTGCCCTCCGTCATGGTCGGCGACTGTGCAAACAGATCTAGTCAGCGGAAATCCGGGACGTGGACAAGGGGAAAGGCAGCGGAATATACCATGGCCGGCATGAGGAAGTTCGAGTACGCCGCAACGGCCGAAGAGGCATGGACTGCGCACGGTGAGGAAGGTGAGCGAGCGACCCCTCAAAGCCCGGTACTTTCTGATCCCTCTGGCGTCCCCCAGGCCTCTCGGACCTGTTCCTCCTTGCTGAGCACATCCCGAACCAGGTGCACCGCCTGCCGAAGATGGACAGCCAACCGCGACAACTCCTCCCTTGGGCGGTCCACCGCGCTGGAATCCCATCCCTCCGTAATCTAACCGGGTCCCACGTCTCCATTCCAGCTCATGATAGGCGCGAGACGAGATCGATGCGGTCCGACAGTTCCGCTGGGGTCGAGCGGGAGAAACGCGAGCTCACGCTGGCGAGCGAGTGGCCGAGTCGCCTGGCGGGCTGTCCTGAGTACTGCGAGCATCCTGGCAGCCGAGAAGAGCCTTCACGAGCGGTGTGAAGAAAGCGAGGAGCGGGACGAGGTGGAAGCGATGAAGCGAATAGCGGATGTTGGGCAGACCTTCACCACGCCCGCCAACTCGCTCAGACGCCGCTAGAACGGGCTGTGCTGCTTAGAAACTGCTACGACAACAGCGCAGAGCTGTTCCCGCTTGTTCGCTTGGTCTCGTCGCGCCGTTCTCTCGCTTCCTCGAGTCTCATCAGCTCACACTCCGACTCCCGCTCAGGCCGCCTGGGAGGGGAGCATACGGGCTTGACAGCGTCAAAAGCAAGGCTATGGAACGCGGGGAGGACTGGGACGCGGCCGGGTCGACCTTGACTCTCCCCTTCTCCTCCCGTCGTCGCCCCGCCCTCGGCCCTCGCCTCCTGTCCCGTCCGCCGCGCGGTCCCACCGCCGAGAGGAGGTCAAGGAAAAGTTCGGTACGGGGAACGGGCAGGATGCGCGGCTGCACAATCGGGTCGGGCGCGGTTTGTCCGCGCGCGCGATACCGCTGGCTTGCTCGCTGAATTGCTTTCACCTCTCTCTCGCTCCTCGCTATCTGTCTGCTGCTCGAATTCGGTCCTTCGGCAGCTTCCGATCCATATTTCGCCGACCCAGCCTCACCGAGTGGCCGGCCCGCAACTGACTCTCGTCGACCGACCGGATTTGCCGCGGTGCTCTTCAGCCACCTCGTCTCGACCCTCGCTTCCGCATCCGACAGTCGTTGCTGGCCCAGCGCGTCTCTCGTCTGTACTTGCGACGCACATTGAACCGGGCGACACCCCCAGCCTCCTCGAGCCCAGCCTCTCAGCCTTCGACTTCTCCCTCGCCTCGCTCTCCCTATCTTCCACGCGAGCCTGCACCGCCGCTCGGGTATTCCCCGCCTTCTTTCTTTTTTTCTGGCGCCAGCCATCAGCCGGGGCCCACTATCATCCGACGTCGTACCGCCGGCTCGCCGTCCGACTTATCGTCCGCCAATCCTTCTACCTTCAATCCCTCTGCCCTCTACCCACACTCCGCCGCTCCTCAAGACGCACATCCCTCATGTCGTCGGGCACGGCACAGGCGGCGTTCTCCTCGATATGCCCGGACATTTCGTATGCAAGTCGAGTCTCGGCAACTGTCGCTTCCGCCGCCCGTCAACGGCTGACCCTTCTTTTCTCTGCAGGGCGAGTACTGTTCCATGCCGTGGCACTACGTCGACCACAAATGCTGTGGCATCTGTCCTTCACCAGCCGTCAGTCGTTCTCGTCTGTCGGCCGGAGAACCCGCTCATGCTCGAGAACCTCTGCGCGCAGATTAACGGATACGGCACCATCGCCGGCTTCTGCCTTGCCAGCTTCTTCAACATGCTCATCGTGCTATGCCAACCAGCCAGCTCCGCCGTCTTCAGCAAGTCTTCGGTCATGCAGCTTCTCCGTCTCTCTCGCTGACATCCTCCTTTCGCACATGCAGTCGCCGCCCAACTAACCGTCGCGCACATGTTCCTCGTTGCGATCATGGTTCGTGACATGATGGGTACCGCAAGTAACGGCACGAACGGTATCCAGGCGTTGCACGCCGAATTCGCTTTCCTCGCTGCTTCGTCGATCATCGGCGTCGTACTCGCTTGCGTACTGTCGGACGCGCACCATATCCACGTTCGTCGCAGTTCCTTGGGTCTTCAACGGCGACGGCTCACCGCTCGCCTTTCGCAGGGTTTCAAATCGCACGAAGACCTCGAGCACTTCCTCAACGCACAAGACGACCTCAAAGATGCCCGGCGAAGAGCCGAACCCGGCTCGACAGTCTACGGCACGCATCGACTGCAAGTGCAGGAGCACGAGGCGTTCGTACGAGGCGAGCACAAGGCGAACCTCGTGCGAGGCGTACATCGATTGCGGAAGTGGCATTCGCGCAACCAAGCGCGCATACTTCTGTTTGCTTTCGGCGGAAGCGAGGCGTACTGGTACGTCCCTCCAGCGCTCCTTCCGTGGTCGATTGGAGGAAGAGCTGAGTCGGATACTATCCCCGCCACTGCGCAGGTTCATCCTCTACGCCGCCACAATCTGGTTCGGCAAGGACACGATCTTCTGGCAACCGAAGTGCAACGACTTTATCGGCGCCGCCTCGTGGTCGCTCATCCGCGGCGTCTCGTTCACCATCTTCTCCCTTGCCTTCCTCTTCACGCTCTTCCTCTGCATCCCCGTCTTCCATCCTACGTGCGTCACTTTCGTCCAGTTACAGGGATAGTCGACTGACTCTCGGCCGCAGGAGCTCGTATCGTTCCGCCGCGCACTTCATCGTCCTCCTCTTCTCGCACCACATCGCCCGCCCTCGAACATCCTCGCCAAGCTTCCGAGACCGTCGACGAGAAGCACGGAACAAATCCGCCCATGCTGATCCCGTAGAAGAACCGCAACCAGCCCCCGACGCGCCCGAGACTCGACCCGAAGTCATCGTCCGCTTCGTCCTATCGCTCTCGATCTGGTCGCTCTGGTTCGTGCTCCTCCTCGTCGTCTTCTTCAAGGCGCGAAGAGACTTCCTCTTGACGGGGACGGGAACCGCGCCCTGGCCTTACGCGTGCATCCAGAACTTGGTCCGTCTCGCTCATGTCTTTGCTTACCCGCATGCTGGCTGACCTGCTCGCGAGGACAGATGTTCGGCTCGTTCCCCATCTTCAAGTTCTGCCTCAACGTCGTGCGGGGGAGGGCGAAGGACAGGAAGAAACGAAGACGAGCGATGGCATCCAATCTTGCGACTCCCACTTCGACCGGTCTCTCGCCAACGGTCCGACGGCGACTGTCCGGACTGAACAGGCGGCCAGCGACAAATGAGCAGTCCTTGAGCCGGTCACGGAGTCGAGGGCGGCGGCAGAACCGAGCGAAAGACTGGTAGACGGGCTGCAAACAACGAATCGAACGAGACCGCGTCGAGTGAACGAGACATTATGTGCACATCTATGCGGAGGGCGCGACGACAAGAGGGCTATGCTGTACGACAAGGGGCAAGCTACGAGGGAACAGATGCTAGCGTCGATAGAAAAGAAAGGAAGGGGTGGAGCGCGTCGCTCTAATCCTCATCCATCGCGCTCGTACTGCCGCTCTGCCGTCGCGAACGGAACCCTGCACTGACCGGCCCGTCGTCCTCGTCGTCGCTGCTGTCCCCGCTGCTCCCGAGCGTCCGCGTCGTGCTTGGCGTGCCGGGCGTGACTGTGCTGGAGGAGAAGCTGCTGCTAGTGCTCGGATGGCTACGAATGCTGCGGGGACGATGCGGCGAGGGTCGGAAAGCGGCGGAGGAGGACGTTGTCGCGGAGGTCGTGCCCGAGCCTGAACCCGTCGCGAAGGGCTTGCTCGTCGGCGTACTCTGCGCGTCGCTTCCGACAGAGGCGGTCGAGGAGTGCGCGAGGTGGGCAGGGTACGGCGACGAGGTAGAGCTCTGCGGCGTCGAGGTCGACGAAGCTGCCTGCGCCTGCGCTGCAGCTGCCGCGACTGCCGACCTCGTGAGTGGGGGCGTCTCGATGGCGGTACTGGGTGTACCTGGCGGCGGGCCGGGATGTGCGCGAGGCTGAGACGAGGCGAAGGACGCTGCTGATGCCGCCGCAGTCGGGTTCGAGTCGCCGTTTCGTCCGACCCAGTACAGGATCAACTGGTCGGCGTATCGCTGTAGCTCGTCAACCGAAATCTTGAGCCGGAAGTCGTTGAGAAGGAGGAACTGCAGCTCCAGCTGGTTCAACTCGTGCAGCGGCAGACCACCGACCTGGAGAAGCGGAAGTCAGCTCGACGAGTCATGCGACGCAGTCGAGGGAGGCGCACCTTGGCATATCGCGAGTTGGTGTAGAAGACGTCGCTGAAGAATTTGCTCGCGACTGTTACCCCCGCAATGACCAGACGGTGGACGTTGTAGCTGTCGATAGCGAACAGCTTGCTCGGGTTCGGCACGTCCGCCGACGCATCCGCACTGCCCTGCTGGTCCTTCGGCAAGCCCAGCCTTTGCGCCTCAAGTCCAATGCGCGCCATTCGGTCGAAGTAGACGAGCAAAGCGAGGAAGACCTCGTTCGTCGTCGGGCAGTACTTGAGGATACGTTGGAGGTACGCCTCGATCGAGATGGCTGGGACGTTGCGTGCGTGAAAGCAGAGAGTCGCGTTTGGCGAGGAGAGGGCGACGGCGGAGGCGGTGAGGAGGGAAGACAAGGGTTGCTCGTTCGAGGTTGGCCCGGTCGAAGGCTGAGGTGAGGCGCCAGTCGGCGCAGGAGGCGGTCGCGAGGCTGCTGTAGTGGCCGCTTGCGAGGCTGGCGATGGGGCAGAGGAAGCGGACGAGGTATGCGCTGCGCTCGATCGTCGACTGAACGAAGGGGTGGAGCCGTCCTCATTCCGCTTGTTGCGGATGAAGCTGCTTCCTCGCCGCCGTGACAAAGGCTGCGGCGCATGCGTCCCACCAAGGCTCGGCATGAAACCTTGAACGCCTCCGCCTGGACCAGTCTCACGCAGCAAGTCGACGCCCGGCGTGAGCGGCATCTCGTCCTCCCTCTCCGCCAGCTCGTCCTCGTCCAGCTCGCCATCGAGCGCATTGTCAAGAATCCCCGGTCCACCGTCGCCTCCAAGTCGTCGCTTGTACCGCGGCGTAACAGGCGTGTTGAGCGGCGCAGCATCGAACCGGCCCTTGCTCCAGTCTGCCTCGCTATCGCCGCCGTCGGACCGCGCCGACGACATCGGCTGGACATGAGACTGGCTAGTGAGCGAGCTTCGGCGGGACGAAGGCCGGGCGGAAGGAGCCGGAGTCGCCGACGTCTCGCCTGCGACTTTGGGGGGAGTGGCGGATGCCGATGCTGCTGCACGAGCGTTGCGAGCGTCGTTCGCTTGCGCAATTTGCTCGAGGAGGGAGGCGAGGAGGCGGAGGAGTTCGGGTGAGGGGTAGGAGACGATGTCGACGTGGTGGGCGGATGGAGCGGTATTGGGCTGGACGGCTGACTGCTCAGGCGACTGGTCCGGCGAAGAGCGCTGGGAAGTCGCCTCTGGCGCTGCAGGAGTCGAGCTCGACGACGTGGAAGCAGGCGTCTGACCGCCATCGCCGCCATGAAAGCTGCCCATCCTCGGCGCCTTCCGTCGCCCATTCCGCCCCGACTCCTGTCCCTCGCTCACCTCCGTCGTCCGCACAATCGAGCTGCTCGACGACAACACTGACGCTCGTCGCGTCTTCGAGGCGTTCGTCTCCTCGACACCGAGATGCTCGCTGCTCCCGCTCAATTCCCCGCCTGCACCCGGCGGTCGCTCTTCGTCGCCCCCGCTGGAGCCCTGATCTTGCGGCTCGGTTCCCTCATCCTCCTCCTCGCGCACCGACAAAGTCGAGATGTCCATCGCGCCGCTCCCGCTCCGTCGTCGTCGCGCTTCCTTCATCCGAAGCGGCGCTTCCTCATCCTTCATCTCCTCGTCCGCGTGCTCCGCCTTTCCATCACCCACACCAAGTTCCTTCGCCTCCATAGCCGGACTCCCCGTGCTGATGGTCGTCGCAAGACTGCCGACACTCCCATCCGCGCTGCGAGGTCCGCCTCCTCGGCTACTGTTCGTCAACCGCCGCGACCTCCCACGACTGGACCCATCCTCGAAGAGGGAGCTATTGCTGTTCATCGACGGCGAGCTCGAATCCGTGCGAGACGAGACGGACGAAGAAGACGAGTGTGGGGATCGGGTGGCTGAGTGGTGAGTGTAGGCGGACTGTGAGGTGCTCGTCGAGGGTTGTGAGGCGTCAGAGAAGGAAGAGTACGAGACGCGGTGATGGGAGAAGTCGGCGGGGCTGGACGCGAACGAGCTTGTTGCGTTTGGGAGGAATGCCGAAGTCGACATGCTCGATCAGGCGTGAGAGGATGGCGATGTGCCGTGAAGGGGTCGTGGACTCGTGCGAGAGTGGGATAGAATCTGTGGATTGCAGCCTGCGCGGAGAAAGCGAGATGTCAGCCCATCGGGTCTCGGAAGACAAGGGGTGGCTGAGGAGGACAAGGCGGGAGCGTCGTGACAGGAGTCTTGCGGGGCCGCCGACTGTTGTTTCGCCCGTCCTGCACACTTGCCTCTGAATCCCAGCAAGCCGCGAAACCGCCTCAACGGATCGCCATTCCCCCGTTCACACCGCAATGCGAGTGATCCGAGAGGCCGACGTAAGGTGGGTCGAGCGACGTCGGCAGTGGGCGCTTCTGCCCCGTCGCTCCAGTCCAAGACCCATCAGGGAGCAGCTCTGCCACCCTGACTGCCCGCACCAGCCCGCCGTCACAGGGACGGGGACGATGTATGCCCCTCATCTCTCATCGCCTAGATGAGGTCTGTGGCGCCCGTCCCGCCTCGAGATCGGATCTTCCGCGCAGCCCACACATTCCACAGTCTGTCGGAAGCCACCCAGAGCCAACTCACCTCGTCGTTGGTCGTGAGGAGCCGTGGCGCGAGAGAGCCGGTCGGTTCGGAAGGTCGCTGGGCGTTGTGGCTGGCGGCGGCTCGGGGAGGGGTGCGCTCTGCGTGGCTGCGCCCGGATGGAGTATGCGAAGGTGTCTGAGCTGGTCTAGCTGCGCCCTGTCGAGGGCGGATGGTGGAGAAGGCAGAACGTGCGGGCGAGGAGAGGGGGGAAGGTGGTCGCTCTCGCCAACTCGCTCGTACGCAAGTTCAGATGTTTCTACAAACCTTTCAAGTCGTCAGAAGTCGCGCAGTACACTCGGCCCAGCAAACGAAGCGAGTTGGCGCGAGTCGTCCTCGAACCAATCGCACCCGTCACTTTCTTTCGACAGCAAACCACGCGAGAACGCCTTCTTTTGTCCCGTTAGAAGCACAGACGACGAGAAACTAGTACAACAACATCATAGACAGCGAGCGCACAGTGCAGTACAAAGTCACACTCCTCCTCGACCTTCCTCAGACCCACCGCTCCAGCTTCCTCGCTCCGCACGCCCCTCCTCCGCCTGCACAGCACTCCGCACCTCGTCCTCCGTCGCAAAAGGCGCGATGGCACATCGGTCAGCCACGCTCGACCCGGCGCTCATCGTCGAAAACATGGTCGAGGTCGGTCCGCGCGAGTAACTCGGCCTGTTCGTGTACCGTCTCGCGGGAGGAGGCGTCGAGGGCGCGCCAGCCTCAAGGTCAACGTCACCTAGCGACGGGAGGGACTTGAGCTCATGTTCCTCCTCTCGTTGCTCAACCGCAACCTCCTGCTCGACCGTGACATGTACGCTGCGAGACCGCTGGTTCCGCGCGTAGGATGAGCGACCGAGTCCGATGAGCGATGCGAGTTTGGCGAGTTTCTCGCTCCCGCTGCGACGGTGAGAGCGCTTTGTGCTCGAGGCGCTGGAGGAGAAGTGGATCGAGAAGGCGAGTGGAAGGGCGTCGACGGGGGTAGCGAACGCTTCGGGGCTTGACGACGGCGTCCGGGCGTTCACTGCATTGCGAGTGTGGTCAGCTGTGAGATATGGGGGACAATGCGGCGGGGCTGCACGCACGAGTCGCGATGAGCGAACCGATGTCTGCGCGCGACACAAGGGCGTGAGCAGTGTCCTCAGCCTTGATGCAGGAAGCTCGACGTACATATCTTTGCCTCCAACAAGCCGAGGTAGCAATAGTCCATCGAGTTACTCCGACCAAGTAACAAAGCCTGCCAATCGCACTCCTGTCAGTTCTCTCACCTTGACCTTCCATGCGCCGCTGAAAGACGCACCAGTACGCAGATCTGCAGAATAGCCGAAATCAAGTTGGTCTTGACCGAGTAGATGGCCATCTCCGTCAAGCGCCTGTCACGACCCCTCGTTAGGACGGGTCGCTGGAGAAAGGGGCGGGGAGAGACGCACGAGTTGCTTTTGAAGTTTCCTGCGGCTGCGCGGCGAGGTTGGACGAGGAGGTAGTAGACCATGCCGCCCCTGCGAGGGAAGCGAAGTTGTCAGTCGGATTCAAAGCTGGGGAAGGGGAAAGGGAAGGCGAGACGGACGTAATGAGCGCGTCGATGCCCGCGGTCGCTCCTGCCCATGCGCAGACCAAGCCACTGTAGCGATGACATGGTCAGTCGGTCGCGAGCCGGACTCGAAGCCAGGGACGCACCGAACGACGATGAACGACTCGAGCTTCTCGCTGATCGCCAAGAACCACGTCAAGTAGATCCCAATGCCTACGCAAGCTCGTCAGTGTCACCGAAACGCAAGGACAACTGCAGAAAGAGGAGACGCACCCCACATGGCCAGCGTGCAAGCGAGGATGAAGCCCGGGAAGACAAAGTTCTTCCGCTGACTGGCGACCCAGACGCGCCAGCAGAAGAAGCATTGGACGATTGCGACGGCTGAGGTCATCCTGCAGTGCGTGAGAGGCTCGATCAGCTCTTCTGCTCAGTGAGTATGGAAGAGAGAGGAGCGCTACGCACATCCCACAGTACGCGGAGAGATGCCAGACCATCCGCGTCAAGATGAAGATATTTCCGTAGTTGGTCACTGCGCGAAGGAAGGAGTGTCAGCCGTGTGCGTGCAGGCGAGTGGAAGAAGGATCCAGACCTGTCCAGATGTACGACCAGTCTGCGTTGCACGCTGCATCCGCCACCGCGAGCATCGTGCACAGCGCAACGAGGAGCTTGAAGATGAGCCGGTCATTCTTGAAAGTCGTGAAGTAGTGGTGGGCTGCGAGAGAGGTGAGGGTCAGGACACTCTTGATCGTCTCCTCCACCGGCGTCCTGCGACGCACCCAAGCAGATCACGACGCCACACGCTGCACAGCTCAAGAACGCGCCGACCAGCTGCAGGCGATGCGCAAGGTCAGCCTCGACTGCGCAACACCGAACGGAAGAGCAGGAGGAGGAGCGGGAACGCACCAGCGGCTTGATGGTGGCCTGCACCGCCTGCTCAACGATATTCCCGCTCATGGCACCTCAACAAATGACCGTGTCGACTCCTGGATGTGTGCTGCTCGACGCCAGCGCGAGCTCCGAGATGATGAGCGGTAGCGGGGAAGGCAGCGAGCGCCTGGCTGAGGGCGACGGGACGAGCAGACGATGCGCGGGCCAGCCCAGACCGGTTGTATGATGCACAGGGCAGCGACGAAGAGCAAGCCAGGCCAGAGTCTGCAGCAGTGGAGGCTCAATCAAAGCCTGCGGAAGCTTGTCCAGATCCGGCGAGATACCGACGATCCACCGCTGACGGAGTTCCCTGCGGTCCCGTCCGACTCGAGAACGTATCGTGAGAGCCACGCGTTCGGTAGCTCGCACGCCTCGCTCGATCGCAGGCGAGCGATTGACTCCAATCTGGTCGGAGGAAGCGGATTGATAACGCCCGAGACCGCTGCATTCGCTGGTAATCAGAACCGCTCATCTGCCCCGTGTACGTCCAGCCGGAGACCCGCACAAACACTCTGGCCTCATTGGAGCGCGGTGGAGTCGAGGACACGGGCTGGGTCGTCGAGGAGGAGGAGGAAGGCGAGGAGACCTTGTTGCGGGGCGACAACGGGCTGTACAGATGGCCAAGGTAGTTCTGTAGCTCTACAAGCGTACCAGGCGCCTTCAGAGCGAGAATGGCGCGCAAGGGAGAGGTTCGAGGAGGCGAACGAGCGAACTGACCTTTCCACCACCGCTCACTCTCGCTTGAGGCTCGCTGGACTGGCTAGACTGGCTCCTTAGACAGGAATGAGCGCGCCACACGAGCAGACGCCGCACCTCGTCAACCTCAAGGTCCTGCGCGCCTCCCGCCCCACCCTCGCTCCTCATCCGCCTCTTCACGGTCTCGACACGGCAGGACCGGGTGGAGATGCGTTGCGACAGCTGGGAGAGACGGAGAAGGGCGGGATGCTGGCGCTACCGAGCAACTTCGGCGTGATCTACCTCGGAGAGACCTTCTCTGCCGTCCTCTCGCTCTCAAACGACCTGCCGCCCTCCCCCTCCTCGCCAGACAGCGTCGCCCACTCTGTCAGCCTCGCCGTCGAGATACACACCGGACTGACGCCGCAAGGACCGACGGCGAAGCACTTCTTGGCGCGTGTCGAGGCGAGGACGGAGGATGGGTCGCTCGCGCCTGGACAGTCGCTCGATACCATGGCTGTCCACGAGCTGAAGGAGCTCGGAGCGCATGCGCTCGTGTGCACGGCGACGTACGGTGCGCATGTTCTAGGCGAGGATGGCGTCGCTCGAATGGTCAACCGGACGTTGCGAAAGGTGCGCAGCCGTCCCTGTGCTTTCATTCGTGTTAGCAAGCTTGCTGATACGAATGCATGCAGGTCTACAAGTTTCAAGTGACAAACCCGATCTCACTCCGCACGAAAGCCCTCGCCCCGACTCCCGCCTCTCCCACCTCCTTCCTCTCTCCAACCGAACGCGCCAAGATCTTCCTCGAAGTCCAGATCCAGAATCACTGCGATTCGAGCATGTGGTTCGAGCGAATGCGGTTCGAGACGCTTCCCGGCTTTACGCTGGCGGATCAGAACGACGGGTTGTACGAAGGTGCGGAGGCGCTTCTCCCGCCTGGCGGGTTGCGGCAGTTCTTGTACATCCTGCAGGCGGGACCTGAGGTGCCGATTGTTGCGCCGGGAGCGTCTCAGGGACTCGGACGGATAGATATCGGGTGGCGGACGAGGAACGGCGAACTCGGCAGGTTGTTGAGCTCGACGCTGGGCAGGCGCGTCCCGCAGATGCCGAATCCTGCGGCACCAGTAGCAGCGACTGATGCGGCAACAGTGCGTTCGGGACGGACACTGCCAGTCGGCATGTCACCTGCTCTGCCGCCCATCCCGATGCAGGACGGCTCGACGGCTGCTCCCATCCCGCCTTCCCTACCCTCAGCCGATGGCCTCGCCTTCGACCTTACCCTCTCGTCGATCCAGTCGACCGAATCCGACTCGTCTTTCTGGCGAGACGAACCCTTCTCCGTCAACCTCCGCCTGACCGTCTCCTCCGTGCCTTCTCCCAACCCTCGACCACGTCGCCGGCTCCGACTAGCGGCGCAGCACGTCCAGTGGCACCCCTCTCCCCTCTCTTTACATTCTCAAGCGCCAACGACTGTTCTGCAACCCCGCCTCGCCTCACAGCCTACCGCGACTCTCAGCCTTCCTGGCTCACTGCCCGTCTCTCAGCCCCTTAGCGCCCCACCATCCGTCACCTCCCTACAGCAACAACAGCACCTCCGACCCTCCACAGACTCGCTCTCCCGTACCTCGCTCGACTCCATCCGCTCTAGCGCTTCACCAGCTCCACCCCTTGCCACTTCACCCTTCGACCCTCTCCCAGTCCTGCACGGCATCCAACTCCCCCGCTCGGTTCCGATCCGAGCAGGTCCGCCTATCGGTCCTCTCCCCTCTCCAGGCGTGATGCGACTAGGCAGCGAAGTAGTCGATTCAGGCGAGGTGGTTCTGGGAGACGAGGAGGATGCAGAAGCGGTGAAGGAGTTCAGGGTGCGGTATGTGCCGCTCGAGACGGGCCTGATTAGGGTTGGAGGATTGCGGGTGTTGTTGCTCGAGAATGAGGAGGATAAGGAGGGAGGGTTGGAGGTGGAAGCGGCGGGAGAGCGAGGGGAGCGGATGGCGAGCGTCGTGTGGGAGACGGAGACGATTGCGGAGGTGTGGGTGGAGTAGACGGCCCAGCTAGGGTACACGACCCGAGTAAACGACTTTCGAGACTGCCTGAGGAGGAGAAGGTGGTCTTCTCGCCTACCTTTCGTTGCGCCGCTCCTAGCTACTCAATGAGAGCTGTAAAATACAGCAAGCAAGTCAGCGCAAAGCCTTAGCGATGTCGAGGTTGACCCTCTCTCGCCGGCGCTCACCGCTTGCCTCAGGCAGCTCGCGCGACAATGGCTTCACGGACATCGACGGCGCTCGGGAGGACACTGCTGTCTGGATCTTGCTCGTGCAGAGCGCCTGCACGCGTCCACCTCGGTGCGCTCGCTTTCCCTGTGCCGCTCTCCCACCTTTTTTGCCCGTCGACTGATGGAGCTCTCCCCGCTCGTACACAGCTCGCCTGCAGTCTAGCGCGGCAGCAGCAGACGCACAATCAGCAGCATCGACTTCCCCAGCCCCCTCTCACCGCGTCGTCGCCTCCGCCCTCCTCTCTCGACCCCCTCTCATCCTCCCCCCGCTCTCGCCTCTCGAACGCTCTTACTACGCCTACCAGCGCCGCATTCACCGCGCACTCGCAAAGCCAGCGAGTGTCTCACAGTCATGGTTCTTCAAGAAGGGCACGCAGGCGGAGAAGTCGTTTGTCGAGTTTGAGAAGCGGGTCGCGAAGGAGGAGGAGCAGGGTGACCTTGAGCAGATGAAGGCGTTCGAGATGGCTGCTGAGGAGGTCGAGGGTGCGCCTGACTACGTGCCGCGCGAGACGGAGGCGGACAAGAAGGGCGATGTTACGAGTCTCGAGCGGAAGGCGGACAGGACGCTGTACCTCCTCCTCAAGAAGAACCGGAAGGAGCACGCATGGCAGTTCCGTGCGTCCCGTCTTCTCTCTTCAGCCTTCGCTAAGCTGATCGGCTATGTGCGCGCAGCCCAAGGAGGTGTTGAGGGCGAGGAATCGTTGCTCGAGGCGGCGAAGCGGGAATTGCACGAGGAGACGGGCGTCAACGTTGATGTCTGGCCGTCGGGACGAGTGCCTGCCGGTGCCTACACCTACCCTTTCCCGGCCGAACACAAGAAGAAGCACCCCGAGCACGAGGGCGCGAAGGTGCGCCGCTTGATCTCCCTCGTACCTGCCTGGCCGTCTCACTAAGCCTCATGCACCCGCAGGTTTTCTTCATGCCCATGCGCATCATCCGCGGCCAAGTTGAGCCTAACAAGCAGGAGGGCATCGTCGACTTTGCGTGGCTGACGAAGGAGGAGGTCAAGGAGAAGGTCTCGCCGGAGTATTGGGAGGCGGTGGAGCCCATGTTGTCCGACTACTAGAGCATATCGACGGGGACGGTTCGGCGAAGGCGCGCAATGCACATTCTTCAGCACTCAAGACGATGGGCACTTCCTGGCATGTCCTGCTCGTCCTGCTCGGGGGCCACAATCTAGGTTGCGTGCGAGTGTCTAGCGCCATTCATCCCGTGCGTCTACAGCTTCCCGTCAAGGTGCACATCCTCCAGCCTGCCCAGCTCGAGATCTCCCTTCTCCCCTCCAGTCCAGTCGCTCTCCACCCGCTCAAACTTGACCGTATACGGCCTCGGGCTCGCCACACTCGGCTCAATCTCATCCACCCTGCGCTCCTGCTCCACCGCGACATGCACGGACTGTTGCTGTCCCTGCGAGACGAGACCTGCGCCGGTTGTCGAGCGGCCAAAACGAGAGGAGGAGCCGCCAAGGGCTTTCGAGCGACCGGTTGCGCCGGGGTTGGATTCGCTGAAGTGCGCAGAGTTCTCGCCTGTTGTGTGGCGGGCGTTGAGCGAGATGACGACGGACGCGATGTAGATCTTCGCTTCCTGGAAGCCTGCGAAAGCAGTTGCGTCAGACGATACCGTGCGACGAGAACCTTTCGTAGAAGAGGGAGTGAGAGCCAGGGCGAGAGAACCACTTGCCGATGATGGCGTCTACGAACGAGTGAGAGTAAGTAAGCGCGAAGTTGGAGGAAAGGACAAATGCGACGGCACTCACAGTTCATGTCCTTAATAGTGTGAACCATCATTGCGAGCGTGACAGTCTGGAGGCAAAGCGAGACGGCGTTCGTCTGGAACGTCTGGATGGCGAGACGTCGAAGTGGCGACTCGACAACTTGGGTCTTCCTTACGTTGACGCCGTTCAGGCGAGGAGCGATGATGAGGTAGTAGGTCATGCCGGCGCTGAGAATGAGAGGTCAGCTGCTGGGGAAAGGGCGTGACACTGTCGGACCTACGTGATAAGAACGTCTGCGGGAGGAAGGTCGTGAGCACCGACCTGTCACGGAGTTGCCGAGCGAGCCTACCTGTACCGAGACCTGCGCCGAGCCAAGCAAACGGAGCTTGCTGTGAAGAGAAGTGCAAAGTCAGGCGAGCCAGCGAGAGAGCGAAAGGACGAAGTCGAAGACTCACTCGCACGTTGCCGAACTCAGGGAACCATACTTCTTCCGCCATTGCCGCAAACATGTACATCCCGCAGCCTATGCAGCCAAAGTCAGCGACAGACGGAGAGGGAGAGTCGGACGGAAGACAGTTGCTCACCCATTGCGCCGAGTTGGAGCATGCAGACTGCGCCGCACAGCAGCCAATTCTTGCGGCCGCTGATGATCCAGATACGCCAGCTGGATGAAGAGGTCGGTGAGCAAGGTCCTACACCGGGAAGGAGCAGGAACACGCACTTGAAAAAGATCTGAGCGGTGAAGACGGTGCACGCGCTGCTCGTGGAGGGTCAGCATACGCTCACTGCATGTGATAAAGAACGAGACAGACGTGATGGCGGTGAAAGCCATGAACTCGCGAGGCAGCCGGTAGGCGTTGACTGGGTCAAGCTGGCCATTGATCGCGTACGAGTAGGTCCAGGCGATCTGGGTGGCCGTGTCGGCGAGGAGCGCAACGAGGTAGAAGCCGACCAGGATGCGGAACGCCCAACGGTCGCTCTTGCCGTATCTTGCGAAGTACCGGCAGATCAGCGAGGTGACCAAGCCGGCGAAGAGGCAGGAGATGCATGTGCCAACGAGCTGGGAGAAAGTAAGCAGTGTCAGCTCCGGTTGTAGAGGGCGAAAATGCACACGGAAGCACACGCACGACGGGCATCGTAAAGGCCTTGACGAAGTAGTGGATCTGCGCGATCATTTCGGCTGCCGCATCGGCGCTGCGGGTGGCAGCTGTACTGGCATCCGACATCTTGACAGTCGGCAAGCGAAGAGGACGGGTGAGGATGAGAAGAGAGGAAGACCCAGGAGAAGGGTGAGAAGGCTGGAAGCGTGGCGAGAACGCCGCAAGGCGCCGTCGATCTTCGCTGCCAGCTCGCGTCGGTCAGCATGTGGCTGCATTGATGAGCGGCGCGAGCGAGAGGAGCGGTCGAAGCTTCGAACAATGTAGCGGCACAGACCGCTGGTCTCGCGTCGGTTTCGCCTCACTCCCGGCGGGGTAGCATGCGGTGGGAGAGCAATGAGATTGCTGGGCGAGCAGGAGTGCCTGTAACGCTCGTCCAGTCCAGCCAGCGAACCGCGTTTCCCCTCCTCCGACCGATCCGCATTCGCCGTCCTCGCTGCGGCCGCGCCAGCGCACCTGCCAGTCATCCCATCTTATCTCTCCATCGCTGAATAGAGTCGCTAAGGCCCGGCGTCGGTTGACGGCCGTCGAAGCCGGGTCGCGAAGGGGTTCGAGGAGGAGGAGGGTGCGGCGAGTCGCTCGAGCGAGACGCGGTGCGGGCGCGGCAGCACGTTCCGAGACGTTGTGGAGTAGTCTGAGCTGGATATCGGCCCGCATAGCCAGGTTGCGGTCGGCAGCGAGTGTCTGGAGGAGGCGAAGAGGGGAGATCCACTTTCTCGCCGACGCCAACGCTCAAGTACACCTGCGCTGGGCTTGCGAGTCTCGCGAACGGCCTCTCAGCACATCAAGGACGAGCTCCACCGGCCTACTGGCTCCCGCATCGTCCTCACCCCGCTCAACGTCCTCCTCGATTCGCTGCAGCTGATGAGGGCAGGCAAGGCCAAGTAGCTGTGCTGGGGCTTTGTGACTGCTTCAGACATGCTCAGACGATGCTCAGAAACCGATTTGCTTCGGGACAGAGCCCTGCCTGACTTCCGTCCGCCTCAATCGCCTCTCCCGCCAGACGACAGCCGCTCTCTCGCTCTCTCGTGAACAGCAGAAGGCTCGAGTATGAAAACGGTCTCAAAGAATACTTGCGAACGATGGTACAATGATGGACCAAACGAGTGACGAGGGTGAGATGTAGAGCAACAGGAGGGGGACAGAAGAAAGACAGCTAGGGAACCGCCGCACAACGCCTCAGATCTTCTCGTTGATGCTGACGTCCTCCAACCGACCAAGCTCGACGTCGCCCTTCTCCGCCGAGCTCCAATCGCTGTCGGCGCGGTCGAACTTGACCGTATAGGGCCTCTCCGTCTCGCCAACCTCGACCTGCTGTTCCCGCTCGACATGCACGTGCACCGACTGCTGCTGCGGCTGTGAGGCGATACCGGTGCCGATCGATGAGCGGTTGAAACGCGAGCCGAAGCCTTTCGAGCGGCCTGATGCGGTCGGGTTGGATTCGGAGAAGTGCGCCGAGCGGTCGCTTGTCGAGTGGCGTGCGTTGAGGGAGATGACGACCGATGCGATGTAGATCTTGGCCTCCTGGAAGCCGGAGATGGAGTCTGCGCGACGAGGGCGGGTCAGCGAATCAAGACGCAGCGAGGGACACGGAAAGCGAACAGTGGAAAGTGGTGATCTTCATAATTATGAGGACGAGCGAGGTTGTCTGGATGCATAGCGAGAGGAAGTTGGTCTGGAAGGACTGGATGGCGAGGCGGCGGAGCGGAGACTCGACGACTTGGTGCTGGCGAGCGTTGGTGCCATTGAGGCGGGGCGCGATGAGCAGGTAGTAGGTCATGCCGGCGCTGAAGGCGATGCATGTCAGAGAGCGGTCTTGGGGAGAGGAAGACGCAAGCTCACGTGATGAGTACGTCTGCGAGAAGAGGAAGGTCAGCGGGTGCAGAGACGATTGAGAAGCAGCGACGACGCACCTGTGAAGAGTCCTGCTCCGAGCCATGCCCACGGCGCTTGCTGTGAGAGCGTACGCAACGTATGAGCCGCGCTTCGAGCAGCGGTAGGAGACTGGACGTACTCGGACCTGGCCAAACTCAGAAAACTGCTTCTTCACCGACATCTCGTAAAGCATGTAGCAACCGCACGCTGTAGACCGACGTTAGCGTGCAGTCGGCTCGAGGGGCGGAGGAGAAACGTACCGAGGGAACCAACTTGGATGAAGCAAATTGAGCCGCACAGCGGCCACTGCGTGCGACCCGAGATGACCCAGATGCGCCAGCTGCAAGTCGGGTGGGTCAGGACGCGTCGCTGTCAGAACGCGAGAAGAGAAGACACACTTGAAGAAGATTTGCGCTGAAAAGACGGTGATGGCGCTTTCCAGGTACGGGTCAGCGAGCCAGCACGAGTAGAGAGAACGAATGGCAACGCACGTCAGGACGGTGTACGCGGCGAAGCATTTCGGCATCAATAGAACGCTGGCGGGATCGAGCTGGCTCGTGATGGTGTAGCCGTAGCACCAGGCGATCTGCGTCCCTGTGTCGCCTAGCAGCGCGAGGAGGAAGTAGCCGACGAGTATGCGGAACGCCCAGCGATCGCTCTTGCCGTACCGTGAGAAGTAGGTGAAGATGGTCGAGAGGACGAGGCCGGCGAAGAAGCAGGAGAGAGTCGTCGCGATGAGGATTGGGACGCCGAATTGGACGACGAAGAACTTCTGCTGGGCTGCTGCTGCCGCTGCGATTTGTGCTGGGTCGGTCAGGCCTTTGCCTGCATCCATGGGTACGACGGACATGTCGCGAGGCGGTGCGTGGGGGGTTTTTTCGAGGCGGGGAGGAGAAGGTGGAAGGGAGAGGAGGATCGTCGGACGAGGCGGCGAGAAGGGAAGAAGGGACGAGCGGGCCGGTGCTGCAGTGAGAACAGCGCCAAGCTCATTAGCGGGAGGCGCCGCTCACACAACCTTGCGGACGCTCCCCCTCGATGGCCAGGGCAGGGAGGCGCGAGCGAGGATGAGGAGGCTGAAGCTGAGCAATTCCGGCCAATTCCGGCTGAGACAGCACAGTACCGCGTGCTCAGGGAAGCTTCTGCAATCTGCCGTTATTCAACCCGCGTTATCCGCCAACCGCGCAGGCGAACAAGGCATCGAGGCGAGGTGCGTTCGTCTCCCATTGTGCGCCTTGACCGTCCTCTCGCGCCGTCTCCCGGTGGGTGCGCGAGTCCATCCCGTACGTTGCAGGATGAAGCAGACCGAGCGGAATGTCCGCTTGAACGAGTCGGGCCGGGGAGTACAATGAGGCGAGAACGAGCGAAGCAGGCTGATTGGCGCGAAGAAGCGGTGTGCGCGGTACCAGACAGGCTCAGCGGTGCGAATGAGCGTCCACAAAGACAGCGAGCACTAGCATGCGTTCAGAGACGCGACGTCAGCGAGGTGGTCGAGGACAAGGGAGGCGAGGACAGGACTTGGTCTTTGTCACTGCTCATCCCCGCTACAAACGCTTTCCGGTTGCTTGTGACGATCGTCACTTGCTTTTGAGCGTCTCTGGCTGCCTCTTCCCTGGTCCAAACGCCGCCCAAGGCCGCCGTCGTCTCCTGAAGTGGGGACGACCGCTTGCAACTGATTAGGAGAATACAGGTGCGCACGCGCTCGAGGGATGCTCTGCGAACGCTGCTGATGTTCAGAAGACCCATAGCACCCCGCCATGTCGACCAAAGACACGCTGCGCCAGCTCACCCGCCTCTTCTCGACCTCTCCCTCGTCGGCGACCCCCGTCCAGCAGTCGTTCCCCGGCTACGCCCTCCCGCCCGAGGTCGACGAGCTCCTCAACGAGCACCTGCGCGCGTTCGCATCCGCTTTCCCGCTCACGAACGCCGGCGGAAGCGGATCAGGCCAGTCGGAGGGCGAGCGCGAACGGATCCGTTGGCGGGAAGGGCTGCTCGAGATCTGGGCGACGGCAGAGCCTCTTCCCGGCGCAGAACGAGAACTTCACAACATTGGCCGCGTCTCGGCGTTCCTTCTCCTCCTGCACAAGCTCAGCGCGGATGTGGGGAACGACGACGACTCGGCCTTGATCAGTCGGAAGGACATCGGGTCGGTCTGGTGGAACGCTATCTTGAGGAGGACGATGTTAGGGACGCCGAAGGAGGCGGACGCCCCTGCGCTTGGGGCGAAGCCGTCCCAGACGCGAGGTCGTAAGACGGAGCGCGACCGCAAGGGCAAGGAGCCAGCACCTCCATCGTCTGCAGACGCACTGCCACTGTACGTGTCGCGACAAGCGCTCGCAGCGGCGACACGAATGATTGTCTGGGGCATGGAGCCGAGTCGGGAGCAGGCGGATAAGGAGGAAGATTGGGTCTCGCCTTTCGGGCTTGCGATACTGAACGAGTACGAGGACCGGTCACTTGCGAAGCTGAAGGGACTCGACGAAGGTTACGGGATTCGGAACTTGGAGGAATGCCTGATCGAGTGGGCGGAGCGCGCGCCGAAGGTATGCCTGCGCATTTCGCTTGCTGACTCGTTGCGTTAGCCCAACTAACCCTTGTCCTTGCAGGCCTTCTTCACCCGCATCTCACCCTACCTGGAACCGAACGGGCCGGCCGTCCTCCCCTCCGTCTCCCTCATCCTCTCGTACCTGACCCGCAACTCGACAAAAGCCTACCACGCGCTCTCCACTCCTCTCATCGCGAATCTCATCATCGTCGCACTGACAACTACATGCTCCGCGATTGTCAACCTCGCTTCGAAGTGCCTCGCCATTTGCGTCGTGACGCTGCCGGTCATCATTGGCGAGCACCTGTTCGGCATCATGGCGGTGTATGGACGGCTCGTGTCGTGGGAGATGGCGCCGGACGTCGGTGACGAAGGAGAGAAGCTGCCGACCGCATCGGAAGGTGCGGAACGGAACCGCCTCTTCCCGTTCTCCGAGCTGATATGTTCCTCAACAGACGCTCAGAACTTCCTCGACGACTACGAAGAAGCACCGCCCGACCCCGTCACCCTCTTTACCGTCCTCTACGGCATCTACCCGCGCAATTTCGCCGCCTTTATTCGCGATGCGCCTGGTTACTTGCGCGAGAAAGGCTGGAAGGGCGCGACGGGCGACGGAATGATTGATCTCGTCTCGGGTATTGTCAGGGAGAAGAGCGGGGTGCGTTGAGCCGTCGTGGAAATCGCAGCGCAAGAAGCTGACCATGCCCTTCGCAGCCGATCCTGCGCATGCACACGCTCAACCCCGCCCTCTTTCAAGGCGAAGCGGCGCTCGAGCTGACCGACACGGAGCGCTGGTCTCGACTCGAAGCGGCCGACGTGATGGCTGCATGCGATCGCAACGTCGTCCTTCTCACGCCCGGCATGGCGCAAGACTGGCGAGGCGTGCCGATACATGCAGACCAAGCCGTCTACGAGGCCGAGGTCACTTCTTTGAAGCGAGCGCCTGCTTTTCAGACGCTTGTCGAGGGCACGCCGCTCGAATCGACCGCGCCGACGCCGAAGCCTGCCTCGCCCGGTCCTTCGGCGCCTGTCTCGCGGGCGGCTTCGAGGGTCCGCTCGCCGACGCCGACATCGCAAGGCAGCACACCGACCTCGACTCGCGTCTCGACTCCGCACATGCCGGCGACAACCCACTTTGCCAACTTCCAGGCGCTTCAGTCTGCCGGCGCTCTCGCATCTCCCGCTTCGATGTCGCCTGCTCGACGCTCGGGCTCTCGGCTGCGCGACCCATCGCACGGCGACCCGCACCCTTGGCCGCCCGTCTTCGACCCAACAGTGTCGAGTGTCGGACCTAGCTCGATGTCGCGGCGCTCATCAGGCGTCGGCTCAGCAGGGACCGGCATCGGCTTGCTCTCGCCCGAGCTCATCCCGTTCGGCAGTACGACAGCCGGCACATCGATCGGTCGAAGCGCATCGCCTCTCCCACCAACGCTCACCACGGCGCAGCTTAGCGCACACCTCTTGCGGCTCGAGACGGAGCTTGTCTTGCTCCACGGCGAGGTCAACTTCCAGAGTTACCTCAAGCAGCTGCATTTGCAGCATATGGGAACGCTGCATCGCGAGAAGGTGCTCGAGTCGGGTGCCGAGGCGGAGAGGCAGGGCTTGGTGCGTTCGCTTCCTTTCGTCCTGCCGAAACTCTCGCTGACCTGGCCCCGCGCAGTTCCGCACAGTCCGCACTCTCCGCGCGCAGCTTCGAGCAACGCAGAACGCGCTCGACCAGCTTCGCTCCGAACAGTCGGCAACCAAGGCCAACTGGACCGCGCACATCAACGACCTGCGCGACAAGCTCGCCGGCCTGAGGGAGGCCAAGATGAAGTGGGAACATGACGAGAAGGTCTTGCGCGCTGAAGTTGAGGACTGGAAGGACCGGTGCGAGAAGAAGAGCCGCGAACTCGAGACGGAGGGTGCTGCGTGGGTCGCTCTACTTTGCCTTCGTCTCGGGCGCTTCTGACGTTCGTTTCGCAGCTTCCTTGACCTCAAGAACCAGAACTCGCTCGACGCCGGCAAGCTCGCCAGGATCACCGAGTACGAGCACCGCATCCAGGCGTTGACCAAGACCCTTGCGATCTGGTGAGCCCTTTTCTTCGCTCTGTCGCAGAACTCTCTGCTCATGTTTCTTTTGCAGCGACGCCGACCTCGTCAAGTTCGTTGACCAGCGCAAGGAGATGAACCTGCTCGTCGGCGAGTACAAGAAGAGCGAGTACCTGCGGGAGGCGGTCGAGGCGGAGTGCAGGACGCTTAAAGAGTCTCTCCGGTGCGTACCACCCGCTGGTTGCGCCGTACGTTCGCCGTCTGACCCCGTGTACCAGGTCGATGGAGAACGAGCTCGCCGACGTGCGACGCCGCGTCTCTTCACCCCCTCTCCCCGACTCGACTCTCGTTGCCGCGCCTGTCGCCTCCAAGGACGAGCTTGCGCTGATGCGGCGCGAGATGGAGCGACTCCGCGCACGGAACGCAGAGCTCGAGGAGCGCCTCGCGGACGTGCTCGACGAGGAGGATGAAGGTGCGGGGCCTGGGCGGCTTCCGAGGGAGCTCATCTCGGGCGCGGACAGCGTAGCGACTGCTTGAGCGCACTGCTATGCAGGCTTCCAGTCGACGTCCAGCGCTTCCTGATTGGCCAGCGGGAGGGTCAGCTGATCCATCCGCCGTTGACCTCGCACCAAACTGCAGATCATGCTGGGGGCACTGGGGGCAATGGGCGCGTGCAGACCCTGGGGAGAAGTGGGGCAACCAAGATAAATGGTTGGCCGCTCACTCTCCTCCTCCTCCTTCGAAGCTGGCATTATCTCTTCAGCTTTCCTCGCTTCGGTTACTACCTCGTCAGTCAAAGATGGCGCTCGTCGACGCTACTAAAGATCTCAAGGCGAAGATTGCGACTGTCAAGAGCATCAAGCCTGTCGCCAAAGACCTCGCCATCGTTGATCCTCTCCCGACCGACGAAGAGTGGCTCGCGATGAGTCCCGAGCAGCAGGCGGCATACAAGCAACGCTATGGCATTGAGGACAACAGCGACGACGACGAATCGGAGGTGGAGTGGGCGGACCACGCTCCGCAGTGGTTTCGCGACGATTACGCTCGTTGTCGACGTCGATACAAGGCGGCCCGCGATCTTCTAGCGCTGACCGCTGCGCACCAAGCAAGAACTATGCGGGAATACCAGGAGCTTGTGAAGGAATGCGAACTCCGCTCCGCCGCTCTCCGTGACCTTCGTCGCGCTGGACACCGTGTCGGACGACTCCTGGGAATCGAAGACGACGACGACCTGCTCCAATACGACGAGGACCAAGACGAGGAAGACGAGGACTACGACGAGGACAGCTTCGAGGGAAACTCGTAGGACTTCCTCCACGGGATCTTGGCGGCGCGAAGGGAATTCACAGATTCTCGGGGGTGCCCCGGTTCAAAGCGTGGATAAGCGGGATGCAGGCAGTACACAATCTCTTTTCCGTCGTTCTGTAGCCCCTTCATAGCTCAGCAAGCAACGCTGCCTCAGTTCCGCTCGCCTTTCCCTTCTTCCAGACCCGCTCGTGGAAATGGACATCTTAAGAAGCTGCGTTGCGAGCGCGAACAAGTACAACAACACTCCGTTTAACCGTCTATCCCGCCGCCTGCTCTATTCTGCCGCCCAGCCCTCGCCCGTCCACAGCCTCATCCGCATCAGCGCAACAACGAGGGGCACAACCGCCTCTGCCTTGGCCTGCTCCGCCTCGTCGTACCGCGACGGATCAAGGTCGATCAACGGCGCGAAGAGGACGTAGAGGTCGCCCTCTCCGCGCGGTTCTGCAAGCGTCGCAACTGTGCTTCCTGGACCTACTCGTCGTCGAGCGAGACGCCGCTGGAGGAGGGAGACGACACCGTCGAGGTTTGCGCGTACGTTGGCGAGGAAGCGGTCGGCTGCGGGAGTCGGGTCGTCGTCGGCGTATCTGGGCCATATTGGGAGTGAGTTGGGGTGGACGACGACCGAGTCGAAGAAGGGCGCGAGGCGGAAGTAGGGTATGCGCCGATCTGTCAGGGTGGGGAGGAAGGCGGCGACTTTCGTAGAGGGGGCTGAAGCGTTGCTTGGGGATGGAAGAGGCGAGAGGTCGAGGATGGCGGCTATTCTTCGAGTCGTTCCGGCGAGATGTGCTTGCCACAGCTCCTCCAGTCCTTCTCGCGTCGTTCTCCGGACAGGAATGTCGTCCTCGTTCTCGATCCACGCGCCCTGCCACCCCTTCATCCGTCCCGCCATCAGCTCCGCCTCCTGCACCACTCGTCGAACGAGGTGCGAGTGCGTCTTGATCCCGATCGTCTTTGGGTCCATCGCAGCCGACGCGTGTAGTCGTTTGTAGGCGCCTACGAGATGGAAGTGAGCGCTTCTTCACCAGCCTTCACTCATCTCGCGAACGCACCCTTGTTAGCCAACCGTTCGACCGCGCTTCTCCAGCAAGCAACCCACATCCCCTTGCCCGTAGTTCCCTGTGAGCGGTCCTCGAACCGGCTGTGCATCATTTTGGCTGGCTGGCAGACGAGTCGAGGAGCGGGACCTGAGGCGGTCGCAGGTGACCGGGTCAGTTCGAAGCGGACCATCATGTCTGTCGGCGGGCGCAACATCAGCAACTTTTGCGTCGTCCTGAACGAGCTCGACAGCTGCGCACCGCTCGGAAGGACCTTCTGCGTCAGGATGCACCGCCGCAGAGGGGAAGAGAGCATCTTCACTGCGTCGATGACCACGAGACGGGTCAGCGCGCTCGTAGAAAGTCTTTACAGAGCTCAAAACGCACACTGAGGGTTATATAGCTCCGCCCCAAGCGGTGCGGGCTCGTCCGTCCACTCTCGCCGTCTCCAGGTTGATGAAGAGCTGCCGTCGCCGTCAAAGATCGAGGAGCGGGTTCGCGGGTGTCTAGCAGCATTCAGACATGCTTCAGACAGCCTCATGAGGCAGCACCAGCCGAAGGAGCGAGAGACGGCGCGACAGTCGGGACAACCTCAGGCTGCCCTCCCCGCCGAGGGTTTGCCTCCGCTACTTCACCTCTTCCAGCTGCTAGAGCGATGCAGACCGCTAGAAATGCTCCAAAGGTGCGTCTCGACTGTCTCCAGCCGAATCGCCCCCGCCCACTCATCCCGCAACTCTCCCACAGCTGCGGCTCCTCACACGATCCTGTCACCGCTGCTCATCGACGCTGCGAACCGCTCAGACGCCCCACCCTGCTCTCACAGTCTACTCAAACTACCTCTCGGCCGCCGAACAATCACTGCTGCTCAAAAGCTCGCTCCGCCTGCTCGACTCGCCTTCTCGCACGACTTCGGCGGGGAGGAAACGGCGGCGGGAATGGGTCAAGGCGAACCCTGAATGGGATGGGCGAGGGTTCATGGCGGACGAGGCGTATGCGTGGGAGGAGGGACACTTTGACGGCGTCATCAAGCAGTATCGCGAGATGCTTGTCAGGGACGGAATGTGGGAAAAGGTGGCTGCCGGAGGTGCGTCGCGCGCGTGCGATACCTTTCTCCGCTCGTTGACGAGATCTTTGATTCGCAGACGAGAAAGCAGGCCTCGCCGAAGCGCTCGAAAAGGTCTACTCCCTCCTTCCGCCGTCCGAACCGCCTTCTCAGCCATCGTCTTCTTCCTCCCCACCGCCACACCTAATCATGCACCTCCTCCACCTCTCCTCCCGCGGCGCCATCTACCCGCACGTCGACAACCTCGAAGCGTTCGGACGAACTATCGTCGGGATCAGTCTCGGCGGTGAGCGGATCATGCGCTTCAAGCAGGTCAGTGAGCCGCGCGAAGGGACGGCCAAGGACGGACCGAGCGAGTTCGAGGTCTTGCTCGAGGCGGGGAGCGCGTATGTACAAGCGTGAGTCTGCTCCTTTCGCTGCTGCGCGCACTAGCAGCTTGATACTGACGTGTGTGCGTTGCAGCGAGCCGCTTCGTACTCATTATACGCATGAAGTGCTGGAGAAAGGCGAGTGGGAGGGCAGGACAGTCGGCGGAACGCAAAGATTGAGCATCATGTTGAGGGTAAGTTGTCCTCACTTCCTCTCGCTCTGCGAAGTTTTCACCGACGTCTCCGCTTTGCAGGACCGCCTGCCGACCAAGCCCGGCCACATGCAAGTCTAGATGGCACGTCTGATCTGCAATCTACTGCTCCTCTCGTTCTACTCCGGCTTCTCGAGGCCGTTCTCCTCCGCTCTTAGCCATTCCGAACCGAGCGCCATCCGCACGTGCTCAAGCTTGGCGCGTACAGCTTGCCTGTTCCCGCCTCGCGCCTCGAGGTAGTACTTGATCTGCGTGAAAAGCGGGTGAGCATTGGTGAGGCAGAGAAAGCGGGAGATAATGCACCTTCGGCTCCGTCCCGCTCGTCCGTACAGTCCCAACAACCTCAACGCCATCGCCCGACTCAGTCTCGCCTAGCGAGAACGAGATCATGTGCGCCGAGCGGTCCACAGGCAGTTTCGGTTCATAAGTCGGCGGGTTGGTCGAGTCGTAGCCGACGGTCAAGTCGCGGAGGGAAGTGAGGCGGAAACCGCCGAGGTGTGTTGGGAGGGAGAGCGAGGCGGGAGAGGCGGTGGATGAGTCGATAGAGGGGTTGCCGAAGCGGAGGGTGGAGAAGATGCGGTTCGTTTTGGCAGAGTCGCGGCAGATGAAGTAGCTGTTCAACGTCGCGTGGAAGCCGTATCTTCTCGAAAGATTGCGTCAGCTCCAGGTTTGTCCGCCAGGAGAGGATACAAAGACCGACTCGTAGTAAAGCGAATCGAGGTGAACCGTCAAAGGCTTGCCGAACCTAGCCAGCGTCGCAGCCATCTCTGCAAAGAGCGCGAGAGCGGTCACGCCGTCCTTGTCCTTGATGGACGTGCCGTTTGCGAAGCCAATCGCCTCCTCGTAGGCGAACCAAGGTGCGAAGCCTTGGTCTTCGAGCGCTTGCAGCTCGTTGCCAATCCACCTGGGATGAGCGAGCGAGCGAGCGTCAATACGGTGATGACAGCAGAGTCGGCAAGCGAGGAGAGACGCACTTGAAGCCCGTCAGCGTCTCTTCGAACCGGAATCCCTCCTTCCGCGCCATCGACCGCAGCATCTTCGACGAGACCGTCGACGCGCACATAGCAAGTTTCTCTGTTCGCACAAGCGGTGTCAGTGGACCCTTCCGCGACTAGGAGACGCGAGACGCACCGATCGGAGCGCCAGTCTGTCGGTAACGCTCAAGCGCGTACGAGCCGAGCAAAGCGCCGATTTGGTCGCCCGTAAAGATGGTCCACTTCCCTTGCACCTTCTCCGCCGCGCAAAACCGGTCTGCGCACAGGAAGTGAGTCAGGGTCTGCGTACCTGCCGAAGGAAACGGTCGAGCGCACCTGCGTCCGGGTCGTTCGCCAGTACCAACGTCGAGCCAACGTTGTCCGCATGCGCGATCGCAAGATCGAGGGCGCCCTTCTCTTCCGGGTTTGGGAACTTGACGGTAGGGAAGTCGGGATCTGGTTGCGCTTGTTCTTTGACGATGCTGACGCGGTCGCGAGAGAAACCGAAGGCGGACAGCGCATCAAGGGCGAAGGGGAGGCCGACGCCATGCATTGCGGTGTAGGTGAAGAGAAGGGAGGATGAAGCATTCGTGCTGGAGGTGGAAGGCGTCAGTTCGGCCGGCGGAGGGCTGAGGGGGCGGAAGGCACCTGGCATTCGTCGAGAGTTGCTTGACCATGTCCATATACTGCTTCACGAGCTCGTGAGTCCCGTCCCAGCCAGTCGCGTCCTTCGGAGGATCCCATGCACCCTCGTCGACATCGAGAGATTCGAGGATCGCCGCTGCGATGCCAGAGTCGTGCGGCGGAATGATCTGAATGGCGTTTGACCAGTAGACTTTGTAGCCGTTGTCGCGCGCTGGGTTGTGGCTGTGACGCGGACCGGAAGTCAGTCTCGAAAGTTACGTAGGGAGCACTGGTGAGCGCACCTCGCGGTGATCATGACTCCGACTGCTGCACCGAGTTGCTTGACAGAGAAGGGCACCATCGGCGTATGCACGAGGCCGTCCAGCTCATACACCCTCCACCCTCGCCGGCGGAAGACACCCGCCGTCAACCGAGCGAACTGCACGCTGTTGTGGCGGTGGTCGTGTCCGACGACGATGCCCTTCTCTTTCGCGCCCTCGATTGACTGCTCGGCATACTTTGCCAGTCCTTGCGAGGCTTGGAGGATGACGAGATCGTTGATGGCGGATGGACCGGTCTGCATGGGACCTCGCAATCCCGCCGTGCCGAAAGCGATGCGGCGCTGGATAAAACCGCGTGTCAAGGAGTGTTCCTGCGGGTTAGGGAACCTGAACGAACCGCAAAACGCTTCTCCAACTCGGCAAAGTCGCCTGCATTGACCAGGTTCTCCACCTCAGCTCGCGTTTCGGGGTTCTGGGTAGTGACAAGGTCAATATACGCTGAGATACGGTCTGAGAGCGGTCAGACGTACTCGGCTGCGCAGCGGAACAAGCAAGAGGTCCCCCGAGGTCAGCAAGTGGGGGAGGTGCGAGGGAAGAAAGGGACGCACTCGAGCCTGAGCCAGTCTGTGACAGCTTCGTTCAGCTTCGTTCGGTCCATAGCAGCCAGTCAGAGCGGGTCAAGCAGTGTGAGCAGGTTGTGGTCGAGGGCGAAGGAGCGGCTTGAACTTCGACGGTTCACCTCGCCGGCGGATCTCGCTTGCTGAGCTTGTCCAGCTTGTCACAGGCTCATTGGGAGCTCGCTTACTGATGCGGCTTGTCGGAACCGCCTCAGCAAGCTTGTTCGCCGCCCCTCATCCTCATCACTTGAAGCACTTCGAGTGGGTCGACAGAGGGCAGCACAATACAAACGGGCTGAGCGGCACGTATGCAGGACGCTAGAGCTGATCTGCGAATGCTGGCGCAGTTGTGGAGCCGAATGAGCTGGAGCGGACGAGATACGCCTTCCCTCTTCCTCTAACGCTCGACACGGGTCCTCCTGCGCGGTGCCGGCTGCTAGGCTTGAGCAAGTGCTGCCCCCGACGTCCTTGACGCGCTGAGCTTCCGCTGACCCACACACTCGCCGTTGGCTGCCTCTCCGCACGCCAGCCAAGTTAGACGTGCTCCGCTGCCAGTCTCTGTAGTCTCGTTCATACTGCTTGTCGAATGCGCTGGTTCACACGCTGCACTTTAACCCTGGATCTGGAACGACACCATGTCTGTACAAGGAGGAGTAAGACAGGTCAGCAGGGGACGAGATCCGCTTGCGCAAGGAAGTGCGCACCTGCTACTCGGTCCTTGACGACGCCATTGATCAACTCCATGTGCTCCGGGCACGCGCGGCTGTTCATGCGTCCCTTGTCAGCCACGGCTTCGACCCCAGTGCGCAGAGAAAGGGCGAACGCACTACTGGTGAAATTCTTCAACATCCTTCAACTTCCTGTACAGCCCGTATTCGTAGCCCGCTGCCCGCGCGTCGAAGATAGGCGGACCCATGACTTGGTCGGTGCCGTAGGGGACTTTGGCGAGTCCTTCGCGGCAGATGGGGAGGAAGGAGTCTTTGTCTGCCTGCGAGAGCTCCGGCTTGAGCTTGAAGAGGACTGTCGCCGGGTCACGGTGCAGGGCACAGAGCGTAGAGATGAGTGGACGAGTGCAGTCGATGACAAGGCGTAGTGGATCGAGGAGGAGGTGCAGAACAACCGTCAACGCCGCGCAACGCTCAGGGACAGCGAGAGCACGCACCAATGTGGTGAACAACCATGTTGAGCGTTCACGTGAGCCAGACGAGCGACCAGCGAACAGCAGAAGGACAAGCGAGATTACGAAGGCCAGCTCCCCACTCCGCCGGAACCGTCTCGCCGCATCCGGTCGACCGCGGGCGCAAGCCAAAGTCCGAAATAATATCGAGTCGACTGTGCAAATGGTCGTGATACAGCGATGAGAAGCTTACGTCGATACTGGCGCACCTGCAGCCTCCCGTACTCGGTCCGCCGCAACCTCGCCTGCTGCCTTCAGCTCCTGTAGTTGTAGTCCTCCGACGCGTGTAACGGGCGAGAGCGCAAGCCAGTAGACGTCTTGTACGAACGCTTGGTTGACAAGTGCTTCGATGCCTACGGTCGGAAGTAGGGTCAGCATGGCCGGCCAACGAGACTCAGGAGAGGAGAGTGCAGAACTCGCCACCGATGGGTTGCCAGCCGTGCTTCTCCGCGAGCTTGTACATGAGCGTGATGTGCGGCTGTCGACGGAGGAGGTCAGCACCGCGAAGGAGGTCGGGGAGAACAGCCTCGCAGCAACTCGCCTTGTACGCCATTTCGAGCTGCAGGCAAAGACCGTCAGCCAAATCCTCGACACATCCAACGAGAGGTACACACAAGTGGTCGTACACCCGGCCTGTTCCCGCTCGTCGCAAACACCTTCTCCGCCAACCTGTAAACGTTCTTCTCGCCCTCCGTGACCGGTTCAAACGACGGGATCGCCCCAACTCCACACGCGACTCTCTCTGCCTCTTCCTCCGTCCACTGCTCCTCCCGCTCGAGAGCCCGCAAGTCGTATTTGGCGAAAGAGGGCGTGGAGATGATTGCTGCTGTTTCCTTTGGGTCGCGGTTGATGAGCCAGAGAGGCGAGAGGCCCATCGTTGAGAGGGCGTAGACGGCTGCGCGGGTCGTTCCTCCTCCGCCGACTGTACGCGCGACGCAAAGTCAGGAGACGCGCAGCGAGAATCGAAGGAAAGCAGCACGCACTGATAATCGCGCTCCGTCCCTCCCCAAACGGTTTCGCCTTCCCCTGCTGCTCCAGCGGCAAGCTTGCCAACAACGCCCTCTTTATCCCATCAACATCCGTATTCCGTCCCTCCAGCGTCTGTCTCTCCTTCCCGCCCTCGACAACCTTCCCACTCACAACCACCGTGTTCATCGACCCAATCTCCTCCACTTCCGCCGCGAGTGAGTCCATGTACTTCAGCGCTTCGACTTTGTGAGGCATCGTCACTGCTGCCCCGGCGAAAGAAGGCGAACGAAGCAGTCTCTGGACTGAGCGGTCGCTGAATTTGGAGGTCTCGTGCAGGTGGTATCGGTGCGTCGCATCGAGTCCGAGTTGCTCAAAGACAATATTGTGTGCGAGTGGTGACAGCGAGTGGCCTGCACATCCATCGTCAGCCTGTGCTCGTCCTCGAGAGGGATGTGGGGAGGAGACGAACTGATGGGCGTGCCAAAGAGAAAGAACTCGCGCTGGCCTTCGACGGGAACAGGCATGTCGTCTTCGAGCATGTAGCGGTAGTACAGACCGGCCAGCACGACGGCTAGGGTTGAGGAAAGAAGGAGGCGCATGTGTGCGGAGGACAACCTCGAGAAAGGCGGAGCGAGGGTTGTTCTTTCTTCCATGCGGCGTTCTGGCTGCGTCAGCTTGACGTCAGCGAGGTTGAAGAAGGCCGACAAGTCGAACGAACCGCCGGGACGTGCGAGACGACGAGCGACCTCGCTTCGAAGCCTTCTCACGCTCAAGAAATCCAGTCCTCCTTCTCCTGCTCAAGTACTGCAATACACTCACTCATTCCGACTCCACTCTACTCGAACGGCGGCTCCGACCCAGTCTGCTTATCGCTCGCGACCTGCTTCGCAACCGTGTCGAGAATCTCCTGGATCGGGAGGTCCGCCTCGTCGCATCCGAGCCAGAGAAGTTGCTGCTCGATTCCTTGCCAGCTGTTGAGGCAGTCGGTGAGCGATGAGAGTGGGGGGAAGGGAGGAAGGGGACGCACATCATGGCTTGCTCTCCAGTCACGACTTTCCAGCCGGCGTCTTGCGCTTCGAGGTGACGAACGCTGGTCAGACAAGCAGAAGCGCAGAGGGAAGAAGTGTGCTCACCGATCTGTGCGAGAGGAGTCCAGATGTCCGGGTGGTAGCACCTGCGAAGCGGAAGAGTCAGTGTGGGGGCTGCGGCAGCCGGACGAGGACGACCCACATCTCCAGAATGACGCCCTTCTCCGGCTTGTTGCTGCATGCTCAACATGTCAGTGACGAGCGGAGACGAGCAGGAGACCGCGCGCACAAGAGGCACTCGGAAACTGCGCGAGCCCGCTTCTCTTCGGGCGTTGTAGGCGGGAAAGCGGGAACAGCCGAGACGATGTACGCTGCTCGAGTCTCTATCAACCTTCTGATCATTCCCCGGCGGCAAGAGACAAGCGCACCTGGCGCCTCCAGCTTCTGCGCCTCCTCAACAGTCTTGACATGCACAAGCTTCGGGTTAAACTTGCCCGTCGCGTTCTTCTTGAAGTCCGAGATGAACTGCTCGACCTCTGCATCGTCGCGGTTGACAACGTAGATGGGCGAACAGTTGAGCCATTGGTCGAGGGCGTAGACGGCGGCGCTGCGAGTCGTCGAGCGGTCAGCGGGAGACCTGGATGGTCGTGAATCGGGACGCACCGGCACGCTCCGCCTGCTCCAAGGACTGCGCCTGGTCGGACCTTGCCGGACTTGACATGCGAGTCGTCCGCCCTCAGCAGACTCTCTCGCACGCCCACCGAGCTGTGCAACCGCGGACAGTCAGCTCAGACTCTTCGCGCTTCGAGCGTGCGCACTCACTCGGTGTTGTGTCCAACGAGCTTGCGCTCCCCGTTTGGACCCTTGCGGATGATGACGGTGTTGCAGGCGCCGATGTTGCGCCCGTCTTCGGTCAAGTCGTCGAGGTGCTGGCAGATAGCGACCTTGTGGGGCCTGCAACGCGCTCCTCCATCAGCGAGAACCACTCCTCAAGAGCGGAGTAAACGCACATGGTCACTGCGCTCCCACAGCACTCCTCGCTCCTCACATACGCCAAGAACTCGTCCATGTCAGTCGACTCCATCTTGTAGTATTTCCGCGGGACGTTCGCGAGGCGAGTGATGGTGTTGTGGAGGAAGGGAGCGTAGGTTCCGTGCAAGGGGTAGCCGAAGAGACGGGAGGTTTTGGGCCCTTCGGCGCGGGCGGACTCGAGGGCGAAGGGGGACATGGTTCTGCGGGAGGCGTGTGCGGTATTAGCGCGCGGTTTGGGAGGCGTTGTTCGCTTGCGCTTCATGCACGCGGCCCGCACCCCGGCGCTGAGTGGGCCAGAGACGTCCGGAGGGAGACGAGGAAGCGGAGAACGCACAATAAGCGATGCGAGAGTCTGTGCGAGCCGCGGGACGGTACTGGCAGATAGCAGGAGTTGCTGTGAGGGTCGAGCGGGGTCGAGCGGGTGCAGGAGCGGGGTGAGAAGGGCGAATGGACGGGGAGAAAGAGGCGGAGGCAGACCGGGAGAAGGTTGAGCGCAGAGGGTTCGTCAGCGAGAAGGAGTTGGAGTCGTCACAGGGGTCGCACAGGGATTATCAGGAGCTATCGAGACTGTAGTATGCACACCAGAAGCGATGCGAGCGTTTGTGGTGACGAGTCGAAGTCGAAGGGAGGGTGTCCACGAGGGTCGTCCCTCTACACCTCGCTGTCGACCGCTTGACGGGATCTGCTTGCGCCCATAGACTCAGTTACAGACTCTGCTAGACTAGCGACTGCTTGGAACGCCGGTCCACGCCGCCAGCATCTCTCGACACCGCTTCATCTCCCCACAACCTCGTCCGACTCTCTCTCCAACACACACCGCCCGTGAAGGCCGCCGAGACGCCAGATGTCGACAAGTATGCACGGAAACCTAGACGTGGCGGAACTGCACCGATTTGCAGCCGAGGCAGCCATCCTCGCGGGCTCGTACCTGCGGGACCAGGCGCTCCTCCGCACGCAAGCCGGCGGGGCTAGCACGTCGCTGGACGACTCGATACAGATCAAGGAGAATGCGGCGGATATCGTCACGAAGGCGGATACGCACTCGGAGCAGATGATCACCGGGCTGATCAAGGAACGGTATCCGGATCACAAGTGCGTTGCGCTCGCTTGCTCTGCTGATCTACTTCGCTGACAAGCTGTACTCTGCAGGATCATAGGAGAGGAGAGCTACTCGGCTGGCGAGGAGAAGCGCTTCCTGCTAGACGATGTGAGTGCCGCGATCCTTTCCGCTCATTTCTTCCGTTCGCTGATCTCTCTTGGTCGCCTCGCAGGACCCTACATGGATCATCGATCCACTAGACGGCGTATGTCGGCTCTCGTCTATTGAGAGGATGCTCCTGATCACGTTCGGACTCGCAGACTGTCAACTTTGTTCACCTCTTTCCGACATGCTGCGTTTCAATCGGCTTCTGCGTCAAGTGCGCGCCCGTCCGTCGCCATACAGTCACCCAAGTGCTGATGCTGTCCCCCTCACAGCAAAGTACCGGTCGTCGGCGCCATCTTCGCCCCCATCCTCGGCGGACTGCACCTCACGAACGCCTCCGGGACGCTCTTCTCGGCCGCCAAAGGGCTCGGCGCCTGGTCCACCCCCATTCAATTCCCCTACGACCCGTCCATCCTCTCTCCTCCCGCCTCGACCTCCGCCATCCCTTCAAACCCCTCTCTCAAGCCTCAACCCTGGCAACACGCCATGCCGCTCCCCTACCTCCCACCTCAACCGCTCCCCTCCGACGCTCCAAAAGGCTGTCTCTACCTCTCAGAATGGGGCAAAGCGCGCCTCGATACGCCTGAATCGAACCTCTCGCGCAAGGTTACTTCGTTCCATAATATGGCGGCGGAGATTGGAGGACGTGGAGGGAAGGGTGGGATGGTGCATGGGGTCAGGAGTCTGGGGAGCGCGACGCTCGATTGTGTGTATGTTGCGACGGGCGCGGTTGATATCTTCTGGGAGGGAGGGTGAGTCCGGCTTCCTGGCGCTCGTCTGTTCTCGTGCAACAGCGCGACTCGCATGCGCTGCTGCCGAACCAATTGTGCGGTAGTTTGCCAAGCTGACATTGCTTTACGCTCGCAGATGCTGGGAATGGGTGAGGCTTTTCGCGTTGCCGTCGGCAGAGAAAGAGCGAGCCCCAATCGCTCTTTCGCGCCTAGAAGGTCTCGTGAGTGACACTCACATCTTGTTCACAACAGGATGTCTGCGCCGGCATCGTCCTCATCACCGAAGCAGGCGGCCGTGTCGTCCCCTCCGCCCCTCCTCCGCAATGCCTCTCCGACCCGACCGCCCCCATCCCCGACGCTGACCTCGGCGGACGCCTCTATCTCGCTGTGCGAGCGTGTGCAGACACGGAAGACGAGACGGGCAGGCAGGCGCAGGACAGGCTGGTGAGGGAGGTCTGGAGGAGGACTGTGCCGCTGAATTATTCGCGGCCGACGTAGGTATATGTTATTGCATCGCAAGGCTATGGAGCATGTCCAGGCGACACTTGCGAGGTGTTTGGGCGAGGTCGACTTGAGAGCACCGCCGCATCCGAGCTTCGACTCGCGCTGTACGCTCAACCTCGCTTGACTGGCTCGTTCGTGTGCTAGAACCCTCGCTACAGCTCACTGGAATCATGGTCAACCCGCGCCAACGCCGCAAAGCCCGCTCAGGGATCGCCAAAGGTCCGTCTCTTCATCTCATCAACGTGCGCTCTCACGGCTCGCTAACTCGCTGCATGGAGCAGCTTCGGCTTCGAAGCGGTCGCTGAAGAACCAGAAGAAAGTCACGATCAAGGGACCGGAGTTGCTTGTCAAGGGTTGGGACAGGAAGTGCGTTGGACGCGTCCGTGGGATGTCGAGGAGGATGTGCTGACCCGCTCTTTAATGCTTGCAGGAAGACTGTCCGGCAGAAGTGCGTCAACTCACGATTTCCTCTCAGTTGGGCCCGCTGACCGCTCTCATGTCGCAGCTACGCCGCACTTGGTCTCCTCCCCTCTTTGAACCCTCGCCAAGCAGGCGGTCTCGAAGCGGACCCTAACGTGACGCCCTTCGCCATCTCCGCCGCGACACCCGACACCCTCGAAGACCTCGAGCGATCTCTCGAGGATGATACGGAGATGGACGAGGACGACGAGGAAGAGGAGGAGACGGTGAAGGCGGACAAGGGGAAGGGCAAAGCGAAGGAGGATGCGCCGCTCAAGCCTGGTATGGCGCGGATCATCAGGGATGAGAAGGGGAATGTGGTCAAGATCATCGTTGGAGGCGAGAACGGAGAGGAGATCGAGGAGAAGGTTGTTGAGCCTTCACGGACAGGCACAGACTCGGACGAAGAGGACGAGGGAGAGTCGGAGGACGAGGAGGAAGAGGAGAAGCAGCCTTGGGGACCGCCTTTGAAGGACTGGGATGCGCAGCGGGCGCTCCAGCAGGAACATGGCAGTTTGGAGGGCGTCAGCAAGAAGAGCAAGCAGGGCATTCCGATCTTTGGCGCGCCGCTGGAAGTCGAGGCGAAGACGGACATTGTGCGGGGTGCGTCCGCTTCCACCCCTTTTCGCCTGGATTGCCCGACTGATTGCGCGTTCGCTCGCAGCACTGGAGGAACGCGCTTCGCACAAGACCAAGGTCATCCGGCACACCTCCGAATTTGAGCACGACTGGCTCGTCTCGCTCGTAGCCAAGTACGACGAGGACATCGGCAAGATGGCGCGGGACAGGAAGGCGAACGTGTGGCAGAAGACGCCCGGCGAGCTCAAGCGGATGTGCGCCCAGCTGTCGTTGCGGTCCTTCTGAGCTTCAGACTGACGATCTCTCTCGTGCAGGATCGCCAAGGCGGGCGGATTCGAGGCGCTGCGAGCGGAAGCGGCGGCTGTCGGGCGCTCGTAGACTCACCTTCTCCCCTCTTTCCGTACCGGCTGTCGCTTGTATTCCTCACTTGTTGCTTCACTTTCCTCATACTTACGCGAGGACGGTCGAGAGAAAAGCGATACAACAACAGTCGGCACAGCCAGTTCTACAGTACTCGCGCGAAGCCCTCAGCCCATCCTCCTGCCCGTCAACGCCCGGAAAGCCTGTCTCTCACACTCGCTCTGCACGTCCTTGACGCCCAACACCTGCCACCCATCCACAACCACATGCCCCGTCTTCCCATTCACCTGCGCGCCTCTGGCCCTCGCCCTTTTCGCCTCAATAGCATTCGCGAGCAACCCGCGCCGCGTACCAGTAGTAAAGGAGAGGTCGAGTGCGCATCCGCCTGTTGGCGAGGAGAAGAGGCTTTCGGGGAAGGGGCTGGGAGAAGAGGCGGGTGAGGCGGAGGTGCGGGGGACGAGGAGGTCGTCGGATGAGACGATGATTGTTGGGGGGCGTTTGGAGTAGAGGAGAGGGGCGGAGAATGAGGGGATTGGGAGGAGCTGGAGGGGAGCGTGCTGAGGGTACGGAAGGGAGGATGTCGGCGGGTGCGCACCAGACGGAGTGGACGGCCGGGAAGGCGAGCGAGGCGAAGCTGGGCGAGAGGGCGTCGCTGCGCTACTGCCCGCTGCATCCCCTTCGTCTGCCTCGCACGCCAGCAAAAACACCCACCGCGCACCGACCATCCTCAACGCCTCGACCACCTCGCTCCGATCCTTCTTCGCAAGTCCGACAAGCAAAGCACACGTGTGCGTCCCGACTGCGTTGATAGGCGAGAGGTGCTGCGTGATGACCTCGGCGAGAGCGAGTACGCGGACGTTCGTGTGCTTGTAGTAGCCGAGCGAGGTGGGCGGGACGTCGTACGAGTTTGGCTCGCTGCAGGCTGGGACGCAGAGGTCTGCCCAGCCAGTCGACGCGGCGGGCAGGAGGACCTCGTCGGGTGCTGAGATGGACGAGACGGGGAGAGGGGACGACGGTGCGCCGAGGTAGGCGCCGCCAAAGTTTGGTTCGGACACGCGCATTGACAGCCGGTCTTCGACGAGGAAGTTGTAAGGGAGGCCGAGGGTGTGCGCCTCGCGTGAGAACGTCTCTGCGACCGAGGCGGACGAGACGAAGAAGGTCTTCTCGAGCGTAAGACCGGAGAGGTAGAGCGCTTGTTGAGTTTGCGCGAAGGTGAGTTGGCCTGGCGCTGCGACGCCGGGGAGGAGAGGGTGCGTGACGGGCGTGAGAACCGGATTGAGATAGCGTGAGATCTGGCCCCCCTTGCCGAGGTTGATGGCGAGGAGCGGGACAGGCCGATCCGCGCCCGTCTCCTCCGAAATGAGTGCGTCGACCTTCGCGCGAAACTTGAGCAGCTCGAGGTTGGAGTTGAATGTCGTAGGCGTCGAGACGAGCTTGATCACGTCGCAACCGAGTCGAGTCGCGCGAAGGTACTTGTCCAGCACCTCCTGCGAATTCCACCTCCACTCTCCCTTCCTGTCATGATCCGCTCCAAGGACTTGCGTCGCCGCTCCTCGCAGCGCAAGGAACCGCTGGATCTCCTCGTCCGGAAGCGCAAGTTCAAGGTCGACATATTCCGCGCCAAGCTTGAATCCGAGCTCGACGAGCGCGAGGTAGTCGGTGAAGAGGTCGGGATTGTCGGTGTATGGGTCGGGGAAGGCGCCGCCTTGTTTTTCGGTCCGGACGGTGTAGAGGACCGGGAGGGGCGAGCAGCGTCTGAGGTGGCCGAAACAGATGGCGACGAAGTGGGGAGATGGATAGCGGCGGCGTCGAGGTGTTGGAGCGGCTGAACCATCGCCGTTCGCAGGCGACCCGAGGCGGGAGAAGGGAGGGACCGTCTCGACTTCGACGAGCGTGTCGACTCGCATCTCGATCACGTCAACGCCGCCCGCGACTTTCCGAATCGTCTCTGCACTGACGACCCGCAAGTCGGGAAAGTTGAGCGCGACGAAACTCGTTCTCGAGCCCTTCGCTCCTCGACCCAACTCAGACTCGCACGCTCCGTACCCTCCGTACTCGCCTGAACTCGGCCCAGTGACGGGCGAAGGACGCGGACCAGCGACGAGCGGGACGTGCGACGAGGCGAACCCGAAGATGGAGCGGAGGAGGCGGACGAAGGCGGTTTCGACGTGCTTCATGAGGAATTGTGGCGAGGGTGGGGGCGGGTAGGCGGTCAGGGAGACGATGGTGTGCGTGCAGAGGGACTCGAAGTAGGGCGTTCGGCGGGCCCAAACAGAGCGGATCTCCTCGCCCCAGGAAGGTCTGCGACAGGAGAAGGTGAGCGCGCTAAAACGGAAGAAGCGTCCGCCGACTCACCTCGCTTGCTCGTCGACCAAGTACCGCACCGTTTCCTCCTTGTCCCGCACAACATGCACAATCGGCCCACCACCCTCCCTGAACCGCTGCAGCAAATTCCGATTCTCCTCCCTCTCGACGACCCCTCCTCCGCACGCAATCACGTAGCCTCGCGGATGCTCCTCCAACAGCCGCTTCAGGATAACTGTCTCGGCGTCCCGGAAGGCGGACCAGCCGTGAGTCGTGACGAATTGCGAGATGGGTCCGTGGAGGGTTTGGAAGGCTGAGTCGGCGTCAATGAAGGACCGGCGGAGAGAGGTCGCTGCAATGAGGCCGAGGGTCGTCTTGCCGACGCCGCCTGGAGAGTAGAGAGCGAGAGAGTTAGTACGAGCGGCGGGAAGGAAGAGGATTGGTTTCCCAGTTCGGGAGAGAGAAGCGCCGAGCTACTTTCGTCGGTTCGCCAGCCTGCCCCGCCATCCGTCGTTGCTCAAAGAACTCCACCAATTTCAAGTCGGATGGTGCCCTCCTGAGCCTTCGCCAGCCGCAGGTACTCGTCGAGAACCACTTTCCAACCCATTTCTCCCGCTCCAAGTCACCCTGCGAAGTCCGCCCGACTCACGCATGCCAATGAGCACGATTGTAGCGTTCGGGTCGTACAGCGGCGGCCGCATGGCATGCGACGAAGCGAGTCGAGGACGGGTTCCGGTCGCGGTCGCTGCAGGTGTTGGAGTCGAAGCGGAAAAGCGCTGGTTGGATAGCCCGGGGTCCATCATGCCTCAGAGCGGTCTGCAAACAGCGCCAGCAGTCTTGAGAGCGTTGTCGAGCGAGGTGATGAAGAGCAAGCCGCTCTCATCGTTCAAGGGCCCCCTCGACTTCGCCCCACACCGCCAACACCCGCTCACACACGCTCAGCGGGGCAGACGCGACTCGCTACAACTCTAGCAGAGCCTCTGTATCGTGCTCGTTCAGCTCCGACGCGCCCGCACGGTCTGCTCGTGGCGGTAGAACCCCTCACCTCCCGTGTCAACTTCCGACCTCGTACAGCGCGTCCACTGCTCGAGGACTTTCGAGGCACGGTGCACAAGTGCTGGAGAAGCAGGAGACTCGGCGCCGACCGCCTTCACGGAACGCAAGTCGCTTGCGCTAGCTGTAGTCGGTCCAGGTGCGTTCCTACCCTCCCTCGCGCAGCTTCGTTCTCGATGTGGACGGTGCACGGAGTGTCCAAAGGTCACAATGGGCTGACGACGTCACGGCGGCTCGCAGATTCGCAGAATGGAGAGCGACGGCGATGGCCAGCCGCAGAAGAAGCGGAGGGTTACGCGAGCCTGCGACCAGTGCGTCCTTTTCCTCAATCTAGCTTGCTTCTCCGATGCAGACAGACTTACCCGCGGTCGGACCTACAGGTGCCGCCGCAAGCGAATCAAGTGCGACTCCTATCCTCGCGCAGCCATCGACTCGCCTTGCGTGATCTGCACCGAAGCAGGCCAAGCGGACCAATGCACGTACTCGCGACCAGCGAAGAAGCGTGGGCCTCAGGCAGGACGGGCGCGAACGCTGGAGGAGAAGTGTGCGGTGTTCGAACGGTTGATGGTGCGTCTGAGACTCTTCACGTGAGGTTGCGGCTGAGCTGACTCTGCTTCGCAGGGCTACCTCCTTGCCGCCGTTCCGAACCTTGAAGCGCACGTCTCGCACTTCATCGCGCAAGCGCAAGGAGGAGCAACGAGTCCCTCATCATCGACGCCTGGAGACGATTCTCCCGCCGCCTCGACCTCCTCCTCCGTTTCTTCCGCCGCCCTCGCGGCGCAGAATCAGCAGCGGTACACGTCCTCACGGATCGCCGAACTTCTCGACTCGGTCCTCCCGCCCCCCATTTCCGCTCGCGAAGCCGCAAAGCAGGGCAAGAGGGAGTCGTCTTCAGCAGCAAAGGATGAAGACCTCGCTCCTTCCCTTGCGAGCATCAAATACCCTTCTCCTGCCGCCAGCCTGCCTCTCCCACCAGTCGCGGGCTTCCCATACCCTCCGGCATTCCCTCAACCGCCCGAACTGCCCGACCCGTTCTCGTATGCCGCACACGCCGGTCCATCGAATTTCCCGCTCGCACTACAGACGCTCGCTGATGCGGCGGTTCCGGAGGCGGCGGCTGCGTCTGCGTTCGCTGGCGGCGGAGGAAAGGGCAAGGGTCGAGAGGTCCTGGCGATGGACGACCCGGTGCTACCAGATGGCGTTGCGAGGTCTGCGCTGCTCGAATTGTACTTCAACCAGGTTGTGCAACCTGTCTTGCCGATGCTGGTGAGTCCGAGGAAGCCTCTTTCGCACACCTGACCCAGCTAACTCAGCCATAATTTCTCGCAGGACAAGTCCCGCTTCCTTCGCTGGTCGGCTCACCTTCCCGCCTCTCAGCCATCAACGTCATCCGCATCGCTCATCCCGCCCTCGCTCTACTACGCCGTCTTCGCCCTCGCTTCCTCTTACATCTCTCCCTCATCGCCTTTCGCCTCCTCCCTCCCTCCAAGCGCTCCCGAGAGTTACGCCTGCGCTGCGCGAACGCATCTCGTGCGAGACGTCTTTCTCGACGGATCGGGCGGTCTGAGTGTGGAGAATTTGCAGAGTGCGGCGATTCTTGCGCTGGTTGATTGGGGAGCGGGACAGCTTGATCGGGCTTGGATGATGAGCGGTGCGCGTGCCTTCCGTCTCGTCAACCAGGGCTGCTAGCTGAAAAAAACTGCCTTCCTGCAGCCCTCGCCCTCTCGCTCGCCCTCTCCCAGTCTCTCCACCTCTCCACCGCCCTCGCACCCGATCCCTCCTCCTACAAACTCAAGACCTTCCACTCAATCCTCATCATCCACGTCCTCCTCTCTCTCCGCCTAGGTCGACCGCCCCTCACAGTCCTCGAAGACTACGACGTCCCGATTCCTCCAGTCGACGATGAAGCGATCAACTGGGATTTGTGGCGGAGCGACAAGTCTGCTGCCGAGTTGCGTGCAGAATGGGGCGATGCGGATTCCGCCAGCGACGGGGCAGACGGCGGACCCGTCACCGCCGTGCGGAACAACTCGCTCGTGACTTTCGCTCGACTCGCCTCGCTTTGCGCTATCGCCCTCAACGTCCTGCGGTGGAACGTCTGTCCGCGCAGAGGGAACGGTCAGGGATTGCCAGCGGGTGAGGCGGAGCGTGCAGAGCTTGTGGCGAGTTTGGGGGCGTGGGAGGAGCAGTTGGAGATGGATCTCAGGCTCGGGGACGCGAGAGGCGGGGTCGAGTTGGTGCGCGAGAGGGCGAGGTGGATCGTTGAGATGCATCTTGTTGCGGCGGCGCTGCATCTCAAGCTGAGGCCTCATCCGTGGGTACTGCTCTCGCTCGTTTCGCTGGACCCGCGCTGACGAGGCATCTTGCTTTCCCAGTTCCTTCGCCAGCGTTGCAGTCGACCCCATCCCACGCTCTCTCGGCCTCCTCAACCACGTCCTAGGTCGATACCGCTCCACCTTCACCCTCTACCGCTCGATTCCCAGCATCGACATCGTCCTGCACCTCTTTTCCGAAACGCTGTTCGACCAGTCCGACTACGCTCCACATCATCACGACACCGTCCTCCGAGCGTACGCGGAACTCGCCAAGGTCTTCCCCGTCGCGCAGAAGAGTTGGGTCGAGTTGGCCGCCAAAGTGGACGGTCACAAGCGCGAACTTGGCTTGTTGCGCGGCGTTCACCCTACAACATCCATCCAGCCTCCGCCTCCCGCCCTTCCCGCACCCGCACCTATCGCAGAACCCTTCCAAGCCTTCCTCTCGTACTCGAACGACCTCGGCCCGTCCGCGAACCCTTCGACCATCCTTGACTTTGGCTCGTGGGACCAATCCGACTTGCTCGTCTCGCTTGGTCTCGTCGGACCAGCGGCGGGATCGAAGGGTACCTGGACGCCGCTCGAGGGATGGGGAGGGCCAGAGGGCGGGCTGCCCGTGCCGATGCCCATCGAGGGCGCAGTCGGGTACGGCGAGCATTCGCAGCAGCCTGGCCAGGGCCTCGCTCCGCAACCTGCGACGCTTCCGCCTCCGCCTGCGAAGCAAGCTGCAACGAGCTCGTCGTTCCCAATGGTCGTCTCGCCCGCTTCGACCGCTCATCCCGGCAACTCCACCGCGTACGGCGAGACCTCCTTCGCCGGCCTGCCTTACAACATGCCCTCCCCAGCCGGCGGTCAAGCCGATCCCTCCGCCTCTACCTTCCCCTACCAAGCCTTCGCGGCCGCCAACACGCCTTCGTCGTCCGACTCTGGCGGCCCTGCGACGGATCTGTTGACGAGGTGGGTTGATCGCGGGTCATTGGGTTTCGGTGGAGCGTTTGAGGTGGCGGGAGAGGGAGGAGCGGGGTAGGGACTTGACGTATCCGCCAATGCACGCTCGTTGCTATGCTCACTGAGCGAAGGGTTCGTTCTCACGAGATTTGAACGAGGTCTCGCAAACGAAAGGACAGGAGAGCGTTGCGGAGCCGGTACGGAGAGCCCTCATGAGATGGACGAACGGCTCGTATGTCACGCCGACCACGCAAGCGCCGGAACGTCTACCTCCTCCCGCGCTTCCCGCCCCTACCACCTCCTCTCCCGCCTCGACCCCCGCCCCTCTTGACCGGCATCCCCGCCTCGCGCTCATCATCATCCCTATCCCTCTCGTCCTCATCCCTCCTCCGCTTTCCCTTCCCCTTGGCACCCCCAAGACCCATCTGGAACTCCTTGACCTCCTTGATGGCCTCGCGCTGGGCTTCGCCGACTCGTTCAGAGAGGAGAAGGGCTTCTTGTTTGCCTGATGCGCCGAGGGGGTACTCGTCCATCTTTTTGCCGATGACGCCTGCGGGATACACACCGTCAGCTCGTTGGCGAGAATGAGAGGAAGGGGACGAGGGAGACGCACCCTCGATTCGCTGGAACAACTCGACGTCGTATTGCGTCACGAGCGTCACGCTCTTTCCGGACCTTCCTGCACGCGCAGTTCGTCCAACGCGGTGAATGTAGTCCTTCGAGTTGGTGGGCAAATCGTAGTTGACGACGAGGTCGACAGATGGGATGTCGAGTCCACGCGAGGCGACGTCCGTAGCGATCATGATCGTCTTCCCTCCGGACTTGAACTTGTTCAATGCGCCTAGACGTGCGGATTGCGAGAGTTGGCCGTGGAGGGGGATAGCGGGGAAGGAGAGGAGGCGAAGGAGGATCGAGAGGCGTTGAGCGTCGACGACTGTTCGGACAAAGACCATGGCTGTCAAGCCTGAGAGGGTGTGGAGGAGGTGGACGAGGTGGAGGTCCTTGTGTTTGAGCGGGACGAGGAGGTAGTATTGGAGGAGGGTCGAGACGGTTTGGTATTTGCTCGAGACTTCGAGCTTGACTGGGTCGCGGAGGGAGGCGCGCTGGAGCTTGGCGACCTTGGTGGTCATCGTCGCGGAGAAAAGGTACGTCCGTCGGCCTTCGCGAGGGATGACCTTGAGGATCTTGTCGATGACGGGTCCGAAGTCCAGGTCAAGCAGTCGGTCCGCCTCGTCCATGACCTGCGAACATGGGAACGTGAGTTTCGGGTTCAAGTGGTTTTAGCTCCTCGAGCCTAACTCCAGCTTCGAAGAGCAACCAGCCAGAAACCGCCGACTCACCAAATACTTCAGATTCCTCAAACTGAAACCCTTCGTATTCTCCAGATGATCCTGCAACCTTCCGGGCGTCGCAACAACGATGTGCGGCTTCTTGGCGAGCGCGACCTGTTGAGCCATCGTGTCCATCCCGCCGACGATGGTGGCGACGCGGACGCCGATGCCGGATCCGAGGGCGGTGAATTGGTCGGCGATCTGGTAGGCCAGCTCGCTGTGCATCACGTCGAAGCTTACGATCAGCTTCGACGCCCGGGAGAATCGAAAGCTGAAGGAAACGTCGAAACGCACCGAGTCGGCGCGAGGACAACCGCAAACAACCCCTGCGGATCCTGCCACAACGCATGCAATATAGGCAACGCGAACGCCGCCGTCTTTCCCGATCCCGTCTGCGCCAAACCGATAATGTCCCTTCCCTCGAGCGCGAAGGGGATACATTCGCGCTGGATCTCGGACGGCTGTTTGAAGCCGAGTTGGGTGCAGGCTGTGCAGAGTTCGGGGAGGAGACCGAGGTCTGAGAAGGTTGTGGAGGAGGTGGGCTCGGTTGAGAGGAGCGGGAGGGCTTTGGAGGACGAGGCGACCGGTTGAGCTGATGAGGAGGAGGCGGCGGTGGTGGGAGGGTGAGGGGCGGGCGAGGGGGAGCGCGACCCGCTTGCAGACGATCCAGCTTCAGAGTCCGACATCCTGATCAGCGTACAGCCCAGCACGAGCGTGTGAGAGCGAGGAGCGAGTGAGGAAGCGGGAGAAGCGCGATGAGGAGACGAGGGAAGGGTGTCGAGCTCGTTCGAGTTGCTGTGGGTCATTGTACTCTATTTCTACTGCTAACGAAGTATTCTACCGCAACAACAAGCCCGCACAACCCGCGCAAACCGCCGATTCGCCATCGTCGCCTTCACCGCCCCGCTCAGCACGGACATCCTCACTCAACTCGTCCACTTCCACCTCCTAACCACTCCTCCTCACTCACTTAGCACTCCCCTGCCCCTCCTGACTAACCGCATCCAGCACAACCGCCTTCAACTCCTCACTCAGCCCTCCAACAAGCTGTTCAACCGCGACTTGACGCCCGTTGTGCGTCATCTTTGCCCAGGTTTTGGCGACGATGCGGACGAGCTTTGCGCGGCGGTCGTCGGGAGAGAGAGGGGGTTTGTCGGAGGATGTGGGAGGGGGTTGTTGGAAGGACGAGGCGAAGGAGGTGAATTCGGTTCGGAGGAACGTGAGGCAGATGGCGTCTTCGAAGAGCTGCAATTCGGGGTCTGCACACGCATTTCGTCGGCTCAAAGTCAGTGAGAGCCGCGACGTAACCACGAAGCAGCGAAGCCTCCTAGTCGAGAGGCATCCCCTGCACAGGAAACTCGACTACTCACCTCTCAAATCCACGTCCCTCTCCGGCAAAGGCGGCCTTGCCAACCCGTTCTTCATCAGCAAGTCCTCGACGCGCTGGATCAAAGCGGCGTCGGCGGGCGAGTCGGGTAGGTAGCCTGATTGTTCGAGGACGGAGCGGGCTATCGAGGCGTGGAAGCGATTCAGAGCCGTCTGAGCCGAGAGAAAGCAGAGCGAGAAACAGGTGGAAGCAAGAGCGGGCGTCAGCGCCCGAGCAGAGATGGTGAAGCGCAAGTCGAGCGAGTTGCGAGGGAACAAGCGCGGCGCACCCTCCAGCTCTTGTACCCGCTCAAACCCTCAGGATAGCTACTCCTCGGTTTCTCCCACCTCCTGACATGCTGACAATTCGCCGCGAGCAACAGTGCTTCTCCCGGTCCCTTGTTCAAGCGCTCGTCGGTCGAGCGGGAAGACAAGTTCCGCACAAAGGCTTCGAGGGCAGTGTGGTAGGACAAGGAAGAAGGGTGGGAGGGGTCTCGCGTGTGCATGGCGTGGAAGGAGGAGAGGGCGGTCAGGAAGCGAGGGGTCGGAGTGAAGGAGGGGGTTGAGGGGTAGTCCGACGGAGGGAGGGTCGAAGACGAGCCGTTGTCGCTCGGCGGGTTGGCGGCGTCGAATTCGGACATCTCGGCCGTGGTTGACCTGGCTCTAAGCGTGTCCAAGTGCGAGTACGAGCGTGAGAGCGTGCGAGGTGATAAGGAGGAGTGGGGAGGTGGAAGTCGACGAGGAGAGCAGCTCGTTGCGCGCGAGTTGGAATGGCGTGGTCGTGAGGGTGCCCTAGCGAGTCTGGTCGATAGTCTGGTGCAGTCTAGCGAGAGAACGAGCTAAGTCGAGATGAGTGCAGGAGGTCGAGCTCGCTCCCAACTCCCTGCGTCCGTCGTTGCTCTCGCCCTCGCTCCCACGCACCAGGACTAACCCAGACAGCATGGCATTCAGTCAGTAAACTCTCTAGAACCCGCCCAGCGAACGAACGACGCTCACCGGTTGCCTCGTTCTCCCTCTCTGCCTCGCCATCTCGCCGTGCCACTCCGCCTTCATCACCTCGCCCGCGCACGCCCGCTGGATTCGATGTGATGCACTTACACTCGTCCAAATACTCCTTTCGACCCGCCGCCGAATTCCCAACCCCTATCGACCTGTTGCCGCGTCGCCTCACTCCCTCTCCTCCTCCTCGCCTCCATACACTCGCCCCGACGTCCCCTCTCCCTCCTTGATCCGCCCTCTTACATCCCGACTGCGTCTTCACTTCTCTCCATTTGTCGAAATCCGAACAGACGCTCCCGGTGGTCGTGGCGGACGCGGCGGTGGATTCGGTGCTCGCGGTGGACGAGGCGGAGGAGCTGGTGGCCGTGGTGCGTCTGCGCTCTACTTTCGATCACGTGGCAGACTGGTGGACTGCTAGCCTGCTGCGCGTGGCTGAAGGGGAGTAGAGGACGCATACTGACGCCTTGCATCTCGGTTCGCTCCGTTTCGTGCAGGCGGCGGACGTGGTGGTGGATTCTCGGCACGCGGCGGTGCTGCTGGAGGACGCGGTGGTGCTCGCGGCGGCGGACGTGGTGCGTACTCGCCCTTGTCCTCTCTCCCCAAAGCTTTCCTGATCTCGCTTCGCCCGACTCCAGGCGGAGGACGCGGCGGTGCTCCTCGCGGTGGCGGTCGCGGCGGTGCCGGCGGACGTGGTGGTCGTGGCGGTGCCCGCGGCGGCAAGGGCGGTGTTGGCGCCAAGGGCGGCGCCAAGGTGATCCTCGAGCCTCACCGTCACCCGGGAGTGTTCGTCGCAAAGGGCAAGGAGCACCTCCTCGTCACGCGCAACCTCGTCCCCGGCGAGTCGGTCTACGGCGAGAAGCGCATCTCGATCGAGCAGCCCAATGCCGACCCCAACTTGCCTGCCGAGAAGGTCGAGTACCGCGTTTGGAACCCGTTCCGCTCCAAGTTGGCGGCTGGTATCCTCGGTGGTTTGGACGACATCCACATCGGCCCCGGCAAGAAGGTCCTCTACCTCGGTGCCGCCAGCGGAACGTCCGTCTCGCACGTCGCCGATGTCGTCGGTCCGGTGAGTTGGCGCCGCATCGTTCTCGTGATCATCGCAGAACTGACGTGCCTTTTTCTACGCTTTACAGGAGGGCACCGTCTACGCTGTCGAGTTCTCTCACCGCTCTGGTCGTGACCTCGTCAACATGGCCAAGAAGCGCACCAACGTCATCCGTTCGTTCTCTTCCCTCTTCTCGTCCTGTTCCACGCTCACCCGTGCCCCCACAGCCATCGTCGAGGACGCCCGTCACCCCAACAAGTACCGCATGCTCCTCTCGATGGTCGACGTCGTCTTCGCCGACGTTGCTCAGCCCGACCAAGCGCGTATCGTCGCTCTCAACGCCCACCACTTCCTCAAGCGGGGAGGACACGCCGTCATCTCGATCAAGGCGTCTTGCATCGACTCGACTGCGCCGGCGGAAGCCGTCTTTGCCGCCGAGGTCAAGAAGTTGCAGAGTGAGGGATTCAAGCCCAGGGAGCAGTTGACGCTTGAGCCGTACGAGCGTGACCACGTGCGTTCGCTTTCACTCTTTCAAGGCCGTGGAGGCGCTTGCAGGTCGGTCTGAGCGGAACTCGCCGAGTTCTGCTCCAATCGCCTCCAGACGCCTTCAGGCGCCTCCAGATGACTCCGGACGCCTCGCTAACGCTTCTACATGCACAGGCGATGCTTATTGCCCTTTACCAGCGCGATTCCAAGTAAATCGCCGCGCGTGTTGTTGCAGTGCCCGGAGGCACTTCATTCCGTCCCTTCGTCTTCGGATCTTCCTTGTCTTCTTCCCATTTGCCCGCCTGATCACTGCATGTAACTCTAGCTTCCTTCCACCTCAGTTCGCTTCTTGGAGAGAGTCCCGGGCACAGTCAGGAATCCCGCATCGCCCTTCTCTCCTTTCTCCTCTTCTCACCTCTCGCCCGCTTACATCGCTTCGCTCGCCTTGCGCTTGCTTCGCACGCTCGCTCAATGTCACTCAGGCTCCTTCACCGCTGCGAAGACCCGCCGCCCGCTCACTGGGACCCGCCCGTCCTCGCCTTCCGCCGCGACCGTCTCCCTACGCTCCCCGCCGTCGATGATCAGAAACTCTTCGCGCACGCCCTGCGGCACAAGTCGAGCATTCCAGAGTCTAACGACCCCGGCCCGGTTGTCCGCGAAGCCGCTGATCTGCGTAGCAACCGCCGTCTCGAATGGGAGGGCGATACGGTCTTGTGCTGGTTCGCCAGCGTCGAATTGGCTCGCCAGTTCCCGACTGCGGCATCAGGAGACCTCAGCGTGGGTCGCGTACGCACTACGTCCCGCTCGAAGCTCACCGGACTTTGCGCAGGCTTTGCGATGCCTCGTCGTCTCGCACCGGACTCTCTCGCACCTCGCCTGGGCATACGGTTTTGGCCGAGTACTCGAGCACAATCCCAACGACGCACCGCACCGCCTCGCCGTCACGCACCAGAAGATCCTCGCCGACAGCCTCGAGGCGTACCTCGCTGCTGCTTGTCACTTTCCGCTCAGCGAAGCCAAGTTGCGCAGCGTCGAGGCCTTCTTTCGCGATTTGCTCAGCCCACAGTGCGCGGTTGGACTCGTTGAAGCGGCGGCTGAGATCCGTGAGCGACGCTTGCGGACAGCCAACTTCGTTCCGCTCCTTTCGCCCACCGAGCCTACACCAGGTGCGTTTTCCGTCCGATGCAACCCTTGCAGCTGTACGACACATCTTGCTTAAATAGTCTCTGCCGCTCAAACAGACCGATCGACCACCACGCTTCGCAGCAGCTCCCTCCCCTCGCCTCCTTTCTTCGAAACCGCATCCGGGATCGGCTGGCTCGAGACTCAGCTAGGCGGCAGATGGGCAATCTGGCTCCAGATCGAGGGAGAGACGCTCGTCACGGCTGAAGGAACAAAGCGGCAAGAGGCGAGACAGCGGGTAGTCGGACTCGTGCTTACTCGGCTGTGGAAGGATCCGCAGGGGCGGGCGGTCCTCCGTAACGCGCTGCGAGCGGATGGCGGCGAGGAGCAATAAATACAGTCGCTTTGTAAGCCGTCTCCAGATCTCGCCAGCAGAGAGCTTCAACCGAGAACGAGCGGCGGAAGTCCCGAGCAATGCCGATACAACCGCTTGTTTTGAGCATACAATCCTACAGCTTCGCCGACCTCGACTTGACCGTCCGGGCGTGACGAGCGCGCACTGCGCGAGAGGAGGAGTGAAAGAGCGGATGTCAGCGTTTGCTCGAAGGGTGTCCGCCCAGCCGCCGCCTTCGTTTGTGCAAGTACCGATACGTCGCAGCACATTGCCAAATTCGTTCTAGGGACTTGAAGACGCGCACAAGAGAAGGAACGCACAATCCTTGCGGAGCAGCTTGCCGCTCGGGTTCTTCGGAATAGCGTCGATGAACTCGACCTCGGCGAGCGCCTTGTACTTGATCTTGTGATCCGTCACCCACTTCTTGATGCTCGAAACGATCTTGTCCTCGCCTTCGGACTTGAGGCGCGATTGGGCGGCGGGCGTGAGGGTGATGTAGGCTGCGCGCGGTCGAGTCAGTCAGACCCTCAACTGTCGAAGCTGTGCGACTAGCGAGAGGAAGGGAGCGAGACTCGCCCTTCGGCGCCTCGCCGCGCTTCTCGTCCGGGATCCCAATCACACAGCAGTCCTGCACGTCCTCATGTCCAAGCAAGTGTCCCTCCAGCTCCGCCGGGGCAACCTGGAAGCCCGAGACCTTGATGAGCTCCTTGATGCGGTCGACGATGACGAGCAGGCCGTCCTTGGTGATGTAGCCTTCGTCGCCGGTGTGGACAAAGCCTTCCGAATCAAGGGTTTCGCGAGTTGCCTTCTCGTTGTCGAGGTCTGAGCGGCGGGCGATACGGAAGGTGTGGACAATGCGCAAGTCGCGAGTTGAAGCGGCAGGGACGGGCGAAAGAAAGGATGCGGAGCAGGGAAGAGGCGAAGTTAGGAAGGTCAGGTCGCTCTCCTTCGCCCTCTCCACCGCGCAACGAGGGAGATTAAACGCACATCCAAGCATGTTCGAAGGTCCACGCGACCACAGCTCGCCAATCTCACCAGGCGGGAGCGCCTTGCCCTCGGGCGAGACGATTTTCGCCTCGATGTTCGGGACGAGCATCCCTGCTGACTCGCCGGGGAAGCCGCCGGGCATGCTGGCGTCGAGGAGCGATATGATGGTCGAGGTTTCCGTCTGTAATAACGAAAAGGCGGGCGAAGGGGAGGGGAGTAGAGGAAGGAACGGCGGAGGGGATGGGAGAGAGGCGGGAGGTGGTGAAAAGAGATTAGCAAAGTGCCAGTCGTTCAGTACCTCGTTGACCCTAACATACCATGCCGTAGCCCTGTCCGACGCCGACGTGCGGATACTTGGCACGGAAGGCGGCGACCATCTGTGTGAAAGGGACGCGAGGACGAGTTTGAAGACAAGGCGGGAAAGGGCGTCAGCGTCGACCACAACGCATGCACGAGTGCGCACAGGGTCCCATACGCCGAGTACACGCGTGGTGAAGAGCCGGAGGACGCACCTCATTCGTGAGCGGCGCGGCGCCGGTCATCGCCAACCTCACGCTCGACAAGTCGTAGTCCTTAACCATATCTTGTTTGACGAGCATGATGAGTTGAGGCGGGACGAGGAAGAGCGTCGTGATGCGATGGTCCTGAATGGCTTGGAGGAACTGGCGGAAGTCGAAGCGCGGCATGACGACGATCGGTGCCGCCTGGTACAGCGAGCCGTGCAGTATGACGACCAAACCGTAAATGTGATAGAAAGGCAGACATGCCATCACAACGTCGCCCTTCTTCTCCTTCGGGTCGTAGGGCTGGAGCGGGAAGGTCTGCTGCCAGTGCGACGAAGCTTGGAGGACATTGGTGATGACGGCATAGTGAGGGATCCTGACGGCTTTCGGCAAGCCTGTCGTACCGGAGCTGAACGAGAGGAGCTGTTGCGGAGCGGAGAATGAAAGCGAGGAGGCAAAGATGTCAGCAGGTTCCACCGCGTCCTCCCGGCGAGCTAACGCACCGCCAGCCTCGTCTTCATCTCTTCCTGCTTGAGCGTGACCTTCGGCGGTAGCGGTTCGTCGCGTGCCCCCTTGACGAGGTCATCGAGGGTAGGGAATCCGGCGGCGAGAGGCTTTGCGTTGACAGGCGGACTGAGCGCTTTCGCTATTGGTAGTCTGCGTCAGAGGCAGCTCCGATACAAGGCGAAGGAAGCGGCACGCACTAGGTGGCCGGATGAGGACGATCATCTCGCTCGAAACTCCGGACTTCTCGCATGCCTGGACGGTCGTTTCGAGCGCGTCGGGGTGGACAACGATCAGCTTGACAGGGTGTGGCTTGTCGACTGTGCATCGTCAAGGTCAGCCGCCACAATGAGCGGAAAAGACCGAGGGATACGAACCGGTGCGGATCTGGTGAGCGAGCTCGTCGGCCGTGTACGACGGGTTGGCGCACGACGCGACCGCTCCCGCTCTGAACGTCGCCCAGAGACATGGCCCGTAGTCCATATCGTTCGGCGAGAACACCAGCACGGTGTCGTGTTCCTTCAAGCCGCGAGCTGCGAAAGCGCGAGCGAGGTCGAGCGTCCGCTCCTTCGCCTGCTCGAACGTGTACGAGCGCGGCGAGTGAGCATCGAGAATCCACGGCCGCCCACGAGGGTCAGGTCGCTTGAAGGCTTTGGGGTCACGCGAGAAGGGCGTCTCGAGATCGAAGAGGAAGTCGAAGATGGTGAGGGCGCGGTCGGGCAGCGTAGTCGTGCCAAACTTGCTCGTGTACAAGCCAGTCTGAGCGTCGTAGGGCATCGTAGCGCGGGCGGGTGTCGAGAGAAGGAAGAAGAGGAGCGGGGCGCCGGAGAGTGGGGCGTGCCGAGCGAAGAAAGGGGGGGCGACGAGAGTGAGGAATGCCCGTCTGTCCAGTGCAGTCTACCCTCGCCACGTTCCCGCCTTCTTCTCCCGCACGTACTGCCAAAAGTCCTCGCACACCATCGAGTCGGACGCTTTTGGATTCCAGTTGTGCCAGACGACGTCGATCTTGTGGGCGGCGGCAAAGTCGAGGACCTGGCGGACTCGACGTCGCGTACGAGGCGACGGGCGGTACGTGGACCGTTCGTAGGAGCGATGCGGACGCAGCCAGTTCTCGCGACCGGTGAGGCCCACTTCGTCCGGATCGGCGGTGTAACGCACCTCCTCCTCCGTCTCTTCGCCCGAGCCGCTGTAGTTCGCCTCCTCCTCGTCGTCCTCGTCCTCGTCCTCGTCCTCCCATGCCTCGTCGCCGTCGTCGGCTACAGGTTCCGGCTCCTGTGCGAGGTCCGGCCGTTCGTGGGACGGCTCCTCCTTCGCTTGCACCGCGACCACCTCACCTCCCTCCATCTCGTCGTCGCCAGGACCCAGTCGCAGCGGCAGCGGCAGCGAGATCGAGCGAAGGTGCCGGCTGATGGCCGTTTCACCGGCCTGCAAGCCACGCAGAAGGTTGGTGAGGGCGCGGTACGGCTTGATGTTCTGACGATACGGAATCGTCGAGGACCACAGCAAGAGGATGTGCTGTAAGGCGCGTGTGTCCAGGGGTGGAAGATCGCCAGTTGTGTAGAATTGGACGGCGAGGTCTCTGAGCTGGAAGTCGGGCTTGAACATGTATGGCAGGCGTGGGAGGTTCGAGTCGGGACTGAGTTGCAGCATGTCGAGCCGATTGAGGGAGGACGAGGCAAAGATCGGGAGGAAGGTCTCGTTAAAGTATGCCTCGGGATCGTACAGCGCGCCGAGATGCACCGCACGAAGGTTAGGTGTAACGTCCGGCTCCAAGACGGCCTTTATGTCTTGCTTCGAGACGTAGATGCCCACGAAGGCGAGTTGGACGAGGTTGCGAAAGGGTTGAGGCGGCGAGCAAGAGAGGCGGACGGCCGTCATGGTCAACGAGCTGAGGTCTGCGGACAAGCCGATGTTAGATAGTTCTCCGCCTAAACAAGCTTGACGTACGTACTGGAGAGCACCGCAAAGTCTGCCCAGCGAGTACTCGGATATCTATGAGCGGAGTGTGCGCCAGACATCCACAGCCTGCGCAGCTCGACCAGGCTCCTCACGACCTTGCGCACCGTATCGTAGCCGCTCTGTTCGATCCACATCTCGGAAGAAGGCATCTTGTAGGTCTGGACGAGCAGCGGGAGTTCCGGGTTCGCGTGAAGCGCTGAGGAGAACTTGTAGACGGTGGTATGCCTTCGCAAGACAACCGCCTGGTACAAAAGAGGCTGTGCGACTGCTTTGAGCGCCTTCGACGCCAGACAGCAGCAGTACAGCGTCCTTCGAGTCGCATCTTGGCGGTCGTCGGGATTGAGAGAGCAGGGACCAAGGGCGACGAGGATCTGGCGGACGAGCTCGATGGGGAGGTTGGTGGGCATGATTGGCGGATCTGGCAGCGTTCACAGGTGCACTTGAGCGATGTTAGCGGGAGCAGGTGTAGGCGGGATCGCCTCTCGACCTCGTCCACCTCACGCTGGCTCGCGAAAACCAGCTTGTTGGTGCTTCAATGGGCCTCAAGAATCCGTGCAGTTTGACCAGCCCGCCTCACGACGCTTCCACTCCCTCCCCGTCCCCCTCCTCGTCTTCATCAGTTTCAACATTTCCCGCTCCCAGCAAGCGCCGGATGCGCTCTTTCAGTGGCTTATAAGGCTTGAGCACGTTCAGAAAAATACGCCCGGCTTCAGCCAGCGATAAGGAACTTCCGTTGGAAGGGTACGCTCCGGAGGGTCCGCGGAGTCTCGCTATCTTTCGCTTCAGCCCTCTCTCCTTCCTTCCCCACCTTGCTGCTGCTTGTCTCCCTTGTCTCGACGGCTTGGTCGCTCGCTACGGCGCCCATGACCTCCCGAGACGACTATGCGAGCCTCGCGCTCTCGTCCATCTCCTGGTTCACGCCCGCGAACAAGCATGTCTTCCCCGAGTTGTGCAAGGGCAAGTTCACCGACGTCGACTTGTACTGCGCGACGGGGACGAGCGACTTGTGCTGCGGCCTTTGCCCGAACGTAAGGCCACCCCCTTTCCTCGACGACGTAGAGTTGCTGAATACCTTCCGTCGCGCAGACATGGGTTTCAGGACTCGGCCAATCCGTCTGGGCCATCATCAGCTACGGCATCGCCAGTCTCGCCTACATCCTCGCACCAGGCGAAGTCTGGGGCCTCGCAGTCATGCAGGTCATGCTCGCGAACGCCTTCATCTTCGCTGGGTTAATCCGCGTGTGGGCGGGCGCGTCGGACGGAGGGATGGCGAAGTGGCAGGTTCAGTTTCTGTGGCCGCAGGCTCTCGCATGTACGCGCCTTTCCTTTCCTCGTCCTCGCAGAAGCAGCCGCCTGACCCCTTCCTCGCACAAAGTCATCTTCATCATGGCTCCCGCAATCCTCACACCTCAATGGGCGCGCCTCGGTCGCTCCCAACTCGACATGGAGAAGATGCTCATCCGTCTCACAGGCGACGCACGCCGAGTAACCCGCGCCCAGCTGAGAGAAGCAGAAGTCAGGCTCGTCAAGAGGCAGCACCAGACTTGGAGTTGGTGTGTGTTGACGTTTTGGTTTGTGAATATGGTGCGTACCGAGTTTGTCGTGCGAAGGAAAGGCCGCCAACGCTGCGAGGCAGGTCTTCTGGACTGTCGGATTCGTCTGGGCTTCTCGTGCCGACATCGACTATGCCCAATCGAACTGCGACGACGTCGTCCAGCCAACTCTCACGCCCGTCATCGCCAGTGCGTCCTTCCCCCGTCCTTCCCACCGGTCTCGCTAACGTGCTCGCGTAACAGCCTGCATCCTCGGCGTGATCGCCTGGCTGATGGTTTTCTTCGACGCCTGGATCTTCCTCGGGAAGAACAAGATCGGCGGTAGCGACTAGTGCGTCCCATCCCTCCGCACATCTCTGGCCCGCTGACGAGTGTGTGCGTGGGCAGCCTCATCGACGTCTGGGACCGACACTTCGGGAAGACCGGCGTGCAGCGGACGTGGAAGGAGCACCGCAGGCTCGAGAGGAAAGTCACGATTGGAGTGACGGTTGGGCTGTTCTTTCTCTGGGTGCGTCAGCTCCCGGCGCTCCTCCGCCAGCTCAACTGACGATTGGACGGCAAGCAGCTCATCTTGGACTGCTGGATGTACCTCGAGGGGATCAACAAGTTCCTCCTCAGCGGTTCGGACTTTGTCACCTTTGGCCAAGTCGAGCAGGTGCGTTCCCTTCCCCTCCCTCTCGCATCAACCATGCTGACAGACTCTGAGTGCAGTTCACCGCCCTGTTTCCCGACTTACTCGGCCTCTTCACCGCCCTCCAAGCCTACTTCTCAAGCCGCGACGAGCTCAACACCTGGCGTAAGGAGTCGACTTCAAGCGAGCACAACGGCGGACCCGGAGGGGAAGAGTCGAGCGATCAACCTCATCGCATGTCGCTTCCCCCCACCCCTTCGCGCACGTCGCTTCACCCGGCTCCCTCGCGACCGAGTAGCTTCAACTTCGATCCGGATGCGGCTATGGAGTTGGTGAGGCAGCGGCCTGCGTCCACGCACTCGAACTCGCACTCGCACTCTTCCTCGTCGGCCTCGGCACAGACGAAGGGCAAGAAACGCGCGTCGTCCATCTCGACTTTCGGGAGTAGGAGATTCGAGGAGATCTCGACGGATTCGGAGGACGCGTATGCGCCGGGACCAAGCACGCGGGTGACGGACCGGAAGAAGGAGGACTACGGCTCGTCGTCGCACGCCGCGCACTCGTCTCACTCGTCGTCGCACGACTCGCACCATTCCGACTCGGTACGCGAGTCTCGCCACGACAGCCACCACTCGCCTTTGCATCGCGCCCCCTCGACTTCGACCTCGCAGTACGACTCCCTCCTCGACCTCTACGACCGCTCCCGTCCCTCAACTCGGCAGTCCTCTTCCCACGGCCATAACGAGGGCGAGGGCGCCAACCCGCGCGCGTCCTTCTCGTCGTTCAAGAACAGGTACCTCGACACTGACCCGGAGGAGTTCCATGAGAGGGTTGTGAGGCAGCAGAGTCTTGGACGGGGTGCGAGGGGTGAGAGTCGCAGAAGAAGGAGGGAGAGGGAGTAGGTGCGGGGTCTGTGGTGCGCAGTGGGAGAGTGAAGGAGGAGGAGAAGGGGTTGGGAAGGTCGAGGGTGAGGAGGGTCGCATCGCTTCGTGCGGCGGTGGCACGACTGGGTGGTCTCGTAGCTGCGTCCTAGCAATGCTACAAGCTCCCGAACGTCCTCACAGGGCGCAGGGAGAAGAGAAGGGCGAGAGAGCGAGGACAGGGGCTTGATCAGCTTGCGTCGCGACTGAACGCGCTCGCCCGACGCGTCCTCCCTCCCTCTCCATCTCTCCCTCTCCCTCGAAGGGCTCTCTGCAGGGCTTTCACAGTCGCTAGCGCACTCTAGTAATCCTCAGAAAGCCCCGTCACCCACCCGCACCACTCCCACGCTTTCCCGCCTCGCCTCGTCCACCCACCATGGCGGACCCGATGCAAGTCGACAACCAACCCCAGGGCGCTCAGCCGCGCTCGACGAGCCCTCTAGCATTCCCCTCGAGCGAGAGGGACGCGCAAGAGTCCCCGCGTAGGCCGGCGGGCATCGACCAGCTGCGCTCGTCTGGCACGGGCGGTGAGTCTGCTCCTCTTTCCCTCGACAAGCCGTCGCGACGAAAACTGACATGCGCCCATTACGCAGTCCGTTCGTCCTCGCCCCTTGCCTTCCCCTCTTCGTCTGCGTCGCGTCCCGCCGCATCGAACAACCGCCCTCTCTTCGCTCCCTCAGGTCTCTCCTCCGATGCAGGTCTCGGAAGTGGAGCGGCTGGCAGTGCAGGAGCACGTGGTGGACGCGACGACTCTCCTCTCTTCTTTCCTGGGTGCGTCTCCGCTCTGTCCACCTCACCGATCTTGACCTGACCTGACCTTCTGCCCGACTCGCCAGATCCGACTTCGGCTCCCCAACCCCTCGCCGCAACCACCGCGGAGACATTCACTCCGCCGCTCCTCCGACGCCCTCGAACCGCTCGAGCGCGAGGCGTGCGGCAGCCGGAGCGAACGGCGGGATGCCCCCTTCGACCGCTGGCGCAGGATCCGAACTCGGATTCCCCTCTTCATCCGCTGCTTCCCGTTCTTCTCGTCGTCGCGCCAACGGCGGAGGTGGCGGCGGCGGAGACGGTCCATCTTCGAACGCGGGCGGGATGACGGACGGCGAAGACGAGGACGAGGACGACGATGGACTCGTGACGGTGCTTTGGGGAACGACGGTCACGATTGGAGCGTCGATGAAGGCTTTCGAGTGGTTTCTAAAAGACTTCACGTGCGGTGATAGGCAGGGTTTCGACCCGTGGAGGCTCGAGCAGGTGCGTCTTTCGCTTCTGAGCACAGCTGTCGCTCTCTCTTCTGACGATCACACGACGGTCGCAGGCCCGCAAGAAGCGCACTGAGCTCGAGACCAAGATGAGCGAGGCTCACCTGCGCGGCGAGCTCGACACGGTCGCCATGCTCCGAGGCCAACTCGCGAAAGTCCCCCTCGACTCAGACATCGAATTTGCCTACGCCAAAGAACCTCCTCACAAGAAGCTCTACCAATCCTACCTTGAGCGCATGCGCGACACGGGCCAAACGAACCTCAACCTCGATGTCGTCGACCTCCTCGCTTTCTGCTGGCGCGAGACGCAGGCGCGCGAGGGAGGCGCACGGACGCGCGAAGACCGCGAGTATGCGCAACTGTATCGCAACTTCCTCCTCTACCCGCAAGAGTTGGTCCCGATCCTGGATCAGCAGCTCAAGGACTCGGCGCTCGAGTGGGCTTGTGCAGAGGAGAACTTGGGCGAGGGACCGATGAGGTTGGAGAATGAGCAGCGCGCGAGGGAGATGCATGGTGCGGTGTTCAAGGTGCGCCCGTACGCGGGCGAGAACAAGGTCAACATGCGCGACCTCAACCCGCAAGGTGCGTCCTGCGGGACTCGAGCTTCTTCAGTGTCAAGCGGGGACTGACCGCTTCGTTGTGAGCAGACATCGACAAGATCGTTTGCATCAAGGGTCTCGTCATTCGCGCGACGCCCATCATCCCCGATATGAAGCTGGGTGAGTCGTGCCGTTCCGCCGCTGACAGGACTCGTCGACTGACCCGCTCGCACCGCAGCCTTCTTCCGCTGCAACGCCTGCTCGCACACCGTCACCGTCGAGATCGACCGCGGCAAGATCGCCGAGCCCGACCGGTGCCCTCGCGACGTCTGCAACGTCCAGGGCTCGATGCTCCTCGTGCACAACCGTTGCGAGTTCGCCGACCGCCAGATCGTCCGTCTGCAAGAGACGCCCGACTCGGTGCCGGATGGCCAGACGCCGCACACCGTCTCGCTTGGACTGTACGACGAGCTCGTCGATACTGTCAAGCCCGGTGACCGCGTTACGGTGACCGGTATTTTCCGCTCCGTTCCGGTCCGCCTCAACCCCCGCCAGCGCGTCATCAAGAGTCTGTTCAAGACGTATATCGACGTCTTGCATGTCAAGAAGACGGACAAGCGGCGTATGGGCGTCGATGGATCGACTCGTTCGGCCGACGACAGGCGCGGAGTTGTTGGCGTCGGCATGGAGGACGAGACTGAGCGTCCTGGGCTGTTGCGCGACGACGACGACGAGGACGACTTGTACGGCGACGACGCGCAGAACGAAGACGAACGTCGCGCCTCGACTCACGCGCGGATCAAGGAGAAACTCGTCGAGATCTCGCGCCGACCGGATATCTACGACTACCTTGCGAGGAGTCTGGCGCCGAGTATCTACGAGATGGACGACGTCAAGAAGGGGATTCTCTTGCAGCTCTTTGGAGGGACGAACAAGAGTATCGCCAAGGGTGGAGGAGCGGGAGGGCCGAGGTACCGCGGCGACATCAACGTTTTGCTCGTTGGTGACCCCGGTACGAGTAAGAGTCAGATCTTGCAGGTGCGTCGCAGGACTCGGTCGCCAGCTTCTGTTGGTGAGCGCGAGGCTGACGTACACTGGCCCCTTCTTCCGCACAGTACGTCCACAAGATCGCGCCTCGCGGCGTTTACACCTCGGGCAAGGGTTCGTCCGCTGTCGGCTTAACGGCGTACGTGACCCGCGACCCCGACTCGAAGCAACTCGTCCTCGAATCGTGCGTTAAGCTTGCCAGTTCGCTTTCCCAGGGCCAAGCTGAGTCGGTGACCCACAGAGGCGCTCTCGTCCTCTCTGACGGCGGTGTGTGCTGCATCGACGAGTTTGACAAGATGTCGGACGCGACGAGGAGTGTTTTGCACGAGGTCATGGTTCGTTCCCTCCGCTCCTTTCGCTGCGACCCTCGCTGACACGCTGCCTTCGCGCTCGCAGGAGCAACAAACCGTCTCGATCGCCAAGGCGGGCATCATCACGACCCTCAACGCACGCACGTCCATCCTCGCTGCCGCCAACCCCGTCGGCTCGAAGTACAACCTCAAGTGGCCCATCACGCGCAACATCGACCTCCCGCCAACGCTCATCTCGCGTTTCGACCTCCTCTACCTCGTCCTGGACAAGATTGACGAGCGGAGCGATAGGCAGCTCGCCAAGTTCCTTGTTGGCTTGTACCTCGAGGACAAGCCGCAGACTGCTGGTACCGACATCATGGTGCGCGAGGTTTTCTTCCTCACACTTTCTCTCGCTGACGGCTATCTGGCGGTTGCAGAACATCGAGGACCTCACGGCCTACATCTCCTGGGCGCGCAACCATATCCACCCCGAGCTGACGCCCGAAGCGTCGAACGCGCTGGTCCAAGCATACGTCGAGATGCGCAATGCTGGCGCCGACGCGCGCAGCAACGACCGCAGGATCACGGCGACGACGAGGCAGCTCGAGAGTATGATTCGGCTCAGCGAGGCGCATGCGAGGATGCGTTACTCGGAGAAGGTCGAGGTGCGTTGCGTCCCTCTCCCTGCTTATGGCTGGCTCGCTGACGCTCGCTCCCATACGCAGGTCGAAGACGTGACCGAAGCGAACCGCTTGATCCGCGAAGCGCTCAAGGAGTCGGCTACGGACCCCCTCACCGGCCTGATCGACCTCGACCTCCTCGGCGGCCAGTCCACGCACCAGCGCAAGCTGCGCGGCGACCTGCGTCGCGAACTCGTCGTCCTCCTCTCTACGCCGACCGCCTCGTCCAAGGGCCTCAAGTACGCCGATTTGGTCCGCCAGCTCGAGGCACAGAGTAGCGTCTCGATTGATGCGCAGGAGCTGAGCGAGGTGATCAAGAGCTTGGAGAGTGAGGGCAGTGTGCGGGTGTCGGGCCAGGGGAACGCCAGGATCGTCAAGCTCATTGGCGGGGCGCAGCAGGTCGAGATGTGAGAAGGGGTGTCTTCGCTGAGTGTACCAGGGTTCTCGGGCTGTTTCGTCGCTGTTCTCGTAATGTATCCCACTTCGTGTTTCAATCTATCGGCGTGCATGTGTCTATGGCTCGTGCGAGAGAAGAAAGGGTCTATAGCAACTCGAGGCTCACTTCCCTCCCTCCCATTCATCATTCTCATACGCCGCATCCGTCAGCACCCTACTCAACCCCAGCCTCTTGACATCCTCCCAATCCTCCTCGCTCGCAGCATACCAAAGACCCAGATACAGCAAGCCATTCAACGAGATCGTGAACTCCTGTCCTTCCCTTCCCTCCCCGGTACGAGGGACGTTGACGAGTCGATCTGTCCGGGGAATGAGGTGGATGTGGCGGGATGTGAGGAGGAGATTGTACGATTCGCGTTTTTGGCCCGGTGGAGGAAGACGAGAGGAGTGAATGGTGGAGAGGAATGTTGAGCGTGTGTGGAGGAGGGATTGGTAGAGTTCGAAAAGGGTCGAAGAGGTGAGTGAGGAGTGAGAGGGGAGGGGGTGGTAGAATTGGACCCAGGGGAGGGGGAGGCGAGGGGCGAGAGTGGGTGAGGAGGTGGATGAGCGGGAGGAGGGGGGAGTGGGAGGGAGTGAGCAGGCGATCTGTTCCGGGCCTGGAGGGACAGAGTGCTGGAAGGGGCAGAACTGGATGTCTATGCGGGCAGAGGACGGTGAGCAGAGTTGAAGGGAAGAGACGAGAGCGTGAGGCTTACGGAGATGAGGCTGCGATGCACCGGCGAGAGGACCGCCGCTGTGAAGGCAAAGTCGATGTCAGCTTGCGAGAACGATAGCAGCAGCCTTCGCTTAGGAGCAGACTTGGGACCCGCCAGACTCACTTGAAGAAGATGACTGCCTCGCGGCCGCTATCCGCGTACGCCTTGACGATCCTCCAAGCCGCCCACAGATCGCTCTCGAGCAAGTCGCTCGTCTGAGGCCTAAACGAGTTGCCGTACGTCCCGAAGTGCGGGATCAACATGGCGTGTTCTGTGCAACAAAGGTCCAGGAGCCCCTCTCGACTGGCCGAGGGACGCGGCGACGCACCTGGCATGAGCGCGTGGAGGTTGTGCACGATCGAGTACGTCACGCCGCCTTCCTCCAGGTCGAGGACCTTTTCTCCCCTGCCGTAGTCGGGGCCTTCGAGAGGATCCTTGTCTCGCCGCTTGCTCAGATCGGGGGTCCTGCGAAGCGCCGAGTCAGCTTTGAAGGACAATCAGAATTAGCTGTTCGACTTACTTGGGCGGCACAGCTGGCTTATCTGCGAGTTGAGGGACGATATGGCCCCAATGTTCAAACACGTCCTGGACCGGCTCGCAGCTCGTCGAGGCGTACAAGTGGATGTATCCTGCCTCTTCCGACTCTGCGAACGAGCTGGCGACCCTGTCTGGGATGTGTGCGTCCATGGCGAGTGTGCGTGTGTGGACGCGATGAGAGGGGGTCGTAGAGCGGTGACGGCTGGACGGGGGCGAGCGGGGGTTGGACGAGCGTGTAGCAGGAGTCTAGCACAGTCTATCGAGCCACTCAAACCGCGCCCTCGTCGAGAGCGACGAGATGTCAACTTTCATCACCCAGCACCCCAAAACACCTGTTCTCGTTCACTCCCGCTCGCACCGTTCGCTGGGTTGTGCTGCTCGTTGCGACTGTGCAGCAAACTCGCAAAGGTCTCTGGAGCCAGTCGCCCAACTCGCACGCCGCCCGACGCTCTCCCCATCTCGCGAGCCAGCCTCCCTCACCTCGACCGCTCTCTCGCTCGACCACGGCACAGGGAGACCGAGGAGGACACGGTGTGACGACGAGACGGACAGGAGGTGCGTGTCAGTCCTTCCCCGGCCTCGTCACGACTCTCGCACCCCTTGCTGCGCTCCTCCCTCTGCCTCGTCCTCCTGGCATGCGAATCTCTTCCCGCCGTCACGGATCGACAGCAAACTGACTTGCTTCGCCTTCGCCCACGACGATCCTGCGACACAAACTATGCAGCTCTAGCTACGGCACGCCTGAGACTCGGCCTATCTCTCCACCTCGCCGACGCACACTCCTCTGTTCTGGACCGCGATCACGCTCTCCCCCTCCTCGCCTTTCGCACTTGAATCCCTCCTTCGCCCGCTCTCTACCTCTCGCCACTCCCAGCTACTCGTCCTCGAGACGTTAGATGGCAGATCCCGCCCCTCTCGATCCCTCCTCCTCCTCCCGCCCTCCCCTCATCCGCGGCTCTACCAACCCCCAACCCACCATGCACGCCTCTCCTCCCCTCCTCGACGCGTCCAACGACCTCTCACTCGCTCGGCCACGGTCTGCACAACCGGGACAGGCAGAGGCGGTGGTCAAGAAGGCGTTGAGTTCGGACGAGTTTGTCAGGAGGACCAAGAGGGGTGAGCAGGAGTTGGGGGACGAGGAGGGGGGTAAGAGGAGGTACGTCAGTGCTGGGGAGGGCGCGGCAAAGAAGGGCGATGAGAAGGCGGGAGAGTCGGGCCAGGCGCACCAGCAGCAGCAGAGGATCCCGACTTCGAGGCCGACCAGTCCCGTCACGCACCATCACGCGCGCTTTCCTCGCTCGGGTCTAAACAGCGCGAACTCGCGCTCGTCTAGCACGGGCACAAGTCAAGCAGGCTCGTCGTCGGGCGCGTCTTCCTCCGCCTCTTCCTCCCGCACTACCAAACCCCGATCGCGGTCTCGCCTACCCCTCGTCCTCCCTTCTCACGCTTCACACCTCTCCACGCCCTCCTCGACGCCCCTCCCAAGTCCATCAAGCGACACGCGTCCCCGCTCCTCACTCTTCCTCTCCCTCTCGCTCGGCCCGATTCCGCCTTGCGTCACTCCGACGGAGGTCGTCGCCTGTGGCGGCGAAGCGGGAGGGAGGGCGCTCGAGGCACAGGTCCAGGAGACGGATCATCAGATGCAGCATGCGTCGGCGCCGGAGAAGACGTTGCCCAGCCCGCTGGCGAGTCCGAGGAACCGCGTTCCCCTGGCCCTCACACCGACGCTCTCGGAGGACGACCGCGCCGAGCCGAGGCCGCAGCAGAGTCGGCGCCCGTCGTCTCTCGCGCCGATGTCGACTTCGCGCCCGCTCTCATCCCTCCAAGCACCCGAAGCGTCTCTCCCTTCGCCCGCCCTGTCCGGCTCGTCGTCGACCAACTCATTCACCTCGGCCGATTACACCGGTCTCGCGTGTCCCGTCCCTGTCCGCCCATCGCGCATGTCGCTCGCGATGCAGAAATCGGCTTCGACGGGCGCTGTTCCGGGTCGACGAAGGGCCTCGGGACGCTCGCCCGCATCGACGTCGCCTCCTCGCCATCACGAAGCAGAGGGCGACGAGTCGAAGCGTCCGCCCATCGCGACGTTTACCTCGTTCGAAGAGGCGTTCGGGTTGAGTGCCCCGCTGAGTCCGCCGCCTTCGCCTCCTCCGCGCGAACCGACTCCGCCGCCGGCTTCCAAGAGCTGGTGGCCTCTCTGAGCATAGCATCCCCTTTCGCATCCTTTCCATTGTCCATCGTCTCATTCAGGTTGTTGTTTCGTCCCCTCCGCCCGGCCTGTCCCGTTCGTTGCATTCCCGCATGATATGCCTCCCTCTGTGCCATCTCGCAATCGCAGTCGTCGTTCACCATTGAGCGTTCTGCGCACGAGTGAGTGTGAGCGGGAGTCCGTCGTCGCTGTCGGCAACACACGGTCGCGTCTTTGCTCTTCTCGCTCGCTCACACCGCTCTCGCCAACCATGCGCGCGACTGTATTGCTCCGGAACGCCTACAACAGGTCCAACACCGCAGCCTTCATCGGCCTCGGGTGCGCTCACTCGCTCACCCTCCTCGCTCCCCACCTCTCGGATACTGACCCGCACACACAGCGCCATGGGGCGCGGGATGGCCGCCAACCTGCTCGACAAGTCCTTCGCGGGCTCGCAAGGTGCATGGGGAGCCGAAGCTGCGCGCAAGGGCGAACGAGGGGCGTTCGTCGTCTACGATGCGTTCCCCTCGGCTCTCAACCAGTTCCTCTCGTCCCACACCAACGCTTTCGCAGGCCGCGACGTCCTCCCTGCTTCGAGTCCTGCGGGGGCGACGAGGCTCGCGAGTACGATCGTGACCATGTTGCCGAGTTCGAAGGAGGTGGAGGAGGTCTACCTTGGCGAGAATGGGATCAGGGAGGCGCTTGAAGGCATGAGCGACGAGAAGAGGAGGGAGACGCTGTTGATTGATTGTACGACGGGTGACAGGGAGGAGGCGATTCGGGTTGCGAAGGAGATGGAGAGTCTGGGCGTCAAGATGGTGGATGCGCCGGTTAGTGGAGGTGTTGTGGGCGCGGAGAAGGGCACGCTCAGCTTTATGGTCGGCGGGTCGGAAGAGGCGTGCGTTCGCTTCTCTTTCCACCGCTTCGGGCCGAGATGTTTACGACGTGCGCCGCAACAGCTTCGCCCAGGCGCAACCTTTCCTCCAGAAGATGGGCGCGCGGTACATCCACTGCGGCGCCTCAGGCAACGGATTGTGCGTCTGGCCCGACATCTTGCTCTCGCTGTGACTGACGAAGCTCGCGAGGCAGGGCTGTTAAGATCTGCAACAAGTTCGTCTCGTCTCCTCGCGTCCCCCGTCTGACCTTCCCAATCTTACGCCTCTTTACGCCGCAGTCTCTTGCTCGGCATCTCGATGATCGGCACTGCGTGAGTCCCCTGAGCTCCAACCCTCCAACGCAAGACTGACAGACTTCGCACGCTCGCAGCGAGGCCATGCTTCTCGGCAAATCGCTCGGCCTCTCCTCTGAGCTGCTCGCAACCGTAATCAACACCTCCGTTCGTCCCAACTCCTCCCCTTCGCACTCCCCAGACTGACCGGACGATGAGGGGACAGACCGGTCGCTGCTGGTCGAGCGAGACGAACAACCCTGCGCCTAAAGCGACTCCTACGATTCCAACGCCGGCAGATCGTGGCTACACGGGCGGGTTCTTGTCGAAGCTCATGTCCAAAGGTGGCGTCTCCCCTCCCCCTTCCCTCGAACAACCTTCTCACCCCTCGCCTAACCTTCGCAACCCTCGCTTTGGCACAGACCTCAACCTCGCCCTAACTTCCGCCTCACGCTCCGGTGTCCCCCTTCCCCTGGGCCAACTCTCCGGCACACTGTACCAGAAACTCTCGGCGCACGAGGAGTTTGCAGGAAGGGACTTTAGTGTCGTGTATCGGTATTTGGAGGAGGCTATGGAGGGCGGGTTTGGGGAGAAGAGCGGCAAGAAGGGGGAGTAGAGGTAGAGGAAGGGCGAGGAGAAAATGAATTCACCTTCGAGCTTCTTGGCGAGTCTGGTGGAGTTCTCGCTCGTCGCCCGGGGGGAAAGAGAAGAGAGCATCTATCGTAGCAGCGTGTAGGGAGAACTATGTACATCTACAAGAAGAGGGTAGGCAGAAGAATAAGGATAATGCGTCGTCTCTCCTCGCCTCTCGTCGCCTTGTCTCGTCCCCCTGCAATCATACCGCCTCGACTTCCTCCCTCATCTTGACCTTTCACCCTCACCGCACCATCACAGCCACTCCAGCCACTCCCAACGCAACGATCCAAACCTTCCTCCCCCCTCGCCCCCTCTCAGCACCCGACTTTGGCCGTCCCGTCCCTCCTCCCAAACCTATACTTCCATTTGCTCCTTCCGTAGCTGTAGCCGACGCGGTGGCGGTTGGAGAGGTGGTGGGTATTGAGAGAGAGCGGGAGGGGAAGGTGGTTGAGGAGAGGGAGGAGGAGGTTGGTGTGGGAGTGGGAGGGAGACTGGAGGGGGAGGACGTCGTTGGTGATGGTGAGGTGGAGGAGCTGAGAGACTGCGCGAGTGACGAGAGTCAGATCATGACCTGATACGCCTACCGCCGAATTCGCCGGAGAAAAGACGAGCGCGACGGCACGCAACGGAAGAGCCGACTCACCTCCGCAATCACATTCGCCAACAACCGATGCACAGCCCACGTCGGATGGTAGTTATTCCACCAGACATACTCTGACATTGGCCATGTGCACTGAGGGAGTGTGAGGTTGGGCATGCCTTGCACGACGGAGTAGTCTTCGCAGTAGGTCGTCGTGTCGACGAAGCCGTATGCGCGGGGAGAGGCGAGCAGGGCGCGGAAGAAGGGCTGGGTGTCGAAGACGAAGACGGAGGTGCCTGGGAAGAGAGAGGGGAGGGAGTTCGCGTAGGAGGCAATCTCGCCGTTGTACCTGGGCCAGAGTGACGGTCAGGGACATCGCAAGCGCCGTCTGCACAAAGTGAACGCACTGTCCGACCCAAGCTGCGAAGAGTGGAACCGCAGGCGGTACTGACTGGACGAGCGGGGTCTGGTCGGTCGGAGGGACACCGAGAACAAGGAAGTTACGAGCGCCGCCAGCGTATAGCGCAGCAAAGTTGCGATTCCACTGATCTGCCGAGTCAAGCGGGGAGCCGTGAGCAAGTGCAGCGGGGAAGCGAGAAGAAGGGGACTCACCGAAAATCGCAGGAATCAAGTCCGTCAAGTTCTGATTGTTCTGATACGCTCGGCCGATATCGTTGATGCCCATCCAAACTGCAAAGAGCGTTCTTGCAGGATCCCATCTCGCCTGGTTGGTCACAAGCGCCTGTCCGTTCGGCGCCGAAAAGTACTTCGAGAATGTAGCGGTCTGGGTGTTGAAGTCGTCGGAAGTGTCGTTGACGATGGCGTTGTCAGTCGTCGCGCCTGAGACGGCGAGGTCGTAGAGCGTGATGGGATGGGAGGAATTGAGGGTCGAGAGGTATTGAAGCCAGACTGCGGAGACTCGGCGGTCAGCTTCTGCGGCTGAGCGAGGGACTCAGGATGATATTCTGCTCACTGTAGCCTCCCGACACAGTCTGTGGGAAGAGAGCGGGAGATCAGCTTGGCAAACAGGGAAGAGACGGGACGGAACGTACGCCCTCCATGCCGGGGAAATTATTGACGCCCAATGCCGGGTTGTAGCCAGTCGCACTGTAAGAATCTGCGCGACAAAAGATCAGCCGATTTGTCCATTGCACAGAGCCTCGAGAATCAACCAACCTCCGAATGCGAATCTGCGCGATAAGCGCGACTCGTCAGCAAGTACGCCTGGCGAGAGGGCGTGAGCGCACGCACATAGTGTCAATGTCGTCTAGTACAATGCTCGGGGTTGCCTGCGCCCGCACGCCTCGGAAAGCGGAACATCCGATGAGGAGGAGAACGAGGGTGAGGAGGCGCGAGGACGCCGTCGTAGGCCCGCGCGATGATCTTGGCATGTCGCGAGGGGCAGTCTACAGAGGACGATACCGGTCGCTCGTCTGTACATGCGCTGATAGAGTTGCTGGAGTGCTGTGGGGGATGCTCTGAATGACGGAGGAGAGTTGGCGGGCGAAGGAGCGGTGGAAACGAGTCTAGGGACAGCAGAGCACGGCATAGACACGTAAGGAGCGATCGAGGGCTACAGCATGGCGGAAGGAGTGAAAGCTGTGAGCGATCGAGGAGGAAGAGGGGCAGCGTGAGGGCGGACAAGCTCGGCGGGCTTTGCAGCTTGATGACGGCAGCACAAGATGGCGGGGACGCTCACTTTCCCTGGAAAGAGTGCAGCGCCTTCCAGAGAAAGCGGGAGAGACGGAACCTACTTCCTCTTCGCATCAAACTTGTCCCTCTCTAAGCACCGAATGCGCGAGCGAGCGGAAGGGAGTTGCGAGGCGCTAGTCTATGTTACTGTTGTGGACCTCGAAGGGACCTACGGGCTAAGGTCGTCAATGTCGGCGCTCTTGACCTTTCCGTCGAGCAGAAGTTCCGCCATGACGTATCCCGTTCCCGGCCCTGCTCCGTGACGAGTCGTTAGCTGTGAGCAAAAGGCGAGCGTGGTCCGTCCTCACGCACCATTGCAGATCCCCCAGCACGAGTGACCCGACGCGACATACGCTCCCTGCGCAATCTCGCCAATGACCGGATCGCCCGACCCACCAGGCAAGTAGCAAGCCTGACGCCGCTCAACAGTCGCGCTGTACTGGCCGTTCTCCGTCGAGAGGTAGTCAGGAGCGAGGCGGGCGGCTTGCGAGATGAGGAGGTCAATGGCTGAGGATTCGGTCGAGACGGAGGAGGCGAGAGTAGGCAGGGCGGAGGAGTCTGTCGGGCCGCAGATGTAGCTGGTGCCGTCGGGACGGTCTGCGGGGGCGTCAGTGTCAGCGCATCAACCGAGTTGACTGACAACCGCATGCCAGCAATAATAGCACGAGTCTGCCAGCACAGCGATTTCAGCTCGGAAAAGCTGAGGCAGACTCACTGTACACCTCAGGCTCCGCATGCCGTCCACCGACCTCCTTAATCGACGTGAAGAGCGCCTGAGCAGGCAACTCCCGTCCCGGCGCCGTCTTCAACACGATCGAGTGCGCCCGACTGCCCTTGATCGCCTTCGCTCGGCCAGCCTGCTTGTCCAACCCGAGCTTGGAGAGGAGCTTGCCAGTCCAAGGACCTGCAGCGACGACCACATCCGTGACTGGCACGGTCGCGCGGTCCTGCGAGGAGTCGCGGGGCGAGACAGAGAGATCGTAGCCGCCGTCCGCCCGATCCTGCGCGCCCTCAACCGAGCCATACACGACCTTGACACCGAGCTTCTCCGCCTCCTCGACCATCGCGCGCGTGAACTGCTCCGGGTGCACCTGCGACGTCGTGTCCTGGCTTCCCAGCACATCTGACGCGGTCAATACGTCCTTGTTGAGCCAGGGGAAGAGCTCAGCGCCCTTGAGCTTTCTCGAGCGACTGCTAAGTTTGGCGGAAGAGGATGAGGAGGAGAGGTCGGCGGAAACGCTGAGGGTGTCCAGGCGCCGGTATCCCCATCGGTCTGCTCCGCCGTACTCCGCGGCAAGTTCAGAGTGTAGTCGGTAAGATAAGGCGGCGAGAGAAGCCGTCGACGGCCTATACCACGAAAGGTTTTGGATTTACGTCAGCGGAAGAGGGTGGCGACGAGGAAGTAAACGAGACGCACCCGTGCCAGTCCAACGCTAGTAGTCCTCCCGCCTTCCCAGACGCTCCAGCTGCCACAGACGAACCCTCGAACAGCGTGATGTCGACTGGCAACGACCGTTCGCGAGCGAGTCGAGCGGTCCAAAAGGCGGTGGAGCTGCCGATGATGCCGCCGCCGACGATGCCGATGTGTCTAGGGGAGCTCATGACTCGAGTACAAAGCGTTCCAGCCAGCAAGAGCGGGTGTGAAGCGAGGAAGTGACTGGTCGAGGTCGAAGGAGCTCCACCTGCAGCGGGTTGGCCTCGTTCACCTCGCTCGCCTCGCCAGATCGCGCTGCTGACGCTCAAATGGCAGCGCCAAAGCCACGCTTCTTCCTCGGCTCAAAGCGCGGCGGCGCCGCTCCTTCCTCCGCATCCCGCACCTCGACTCCATCCTCATCAGCTCGCGCGACACCCTCCTCGTCAAAGGTTCCGCCGCCGCCTGCGGATGCGCCAATACTCGGAGCGGATGGAGATAGAAGGATGCAAGAGTTCTCGAGCCCGGACGACGTTTGCCCCGTGTGCAAGGTTGACCGGTACCTCAACCCGAAACTGAGGCTCATGGTCAGCAAGTGCTACCACAAGATGTGCGTTCGTCTAGCGCTCTCTGGGACGTTGTTGCTGGTACTGACCGCTCGTCGCCTTCTTCTGCGGGACACGGACTTGCAGGTGAGTGGGTTCTGCTGACATGACTGAGGTCACGCCCTCCCACACGCTTGGGAGGAGCATCGCGTCATTCTTCTTGATCAAGAGAGCCACACTCACACGTCTCCAATCCTCCCACAGGTGCGAATCCTGCCTCGACCGCCTCTTCTCCCTCGGCCCCGAACCCTGTCCCGTCTGTGGCCAAACCATCCGCAAGTCGCAGTTCCAGCCCCAGATCTTTGAGAACCTCGAGGTGCAGAAGGAGGTTGCGGTGCGGAAACGGACGGCGAAGATGTGAGTGGCTGCGGACGTGCGAGATGCGGAACGGGGCTGACGAGTTCGTCGCCCGTCCTGCTCATTGCACGCCGTTGGGTCCCTCGCAGCTTCAACAAATCACGCGAAGACTTCCCCTCCGACGCAGCATACAACGACTACCTCGAAGAATACGAATCAATCACCTTCTCCCTAATCCACGCCATCGGGTCCGACCTCGCCGCGACAGAAGCGAAAATCCGAGCATATGAGTTGCAGAACCGGCAGAGTATTGAGGACAATGAGGAGAGGAGGGAGAGGGAGAAGGCGGAATTGGAGGCGAGGGAGAAGGGGGAGAGGGAGTGGAGGGAGTTGGAGAGGAGACGGTATATGGAGGAGGAGGAGCGGTTGGCGAAGGAGAAGGAGGCGGACAGGCGGAAGGTGCTGCAGCTGCTCGTGCGTTGTGCTGTTCCTGCTTGCTCTTCTCTAGCGAACAGGAGCTGACGGTCTCTCGCACCTTCCTCCGTCGTCTCGTTCATTCTTGTCACGCCGCACTCCCCTACGCCCTTCTCTGCGCTCACCGTCTCGCAGGAATCGGGCACAGCCGATGCCGCCAGCATCGTCGCCGCCTCTCGAAAACGCTCCTCCGCCCGCGACGCCTTCCCCTCGACCGACGAAGCCGGCATTCCCCGCCTCAAATTCCTCGCCAACCTGACCAACAAATCACACTCTCCCTCCTCCGAGCCCGAAGAACCGCTCGACGCGCTCGACCCGCTGGACAACGAGACGCTGTACGACTCGTACGACGCGCTGTATACAATCTTCCCTCGACTATCGGTCGCGAGGGAGAGTGGGGGAAAGTCGTATGATCCTGGCGTTGGTGCGTTGGTCAAGGAGGCGGGAACGGCGGATGAGGGCGGGTTCAGGGTCGAGGAGGTCTGGGAGAAGGCGGTTAGGAGTGCGGTGGCGGGGTTGTGGGATGCGCCGCTGGGCTGGGAGGATCCGGGAATGAGTGCAGAGGGGAACGGCGTGGCGGCGACTGCCATGCAGGTTGACGTTGCGGGATGAGCGGCGATTGGCGACTTTGCAGGGTTTCAGGACCTCCGCCCGTCGCCAGCCGTCCTCCCTCGGGACACAGGTGTACGGTGGTCATGCAAGACTACTCATTCACCTTGACCAGCCAGGACTGATCAGCTGGAGAGAGATGCGACGCCTTTTCCTCTTGGAGACGGCTGCCTCTCGCCTCTTCTTCTGCTCCGCGTGGACCTTCTGGACCTTCCGTGCGCTAGCAGTGCTCAGAATGTTTGCCCGTCGTGAAAAGCTGTCTGTGGCTCGCAATTTACCAGTTCACCCACGGTCGTCTCCTTCCCCGTCCAGCGTCCAGCCCTCCTTCTGCTCAACGACTCGACCATCCTCTGAGCTCTGACTGACTCGCTAGACTGGTTTGTATGGCACACTTGAGTGCGACGCAGCGCTCAGCGTCGCCCGTCAGCCCGCTCTCGCGTCCACACGACTGGCCCACCTCCAACTCCTCCCCACATCGCTCGTCGTCCTCATCCCTCGCACAGACGCGCACGCCGGCTTCCGAGTCGAACGAGCAACGGAGAAGACAGATAGAGGATGTGTGCGGGCATGTCAGGCTCGTGAGGGACGGCGAGAAACCGGCGTTCGAACTGCTCGTCCTCGTGAGTTCTCTAGATCCAGCCGCGCTCGCTCGCCCTTCTGGCGGTCTTGCGGGCGCTCATACAAGCTGCTAACGATCTGTTCGAACGCTTGCAGGGCTGCGGAGGCGGTCCCATCGAGACAAACCTTAGCAGTTTCCTCGTGAAGCCTTACGGCCGGAAGTGGACAGACGGATGCACTGGTCTCGAGGGTACGTTCCGCCTTCGTCGCCCTCACCCTCGTCTCACTCTCGCACCGTACATCTCACGCTGACCCGCTCTCTCCATTGTGCAGGAGGTTCGACAATCGGAGCCCTTGCCCATCTCGTCGAGCGGAATCCGTACGCTTTCGAAGGTTTCGGACTGGGCATTGGTGTGGACGCGGATGAGCTGGAGGAGGCGGCGCAGGGACGGGCGGGGAAGAAGAAGCAGGTTGGTGTTGGGAGGGAGGGAGGAGGGAAGGCGGCGGGGAGAATATGGGATATGATTCGGTGCGTCTCCGCGCTTTCTGTGCAGATGCATGCCTGCCCCTTTTCCACAGGAGTCGGGCGGTGCTACGCGGAAGCCTGCGAGCGCGGACTCGCTGACACCGTCTGCACAACAGCTGCTTCGCCATCACCCACGCCCACCTCGACCATATCGCCGGCCTGATAATCTCCTCCGCCGCATGTCGACCGCCCCCCAAACCAGTCTACGGCATCCAGCGAACGATCGCGAATATCGAGCGGGTGATGGATGGCGGACCGTGGCCGGTTTTGGGCGGATGGGACGAGGGCGTGACGATTGGACGGGCATATCATTACAAGCAGTGCGTTGCGGTGCCTTTTCGTCGCTGTCGGAGGTCTGAAGACCCGGAGTGTTGGAAGACGGCGACGGCACGGCGGCAGAAGGAAGGCATTGCCTGGCGATTGCTGAGCCAGCTGCGCCACTGTCGGGCTGATGTTCAACCTTCCATGCTGACAACGCTCTAACTCACTTCAACAGCATCCCCATGCCTTCTCCTCCCTCCCTCCCCCTCTCCGACTCGCTCTCCTTCACCGCCTACCCCCTCTCACACGGCACCGATCCGTCCTTCTTCCACAAGAACAAGAAGAAGGGACACTCTGCCTCGAACGGTGACGGGAATGCGTGTCTAGTGGAGTGCTATGACTCGACGGCGTTCTTTGTCAGAGAGGAGGAGAGCGGGAAGGAGATGTTGTTCTTTGGGGATGTTGAGCCGGGTGCGCTCGTTTGCTTCTTCTCGTGCGACTACGCAGGCTGACGTACTGGTGTGCGCAGACTCGATTTCGCAGCGGAGCTTGAACCGGAATATCTGGAAAGTTGCGGCGCCGAAGATCGCGCGAGGCGACTTGAGCATCATCTTCCTCGAGTGCAGCTATCCGGTTCGTCCCTCCCTCCCCTCTCCGCGTTGAGCTCGTATTGACTACGTATTGTGCGCAGTCCTCACAACCGAAGGATAAGCTGTTCGGACACTTCTCGCCGCCGTACATCCTCGAGGAGATGGAGGTCTTGGCGGAGCTGGTGATCGAGGCGCGGAAGGCGAACGGCGAGAGTGGGGAAGAGGCGGAGCGGGATCCCCTGCGCGATGTGATCGGTGAGTCGGGCGAGGAGAACTCTGTCAAGAGTGGTCTTGCTCACCCACCCATTCGTCCGCCCGCAGTCGTCATCCAGCACATCAAGGATGACATCTTCACCTTCTCGAGCCCGATGTCGGACGCCCCTCCTCCCGTTCCTCCCAAAGCCGTCCCCTCACGAACCAACTCCCCCCTGCCTCCGCTACCCGACTCCGCCCAGCAAACCCTCCATCCTCCACTCGCGACAACCCGCCCAACATCCCGCAGTCTCCCCTCCACCTCGAATTCGCGCTCCCCGTCTCGACCCTTCACGATGCACGACTCTCCCCTCCTCTCGATGTCCCCTCCCGCTCCGTCCGTCCCGATCCGCCGACCCTCCTCAGCGGCATTCGCATTCTCCTCGACCTTCCCCGCTTCAAGCATGTCCTTCACTACGCTCCCGACCGGTCCAGGGTCGAGACTGAGCATGAGTCTCGACGTCTCGCCTACTGGATCGGCTGGGTCAGGTCCGGGCGCGGGGAGGAGGGTTAGCACGCCCGCTGCGTTTTCCCATGCGCACGAGAGCGGCCGAAGTGCGTGGACAGGTCGGGCGAACCCGTTCTCCCTCTCCCCTGTTGGGTCACCCGCTCGCTCGCCTGCTCGAGCGGACCTGCTCAGTCCTACGACCACGACGACGAGCGGTTCAAGTCCCGCAGGAGGGGCACTCGCACCCCCTCTCGAGCTCGTCTCGGACTTGCGAGAGCGAGGCAGACCAGCGCGGTTGGACGCAGACGAGCTCGCGAAGCGCGTCAGTACCGCTCCGATCCTCGAGGAGGAGGACCAAGAATCTTCCTCCTCGTCCTCGGAAGAGATGGTCGAAGAGACGGTCCACGAACGGATCGAGCGCGAACTAAACGAGTTGGAGGAGATGGCGGGGACGGGGGTGAGGTTCTTGATTGCGAGGCAGGGGATGAGGCTGGGTGCGTCTCTCGCTTTTCTTTCCTTGGTGGTTTCTGCTGCGAGCAACGAGCTGATTCGCGCGCGTTGGGCAGTCTTTTGAGTCGAGAGAGACAGCGGGAGGTTTACCCTTACCCTTACCCCTTAACCATCCTGTAGAAACATGTGCATATCTTGTCAAATCCGAAGCAACTGCGCCCCCCCCCCTCCTCTCGGTTCTCGTATCGAGGTGCTGAAGGTCCGCCGCGCGTTGCACAAGCTTCCGTCTACCCGGCCCTCCGCGCCGTATTGACAAACCCAGTCCCAACGCAACTGAGGACATACTCTTCCCGCTCTTTTCCCAGGCCGTTCGCTCCTTCTGCGTCGTCGTCGGCGGCGGCGTCGGCGGTGGCGGAAGAAGGGAGAGAGGGGACAGGCTTGATCTTGAACGTCGTACCAAAGAAAGCCTTCAAGTCCCTCAAATGCGCGATCCTGTAATCCCCACCAACCAACCGCAACCAATCAGCTCTTCTCCTCCCTCGCACACACGAGCTCAAGGCAAAGAATCGACGTACAAAGCCGCATCAAGCGGACCAGCCACCCTCACTTTTCCGACGTCTTCCCCGCCCAATACAAGAAGGGTAGTGACGAGCCATTCCCAGCCTCTGTCTACGCATCCTCCGCGGGCGATTTGTGAGAGGAGTGCGCGCGCGGCGAGGATGCCCAGATCTTCGGGCGTTTGGGGGGCGGTAGAGGAGGAGGAGGAGGAGGAGGAAGGGGAAGGGCAGGACGAGGATTCGGAGGAGTGCAGGACGTGAGAGGTTGATGATGCGACGAGGGTGATCGCATATCCGGGGGACCTGTCGCCAACTCATCAACACACGTCGGAGGGAGGAAGAGAGGAGGGGGACGCACTTCCCGCTATCTTCTCCCCGGTAGACGTCGGTGTAGATATAGATATCGGGGATGTAGCGGTTCAAGACGCTTCGGGCGGAAGCGACGAGTCGGTTTGCGAGTTGAGGCGAGACGCGGACCGAGTGGCTGTTTCCCACGCATCAGCTCGACTCAACTCGAGAGCAAGGGGGGAGGACGCACGCAATTCCTCGGATTTTGGAGATGCGACCGAGGGAGGTGAATTCGAAGCCGGATTTGATGGCGCGGACTGAGGGACAGGTTAGGGTTACTTCGCCGCCGCCGAGAGGAGGGTGTCCGCGTTTCGTGATCTGCGCGAGCGGGCGGGCGGGCGTCAGTAAAGTACAGAGGAAGAGGAAGAGCGGTCAGACGCACCCGCAACTCGACGCCCTCCTTGTCGAGGAACATGGCGAGGTGAGGCAACCCGCTCGTCCTGACCACATCCACGCTCGCGTCCCTCCCATCCGTCGTGACGCCCCTCAACGTCAAACTGAGATCCTTCTTCCCAAACGGCGCGATCGCCAACAGCGGTTCGAGGAACCACCCTACGCCTCGTTCGAGCGGACACTGGTGGGTGATTTGGCCGTTCTGGATCGTGCCGGGGTGGAAGAGGACGCTTGTGCCGGTATAGCTGATCTCGACCCTCGAACCCTGGGTGAGTTTCTCCACCAAGCGGAGGAAGGAGACCTCGTAGACTCTCAAGCCGGGGTTGTCGTCGTCTGGCCTGATCCGGTCTATCCGTACTGGTCGGCGAGAGAGGAGGGAGAGGACGAGGCGGTGCCGGAATCGGGCGTGGCCTGTGAAGTGGAGTACGCGCGAGGACGAGGTTGGAGCGTGGGTGGTTGAGGATGAGGAGGCAGAAGACGGTGGCAAGCGCTGTGCGGCCCTGTTGCATTGTTGTAGTGGGTTGTCAGTGATGCTTTGCGTGACTAGAGTGTGTGTATGGCTCACATGCTGGGTGGTCGAGGTGAGCGGGCGAGGTCGAGAGCAGGCGAGCGTTGATGGCGAGGAAGCTCACCCGCGGACCTAACCGGACTTAGCACGGGCGACTCTCTAAGCTGGCTAGTAATGCAGAGTAGAGTATAGTAGTATACTGTATTAGGCTACAAGTATCGGCTGAAGCCTGCCCGAGTGAGCGAGGTTGACCTTGGCCTCGTCGTCCTCCTCGTCGCTCTCTCGCTCACTCACAACTCGCCTGCTCACCGCGAGGGACCACGCTGCTGCTGTCAGACCCTTGCTAGGACCGCATCAGGACCACCCAGCTCGACCCGAACGAGCCGCACTCCCTTCTCCCTCGTCCACCACCCACCCACTCAGCGTCGTCATCCTCTCCCCTCCTCCTTACCTCGCACCGCCTGAATAGCCCTCCCAAAGATGGCCACCACCACTCCTACTCTCCTCACTCTCTCGACCCAACCCTGCCACGTCCACCCTCTCGTCCTCCTCTCGATCCAAGACCACTTTCACCGCGTAGCAAAGAACACACGCAAGAGGGTTGTCGGGATCTTGTTGGGACAGGAGTTGCAGAAGGGGGGTTGGGAGGTCACGAATTCGTTTGCGGGTGAGTTCGGGCCTGCCTTTCGCTGGGTCTGTCGGATGCCAGGTTGAGCAGCCGGGGGATAGACTCTCTCTCCTAGGCGCTCTCCAGCCACGCAGAGAGTTCAGCACTAATGAATTCTGTGCGCACAGTGCCGTTCGAAGAGGACGAGAAGGACCCGCGAACGTGGTTCCTCGACCACAACTACATCGAAGCGATGAACGACATGTTCAAAAAGGTCAACGGTGCGTCCCTCATCCCCCCCTCACTCCCACCCATCCTACTGTCCCAGCACGCTGACACCCGCACGTTTCTAGCTCGCGAAAAGCTCATCGGGTGGTACCACACCGGTCCGCGCCTGCGCGCTTCCGACCTCGAGATCAACGCCGTCGTCAAGCGGTACACGCAGAGACCTATCATGGTTATTGTCGATGTCAGGCCGGATGAGGAGCGTGCGGGAGGAGGTGGGGGGATCCCGACGGATGCGTATGTTGCGGTTGAGGAGATCAAGGATGTGAGTCCGCTTGCTTGCTCTTTCGGCGATTCGCTTCGCTCGGAGCGGAAACTGATTGAAGTCGCTGAGCGGCATAACAGGACGGCACGGCCTCGCAACACACCTTCATCCACGTCCCCTCGCTCATCTCTGCCTCGGAAGCCGAAGAAATCGGTGTCGAGCACCTCCTGCGCGACATCTCCTCTACGGCGCTCACAACCGGTTCTCTCTCCACCCGCGTCTCGTCACAACTCTCTTCGCTGCGCGGATTGGGCGCGAGGTTGGTCGAGATTAGGGATTACTTGACCGAGGTCGTCGAGGGGAAACTTGGAGTCAATCAGCAGATTGTGGCGAACTTGCAGGACGTGTTCAACCTCCTTCCGAACCTCGAGGCAGCGGTGCAGGGCGGGATGGTTGCGGAACCTCTGACGAGCGAGGAAGGCGAAGGCGGGGTGGGTGGGAGGAAGAGGCCTTTCACGGTCGCGACGAACGATCAGTTGTTGGTCATGTACCTCAGCTCGTTGATTCGGACTGTCATCGCGTTGCATGACCTGGTGCGTCTTTGATCTTGTCCCTTCCTCTGCGCGGGAACGGATGACGCTCACGTCGGTGTGTTTGAGCAGGTGTTGAACAAGCAGGCTGCGGCGGCTGCTGCGGATGGCGATCTCGATGAGGACGAGGCGAGCGCGGACAAGAAGGAGGGTGAGAAGAAGGAGGGCGAGAAAGACAAGGGGGGGAAGAAGGACGAGAAGAGCGACAAGGAGAAGGCGAAGGAGTGGTTCAAGGGCGACGAGAAGGGGCATTAGTCCACCGGTCCTCGAGTCGCTTGCAAGGTCGTTACAATCAGCTCTACGAGGATTGAAGAGGGAAGTGTTTGTTCGCGTGAGAGGACGACGACAGGGTTCATCTCCCCCTTCACACCTCGTCACCGCTCCTCGCGCGTGTTCAAGGCCCCCAGCTACTCTCTCAAGCTTGATGAACTTCTCTCAATTCGCCTCCAACCTCCTCGCCTCCTCCCAACCCTTGACGACCCAACCCCCACTCTTCATCTCATCCCGAGCAGACCGCCACCCACGCCCTCGCGCTGCGCACGAAGAGGGGGACGTACTGGGATTGGTGGAGGAGTCAGAGGTGTTTGGTACCAGGGCGGGCGGGGGGAAGGGGAAGGGTAGGGTGCGGGAGGTTGATGACGGACAGGAAGAGGAGAGCGAGGACGACGAGCCGCCTGCTTCGCTTGTTGCGCCTCGGACAGGCTCACACGATGCACGAGGAGCCCTGCCCGCTTTCGTAGCAAAGTTCGGGATGACTGCGCCTGGAGCGGGAGGAGGAGGAGGGCGGGGGTGGAAGGCTTACGAGTCGATTGCTGCGTCTGCCGCTGCCTTTCGACACGGACGAGGAGGTAGAGCAGACGTGATCTACTCGGACGGGGAGTCGAGCGACGAGGACGAGGAAGACGACGGCCCGCTTCCAGGGGCTTTCGTCTCGCAGCCTGGAGAGGCGCAGAGGGAGTATGCGATGGACGAGCCGCTTGTTGGTGCGGATGAAGCGCAAAGGAGGAAGGAGACGCTGTATGTGTATCCTGTCCCTGCGGGAGAGGGCGAAGAGGCGGATCCAGCGCGGTATCGCGACTCGGGATGGATCGTCGCGTACGGATTGTGCGTGCTCGCCGTCGTCGCACTCGCAATCATGACATGGACATCTTCGCCACTCCCAAAGTCTTCGACATCCCCCGCCATCCGCGCCTCGACTTCCCTCCTCTCGACCGCCCTCCCCTCGCTCTCCCTCCTGACCCTAATCTCCCTCTTCGCCGGCCTCGCAACTCTCGCCTACCTCCTCCTCCTCTCCCACTCCCTCCGAACGCTCTTGACTCTCTCAATCCTCGGCGCTCCATTCGTCTTTTCCGCGACGGGTATCATCGCTTTCGCTGGGTCGTTTGGGACGAGCGGGGTCGAGGCGGATCGGGGTTGGAAGATGGGCATGAGGGTATTTAGTGTTGCGTGTTTCGTGCTGGCGTTCATGGTGGGAGGGGAGGCGGTCAAGCGGAGGAAGGAGATGGATCGTGCCATCAACGTGGGAGAGGTGCGTCCCAGTCAGTCCCTTGACGAGCTTGTTTATCCACTGATATGCCTTTCTTCTTGATGGACATGCTCTCGATGCACAGCTCGCATGCCAAACCGTCCTCTCCCATCCGCCCCTCGTCGTCCTCGCCCTCGCCCTCTCGCTCACCTCCCTCGCCGTCACAATTCCCTTCCTCACCCTCATCGCCTCTCTCCTCTCCCTCTCTCCAACGCATCCCCACCTCGCCTCGTACGGCACAGCGTTCACTCTCCTCGTCTACCTCTGGAGCCTGGCGATTCTGAGGGGCGTCTCGCATGCGACGGTCGGGGGAGTCGTGGGGTGGTGGTATTTCGAGCGAGAGGAGGACGAAGGAGGACAGGCGGTGGTGCTGGGCCCGACGGAGGTGACGAGGGCGGCTGTCGGTGCGTTGCAGGCCTGCTTACATGCTGATCCCGGGCTCACGCTCGTCCGTTCTGCAGCCCGCGCGACGGGACCCTCGCTCGGCACCGTTATCGCCTTCTCCTTCTTCCTCTCCCTTTTCACAACCATCTCGACCTCCCTCTCTACCCTCTCCCGCCTGCTCCGCTCGAGTCGCATCCCGACACCGCTACGACCCATCACAGCCCTCCTCGCCGGTCTCTTCACCTCCATCGCTGCCTCGACCGCCTTCTTCAATTCGTACGCCTTGAGTTACGCCGGCATGACCGGCCAATCCTGGTCGCGCTCAACGCGGGAAATCGCGTCTCTGATCCGCTCGAACCGCGCACGCAACATCCGCGACACGGCTCTCCTCCGCCTCACCCTCTTCACAACCACAACCACCTATTCCCTCCTCGCCGGCTTGCTCTCCTTCCTCCTTACCTCCTCCTCTCTCGCTCCAGCCTCAGGAGGCTACGCCCCGACACTCGCCATCCTCTCGTACATCATCCCAGCTTACACCATCAAGCTCTGCCACGACTTGGTGGGCGACTGCGTCGACGCGTTGTGGGTTTGTGTGAGCCTTGAGGCGAGCGAGGGAGAGGGTGCGGCGGTGGTTGGTGGGTTTAGTAGGTGTCCTAAGGCAGTCGAGGCGGTGAGTTTGCGCCTCCCTTTTGCCAGTCAGCCGGCGCTTCGAAACGCGCGCTCCGTTGGGCTTATCACGGTCCCAACCTCGAGCTGATATTTGTCGACGAACTGACTGTCACCTTCGCGCGCGCAGTTCGGCACGCCCGAGTCGGAAACCTTCAGCGCAACCGCCTTCGTCTGATCTGTCCTTACACTTTCTTAGACTCTCTCGGCTCAGTGTACTTCCCCTCGTCCGTTCTGTTGCTTGCCTCACTTCTCTTCATCTGTCTCCCGTTCTCGCGCACCGTTGTTGCCATTCCTCTCCATACTTGCTCCCGTCTGTGTTGTATGCTTCCTCACGCGTACTGTATCGTGACTCTTGTCCGTCTCTCACTCCGCACACTCGCGCGGGGAAAACGTGGGAGAGGCTGCTGCCTTTGCTGAAGTCTACTTCCGTCTGTCACGGTCGTCCCGCCTGTCCCGCTCATCGCGATACTCGCGCTCGTCTCGCCTGCGTCGGTCATCGCGGTCCCTATCCCGATCCCTATCCCTCCGGTCTCGCTCACGCTCCCTGTCGCTTCCCCTATCGTCCCTTCGTCTTCGGTCATCGTCCCTGTCTCGTCTTCTCCGGCCGTCCCTGTCGCGGTCGTAGTCGCGGTCACGGTCACGGTCACGGCGAGAAGACGAGGAGGAGGAAGGAGGAGGCGAGCGCGAAGGGCGACGAGAGGAGGCGGTCGAGCCTGAGCGGGAGTGAGGGCGCGAGTCGCTGATTGCGGGGGTCTGAGAATAGCCGAGGGAGTCAGCATATGGAAGGAAACGAGGCAAAGGGAAGATGAAGACGCACGCTTCGTCTAGACGACTCGCCCGACGTCCCACCTTCGATCCTCTCCCTCTCCCGCTTCATCAACGGCACAAATTTCATATCCTCCCTCTTCCTCTGCGCGCTCGGTCCCTTCCCATCCTTACCCTTCGCCGCATCTCCACCCAGCGCAGTACTCATACTCGTCGCACCGATTCCGAGTAAGGCCTCGCGCTTCTTCGGGACGTAGGCTTCTGTTGCGCCGCGGCCTGAGCGAGAGGCGGCTTGGCCGGGTTGCCAGCCCATCCCGCGGAGCATGGCGAGACCGAATTGGCCGACGGGGATGCGGGCATAGTCTTGCAGTGAAGCCTGTCAGAGAGAGGGTATGTCAGCGTGAAACCGAACGACATGCAAGAGATCGAGAGCGCACCTCATCAGGACGCGAGTCGACATCGCGCTTGAAAGCCTCGCTTTCGTCGATAGGACCGTTTCGTGCGTCGGGTGCCGACACTATCGCATCGAGCTCGTCTGCCGGTCCGTCCGCACCGCCTTCCGTGCCGAGCAGTTCGCGCAGGGCCCGTTGCTCCTCCGTCATGCTGGCGGGTGTCGACGTTGCGGGCGGCGGAGCGGAAGGAGCAGGTGGCGGAGCAGACTCCTCCTCCGTCTCGGTTTTGACGGCCGGCGCATCCGTTCTCTCCCCAAAGCTCAATCCGCCCCTCACCTCCTCCGTCCCAATCCGCTCGACTCCCTCTGCCTCGCCATTCGCCGCGCCTGACGCAGACCCGGAGGCCATGCTCATCCCGCCGGCCCTCTCCGGGAGGTAGATCTCCTTCTTCTTGCGGCGAGGGCCGCCGCGCATCTCTTCGGCTGCTTTGCGCCAGTCTTTGTTCGGGAGAGAGGGGATGACGAGAGGGGCGGTCGGGGTGGGAGTCGATTTGCTGTTTCGAAGTCACGAAGAGATGGAGTCAGTTCTCGCGGGCCTTGGATACGAATTTGCCCGCCCAACGTCTGTGACGCCTCTGCACTGCAAAAGCAACCGAAGCCCGATGGACGCGGACTCACCCTCTTGCGCCCCCTCCGCCAAACTCGACAACCTCCTCGCCGTCCGCATCGAGCCGTGGGCGTTTCCGGTCCCTGCCATTGCGCCTCGCAGCCTCTGCACCATCGTCGTCATCGTCCGAGTCTGCCTGAGCGGTGTGAGAGCGACTGAGAGATGAAGAGGGGCGGGATGGAGGGGCTGTCGAGGAGGGTCGCCCGGGCGCGCTGATTTTGAACGAGATGCCCGACATGGCTCAAGACAGTCACAGGAGTAGCCAAGTGGCCTCTTCTAGCCCAAGCAAGCGAGTCGAGTGGTGTGGCAGAGCGAAAGCCAGGGTTGTCCAACGACGACGACCTCGAGCCATGTCGGACGCAGAGCAGGACACCGCCATGCACGATAGCGACAACGAGCAGCAGGACGAGACCAGCCAGGCGCAACAACAGCAGCAGCGCGACGAGGAGCAGCCGCAGAAGCAGTTCGACATCGTCAGTCGCGCCCTCTCGTCTTGCGCTGGCTGTGGGCGGATGGGCTGACTAGGAGTGTGTGTGCACAGTTCGGTGGAGAGGACTCTGACCTGACGGAACTGGAGGACTCGGACAACGGTGCGTTCTCGCTCGCCTCGTTCCCCTCATCTCCTGGAAAGGTGCACGCTTGCGACAGAGCTGATACGGCTTGCACTTGATCGACACAGAGGACGGACCCGCCGGCCGCTCACGAACCGCCTCTCCCGCCCTCCGCCGCTCCGCCTCCCCCGCCCGCTCTGCCACTCGCTCGCCCTCTCCGGACCACGACGATGACGCCGGAGACGACTACCAGGACGAGAGTGCGAAGCTGAAGAGATTGAAGATCGCTAAGAAGAAGAGGAGCGCAGAGGATGAGGGAGACGAGCCAAGGCCGTGCGTCGTCGGATTCGCTTGCGTTCAGCCTTTGGCGAGATTGTCCCTCTCACATACGCTGATACAAGGTACCGGCTCTCGACAGTAAGAAGAAGCGCTCGTCGAAGAAGGCAAAGCGAAGGGAGGAGGCTCTTCAGCGTGAGGAGGAGGAGGATGCGCAACTCGACCCCGAAACTCGTGCGTGCCGTTCCCGCTGCTTACCCGGTGCAGTCTGCAAGCAGACATGCGCTGATGATGTTCGTGGACCTTTGACGAACAGGCCGCCGCAAGCAGCTCGCGAGCAGGCTCGACGCGATCGTCAAGAAGCCGACGGGCAAGGGCAAGAAGAAGAAGCAGCAGGATGAGGAGGTGCGTTCAGCGAGGCTGCTCAGTGCAGTGAGAGCTGTGTTGAGCGTCGGCTGACCTGCTCCCTGTGGCTTCTCGCTCTGTGCAGGACCTCGAGATGATGAACGACGAGGCAGTCGCGACGCTCCGCAGCGAGATGCTCAAGGCGGCCGACCTGGACCAGGACGAGAACGACGTCGGACGTCCTGCCGTCAACAAGCTTCGCCTCTTGCCTCGCGTCGTCGACCTGATGCAGAAGTCTGCTCTCGCCGACACGATTGTCGAGGGCGGCATGCTCGAAGCCGTCAAGCGCTGGCTCGAGCCGCTCAACGACAAGTCCCTCCCCGCCTTGACGATCCAGCGCCCTCTCTTCACGCTGCTCAAGAGCTTGCCAAACATCGAGACTTCGGCGCTCAAGTCGTCCGGTCTCGGCAAGATCGTCTACTTCTACACCAAGTGTCGCCGCGTCGACCCCGCCATCGCCCGCATTGCCAACCAACTCGTCAGCGACTGGATGCGTCCGATCCTCCGACGCTCGAAGGCCTACGTCGACCGAGACGCCTCTGCAGCGCACGCGTCGTTCTCGAACGCGACGTTGCAGGCGGCGAAGGAGGTCGATGCGGGCGCGACGAGGCATGCGAGGATCCCGCAGGCTCTCACGGCGACGTTTGCGGTCGCGCCGCAGAGCCTTGTTACGGGCCAGGGCGCGGGGATGCCCGGACAGGGAAGCGGAGCGAGGATGCGCCAGTACAAGCAGAAGTTGCAGGCTGGTGAGTCGCGCAATTACTCTCCTCGCTGCTGATGTGCTCGCTTCCAGTGCTTGCTAAGGCGCTAGGAACGGGCGCTCGTCTAGAGATGGTCGGCTGACCCTCGTGCTCCTTCCTCCCTCGCAGGCCAACAAGCTGCCCGCAGGATGTGAAGTCGCCCTTCTTCCGCCGCATCATCGTCCATACGCTTGTCCGACTCGCCTTGTATCTGTATTCGTACTGCCGTGCCCCTGTGTCGCTTGGGAGGAGCCGCTTTGCAACGAGGATTCGTTTCGTCTCGGCCTCTTCGTCCGCACAGCGCTTCGCCTTCCTTTCTGAGAGCGCTGCATGGCCAGGAGAACCGCTGCAAGCCATGCGCCATCGAGAAGAACTTGATCGTCGACGTCATTCCGGACGACGTGGAGAACTTGCTCCCTTCACCCAACCACTCGCTTCGTCCACCGCTACAACCCTCTCTACCAGCTGAGCACACCATGTCACACTTCCTGAGCGAAGTCAAGCACGCCCTGCACATCGGCGAGGTGCGCCCGTCCCGCCATCTCGTCCAGAACTCCACTCACTCTCTCGACTTTGGCAGCCCACGGACGACCCTGAGCGCGTCGCGAAGGAGACTCATGCTGCGCAGGCTTCGCACGAGAAGGAGGAGGCTAGGGCGGACAGGCTGATTGGTACGTTCCGGTCTTCACCGTTCGTCGAAGCTGTCGAGGAGTGGACACACCCGGCTCTTTTCTTCAAAGCCGAACGCGAACAGGAAGCGCGCGTTCAGCCTGCCACCTCTGGTCCTCCCGACGTCGTCCCGCCTCCCGCCGAACTCTCCTCCTTCCCTCACCGCCGTGCGTCCTCGCCCTCCCTTCCTCGCTCTCTTACGCTCGCTGACGGTTCTTTCACCCCCAGAGAACCTCGACGAGGTCGCTCACGACCCTCAGCATGCCCACGCAAAGAAGCAGACGACGCCCGACCTCGAAGGCGTCACGCACATCCCCGAAAGCGAGCTTCCGCCCCGTTTGCCGTGCGTTTTGCCCTCCTGATTGTCCGAGAAACTGAGCTGATGATCCTGGTGGTCTCCTAGACGTATGGAGAATACGGCGCTCCGTCCTTCTGACCCGAATGACCCGAATGTTTGTCTTCTGATCTCATCGTCCCAAGCTGCTTTTCGCTCGTTCCGAGATCTCGCTGACGCTCTGTTGACCTCTTGCAGTCGATGAACGGCCTTCCCGAGCCTCTCAACGTTGCAGGAGACGATCGCGTCCAGTAACGGCGCACACGAAGCAGGGTGGTGGAACGGCGGAAGAGCAAGATTTGCTCAATTGCGGTACAATACCACTCAACGGACACTCTCGCGCATTGCATGTTGTTTGCCAGGAACCATCGAGCACAACGCGAGTAGTTCATGCTCTGAGGGCCGCTTGCGAAGGCTCTCGCAGGGGGGAGGGCAAGTCTCGCTCACAAACCGGCAGTAAGGAGCTAATCTGGACCTGTGTCGATTTGCAGACAGACGGCTACTAGAAGGCATAGATGGCGCGCTGGCGGTGACTGAAATTGTTGAGGAGAGAGGACCCGAGCGAGTGTGCGGACGAGGCGAGGCACGCAGGCATTGGCGGTTCGTGGTCGTATCCCTCGGACGTCGTTTTGATAAGCGCATGTTGATCTGTAGCCTCGCGAACTGCGCAGGTCGTCAGGTTAGTGTCTTGCGTTGGCCGGTGGCGGGCAGTAGGGACGAACTGCGAGATGGACAACGTCAGTTGTGTGCGGCAAGGAGACGGAGAGAGCTGTGAGAGTACGTACCCGAGGCGGCGCTTCGTGGCGACGTGAGAGCGCGAATCCTGCAAAAAAATGGTTGCGCTCAGCTTGTCCGCCTTCACAAGGCGGCGGAGAAACACACCTCGAGGTCGAATGCCAAGGGTGAAGTATCGAAAGGAGTCTGCAAGCGAGCCGGTAAGCGACAGCTTGTTGAAGCGCGACATAGCGCGAAGGATTTACGAGTGCCTGCTCGCCGTGCGTTCGCAAATGGTCGCAGCGGGTCTTGAGGAAGTCGACGACGTCACCCTGCTGCTGCACGGTCAAGCAAAACCACAACGCCAGGTATGGCTTGCCCTCGTGCGCCTGGAACAGCTGTGTCCACCATTCCTGACCCCAGCTGACGAAGTTCTCGATGCTGAGGCCCTCCTGCGTCACTCGGTCGTGAGTGCTCATGAGCACCTGTGCAACCTTGCGCCAGGAGAAGCGAGTTACGGGAGGGACCTGGGTGCAGGAGGTGGGAAGGCTCAGTCAAAGGTCCGAAAGAGGGAAAGGAACCAAAGGGCGGACAAGCTGCGGCGCGACGAACGACTTGCCCGTATACTCCGTCTCCTTGTATGCGTCTTTCCCAAAAGCGGTCATCCCTGGAAGCCACAAAAAGCGTGGACAGCTCAGTCCCCGCGTGACGATGTCCAAGAAGCAGGCTTCGACTCGCTGCTTTGCCAGGGTTGGTCAGCATACTGCACAACGGAGACGAAAGTAGGTGAAGCAAGGCGCACCAGTTCATCGCCTTTGTCACCGACGCCGTGCCAAGACGAGTCGACAGCTGGCCCTGAGGAGTTCCTGCGTCGCGCTCGCGGACGGCGTAGATGGGGGTAGCGAGGCGGAGATCCTTGAAAGGAGGCTGAGTGAGGACAGTGAGCACGCTCCTCGACTCCAGCGAGAACGGCAGCATGTACAAGGGTGTCCGCCCGATCAAACTCGCCTCGTCTGATACTCCTGCTCAAATCGGTCAACCATTCGACGATCTCTGCTTGTTGGGTCTCGTTCAACAGCCACCAAGTGCAGAAATTGTACCGCAGAGCGCGATTACTAGCGAAAGGCGGTTCCGAAGATCTGATGCGAACGTCGATGTGGAAGAGGTGCTCGTTCCACCAGGTATCGATCCACTCCTGGAGGCCGACCATGAGCAACCCGATACGCGCCGCTCCCTCCTTGTCGCGGAGGTTGGCGTAGTGTGCGGCGCGAGCAAAGAGCGCGTCTTGCGCCGCCCGAAAGCAGTGAACGAGCTTCTGCGGGTTCACCGCGGTGTCGGGTGGAATAGGACGGGAGCGGATCGGAGGCATGGCTGTGACTGATGGCTAGAGACGAAAAGGAAGAGCGAGGGGCGAAGCTGAGCAGTGCGAGTCGTGCTCGGTTCGGTGAGTCCGCGGAAGCGTCGAGCAGAAGTGCCGAGGCAAGCTGTGACCCCGTCTGGGATGCGCTGCCTCATGCAGTGGCTTTGCACGCTCTATCATCACCCGTGGCGACAAAGCAGCACCTGCAGCACCGGCGAGGGTGGGTGTCGAGAGGCGAGGATCAAGAGAGAGAACCGGCGGCGACGGCGGACAGCGTTGGAAACGGGACATTCTGGGCCGCCAAACACGATGCACAGCTCTCGCAGTAGCAATGAGGCAGTCCAGCTGAGCGATGTGAACCGTCGAAGACGAACCTCGCATCTTCATCAGCTCGAGCGGGTTGACCGCGACCACAACGCTCGCTATCTCGTTTGGCTGCCTGATCTGCTACTAGGAGCTCTAGAGACTGCTACGAAGGCCGCACAGCATGGCCACCCAGCTCATCCAGCGCGCGCTGCCCAACCTCGACTTTCCGGTCCTCTCGGTGCGTTTGTCTTGAGACGATGACTGGCGGGCGTGAGCGGCGCGGCCAAGGGTTCGGAAGGGCCACTCAAAGCATTGCTGACCCGCCCTGCCGCTCACAGTACATCAACTCGCTCTTCACCACCTCGTCCGCCGAATCCGACCCGGACGACGACCCCGTCAGCTCGTTCATCCGCCCGCTCCTCGAGTCCGAGTCAGCCAACCCCATCTCGCAAGACGAGATCGACCGGATCTGCACCGAATGCGCCAACTTGTGGCAGCAGCTCGGAGGCGGGAAGGGCAAGGAGGCGGCGGGCAGGGAGCCGGCCAAGCTCGAGGTCGCGCTCGACATGAAGCGGCAGGAGATGAAGAGTAAGCGGCAGACGGTTACGCAGGTCGTCGACATCGCGTCGGTGGTGAGTGATCGGTTTCTTGCTGTGTCGGAACGTCTGTGCTTCAGACGGCGTCGTGGCTATACGCTCTACTTTTTGAATGAAGAGAATGCTCACAACAGTCAACTCGTGCAGGTCAAGGCGCGCGAGTCGCAGGTCAACATGAAGGCGCTCGAAAAGGCGGAAGCCAAGCTGAAGGCGAAGCTCGAGAAGCGCAACGCCCGCTCGCTGTACGAGGGCTCGAAGCTCATGCAGGCGCAACAGAGCAAGAAGAGCTACGAGGAGCTCTTCTTGGAGGTGAACCCGCTTCAAGCTGTCGGGTCGGGCAAGGGCAAGAGCAAGGACATCCACATCGAGGGCATCGACGTGAGTACCGCTTCCACTCATTCCGAATGCCCCGCTAACAGATTCGCGTTGCGGCGCCAGCTCAACTTCGGCTCGAACCGTATCCTTTCTGGCGCGACACTCACTCTCCCCTATGGTCGGTACGTCCCGAGTCTCGTTGTGCTCACAAACGCCTCCAATCTGACAGTCACCACCACGCAGCCGCGCGGGTCTCATCGGTCGCAACGGTATTGGAAAGTCAACCCTCTTGCGCGCCATGGCTCTCCGAGAAGTCGCTATTCCTCAGCACATCTCGATCCTCTACGTCCAGCAAGAAGTCGTCGGCGACGATACTCCCGCCCTCGAATCCGTCTTGCAGGCCGACGTGCACCGAACGCGCCTTATGGCTGAGGAGAAGGAGCTCAACGAGCAGATCACGCAGCATGAGAAGGAGGCGGAGGAATTGGCGGCTGCTGCGAGCGGCGCGAGCGATGAGGAGCGCGAGAAGCAGCACGCCGAGTTGCGGAAACTCGAGCGGAAGAAGGACGATGCGATGGCGAGGATTGGCGAGGTGCAGAAGTTGTTGATCGAGATCGACGCCGACTCGGGTCCGTCGAGGGCTGCAGAGTTGCTGGCGGGTCTCGGTTTCTCGAAGGCGGATCAGGTGCGTGCGAAAGTCTCGGTTTGAAGGTCGGCCGATGTTGACCTCAACTCGTTCCTGCAGGACATGCCGACGAAGGCGTTCTCCGGTGGTTGGCGCATGCGTCTCTCGCTCGCTCGCGCGCTCTTCTGCAAGCCCGACTTGCTTCTTCTCGACGAGCCGTGCGTGCCGTCTTTGCCGTGACACTGCCAAGCGACGACTGACCCTTTTCCTCGCAGGTCGAACAACTTGGACCTCAACGCCCTCGCCTGGCTCGAAGACTACCTTCAGACCTGGCCGTCCACGCTCCTCGTCGTCTCGCACGACCGATCCTTCCTCAACGCCGTCGCGACCGACATCATCCACCAGCACAACGAACGCCTCGACTACTACAAGGGCAATTTCGCCCAATTCTACGCGACCAAGAGCGAGCGTGCGAAGCAGCAGCGGAGGGAGTACGAGAGTCAACTGCAGTACCGGCAACACTTGCAGGCGTTCATCGACCGGTGGCGATGTGAGTTCCGCCCGCTTTGCCCTTTTCCCCTACAGCGACTTTGCCTGTCCGCTTTGACTCAGATGCGTGCTGACGATCTCTCGCGACGCGCAGACAACGCCAATCGGGCGGCGCAGGCGCAGTCGAAGATCAAGATCCTCGAAAAGCTTCCCGAGCTTACGCCGCCCGAGGAAGACGACGTCGTGACGTTCAAGTTCCCGGAGACCGACAAGATCTCGCCGCCACTGCTGCAGCTTACGGATGTCGAGTTCGGCTACACGAAGGAGAAGATGCTGCTCAAGGGCGTCAACATGGATGTCGGCCTCGACTCGCGAATCGGTTTGATCGGTGCTAACGGCGCAGGAAAGTCGACCTTGTGCGTTCTGCGTTCTCTCCCATAGCATCGAGGAACGGCCCATTGACCTGCAGCGCAACAGGATCAAGCTGCTCATCGGGGAGCTTCAGCCCGTCCGAGGACAGCAGAGCCGCAACGGTCGCCTTCGCATCGCTTGTGCGTCCACGTCGTCTCCTCACCGTTCGAATCGGCTGTTTGACATTCGCTTGGCCCCGACTCGCAGACTTTGCTCAGCATCACATCGACTCGCTCGACCTGAACGTCAACTCGGTCGCGTACCTCCAGCGGCTCTTCCCCGGCTTGACGGAGCAGCAGTATCGCTCACATCTCGGAGCTTTCGGTATCACGGTACGTTTCGAGCTTGTATAGTCTCCTCGTTCTCCTTCGCATAGGCCGTTCCTCCATAGTCTCGCCTGGTCTCGCTCGCACACGCTCCCCTGTACCATCCGCGCTCGCACCCGCTCACCCTTACGATCTTCTCTCGCACAGGGCATGACCTCGCTCCAGCTCATCGGCACCCTTTCCGGAGGACAGAAGTCGCGCGTCGCCTTTGCCGTCCTGTCCATGTCGAAGCCGCACATCCTCCTCCTCGACGAGCCGACCAATCACCTCGACATCGAAGGTCTCGACGCGCTCATGGACGCGCTGAACGTGTGGAACGGCGGTGTGCTCGTCATTTCCCACGACAGCACGTTCATCCATACGTGCGTCTCCCGTTTCCCTCGCGAACCTGTCGCGGGGCCGAGCTAACGGTCCCGAGTTTCCTGCGCGTGTCTGTTGCAGCGTTTGCAAGGAATTGTGGGTGTGCGCCGACGGCACCGCTCAGAAATTCTACGGCGACGGTACACGCATTTTCTCCCTTCACCAGCGGTTCCCTACTGACCACGTCTTTGGTACACAGTCGACGCATACAAGTCGCTCATTGTGAGCGGGAACAAGACGATGCGGCCGACGCAGGTTTGACCGGGCGATTTTTCGTAGATACTCGCTCTTGCAACGCCTTCTCTCGTTCCTCTCGTCAATAGACTCGTAGTTCTACCTCGCTCGATCAAGCACTTGCTCTCCCACCCTCCTGCTCACGTTGCTTCGGCGGTTCCGCCTCGCTTGGGAAGGTCAACCGCTTCCTTCGCTCTGCGCTTATGTCTCGCGGCCGGCCTTAACGAGCGCAAGTGATACAAGAGAACTGCCACGCTGAAGAACTAGATGGGGTAGATGGCGCGCTGGCGGTGCGAGTAGTTGTGGAGGAGGGAAGTGCCGAGCGAGTTCGCGCTCGACTGAAGGAACTCGGGCATGTCAGGCCAGCGGTCGTAGCCTTCATTCCCTGTCTTGATGACTGCGCCCTGCTCGAAGGCCGCAAGGACTGCAAGTCGAGGCAGATCAGCTCGAGTCACAAGCGACAGCAACGAAGAAGTGGCGATCGACGAACTGTGAGAATGGCTTGGTCAGCATCCGACGTCAGCTGTGGGAGAGATGAGCAGGACAGCATACCGAAGAGTGCGCCTCGCGGAGAGAGCGCGGGCAGCCTGCGGGTCCTGCGGAACGGTCTTGCGTTAGGCATGCTCCTTGAGATCGAGAAGCTGGCTCACCCGTAGCTCTTGCGCAAGCGGCGAGTTCTCGAATGGTAACTGCGGTCAAGAGAAGCCAAAGTCAGTGAGGAAGGAAGACGGGATCGAGGGGAACTGAGACGCACGAGCGCTTGCTCACGTTCGCTCAACAGCCGGAGGCCGCAGTGGACAAAGAAGTCAATGGCCTCGCCGCGCTCAGCCTCCGCCAGGCAGTACCAGAGCGCGAGGTAGGCCTTGTCCGCATGCGCCGCAAACAGCCTCATCCACCAAGTTCTGCCCCACGCCTTGAACGCCTCGAGGTTGATACCTTCACGCTCGACGCCAGCGTGCACGCTTAGCAGTGCTTTTTCAACACTCCGCACAGAGAATTGAGTCAGGATCGGAACCTGTGCGAATGAAGTCAACGAAATGAACAACAGCTAGAGGACTGGCTCAGAAACGTGTTGTGACTGAGAGTAGTAAGGTACGAGCCTCGCCCGAGAGCTGAAACCCCTGCGTGTGAAAAAGCCGGTCAACGTGAGTTCTGCGAGTCTTCGCAAGGGGAATGCGACGACGGACTGTGACCAGATGTCAGCAATGAAGTCTTCATAGCAAAAACGAGTGCCACGCACCAGTTCTTCGCCTTCTTCACGGCATGTGCCTGGAGCCGAGCACTCAAGCCAAACTCATCTTCCTCGCTGCGAGTAGACCCCAGGTAGACTCCCAGGTCTACTGCGACCTTGCTGAATGGAGGCTGGGAAGTTCTGAGCATCAGTAGCAGTCACAGGGACTGGGTGGACTGCAGAAGCAGCGCACCAGCTCGCGCCGTGCATCGAATCGCCCTTCTTCGATCCTGCCTGCTAGACGTTCGAGGTATGCGACCACGTCTTCCTCCTGGCGAGGGCTCATGAGCCACCAGGTGCAGAAATTGTTGCGAAGAGAGGGATGGCTGGCAAAGGGCGGCTTGGAGACGTCGAGTCGCAAGTCGACATGGAAGAGGTGCTCGTTCCACCACGAGTCGATCCATCCCTGGAGGTGGAACAGCAGTCGGCCGATGCGTGCAGCACCCTCCCCATCACGACAGTTGGCAAAGTGCGCCGAGCGCGAGTAGGAGCGCAGCGAACACTTTCCTGAAACCAGCGACGAGGGCTGCGAGAGGGACTGCCTTATCCCATGGAATGGTGACTGTCCCCGATGGCGGGCGAGGGGCCATCGTGCAGGATGTCTGTATGTCGTCGCAGAGCAGCAAAGATAAGATGCGGTCTGAAGAAGAGCAACCGAGCAAGGTCCGTCGACAAGCGATTCGCGGTCGGCTTGTCCGCGGAGGCGGACTGTCCGTGGAGCGAGCGACTCAGCGGCAGGCGAGAGGTCTCGACTAAGTTATCAATGGAGGCGCACCCTAAGCGCAAGCTCTCGGCAAGCTCGAGGAGGCGTGAAAAGTCGAGAGCACCTGGTCACGCTCGCGCGCTACTTCCCTTGGGACGTCTCGCTGACTGGCCGCTGTGATTCCTCAGCCTCATGCTGCCGCTAGCATTCTTTCTCTTGAAGCTGCGAGTGTGCGCCGACGGCACCGCTCAGAAATTCTACGGCGACGGTACACGCATTTTCTCCCTTCACCAGCGGTTCCCTACTGACCACGTCTTTGGTACACAGTCGACGCATACAAGTCGCTCATTGTGAGCGGGAACAAGACGATGCGGCCGACGCAGGTTTGACCGGGCGATTTTTCGTAGATACTCGCTCTTGCAACGCCTTCTCTCGTTCCTCTCGTCAATAGACTCGTAGTTCTACCTCGCTCGATCAAGCACTTGCTCTCCCACCCTCCTGCTCACGTTGCTTCGGCGGTTCCGCCTCGCTTGGGAAGGTCAACCGCTTCCTTCGCTCTGCGCTTATGTCTCGCGGCCGGCCTTAACGAGCGCAAGTGATACAAGAGAACTGCCACGCTGAAGAACTAGATGGGGTAGATGGCGCGCTGGCGGTGCGAGTAGTTGTGGAGGAGGGAAGTGCCGAGCGAGTTCGCGCTCGACTGAAGGAACGCGGGCATGTCAGGCCAGCGGTCGTAGCCTTCGTTCCCTGTCTTGATGACGGCGCCCTGCTCGAAGGCCGCAAGGACTGCAAGGCGAGGCGGATCAGCTCAACTTCAAGCGAGAGGAAGGGAGAAGCGGCGATTGACGAACTGTGGGAACGGCTAGGTCAGCATCCGACGTCAGCTGTGGGAGAGATGAGCAGGACAGCATACCGAAGAGTGCGCCTCCCGGCGAGCGCGCGGGCAGCCTGCGGGTCCTGCGGAACGATCTAGCGTTAGGCATGCTCCTTGAGATCGAGAAGCTGGCTCACCCGTAGCTCTTGCGCAAGCGGCGAGTTCTCGAATGGTAACTGCGGTCAAGAGAAGCCAAAGTCAGTGAGGAAGGAAGACGGGATCGAGGGGAACTGAGACGCACGAGCGCTTGCTCACGTTCACTCGACAGCCGGAGGCCGCAGTGGACGAAGAAGTCGATGGCCTCGCCGCGCTGAGCCTCCGTCAGGCAGTACCAGAGCGCGAGGTAGGCCTTGTCTGCATGCGCCGCAAACAGCCTCATCCACCAAGTCCGGCCCCACGTCTCGAACGCCTCGAGATTGATACCTTCGCGCTTGACGCCGTTGTGCACACTCAGCAGTGCGTGATCAACAGTCTGCACCGAGAATTGAGTCAGGATCGGAACCTGTGCGGATCAAGTCAACGAAAAGAACGAAAGCAAGACGACTGGCTCAGACAAACTAGTTGGGGCGCAACGAAAGATTTGTTGTGACTGGGAGTAGTTTGGTAGGAGCCTCGCTCGAGAGCGTTCAACCCTAATCAGGTTTCGAGAAGCCTCAGCGAAAGATGAGGTGGACGACAGAAGGTAACTAGCGAACGTACTGCTTGGCGGTGTAACGTGAGCTTGTGCGTTTGCCTTCGGTTAAAGTATGGGAATCAGACGCACCAACTCTCCGCCTTCTGGACGGATGCGCGAGACAGACGCGGCGAGAGGCCGTAGGAATTACTTGCGGGACGTTCCTTCGGAGTGTAGAGCTCCAACTTGACGGCGATGTCGTCGAAAGAAGGCTGCACAACCGATGCCTTGTCAACAAAGATGCGGTCTTACGCGGGAAATGCACGCACGAGTTGTGCCTTGTTATCAAAGCGACCCTCACGGATCTTCTGCCCCAACCTCGTGAGGTAGTTGACTACTTCGCGCTGCTGCGGGCTCGTGAACAGCCACCAGGTCGCAAAATTGTTGAGGCGAGCGGGGTTGTCGGCAAAGGGTGGTTCATCCCTCTTGATGCGCAACTCGACGCGGAAGAGGTGGTCATTCCACCATGACCCGATCCAGGCCTGAAGGCGAAACAGCAGTCGGCCGATCCGTGCAGCACTCTCGCCATCACGACGGTCGGCAAAGTGCGCGGCGCGATCGCAGAGAGCGTTGTAGATCCCCTCGAACCCGGCGACGAGTTGGGTGAGAGGCACCTCGCGGTCCCGGGGAATGAAGATGACGCCGGTGGGCTGAGGATGCGGCATCGAGATATTGTCGTGGGACTCGAGAGACGGTAGCGTGCGTGAGAGGCGAGGGAAAGAGGTTGAGCAGGACGAGGAGGCACAAGCCGGTTGAATCTCGGCGGTCCGCGGACGTCCAATTGTGGCGAGGACTTGGCGAGGACGGCTCCGGGCGAGTCGAGACGGCCCATGGCGCCGAAGTGTTGAAGAACAGTGAGCAGGGCGAAGGCGGAAGAAGGCGAAGACGTCGTGAAGATGGCAGCGAACGCAAAGGTGCCGCACGACCATGCGCGAAGGACGGACGGAGCGATGAGCGAGGCGGAGAGATGCTCGGCAGGCGGTCGGAGGAAAGCTCGGAAGAAAGTGCGGAGGGAAGTGTGGCGAGGCCGGGCATGTCGAGGAGGCGAGCGAGTCCATCGAGGTCCAGAGTGGTCGCCGTCTCGTCGTTCCTCCGCCTGATGGTAAGCAGAGATTGCATAGACATGGGTATCAAGAAAGATATGCAAGGGGTGGCGTCTCGGTTCGTTCGTTCCCGCGTCCCCGTCCTGATCCGACGAGCGAGTAACCCAAGAAAGACCGCACAGAACGACATGACGTCCTCAGACTCGCCTCCTCCACTCGAGTCCGCCACCAACAGGTCCCGCCCCGCCGCCGCCGTTGAACAAGTCCCTCGCCTCGCGCTCCCTCGCCGGCGTACTCGGCGCGCTCGAGACGTCTGCGCCGTTGACGTGTGGCGCTGCGAAAAGCGACTGGACCGAGGGGATCTCGCGCGTCTTGCGCGGCGAAGGCGAGGTGAAGCTCGACGAGGGGTTCGAGCCGCCTGCGGCTGAGGCGCTTCCGGAGGAAGGGAACGACGAGATGGTCTTGTACGCCGACGATGACGAGGGAGACGTCAAGTCGTCTGCGAAGCGGTCGTCCGACTCGATGCCGCCGACGCGCAGGTTGGAATACGACCTCGTAATGCCTCCTCCGAGTCCAGGCTGCCCGAAAGCCGCGAGACTGGGCGTCGAGGCGCTGCTCGAGATGTAGCCCGTACCGTTCGCATATGCGGCGAGGTTGGCCGAGAGCGAGACGCTCGAAGGCATGGGAGGCGGGACTTCGGTCGAGTAAGGCGACGGCGAGCGAGAAGAGGAGGAAGAGGTGGGCGATTGGCGCGAGTGCGAGCCATGCGAGTTGGACGAGGGGAAGCGCAAATCCGGCATCGACTTTTTCCCGCGCAGACCGGCTGCGGTAGCGGTTGGCGAGAGGAGGGAGCCGGAGGACTGGCTCGAGGGCATGGCGAAGGAGGGCGTGTAGCCCGAGCCGGGCGCAGCGGAGGACGGCGTCGCGCTGCGCGGCAGTGAGCCGTTCGAGAGAACCGTGTCGCGAGAGGCGACTCGGCGGAGAGCGGCGGTCGAGACGGTCTGGCGGAGGGGCTGTGCAGGTCGCAGAGGGCTGCATCAGCACGACTTGCACGAGTGAAACGGACGCTGAGCAGTCGGAGAGTACGCGAACGCACCTTCTTTGTCTGTTCGACCGGTCCCGCCGTCCCCTTCTTCCAAACAACCACATACCTCGCTTCTCCCTCCTCTCCCAAGCTCTTGTGCTCGAGTCCCAGCTTCTTCGCGATGAGGTGCACGGTACGACGCTGGTGAGGCGAGAGCGAGCGCGAGAAACTGAGCTCGTCGCGGAACGAGTCGGAAGAGAAGAGGAGGATGCGCGAGTAGAGTTCGAGGGTTTGCGGGTCGTTCATGTTGAGCTCTGCCGCAGAGGAAGCGTCAGTCCAGCTGTTCGAACGGCACCCAGCGCAAGCGTTCGAGACGCAGGCACTGGAAACGCGAGTGAAGAACCGGACTCACCCTTCCCACCTTCCTCACTCCCACCCTCCGAGCTCTCCCTCTCCATCCTCAAGCTCACACTCGTTCCGACATCGCTCCCATCCGCACTAGTAGTCGGCGGACTCGAGCTGGAGTAGCTCAGCTCCGGCGGAGGAGGCGGGGGAACATACGAAGGCATGGGCGGGACAGGCGGGGCGGGGAGGAAGTCTCGGCGACCGAAGGTGCCGTGAGAGGAATACGCGCCATTGTGGATCTGTCGACCGTAGTCTTCCGAGTCGTGTTCGAGTCCGCCGGGTCCGCCCCATCCTCCGCCGTACCCGCCGGGCGCACTCGCTTCTCTCCTGTTCCACCCACTCGGCGGACCTTGCGCCCCTCCTCCACCAAAGAACGAACTCGGGTTCGCCCCAGCCGCAAGCAACTGCGCGCTCCTCATCCTCTTCAACGCCTTGGTCCTCTCGATCGCCTCCTTCTCCCCCGGCTTGAGGGCCTTCTTGAACTCGGCGCGCAACTTGCGTCCCATCACTTCGAGGCCGTCCATTGCTGCGCGGACGATAGACGCTTCGGAGGGGGTGCGGAAGTTGGCGAAGGCGAGGCCGCGGAAGGAGGTAGGGTCTTCGGCGGCGTAGTGGTAGTTGAAAGCGAAGGGGGCGGGGAGGGCGAGCGAGGCCTGCGTGGGGACGAGCGAGTCAGCGAGCGAGCGTTGGACGAAGGAGGCGCGGAAATGCACCATGATGGCGAGAAGCTGCTCGCGCGGACAGGCGAACGGAATCGACTTGATCACGATAGCCGTCTCGATGCTGTACAACCGCAAGAAGACCAAAAGATCAGCTCACGAGCATCTCGCGGAAAGCATCGTGACCGAGAGAACGCGTAAGATCGCGGAACGTACATCTCTTCCCCCCTCTCATCAAACACCTTCTCCCCCGCCCCCGCTCCAACAGGCGAAACCACCGACCCAGACCCTCCACTCCACGCTCTCTGCATCCCAGCTCCGACGCCCTGCGCCTGCTGCTGAACCTGCGCGAAACTCGGTCCGGGATACGGACTCATGCCCGTCGGGCTCTGCAAAAACTCGGGCGTGATCAAGTTTGCTGGGATGGGCGGAGCGACGAGTGAGTAATCCGAGTTCGAGTTGGGGTGGGTCGGGGAGGTGGAGGTCGAGTAGTAGGTTGTGTAGTCTGAGGAGGAGGAGGTGTGAGGAGGGAGGAAGGAGGAGGCGGTTTGGGTTGAGACGGGCGGCGGTGGAGGGAGGTAGGGGAGTGATGGGACGGGAGGGGGAGCGTAGGATGAAGAGGAGGGGTGCGAGGAGGAGGTCGGGACCGTGAAGCGTTGGGAGCGTTGCTGCGATCGGCAGAGAAGGGTGTCAGTTCTCCATCGGGCGCAACACCTGCCGTGGCATAAGAAGGACCGGAAGAGCATCGCATGCGACACTCCTCAAGCCCTTGTACGCCCTGGCAGCGCGCCGCAAACCCCCAAGACAGGACTCACCTTCCTCACCCCCGCCGCTCCTCCCGCTCCTGCTCCTGCGCCGGGTACGCCTAACCCTCCAAACGCCGGTATCCCCAGCCCCATCCCTTTCCCATCAGACGCGTCACCGAGCGCGAGGCGGTCAAAGCGGTCGTTCAACGAGGAGGAGGGGTTGGAGTGCGGAGAGGGAGCGGAGGGGGAGACGGGGGACGACATGGTGCCGCGTGGTGGATTGTCTGAGACCAGTAGTTGGGCGGAGCAGGCGGAGCAGGCGGAGCAGGGCGAGAGGGAGGGACAAGGGCTACGCGTCGAGGCGTGAAGGGTGGATCGGCGAGTGTAGCAACTGAACAAGCGAGCGTGAGTTTCGTAGAGAGTCGTGAGGAGTCGTTTCTCGTCAGTCGTGTACTCGTCAGAAGCGCTTCAGCCAGCCAGGTCGGCGGTTGTGAGGGAGCGAGGGTGAAGGGGACGAGAGAGGGGGTCGCTTGGAGTGAGCGAACATCGACTATCGCTAACTGGCAGGACAAACGCACTGCTAGACAGCCGCTACACGTTTGGACAAGCTTCAGCTGCTCGCCAGTCCAACAACGAGCGACGTACGACCTTTCCTCACCCTCCCCTCCCCGCTCATCTCCTCGACGCACTCCCGCTCTTCCCTCCCGCTGGACCGACTATCCGAACGATGTCCTCTTTCGGCTCGAAACGAGTGAACCCGTGAGTCTGGCGAGGATCCGCTTGATGTTCGGGCCGTTTGCGACGGGTTCTTCGAAAGTCGGGCGAGCAGGTTCGCTTCGGGGTGGTAGGCGGCTGGGTGGGCACTGAAGGACGTCGCTGTCCTATCGGAGTTTACGCGGGGAATTGGACGGAACCTGGTGCCAAACAGCCAGGCCTGCGGACTTCCACCTTCACGTCCTCCTCCTCGACTCGCTTTCCCTTCCATCGACCCCGACAAGCACGGCCTCTCCTTCCGGTTTCTCGCAGCCCACTGACACTCCCACTCTCCCTCTCCCGCAGCTCCAAATTCACCATCTCCCTCCGGCGGCACCCCTTCACCCACTTCGGCCTACCCTTCCTCTCACTCATCGTCCTCTCCTCCTTCGCACTCACGTCGTTCACGACCACACGATACGAGTTGAGGGACCAGAAGGTGCAGAGTGTGAGTAAGGAGGAGGAGTTGGGCATGAGGAAGGATCGGAGGAAGATTAATGCTAGGGATGAGTATTATGTGAGTGCCGGGGCTGTCCGTCGTCTCGGGGCTCCTTCTCGCGCAAGATTGACTGACAAAGTGACCTTTCTTTCGCTTTCTCAACGCCACCTATCCGCCTCACCTCGGCCCGCCTCATCACTTCACGCACCAACCTGTCCTCCTTCCTCTCCTCACCTTCTCCCTCCATCTCTGCTCCGCCTCCTCGTTGCTCGCCACCTTCTCCTTCTCCCTCCCCCGTCCCCGCCCCGCAGCGCATGCAAGCCCTCGACCAGCTCGGCGAATCCGACTCGTACGAGAACAAGCGCGTCGAGCGGCTGCCTGGCCAAGCGGAGTGGGGCGAGTTGCCTGTCGCACGGAAGGGACCTTAGCGTGTCTCTCTCGAGGGCAGGGGAGGGATGGCAGTGTGTTGTAGGATTAGCTGGAGAGGCAGGAGGGGGGAATGTAGCCATTCGTTTCTTTGCACGCCTCCTTGGCTCTCGTCTCGTCGCTTTGAGTTGCGCTCCGTTCAATCGTCTCGCCGTCCTCGCCGTAGAGAAGGAAATGGGTTCGCTCGCTCGCTCGTCCTCCCTGTTTTGGTTCGCCGCCGTTCCCGCGTGGATTGCACGCCGACGAATTCCGCATGGCTTTGCTCTCGTTCGCTCTCTCTCCTTGTCCTCCTTCGTACGGGCAGACGAACGTATAGCGTGCGTAATGTTACAACAGAGCAGACACTGGAGTACCCACGCTGACCCTCCCGCTTGTCGCGCGACACCCCTTCCCCCGCTCTCCCTTATCGCTCCCATCATCCAACACGCTCACCCTCTCTTCCCTGTCCCCTTGCGCCCTACCAGCACAGCAGACAATGCCTCACACCCTCCCTCCCGTCGACTACAACGCCATCGTCGACCCTGTCATCCGTTGCGTTCCCCTTCCCTTCCCTTCCCTTCCTCGCTGCCAAACCCATCCGCTGACGAGAAGTAACTTGTACGTAAACAGCGGCAGGCCACGGTAAGCCCGCCTATCACGCAGGCGACGACCTCCCCGCCCACCTCCCCGACTCGAAATCCCAAACTCCCTCTCACTCGCGCCCTGCGTCGCCCTCGCGCGCGAAAGACCCTTTCTTCCGCCGCGACGTTGACCAAACGACTTCTCAGCGCGAAGCGAGCTTGAGTCAGGTGAGGGCGGCGCAGGATGCGAGTTATGAGGCGGATTTGGAGAGGGCTTTGAGGAGGAGCAAGAGGGAGTATGAGAGCGAGAGGAAGAAGAGTGGCGAGAGGAGCGCGAGTAGGGGAAGGGGGTTGAGCAGGATTCGTGAGGCGATTAGGGACAGTGAGTGCGATCTCGCTCGTGGGTGGGATGAGGAAGCGAGGCCTGATGTTTGAGCGCACGCAGTCGTCAACGACCCCTTCTGGCACCGCCCGACCAAGGTCCGCCTTCCCTTCCCTTCTCCTCCGTCTGATTCTCACTGACCCTTGCTTTGCCACGGGCAGGACGAAGCCGAGCACCAAGTCCGTCCCGCCTCCTTTCCCCTTCGCTCTCCTCTCACGAAACTAACAGAGCGACCGCGCACAGGACGACTACATGAAGCGCATCATCATGGACGAGATCTCCGCCGCGCGCGCGTCGTCCACCGCCGCCGCTCACGACCGCGAAGCTCGCTCAAAGTCCCGCTCGCGCTTTGCGAGTCGGAACGCGAGTCGCGTCCGTGCGATTGATGAGGGCGTGGAAGAGGGGACGAAGGGCAGGGAGGAGGAAGGGAAGGGAGGGCTGGAGGGAGGGGAGGACGAGGCGAGGGGGTATGCGAAGATGCATGCGAGGGTGTGAGCGCGTGTCCAACTCGCTATTGCTCTTCCTGGCCTCTTCCTCGTTATGCGTTCTGTCCCCAGTCTTGAAGTCGTGCCGTCCTTCCCTCGTTTCTCCTCTTTCTAGTCGAAAACTCCCACGTAACTTCTCTCCTCTCCTCCGTGCACTCCCTATCGTCTGAAAGGTACTGGCATCTAATATCACTTCTCGTTCTTCAAAGAAAACTGCACTGAGAAACTGCTCCAAGCGAACGGGAAAGACTATGCACAACCTCCTCTCTCCCTCCTCCCCCTCACACTCTGCTCATCTCACTCACTCTCCAAACGAGGGATCAAAGCTCCACCTCTCCCCTAACTCTTACCCTCCTCCTTTCCGTCACCCCCTCCTTATCCTTCTTCATCTGCCCACGCGCGTCGAGTTCGAGAACGGCGGTCGTGGTGGCGAGGATCTCGTTCGTGAGGGGGTCTTGGAGGACCATCGTGATCGGGCGAGTCTGCACCACCTCATCCGTCAGCTCGGGAAGGACGGAAGGAAGAGGGAGAGAAGGAGACGCACCACCTTGACCCTCCTCAACTCCTCACAAACCCATCCCAACCCAGCCGCCACACTCGCATTCCTAACTCCCATCCAAACGCCCACTCCAAGCGCCGTCACTCCACTGACCGGCAAAACGTCCCACAGCAAAACCGTTCCTGGAATCGCAGTCGCGGTGAAGACGAGTGCGGCGAGACGGGAGGGAGAGAGCGATGGGAGGGAGGAGAGGAGAGGGAGGAGCGGGAGAGTGAGGAGGAGAGAGTGGAGGAGGTGGTAAGGGAGTGAAGAGGGGTGGTGTGAGTAGGTTCGGAGGGTCGGGACGGTCCATGTTGGGTGCTGCGGGCGCAAGCTCTCTCTCGTCAGTGAGTGTGGTGAGGGAGGGGTGAGGAGGGTGAACGCACCGAGAGGATCTCGCCCGTCGTCAACTGGTCGCTGAGGAGATAACTCGGGACCTTCCCCTCCCTCGTCCCGCTCTCAACCCACGCATGTCCCCCAACCCTCTCAAGCACGAAACTCGCCACTCCCGCACCAAAAGTCGCAATCGCGATTCCGAGGAAGACGTTGATCCACAATTCGGGGTTTTGGCGCAGGCGGGTTAGAGCGGAGAGGACGGGTCGGGCGGAGGGGGTGGGAGGGGAGAAGTAGGGGAGGAGGGAGAAGGCGGCGGCGAAGGAGATCAGGTCGATCAGGAGGAGGACAAAGACGGTTTGCGCGCTGAGAGTGTTTGCGAAGGTCAGCTCGCGTGTGAAGATGGAGGAGGCAGGGAGGGGACGCACGAGAGCAGGAAGTAGTGGTGCTCGAAGGCTGCGCGTGAGAGTGCTTGTCAGTCAGAAGGAGCTGGAGTGGGGAGAGGAGAGAGCCGGGCGAAGGAGATCGTCCGTCCCTCCTCGTCGAGCCGCTCGACTCACTGTAAAGCGAGATGCGCGAAACGAGGGCAAAGAGGACGCCGAAGAAGGCTGCAACAGACCGAGGAGCATCAGTTTCGTGTCTCAGCGGCAGTCGTGAACGGTGAAACAGCAGCGCCAGCACTTTGGCGCAGGGACAGCTGTCGCGGCCCACTCGCCGGCTCGACTCACCTCCGTCAGTCTTGACGAGTCCCCTGACCCTCCTCCAAGCCCACTGGCCCAGCGCAATCTCCGCCGCGCGCGTCCCGACAATCCAAGCCCACCTGACGCCCTCCCTCTCCACCGGTGCGAGTTCCTCCAAAAGATACCCTCCAAAGACGGGGCGGGTGAAGCAGAGGGATCGGACGACGGTAGCGACGACGAGTGCGAGAGCGTGGAACGAGACTTGACGGCGGTACGAGCCGAGTTGGCCAAAGACGGTCTCGAACCAGGAGGAGGGGATCGAGTGCGACGAGAGGATGGGGGCTTGTTGCGCGACTGCTTGTTCGGCTGTCACTGCGCCCGTGCTCGAAGAAGAGGCGGCGGGCTCAGGGGTGGCAGAGACGCTGCGTTCGCCTACGAGCGGGGCGAGGTCGGGACCGAGAGACTGGGCGAGCAGAGCGGCCGTTGCGGGAGTCTTGTGTGCCATGGCGAGGCAATTCACGTGCACGTGGCTGGCGGATAGTGCTCGACTGGCTGGCAAGAGAGAGAGAGTGAGAGAGAGGAGGCGAGAGCACGGAGCTCTGATGTCACTGGGTGGGCTGGATACAAAGTTGATTACAGCTTGATTGTAATGTTGAGTGAATACAAAGGTGAATACAACTCGATCGTAATCAACTTTGTAATCAGGTTCATCACTGTCTCACACGGCCCGATCACCTTCGGACTTCGCACCCGGCGGCCAACTCGACTTCGTTCGCTCAGCTCCTCACAGCGTCCCAAAAACACGCTGTCGTACACGCTGACTCACTCAGCTCACGGCAAGCCACCCTCCTTGGCCCCGCTGGTCCCGCTGTCCTGCTCCGCTTCCGCACTCGCTCGCTCGCTGGACTGAACAACGAATGGACCCGCTCGCTCCCTCTCTCGCTGGCATCGAATCCGAACGAATCTCATACGGTGCGTCCTCTCACACTCCCCACTCCCTTCGCTAACCCTTCCTCGCGCGTCAGACCGCCCAACCCACCGCACCCAACTCGCCCGCGTCCACGAACACCTCTCCCAGCGCATCGACGACCTCGCTTCTCTCCCTGCGCATGCGACAAAGGACGCGATCGAGCGAGGGTTGCGGAAGAGCGAGAGGGAGTTACCCACCCAAGGAAGGGGGTTGGAAGGTCCGTCCCCCCTCTCCCTCCTTCCAAGTCTCGCTCGCTGACGAGTGGGAACAGCCACGACGACGCATCTCCTGGAGGACATCGTACCGGGCCTCATGCCCGGCCAAGCAGGCCCACGCTGCTTCGGCTTGGTGATCGGAGGCGTGACGCCCGCTGCGCAGATTGCGGACCAGCTTGTGGGGGCATACGATCCCTGTGTGCAGGTGCATTGGCCCGTAGGTCCCCTTTCTCTCACTAGCACGGGACGAGAAAGGTACTGATCGGTCGGTACGGCGCGACAGGAATCCACCCTCTCCGTCGCGATTGAAGCCCGCACAATCTCCTACCTCCTCCAACTCCTCTCCCTCCCCTCCTCCCACTTCACCCAAAACACCCTCACAACCGGTGCAACAGCCTCCAACGTCCTCGGCCTCGCTCTCGGTCGAGACTTCTCCATCGCCTCGATCAAAGCCGCGCAAGGTCATTCGGGATGGAGTGTGAGTGAGGATGGGATGGGCGGTGTGGAGGTCGATGTGTTTGTTGTTGATGCGCATGCGAGCGTGAGGAAAGCTGCGGCCCTTGTGGGGCTCGGGAGGAAGAGTGTGGTTGAGTGTGGGAGGGAGGGCGAGTTGGGGTTGTTTGATTCGGAGATGCTCGAGGAGAGGTTGAGGAGGAATTGGGAGGAGGGGAGGGGGAGTATTGTCAGTGTTTCGTTTGGGGAGGTCAATACCGGGTGCGCCTCTCCCTTCTCCTCCTCCCTCTCTCCACTCTCCATGACCTTCCTCACTGACTCCCTCGCTTCCCCCACGTGCAGCTACATCTCCCCTCAAACCCCTCAACTCCGTACACTCTGCGACATGTACCATTCCTGGCTGCACCTCGACGCGGCCTTCTCCGCCTTCGCTACCCTCTCCCCGCTCTTCGCACACTACAAACCCCACCTCGCACTCGGAGACAGCATTACCAGCGACGCACACAAGTGGTTGAACGTCCCTTATGACTGTGGGCTGTTCTTCTCGAAGAGGAGGAGAGTGAGGGCGGGAGAGGAGGGAGGGGAGGTTGGGTTGTGGGAGGTTACGGGGCCGGGGAAGGCGGGTGGACCGGCGTATCTCGCCCAGACGGCGAGTAAGAAGCAGGGCGAGGACGAGGTAGACTACCCGCTGATCGAGGAATCGAAGGCCCTTCCCTCGCCGCTCTTCATGGGTATCGAAAACTCGCGGCGATTGTACGTTCCCTTCCATTACCCCTCTTTCTCCAGGCTGACGAGACCGGGTGGGTGGATGACAGCCGCGCTCTCCCGCTCTACGCATCCCTCCTCTCCCTCGGCTCAAGCGGCTACACCTCCCTAATCCACCGCAACATCCTCTTCGCCCACCGTCTCTCATCCTTCCTCTCCTCCCATCCCTCATACATACTCCTCACTCCCCCCTCCGCACCCCTCACTCCCTCCTCAGTCGCAGAAGAGCCCTGGGCATACAGGACCTCCAACATCCTCCTCTTCGCTCTCTCGCTCCTTCCCTCGCATACACCCGCACGATTCCTCTCCCACCCGGACCCTAACGCTCTTCTTCTGAGCGAGTTGAATGAGAGCGGGAGGGCGTTCTGGACTGGGACGGTTTGGAGAGGACAGAGGGGGGTTAGGTGTGCGGTGAGCAACTGGATGACTGGGTGGGATTGGGAGGATGGGAAGGAGGGGGAGGGGAGGGAGTGGGAGGAGGTGAAGGAGGTGCTGGAGGGGGTTGTAAGAATGTGACGTTTTAGACGAGGAGGGAGGAGGTGGAGTTTAATCCTAGACGGGCTCCAGCAGCAGAGTAGAATGGCTTTGATTAGAACCTCTTCTGTCCAGCAATACTTACGAACCGGCAGTCGAGCCAGCGTCGGAAGGATTCGGAAGCTTCAGGCGTTACAGGTTTAGCGAAGATACACAGGGTCCAGCGTGAATGTCCATCGACGAGGGTGACTATTGCGTCCAGCTCGCTACTGTGCCTACTGCGCAGCCGAGTGAGGATCCCGAGAGGGCAAGGAGCGGGAAGGCGGCTCGTCGAAGGAGGAGGGTTGGGAGGATGAGCTGCGAGTCGATTTGCTCGGAATCAGCATTCCTTCGCGCTTAGCAGCAAGCAACTGAAGGGAACGGCGAGACTCACAGCCCCAAGCACGCCTCCAATAACCGCCCAATCCTCCGCCTTCCGCACGCCCCTATCCCTCTTAACCTCGCTCGCCAACGCTCCCTCCCCCTTCTCGTTCGGACGGGTATACATCCTCCCTGCTCCGATCGCAAGTCCCGCCAAGGGTCCGAGGAGGAAGGAGTGCAGGACGTGACGCCGTAAGAGGGGGGTGAGGCGAGAAGGGGATTTGGTGGTTGCTGCTACGGTGGAAGCGGGGGAGACGGGCGGAGAGGAGCGACGCCGGAGAGAAGAGAGGGTCAGGTAGGCTGGTGAGATGATGGATGCGATTTGGATGCCTGCGGAACGAGGATGGTGCTCAGTAGGTGGGGTCGGCCTTGGAGGGGAACGGAGAACGCACCCTGAGCGGCTGAGTGGGTCAGGACGGTTTGCTGTGCGGGTGGAACAATTGCATCGAGGTCGCTAGGCTTGTGTGTACTCGCCATTGTGCGTTCGTGCAGCGTGGAGTCGAGCGAACCCTTGCAGGCGAGGAGGGGAGCGTCAGGTTGTGGAAGAGCGGCGGGCGGCGCGGGAAGCAGGTAGCGGGGCCTTGAAAGGTTCTAGTAAGCGGTACAACTGCTCGCCGACGCCTCGAGCGGTGCGAGTGAGCGGTGCGAGGTTGAGGGTTTGGCGAAGACGAGCGAGGAGAAAGAGGACACCTTGTTGCGCCGTTCGAGCGGGAGTTGGACGGGCTGGACTGGACGAGTCGAGCTAAGCGAGCGTGTACAGAGTGCGAGCCCGTCTGCCTGAGCAAGCGATGGCGAGGTGTCGCTCGCCAACCCCTCCTCCCTCTCGAAGCTCGCTCGCCTCGAACAGCGCTCGGCTCGCTCCAGCTCGAGCAGGACCACGGCTGGACACGCACGGATGCAGCGGCAACTCTCGAGCATGTCGCTCGTCGCGCGCAGCGCCCCGCGACCCGCGTCTGCGCGCACCCACGCCGACACCGCCCGCAGAAATTGTGCCCGCCAGCCTCAGCACACCGCGCGACAGCTTGCATCGAACGGTGAGCTCGAGGATCGCTCGATCTGCGCTGCACGGGACTTTGCACGGCGGCGCGCGGGGGAGAAGAGGCGTCGTTGCGCCGGATCGCTCGCTCGAGAGATGGGACGGACGAGGGGACGAACAGCGGGAGACAGGCGGTGGACGGAGCTTGCAGAACTCGCGGGGGCTGTTTGAGAGTACTGTGGACCGGTCACGGCTGTCGCAGGGCTTTCGCAGGGGCTCGTTCACTTCGTTCGGCAGGGACTGGACGGCCGGGAGGAGGCGGTCGTGTGAACGGTTCAAACTGGCCGCTTGGGCTGGTTTAACGGAGGGACGGCTTACTGAGGTGCTGGAGGGCGTGCTCGAGTGGGCGGAGCGGCTTGCGGACTATCGGCTGCTGAATGCACCTCGCACTGCACCTCCAGAACCGAGACTGATTACCGGTTCTTCGCTTCGCGCAGCCCGCCCTCTCTCGACCTCCTCCACCTCCCGCGCACGACCAGTCATCTCCCCTCGACCGCCCATCCCCGCCGAAGTGCGAAAGTCCCGCTCTCTCCCTTCCTCGACCATCGCGGACCCCGACGGCGCCGACACCGAGTCGCCCGTCGACACGGAAGCGATCGAAGCGCACGCCAACAACATCAAGTCGGTGCAGACGCACACGTTCGAGCTTCCGCCCTTGACGCAGGGCCAGCTCTCCCTCCTCTACGCCTACACGACCCCTCCGCCCGAATCTGCCCTGACGGCCTTCGCGAACCGAATCGCCATTCCCGATCCCAAGACGGGCGAACCCCTCTCGCTCGCTTCCGACCTCGCAATCGTCGAACAAGCCTTGATCCACGAGTCGTTCTGGGACGGCGTGCGGGCACTCCAAGACGTCCTCCCTCTCACATCGGCCAACAATCCCACTCGGCGGTACACCAACTACCACGACATCCGTCTCTCCGACTCGCCCACGACGAGCGAAGTCTTCGCGCACAACGGCTCGCTCGCAGCACTGGGCAACTCGCTCCTCGGCACCTTCGCGACCGAACTCGTCCTCGAGTCCTTCCCCAACCTCCCTACCCGCGCAGCGAAAGCAGCCGTGACGCTCTACGTCGGTCCGAAGAGCTTGGCAGCTGTTGCGGGACACCTGTGGGGCGTTGGGCCGAGTAGGCTCGAGAAGGCGCTGGTGGGACACGAACCGCCGCCCCGGCCGTCGAAGAAGGATCTGGCGTATGGACATCTTGTGGAGGGCCGCGGAGGGGCGAAGAAGGTGGGACCTGAAACGGGCGCGAAGGAGACGGCGGCGGGTCCGGGTCTGATCAGGTGGAACAGGAAGGTGGGCATCGAGCGGTTTGCTCTGTTCTTGAGCGCTTTGACTGACGCGCTCGTCCGCGCAGCCCACCACGCCCATGAAGGACGCGGTTCTGTTCGAGGACGCCATGGCGTCTGTCGCCCGCGCCGTCGTCGGCGCAATCTACCAAAAGCACGGCTTTGTCGCCGCGCGCGCGTTCGCCCACGCGCACTTCCTCGCGCGTCTCGCTCCTCCCCCTTCGACCACCCTCGCCTCGCCCTCCGCCGCAACCGACCTCACCCCTCTCCTCAAGTTCACTCAGCCGACAAAGGTCCTCGCCGCCTCCCTGGCGCAGTACAACCTCCCTCCTCTCCGCCATGCACTCCTGAAAGAGACCGGACGACTCTCGGCGCACCCGATCTTCGTCTCGGGCGTGTTTAGCGGAGACGTCAAGCTTGGAGAAGGGTTCGGGAGCAGTATCCGGATGAGCGAGTTCAGGGCGAGCGAGGACGCGTTGAGGAGGGTGTACCTTGGTGGTGGGAGGCAGAAGGGCGGGTTGCCGAGTGACGGAGCGCTGTTCGAGGGATGGACGAACGCGGATGGCTGGACCGAGGTCGACATCGAGTCGCGGTCGTGATCTCCTCCTCCCAATCTCGCACCGCTCTCTTGACATTGTACCACGACGGACAGTTCACGTCATCTCCTCTCAATCTGGGTAGACTCAGCCTTCATATCGCATCGCAGCAAGTCTCATTCTACCAAGCCCTCGCTTCCATCGTCTTTCTCAGCGCCCGCGACTAGTCCGATTCGCCGCTGAACTCGCTCCACCGCCCGCTTCCGCTGCTCCTCGTCCGAGAGTGTTGCCGCGAGCGTTCGTCGAGCCACTTTGCGAGACTGTGCGGCGGCGCAGGCGGACTCGGGTGATGCGCATGGTCGCCCGCGGCGTGTCCGTGTCGCTTCGGGTCGTAGGGCGAGTCGAAGTTGTCGAGAGCCCTGGACACTTCGGAGGGCAGCTCCTCATGCCGCTCCTTGATATGGTCACGGCGCTTCGACTCCCTCTTGCGGCGGAGTTCCCGAAGCCTGATGTCGCGGCGCTGGGCTGCTTGCCGATACGCGCGGTCCTCCTCGACGAGCTGTTCGCGACGGTATGGGGGCATCTTTGCGCGACGTTGTTCGGCGGCCTCGAGGTCCTGCTCCGGAAGGTGGTGGTGGGCGTGAGCGTGTTCGGGATCCTCGTCCTTCGAGCCATAGACGATGTCGTGGATGTCGCGCTCAATAGCCCGCTCGTCCTGGATGAGCTCCTCCAAGTTCTCCTCGACATGGGCGACCAGCTTGCGGCCACGCTGGAGCGTCCTGGACGCATCCTCCTCCATCTCGAGGCTGTGCTCCTTGGCCTCGTCGAGCTCCTTGTAGAGCTTCAGCAAGACGAGCTGGTTTTCGCGCATGAGTCGCCAATCGTTGACTTCGCCCGACCGCTTGATGCGCGCCTCGAATTCGGCCTCGGACTCGCTTGGGAATCGTTGTTTGACGTGGAGGTGCTGAGCCGGTGCGAGAGCAGTGTGTGTCATCGTGCGGACGTTGTCGTAGCGGGTGTAGCGGGCGTCCTTTTCCTGCAGCCGCTGGACGACGACGTGAGGCTGCTCGTCGCCGTGCTGCGCCTCGCCTTGACTGTCGTGCTCCTCGCCAAGACTGCTGTGACGCTCATGGTGGCAGTTATCGTCGCTCGAGTGTCCCGACGACGAGGTCGAATGTCGCCGAGGTCGGGACGTCTTCTTCGCCTGCTTCGAAGACTTGGTCGTCTTGCTCCGTCTCGGCGTCGAACCCGACATAAGCCCTGCCTGCGCCTCGTCGTCGGACCCGTTCGGCAAGCCTTTCCGCCGCCTCCGCAAGTTCTCGTCGAGGTGCTCCTGCCGGTTCTTCCAGTCGTACTCGTCGTGGTACCGCTCGCCGGCCCAGAGGACGGACGGGTCGTACTCGGGCGCTTTGTGCGGTCGACCGAGTTTGGCGAGATGTGACTTGTAGCCGAGGCGCTGCGAGAGCAAGCGTCAAGGCGGGTCAGCAGGCGTGCGTTGGTACAAGAAGCGATACTTGGGCAACCCACAATGCCGTCCAGAATGATGCAGCTGATAGAGGTCAGGGTGTAGGGAAGCTGGGCGAGCAAAGGCTCCTTCTGGTGGTTGACGAGGACGATGGACTGGAAAAGCAAGGCGTCAGCTCGAAAGCAGCAGATCCGGCGAGGAAAGGGCGAAAGCTTACCACAGCATTGAGACCGTGGGTCAGGACGCCGATAGAAATCGAGGCGGTGGTGATGTTCTGCGAAAGGTCGCTCAGCTGCGCGGCGCGGGATGGTCAGACGGGTCGAACGCACCTCCTGCTCGAGACGGCGCCTGGAGTCATTGAGACAGTATACCCTAGGACCGATCCAGAAAAGCATGCCTGCGGCGCTACAGCTCGTCAGCTTGTGTTGAATTAGCAGGTCATTCGCAGAGCGACTCACCAACCCATCCCATCAGGTAGCCCGCCATTTCCCGTCCGTATTGCGGTCCAGGAGTCGGCAAGTGAGAAGGGTGCACGACGGCCGTGTCGCGATTGAGATAGTCGACGGCGAACCACACGACTGTCGTAACGGCCAGAACAACGAGGGTCCCGATCGTGTTCTTCACGAGCGTTTTGCTCTTGGCGGGCGGACCGGCGTCGTCCTCCTTCGTCCCGGGAGGCTTCTCGTGGTGAGTATTGTAGCCGTGCATGCGCGGGATGAGCGACAAGGGTGACGGCAGAGGTTTGCGGCCGCGAGGTTTGAGGCAGAATCCGAGCGACCCGTCCGCCCATGAGAGGAGGAAGAGAGCGAGACTGCGGCGAGCAAGCGCGGTGAGCCGTTTGCTGTGTCGCAGTATGAAATTCAGACGCACACTTCGCTGGAGAAGACGAGTCTGGCGAGAGAAGGGGGTGTCAGTACCGCGAAGAGAGCGAGATTCGAGAGTGAGACGTACGAGTACAGGATAATCTGCGTGATTAGCGCGGTGTGCGAGATGATGAGGCCGAGCAGCTGGAGTACGTCGCCTGCGAGCTTGAAACGCATCTCAGCTTCACTCGCTGAACAGCGGCGAAATGATTGGCTCGCACCGGTAAGCCAGGCTCCGAAGAAGACGTATCGACCCATCTGACCTGTTGCTCGGATTTGACTCAGCTCGAAGACGACGAAGGACCAAGAGGCGAGGCGAGCGAACGCACGATCTTCTGGCGGGTGTCGCCACAGGTCGAGCAGCTCGGGAGCGAAGAGCCAGACTGACGTTCCCACTGCATAGTTCGGAAAAGCGTCAGCGAAGAGACCGAACGGAATGGGAGAAGGCTGAGGCGAGGCGTGAGCAGGAAGAGGAGGACGCACTCGCCCAGTACCCCGTGAGGCCGGACGCCAGCTCGAGCGTGTCCAGCATGTCAGCGAGTTGTCACGGCCGTCCTTCAGAATCGAGCAGCAGGCGGAGCGCAGGAAGGAACAGTGAACAAACGACGAGTGGCTCCTCCTCTCCGCGGAATGTCCGACGCTGGCGTTATCTCGCTGTCGCGTGACGGCAGCCAACGCTCCTGTTGAGCACGCAAGCCGAGGCAGAAAAGCTGAGGCGGGGGCCGAAGCGAAGTCGCGGACGGCCTGCTGAGGAAAAATGGCAGCGTAACGTTGCGAAGGTGCGAAGAGTGGAACGACCCGGCTACCGTCCCCTTCCACGCCCTCGTCCAGCTCCACCCCGTCCTCCTCGTCCACCGCCGCGCCCTCCACGCCCAGACGATGCGCGACCCTTGTCCTTCTCCTCGGGGTGGTTGTCCTCGTACCGCGCTCCTCCCTCCTTCTTCTGCCCACGATTCCGCTTCTTCTCCTGCTCCTCCTGCCTCTTGCGCTCCTTCTTTGTCGGTCCACGCTGCAGCGAGATGCCGCGAGCGGGAAGAGCCTGGCGGACCTGGTCCTTGTCGATCCGCTTGAACTGCTTCGTCGAGAACGAGGCGGGACCGACACGGGCCTTCTTCTTCGGCGGCTGGCGGGGAAGGAGCTCGTTGACGAGGTGTGCTTGAGAGACGGGAATGGGGGTCGTGTCGGAGTCGTCGTCTTCCTCGTCCCACGACGCCTCCTCGTCGCTGAAGTCGTCAGCGTCCGAGTCGGGCGCCATCTGCACGTCGTCGCCGTCTTCGCCCTCCTCCTCGTCGTCATCCTCATCCTCATCCGAGTCGTCATCGAGCAACTCGTCGTCATCCTCCCCTCCCTGCAACCCATGCTCGCGCGCATACACCTCCTCGGCCTCCTCGTCATCAATCTCCGGCTCCTGCTCTGCGTCTTCCTCGTCCTCGTCGCCCTCTGCACGCGCCTTGCCCTTCCCTTGCGCAGCCTTCTTCGCAGCAACATTCGCCTCTTGCTGCGCCCGTCGCTCGGCAGCGAGTTTGCGCCGTGCGGCGTGGACTTTGGCGAGTTCGGCGGCTTCGCGGTTCGACTTGTGGACTGTGAGAACGAGCTGCATCAGTACGAGTGCCGGGACAACCGGAGCGAAAGCGCCGAACGCACCCATCTCGTGGAAGAGAACCTCTCCCTCCCCGACTCCCTCCTCGATCTTGACCAATCCCAACTCCATCCTCGGTCCCAACTCAACAAGCCTGACCGCACGTTTCTCGCCTCTGACGCCCTTTCCCCTGTTGCCGCGTCCAACATAGTCGCTCGCAAGCCTGACCTTGCCCTTCTTCTCGTCCTGCTCCGAGTCGCTTCCGCCGCTCATTCCCCCTCCACCGCCGTGAGACGATTCAGCATCCGACATGTCGCTCATCTCAGAGTCAGAAGTGACGAATCCCATCTGTTCCTGGCGGAGGATGTAGTCCGAGATGTCCTCTGCCCGGCTGAGATCCAACACGCCCTTGGCCTTGGTCTTGCTAGGCTTGGGACGAGGTGCAATAACCCGATCCGCATCGTCGTCCGTCGCCTCGCTCTCGGACGTCGCGCCCCCGCTCAGAGGCCGCTTGCGGGAGAGAGGAACAACCTTATTGTTCGTCGAGCCGGCGATGATCTTCCGGATAGGCTTCGAGACGCCGACGGGCCGGACTTGGATCATGTAGTGCCGGAAGTCGATCGTGTGGGTGGTCGAGTTGTAGGAGAGGAGGACGACTCGGCGGGCGGAAGAGAGGGCCATCTGCGAGAGCGCTCATGTCAGCGGCGAGGATACGAGCGTGAGAATGACATTTACGCACAGTCTGGACGTGGATGGGAGGGAAGAGGTTCTGGAAGACGGTCGTCATGAGCTTGAGCTGCTTGTCCTCACCGCCAAAGCCGGAGAGGATGAGCTATGCGCGGCGAGAGGAAAGGGATGATCAGTCACAGCACAAGTCGAGAACTTCAGCCTGAAGCAAGCCTCGCACGCACCAAGGGAGCCTCGGCAAACTCGCGTCCAACACTCCTGGGCCTCCTCGCCATCCGCAACACATCGCTCGCCAAGCTGTACCGCAACACCTTGAAGTTGAGCGTCGGACCCCTCGGCAACCTGATCAACCGCAAGTTGACCGTCGTCGTTCCCTCGATCAACGAACGCTCTGCCCGTTCTGCCGCCGTCTCTTTCGTCTCGGAGGTCGAGGGTGCGGGGAGAGGAGCGTCCGTCGCGGGAGGCTGGGAGAAGACCATCAAGTGGGTAACGCCGAGGGGCCCGGACATGGAGACGAAGTCGCGCAGTCGGTTGGATTTCCGTTCCTGCGAGAGACGAGGAGAGTCAGCGATATCCGGACTGCTTCAATGACAGCACCGTCGCCTCCGCACGGATCGACAGATGCATTCGACAGAGCCGACCGACTCACCCTGAGCCTGGTAGCCGTGTTGGGCTCGAGAACCCTCCTGACATCCTTCGTGAGCTGCCCGACACTTCCGCCCACAGCGCCGCTCTTGACGACGAACGACTTGGGGACCTTTGGCGCATTCGGGTCGGTCGCGGCAGGCGCCTTGACCTGCGAGACGGGGCGCAGGCGAGCGAGGTCAGCGATGTCGAAGGAGGCTGTGTGAGCTGAGGAGCGGTGGACGGGACGAGGCAGCGGGAAGGGCTGAGCGTACGTGCGTGCGCGTCTTCTTGCGTTTCTGACCCTTGCGAGGCATTCCTGAGCGAGTCCTGGAGCGGTGCGAGGGGGTAACGAGGCAACAGATGAAGTGAGGCGAGCCCAAGCTTGGGATTACAACTTTGTAATCAGCTCATTACAACTCGCTCATTACAACTCGCTCTCCCCCTCTCACGCTCCGTCTGCCACGCTGGACTGAGCGAACTGGCTGGGATGTGCTCACAGACTGCCTCGAGATGACTGGAATCGCTCAACAGGCGCCGCGAGGTCGACACCCGATCCTCGCATCCTCATCACCTCAAGCCGCTTCCGCCTCTCCTGCTTAGTCGCAACCGCTTCGCAGGCCAGGTGGCTAATGCGGTCAGCTCGCGAACATCTCTAGCAATCGCGCCAGCTGGGTAGAACGGCTCCACGGGACGCCGTGGACTTGCCACAGGAGCTTGTTCTCGCTCGCTCCCCTTCGGGCTCTCGCTCGTGCCCCTCCCCCTCCTCCTCCTGCTTGACTGCTGGCTGCACGCTTCCCAGGCATGTCGAAGGATCAGCCACGGATGTGCGTATTCCGCCCCTTGTGTCGCGAGACCACAGCTGACGAGGGTCGTACTTCCCAGCACGCTCCGCCCTCCGCCTCACCGCGATTATCTACAAGGTGAGCGGCGATGTTCACTCTCGGTCGAGAGCTCATAACTGATCGTGCATTCACAGGGTATCCGGGCATCCCCGCCTCATCCCCCTCGGACCCAGCTCCTCCTCTCGACCCGCTCCTTCCCCTCTCGCTGATCCATCGTCCGCAAGCGCATCTCACTGGCACGGTCGAGATCCGCTCACCCTCGAAAGGCGGCCCAATCCGCGCAAAATGGCTCAGTGTTGAACTCGAGAAGATCGAGACGGTCCCTCCTCCGCCCAACTCGGGCTCGTCAGGCAAGGGCGCGGCGAGCGACGCCAAGTTCGTCGAGCTGATTGGGATCGGACCCAGTCATACCTGGACTGCTGGACAAGGCGGAGACGGCGCGGAACTCACGACCACTATCTCGCGGCACGAAGTCCTCTCGACTCCGCGCAAAAAAGGCCTCAAGGGCTTGCTCGGCCGCAACAAGGACAAGGATTCGTATCCTATCGCTGACGAGGACAGCGAGGACGACGGATACGACGTGATCCCCGATGGCAACTACCCGTTCAAGATTGCGGTGCCAGAGGGACTGCCGCCGAGCGTCGAGGTCGACTCCAAGTACCGCGGGATCGCCTATCAGCTCGTCGCTTCGCTCGCTATCAAGCCGAAGAAGTGCGTCCGTCCTCTCATCCTGAACCTGCTTTTTTCACTGACTGGAGGACCCGCCCTTCGCGCAGAGGGCTCCTCAAAACCGCCTCCAAGCCCACGGTCCTTACCACCTCCGCCTCCATCCTCCTGCACAAAGGCGACATCCTCCCCTCCTGGCCCATCTACGAGCCGCTCCTCCCGCTCCCTCTTCCCGCCGGCTTGCCCTGGGCTGACGAACACACGATCGGCGAGACGAGGGAAGGACGTTTGGCGATCCGCGTGGGCGAGGCGAGTGGCGGCGAGGTTTGGATCAAGGCCACGAGGGAGAAGGCGGCGTATGGACCGGGTGATCTGGTGCAGGTGTTTGTGCAGGTCGGATGGGGAGGTGTTAACTCGATCAGGGCGAGTCGCTGCGTCTCTCTCGTCCTCGCGCTTTCTCGACGTTGCGCAATGGCTGACGATGGCGCTCCGCGCGGTTCCGCAGCTCACCCGCCTGGACTTTGTGCTCCGCGAAACCCTCACCTACCGCTACCCTTCGCCCGCCAACCCCTCCTACATCGTCCGCGCGCCGCCGAAAGTCACTTCGATCGTCACCGCCAACGCAAGTGTCTCGCCCGACCCGAACAACGACCCGACCGCTTTCGCCGTTCTCTACCAGAACGAGCCTGTCTCGTTTGCGATGAGTGGAATCGTACCGACCAGCCACTCGCGGGTCACGGTCAGGACCGCCAAGCACCTCGACGTCGCCTACCATCTCAAGATCCGCGCTATGATCGAAGGCGGCGACGAAGTCTCGATCGACAACTGGCCCATCGTGCTCGGCAACGTTCCTTCGCGCCAGGCCAAGGGCGTCATCAACGATATCGGTTGGGTCGAAGGACTGTGCGACCGTCCCGGCTTGCGCGACGTTCCGGCGCCTGTCTCGATGGAACCGTCCGCAGCCGTCTCGATGGCGCGGCCGACGCTCGTCTCGCTCAACTCGTCGGACAGGCAGACCGTTCAGCCGACGCCTGCGTTCGCGACGCCGCAAAACACGCCGCCGCCGCCTCCACCTGTCGAGGACAAGTCTCGGCTCCCTCCGCCAGTGCCGTCGACCGCTTCGTACGGCGACGAGAAGACTCGCTTGCTCGCCAACTCTCCCTACGGCGGCTCGTCCTCAGGCGGAGGCTCGACTGCTCCGCTGCACGTCACGAACCCGACGCCTATCTCGCCTCGCACGTACGGCAGCGCGACGCCTCCTCCGCCTCTTCCGTCGACCGCTGCCGCCCGAGCGTCGTTCGTTCCCTCACCGACCGCCGAGGAAGAGAAGCGTCGCTACTACGAGCAGGCGACTCGCTCGCGCGACCTCCTCCAGTCCTCGCTTCGCGCATCGCAGGACTCGCACCAGCGTCCGTCGTCGATCGCGACGAACGGTACGCGGGACAGGTCGCTTGGCTTCTCGCCGGTCAGCCTGGAGGATCCGGGACCTGTCCTTCTGCAGAAGGCGATGCTCGTCCGTCGTGATGAGGCTTCTTCCCCGCCTCAGACTTCGCCGTACGGAGGCGTCGAGTCCGGCTCGTACAGCACCGACGCACCGCTCTCGACGGGACAGCTCGCCCCGCCGACGAGGAGCAACACGATCATGGCCCTTTCGGGATCCGAAGTCTCGAGTATCCCGCCTTCGGTCCCGCCTCCTGCGCCTGTCGCTCCGAGCGACAGCCTCCAAGTCCCAGCCTCGTCAAGCTCGACCTCTTTCCTTGGTCGCAGCCTCACCAGTGCCGAGTCGGAGAAGCGCCGCCTCTTCCTCGAGGCAAAAGAGATCGCTCGTCGGCGTCAAGAAGAAGCTCGGCTCGAACTCGAGCGGCAGAATCGCGCGCTCGCCGAACTCGAGTTCGAAGAGGCGCAGAACGCCTTCGAGGAGAAGCTCATCGTCGAAGCTGAGCTCGAGCGGCAGGAGGAGGAGCGCCGCAAGAAGGAGGAGTACGCGGCTCAGCAGCGCGAGCGCATCAGGCAGGACGAGGAGCGCTGGAGGATTGAAGAGGAGGAGCGGCGCGCCAAAGCCCTAGCCGAGCTCGAGGACAAGAGGCGTCGCGCAGAGCAGGCGCTTCAGGAAGAGCTTCGCCGCTTCGAGGAGCAGCAGCGTGCCGAAGAGCGTGCGAGGGCCGAGGAGATCGAACAGCAGCTTGACGACAGGAAGAGGGAGGACGAGATGAAGCGTCAACGTGCTGAGGAGATGCGCCGACTTGACGAGGAGCGCGAGCGGGAGGAGGAGGAGAGGCGCATGGCGGCTCAGCGCAAAGCGGCGTTCGAGCGTGAGCGTGCCGAGCAGGAAAGACGTCGGCGCGAAGCGGAGGCGGAGCGAGCCGCTCAGGAGGAGGCTGCTCGCCAGCGCCGCCTCGCAGAAGAGCAGGAACGCGCCGCTCAGGAGGAAGCCGCCCACCACCGTCGAATCGCGGACGAGCAGGAGTTCGCGAGGCGCAGGATGGAGGAGGAGCGCTTGGTCGCCGAGGCGGAGCGCCAGAGGCTGCTGCTGGCCGAGGAGCAAGCTCGTCGCGCTCAGGCGGCAGAGGACACTCGCCGCGCCGACCTTGCGCGGATCCAAGCTGGTGCGTTCGTTTTCAGTGTTGGCCGATCTGCCAGCTGACCTTACTTTCGTGACAACAGCTCAACAGCCTGCCTACCCGCCGGCGAACGGACCTCAGCCGCAGCACTACGGCGCCGGCCTTACGCGCACGCCTTCCGTCGCATCTTTCGCACCCAGCTTGTCAGCTGCTCAGGCGACTGCCGACGTCTACGCGCAGGCCATCGCGCAGCAGGCGACGCTGCAGGAGGAGAAGGCGGCCTACCTTCGCCAGCTGCGCATGCGAGAGGAAGAGCGTCGTGCTCATCTCGCTTCGCCCGATATCGGAGGGAGATCTGCGTCTCTGCAAATGCCGTCGCTACCGCACTCGCAGGCGCCTGTTCCGGCAACGACTGTCGCGCAAGGATACCCGTCTGGACGAGTTCTTCCGTCGAGACACCCGCAGGCCGTTTCGCACGACGGCTATGCCTACAGCACGCCGACTCGCCAGAACTCGTACTCGGCGAGCGTGGTGTCGACCGTGGCCCCAACGACCGTCATTAGCAGCGCGCCGCCGCCAATGCCTCCGCTTCCCCAGCGAGAGGCAGCCGAGGCCGTCCCTCCCGCGCAACCCGTGCGTGACGAGGCAACTCCCCCTACGTCGACCTACAAGACCGCGGCGGAGGAGAAGGAGGAACTCGCCGCTCGCCGTCGAGCGGAAGAAACGCGCGCTCAACAAGCCGCTTCCGCACCTCCTCCTCAGCCGGAGGACGACGACATGCCGCCGTCGTATCCGGCTGGCGCGACAGGCCAGCAAGGCTCGACTCGCACAGCTGCTCAGGAGAAGGCAGAGCTGGACCGCTGTGCGTCGCGTTTTTCAGCCTTTCGCCTCCCGCCGGTCTGACCTTCTCACTTCCGCAGATTACCAGGCCAAAGCAGCCGTTCAGCAGGCTCAGACAGCCCCGCCGCCACCTGAGCCTCGCCCTGCCCCCAACGGCTTTGACCGCAGTCCGCTCGCTACGCCTGTCCCGCTGTACCAGCCTGCGCCCGGCCTACAACCCGCCTATCCCTCGAACCTGCTCGGCTCAGCGCCACCGTCCGAGCCCTCTCACCAGCAGCAGGGGTCGACGCCGTCCGAGTCATCGCACGAAGTGCACCGCGACCCTTCCATCGCAGCTGGCAAGCGAGTCCAGCGGTCGACGTCGTCCTCGTACGGCGAATCGACGCCTGGCATGACGGCTTTCTCGCCATCTGCGCCAAGCGCGCCTCAGCCTGCCGCTCACGGCTACGATATTCCGCCGCATCCTCCCCAGCACGCGCCGTACGATCACGCAGGCGACTCCCGCCAAGACGCGCTCGGCGGCGTCGAGTTCGGCTCGTTCGGCGTCGACAGTTTCCCCGAATTTGCGGACCTGTCGTCGCAGCTCGCTGCGATTAATGCGGCCAGGCAGTGAAGTCGCGTCCCGATCTTCTCTCGTTCCCTTTCTCCTTGCGGTCCCTTCGTCTTATCGGTACTGGAAACGTCTACGTTACTGTTCTTTTCAGTCAATGGGGTATCCTTCTGTGCGAGAGAGAGTACGCGAGTTCGGCAAAAGGCGAATGCTAAGAATGCGAGGCAAAGGTGCGATAGACGTGAAGGAAGGCAAGGGTATAACCGGGAGAGGGTGGAGAAAGGAGCGGAGAAGAGAAATAGGGAGATTGGAGGGAGAGGACGAGCGCGAGACAGCTACTTCTGCCAGACCCGGACGGTTCCGTCAGCGCCAGTCGAGACGAGGGCATCTCCGGCGGACGTGAAGGCAACGTCGAGAACGCCTTCGGCGCCCTTGACGCGGTGTGTCGACTCCTCTTGAACGCAGGTGAGAGTCGCGGGACCGTCGGCGCCGCGATTGAAGGACCAGAGGCGGACGGAGCCATCGTGAGAGCTAGTTGCGAGGAGGCTGTCGCCGGCTGAGGACGGGCGGAACGAAACGGAGGTGACGCCGTCGAGGTGGGCGCGAGTCGCGACGAGGGAGTCGCCCGAAGCGAGGTCGAAGACGCGAAGGTGGTTGTCCTCGTGAGCGGTGGCGATCAAGCCGGCGTCCGAGCAGACGGCGATGGCGTTGATCTGAGTGTCGCTCGTTCCATCTGTCATGTGTGTGCGTCAGTGAAGCTGTTGCGACGAGACGAAGAAGAATAGGACGCACTGTACGATTCGTTCGCATCGACGCGCTTGACCTCCTCGCCGGACGACGGTCGGAACAGCTTGACGACCGCGTTCTGAAAGGCAACCGCTAGGAGCTGCTCGCCGTCGACAACGGCTGTTGTGATCGCCGTGGGCGTCGGGCGCTGCTGAAGTCGCTTCTTGAGCGATCCCTGCGAAGCGGCATCTGGCTCGCCCCAGGTGTAACTCGCGGTCATCACGCCCGTCTCAAGATCCCACTCCTGGATGGCGCCACTCGCCGTGATGCAGGCGATGCGGGACGTCGTCGAGTCGGAGAGGTCGGCGAGGCCCCAGACGGCGTCGCCGTGTGTCTCGAAGACGGCGAGCAGCAATTCGCTGTCGACCGGGTCGTACGTCGAGCGCGAGTGGTCGGGGAGACGCCACAGACGGACGTTCGAGTCGAGCGAAGCCGAGACGACGACGGCTTCTGACTTCTCGGACGCACGAGTGACGAGCAAGGCGGTGACGGGAGCGGTGTGACCGCGGTAGGTGACGACGGGCTCGAGGTCGGAGCGTGAGCTGGAGAGCGCTATTTCGTCAGAAACGAGCAGCTTGAAGGCGAGGGGCAACGCACCTCTTGCGGTCGAGTACGCCTCGCCACAGCTTGACCACGCAGTCGTCTCCACCGGTAACCAAGTCAGTCTCGCCATCGTCGCTAGGCACGAACGCAACGGCCCTGACCGCATCGAGGTGGCTCTTGAGGACCCGACGCGCTTTGTACCGGTCGACGCCCATCAAGCCCACAGTCTCCTCGCTCGCCTGCTTCGCCTTCCTCGGCTTGGCAGAGCGACCGTTCGCCGCGCTCGAGTCGCCCGAGTCGTCGTCCTCCAGGTCCCAGTCGAGACCGTCCAACTCGGCGTCTCCTCCGCCTCCGTCCCGCAGCGACGCAGCCGAGGCGACGTATGCCCTCCGCCCCGCCTGGGCAAGCTTCTCCTTCCATCCCTCGTCCGGCCTGAAGTAAGCAGTCGGCACCTCCTCCTCTTCCTCCTCCCTCACACCCGATCCTCCCGCCGAGCCCTCCGACCCGCTCAGTTCGCCTCCTCCTTCGCCTCCTTCGGTCGATCCGCGTCCTCCTTCTCCGTCGCCGTCTCTCCCGCCGAAGCTGCTGAAGAGTCCGGGGCGGGATCCTCGACCTCGACTGAAGGTGCCGGTTCCGAATCGCTTGTCGCGTCCGACGAGGTCTTGGGAGCGCTGGAAGGCTATCCGAAGAGAGCGGACACGCGAGGATGCGTCGGTGAGAGGGAAGGGAGAAACGGAGCAGAAGAAGGTTCCGTCAGTCTCGCTTGCGTTGAGCGGATCAAGGCTGGAACGCACCGCTTCTTCAGCCGACTCCACCTCTCCCTCTTTCTTCTCTTCGCTCTTGTCCTCATCCTTCGCGCCCTGCAAGCTCGACTCGCCAACAGGCTCAAACGGGTCGTCCGCCTCCTCATGTGGCGCCGACTCGACAACCTTGACATCCGCATCATCAGGCTTCTCCTCGTTCGCCTCGGGCGTCGCCTGCTGCTCGACCGGCATCTCATCGTGCTTGCCGGCGGATGAGGTAGCAGCGGAAGGTTCCGCCTCGGCTTCCTGACCCGCCGCAGGGGTCGCCTTCTCCGCCGCCGCTCCAGGCGCAGCATTGACGACCGCGGTCTCGTCAATAAGCGGCTCAGCCTTCACACCATCCGCCTTGAGCGCCTCATCCGCCTCGACCGCAACAACCGGGTCATGCGGCTGCTCCACCGCCTCGTCACTCGCCTTGACGCTTTCCTCGCGCTTCGACATCTCCGCAATCGCGCGGTCAAGCTCGTCGTGGTCCTTCGTCGTCACAGGCGCGCCTCGTCCTCGACCTGGCTGGCCGGGCTGGGAGATCTGTCGTCGGAGGGGGACGAAGGCAGAAGGCGGATCAGAGGGGAAAGAGGTCAGAAGATCTTGTTTCGGCGCGTCGGGGGCGAGAGGAGGGAGAGACGGAGGAGGGGGTGGGAGAGTCGAGGGGATCGCGGGGGCGGTCGAAGGCGGGATAGCCGTGTTCGCGAACGGCTCGAGTTCCGTCGGTGCGAGGTTGGTAGGTCCCGTCGTCGCTGGCGGGAGAGACGAGGGCGCTCCACCCGCGAGGTTCAAGACGCCCGGTCCAGAGGTCGGGACATGATCAGGCAAGACCTTCCTGGGCCTCGGGACGCTCGGCGCGGCATACGAGTGCGCCGCCAGCGGGTTGAGCGTCGCAGAAGAAGTGAGGTACGTGATCTCCTGGAGACACTGCTTGAGGTACTCGCGCGACCGGGCCTTGCCACGCGGATCCCGCAGCCCGCCGGCGGTTGAGGCGGTTGCAGCGGCGGCGGCGCCGGACCAGGTGCCTGTCTGGAAACCGTTGACAGTCGGGCCTGTACCGGTTGAAGCGGAGTCGGAGCGCAGACGCGCAGCGTCACCGGAAGACTGGCCGGGCGAACTGGTCGAGGCAGCCATCGGGGCAGACTTGGGCGCTTCGCTCGTAGGAGTACCGGGAGTCGGGGCGGACGAGGCGCCGCCTTCTTTTTGCAGCGCGGCGAGCTTGGAAGGAGGGATCGCGGAGGCGCCGAGGGTCGCTTCCTTTGCGAGAGAGGGGATGGCGCCCGGGACGGGAGAGGCGGTACCAGAAACGGATGGGGAAGAACCGGCGAGAGCGTTCGTCGTGGAGAGGAATTTCGACCTGCGAGAGATACAACGTGTGAGCATTGGCATTGCTATGCGACTCGCCGATTCCGCAGCGAGCAACTTGCGCGAGAAACGCTAGGCGCGCAACTCACCTTTCGCCCCTAAGCGCCATCTCGAGCATCTTGCACCTCCTGCCCAAGCTCTTCAACGCGCCCTCATTTCCCCTTTTCTCGCCCTCAAGCAACGCAATCCTCGCCCTCATCTCGGCGCGCTCAATCTCCCACTCGTTCCTGTCGCGCGCGTACCGCCTATGCTCGGATTGGAGAAAGTGCAACGCGGCTGCGAGAGTCATGGGTGGGTAGGGTTGTTGTTGAGGCGGAGGAGGGGGGAGGGGAGTAGCTTGTTGTTGAGGGGATTGTTGCGCGGACGGGGGCTGCGGTTGAGAGGTGCTCGCGTCGTTGCCGAAGCGTTGCTCGTTCCCGAGCGAGAAGGAGGAGGGTGGATTCCACGGCAACATGGTGGGCTGTCGGACCGGGTTCTGCGCGAGGGTGTCAAGAGGGTTAGCGAGAGTACATCTAGAGGGGAGAGGTTGCTCGAGCGAGCCAGCGCAAGGCGCAGACGACGCCTCGCCGCCTTCTGCCCCTCAACAGGGTAGATACCGTAGTCCTCTAGGCGCCTCAGCTGTCCGCGAGCGAGTTGCGCGACGCTCGACCCCCGCACCCCTTCACACGCATCTCGCCAAGTCGGGCGAGCTGACCAGCCTGCAGAGCGCGCGCAGCCCACGCAGCGCACTGCTCGATCCACCAGCTAGCTGAGCGGCTCAAGCGGCCTTCACTTGCCCGTGGACGGAGCGAGATGTCCCGTGTCCAGGCGGACGAGTCGCTCGACCTCGCAACGAGCTCCCGCGCGCTATCCTCGCCTACGCCGCGCAATCCCAGCCAAGAGAAAGAGTCATCGACGCACCTGCTTTGTGCTAAGCTAGCCTGCGCGTCTATCGGTGCGGTGAGAGGGCGGAAGAGGCTGGTGATGAGTGCGTGGTTGGTCGAGCGGGGGAAGGGGAGGTGGTCGTCCACGACGAAGGGCGGCTGTGGGTCGTCGCTGGAGTCGAGTCGACTGCTTTGGGGCTGTCTGCAGTGCTCCCGAGCAGCTGGACGCGAAAGAGTCCTTCGAAGCAGGTCGAGCCGTGCGGGTGCGAGTTGTAATCCATTAGACTTCGCTTTGTATTGAACTGATTATGAGACAGTAGTAATGAACTGAATACAACCTGTTCCTAATGAACTCATTACAATCTCTCTCGCTCTCGCTTCATCCTCTCGCCTCGCTCGCACAGCTCGCCTAGGCGCAAGGGTTGGACGACACGCCTGCGCATGCGACGCTGTTCACCCTGCCACGCACGCTCTGCTGACACCGCCGGTGGTCGTCCTCCTCCTCGACTGCTCGTTTGCGGCGAGTCCGCGGATTGACCTCGCTCGCGCGCGCCGGCTTGAATGCGCTCAGTCAGCGTTGTTGACGTCGCTCTCGACGCGGATGGCCCGCTCCGTCTGACTCCTTCCCTGGACGGCAGGAACGGAAGGACGGCGGCCGCCAACCCTGTTCTGTCCCGACCACAACCAGCGAGCTGGCGTCCTCAGGCGCTCAGGCCTCGCTTGTGCTTGGCTGCTATCCACAAAGACTGTCACTGCTCTGCCTGGCCTTGCTCGCTCTTCCCCAGCTCTCTTGACCGCAATTTGGCTCGCTCAACCTCGATCGCCATCTCTGCCTCTTCCCGCCGGGCGCCATGTCGCTCGTCGGCAACTTCACCACCAACACAGACCGCGAAGACCACCGGCACCAGTCTCGCGGCAAGCGCACGGGCGAACAGGACCAGACCTCGCTCTCCTCGTCGAACGATGACCAGGCTACTCTCGATGAGCAGCGACGGATCTCGATGGACGTGACCGGGCTCGCGAGGACGATGAGTCGGCGCTCGCAGCCTGGGGACGTCGGAGGAGTCGAGGGCGACCCGTTGAGGCCGCAGGAAGGGAGCGTCTTCGACCCTTGGTCCGACAACTTCAAGCCAGATCGTTGGGCGCGCGCCGTCTACGATCTCTCGGCGAACGACCCGCACGCTGGACCTCGCAGGACTGGAGGCATCGCTTTCGAGGACCTTGGGACGTACGGCTACGCAGCTGGAACCGAGTACCAGGCGACTGTGGGCAACATGCCCCTCAAAGCCATCGGCTGGCTCAAGGGTCTCCTCGGCGCCGGCAAGGGTCGCAAGGTCAAGATCCTCCAGAACGTCGACGGCGTCCTCGAGAACGGCGAGACGCTCGTTGTACTCGGCCCGCCTGGTTCGGGCTGCTCGACGTTCCTCAAGACCCTCGCGAACGAGACACACGGCTTCTTCGTCGACGAGGGGTCCAAGATCAACTACAAGGGCATCACGCCGAAGCAGATGCGCAAGAACTTTGGCGGCGAAGCGATCTAGTGCGTCCGTTCACGCCTTTCCTTCCTCCTTCTCGCTAACGATTCTCTTCGACAGCTCCGCCGAGACCGAACAACACTTCCCCATGCTCACCGTCGGCCAAACGCTCGAGTTTGCCGCCCAAGCCCGCGCACCTCGTCACCCTCCCGGCGGCCTCTCGCAGCGCGACTGGGCGAAACAGCTCGCGGCCGTTGTGATGGCCATCTTTGGCATCAGCGACACGAAGGACGTCAAGGTCGGGAACGACTACATCCGCGGCGTCTCGGGAGGACAGTGAGTTTGCTCTCCCGTCGTTCTTCGCGAGGTCTCGTTCGCTGACGAAGGTTCGTTCGCTCGACAGGCGCAAGCGTGTCTCGATCGCCGAAGTTGCTCTCGCAGGCGCACCTCTCGCTCTCTGGGACAACAGTACCCGTGGTCTCGACTCGGCGACGGCTGTCTCTTTCTGCCAGACGATCAAGGCCTCCGCCGAGCTCACAGGCGGCGTCGCCTGCGTCGCGATCTACCAAGCCCCTCAACCCGCCTACGAGTGCTTCTCCAGAGCAATCGTCCTGTACGAAGGACGCTCGATCTACTTTGGCCCAGCTTCAAAGGCCAAAGACTTCTGGGTCGCCCGAGGCTTCGAGTGCCCCGAACAGCAGACCGACCCCGATTTCCTCACCGGTCTCACGTCGCCCGCCGAGCGCCGAGTCCGCAAGGGCTGGGAGAACCAGGTCCCCCGTACGCCGGAGGAGTTCGAGCGCATCTGGAAGGACAGCGACGAGTACCGCGCTCTCAAGGCCGAGCTGGGGCAGTACGACCAGCGCTACCCGACGCACGGCGAAGAGCTCGAGACGTTCAAGGCGAGTCGGCGCGCGCAGCAAGCCAAGTCGGTTCGAGCAGGGTCGCCCTACACCCTTTCCTACGGCCAACAGATCGCGCTCTGCCTCCGCCGCGGCTTCCAGCGACTCGCAGCCGACCCGTCTCTCACGTTCTTCCAGCTCTTCGGAAACTCCGTCATGGCCCTAATCGTCTCGAGCGTGTTCTTCAACCTCCAGCCCGTCACGACGTCCTTTTATTCGAGGGGCTCGCTCCTCTTCTTTTCGGTTCTGCTCAACGTGAGTCCTGCCTTTCCCGCCCTCTTGAACGGAAGTCGGAAGCTGACACCGACCTCGCCTTGCGCAGGCCTTCGGTTCCGCCCTCGAGATCCTCACCCTCTACGCCCAACGCCCTATCGTCGACAAGCAGGCGCGGTACCGGATGATCCATCCGAGTGCTGAAGCGTTCGCGTCGATGGCGACCGACATGCCATGTACGTTTGCAGGCCTCGTGAGGAGGACCCGCGGGCTGACGCTCTTTCGTCCTGCAGACAAGATCCTCAACGCCATTCTTTTCAACATCATTATCTACTTCATGTCGAGTAAGCTCAGAACATGCTTGGGCGTCTTGGGCGTTTAGCTGACTGCGGAGAGGCGCCTTCTGCTCGAAACCTTCGGCTGACCCTGCTTCCCTTTGCAGACCTCCGACGCGAACCCGGCCACTTTTTCTTCTTCCTCCTCATCTCGTTTTTCACGACGCTCGTCATGTCCATGTTCTTCCGCTCTATCGCCGCCTTGTCGCGCTCGCTCTCGCAGGCGCTCGTACCAGGTGCGTCGCTCCTTCCCTTGCGCTCCCTGCTGCGAAGCCGTACTGACACTCAGCGATGTACAGCCGCACTACTTATCCTCGCGCTTGTCTTGTACACCGGCTTTGCCATCCCGACTCGCTACGTTCGTCCTCGCTTTTCCGCTCCTCATTGGCGCTTTGCTGACCTCTTTCTCGTCCTTCTTCTCTCATTAAGATGCTCGGATGGATCTCGTGGATCAGGTGGCTGAACCCGTACGTCTACTTTCTCCGAGATTTGCGGCTTCGTCTCGGCTCCTTTCGCTCTTGCCAAAGGCTCACTTCGAACAGCTCGCTAACACTCGTCTCCTCCAGCATCCAATACTCTTTCGAGGCGTTGATGGTCAACGAGTTCAACGGGCGCGACTTTACCTGCAATCAGGTCATTCCGTCTGTCGCTTTCCGTCTCGACCCGCTTCCTTCGCCGACTTCGGCTGACTTTCCGCTGCGTGCAGCTCTGGCCCTGGCTACCCGTCGCTCGCGTCAGGCAACGCGGTTTGCGGCGTTGCTGGTTCTACGCCGGGCTGTACGTCGCCCGCTCATCTTGACCTTCGCAAGTCGCTGACGGAAACCATCCTACAGCCTCGGTCGTCGACGGCACCACCTACCTCAACCAGACGTATAGTTATTACGCCTCGCACAAGTGGCGGTACGTCCGTCTTGCTCGAACTCGTCAAGCAGAGCGCACTGACGAGTGTCGCTCGCAGAAACTTTGGCGTTCTCTTCCCGTTCCTCTTCGGCCTCATGGGCATCTACCTCGCCGCGAGCGAGTGGATCTCCGAGTCCAAATCGAAAGGCGAAGTCAAGGTGTACCCTCGCACCCGCGTCCCGAAGCATGACAAGGTAGGGAACGACGTCGAGGCAGGGGCTTCGACTCCGCAAGACTCGCGCAACGAAGACCCGGCCAAGGACGTCAACATCCAGCGACAGACCGCCATCTTTCACTGGGACGACCTCTGCTACGACATTCCGGTCAAGGGCGGGACAAGGCGCTTGCTCGACCACGTTGAGGGGTGGGTCAAGCCCGGCACGCTGACGGCGCTCATGGTGCGTCGCCTCTCTCGCTTCTGTAAAGGCGAACAGAGCGACGTCGGCGCGAAGTCGTAGTCGCTCTTGCGTCCGCTGGAGAAGACGTCCCATTTGACCTTGCGACGCTGCAGGGCGTTTCGGGCGCCGGCAAGACGACTCTTCTCGACGTTCTCGCTTCCCGCGTTCGCATGGGCGTCGTGACAGGCGACATCCTCGTCGACGGAATGCCCCGCACCGAATCCTTCCAACGCAAGACCGGCTACGTCCAGCAGCAGGACCTGCATCTTTCGACCGCCTCCGTCCGCGAGGCTCTCCAGTTCAGCGCCATCCTCCGTCAGCCGGCTAGCACGCCTCGCGCCGAGAAGCTCGCTTACGTCGAGGAGGTCCTCAAGCTCCTCCAGATGGACAAGTATGCTGATGCCATCGTTGGCGAGCTCGGCGAGGGTCTCAACGTCGAGGAGCGCAAGAGGCTGTCGATTGGTGCGTTGTTTCAGATCTCTTCCGAGATTTGATGCTGACTTTGGTCGTCACAGCCGTTGAGATGGTCGCCAAGCCCGAGCTCCTCCTCTTCCTCGACGAGCCTTCGTCCGGCCTCGACTCGCAGACCGCCTGGTCCGTCCTTGACCTCCTCGAGACGCTCAAGCAAGCCGGTCAGGCGGTGCTCTGCACGATTCACCAACCTTCCGCCCAGCTCTTCGACCGCTTCGACCGCCTGCTCTTCCTCGCTCGAGGCGGGAAGACGGTCTACTTCGGCGAAGTCGGCGAACAGTCGAGGATTCTCAGGTCGTACTTCGAGCGCAACGGCTCGCCTCAGTTCCCGCCAGGCGTCAACCCGGCGGAGTACATGCTCGAGGTGCGTTTCGAAGGATTCCTTTTCGACTTCCCTCTTCCGTCCAGCGCTGAAGACGTTGACGACGGAGGATACAGGTCATTGGCGCTGCTCCTGGCTCACACACCGAGATCGACTGGCACCAAACGTGGCTCGACAGTCCCGAACGAGCCGAGGTCAAGAAGGAACTCGCGTACCTCAAAGCGAACCCGAAGCCCGCCGAAGCCAAGGACGACAAGTGGGCGAGCACAGAGTTTGCTGTGCCGCTCACGACGCAATTCGTCGAGGTCCAGAAGCGCGTCTTCCAGCAGTACTGGCGGTCGCCCGTTTATGTGAGTCCGCGCCCTCGATGTCCTCGTCTTGCGGCTCCATCCAGCGTCGCTCACCACTTCTTTCGCATCGCAGATCTACTCGAAGACGGTCCTCTGCACGCTCGTACCCCTCTTTATCTCGTTCTCATTCTTTCGGGCCGGCACCTCGATCCAGGGTCTGCAGAACCAGCTCTTTGCTGTTTTCCTCTTGTTCACCGTGTTCTACGTCCTCTTCCTCTGATGCTGTCCGTGGGCCCTGACTAACGCTTCTCTGGTTCCTCCCGCCTCTCCGCCGCGTCTTGCGCTCCCTCGTTCCCTTCCTCTCTTCCTCCGCCCTCTCATGCGGTCTTTCCACCCTACACAGTGGTCAACTGTGTCAGCAGATCATGCCGCAGTTCGTCAAGCAGCGCGAATCGTACGAGGTTCGCGAACGGCCGTCGAGGACGTACTCTTGGATCGTTTTCATGCTCACAAACATTCTGAGTGCGTCTCGCTCCTCTGGAGGTACGCTCTCTCACTGACAAGTCGCCCATCTCGCAGTCGAACTCGTCTGGAACACCCTGATGGCCGTCATCATGTACTTCTGGTCCGTCCCCCTTCTCCTCCTCAGCTCTTCTGCGCCTCGACTCCTTGCGCACAGCGCAAGCGATTACAGTCTGTCGCATACTGCTACATGCCGGGGTACACTGCTGCTCCATGCTGAACCCGTCCCCGTCCTCAGCCTCTACTACCCGGTCGGATTCTACAACAACGCCGAACCCGGCAAACTTCACGAGCGCGGCGCTCTCTTCTTCCTCCTCGTCCTCGCCTTCATGCTCTTCACCTCAACTTTCGCCCACTGGATGATCTCCTTCAATGAAACGGCCGAGAACGGCGGCAACATCGCGAATCTCCTCTTCTCCCTCTCCCTCGTTTTCTGCGGCGTCCTCGCAACACCCGACGTCTTCCCCGGCTTCTACATCTGGGTGTACTACGCAAGTCCGTTCAGGTACCTCGCCGAAGCACTCCTCGCGACGGGCGTTGGCGGCACTCGGGTCCAATGCGCGACATCCGAACTCCTCTCGTTCCCGCCGCCCGGCGGCTCGACTTGCGGCGACTACATGGCGACGTACATCCAGGCGGCTGGCGGCTACCTCGTCGACCCGAGCTCGACGTCACACTGCCAGTTCTGCTCGATCAGCGACACCAACACTTTCCTGAAGACATTCAACTACGACTACGACCACCGCTGGAGGGGTGCGCTCGATTTTCCTACTTCTGCACGGACGTTGCTGATGCTCGTTTTCTCAGACTTTGGCATCATGTGGATCTATATCGCTTTCAACGTTGCCGCTGCGATTCTTTGCTGTGCGTTCCTTCTTTCTCCTCTAAGACCCGGCTGCTGACGTGCATTTCGCCGCAGACTGGCTCGCGAGGATGGTGCGTCACGCAGCTGGGCTGAATTTCCCTGCGTTACTGACGAAACTTTGCACTACAGCCGAAGAACCCCCGCAAGTCCAGGGCCGGGAAGAAGAGCAAGAAGGCCGACGAGAAGGACGTGCTCTCGCACGGCGACGCCAACGGCGCAAGCGAGAAGCAGGTCTCCACCAACACCAACTAGACTCGACTGTCGCAACCCTCTAGATTCCTTCCACTCGTTCCTTCCCGCCTTCCCCGCCTCGTGCTGTACCACCCCTTCTTCGCAGTGAGATTCCTACCTATCCTCCCGGCATGTCGTCGACCTCCTGGCGCCCTGCTGAGCCCGTCTCAAGGCGTTGTTGCGCCGAGTGAGATCCGACTGATGAGAATCGCGTGGAGGTGAGAGCACGGGGTGAGCGGGACGCCAGGCGCTTTGAGCGGAGTTGACCCACTCCTGAGCACCTTTAAGTCCTATCAAGCCCCTTAACAAGCGGAACTGAGCGTGTGAGCGAGCGCGACGACCGCAAGAACTTTTGGGCGATCCTCGTTCGCTTCTTCTCCTCATTCCTTCCGCTCATCACCGCTTGACCGCTTGCAGAGCCTGCCGGAGCACTTTCACAAGTTATGGCCAGCGACACAGGCCGGCGCCGGCTGCCCACAGTCCTCGTGCTCGACTTCTGGGATTCGTACACTCGCAACGTTCTCCGCCTCGTCCACCAGATCGCGGCGGGGATGCACTTTGATGGACAACAGGAGTGGGACTGCACAGACTGGCAGGACCGGGTCGTCGTGCTGAATGTGGATTCGCTGTCCTGGTGCGCGCAACTAACTCATCTTCCCTCCTCGGTCAAGCTAACTCTTCGCTACGCAGGGAGTCTTTCGAGCACGACATCCTCCCGTACATCGACTGTGTCGTACTCGGACCCGGGCCTGGGACGCCGCACCGTCAGGCGGACTTTTCGTGGCCTACGAGGTTGATCCAGCAGGTTGGCGACCGGATTCCCATCTTCGGGTTGTGCCTCGGGTTGCAGGGCCTCGCGACGAGCTTTGGCGGCACCGTGAGTGTGCGAGGAAGTGGCGAGGTCGGCGCAATAGCTCACAAGTCGCCGCTCTCGCAGGTCGTGAAAGCCTTCGCACCGAAACACGGCCAGATCAGCCAGATCCGCCACACCGCTGGCTCGCAGGACTCGCGCAACCTCTTCACCGACGTGTCGAACGAGTTCGATGCCGTCCAGTACAACAGCCTCGTAGTCGACCCAAAGTCGCTGCCTGCGGAACTCGAGGCGATTGCCTGGACGAAAGATGCGAAGGGTGCCGACGAGATCATGGCGCTGCGGCATCGCGAAAGACCGTTGTACGGCGTGCAGTTTCACCCAGAGGTAGAGCCGGTCCTCGCTCTCCCGCCTCAACAAGACTGACCGATTCGGTCTGTGCAGTCCATCTCCTCGACAAGTGGCGCTCGCATTCTCAGCAACTTCTTCCACCTCGCACTCGACTTCCACGACACCGCGTCCCGGTCTCGACCCCCGTCTGCAAATCTCCCGACGCACATCCTCTCGCTCTCGACCGCTTGTCGCCCTCCGCCAACCCCTTCACCATCCTCCACTCCGAGCCTACGCTACGAGTTGCGGACTGAGAGGATCGAGTCGGACCGCGAATGGACGCCGCAGCGAGTTTTCGAGGAATTGGTCAAAGGGCGGAGTCCGGTTGGCGAGGTGTGGCTTGATTCGGCGAGGGTGCGTGACTCCCGCCATCTTCTTTCCTGTCCCGCCGCTCACGACTGTATCTACAGCCCACTGGCCTGCCGCAGTACGCCCACCTCTTCGCGCCACAAGCTACCTTCGCCTACTCCGTCGCCTCCCACTCCCTCCTCATCCGCGACGCCGCCGCCTCTCGCCAAGTACAACTGCCTGCCGACTCGACCTTCTATACGTCCATCAGCAACGTACAGCAAGCATTCCGATGTGCGACCCGCGACTCCCGGCCAGACGGCTGTCCGCCCTGTCCCATCGGTTTCGTCGGCTCGATCGGCTACGAGATGAAGGACGTCACGCTTCCGCTGAGTGCGCGACCTTGCTTGAGAATCAATGAGAAGGACGAGGCGCAGCCAGAGGCGGTGCTGGCATTTGCCGACCGCGTCTTGTCGTATGCGTACGATTCGGGCGAATGGGCCGCAAGCGGACTCGTGGTGACGGGCCAGCTACCTGAAGATGTCGATGACCTGACGTCCGGTCTCGGCACAGAGGAGAAGGAATGGGACATGTGGTTGTCGACGATTCGCCAGACTCTCGCCTCGACCCCTCCTCGGACTCCGTCCCAGACGCCCGCGCCGCTTCCTACCAACTTCACCCCCGACCAGTTTCGCTCCAACTACATGGAGTCGATTGAGCGCGCGCGCCAGTCCATCATCGCCGGCAACGCCTACGAGCTCTGCCTCACCACCCAATTCCGTTCGACCTTACCCGCCGACTCGCCGCTCGTCGCCGACCCGTACCCTCTCTATCTCCAACTCCGCGCGACCAACCCTGCACCATACTCCGCCTACTTCCACCTTCCGTCGTCCGACCTCACCCTACTCTCGTCTTCGCCAGAACGCTTCATCCGCATCGACCGCCACGGGCGCGCGGACATGAAGCCGATCAAGGGCACTGTCCGCCGAGCCCCTGATGACCCTGCCGAAGACGAGCGACGCAAGCAGGCGCTCGAGGCGGACACAAAGGAGCGCGCCGAGAACCTCATGATCGTCGACCTCATCCGGAACGACTTGCTCGCCAGCTGCACGGTCGAGAGTGTCGAGGTGCCGAAGCTCATGAAGGTTGAGACGTATCAAACGGTACACCAGTGCGTTCACAGCTTCTCTGTCGAGATCTCCACGCTGACTTGCCTCGGAACAGGCTCGTCACGACCGTGGTCGGCCAGCTTGGTGCAGGCGTCGCGCCGTTTGAAGCGCTGGCTAGGGCTTTCCCGCCCGGTAGGTACTGCTCGCCTTCATTCCCTGACGACGCTCACCCTGACTGTCGGGCAGGCTCGATGACCGGCGCACCAAAGCTGCGGAGTCTGCAGCTGCTGGACGAGCTCGAGCGGCATGTTCCGCGACGCGCCTATTCGGGTGCGTGTTCGCCGAATCGAGTCGTCTTCCGGATGCTGATACTGCCTTCGCAGGCGTCTTCGGGTACCTCGCCGTCGACGGCTCGAGCGACTGGTCTGTCGTCATCCGCACGCTCGTCAAGCGCGGTCGAGGTGCGTTACACGCCGTGCTGCTTCCGTTCCAGGTGCTCGCTGACGTGAGCCTCGTGCAGAACTCACTCTCGGTGCCGGCGGCGCCATCACGCATCTCTCAGATCCCGCGAAGGAATGGGAGGAGGTCCTCACCAAGGCCGACGCCGTCCTGGGGCGTGCAGCTTCTTGACGCCCATCTTACACACGCCTCAACGGCTCCATTCTCGGTTTCTCGCATTGCTTCGGAAGTCCCTGTCGTTGTACTCTCGTAGTCCCGCATAGATTCATCTCTATCTCGTCGCAATGGCAGCAAAGGTTCAGGATACGTACGTGCGGGCGAGGTGGGGATAGCGACGAGCCGAGGGTAAAGCAGGTGATGATAGCGACGAGCCGAGGGTAAAGCCACGCAAAGAAGGGTATCTAGAAAGGATGGCGCGGGTATTTAGAGCGGGGAAAGGGGAGAAGAAAGGTGTTTAGTCTACTTGCTCTCAGTCTTGTCCGCCGTATCTTCTGCGTGCTGGATATCGTGAACAAACTGAGCGTACTCCGCCTCGAGTTCTTCAGGAGCGACGTTGCGTCTTGCCCGGTTGAAGTCGACGATAGTGATGGACGAGTCGTATCCGAGAATCATGTTAGGCGGTCGGAGATCCCCGTGGTGGACGCCGGCCTTGTGCAGCTTGTCGACGGCGTCGAGGCAGGCGTCGCGGTGTCTGCGGACAACGATCCCTAATCAGCGCGTTCAAGGAGTCCAAGTAGGCAGACGCACTGTCGAACCATAGCCCACGAGTCGAGCGCGAGCCCAGGCACACGTTGCGAAAGGAGGATGAGGCTTGGACCGGCCGCACTGTGCCGAATGAACGCGCCGAAGTAGCGCGGGATGCCCGTGACTTGGTTGTCGAGGGACTCGAGCAGGTTGCGCTCGTAGAGGGCTGCGATCATACGAGCGCGGAACTCGTCCGGCTGCTCGCCTGCGCACGGCCTCACCACTTTTGCCGCCACCACGCCCGTCGCGTCCGCGTACATGTCGCCGACAGCGCCGCTCCCGAGCCACTTGCGTAGCACAAGTGAGCATTCCGGCATGGTATGGGCGGGAGTCGAGGCTGGCGCATCTGTCGTACGCTGGAAGATCCCGACGATGTCGTCGAGCTCATCTTCGCTCGACAAGACGCTGATGCAGGCGGCAGACTCGAGCGTCTGCGTTAAGTGCGCCGCCGCAGAAGCCGACTGGTCCTTTGGAACCGACTGAACAGCGAAGTCGAAGCGCGAGGTTGGGAAACCGGAGCGGTCTGAGTCGCTGACCGGCGGCAGAACGACAGGAGGAGACGAGACGAGAGGCGCGGAAGCAGACGGAGGGGCGGGCGGCACTGAGGAGGGCGAAGGGGCTGGTGTAGGTGGCGCTGAGGAGGGCGGGGAAGGGCATGGTGACGATGGAGAAGAGGGTTGCAGAGTCAAGGAAGGGGAGTGGCGGGGCGAGGGGGAGTGGCATGGCGAGGAGAACGACAGCGAGTTCGCGCCATCGAGTGCCGTAGATGTCGCCGTCAACCACTCTGACGAGGCCGACGAAGACCCGACCCCACGGAGGCGGAGCACGGGTTGGAGAGTACGGAACCATTCGCCGAGCTCGCGCAAGGTGGCCGTCTGGGGGTCGATTCGAGGCAGAGACCGCCTACTAGCCTGGATGGTGAGGTAGGCAAGGGCGTTGAGCGTGCGCGAGGCGAGCGAGAGGTCGGATGTGTGTCGACCAACGATGAACGTCTTTTCGATATTGATCAGAAAGAGCGCGTGCGCAGGCGTCGAGAGCATGGCGGCGAGAAAGGGTGCATTTGGTCGACGCTGGCGCATGACGGCGACCTGGACGGCGAGCTGCTGGTACAGTAGGAGCACTTGCTGATCGCGCAACGAAAGATGCTGGAACGGGATCGGCTGCTCCGTCGCGTCGTGGATTCCGAAGCTCTCCCACTGCTTCAGGTGCGGCTGCTTCCGCTTCTCCCGCGGTTCTTGCTGCTTCGGATCCACGGTGGTCTGCTTCGTGATGATAGGGCAAGGCGCGCCGACGATAGCCTCGAACTGTTGGACGACGCGGCTCTTGGGCGATTTGTGGATAGTAGGAACAGCCGGCGGAGCCGACGCGGCCTTCGATCTGAGGGCGCGGCGGGTGGGAGGCAGCGGCGTGGAAGTCGCGGTGGACGAAGTAGGAGTCGCGGTGGACGAGGATGAGGGGAGCGACGGCTGCGACACCGACTTCCAGTCGAGCGGAAGACCAGACGCCATCTTGAACTTTGGACGGTCGACGGCGGCGTTCTCGAACCGGATGAACGTCTCCTCATCAACGACCTTGACGTCCTTGACCTCAATGAAGACCTCGACTGAACCTTCGCTAGCCAGCGCGAAAGTCAAGTCGGGCTGGCCCTGCTTGCTCTCGCCTGATTGCCGACCTCCGAAGTGAATCAAGTCGCCCGTGACACCCTGCGTTGCCCAAGCAGTTGGCTCAAGGATTGCGCGCTGGATAAACTATTGGCAAGCCTTCTCGTCGTAGCCCGTGTACAGCGACTGAGGAGATGGCGGCGTTGACGAGTTGTGCCATCCGAGCGCTTTCTTGACGATGTCCTCCTCGACAAAGTCGCGCAAGTTGTCGAACAGTGCGGGACAGAAGCGCAGGTCTTCGATTGTGCCAGCGAATGGCTGGTCTGTGAGAGCGGGTGTAGGGGTGTCGCTGAGGGTAGTCGGCTTCGGGTCTGTGAGAGCGCTCAAGGGCAGCTTCCGAGCTCGACCTAGGCCACTCTGCGAGCCAGAATAGGACTAGACTCACTGGTCAAGTCGAGATATCGCGTATTGATGGGGGCGACGAACTGCGAGTATCGCTCCTCCGCAACGCCCTTCTCGAAGGGTATGGGGACCTGTCCAGCCGGGTGTGGGGTCTGTGGACAGCGAAATCAGTCTCCATCAGCATCGCCAGGGGACGTGTATCAAGAGGGGTGCCTACGGGAGGAGTGTGGTCTCGCCTCGGAGGCATCAACGGCGAGGGCGCATGAGGGCGGGAGCGCGTACGCAGGTCGAATGCTTGTTCGAGACACAGCAGGCACGGCTCTCTACGTAAGCACGCCGCGAAGGAAGCCAACGGACGAAACGTTAGCAAGCGATGACAGCGAGGGTCGAGCAGAAGAATAACTCCAGAGGCCTGTTCGCTTGTAGACGCCGACAGGTGCTATTGTATCGCATACACTTCAACAATTCCTACACCACGGCAGGGTCGGGATCAAACTCGCGCAAAACGAAGAGCTGCTCGTCAAGTCGCTGCTCCGCGACCGCAAGCGCCTCCATCGTCTTGTCGAGCTCGGCAATCGCCTCCTGGTCCCTCTTTGTCAGCAACGCTTCGTTCTCCCGGACGTCCGTCCGCTCCCGCTTGTCGACCAGCCCGCGACGCTCCTTGACTTGGTGTTGCCGCTGCGCCTGGAGGTTCGCGAGTGCCTTGTAGTGGTGCGCAATGAGCGACGTGACGACCTTGTTGAAGTCGACGAACCAGAGGTACAGCGTGCGGGAAGGGGCGCGGTCGGCGGACCGAGGGACTTCTTGCGGCTCGATGAGGCCGGACGACGAGAGGCGGCCGAGGACCTCGCGAGCCTCCTTGACAGACAAGAAGGCGAGGCGGGCGAGCTGCGAGGCGCGAACGGTCAGCATCAGGCGGAGGAACGGAATGCGAAGAGGATAAGCGCAACGCACATGCTTCTCGTCAAGTTTGCCCTTCGCCTCCAAGATCCTCCAGCACCGGATCGCATGCTCGCCAAGCTTGTCCCTCACGACCGCCTCGACCAGGCTCCGCTTCATCGCCTTGCCGAGCGTCCGCCAGTCGACCGCCCACTTGGCATGGCTACCCTCGCCCTGCTGCACGAGGAAGTGCTCGCGCGTCGAGACGCCCCACTGGTCGAGGCCGGACAGAACCTCGCAGACGGCGAGGATGTAGTCACCGGATCGGTCGCGCTTTGGCGGCCACGACGAGTCTTGCTTGTGCTTGGCAAAAGTTTGCGAAAGGTCGGGCTTGGACGCCTCGGGCAGGCGGTCGAAGACCTTGTTGATCTCGTGCAGCGAGGCGAAGCCTGTGACATGCGACAAACGGTAAGTGGTGCTTCGGGACAAGCGCAGGACATGGGCGCGACTCACGAGAGATGGGCTCATGCATCAGCTGAGTCTCGGTGCTGACGATGTCGAGGATGACGCCGAAAACGGTCGCGACGTGCGAGTTATACAGCTCGGCGGCGTACGACCGGAGGAGCTGGAGCGAGACGAGCGTCAGCGGCGAACAAGACAAGCAGAAAGCGACGGCGGCGCACCTGCGCACGCCAGCGGATATGAAAGCGCTCCTCGTTGATCTTGAAGAACACCTCTTCCTGCAAGAGTATCGTCACCGTCAGAACGTCGGTGGAGATGCACAGAGCTGGCGCGACTGGATGTCCTGCTACGCACCGGCAGAGGCGGATCAGGCTTCTTCACGACAAATCCGTCGTCCTCGAGCTCGTCTTCGTCGCTTGAATCCACTGGCGCAGCCTTGCCTTTCTTCGGCCGCTTCTTGCGCTTCGGCTCGTCGTCGTCCTGCTCAGCCTCGACTTCGGCGCCCTGCGATAACGATCGAGCGTCAGCAGCTGCCTCACAAGATCACGTACAGCGGCACGCACCTTGCCGCGCGCACGAGCTTGCTCCTCCTCCGCCCATTCTTCCTGCTTCTCGCGCAACATCTTCTTTATCCTCGCCAGCTCCTTGGTCGTCGGGATACCTGCGCGATCGCCACGACGTCAGATCGCTCGTATGTGATGCGAAGAGAGCTCGAGCGCACCCTTGATCGTCGAACGAAGCTCTTCCTCCCACTTGATTTCGAGCGAGCTGGGCGAGAGTTGCGAGCCGGGAGTGACGATGTTGACAAAGCCTTGCGCGAAGGCCTTGCGGACAAGTCGCTCGGCGGCTTCCATGGCTGCAGAAGAGCGTGTCAGCCCGGCGAGACTCAGCGAACGGCGAGACTCAGCGAAGAACAAACGGAAACGCACCTTGATCCTCCATCCTCGCGCGCTTCTTCCCCTTCAGGTCCTCCTGTTCCACTCCGAGCTCCATCTCGCGCGTGTGGATGATCTTCTGCCGCACGACCTCATACAGATCTTCCCTCGTCAAGATACCCTCCTTCCACAACACCTCAATCACGGTACTCAACTCCTCCCCTCCCTCCCACTCGCTCGCCATCTCGACGTACAGCCCGCCGCGGATCCGGCGCTCGATAGCATCGTGGTTGAGCTCGTAGAGTTCGGTGAGGCGACCGCCAACTTCGGTTTCGGAGTGGAAGAGGAGGGTGTGGGTTGAGAGGACGAGGAGGGACGAGTGGACGAGTGCGGGTGGGAGAGAGGTGAGCTTGATGAGCTGAGGAAAGGAAAGAGCGCCGCGGGAGAGGAGGATCAAGGCGATTTCCTGTAAGGGAGGAGGAGGGACAGTCAGTACGCGTGTTCTGGAGGTAGCGGTCTTATCCTTGCAGGCGTGGTAGCTCGATGTCTTCTATACAACCGTAGGAATCGTCCTGACTGGCTCGCTCAAGTCTCGGCGCGAGTCTGTGTCCTCATCGCCAACGCCGCCTCAAGCTCAGGTCGAGGGAGGAGACAGCGCGAGACGATGACCGTGCGACGTGCCAGCGCGTCTCAACCCCTCATTGACCGCTCTTGGCGTCCCAGCGCAGTCCTGACGCCCCGCGCCTGCCGTCTTCACCAGCTCGAGCGAGCGAAACAACCCTGAGAGACTGTACTCACCCCGACCGCTCCGCCGAACTGCTGCCACACCAGGTGCTCAAGCAGCCGTGCCCGCTCGAGGCCCGACTGAATCGCTGAGGCCGAAGTCGACATGTGCGAGGAGGGCGAGAGCGCGAAGGAGCTGAGGCGATGAGGAGGGAGGGGTGGGTACAGCGAGGCGTGGAGACGGCAGCGAGCACGGTGGACGAATGCGAGAGCCGCAGCTATCGCTGTCGGTGCTTCTCCAGAAGCTACGCTGCGAGATAGCGAGGAGAGCTGAAGAGGAGGAGGAAGAGGACCTCAATGACACTCCTCGCGCCTGCAACGTTAGCGGACGGATTGGAGCGGCTTTCGTTTCCAGTTGCAGTGATCGATGAAGTAGACTCGCAGGAAGACAAGGAGTGCGACGCTAGACGGCGCGAGCGAACCTTCGCCGAACGACCGCTCCTCGTCGGCGGATCGTGACGACGGGCGGACGAGAACTGGCGCCTCTTGCAATACAGAGTACGGACGGAGGGCGGACGAAGGCCTTGATGCGGGTATCGAGGAGAAAGAGGTAGAAAAGGTATTGAGGAATGGAGGGTATCGAGTGCAACATGCCACGAGGGTCGATTTGGCGGTCGCCGAGACGCTTGTGGAATGTCTGGAGGTGCATGAACGGCTCTGGAGGGGTCTTGCGCCTTAGCCGGTCTCGGAAGGGGCGAGGTCGATGTCGGCGAGGAATCGCTCGCGTTCGGCGTCTAGTTCGTCCGGCGAAGCGTTGCCGTGAGCGCGGGCGTAGTCGACAATCTTGGCGGTCCCGTTCGTCTGCATGATGAAGTTGGGCGGTCGCAAGTCGCCGTGTGAGATCCGCGCCTTGTGAAGAGTGTCGACCGCTTCGAGACAGGCTTGGCGATGGCTGCTCAGCGCGCGAGCGTCAGCAGAGAAGTCCGGCAGAAGGAAGGGGACTTTACGCACTCCTGCACGTCTGACCACTCATCGAGCGTGAGACCTTCGACCAGGTCAAAGACGAGCGCCAAGTAAAGCCTGTCCTCCGAGTCGACCGTCGAGAACAAGCCGTGGAAAGAGGGTGCACACAATGGCATGCGACCACGGTGCGATTGGAGAAATTCCGCCTCGTTCAACGCCTCGTGGACTCGCTCAAGCGACGACGCGGGATCTTCCCCGCGGTAGGGAAGGACAAGCTTGACGGCGAGTTTTCCCGTCTCATCCTTGCAGACAGAGCCTGTGCCGCCGGATCCGAGTACCTCGACGAGCCGGATGGTCGGAGCACGTTCCAAGGCCTCGATGTCGACCTCGGTTGGGGAGAACCGACGGTGGTAGACATGATCGATCTTCGGGACGTCAGGAGCGCTCGTCCTCAACACGACGTATTGAGTTTCGCGGATGGCGAGCCTCAAGTCGCCAATGTCGCGACTGAGCCTTCGGGCAGAATTCTCGGATGTTTCGCTTGAAAACGGAGAGGTGTCTGTGGCGACGGAGGAGGTGGTGTCGGCAATCGAGAAGAGGGAGCGGGTGGATGCGGTGAGCGAGTCGGAGGAGTTTCCTGAAGACGAGAGAGACCGACGCGAAGAAGCGGCGGAGGCGGAATCGAGTGAAGCGATCGACGAGGCGGGTGAGGCGAAGTAGCCTTCGACGGCGGAGCGCGACTCGTGAGTCGTCTCGGGCGAGAGGCTATCCTGCGCATGCGGAGTCGACATGCCCGTGTCGGACGAGGTTGCGGATGCTGCCGACGTCGAGACCTGCGAGGGATGTCAGCACAAGCCTGGAAAAAGCGCGAACAGCAGGTAACTCACTCCCTGACCACCTCGCTCACCCCCGACCGCGCCGCGGCCCAACTCCATCAGCCAATCGAGCACCTCGCCGCCTGACGCCCTCTCAGCATCGATTGACGGCAGCTCCTTCCTGCGAAGCGAGCGGTCGAGGATGATTTGGAGGATGGAGACAAGGCGAGATGCGGCGGCGAGGTCGTGGATGGCGTTGCCGCGGATGAGGGTCGAGTCGATGAGGATCTTCGGGATATACTTGGCGGGGGAGCAGAGGATAAGCGGCTGGAACGGGACGGGCGGTTTGCGGCGCCGGGTAGCACCAAGTTCGTTGTTGAGCTGCTGGTATATGAGCAGGACGTGCTGCTCCTCCTCGTCCAGGTCATACCACGTCGCCGGCTCCTCTCCTTCCTGGTGCCAACCCCACCTTTCCCACTGCGACGGGTCTGGTTGCGTGCGACTCGACTTCTGGAGGTCGAGATTGGCCAGTCGATCGAGCACTTTCTCCATCGCCGCGCTCGTCTCGTACAGCGTTGCGGATTCGCGAGAGGCGACAAGGCGCGGTGAAGGTTTGCGAAGCCTTGTTGGTACGGATCGGCTGGCGGAGGGGCGCTCGTTGGGCGGTGCGAGCAGCTGAGCCTTGGCGAGGTCGAGCAAGTCCTTCTCCGCCCTGGCTTTGCCGACGTTCGCCGTTTTCCAATCTGGGGGTAGGTTGCACGCCGAGCGGAAGTGCGGATCGAGAGCAGCGATATCGGCGCTTCGTCGATCGATGGCGTCCGTGAGCACACCTTCCAGCTTGACCTCGAGGAAGATCTCGACGGTTGGCTGGGAGAAGCGGGAGAGGGCGAGGTCGGCGGGGCCCTGCTGCGGTCTGTCCGCCTGCGCGCCGCGCTGTACGCCTTCGCCAAAGACGCCTTGCGTGTAGAACTGCGGCCGCCGCAGGACGTGAACCGAGACAAACTCCTCCGCGTCCCGCTCATTCACACCATGCACTTCGCCGCGGCCGTTGTCCCCGTCCGCATCGCTGAACGCCTGCGAACCGTTCCAGTCGAGAAGTGGCAGAATCTCCTTCTCGAACCGCCGGGGAAGGTTGTGGAACGCAGCGGGGAGATGGCGAAGTCGGGTGACGGTGCCGGCAGACTCTTTGTCGCTGGTCGTCGGCTTGCGGGTATCCTTGGTCGCGTTTGAGGGTTCGCTGCCTGTTCTGGCGCTTTCAGCACTCCGCTGCAGAATTGGCTCGACCGCACACTCACGGTCAACAAAGGTCGCCCGTATCGGCTGCTTCATCGTGCCATTCCAGATTGCGGTCGGTACGTGTTGGGACGCCGCCATAGTCGAGTACCTGAGTATCCCTCCACTTCGCGTGAGCACCCGAGCGCGCCAACGAGCGAAGTGATTGCGTAACTCACAGAAGACTTGTGGAGATGAGCGAGAGGAGGCCCGTGAGAGCGGCGTGCGAGACACGGCAAGTGGGTGTGTCGACTAGGTGCGGTGCAAGTAGGCGAAGTTGAGACCGGGCAGCTGGGCTGGACGAAAGGTGGGAGGACGCGGCGTATGTTTGATGAGGCTGAGGCGATGAGGCTTCGGGGACGAGTGGAGCGCGGGCTGGAGACGGCGGGACACGAGCTTGACGACGCAGGAGCCGCAGCGTTCCTTTTCCGTACTTGTGCAAAGCCTCGCTGAGAGAACAGCGACGAGAGGTGAAGAGCAGGAGGAAGAGGAGCGGAAGCGAAGGTCAATCCTCTGCAACGGCAGCGAATGGAGTTTAGAGGCTTTCGTTCAGGAGCAGTGATCGCTGAAAGGTGCTTCAGGCGAGGCAAGAAGTGAAAAGGCAGTCGGCACGAGCGAGCGTTCGCTGAACAACGGCTCCTCGCCGGCGAGCGTATCGAACGAGAAGCGGCGCTTTGCAATACAGAGTGAACGACGGGCGGCAGACGAAGGGTCAGGTGTGGGTATGGAGGAGGAGGAGGTATGGAACGAAGGAGAGGGTATAACGTGAATAGTGGGCGGAAGGCGGCGAGAACCGCGCAGGCGAGGAGCGATGAAGAGGCGAGGCTCGAGAACGTGACGTCTTGTGGAGCTCGAAGCTCTAGATGAGCCGAGTGTGTGGTCTAGTTGCCCGGGGCAGGCGCAATCATGTCGGAGTGGGAGCCGTCGGTCATGTCGCGCAAGAATTGCAAGCGCTCCGCTTCGAGGTCTTCCGGCTGAGCACCGAGCGAGGCGCGTCCGTAGTCGACGACGGCGACGGACCCATCGTATCGGAGGATGAAGTTTGATGGCCGCAGGTCTCCGTGAACGACGCCCGCATCGTGGAGCGACTTGACGGCCTGGAGGCAGTCCTGGCGATGCCTGCAGATAGAGAGGTAAGATAAGGCGATGCTCGGGGCAAGATTGAACGGACCTGTTGACCGCTTCCCAAGTCTCGAAAACAACACCTTCCACGAAGTCCGACACCAGCAGCAAAACCACCTCTCCGTTAAGCGGCTTCTGCCCGAAAAGACCATGGTAGTACGGCACCTCGGGACAGAGCTGGTTGCTCAGACGGTCGAGTACGGCATGTTCTTGAAGTGCTTCGGCCGCTCGGAGCTGGTAGTCGGCTGTTGTCTCCTCCTGGTACGGCGTTACGACCTTGACAGCGTAGCGGCGGTCTGAGTCTGCAAAGACGGCGCCGCTCCCTCCGACGCCGACCAATTCTGCAATCTCAAGACGCGGCGCATCATCCGACATGGCAGGCGGCTCGTCCGCTTCGAAGTTGTAGTAACACCCGCTCAGACTTGCGAAGTCGTTGTGCGCGACGAGCTCGAGGGCCTTGTCAAACTGAGGCGAAGGCGGGGGAGATGCGAGGGACGGCGTGATGGGACCTGCCGTCAAGGCGAGTTCGACGGGCAGTATCGGGCCGTCGACGCCGTCTTCGCCGACGCTGGTGGCCGTAGTCGAGCACGAACTGAATGACGCGTCGGCTTGGGCGGAGTGAACGGAGTTGAGCGATGCGACAGACTCGAGCGAGTCGAGCGAGTCTGAGGAAGTGTCTGCGACGCCTTGCGCCGTCGAGGCGGCTTCGAAGGCAGTATGTGCCTCGATGTCGAGACTTGTCTCCGGTCGAGGCGATGCGGGCGCCTCCTCGTTGTGCGAGTCGAGCGAGTGCATCGCTTCGGGCGGGTCGTGAGCTTCAGTCGAGCGGTCAAGGTCGCGGGTGAAGGCAGGAACGGAGGAGTCGAGGAAGTCGGACGAGTCGAGGGGGGTGGACAGGTTGGACGAGACAGACGAGTCAAGCAAGACGGGCGCATAGGCGGTAGCTGCCGCATCAGCCGCGTCGCCAGCTCCAGTTGCTTCAAGGTCATCGTTCAACCCACTCGTCGTTGGTCGAGATGAAGGTGCGGCCGCGTTCCCCTGCTGAGACGGAGAGTCAGGATCAGCCGCGATCGCGAGAGCCCGACTGCGCAGACTCACCTGGGCCGACGCGCTGGGCTTGCGGCGTTCGTTACTGTCGTAGTCGAAGCTGCCGAACCAATCAAGGATCTGCGTCTGTGTCGCCGTGCGAGGATCGAAGGGAGGCGAGGGAGACTTGGTGTTCATCGACTTGACCAACGAGTTAAAGAAGACGGCGATGATCCGCGCGGTAAGGACAGGGTCGTTCTCGACCATGCCGGCGACGATGAGAGTGGAACCAATGAGGAGCATTGGAAGGGAGAGGGACGGGTGGGCGATGATGACTGGTTGAAAAGGCGTCTTAAGACCCTTCGACGCCAGTCGATGCCGCACGGCTCCAAGCTGGACCGCGACCTGCTGAAAGATACAAAGCCCTTGGCGAGAATCCGCATCAAGGTCGACCCAGTTCGTCGGCTGCGAGTCTTCCTCGAAGACGCCCCAGTCGATCCATTGGCTGACAAGCGGCTGATCCCGAACCGGAAGCGGGTTGTGCCCTCCGAATGCCTGGATCTTGCTCGAAAAGGTGGCGGTGTTGTTGGAGCGGGTGCGGGAGACATCGAGTCGGCTGAAACGCAGTCTGGCGTCTTCGAGCAGGAGTTCCGACTCAGCCGCAATCAGCGCCAACGTTGAAGGTTTCGCCTGGCGGACGGACTTGCGCGTAGGGGAGATCGGTTGAGCGGGGCTTGTGTGGCTGCGGCGCGAGTACGGCTTGAAGGGGAATTGGGAGGTAATTCTTGGTTCGCTCCGAGGGCGAAACGCGGACTCCCAGCCTGGCGGCAGCCGCTGCGCCATGTTAAAGCATGGCGAGAGGGTGGCTTCGTCGCACATTCGCCTGGCCACCGAGGTCGTAAGGGCTGAAGACTTCTTCTTCTCGATGATGACCTCGAGGAACGGCTCTTCGGCGAGGAAAAGCGACAAGTCGCTCGCGCCGACTGGAGGCTTCGTCTGTTGTGAGCCGCGGAGGACGGGCGTGTCGAGTGAACCTTGAGCGAGGTGTTGAGCGAGGCGCAAATGGTGAACATTGAAGAACTGCGCCGCATGATCCTCCGTCGTGCCGAAGGTTGTGCCACCGAGGTCGCCCGGCAGATGAACGGATTGCTTCTCGCCGTACCACAACTCCTGCTTTGCCAGAACCGTGCGCTCGTAACGATTGACGATTCCCTGCGCCAGTCGAGGCATGTAGCGAATCTTGGTCACCGTCCCAGCGAAGTCTCGGTCGGAAAGGATCGGCGTGCGCGTAGATTTCAGCTGTCCGTCGCCGTTGAGAACTGCAGAGCTCCTTGGATGAGCTGAGGGAGATGAAGGAGAGGAGAACTTGGCGCACCCTCGTCATATTCAGCCTGAAAGGGCTGGGCCACCGCGTTCCCGTCGATGACCGACGCAGGCGCTCGATGTACTTTGAGCTTCGCTCGCATTCGGGCGAGATCATCCTGGGAGCGCGCGACGTGGCGAAGCGATCAGCGGAAGCAGAGGGAGGTGGGGAGGATGGAGGAGACGCAGGGGAACAGGACGCACAGCGTTGGTGGGCATACTACAAGTGCAGTGGAGTGAGCAAGTGAGGAGCAAGCAACCCAGCGGGTGGAAGCGAGAGAACAGCGAGAGGACAAGGAGAGAGGGACAACGGCATCTGAGCGCGCGCTCAGTGTCGAGGACTTCTCCCCTGGGTTCCTCTGCGAGACGATCTGGATACACACCTCCTACAAGATGGTTTGCGCGATCTAACGGAAGCGGAGCGGGTTGCAAGATGCGAGTCTCCTCTATTCCCTTCCGCCGTCCTGCGTGCTGCTAGTCTACGATGCGTGGCGTAGCGTAGTGTACATACTCTATCCTTCTCCCGCTCAGCCAACTCCTCCACCCCCGTTGCTGACCCCGAGGAAGTGAAGCGCAATCTCGACGGTCGCTGTTCGTTCCGAAGCTCGTCAGCACGCGCGCCCAGCAAGAGCAGAAGAAGACAAGGCTGAACGCACTGATAGTCGCCGCACTGCCCACGAACGAGCTGACAACCGTCGGCCTCAGCCCCCTCGCAAAGCCCTTGAATCCCAATACCCTCAACGCCCACTTCTCCGCCCTCGGATCCAACGCCGTCTTCTCCTTCCCTGGCGCGCCCGCCCCACGCTGGGGAAAGACCCACGTCGAGAGAAGCTGGTAGACCATCGTCGAAGGGTAGCGATACCGATACGACGCGACTCCGTCTGCGTGGATTCCCCGAAACACACTCGGAACAGTCATCCTGCCCGATCCCGCCCCGCTCGCACCCGCGCTGGCAATACCCTCCACCGCCTCGGCCGCCTGTTTCGCCCCAACCCTCGTATGAAAAGGCGTCGCGTTACTCGTGAACCGTCCCTCAAAGCCTGCGCCTCCTCGACCGATGTTGACTGGACTTGAGCGCGCTCGTGACTCGAAATTGGCTGTTTGGAGTCGGGTTTTGACGATGTCGAAGGGGTAGGGGATGAGGGCCGAGAGGGCTCCAGCGCAGCCGCCTGCGAAGAGGATGCGGAGGATTTCCGTTTTGGAGAGGGTAAGGGGAGAAGAGGAGGGTATAGGCGCTGGGGTATCTGGTTGCGATTGCGGTTGCGATGCGGGTGCGGGGGAAGGCGAAGGCGAGGGAGAGGAAGAGGCGGTCGAGGCGGCGAAAGATTCGAGAGTCGAGGCCGGCGGTGGGTGTGCGGTAGCCGAGGCGGCATGGAACGGATCTTCTCCTCTCAGCATCCTCCGGAAGACGAAGTCTGCGCGCGCAGGGCGTCAGCAACACCGCCATCGTTCTCAAAGAACGGCAAAGGATGGTGGACTTACAACCCCAGAAGAAGATCCCACTCGAGATCCCATCATGCACGGCGGTCATCAATCCACCGATATAGAACCCTCGCAGTCCCTCCTTGCGCGCAATCTGCGACGCAATGCGGAACGAGCCGAGTTTCTTGCCTGGGACGGACTCGACCTGAGCGCGGGTCTTGACGACTTCGATCTGCGGGACGTTCGGTGAGCGAGTCGAGCTGGAAGGAAGGAAGTGGGACGCGACGAACGGGTGTTTCGAGGAGCGCGCAGAGAGCGCCTGCGGTTGCGCCTGAAGCGAACACTCGAGACAACGCATTCGGGTCTTGTCGGTCCTGACGCAGCGCTTGCCTGTGCACGCGCAATTTGTTCGTCAGCAACCACATCTCGAAGGGACGAAAAGACGCTCGCGAAGGCCAGCTTTCAGGCCGGATATCTCGAGCGACGCCTTTTTCCCGGAACGACTGGAGAGGAAACGCACATCATCCGCCCATACAGCCCAAAGAACGCCGAATCGATGAACGCCAGCCCGAGAATTGGCCCCGCCGTGCCTGCGAAGAAGAACCGGATCCCCTCCGAGCGATACAAGCTGATCAACCCGACTTTCGCATGCGAGCCGGACGACGAGGCGGATGGGTTCGAGGTGTGTGCTGGCGAGGAAGAGAGGGCCGAGGGGGTTGGAGAGGGTGTCATGAGGGTTGACGAGGTGTGCTTTATAGGCGAGGCGACGGCTGGGAGGGGTGGTGCGGCGCCTGTTGCGCCGAGGGGTGTAGGGGGAGGCGGGAACGGAAATGAGGGGGACGGTAAAGGTGGGATGGAGGACTTTCCGACTCGGGGTGAAGAGGTCGAGGCGGGTTTGGGCGCGGGAGGAGAGCCGTGAGAGGACGGATGTGTCTGCAGGCGGACTTTCAGAACCTGCGGGCGGGGTGGACATTAGTTTGGTCTTCGTAACAGACTACCGACTCAGCGCACCTCGAAAGGGTTGCCTGCAAGAACTCCGACTGCGCGAGAGAGGGTCGCAAGAAGCGAGGCGGTGTCAGCGAGTGTGCTCGTTCGTAAGCGGGGCAAGCAGCAAAGCAAGGTGCAGCCGTGAGCCCAACAAAGCTCTCCACCATGCGCCAAACCTCGCCCGTGTCCAGCATCTCCCGCCGCACCCTCTCCTCCTCGACGAGCGAAGACCCGTCCATCCTGCCTCGCTTCAACGCCAGGCAGCGATCCATGAGCCGAGTAAGCGACTCACCAGCCCCACCCATCCACCCAGCGATCAAATCCGCCGTCGTGTCCCACTTGTCGTCCTTTGGTCGTCGCCCTCTTCCGTCGTCCGAGTCGACGGCTGCGCCCGCTGCGCCTGCCGCGAGTTCGGTCGACTCCATGCGGATGAGTGGGTGAGCAGCTGGTGCCCCTCGACGAGTCTGTAGCTGGAAGCAAGGCGAGTGGGAAGTGTGGAAGACGTCGACGTCCGGCAAGAGCTGAGGACGAGGGTTGGGTCCGGCTGTCTCGCGCTCAACTCGCTGGGTAAATCTGACGGTGTGCTATGTGCTGCTGCAATGCTTTCAGGGCTGTCTAGACTGCCCTCGCTTCACCCGCATCGCTCGAACCGCAGACACCGCTCTCCCCCTCGTCACGACGACCTCGCTCCCAGCTACGGGGCCGGATGGACGGCAAGAGTCGCTAGGTGGCGACGGTCAGGAGTTGAAGGACTGTCTGTGGTCTTCTCGGGGGCTCAGTGGCTCGGGGCGGAAGTCTTGCTCTCTCGCCGCCCTCGTCGTTCGCGCTACCTCTACCAGCGACTGCTGCTGTTCCGAAACGATGATTAACGAGTCTATAAGCCTAGAAGAACGACACAAAATCGAGCCCGAGTCTATCTACGGTTCCGAGCGACGCCTCTATCACGCCCCGTCCGCCTACTTGACCAACTCGACAACCCTCTCCAACGCCTTTCCCATCCTACTCGTCGACCTCTCTCCTCCCTTAGCATCACCCGCCTCCTCGCGCTCTCCCCTCCCACGCGACCTACTCCTACTCCCAAACCCTGCGGCACCCTAAGGCTCCGCAACGCCCCTCTCCCGCGAGTCCTCCGCCGCACGAGCACGTGAGACAGAGCGCGAACCGAACCCGACTGCGCCTCGAGGCTCCTTCGACTCGGCCCTCGCCCTGCTTCCTTCCCTCTCCCTCGACCCACTCGCACTCCCGCCAATAACCAACTCCGACCAAGTCTTCATCCCACCGTTCCCTCCTTCGCCCTCTGCGCGGGTGCGCGAGGTCGAGACCGAGCGAGAAAGGGACCTCGCCAGAGAGCGGACGAGACTGGTCGGGCTTTTCCGGCCGCGAGGTTCGTCTTCCTCTGCGCCTTCTGCGCCTTCGGTGGGATGAAGAGGGGAAGTGGTGGTGGTGGTGGTGGTGGTGGACCAGAATGCTGCGCCGCGGGGAGGAGAACGGGGGCGGGATTGCGAGCGCGAGGGTGCGGGAGCGGGAGCGGGAGTGGGAGGGGGGAGGGCTGCGATAAGCGCACATGCGGGAGGGTCAGGTCATGATGCGGGAGGAGCTGGGAGAAGCGGACGGGAGACGTACCGGCCATGTTGCTTCGAGCAGACGAGGTCAACGGTGGACGAGGAGGGAGAAGAGCGAGGCGGGAAGAAGATGCAACGGGACTCGCGGCGTCGGGTTGAGCGTGCCAAACGCAAGTCGGCCGAGTGCAGTGCGAGTGTGCGGGAGCGGACAGGACAAGCGGATCGACGCTGGACGGAGGAAATGGACGTCGGAGCGGGCGAGACGGCTCAGCCGCGCCAGTTGGGGTCGTGTGAGCGTGCGAGAAAGTTGAGGACGGCTGTGGTGTGGCTCGTTACGCTGCAGAAGGTATGCTCGTACTCTCGAGGACTGCCTGCAACTCGCTCAGTCGATGCCAGCCAGTCGTCGTGGAACTTTCTCTCTCTCTTCTCTCAACCTGCGACCCAACGCTCTCCGCTCATACACCGTGCTGCTCGCTCCACTTCCACGCTCACACATATCATGGCTAGCCTCGTCCGCCCCACGCCTGTCCGCCCGCGCGCTGTCGAGTCCTCTGGCGAGGTGGCAATCGGGGGAGGGGACGAGTTGAAGGATGCAGACAAGGCAGCGGGAGGCGTGGAGGGGCTGGCAGGAGCGTCGGAGGAATGCTTGGGACAGTCTGAAGGCGGTCCGGAGGCGGCACAACCTCAGCAACTCGCGCCGCCGCCCACCTCCTCCTCCTCGTCGGCCAACATCCCCTCACTCGCCGCACCCGTCCCAGCGCACGCCTCGACGCACTCCTCTCCCCGCGCACTTCACACACGTCCAATCCCCGTCCCGCCCCGCCGCACTCTCTCCGCACCCGCACCCATCACTCCCTTCCGCCCACGTCCCCTCTCTCGCGCCTCCAAATCTCCCTCCTTCACTCCCCCCGACTCGGCTCTCGAAGAACTGCTCGAGATCTTCTCTTCCTCGCCCAGCCTCAGCGCAGGAGGGACGCCCCACCGCGCCAGCTCAGAGAGTGCAAGGACGATCCTCCTCCCCAGTCGTGCGAGCGGGGTTAGGTCGCGCGGACCTGGATACGGGAGGGAGAGCGCGGGGCATGCTCACGGGCACGGGAGGAAGAGGAGTTCGGGAGAAGGACTGGGAGCAGGAACGGTCGGAGGAGCGCAGGGAGGAAGGAGGACGCCGCCGATCGTTTGGTTCGACGGAGTCGCTTGTGAGTTGCGTTTTGCTCTCCCGTCATCAGCTTGCAGTGTCGGTGCCCCGAGGCGTGGGACGATCTGCGTCTATGAATACGCAACTCTGACAATTTACTCGTCACAGACTCTCCCCCCTCGCGCGCCTTGACCCGCAACCCCTTCATCCGCCACGCCCAATCTGCTATCCCTATCGTCCACGTCCCGCACGGCGAGTCGCCCGAGTCGGAAGGCTCGGTACTCGCCATCTGAGCCCGTCTCGCCTCGACTCGCCTCGTTTCATACCCTTCCGCTCTTACGCCTCGCCTCGCACCGCATGTACATACGCTCGCACAACCTCGCACGCTTAGCAACCCCGCCACCACGCGCAGTCTTGCCGTTCCATACCCCCGCCTCGCCCTCGCATACTTCACGTCAAAGCTTGTTGTCGTCCTTCCCGCACACCGCCTCGTCTTCGCAATCGCAACCCACTCGCTTTCACATGCTTGCTGTGCCGCGGCTGTCGGAGTGGAGAGAGTAGGGAGAGAAGGGAATGAGCAGGCGGGTTCGGCGGACTTCGCGTGCATGCGGAGTGGTAGGAGCCGGTCGGCTTGCTCTGCTCTTCTTGCTCTCTCCGTCACTTCAAGCACATCGAACGAACGACCCACGCTCAGCACTTCCACCCACTCACAGCGAATGCACGTTCCCTCTCTTCCTCCTCGTCGGGGACGACCTTCCTAACCTCCCCTTCCTCCGCTCTTCCTCGTCTTGCAACGCTCGCAGGTCCACACTCATCTCCTCCCTTCTCGCGCGCACTTTCTCCCGCACCCAATCGGCACCAGGCTCTCACGTCCGTCCTGCTTTCCTTCCGCTTCCTCTCTCCTTCACCTCGCTCACTCGCATCACCCTTCGCAGCGCCTCCTCTCCTACAACCCCTCCTCCTCCTCCACCAATTCGACGCCCAAACCACCGACTGCGGCAGATGAGCTGCGCCGTATCGAGTCCCGCGAGCGCGCGAGAGAGAGGGAGAGGAGGTTGGAGGAGGATATCAGGGAGGCATGGGTTTGGGGGGTTTGGTGAGATGCGCAAAGGTTTGTGGGTGACGGATACTTGATGTACGGCTTGATGAGAGCGAGGACGAGAGGAGCAGCTGGAGATGCGGTTGTGTCGCTTTGCGCGAGAAAAGGTTCGAAGCTTGTTCACGCCGCCTGGCTCTCATTGTTCCAGCTGTTTGGCGATCGCCACGCATATGCGGATTGCGCACGAAGCTGGTCTGAGCGAGCAACAGGCGACCATTCAGCAGAAGGTTTCCACCTCGCTCTTCTCGCCTGTCTGGCACTCTCACCATGGCATCGTAGTGCCCTGCCGCTGATCGCGATCATACTGGAACGCACTGACAATTGCAAAGATACCGCACCGATAGACCGAATCCCACCGGACCCACCTCGAAGAAAGAGGGCCTCAAACCATTCCGTAATAGATGCGCGCCTTGCGGGCCGAGAGCGGCTGGTTGAGGAGTGAGTGGGCGAGAGAGTGCTCGGAGCGCTGTGGGGACGCGAGATGTACGTTGGTATCAGAAACGGCAGTTTCAGCGGAAACGCAGGACACGCACCTCAGGCGAACGCGACCTGCGGCGTTCGCTGGATTCGCCGTGCCTTCCCATGTCCCGGGAGCGATAAGTGAGCTGCTTGTGGTCCACCTGCTTGACCATGCCCGTCTGTGGAACATTACACATTAGCACGTCAAGCCCGTCGCGGAGGGGACGGGAAACACAGGGAACGTACCGACAGCACGTCGTACAAGTAGTGGAGGAGCTGGCGGATGAGGGCGACCTTCTCGTCCGCGCTCCACGTCCTCGTAATGGTCGTCTCCGGGGATGGCAAAGTGCGCGCGCTGCGCGGCGACCCACTGATGGTCGATAGCCTGTGCGGCCACATCACGGACTTTCTCCGACGATTCCTCAATTTCGTAGAGGAGATAGTCGGCGAGTGTCGAGTTGTTTAGCACGATCTCCGTAACGAGCGAGTTGCGGTCTTTTGACGATGCTGGGCTGCACCGATTGAACTTTAGCAATGTTCTTAAGCAGCACCGTGTCAAATGTGGAATGGCGGCGCACCAGGAGGTCCTTCAGCCCGAGGTGTCCGTACCGAAACTCGTTTACGAGGCGATCCATTGCGTTGATCAGCGCCCGCTTCGTCGGCTCGCCAAGCGGCCCACGACCCTGCCTGTGCCACCAACCGACGGAGAGCTGGTACACCATGCCTCCCAGACCTCGACTATGCGCTCCTCGTCGGTGCCGTAAGGCGGGTGAGCGCGCAGCGCAGCCCTCATGTCCCACGATACCTTCCGGTGAAAATCTTGCCAGAGGTAGTCTTGGTTGGAGCCCATGACTGCTTCGTTGGAGCAGAGTTGGAAGGGTGTCGTTGCAGGGTAGAACAGGGTAGAAAGGGAGACGAAGAGAGAGGCGAGGCAACCAAGAAGCAACCCGACCGGATATTCCGCGGAGAATAACGCCCGACCAACGATCCGAGCGAGCACGAGCGCACCGAGCGAGAGTCAGCAGCACTGGATGAGCGCGATGGAGCGCCGGACGAGCGTCCATTAGCCGGATGCTGGCTGTTACGCGAGAGCGAGGAGAGGCTGCGGCGATTGGAGACGCGGCAGGAAAGGTCTGAGTCGCGCTCTTGACAGCTCCGTAGCTAGCGAGGGGCGTGCAAGCCGTGCGACTGCGCAGAAGGTGATGGCCAGAGGCAGAGCGGTGAATTCGGAGGTTGGACGAGGACGACACCGGCTGTCACGCTCGAGGCGGCTCGCAAGGATGCCGAGGGATACGCAGCAGGTGTGTATAGCCCATCTACGCGCGTCAAGACCCACCCACTCACCGGGTATGCCTTCATCGCGCCCGCAGATCCTCCAGGCGGACATGCCAGACGTGCGCCCGCTCGCCTCGATCCTGCGCAGCCTGAACTTCAAGTCGGTGCGTCCAAGAGTGTACATATGCTCATCGTCCAAGCCTGAGCTGACCTGGTGCTGTCTACTCCCTTCCTGCTCCTCCTTCCTCGCCGCGATGTGGGGTTGTTCTCCGTCCGCCATATGCTGCGCTTCTTCTGCAGCAAGCAACCTTGAAGATTGATCAGGCAGGCCTGAGAGTCACTGTGGAGGAAGGACGGTCTTTGCAAGGTGCGTATAGCTCGACCGCTTCGCCTCGCCTCTTCAGCTAACCCTGTCTTGCCCCCTTGAACAGCCCACGCCTACATCGCCACTTCCGCCTTCTCGTCCTATGCGTTCGATCTCGACGCAGACAACCCGGCAGCGTACACCGACGTCCGCCCAACCTCTTCCTCGCGCGACGAATCTCCTTTCGCCTCTTCACCTGCTCCCGAAGCGTCCGGTCCTCCGTACTGCCAAATGACGGTCTCACTGTCGACCATGATCGAATGCCTCAACATCTTCGGCAACGCAGGCGGCGCGAGCACAAGCGCATTCAAGCGCGAGTTTGACGACGAGGACGAGGACGGCGGGAGTGGGTGGAAGGGCAAGCGGCGGAGGATGGACAGCGAGGATGTCGACGAAGAAAGGAGGGGCGGGCAACGTCGAGGTGCAGGACCGGACGACGGCAAGACGACTTCGCTCAGATTGTCGTATGCTGGTCGGGGCGAACCGCTAGTCATGCTGTGCGTCGCGCTTTCCGTTCGCACGCGAACTGCAGGCGAGTGCTCACGCAGTCGTACTCACAGGCTAGAGGAAGGCGGCATCGTCACGCGCTGCGAGATCACAACTTACGAGCCGGAAGGCTTGCTCGACCTGACCTTCCAGGATGAGGAGAAGGTGCAGCGGCTGATCATCAAGGTGCGTCCGCGTCGATTTCTCACGGCGCTCGTGTCAGATCTGACTTATGCATCGACGCAGTCCGAATGGCTCCGCGATGCCCTCCTTGAAGTCCCCTCTTCGTCCGAGAAACTCGCCATCTCTTTCTTCCCCGAAGACCACGCACGCACGAACTATCACGCCGATGATCCGACAATGCGCAACGAGGAGGAGGAGGTGCCGCTCTTCAGGCTGGAGAGCGTCGGTCCGATGGGCATCACCGAGGTGAGCTGGGCGGAGCTGTCGCTGCGTAGTCTCCTCTCCACGAAGAAGCTGACGGTCCGCGAAACCCCGGACGTTGGCAGATGGACTACTCAGAGGACAAGGACGTTCTCGAGGTCTTCGAGTGCGAGCACCCTATCCGGAACAGGTGCGTCTTGCTGATCCTGAATGTCTCGCGGGACTTAGATCCGGCTTGAAGTCGAGCGGAGCCTGTGAACTTCAGGCGAGCAGACGTGCTGACATTGGCCCTGCGCAGCTACAAGTACCAGCACATTCTCCTCACCCGCAACGCGCTGCATGCGTCCATCAAGACCGTGAGTCCACTCCACTTTCTGGGTTTGGAATTCGGTGTCGACTTGACGCTGACATCTGAACCCGTACCATCCGCCCAACGTCTCGCGCTTCTTCCCCATTCTCCTTCGGCAGTCCATCCGCACCGATCCCGACGGCCTTCTCTCCTTCCAGTTCATGATCCCGCTCTCGCCTCGCGGCGCGAAAGCCAGCATGAAAGAGGACAAGATTGGCTTTGTCGAGTTCCTCGTGAGTTATTGCCTCTTAACGCGCGGAAAACGCGCAGCTCTCTCCGGACCTCGCTCTTTTGGGACGCTCAAAGAGCTAACTCCCCCGACTCGCGTTCGCAGGTCGTGGCACTCGACGATGAGTATTGAACCGCCGCCGGTCGTCGCATCCCCTTCACTTCCCTCCTCGCTCCAGAGTCCGCCTTCGCCTTCCAGTCGTAGCAGATACCTACCATGTCGTTGTACTCCTAGCCTAACTTGCAACCTGTTCCGACGCGCAGCAGGTTCTCGAGCGGGACATGTTTCCTTTGTTCCTCTTTCGCTTCGCTTGCTCTCGCTCTATCGTCGACGCTGCGTCTCCTTCTCCTGTCAAGAGCTTGTGGCGCTGCAGAACCTACAGACAGACTCGCAGGCCGCCGCAAACGCCTTCGACTCCCCCACTTCCGCTCGTCCACCTCTTTCCCTCGTCCTGCTCGCGCGACCCTCGCCGCCGGGCTGGGCGGCGAGCTCGACAGCTTACTATGGACCCTATCGTTTCACCTAGGCGACCCAGCGGGCCTCCCACTTCGTCTGCTACCCCCAGTCTCCCTCATCGCCTCAAAGCAATCCCCTCCTCTCGCACCGGCGTCGCGGACGTGCCGCTCTCGCCAACCGGTCAGAAGCGGTTCTACAGTGTGCATGATGGCTTGCTCGCGTTCGGGGCGAAGGATTTTGGCAGTGTGGACGAGATCGAGGTCGAGGTCTTCAGGGAGCAGGAGGAAGAGGAGAAAAGGCCCGTTCTACTTCCTTACGTTCCGCTTGATTGTTCAGCTGACTTATGAGCGTCTGCAAACAACAGGCTAGCGGCGGAAACGGCAGCCGAAGCTGGAGACGGACCTCTCGACTCTCTTGTTCAACTCGACGCTCGCCCCCGTTCTCCTGACTCGGAAGACGAAGTCACGCGCATGCTGGTCCCTCCTCGACGTACCGCTCTTGCTGACACCGACACGAAGATCCGCGTCGTCGCTCGCGGAACGGTCGGAGCGACGAAGGGAGCGGACTTTGGCTTGTACGGCTTCGACGGTGTCGATTCGGCTGAGAACGGGGAGGAAGGAGACTTTGAGATGCAGCATGGTTCGGATGCGGAGGGAGAAGAGCCGGAGAAGGACGTGGACGGCTTGCCTGTCGAGGATAACGACCTGTCGATGGCCCCGGTCGCCACGCCCGTGCCCCCGCTGGAGCAGAAGACGCAGATGAAGGGCGTCGAGCGAGGGAAGAACGGGAGCGGTGGAAAGAAGAAGGGCAAGAAGCGCAAGATGGAGACGACGGACTCGGAGGCGGACCAGGCGGGCAAGGTCAAGTGAGCTCGCAATCTCGCCCTCGGCTGTTTTCCCCTCAGCGTGAACAATGTACTGATTCGGCACCTCTCTGCGGTACCAGCCACGCCACGCTCTTCCTGCAGGACTGGCGCGACAACGTTTCGAGGCTTCACCCGCCGCACGTCTGGTACACTGCTTCCCATGCACCCGCTCCCTCGGCTTCAGCTCCGGTCGAACGGGCCCTCGGCGCGGAGTCGCCGCTCAACGTGCTTTACCCGTCAATCTCTTCCAGCATCAGCACACTCTCTACTCTAGCCCGCACCGGCGATCTCATCGGCTGCACGGTCACGCTCACTCTCCCCGATTCGACGACTCGCACCTTCTCGACGCCGAATGTACACGCCTCACGCCGCGGTGCCCGTCGCACCGTGTTCGCCCTCGCCTATGAGTCTGGCGTGCTCGACGAAGCCGCTCGCATGCGCGCCGAGCTTGGCTGGGACGCTGAGGCGGCAGAGGAAAATGCGGAGAAGGAGAGTGTCAGAAAGATGAGGGGCGGCGAGAGGCCGTGGGAAGCGTTGAAGGCGGAGCAAGAGAGGTGGATGGCTGAGCCGATTAAGTGGCGCTTCGAGACGGATGAGCTCAGTGCTTACTTTGTCTGCAGTTGGACAGCAAGACCGAGAGCTAACGCTCCTTGCGGCGCGCAGACTCGGTCCATTCCTGCATCCTTACCGTGCCCTTTTCGCCGTCTTCGCCGCCGCTCGTCTTCACGACCTCACAGACCTTCCGCTCGCATCGCGAGGCGAAGGATGCTGCCGCTCGTCTTGCTCTCGACGCCAACGTGCCAGCCCAATACGAGCAAGCCTTCAAGCAACGCCTCAATTGCGACTCAGGCGGCTACATCCAGTTCGGCGACATCACCATCGCTGATGCTGCCGTTGCGGACACTCACGTCGATGAACAGGCAGACGAGGACGGAAGTGAGCGGGATGGACCGCTCGACTCGATTGCGCTGCTGAACAGGGAGGTCAGGGCGGCTTTCGGCGGGCTCAAGGGTTGGCTCGACTGGAAGCACAAGCATGCGGAAGGTGCGTCGGCGGCGACTTTCGCTCGGAAGCTAGCTGACGGGCAAGCTTGCGCAGACTCGACGCCGCAGAAGACGCAGCTCGGCGCGACGCTCACCATCACCTTTCCCATCACTTCCGCTCATCCGCAGCCTCCCGCGCCGTTCACCGTCTCCGTCCCGCCTCTCTACCACACGAAGCACCATGCACGTCTCGCCTGCGTAGCCGCCGCTTTCCGCGATGGACTCGTCGGCCGCCTCGAGCCGTACAAGCGCGAGCGGGAGGAGGAGAAGCAGAAGGCGCAGGAGGAGAGGAAGAGAAGGGAGGAAGAGCGCCGCGCAGAGAGGGAGCGGGGCGTCTTCGAACTTCCGAGGGCGGGTACCGTCAAGTACGAGGACCTCGTTAAGCTCGAAAAGTGTGTCCATGAAGGTCGCGATGCCAGCTTTAAGAACGGCTCGCTGACGTCGATTGCTTGTACCCATCGTACAGCCCTTCCGCCTACCTCAACACCTGCGCCCAGCAGTGGACTGGTAACGGATCGCCGCTCAAGTTCGCCTACTCGATCCAGCCTTCCGAAGGTTCGATCGTCAAGCAGTACGGCTGCACCGTCACCGTCTTTGTCAACATCGGCCTCAGCAAGAGCTACACCGTCGCCCCCTCGCCCGAGATGACGACTCGGCGTGCGGCGAAAGACGCAGCCGTCCGCCTTGCGCTCGAGGAGCACGTCCTCGACCTCCTCATGCCGGCAGGCTTCGACCCCAACAAGCCGCTTGCGACTCAGCGCGACGTCATGGAAGACGCATCGGCGGCACCGAAGGACACGGCTGCTCGCCCGCCGAGCTTTGTCAGCGCCTTCAACAGTGACGGCCTCGCCGGTCCGCTCAGGTCGAAGCGCGAGCGTGTCCTCCAGGCTGGAGCTTCGACCGAGGCAGCGCCTGCAGCTGCTTCCGTCGCTGCTGCTGACGAGTCAGTCGGGGAGCCGACATGCATTCCACCTCCTCTCGGGCCGTTCGTCGCAGAAAGTGAGGTCGACTCCTGCCTTGCGCCTGCAAAAGCCGCCACGTCGTCCGCCTCGCCGCCCGCTGCAGCCGCAACGTCGAAGAAGACCAATCCTCGTTGGGTTCAGTCTCCGGCCGGGGCAGCTCCCTTCCTCGCGACACCTCCGCCCGCTCGTCCTTCTCCCGTCCCCGTCGTCGACCCAGAGCACGCTCCCCCTGTGCTCAACGAGTCCGCCGTGGACCGACTAGACAAGCTGTGCATCTCTCGCCTCGGCTACAACTACCTGCCAGAGTATCAAGCTCGCCAGAGCTCCGAGAGTACGTGCTTCTGCTTGGGAATTCGGTGAATCAAGCTGACGTTTTCGACGCATTCGCAGCCGGCCTCTTCGCTGCCTCCGTCCGCATCCCTCTCCAAGCTTCGCCTTTGGTCGAATCGCCTTTCGCCCTCCGCGCCCCTCGTCCTATCGTGCAGCAAGTCGTCACGTTCGCCGTCGACTTCATGTACCGGTCGCGAGCGCCGGCTCAGGAGGCGGTCGCGGAGTTGGCGCTCAGGAGCGATATCATCACGGAGTGGGCAGCAGACGGGGAATCGGCTGCGACAGACGCTTCGCCGCGCGCGAGGGTTCTTGACGATCAGCGCGTCCTACTTTCCGTCACCCAGCCGGCGTCGATCCCGGAGAAAGAGTTGCCCGCTGCGCCCGCCAACAATCCTGCGTCGCTCGTGGCCGACCAGCCCGAAACGCTGTCGAAGAAGCGCGACTGTCCAGACTCCGGTGAGGCCACGCCAGCCACGAACCGCGAAGACCCGCAAAAGCCGGTCGCCAAGCGCGCGAAGCTCGACGTCGGGGCTGACAAGCAGGTCAGCGAGGAGCCGGATAACGTGACTGCGGCTGAAGGTCTGGCGCCGGCTGAATCGGTTGAGGGCGGCGCGGGCGAGAGCGTCGAGATCTTGAAGCAGGGCTGCCGCGACCTTCTGGGGCCAGGTGTCAAGTTCGAGCCGTACTACAAGGCAAGCGTCGAAGGTGCGCGCGTTTACTTTGGTCGTTGATCAGGAGACTAACGCCGTCTTCACATAGGCTCGCTCTTCGGCGCGACCGTCTTCGTCTGCCTCGACAAGAACGCAACCGATTCTCGCGCCTTCTCCCTCCCCGCCTTGTACGCCTCCCCCCACGAAGCTTTCGAAGCCGTCGCCCGCATCGCACTTCAAGCCGGCGTCCTTGACCTGCTCGAGTCACGCGTGCGGCCAAAAGCGAGGCCTGCGTCGTCGCCGAAGGACAGGAGGGAGGGCCGCGGTGGGAAGAAGCAGGCGATCCCGCAGAGGACGGAGGAGGAGCAGGCTGCGCTAAGGAGGGCATCGTATGGCGGGTTTGGGGCAGCGACGGCGTATCAGCTGGCGAAGATGAGGGCGCTGGCGGAGAGGGAGAAGAAGTTGGTTGAGGCGAAGGACCAGGCGCCAGAGCTGAAAACGGAGGCGCCGGAGGAGGTGCCGATTGAGGTCGAAGGAAACCCGCTCCTCCCTGGCCTGCCGATGGAGACGGAGGGGGAGAAGGTCGAGGGCGAGGCGACTACGGCCCTCAAAGGTGCGTCCGCGTCTCAGCGGGGCTCTCCTTGTCACGAGTCGCTGACCTCGCTTCTCGCTCACAGCTTACTTCGAGTCTCGCTCCCTCGCATTTCCGACCATCTACCGCGAACCGTCAAGCGTACCCGGCAAGACGACCGACCGCGTTCGCATCTGGCTCGTCCACGAAGGCCTTCGCTTCGAGTTGCCTGCCGCTCATGTGTCGAAGGCGGAGGAGAAGCTCGCCTCGAAGGTGCTGAAGTATCTCAAGGAGCAGGAGGAGGTGTCGAAGAAGGCCGTCGCTTGAGGAGGACGGAGGTGGAAGAATCGCTTGTTCTCGCTTTCCCGCATCTACCGTTGTTGACGTACCTACTCTACCCTTGTTCTTGTTCACCATTTCGCAATCCGTACACCCGCAACCGCAATCCGCATCGTTCATGCCGCTTCTCCTCGTCGTCGAGGGTTGCGAAGGTCAGGAGTTTGCTCTCTCGCTCGCCTGTGCTCTTCGAGCCTCACTGCGTCGTCTCGCTACTCTTGCGAGCCCTGCGTGCGCTTCCCGACGTCGTCCCCATCGTTCCCGCTCGCTTCACCTCGCTTGGCCTCGACCACTTCGCTCTTTCGCTTCTTCCCTTCGCTCGCTCTCTCATTCCGCGCTCAGACTCGCTCAGGACGTGCACAGTGCTTCGAACGGTCACCAAAGAGTCCCCGCCCACACTCCCAGCGCCTCTCCACCGCGTTCGCCCCGCTCCCGAGTTTCTCATCACCCCACCCGGCTGTGGAGGATGGGATTGTCACAGCCAAAGGTCGCGCGGCTGTTTGCGCAGAGCGAGTCGCCCGAGCAGACGGAGGAGATCATCCTGGCCTACTGCTTCAGGTGCGCAAGCGTCTCGTCGCCTCTTTCTCGCCCGCAGAACGTCGTCAGGGGCCCCGGGACTCGCTCGCCTGGCGCTGGGAAGGCTGACAGTGGATGTCGCGCACTGCAGCAAGTGGACGAACGGCGGCAACCAGTTCCAAGTCCTCCGCAAGCTCCACCTCTTGACGCTGTACCTTCGCGCCGTGTCAGTCCCCTCCTCTCCCCTTCGCACGTTCGGTATCGCCAGCTCATCTCGGTCTCCTCCTGCAGAGAACTCGGTCCGAAAGTGCGCGAGCACTATGCAGCATTCGCGATCTGCGCGACGCTCACCAAGACCAACAACGCGGCCGTCATCATCCCGCCTGAAACCGACCTCGGACGTCAGGCATGGAACGACGCGCGCCGTCCGCCCAGATCGGTTCTCAAGCGTATCTTGACGAACAGGAGCAGTGTCGGTCTCGTCACGTTCTCGCCGGGCATGAGCAGCGGCGAGGTCAGTGATGCAGACGTCGAGGGCGTCGAGGGGAGAGATTCGGGAGACAGCGGACCGCGTGGACTCGGAGGCTTGTTGAACGGGAGGAGAAGCAGGAGCCAGACGCTCGTCACGGCTGTCGTCGTTCAGCCCGGCGCAAGGACGGAGCAGCAGCGTTTGCAGGCGGGAGCGGGCGACGGGCTCGGACGGGGTCTCCTTAGGTGCGCACACGTCTCCTGCGCTTGTTTCGCACTCGTGCCCGATGTCTGACAGGCTCGTTGGTGTCTGCGTTTGTAGTGCCCCGCCGAATTACGACGGCGGCCTCGCGCATTATCTCGATGCCAATCCCGACTTCCGCCACGAGGCGCGCTCCTACGACCCCGAAGTCGACTTCCTCCCCGACTACTCCTGACCTTTATCTCCACTACCAAACCGCCGCAGTCTCTCTCGCCTCTCTGCGCCTCCCTGACTGAGGGTCTTTTCGTGTGTCTGCTTTTTGGGTCGTTTCGTTCTCATCTCCTTCTCGTTGTTCCACTCCGCCATGGTTCTCCTCCGCATGTTGTCACTCCCACGGACCCATTTATCTGCTCGTCACTCGCTCGCCCAGGTCGGCGTCTTCGCTCACTTCAAGGAACTGTCGCATGTCGTGTACCCCTCTCGCTGTCAATGCATGTCCTCTTCCCTGCCCTTTGGGCTACAAGCGAGCACGCTGGATACTGCGCACCGCACGCCATCCATCGCCGAGACTCGGGTCGCATCAGCCCATCTTTCCCATGTTCTCCTCCTCGTCCGCCTCTTTCCCTCCTTCCCCTCGCTCCGCTCACGACTTCCTCTCGCTCTGCTTCACTCGAGCTCCTCGTTGCTCAGGATGCACGTTGCACACGCTGGCTGTATGCAACCCCGCGTCGCTCTCGAAGCGCTCCACTCCGGCTTATTCTCGCAGCTCCTGCTCGCCTGCTCAGCCTCTCCTTCCCCTCTCCTGCTCTTCCTCGCCCCGCTAGTTCAGCAGCATGTCCACCCCCACCACCCTCACCAGCATCGAACTGCTCTACTTCCCCATCTGCGGGCGGGGCGAACCGATCCGCTACATCCTCGAGGACGCGGGTGTTCCGTACGAGGAGAGCAACGATGTGGAGCGGTTCAGGAGGGGCAAGGAGGATTGTGAGGAGTTCAGCTTCGGGCAGTTGCCCAGGGTGACGGTACGTTCCTTCGTTCTGTGTCCTCTCCACTTCGTCGTTCGGGCGGTCGAACAACCAGTCAGCTTGCGAGCGTCCGCGCAGCAGAGAACGAGCCTACGGACGAAGGATGTAAACTGACCTTCCGACGGCGCGCACAGGTTGACGGCACCCACCTCTTCCAACAAGACGCCATCCTCCGCTTCTTCGCCAAAACCTGCGGTGCGTCCGAACCCTTCGCTTTCTCAGTTCCCGAAGCCTTTGTCTGGCGTTCAAGCTGATGAGGGTGTGGGTTGACTGGCAGGTTACCACTACTCGGGCGACGTCTGGAAGGAGGCGCTTGTGGACCAGCTGCAGGACGCGTGCGAGGTGAGCGTCATTCCGGCGTCCCACGGCCCAGCCTGCGTTGTCGCGCGCAAGGCTTGCTGATGCTTGTGCCGGACGCATGATGCCGCAGGACTTGAACATCGCCTACGTCCGCTGTATCTACTCCCCCGACTCGGTGCGTTCGACTCTTCTCTCGCTTCAACTCTCATCTCCTACCGGCAGACGGGCTGATCGATGTTGATGTCCGATGTACAGGCCACGCTGCTCGAAGCGTTCGTCAAGGACCACGTCCCAAAGGTCATGCGCCAGTTCGAGCACTTGTTTGTCAAGAACAAGCATGCGTCGGGATACTTTGTGCAGGACAAGGTGCGTAGCGCCGACCTGCATCGAGCGTCGCTCGCGAATGCGCCAGACACGTCGCAGACTTCCAGTTGACGGCGAGCGTTACGAATTAACCCTCCTCTTCACGAAACAGCCCACCTTTGCCGAATTCCACCTCCTCTACCTTCTCCACGCCCTCACGCACCTCGCTCCCACCCTCCTCTCATCCTACCCAGCTCTTCGGGCCTGGAACGACCAGATGTGGGCGCGCGAGGGTTTGAGGAAGTACAAGGAGAGCGGGAGGATGAGGGAGATGTTGAACGGGAATGCGAATGGGCAGAGGGAGGTGCGGTGTGGAGCGTAGCGGCCAGTGGACTGGGAAGAGCGTGCACGAGGACGAGGTCGGGGACGAGGATGAGCAAGTGGAAGAGGCTTGGGAAGAGGAGGAGAAGAAGGTTGAAGCGGGCTGCGCTCGCTCGGTCTCACCCTTTCGCGTTTAAGGCGCTTTGCAGGCGACGTGCAATGCCTTCTACGAATAGTTCTGCTCTGGTAGTGAACGTGCCGCCGTTCCCCCTTACTCGCTCGTTCGCGACGTCTCATCGTCCGCCAGCTTATCCGCCTCGCTCCGCTCAACTCCCAGTCCCTCGTGCTCGTTGCTGCGTGTGCTCGTGTGCTCGACGACGACGGCGACGACGCCAGCAGCTCACACCGGGGCGGACTCGCGCTGCTCTCACTTCCGCCAGCCGCCCCCGCTCATCCGGCTCGCATGCACTCGGGGTGGGAGCACGCGCAGCAGCCCGGGTTCGGCGGGCAGCACCACGGGCAGCTGCAGCCAGGACAGAGCCAGCAGCAGGCGTTCACGCCGGGTCAGCAGGTCCAAGGGGGAGGCGTTCACGCTAGTGGTGTCGGCGCGTTTGCGGGCGACCACGGCGCGTGGCAGGCGTATCAGCAGCCGCTGCAGCAGCAGAACGGAGGGTACTACCAGCAGGCGAACCAGCAGGTCCAGCAGGGAGGTTATCAGCCTGTCGCTTCGACGTCGGCTCCGGTCGGTGGAGGGTATGCGGCGGGACCACCGTATGCTGGAGTGGCGCAGGGCATGCAGTGCGGCGTGCCCTCGACGCACTCGCGCGCGATGCCGCAGTACCCGCCTCAGCAACCCGACTCGTCCGGCTACGCTCACTTCGCCCAACCTCCTCCCGCTCCTCTCGCTCAACACCCAGGCCCCGTCCCTTCTCCCGCGCCTATACCATCGCAGCAACACCCTAATCATCATCCGCCGCCTCCCGCCTCGGCGGCGTACGGGACGAAATTTATACAACAGTCGATGCAGTCTTTCGTTCCTTCCTCCGCGACGATGCTCTCCCCGACCGCTCAGCGCTTCCAATCTAATCCCTCACCAGCACCCACTCAGCCACACCCGCCTAATCCTTATCCTCAGCAGCAGCAGCAGCAAACGCGACCTATCCCTTCCTCCTCTCATCCGCCGCAGCAACCCCCAACTCCCGCTCACCATCCCCCTCCGTCAGCGCCCACCGCCGCAGGGCTGCAGAACCACCTCGCTCGCTTCGAGGCAATCACGCAACATCGACAAAGGCTACAGCAGCTTGATGCGCAGCGGAATGCGGTGGTCGGCGCGGGTGGAGGGGCGGAACAGGTTGCGCAGGTTGAGCGGCAGATGCGGGAGGTCAAGTGCGTCTACGCTTCCTTCTTTTTCTGATGTCTCGTGGGACGGGACGGTGTGCTGATGCTTTGCTCGCGCAGGACTCGCGAATTGACCCTTCTCAGCGAGTGCGAGACGTTCGTGAGGCAGCACGGCGGAGCGGGCGCGATCCAGCGCTACCTTGAGCAGATGCGGGCGAACCAGCAGCGCTTTCAGCAACAACAGCAGCAGCAGTTCTCGCAACAAGCGATGCAGGCTCAACCTGCCTACGCGGCGCAGGCGTACCAGCAGGCGTTGCCGAACGGTGGCTTTCGGCCCGGGTACTCGAACGCTTCGCAGCAACCGTTCGACGGCCAGCAACAGTATCCTGCTGCCGCGCCTCCTCCTCGCCCTGTTCCTTCGCCTCGCCCGCAGCCTCCGCACCAACTTCATCCGCAACAACCACTCGGGGCCGTCCCTCCCTCCACCTTCAACCCTCAACAGCCACAGCAGTACGCGCCCGCGCATGGTGATCAGCAAAACGCTCCTGTCGACCGAAGCCAGCTCCACCCGATCCCGTTCCCACCTCCCTCGTCGCAAGATCCCACGTTTCAACCGCCGATGCGTGTCCCGTCGGTTACGATGCACCCTCCTCCCTCTTCTCAGCCTTTCCAACCTGGTCTACCGCCTCAATCTCAGCCGCCTAATCCCGCTAGCTCTCCCTTCCCGTCACTCCCTCACGCTCCCTTACCTCCTCGCCCAGCACCTCTCTCCGCCTCCTCCGCCTTCCCATCCGACCCACGCGCCCAGTCCGCCGCCCAACGCATCCTCCCCGTCTCGCGCCCTCAGATGGTCCAACCGCCCCTCCCAGCGCCAGACGGCCCGATGACCAACCTCCTAACACGCGAAGAGTGGGACCGGATGGAGGAAGAGCGTGAGGAGAGGGAGAAGAAGGAGGGGAATCCGTTTGGGTTTCCACCGAGTGTGGTGGAGAAGGCGCGGAGGGGCAAGGTTAGGCATCCGACGCAGGTGTTGGGCGAGGACGTGGAGGGTCATCCGACGCTGGCGGAGTTGCTCGCGAAGGTGCGTTCCTAGCGTTTTCTTCTTTTCCAAGCACGAGACTGACGGGCTTGGAGGGCTGCAGGTCACGCCGCAAAAGTTCTACGACGTTCTCAAGCCGCTGCTCGCCAAGCACGGTCAGACTTTGACGCCCGAGAGCCATACGCTCGAGGGACGACCGATCGACTTATTTCAGCTCAGCCAGGTCGTCATCGGGCAAGGTGGTGGATACGTCAAGGTGTGTCCGACCGCTGTGCGCGAACTTGCGGCGAACCATCGCTGACGCCGCTCGTTTGACAGGTCGACGCCGACAACGCCTGGCCTCGCGTCGCCTCTCTCCTCCGCAGTCCGCCTCCGCCCGCCGGCTCATTCGCTACACCTCCCGCACCTCCGCCGACGCATCTCCCGACGCACCTGCGGGACCTGTACATGCGCCTCCTCGCGCGCTACGAGGACGGCTGGTCAGGCACGATGCTCAAGCAGCGGGAGAAGGAGATCGCGCTGAAAGGCGCGAGAGAGCTGTTGCTTGCGAAGGGCCAGGCGGCGCAAGCTGCGCAGAACGGACAGGCGGAGGGAACGCATGTTGGCCCGACGGTACAGATGGGCGAGCCGTACAAGACGCCGACGATGCAGATCCAGCATCTGCAGATCGTCCCCTCGTCGCCTGTCAGCGTCAATGGGACGTTTGCCGTCTCGTCTGCTCCGTTGGCGCCTCTGTCGGCTGCACCGAGTGCTCTCGTCTCCTCACCTCCGGCTGCACTGCCGACACCGTCCATGTCGTCCATGTTCGCCAACTCATTCTCCGCCTTCTCGCCCGCCCCGACCGACATCGGAATCTCGCCCTCCGTCACGTCCATTCCGACTGGAACAGTCCCGTCGACCGATCCCTCGACCCTCCACCCCTCTTCTCCCGGCAAGTCCAGCCTCCTCCGACCGACCACTCCGCACGACAGCCAACAGCGCGTCACCTCGCCCGGCACGCCCCGCTCCTCTGCCGCAGCAGCAGGCCAAATTGCGCCTTTCTCGACTACCGCAGCCGCCGCAAGTCCCGCCCAACCTCGCACTTCGACTCCTCGACCTGTCCTCCTCGCGCGCGAAGCGTCAGGCGGTTCGTCCAGTCTGATCGGAAGCCCAAACGCCGGCGAGGGCGAGAAAGGACGGCGCAGTCGCGCGGCGTCGGTTGCGTCGTCTTCGAAGAAACGGGACCGGACGCGCGAGATGGGCGACGAAGTCGAGGTCGTTGGAGACGAGGGCAGGCGGAAGAGGGAGGGTACGGGTGCGGTCTTGACGCCTGAAGCGGGCTCGAGCGGTCCGATGAGGCAGAACAGCACGAGTACGGATGGCGGGAGTAGCGGGAGCAGCGGGAAGCTGGGTATGACGCCTAGTCGCCCGGCTGGGGGGTTCGTCAGTTCGCCTGCTGCGATGGCGCTCAGCGATGGGACGCCGGATCTCGTGGCGAACAAGGCGCTCAGGCCGGATACGGCGACGACGGTCTCTTCGACGAGCGCTTCGCCTCACTCGGTTGGCGGAGGGGAGATTCCACTTCCTACGGCGCCGCTCGCCCTGCCGACGTCGTTGCAGACTGTCACGCCTTCGACCCCGGTGAACAGCGGTCTCGCGCTGTCTGCCGCCGGGCTCAGCCTCTCTACCCCTGCTCAGCCTTCGATCTCTTCCGCGCCTGTCAAGTCCCCACGCGACTTCGACTTTCTCTCCCTCACCTCGCCTGCGCTTGGCGGCTTCGAGGCGTCACCCATGCTCTTCAACACCTCAAGCTGGTCAACGAACCCTTCGGCGTTTGACTCGTTCACCTCTTCGACTGGAGCCGACTCGTTCGGCCTGAACGATACGGGCGACATTTTTGTCGGTCTCGGAGGAGACGACGCCGCGACGAACGGTGCCAAGTCGAAGCAGCAGCTCCATCCTGGCGTGGACGACGACCCCTGGGCGACCTCGTCCCTCCTCGACTTCGAGTTCGTCGCCGACAGCTTCACCTCGTCCTGAACAGCATTCCCGCCTGTTCGCCTCGTCGACGGGTCTCGTCGTCCGCTTCCAGCCTCTCCTTCCCCTCGTCTCCTTCTCTGCAAGTTTTCCGCAAATCCTGTTGTCTCCGCGTAGTCTCCTGTCGTCTCGTTACCAATGTCGTATTCAAGTGCAACACCCAGCATCGTCGTCTCCAGCAGTCTTTTCGATTTTCGCCGTTGCCGTCGTCCCGCGGGTTGCTCTTCCGCTCCGCTCACTCAGCACACGCTGTTGCATGCTCGCTCGCTCGTCTTGCGCCGCTCGAACGACCCGTGCTCTCACTCGGACTACGTATCGTGCACTCACCGCAACCGCCAGCCCTTCCCGCGCCGCCGCTCTCGCTCTCCACCCGTCTCCCCACATCCTCGCAATTCCACCCTCCAACGCTCTCAGCCGGCTTCAGTCCATCACCAGAGCCATGTCGACGTCGTCCACGAACCTGCCGACCAAGATGCGCGCGGCCAACATCACCGAACAAGGCGACTTTGACGTGATCCAAGTCCGCGAGCTGGACGTCCCCAAGCCTGCGCAGGGACAGGTTCTGTACAAAGTCGACTATGGAGGCGTCAACATGTGGGACACGTACGCGCGCTCGGGCGTCTACAAGCCTGGGATCCCGTTCACGCTCGGAAACGAGAGCGCGGGAGAGGTTGTTGCGGTTGGAGAGGGCGTCGAGGGGTTCAAGGCCGGTGACAAGGTTGCTGTGAGTCGAACGACGCCTTACGAGTGCACATCAAGCGGAAGAGCTCGCCCCAAGAAAGGCGGACCGCTGACACTTGAGCGCGCAGGCCTACACGACCGGCGGCGGTTTCGCAGACTACTGCATTGCTCCCGCCGACAAGCTCGTCAAGCTTCCTGAGGGTACCTCGACTCGCGACGCCGCTACCGTCCTCCTGCAAGGCTTGACCGCCCTCACGTTCGTCAAGGAGGCGCACGAGGTCAAGCCGGGACAGTTCATTCTCATTCATGCGGCGGCTGGCGGCCTCGGTCTCTTGCTCGTTCAGCTGTGCGTCACGAGTGACTTGCTCGTGCTTCTCGACCGGAGACTGACGAGCTTCGAGTACCGATCCTTCGCTCTCCACCTCCTTCCGCCCTGCGTTCGCCCACCTCTCTCAATGCAGCTGCAAGCACCTCGGCGCAACCGTCATCGGCACGACCTCGACGCAAGAGAAGGCCGACATCGCCAAGAAGGCCGGCGCAGACCACGTCCTCCTCTACGGTGAGGGGCGTGACATTGTCAGCGAGATCTACAAGATCACGGGCGGCGTGGGTCCTCTCTCAATACACTCTGCGCACGAGCTTGGCTGACTGAGGATTCATGCAGGAGGGCATCGACCGCGGCGTTCATGCCGTCTTTGACGGCGTCGGAAAGGACACCTTCGACATGGACTTTGACCTCGTCCGCAGGTGCGCAAATCCTCCACTCTCGGTTCATCAGATCTTATAGCTGATCAGCTTCGCTCGTGCAGGAAGGGCACCATCATCACACTCGGCAACGCCTCGGGCCCCGTCCCGCCTTTCGCGCCGCTCAAACTTGCGCCGAAGAACCTCAAGGGTCAGTCGGCCTCTAGCTGGCAATCGCTGCTCTTGGCAGTGGTCCAGCCGCGCTTGAGCTGCCCCGCTGCCGTCATGGCTGACTCGCTCTCGCACTTCACAGTCTGTCGCCCCGTCCTCAACCAATACGTCCACACGCGCGAAGAGTTCCAAACCTACTCGACCGAGCTCTTCAAGCTCGTCAAGGACGGTCACCTCAAGCTTGCGGTCCATGCTGAGTACCCGTTCACTGCCGATGGGGTCAAGCAGGCGCAGAAGGATATCAGTGAGTTGTCAGCTTTCGCGACATGTGCGGCGCCCGGCGACTGTGTTGGCGAAGCGCTGTGGCGCATGCTTGATCGCGTCGACGAAATGCTGACACTCTCATTTGCCCTCCCGCTTGCAGCGAGCCGCAAGACGTCGGGCAAGCTCCTCATCAAGGTTGCCTAGAAAAGCCAGATGTAGACATCCTCTCGCCCTCTCCGCAAATCAGTGCATCGCAGAGCAATCAGTACCACCTCGCATGAAAGGGGCGGATTGATAGCAGATCCCCGTCGCCCCGCTACTCAAGCCGCACCGCTCCGTCTCGACTCTCGCGCCCGAACAAACTCAACACCGCGCCCACCAGCCTGCTCCACCACCCGCTCACAGTCTGACAGACGGTTCGAAACCAATTGCTGCTTGTTGAGTGAGCGGGAGCGGCCGAGAGCGAGACAATGTCGAGCGAGAAGTCGCCTTGCTGTTGGCCGAAGTTGGAGCGGCACATGAAGCTGAGCCTGCGGGTCAAGGACCTGCGTCAGCTACGGTGAGGTGAGAGGAGGCGGAAGCGGGCTCACTCGTAGATGGCTGAGGGGTCAAGCGGCGCCGCATCCTCCTTGGGCTTGCCGCGGTAAAAAGGCTTGAAGTCGTCCCACTTGGCCAACACCGTCACGCTCCTCCTCGCCTTCCCCTCTCCCTTCTCGACATCTGCATCTACCTTCTCGTCAAATAGCCCGTCGTCCCGGTACTCCTCAACGTCGACCTCGAACTCATAGACAGTCACGCTCTCCCTCCGCCCGTCCGGTCTTCGCTCCGGCTTACTGTCCTTGATATTGAGAGTGAACTTCGTCGGTGTCTTGTGCGAAGGAGGAGAAAGAGGCGGGAGGAAGGTGAGGAAGAGGCCGGAGGTAGTAGAGCGGGGGAGCGAGAGGCGGGAGGGCTCGAAGGTCGTTGACTGGGAGGCGAAGCCGGCTCCTCCGAGAGTGGTGTAGTCTGCGACACTTCAGCCGATCAGCATGGCGCGAGGAAAGCGAGCAAGGAGCAACGCACCAAGGTGACCCGCGAACGTCGCGACATTCGTTTCGTGGTTGACCGCGAAGGACGAGGTCGAGCTTCCACCACGGATAGAATCGTTCACGGCTGTGAATGCGGGCCACGGAGCGGGTCCACCGATGATGAAGCGGTTTCGGGTCATGCCGACTGCTGATGAGGATGGGGAGAGCTGGGAGAGGGCGTGAAGGGTGTGCAAGGGCGGTCGAGCAGTGCTACGATTCCTTCAGAGTCCCTGAAGCGTGCGTAGCGCGTTCAGGCGGATGAGGAGTGAGCAGTTCGTGGTTGAGTCGCGCTGGAAGAGAAGCAGGATGCAAAGGGCGACAAGCGAGTGGGCTTCCACTCTGAGCGGAGTAGCAGTTCCTCTATACTAAACAGACAGCATAGACAGCTGGCCGAGACGGTGGCGGAAACGGGACGATTCCAACTCCGCCAAACGCGGAAGGCTACCGCGGCGAGGACTCTACCCCGTTTCCCGCTCCCAGCTGCGCCAGCACCTCCCTCACGCCCGACTTCGTGACCGGTATCCGCTTCGCCCGTCGCCAGACGTTCTCCCTCCCGACCACACCAAACCCTCCATGTCCATTCCTCTCGCCGTCTGCCTTCCCAGGTCCTAGCGAATCGTTCCCCCAGTCCTTGTACAGCCGCAGCAACATCGTCGAAACGTGTACGAGCTCGTCTTCGATCGTGTCAAAGTGCGTCCACCAGGGAACGGGTTCAAGCGGGAGGGCGATGGGCGGGAAGGAGAGGCGGGCTGAGAGGTAGATCGAGGCGAGGGCGAGGGTGCCTTGAGGGTAGAGCGCGGGTGCAGGCGTTTGTAGCCTGAACAAATTGAGCGTCAGCGAGGCGCTGAATGAAGATACAAGCAGGGAAAGAAGGCACATGTCGTTGCAGTAGCCCCAACACCGCCGTACGAGCTCCTTCTCGCTCGTGAGCTCCAGGACCTGCAAGTAGTTGACGAGGTGTCCATACGGCAGGCCGCACTGCGTCTGGAAGCCCAGCCGCTTTAGGATTTGCATCTCGGCGATGACGAGCGCGTCCTTCATGTCGTAGAACTCGGTCGCAAAGTAGTCCATCGGGGCGTAGGAGTCAAAGGAGGAAGGCGGAGGATAAGGCGGAGTCGAGGAATAGGCGATGAGCGATTCGAGGTACGAGAAGCAGTTTATGATATCTCGTATCCGCAAGGGCGACTCCTCCAGCTTCGACGAAAGGAAGAGGGCGCCCATTGCGACGTCCTGTACAGTAATGTGTCAGTTCGAAGCCGCTATGAGCAGAAAGAAGCGTGGAAACGCACCCGAATGCCAAAGTGCTTCAGCGAGGTGACGAACCAGAAGCGCTGGAACAGGACCTGCGCGGTTGCCATGACGACTTGAGGTCTGCGTGCGTACTGAGCGGTCAGTATACGCCTTTCTGGGCCAAGAGAAGCAGCCTTACGCCTTCAGCATCACGCCGACTTGCTGGATCAGGATGCCACCATCTGCACGGAACAGATCGTTCAGCGAGGGGTACACCAGCTGACGTACTGAGCTGTACTCACACGCCCGCAAGTCTCGCTCCAGCTCCTCAGGAACTCCATCGAGCGAGGACGGCGTCGGTTGATCGAGCGGTGCGAGGGGGTTGAGGAGGTGGCGTGAGGCCATGCCGGCGAGAGTTGCAGGTGCTGAAGCGTAGTATGAGCCCTTAAGTAGCGTTCTAGCCCGTCAAGCATCAAGCAGCCCCTTGAGCGGTGTGGGCGAGGTGGTCCAACTTCATTCGTCGCTTCTCTCCCCTCGACACTCCACTGCGAGGATCCCCGCTCCACCTTGGCGTCTGAGGCTAACTTCGAGGTCCGATGAGCCGCCTCGTCCGTCACTGGGTTCCTTGAATCCAGCCGCGCGCTGTTGCCGCTCCTCTCCTCGCCGCCCAATTCGAGCCCGACTCCACCTCCTCTTGCTCTGCACCCAAGCTCGAGGTTCGCACCGCCTCTACACCCACGCGGCGAGCGATACTGCTTGTCCGCGGACCGCCCGAAGTTAGGAGGCTCCAGCGAACTTGCGGACCCATCCACTTCCACCCTCTCTTTCTCCCGCTCTTCCTTCGCCTTGCTGCTATCCTTCAGCTCACGCTCGAAATGCACTCCGACGACGAGCACCACGAGTGGAATGCCGATGTCCCAAGCCATGACTCCTTCGAGGAGCGCCTGGATCACGCATATGACGACCTAGACGAGGCGATGGAGACGCACAAAGAGATGACGGACAAGGAGGAAAGCCTGTGGGACGACTGGAGGGAGCTCGTCAGCAACAGCTGCCAGGCTGAAGGTTTGTTCGACCCTTCTCACGCCGATCCCGGTATCTGCGAGGACCTGCACAAGCTGGCGGACGCCTATCGCGGCAAAGATGGCGCTTCACTGGAACGACCGGTGAGTTCTAGGGTGTATCGATTTCGTGCCTCGAGCGCTCATACCGTCTCGTGTAGCCCAACCCCGTCAACAAAGCCTCGCCGCACTTAACCGCCTTCCTCTGCAAGAGTCCCACAACAGTGTCCAACCTACTCATAGCGATCAACCGCTTCTGCCACGACAACCTCGAGACGACCGACCACACTGGCCGACATAAGCTGATCCAGTGGGTGGAGGGCATCGAGGCCTTCTGCGGCGTCAAGGCAAGTGATCGGTTCAGTACGCACGACTGCTGGCACAACGCAAGCGCCAAGGAGCGCGAGGGCGTCATCAAATTCTTGTGGGGGACGCTGCAACTACTGGAGCTTGATGGCTGCAGCCCGGGTCACCTCGTGCGTCCTTCCGTGCGACAAACGAGTCCCCTTCCTCATAGCGGTCTTCTTTGCAGCCTGACTGGAAGCGGAACCGTTCCTTCAATTTCATTGGCGACACCCATGACCTGCTCGGCGCAACGCAGGCCTTGGTGCGTCGCTCTGTTCCGAAAACACTGTAGAGAATCCAACTTACGCTGCTCCTGCAGACCGTAAGTTCTTCCCGCGCACGGTCGCGCTCTCCGCCTCGTGATACTCGCGACAACCTTAGAATGGCAAGTGCAGGCTTAGCTGACCACAGAGAAAGTATGGCTAACCATGGTGGTTTTACAGCGTGACCGTTCACCGCGCACCTCTTACCGCGACCGACGCGACCCCCACCAGCGTCGTGACTCTCGCAGTCGGAACCGTTGCTCGCCAGACCCGGTTGCGCTCCTCGCACTCTCCTTTCGCTGATCTCCAAATCTGACGCACTCCCAAGTCGCAGTACGACGCCGATATGAGCTACTCTCTCGCCCATGGGCTCCTCGGTCATACTTTCTCAACTCGCAAGGCGCGGATCTACGGCATGCTCTGAGCGCCGTCTCTTGCTTTCCCTCCTTCATCTCATTTTGCTAGTCTGGCTGCAGTGCAGTCCCTTCGCCTCAGGTCGCGCCGCATCAGCGAGTCGTGAGCCGTCGTGCGGAGAGCTCGAGCAGCCGTAGAGCGAGAGCAAAGCAAGAGATGTCCGACCAAGAATGAAGTCTTGCGGAAGCTCCACTGCATCCAGCCGCGCTGCCTCGCTTCCGGCCGATAGACGAACATCATAGAGTGAAATGAGCACGGAAAGAGACGGTCCACCTAGAAGTCGTACAAAGGCAGCTTGATGTGCGGATTCTCCGGCTTCTGCGCCGCCTCGCCCGAGCCAAAGATCCTTGACCCCGCCCACTTCGCCGCCCGAGTCTTGATGAGGTAGCTGATAGCGCCGACCGCGATGCGCTGGACTGCGACGCCGAGAGCCGAGTCGGGGAACCCGAGGCGGAAGAGCGAAATGGGGATGTCCTGGGCGTCCTCGAAGTAAGGACGACAGATGCGTTCGTAGGCCTCGAGCGCGTCCTTGACGACTGCGCTGTCGGAGAGATGGTCGCGACGCTTGGCGAGCTCGCCCGCGAGGACGTAGGCGCCGACGACAGCGCACGAGGTGCCCATGCCCGACATCGGCGACGGACAGCCTGCTGCATCGCCAAGCAGCACGACTCGACCTTTGCTCCAGCTCTTGGAGATCACCTGTGCCACCTCCTGCATGTAGAAGTCCTCGGCGCCGTCCATAGCCTCGAGAACGCGGTCCGTCTGCCATCCTGCTCCAGCGTACAACGCCTTCCAGCGCGCTTTCTGCTCGTCGACGCTGAGCTTGCGTGCGCCGCTGAGAGCCTGTTGCGTCGCCTCGCCGCCGGCGAGAAGGTAGGCGCGGGTGCTAGGAGTCGTCACGTCCGGGCGAAGCCAGATCGAGCGGCTGCGCGTTGTGTGCCACCAGCGCGACCAGGCGCCGTCTGACTCGGCGTAAGGGATGGTGAAGTAGGCGCAGTGGAAGCCGACGGAGCGAATCTGGACTTCGGCCTTGTCGTCCTTGTTCTCGGCGGTGCCTGGGCGACCGAAGACGAGCGAGCGTGTGCTCGACGCCATTCCGTCCGCGACGATGACGACGTCGAAAGCCTTCGTCGTACCGTTCGCAAAGGTGACGACCGCCTCGCGGTCCGTCTGCTCGATCCCCGCGATCGAGTCTCCGAAGATGTACTCCGTCGAGGAACGCGACGCCTCGTAGAAGATGCCGACGAGCTTATCGCGCATGATCTCGATCTCGTTCGTGAACCCTCCGCCCTCGACAGGGAAGGAAGCGCGAATCTGTCCGGCGTCGTCGACGGTGTGCGTACCCTCCTCACGAGTGCGGGCGGCGGAGATGGCAGAGTTGACGTCGGGTCCCATGCGCTCGACGACAACGCGCGCGGTGACGCCGTTCAGGTCGAGGTTCTGGCCGTTGGCGTGAAGAACGGGAGCTCGCTCGACAAGAGTCGTGCGGATGCCGGCTCGTCCGAGGAAGTGTGCGCAGACGGGTCCGGCGATGCCTGCGCCAGAGATGAGGATGCGCGGTGTCGCAGTCATGGCGTCGATAAGGAGGATAAGGAGCAGTCTGATCGTCAAAGTCGAGCGCAGGCAGAGTGAGGGCCGCTCGCTACGGTGTGCTGCGCCGTGCGAGTGATACTTCAGTAGAAACCAAGGAAGGTTAGACGCTCCCTTGTCCGTCCTTCAGCCATGACCCGGTGCCCGCAGAGAGAGAAGCAGCGAGGTTGCGGAGGGGTACTCGCCGATTTGGCCATCGAGTTCGGCGAGCGATGGCGGGGCGAGAGCAACTCATGGACGTAGCTGGTCACAGCTTCACGCTCGGCAGACGGGCAGAGCGAAGCGGCGAGTCGCGGTGAAGCGTTGTTGAGTGAGAGTGAGAGCAAGGTCTGGCTCTCGCACGACTGGCTCGTCGCGCTGACGAGCGACTTGAGCAGCATGCTGGACTAGATTGCTGGCTGTATTGCTGCCGGGCGATGCGCGCCCAGCTTCCACCGCCCTCGCCTGCTCGCCTCCCTCCTCCTCATTCGCCTCATCCGCTTCCTTCGCCCCTGAGACCGACACAGGATGCAGGAGGACACAAGATGCCTCCTGATCGGGGTTCGGGGACCGCGGACTGTCCGGCACTTGGTCCATGGAGTTGCCGTTCCTCCTCCGCACGCTGTCTCCCCTCTTGCTCCTCGTCACCTGCTTCGTAGGCTCTCTCGCCGATCGCCAAAGCTGCCTGAATGTCCGACTGGCTCAATGACCCATGGCTCAACCCAGTCCAGCGTGCGCTGCGCTCGGTGCAGGGCAGTATGGACGACGCGGATCCGCTCGACCAAACCGAGGAGCACTTGATCAGGATCTGGGGACGAGTGCTTCTGGAGGTGCTCGAGGCCGGGGACAGAGCCGCATTGGAGTCGCGCGTCGAAACGATCGCTGGCGAGATTGCGAGCTATGCGCGAGCGGCGCCTCCTCCCGATCCGTCTGGGAGGCTTCGTGCGGTGCGTGCTGATCCTTCCCTTCCGCTCACCGTTGCTGACTGATGATGCCGCCGTGCAGCCCGACATCTTTGCGGGTCATGGACCGCACTCGCTTCTCGTCCAAACGCTCGAAAAGTCCGACGCCATTGTCGGCATCCTCGCCGAGGCCATCAGCCGCACAAGCCAGAACAGTCCTCTCAACCTCCAGCAGGATTGGAGCGGGCATTACTATGCGGGCACGAGATGGATGCGAGAAGTCGGCCGTTTCTTTCGCATCCACGAGGGCGAGGCGCTGAGCTGCAGGTGGCGGGATGCGAGGCTCGACGAAAGGCATGCGGTGATTGAGGTTCTGTGGACAGCTTTGGCGCGACTCGTCAAGGGGGAGATGGGGCCTTTGTCGTTGGTGAGCTCCGATGCATCTTCCTCGTCACCCGTAACGGGCGCAGACTGATTGTTTACTTTCTGCAGCCCATCTTGAACCAGACTCCAGCGTTTTCCGCGCTCGAACGGTACCCGGATCAGGTGCATTCACTTCCGCTTTGCCTCGCTTTTCCGTCACTTTGTCGCTCAGTCAGCCGTGCTGAATCCTTCTTCCCCCCTTTCCTTCGCAGATTCCGGAACGCATGCAGCCTTCACGTGATGCCAAGGTGCGCTCGAATGTGCGCTGTCATCGAGGCTGGCGTTGACGCTTCTCCCGATTTGCAGGACCGCCGCTCCAGCTACACCCATTCGCTCGCCCATCCGCTTCTCGATCAACCCCTATCGACTCGAAAGGCGCGAATCTACAGGCTAGACGTCTAGTCAGCATCGCCTCAGACCTCGACGAATATGAGGGAGAGAGCGGGCGAGGCGGCGCAGCTTCGCAGCGCTGGCGGAGTTGGCGGAGCGCGCTACCCGAAGTAGGTGCGTCGTTGGAAAAGTCAGCGCGTGCTACCTAGCGTGTCGAGCGGAGCGGGCGAGCTCAGCGCAGTGCTTCCCATCTCCTTTTCTCGCTCTTCCTCCGCGACTGCGACCACTGCCTCTTAACATCCCTGCAGCTCTCGTGCGTTCTGCGCAGGACGACTAATTGCCTGCCCATATCGACTGCGACACTGCTACGACCGAACGACTCCTCGACCGCCTCTTCGCCTTCTCCGGTTTGCTCGCGCTGCTTTCTTACTTTCTCCTGCACCGCCTTCCTTGGCTTCTCCGCTCCGCTCGCTGTATGCTTGAGCTCTCTGAAAGGAGCTCACGGTGCTCGCACATGGCTCGCAACTCTCTCGCAGACGTCGGAGGGTCCGCGGACAACGTTCGCACTCGCGCACTCGCCCTTTTCCTCTTTCTCCTTCTCTCCTACGCCGCCTCCCTCGTCTACTGCTCCAACTTCGGCCATGGCACACATGGACACCTCGTTCGAGCATAGCGCTCTCCTTCGCCGCCTCGAGCAGGCCCGCGATGCGATCGCAAGTCGACTTCCTCACCGCCGGCGCTCGAAGATCTCCCAGTCTTCCGCCGAGATCTTGGCGAGATACCAGGCAGAGCTCGACAAGGCGTTCAGGCTGAGGCGGCACGTGTACGGGAGGATGTATCCGCGTCTCAGGCAGGGCGATGCGTCCCTCCTCGTCGACGCGATCACCGTCTGGGAACGCCACTACAACGTAGACAGAATCGTACGTTCCCCGCCTTTCACGAGGATTATCTCGTTCTGGCTGACAACCCGCTTCCGACTAGACGCACCTCGTCGATCCCCTCTTCTACTCGGACGACGACCGGGTGCTCCTCGCCAATGATGGGACCATTGTCGGTCTCTTCGACGCCCTGGTCGAGTTCATCTACCACTCGCAAGCCGACGAAGAGACCGTGCAGCGCTGTCGAACAATACGCTCTGCCTGGGCATCGTCCGGGCAAGACTACTGCGACTTCTGGCGCCGCATCCCCGAATATGAGCGCAAGATGGCGCTCAGTGCGACGCTCCTCCTGGCTGAAAGCCTTCAGGAAGAGAGGAGACTCGAGCCGTTTTTTCTCCGGGTGCGTATAACCATCTTTTATTCTCCCGCTACTTTGCCTTTCGGACCGCTTACATGGACGTGCAGACGCTCGAAAGGATGGCAAAGGTCTACGGAGACAAGCAGCCTCGTTCTCAGCAGGCAGACCCAGTGCGCGCAGAAGCGGCAGATGCGGTAAGGCGATGCTACGCCCGTCCTCAACGCCTCACCTTCAGTGAGCTGAAAGACTCTCATGCGCTTCGCTGCAGGATCGTCTTCGCCACGAACTGGAAGAGCTCGAGGGTTTGCAGGCCCATGTCGCAGCTCGTCGCCGATCGCTCGAGAACGCTCGACAGGCGCTGCACCAGTCGTCAGCCAACGAGCACTCGCTTTCTCACCCGCTCCTCAACCAGCCGCTCTTGACTCGCAAGGCGCGGATCTACGGGATGGTCTGAAGCGCCCTTCGATAGACTTGGTCATTGTGTTCTTCTCCAGCGGCTTTCCTCCTCTCAATCGTGCAACTTTCTTCGCTCCCACGGCTCCGAAGGGTGCAGGTTTGTGACCTTGCAAGAGTGAACAGCTATTCACTTGAGAGGCACGCCCCGAAGCTAGTCCTCGACACCCTCCATCGCGTCTCCTCCGTCCTGTTCCGCCGACATGCGCCAAAGAGCGGGCGCGACGTCGTCAACGTCGACTTTCTCGCCTGTCATCGATGTCGAAGCGTCAATGAAAGCCTGAACGGCTTGCAATGGAGGCTGGCTGACCTTGAGTGACCTGCGCGAAGGCGTGAGCGATCTTGCGGGCTTCTTCGCGCTCGACGTCCAACGCTCGCTCGATCGCGTCGCTGGCGGAGTGTACAGAGGTCTGCAGTGCACCAAGGCTCAGCTGTCATCCCGACAAGCGTTGCTTGACAAGGACCGGACGCACCGATTGCGACTGAAGAAGGTCGAGAAGCGCTTTCTCCGTCTCTCGCGCCTCTTTCGCGATGCGTTTCTCCTCCTCATTGTACTGCTGGATGCGAGCCTGCCTGCGAGCGAGCGCAACCGGGTCAGCTCGACGTTCTCCGTCCCCTTTCTCGCCCGACAAACCCTCGGTTTTCCGCTCCAACACGCGAGCGAGGACGAGCGGGACTCACATCGCCCCCCGCTCTTCCTCCAGCAGCTTCTTCACGCTCTCCTGATACTGCCTAACCAGCTCCGCGCCCTGCGCGACCAACCCCTCCTGCTTCTTGAGGTTTGCGCGGACTTTCTTCGCTTGCATCGCATGGAGGGCAGCGAGCAGTTCCCTGCGCGTGTTCTGGGCGTCAGTAAAAGCTTCTAGAGCCAATCGCGCGCCGTCTCAAGTAGCGAGAATGAAGAGCGAGCGAGACACACTCCTGGTCCTCGTCCTCGTCGTCCTCGAGCTGCGCGCGGAAGTCGACTGCTTTGGGTGGCATGGCGAGTGTGTCTGAGGCTGATTGAGTGGTTCGAGCGAGTTCGAGCGCGTTTGAAGCGAGAGCGAGCGTGTTGGAGGAAGTCAACCTGCTCCGCTCGCCTCGCTCTCCAAGGCACTTGGCCAAACGGGCTCAAGATGACCTGGGATTGACGAAGAGCACCGTACATACGACTTGCAAAACGAGCGAAGAACGAAGGAACCCAAATCTATACAAGGTACAAGGTGATACAGACTTGCAAAACGACGAAGAGGGACGAGCGCGGGTAGCCAGGATGCAATGTCGAGAGCTGGCTCACATCAAACCAACCTCGGAGAGCAAGCGCGTGAGGACCTGGTCCATCATAGCCGCGATAATCACGCGCGCCTGCTCGGTATCCGTCGCCTGTTCCTCCCAACCCGTCAGCGTTTGCTCCTCTCTCGCGCGGGATGAAAGGGATGGGAACGCACGCAAGTAAGGTGAACGTAAAGTCCGCGATCCTTCCTCCGGTTCAGGTTGACAAACTTGTGCTTCATGTAGATCGTCGCGGATTCGAGGTCGCCGTCCGGTCCGTCAAAGTCGTCGAAGTAGGCTGACATGGGCGGGTTCTGGGCGATGATCTTGCTGTAGACGGGGATGACGAGTCAGCGAGAGCGAAGACGTGCAGACGAAGCGGAGAGGAACGAACTTGGCGAAGAGGTCGATCTTGTTGAGCCTGCAAGGCCGTGCCCGCCGTCAGCCAGTCACCTCGCGCTGGTAACGCTCCTTGCACACGCACATCAGAACGAACGCGCTCTTTTCAAACCAACGACTCCCCGCAATCGATTCCCACAACATCGTCGCCTCCTGCAAGCGGTTGACACTCTGGTCTTCAAACAAGACCTGGTCGTACTCCGAGATGGCGGCGACAAAGACGAGGACGTTGACGTTCTCGAAGCAGTGGATCCTGCGTGCGAAGGGTGTTGAGCGGAGTGGAGGAGGCGGGAGGAAAGGGAGGGGGATGTACCACTTCTTCCGCTCGCTTCGCTGGCCACCGACATCGAACACCCGCAACTTCTGTCCCCGCACTTGGTACTCCTCCTCGACAATTCCAGTCGAGCGAACGCGCTGTGATTCAGGAAAATTAACACGGACTCGCGAGGAGAAGGTGGGCAGGACGAACGGTTCGCAAGATGTCCTGGTCGGTCGGGACGTAGTTCCGTGCGCCGAGGCGCGGCATGGCATCGAAGAAGCTTTTGCGGTGAGAAGACGAGCGTAAGAAGTCAGCGTGAGTTAAGAAGGTCAAGCTCTCGGAAAGAAGCCTTGCGCGCCTGCTGCGGCGCAAGCCCAAGGTCTTCTCTTCGTCCGGCGGGAAGGCAGGAAGGACTCACTACGACGCCGAGTCATTCAACTGAAAGCGCGAGCTGAGCGCGACGACTTGCTTCGTCGTCGGTTCCGCCCACAAAGCGATGATGGCGTCGCGGACTTGCGGAACCATGCTGTGCGACGAGGGATCTATCGCGTCTTCTGAGGCGAGAGAAATGAGGTATTCGGCGGCTGGTCGGACCGTGTGAGGTACGAGGAGCTGGACGACTTCGAAGCCGCGGAGGACGGCCTGCGGGAAAAGCGAGGTCAGCGGGGTGAGGCGCGCGGAGGGGTGTGAGGGAGACTCGCCTGCATCGACTGAAGCGAATTGAGGAAGACGATCTCGCGGTACTCTTCTCGTTCTCGCTCCGTGTACGGGTGGGCGTACCTGCGAGGGTCGAGGCGAAGAGTAGCAATGTCAGCCGGCTCTCGCTCACGAAGTCGAAGCCAGCCAAACAGAGGGCGACGGCTCTTCGCCACGCACATCAGTCGCATCTGCTTGACGAGTGTACTCTGCAGGGGAGGTGATCGTCAGTCAAGTCCACTCTCCGCGAGCGAGTGGAGGGAGGAGACGCACCTTGCCCGACTCTCCCGCCCCGAGCATCAAGCACTTGACCGTCTTCCTGCAAGCGCTCGCATTCTTCTAGTCAGTACCGTTCCTCAGCGATACCCCGTCCGACAGCCTGCAAGCGACGAGAGGGGAACGCACGCCTCTTCGGCCCTCGCGCGCTTCAACTCCTCGTCAATCGCCTTGCTGTGCTGGTTCTGCGCCGCGGCGTCCGCATCGATCGATTGTCCGCAGCCCATGTCTTTGCGAGGTCAGGTGAGCGAGAGCGGGTGGGAAGGGGGAGGAGAGGGAGTCTTGCGGTTGCGACGAGGGAGAGGGAAGGGTGTGAGGGGGCGCAAGCGAGTCTGCGCGCAACCGAGGGAGGAGGCGTGAGTCCCTACTGAACCCATTGTGCTTGTCTACATGCCCCCGGTCCACTCAGGCCCGGACAAGGGCCGCGAGAGAGAGAGAGAGAGGAGCGAGCGGAAGCGCACACCTTTGGACGGTGCGAGTGCGGGCGTCGTGCAGGTCGGTGGTTGTGTTAGCGTGCGAGTCTATGGGAGTAGCGTGCGTTGCAGCTCGAATGGGTCGAAAGGAGAGAGCGAGGAAGCGGACTCTGCGCCTCGCTCAGGGCAGCCAAGTGGGGTGCTCGAGCCTGTTCTTCTCGCCCGGCTGGTCTTCTCGCAGGGAGCACGTGCACACAGAGAGCACTCTGTGCGTCGAACACAGAGTTGTCGACGCAGCAAGTCGAGGCGAAGAGTGTGTGGTCGACGCGAGGAAGCCGTGAAGGCGGGAGGAGGAGTGCGCTCGCAGGAGGAGCGTGCGAACAATGGGCGCGAGTAGTCTGGGCAGGGCATCGTGGCTGCCGAGGGCACTGCCACCCTCAATAGCCGCATGGCAACAGCCGCAACACCGGGGGAGACGCCGACGACGAGGAGGAGAAGGTCGTCCTCGCTCGCTCCAGCCGGTCGACTCTGGTATTCTCGACTCGCGAAGAAGCCGTTGCACCACACTCAATGCCTACAGCAGACCCATCTCCTGCAAAGTACTCGTCAACACGCCCGTCATGACCGCCCCCAACACGACCTGCGTCGAGACCTTGTCCGTCGCCTGCGTAAAGTGCGCAAACAACGCTCGCTCGGGCGTGTGTTGCTTGTAGAGCGCGGTGAAGGTGTCGAGCATGTAGGATTTCGCGGCGGCGACGTTCGAGGGAGGGCCGCGATAGTTGGGCACGGAGGCGGCGAGCGGTGCGAAGCCGGACAGGATCTTGCTGGAGGCAAGGGCGGAGGTCAGCTTCGTCCGTCAATTCCCGCGCCATGACGACGTCGTACCGCTCAAAGATGTCCGTCTTGTTCAGCTGCACACTCCATCGAGGTCAGCGAACCTCCCCACCGAAGCGAGCGAGAGTCACTCACGAACAACACAAACGTCGACCTCCTGAACCACCGACTCGCGCTAATCATCTCCCACAGCTCGAGCGACTCGTCTAGTCGGTTCTGGCGTGAGTCTTCGAACAGCGTTTGGTTGTACTCCGAGACGGCGACGACGAATCTGCGCCCAACGATGAGGGTCGGTCTCGGCTGCTCGGGGAAGGACGGGCAGGAGAGAGCGTACAGTAGCATGCCGATGTTCTCGAACTGATGTACCCTGCGTACACACTCGTCAGCTTCCCGCTCGTCTCGGGGCGAAACGGCGGAACTCACCACTTCTTCCTCTCGCTCCTCTGCCCACCGACATCCACTACTCTCAACTTCCTCCCCTTGAGCACCTCGAAAGTCTGTTCGACGACACCTATTGACCGCACGCGGGTGCGGAGGACGTCTTCTTCTGTCGGGAGGTAGGAGGGGGAAGCGATTCGCGCGAGGTGGGTGAAGAAGCTGCGTGCGAGTGGGTTAGCCTAGAAAGAGAGGTAGAGAGGGGGAGGACGCACTATTCTGCCGAGTCGTTGAGCTGGAACTCTGCGCTCCGTCTCATCGCCTCCTTCGTCCCCTCCGCCTCCCACAACCTCCCCAACGCCTGCGCAGCCTCACTCCTCAGACCTCCCGTTTCAGGATCCACAACCTCCTCCGTCTCATCCACCTCCCTCAACCACCTCGTTTCCTCCTTCACGTCGGCGGGCAGACGGATCTTGAGTGCGGAGAAGGACGAGAGGAGCGATTGGGCGGATTGGAGCAGGTTCGAGAAGATCGTTTCGCGGAAGGAGAGGAGTTCGGCGGTCGTGTAGGGGGAGGAGTAGACTAGGCGCATTTGTTTGACGATGGTGCTCTTGCCTGACTCGCCAGGCCCGAGTAGCAAGCACTTGGTCTCCATCCTGCACCAGTGGCGATGGTCAACTCCATGCACGATGATGAAGAAGGAGCGGCCACTCACGCCTCCTCCCTCCTCGCACGCTTCAGTTCCTCCTCGATAGCCTGCGACACGCGCGTATCCGCCGCAGCCGCCGCATCAACAGACTGAGAGCAGCCCATCGTCTGTCGTCCTTGCAGTGCAAGGCACGCGAACCGAACGAGGGGGGGAAGCTGAGCTGAGCTGAGCTGAGCTGAGTAGAGGCCGATCTGAAGGATCGCGCCTCGCCAAGCGTAGGACAGATGGAGAGGTGTCAGGAGAAGACTAGCAGTGCATCAACGGGCGATTGGCGAGCCGGGACGATGGACGAGGCGGACGAAAGGCGAGCTGAGCGGGGCGTCCTGGCTCGAGCCTTATAGTTAGTTGGTCAGCGGAAGCTCCGTGCGGTTTGTAGGTGAATCTGAGCGCAAGTACAACGGGGTTTGCCCGGCGGGAGCGACCTTTGGCGTCCTGGGGACGTCGGTGAAGGGGGCAAGATGGGTCGTCGAAGGCGGGTGACGGGCGTACGCCGTTGAACGACGAGCCCAGCGCAGCATTGCACGCGTCCCTCCGGTCACCCAAGCCGTGTCGCCGTCCCCCCTTCCTCGATACCAGCCGAAGACGTCAGATAAGGCGGTTCCGAGGATGACGGCGAGGAGGAGAGGATTGGGTATCGGGACGGGCTGGGACTTGGAGAGTAGCAATGTAGCGAGTAGAATAGCTCAATCAGCGACAGTCTGACTCGTTCAGCCAGTTCGAGCGAACCTGGCAGAGCGAGACCCGGACTCGACTTTCGCGAGAAACAGCTTGACCTCGACGAACGACCGCTGCTCGCTCTTCACGCTCAGTTAGAGACACGCACGCACAGCTAGAGCCATGTCGAGACGCGCAAACTTTGGCGCAGCGCTCACCGGAGACGATTCGGCTGCCTCCATCGCGAACCGACCGCCGCCGTCTTCATCTCGCGCTGCGGGCAACGCTGGGACAGACACGGGTAGCAGGCCGGGCGATAGAGGGCACGGAGGAGATAAGGGCAAGGGCAAGGCTCGCCCGGGCGGACAGGGAGGACAGGGAGGCCATCGCGCTCAGCAGCAGGGAGGAGGAGGAGGAGCGACCGTCCCTCGCCGCGCAGAGCTCGCCGAGCGGGTCGCAGCAGTCAATGCTGCCGCTCTCGCGATGGCCAAGGCGGCGGAAGAGGCGGGCGAGACCGACCAGGACGGGACACTCTGCTTCATCTGCGCAGAGCCTGTCCAGTACTGGGCTGTCGGGCCCTGCAACCACCGGACGTGCCATACCTGCTCGATCAGGCTCCGCGCGCTGTACAAGAAGAAGGAGTGCACGTTCTGCAAGGTGCGTTGGCGCGACTGCTTCCTCTCCTCCCCTCCTCAAACCAAGCTAACCTCGCTCCCCTCACAGACGGAATGCCCAACAGTCATCTTTACCGAGTCCGAAGACAAGCCTTTCGAGGAGTATGGAGCCGAGGATACACCGTTCAGCGATACCAAAGTGAGTGGCTGGCGTTTCAAGCGTTCCACACGCCGAATGCCTACCATTCCTCCGTCTCGCAGCTCGGCATCCTCTTCGAATCCCGCGCTCAGCTCGACGACACCCTCTCCCTCCTCCGCTTCAACTGCCCCTACAAGCCGAACCTGTCCGACCCCTCCTCCGCCGCACCCGAATCTCCCGCCGAAGCTTGCCCTCACATCCTCTCCGGCTGGTCCGACCTGAAGCGCCACGTCCGCTCCTCGCACCACTGCACTCTCTGTGACCTCTGTTGCTCGAACAAGAAGATCTTCGCGCACGAACACGAGCTCTTCGCCATGTCGGCTGGCGGCGGACCGCGAGGGCGGAAAGAGACCGAGCTGGATCTGCACCTGGAGAAGCAGCACTCGATGTGCGGGTTCTGCAAGAGGTGGTTCTACGACTCGGACGGGCTGTACAAGCATTGCCGCGAACACCACGAGGAGTGCTTCATCTGCGTCCGGCAGGGCATCCGCCACCAGTACCACCTCAACTACGACCGTCTGGTGCGTTCTTGTCACTCGTTGAATCATCAGGGTCTCACTGACTCGTTCTCTCGCGTTCCCGCAGGAGCAACACTTCAAGGCCGACCACTTCCTCTGCCCTCACCCCGACTGCCTCGCGCAAAAGTTCGTCGTCTTCGAATCTGAGCTCGACCTCCAAGCGCACGCCCTCGAGGTCCACGGCGTCGGCGCGTTCGACCAGAAGGCGCGCAAAGAAGCTCGCCGGATCGAGACGCACTTTGTGTACTCGACGGGCGAGTCGTCGGCCCGCAACGATGGTGGACGGAGACGAGCTGGGGCGGGCGGCCGTGCGCCTGCTGCGAGCTTTGTTGAGCCGACGAGGGAGGACTCGCGCGGCGCGTCTGCCGGTACAGGCGAGCGGCGAATCCCCGGCCTCGGTGCGCCTGTCGCTTCCGGCAGCGGTTCCCGCGCGTCTCGCTTCGGCGGCCAACTCACGGCCGACGCCTCCCCGCCCGCAAGTGGCGCGACAACCCCGACTGGCCTCGGTTCCGCCGAGCGCGATCCCGCTACTCTCGAACGTCACGCCGCCCTCATGCGCCGCGTTCAGGACGTCACGCACGGCCACGAAGGCAAGATCGCGGGCTTCAAGATTGCAGTCAGAAGCTACAGGCAGGGCGAGATGTCGGCGCAGGACCTGTGCGAGCAGCTGTACAACTTGCTCGACCAGCGGACGGACGAGGCGGGGTCGGTCATCCTGGCGTTTGCGGAGTTACTCGATGATCAGGAGAAGAAGCGGTCGGTCCAGCTTGCGTGGCGCGACTTGCGTAGCGAGGTGCGTTGACCGTTTCTTCCCTTACTCCTCCCCACTGAGCTAATCTTGCGTATTTGCACAGAACAACTTCCCTTCGCTCGCCGCGCTCAATCCGACCCTCAACGGCGTCCCGACCTCTACGACGAGCACCTCACAGCGCGCGCTTTCCGCACAGCACCGCAGCGGCGGCAACCCCTCTTCGACCTGGGCCCGCGTCGAACAGGCGGCGACTTCGGCCGGTCCTGCGCCCGTCGCACCGCGCTCAAACCCGTTCCCGGCACTGATGAGCGCCAGCAACGCCAAGAGTATCCCTGGACTCGCCAAAGCCGGCGTGCAGAAGAAGCGTCCGGCCGGCAGCGGGACGGCTTGGTCGAGCGCTGCGGGTGGCGCGTCGGCCTCCGCGCCTTCTGCTGGTCCGAGCGCCTTCCCTTCCCTTTCGTCGTCTTCGCGCCCCTCGCCGGCCCGTACGCCAGTCTCCATTTCCCGCCCCGGCTCGGCGGTCGGTTCTTCACGCGCTCCTCCCCGCGCCCCAAGCGGCCTCGACTTCCCCTCCCTGCAGCCGTCGGCAAACGAGTCGGAGAAGCGTGCGCGAATGCGTGCGGCGCTCGCCAAGCCTGTCGGGCGGACAATCATGGACGACGGCGAGCAAGGCGGCGGGATCTGGAACGGCAGTGGCGCGGGTGGAAGCGGTTCGGTAACGCCTGAGGGTGAGGAGGCTGGTGGAGCGGGACGGAAGAAGGGCAAGGGGAAGAAGAAGGTGGTGCTCATGAGCAACGGACTCATCTCGAGCCAGACGACCTAGCTCTCGCAAGATTCCGCTCTTGTGTAGATCCTCTTCGTCTTCCCGAGTGTATGCTCCCTGCAGCACCGTAAAAAAGCACGTTCAGGCTCACTTGGTGTCTTTGCTGATGGCGGAGGGTTTGCACGCGCCTCGAGACGGTGCGTCGGCCTTAATCCTCGCAAGGCTGCTCGCGTTGACTCTGTACTACTCGCAGTACGTTCATCGCACTAGTCTGCGGTCGTACTAGCACAGGAGAGGCTGCCGTCGAGGTTGTCGAGTGCCCGCATGCGACCGTCGCTCCTTTCCCTCCTTCCGTTCACTCTCGCTCGTCTCTTCACCTTATACGCCCTCGCTAAGCTACCAGTACTTGCGTACTTAGTCTACTCGCGCAGCTTAGCATACCGCGTGCCGCCTGCGCGAGCCAGTCTCGCCATGGCGCACCTCGTCCCCGCTTCGTCCCACTCACCCTCGCTCCACCCCCCTTCGCCGCAAAACGACCGTTCTGGGCAAGCCACGCCGACGCAAGAGTCTCTCACGCCTACGCGACCTACGACCGAGCCGAGCGAGCGCAAGTTCGAGCGCTCAGCCTCTGCCCCGGCTCCCTGGTCTCCCTCCCCTCCGTCTCCGACTCCTACTGGTCGCGCGCAAGCCTCGCTCTCGTTCGCTTCACCTCGCTTCGTCCACTCCGACACTTCGACGCCCGCCATCCACGCCCATACCAGCGAGAAGGGCACGTTCAGCTTCACCGTCCCCACGACTCCGCCTTACTCGCCCGCTCACTCGCGCGAGTCGACCGTCTCGACCTTCGGCAACGACGCGGACCCCGTCTCTGCACTTCGCGGGAGGAACACGCCGTTCTTCATGGTCTCAACGGGCGGAGGCAGCGAGGAGCAGGGATCGAGCGACGAAGGAGGCAAAGACGGGCCCACCGCTGCGGCCTGGGAGAACACTCTCGGCGCCTGGACGCGAGGCGAATGCATCGACAGGTCGAAGAATGATCCAGGTTCCAGCAAGCGCAGCTTCAAGCGCGGCGAGAGCGCGCCGGCAATCTCGTTCGGCGAACACGGCGCTGCAGGACCCCCTGGGCAAGCCGTGCGCCCCTTCGCCCACATCAAGCACGGCTCGGACTTTGCTCACGAGGTGCGTGTGCCCTCTACGCTGTGTATGCGGTTGCTCGAAGCTCACCGTCGCTCGGACTTCGGATTGGGAAGGTCAACGTCGCCCATCTCGCTTCGCTCGTTCATACTCTCGACGCTCGCCTCTCGACCATCACCGGCCTTTCCGACGACCTCTACAGTCGCATTGTTCTGCTCGAAGACGTGACGCGCCAGCAGGGCCACGAGCTCGACCTCCTCCGCCAGGTTGTCGCCCCTCAGCGCGCCCCGTACGGTCCGCAACCGCCACACATGCCGCAGAGCTGGTCTCGCGGCGTCGCCGGATCTTTCGAACAGCAAGCGATCGACCAGCCGTCTCGCGTCGCAAGTCTCTCGGCCCGTCCTTTCAACCTTCGCACACGCTCCTACCCAACCGGCAGCTTCCCTCTCGAGCTCGAGGGCCCTCGTCTCTCGACCACTATCGAGGAAGCCGGAGGATGCGGCGTTCCCGCCTTTGTCCCGCCGCAGGTCGGCGGACAAGCCAGTAACTTCGGCTCGCCTCGCGCCTTCCGCCCTCACAATTCCTCTGATAGCGAGTTCTTCCTGCAAGCGCTCGAGTCGCAGCAGGGTGTCGAAGCTGGCCAGCCTTTCCAGCAGGACGTCGGTGGCGGCTCCGCTCACCAAGACTCGATGGGCGCGATGGGCGGTGCTGCGCTTTCTCGCACGAGGTACGGTGGAGCTGGGATGGAGAGGTCGGTCAGCTTCGCCGACTTCGGAAGCGGAGGGATGGCGGGACTAGGAGTTATCAATAGCAGTCAGGTACGTCCTCCGTCGTCCTGGTCCTGCTCGAACAGACCACCTGACGCTCCTCGTCTTTTCGTCTCGATAGGGCACGATGCGCAGTCGCTCCGTGTCAGTCGGCGCGGGCACGCAGCACCGTTCGTCGCCGTCGAGCACCCAAGGCGTCGCCGGTCTCGGTAACGACACGCCCAACTACCGCCTCTTGCTGGAGACCGACGCCGACATCGATGCCGAGGTACGCTCGCGATGCCACCGTGCTTTCTACATCCCCACTGACGCTCTTGCTTATTCCCGCAGTCTTTCGTCCGCCGAATTCTCAGGCATAACGACCAGCAATGCTCGCTCTTCCTCCAGCAGAAGGTCAAGTCGACGACGCCCGAGAAAAAGCAGGAGGTCTTCGACGCTGTCGGCAAGCATATTTGCGAGCTCAGCTTCAGCAAGTTTGGTGCGTTCCAGCCGTCCCGCCTCCTTCAGCTTGGCCAGGCCGTCTGAGCGCTCGCTCGCTCTCCCATAGGCAACTTTCTCGTCTCTCGCTGCCTCGAAGCCGGCGACAAGCAGCTCGCGCAGGCGTACGAGGATTCGCTTGCTGGCCACTTCCTTGCCCTCAGCCTCGACCCGTTCGGCTGCCACGTCCTGCAGAAGCTGCTCGACTGCGGTGGCGCTCCGACCAAGGCGCGCGTGATTGAAGAGTGCGGCGTCAATTCGCTTGCGTTTCCGTTGAGGAGGTCGCTCACCTCGCAATCGAGCAGGCTTCTCCCGCACCCCGAGACCCTTCAATCGCGCAACGCCTGCCACGTCTGGAACCGCATCCTCACCTCGCCCAACCCGCCGACCTTCTTCCGCCGCCTCGCCGAGATGGGCAAGGGCTTGTGGAGGGAAGTCGTCAAGGAGGACGGCGGCTCGCTCATTGTCCAGCACATGATTGAGGATTGGCACGAAGCGCATACGAGCGTCGTCGCGAGGGAGATACTCGAGCATGTCGAGGATGTCGCGCAGACGGCATGCGGATTGTTGTGCGATTCGCCTTTCGTGCCTTCTCACGGACCTTTCGCTGACTTGCTCTCGTCGCCAGGATCGTCTCGCAGTGCGTCACACCGGCCAGGGCACGCTCTTTGAGTCTGCTGATCTCTCCCGCCCTCGCAGCTTGATCGACCGCAACGCCTTGCCGTTCTGCACCAAGATCATGAAGCACGCGCCGACCCTCGCGACCGACAATTTCGCTGCCAAGCTCGTCGACAAGTGCATCCGCCTCGGCAGGACCGCCCCGATCGGCATGAGCGGCTTTCTTGAGGAGATCACCAAGACGAGCGAGTACGTCCAAGTCCGCCCCCGCAGTTGTTCGCCTCGCTGATTAGTACTTCGTCAACAGCGCGGAAGACCCGCTTCTTCTGCGCATGGCTGCTCACGCGAACGGTGTGCAGCTGCTGACTGGCATCATCACTGGATCGACCTCCCCTCGCGAGAAGGACAAGCTCGCCCGCTGCGTCAAGCGCTTCCAGGCGGAGCTGCTCAAGGATGGATCGGCGAACAGCGCCAAGCTCGTCAGTCTGTGCCAGAAGACGAAGGTCTGAGCGAAGGAGGTGGTGCCGCTTGTCGTTGTTCCCGCTTGTTTCCGCATTCCGCCGGCTCTCGTTGTGTCTCCGAGTCTCTCGCTCTGGTAGCACTCCTCGGCATTTTCTATCTCGTTCGTGCACCATCTGCCCCTACCGAGGAGGTTGAGGACTTGCGGTCGAAGGAGCCGGTGTTGCTCTGCTCGACCCTTTCACCTTACCGCCTCACTTTCGTCAGCTGGGTCACTCGAGGCTCCGCATAGTAGCTGACATGGTTCAATCTCTCGCCAGGCCGAATTGCGCGCGCAGCTCGAGGACATCGAGGACGAGGACCAGGAGTGCGTCTCGCTCGCTCTTCACTCTCGCCACCTGGGACGGGACGCGATCAGCTCTGAAAGCTTTTACCGACGTCACCAACGAATGCAGGGAACTGCTCGCCGCCCTCCATGCGATGCAGGCGAAGAAAGTCCGCGCGAATCTCAAGAAGCAGGAGGGGCTGGTCGCGCAGGGTGCGGAACTCGTTAGGCAGTATCAGGAGAGCGTGAGGGAGTTGCTGGAGGAAAGGGAGGTGGCGATGTGAGTCCCGCTCGTCCTCGCTCGCATGTAGGAGCGGAAAGCGAGGGTTTGTCGGGCGAGAAAGGGGTTGGAAAACGTTGAGCGGATCGAGTTGCGCTCGCCCGTAGGCAGGCTCGCATCCAGCAGTACAACGAGGAGAAGCGCATCGCAAAAGAGGCGTGAGAGACGGAGAAAGCGCTTCTTGACCTTCTTCAGTCGCAGTCGGTGCGTCGAATCCTTGTCGAGCAACGCTTGTCGAATGATAGCTGATCCTCGGATCACTGCAGACTCCTGTTCACTCCGCCAGCGACGCGATCGAGCAAGAGTTGGCGGTCGGAGCGCGAAGAAGCCCGCAAGATCGCTCACGCTCTCGCGCAGGTTGCTCAAGGTCAGCCCGCCTCCATTGCAGGGCGTGAGAGACTTTCACTGACGCTTGAGCATTGAGGACAGGCGAGAAAGTCGACGTTGACGACGTTTCATCTGCTCTTTGGCGCATGTCGAACGAGCAGGCGGGAGGAGATACGATGGAAAGTGTCGAGGACTAGCTTCGGGGCGCAGCTCACGTAACAAGCAATTCACCCTCGCAAAGTACAGACCCGGGGCCACTCGACATCGCGAGAGACAAAGAAAGTTGCACAGATGAGAGGATGAAAAACCGCGGGAGGAGAACACGAACGACCAGGGTTGGCACGGCACGCCTCAGACCATCCCGTAGATCCGAGCTTTGCGAGACGAGAGCGTCTGGTCGAGAAGACGGTGCGAAAGGGAGCGATAGTCGAGGGCGTCCATTCGGCGACGGATGTTGTGCAGGTGCTGCTGCCCTTCTAAAGCCTCCTCCTCATCGCGGAGCTGTCGTGTCACTTCCTCATGTGTCGCGACACGTGGATGAGTCGGCTCAAGGTGGGCGATATTTGGCGCCAGGGCCGCCGCCCGGCCTTGCAGCATACGGTTGAGCGCGATCCGCTCAGCGAGCTGCAGGTGTCCTGGTCAGTCATTGTATAGCAATCGCCGGATCGGAAGAAACTTACAGGTGGCGGACGTTCCCTGCGGCGTCTGAAAGCGATCCCGTTCACCCCGCAGTGTTCCAATGCAGCGCGCTGTCAGTTTTCGAGTCAGCCCGGCGGATCTCAACACTAGAGCTACGCCATCGTACAATGGTGCTTGTGTGAATGTTGTCGAAGACGTCCGCGTCGGGTCCAAGCGCCTGGACCAGGTTCTTGAGTGCGCTCACGGCCTCCCACTGCTCGTCCTGTGTCATCTGTTCCCAGAAGGGGCAACATCCCGCCTGCTGGTTCTCCCAGACGGAGCAAAGCGCCGGGAGATCGTGCAAGATGCGTCGAATCTCGGGCCGTTGTCGCGCAATTGCGCGCAACTCGTCGAGAAGACCGACGACCGTACCGTCGGACGCGAAGAGGACAGCGCGGTACTTGTTGCTGATGGTCGGGTGGTGAGCGTCGGTGGGCCCGCCAAAGAGGGGGGGCTGTAATGTCAAGCGTTAATACCCCTCGATACAGGTCGGAGGCGAGCAAATCACGCACAAGGTAACCAATTGAAATCTGTCTCGACATCACCAATCCCATGATGCGGTCCAACTCTTCTTGAAGAGCCTGCTTCCCGTGGTCATCCGTGCGGCGGTAGACCCTGGCGTAGACGGTCGCCCGCAAGTCGTGCCACGCCTTGATCGACGCACACCGCTTGTCGTAATCCGCCATCGCTGTGCGTGAGAGTTGCGAGATCCAACCAGGCGGCGTAGGCTTGAGGTGGCCTGCGATTCGTGCGAGGGTCCTGGCGATGGTGCTGTCCTCGAAGCGTTGCGCAAATCGGTAAGAGGGGGGAATTCGGGGACGTCCTGGGGGTCGTAGCCGGAATAGGGGGGAGAGCGTGACATGTCGACGCGTCTGGCTGGCGATGTCTGCGCGGACAAGCGAAAGGGAAGAGGGATTGAAGAGGGAGGAGGACCGAAGCGAAAGGGGCTTGATCCGCGGACTGTCCGTCTTTGCCAGCGCCCGTGCGCAGAGTCAGGAGCTTTGAGTCGGACTTGCTCCAAGCGGGCAAGGAGAAGAGACGGCGGGAGGAGCAGCTGAAATGACAGCAAGCGAGGAGGCGAGCATGGCGAGGTGCCACGAGCGGAACGGCGGGTTGCTTGAAACAGTAAGTTGTACAGTGCCAGCGCAAGATTAGGAGCTTCAACATAGCCTCAGGAGCGTTCGAAGCCGTGCGACTGGTTGGTCGAGGGCAAAGAGGAGGTCGCGAGGCGACGATGTGGTCTGCCTGGTCCCGCCTCGCTCCTCCCGCTCGTTCAGCGCTGCGAACTGCTTCATGGACGTACACCTCGATCCGCTCGCTTTGCCGACCCCGCCAGTCCAGCGTCGCGCCGCTTCACCCGCTCTTCGTCGCCCGGCGTCTCCGGTGCCCAACCACACGCGACGACAGCTCTTCCAGTCGGCGGCGGGTCTGGAGGAGTCTGGCGAGACTCTGTAGCCCCCACGGACCGGCAACCAGCAGGGTGGCGGCGGCTGAGAGGAGCGATGCCGCTTCATCAGTTCGCACGAGGCGGGAGGACGACGCGCCAGTCGACGGATAGGAAGACCGACGAGTGCAGCTCGCTGAGCTTGTGTAGAGCTGAGGGACGGCGTCGACCTTTCCGAAGTTACCGCTCCCTCGCTTCCCGAGACGACCGCCCTGCTCGCCCACCTCTCCTGCTCGAGCCGGCCTGCTTCTCGTCCATCTCGCTAAGTTAGCACATGTCTGCGCATTGTTCGCTCTCCAGGACTCGTCCCCTTGGCAGAACACCTGTTTTCGCGTACCTCTCAGCCCTCGGTTCACACTTTACGCTGCGTTCGTTCGCTCACTCAGGTTTGCTAGCTGTCGCTGGCACGCACCAATGCGACCACCACCACGAGTGCTTACTCCTGCTTAGTTCTGCTAAGCAAGGTGCGGCGGGCTTGAGGTCGTTTCGAGGGAAGCGACGGTAGAAAGGAAGTGACTTGCAGAAAGCGGCGTCGAAGGGGATCAAGGGCGAAGGGTGAGAGAGAACAAGTGCTACATAGGAGACTCACAGACCGTAGATTCGAGCACGGCGAGGGGAGAGGGGCTGGCCGAGGAGAGGATGCGAGAGGGACGCGTAATACGAGACGTCGTGGCGGGCTCCACCGTGGTGCTCGTACTACAGGGAGGCCTCCATCAGTGGCAGGTTGAGAAGCGAACAGCGGTGGGAAGAGTTGAGGTACTCACAATCTGCGGGCGCACCCTGCGCATCCGGAACTCGTCACTTTGTTTGCGCAAGGTGGTCAAGGAGGTGCGCTGCGTGAGCTGAGTGTGAGTGGCCGGCGACGGATCGAGTTCTGTAGCACATGTAAGACTTACAAGAAGCTTGCGCCGTTCATCGACGCCCAACGGAGCATTGAACTGCTCGATTGCGGAGACGACATGGTCGAGCTCGCTCAGAACCGAGAGCCGCTCCGTCTGGGTCATCAGTCCCCAGAAGGGACAGATTTCCTTCTCCTCGTTCACCCAGATCGCGCGCACCCCCTTTTCAAGCTTGGCATAGTCGTCGTACTCCTTGTCCTCATGCACGATGTCGTGGATTGTATCGAGATAGCCGACGACAGTGCCGTCGGACTCGACGAGTACTTCGCGCTCTTCGTGATTGCCGCTGGTCGCTTTGCGCGCTGTCGCAAAGTGGCCGAAGAAAGACGGCTGTTGCGCGAGAGGTGCGGCAGAACTGTATCAGTTGCGGTCGAGTCATGGGCTCGAAGGCAGCGCCGGCGCACAAGGTTGGCGTAGGTAACATCGCGCCCGGCCGCCTTGAGAAGCCTGTTCAGCTCGTCAAGGATGACACGTCTGCCCTCCTGTCCTGTCCGGCTGCAAACCCTCGAGTATACGTTCTTGCGAAGCAGATCCCAGTCCATCAGCCTCCTTTCCGCCTTTTCGTTGGGCGAGTCGCCGGCGGGCCAGAGCCGCTTCCCAAGGTTGTTGAGTTTGTGCTCGATGTCGCTGTACGTGACTCGGGGCGTCGACTCGTCTGCATTCGAGGAGCGTGGGGTCCAGCCGCGAAACATGATGGCAATCTCGAGCAAAGCGAGCGGTGACAGAAGGAGCGAGTCGGAAGGAGAGGATAAGAGAGAGGAGGTCGGGATGAAGGACGGCTGCTGTCCGCGGATGCCGTGGAACATATCCTCGGCGCGTGCCACATGGTCTGCCAAGGTCTGCCGTGCACAGACGTGGGACCTGACTGGCAGGAGCTTCGGGATGGGTGTGCGAGCGAAAAGCGCGACAAGCGCGACCAAGGGGAGGAGGCAAAGGCGAGGAATACACCAGCCTCGAGCGAGTGCAGCGTGCAAGAGCGCGTTTACTTGGGACAAGCAGTCGTCCAATGAATCGTTCACCCCGTCAGCAGCCGTTGCGACGTAAGGCAGTGAGCGGTCGAGGGCGAAGGAGCGACGAGGAAGTCGCTGTTGGACTCGCCCACCACGCTCATCGCGCTCGATCAGCTCGTCAAACGCTTCAAGGACTCTTTCAGCTCGTTCGACTTGCTTGCCGTGCCCAACAAACTCGCAATCGCGCCGCCAAACGCCCTTCCTCGCTTCCTCCCGCATTCACTCAACTCGATGACCGCTGTCAACCCTACAACAGCCTTTCCGCCGGCCAGCATCGATGGACAGAGTCCCAAGGCATCTGTGAGCGCGTCGGGACAGGCGAGCAGCGCGGCGAACGTGGCGAAGCGGTGAGTTGCAATTTCATCAGTTTGGAGGAGACGAGGGGAAGAGACAAGGCAGACGGGCTGGCAGAGTCGCCGCAGGGCTCCACGGGATGACTGGTGTCCGCTCGAGACGCGTGAAAGTCGTCGCAATACCTGGGCTGACAAAATCGCCTCTTCTTCCTGCTGAACCCCTCTTCGCGCTGTCACTTGGCACGCCCTTCGCCGCAAAACAGGCTACAATCCGAGTTGATGTCGCTCATGATGTCCCCTCCGGCTGCGGGCATCTCCGCATTCCCGGAGAGCGATTCGGACTTGACGTACTGGGTTGGCAGGCTCGAGGGAGCAGAGGTGCGTTCGCCCTTCCCGCTCGCTTCGCTCCGCACATTCAAGCAGAGAGAACTGTGTCTGACGTTGCTGGAGGCACCGGTCGCAGGGCACAATCTACGAGGGCCATGTCTACGCCATCTCGCTCCGTTTCCCGCCTGAATACCCGTACAAGGCGCCTGTCGTCCGGTTCGAGTCGACTTGCTACCGTGCGCTGTCTCTTCGGCTGCTTCAGTGCCGACGGGTAAACACTCGCACGTTGCGCTGACGCAGGACGTGCACACAGACCCGAACGTCGACCTGCACGGCAACATTTGCCTCGGTACGTCGCGCAGCCTCGTCCACTCCCGATGCACTGCGCCTTCCTGACCCTGAGCGTTCTGTTCTCTTCCATACAGACATCCTCAAGGAGAAGTGGTCGCCTGCGCTCTCCGTCTCAACCATCCTCGTCTCGCTTCAATCGCTTCTAGGCGGTACGCTTCCTTCGCACCGGCCCGCAAGTGCTGGCAGTGCTGCGCACCGTTCAGACGCACGGAGACGTTGGCTGATGGTCGTATTCTGCTCCCACAGAGCCGAACAACGCTTCGCCCTTGAACGTCGAGGCTGCGGAGTTGTGGGACGATGTTGAAGCGGTGCGTCTAGCCTGCTTTCTCCTTCTCCTGTCACACTCACGAAACCCTTCGCTTGACTGCAGTACAAGGTCGAGCTCGCCAAGCACTACCAGCCGCTTCCCGAGGACGAGTAGACTGCTGTCCGCCTTCCTCGCGTCCCCTTCTTCGCCTTTCTCGCCAGCCCCTTCGCTGCCTCCAGCTCGGATCATCGATCATTGAGCTCGTTACTATCGTTCTCTAGCCTGTCTTTGTCTCCCGTATTGCCCTCGCATCGTCCGCTTCAGCGCATCCACCTGGAATTCATCCGTTCCTCGTCCCGCTCTGTCCGGTTGCTCCTTTCGCTCACCCCGAGTCTTGACGAGAGTGCACTCGTCCTCTTGCTCGCCGTCGAATCGACTTTCCCCCTTGCGCAGCCGAGACCTCGTCGTTGCACCGCCCGCTCCTCTCGCTTGTCCCGCTCGCTCACGCTCACACACAGCGAACGATGGCTGCGACAGTCCCTTGCCAGTGAGTCGGCGACATCCAGCACCCGTGCGCCGTTCCAGTCCAGCAGTAGCTCTCCCCACCTCATCCGGTCACGTCCCGCTCGCTCGTACTGATGAGGCCTTTGCTCGCTGACCACGCAGGTACAAGACCGGCCGAGTGCGCTCACGTTCCTTCTGAACTCCACTCTTGCGCCTCCGCACCCTCACAGCTCCGCATGAGCCGTTGACGACGCGACTTCGAACTGATCGACATTCGTACCCCTCCCCATCCTCCAATCGTCCCCCTTCTTTCGCACCCGCACGGACGCTTGATGCCCGCAGACACTTGGACAGGGGACGTACGCTGTCGTGAAAGGTGCGTGCCAGTCGAGCGGAATGTTGGGCAGACTGAGGCGGGTTGCTCGGAAGGTGCTGACGTTCTCGCTTCTCTGGCTCGGTTCCTCCCGCCCTCGAATGGCTGTCGATGTGTAGAATGCGTTCACATCAAGACGGGTGCGTCTTGAGCTGCTAACGTCTGGAGAGCGCGGATTGTGAAGAGCTAACCCTTGCTGTCGACCATCTTTGCTTGTCAGGCAAGTACTACGCGTGCAAGGTGCGTTCACTTGTTCACTCAGCTTGTAGCATGCGGACAATGCATGGTGTATTGTTCGGGAGAGACGAGGACGAGGCGAAGCGTGTGCTAACCGGACTTCCCGGCTCGCAGGTCATCAACAAGCGGTTGATGGCGGGAAGGGAGCATATGGTGCGCCGACCTACTGCTCGTGCTTGACAGCCGACAGCCCAGAGCGAGCCTGTTGGCTGGTTGAGTGCGCTGACACGTCCTCTCGCGCAGATCCGTAACGAGATCAGCGTCCTCAAGTCGATCTCGCAGGGCCACAAGAACATCGTCACGCTGTGGGGTACGTCGCATCCTCTCAAAGACGAGGGAAAAGCTTGCTGACACGCTCCGCCGACGCGCAGACTACTTCGAGGTGCGACGAGCTGTCCGCAATTGTATCGATCTCCGCTAATCTCGACTCCTACCACCGTTCACAGACTCAGAACAACCGTACCTTCTCGAGCACTACCCTCTCTTCCGAGCCGCAACTGACCACTCTCGCTCGCACAGTCTACCTCGTCACCGACCTTTGCCAAGGCGGCGAGCTCTTCGACCGTATCTGCGCCAAGTCGTACTTCCTTGAGGAGGATGCGGCGAAGCTCGTTCGTACTGTTATGGGCGCGGTCGAGTACTTGCACTCGCATGGGATCGTTCACCGAGGTGCGTTGTCGCGTGTCCAGCATCTGAATCGTTGCGAGGCGGACTTCAGCACGACTCGCTCGGTTATGCACCCGGTACATCGGCTCATGCACGCTTCCTCGTAGACATCAAGCCGGAGAACCTCCTCTACCGCTCAAAGGACGAAGACTCGGACCTCCTCCTTGCCGACTTCGGTCTCTCGAAAGTCATGGACGACCAGCAGTTCTCGGCGCTTACGACGACGTGCGGAACGCCTGGTGAGTCGGCGAGACCCACGCAACACCGGCTCGAGTACAGCGAAGCAGGCTCGAGGTGTAGCAGGGAGCGTGAATTCCGCTGACTCGGCTACGTTGTTGGCAGGGTACATGGCGCCTGAGATCTTCAAGAAGCTGGGACACGGCAAGGTGGGCCCGTCCCGCTCTTTCCCCTCCTCCACAAGCCTGAACTGACGTTCGTTTATTCGTCGCGCAGCCTGTCGTACGTCCGCTCGCCGCTGCCCAGAGGCGCCCGCTTGGCTGATGCGCTAACTGTCTTGATGTTCTTCTTGGTATAGGACATCTGGGGTGAGTCTGCGCTTCCTGCGACCGTTGAGCGACGCGCTGACTCTTTCCCTTCGCTCGCAGCGATGGGCGTCGTCACCTACTTCCTCCTCTGTGGCTACACCCCCTTCGGTGCGCTCGAACTATATGCTTCCTCGGTCGTCACAACTGACCCGCTACTTCGCAGACCGAGACAACCAGGTCGACGAGATTCAGGCGATCTGCAATGCCGACTATGCGTTCGAGCCGGAGGAGTACTGGACGGGCGTAAGCGATACCGGTCAGTCCGGGCTTCTTGCTGCTGGCCACTGCCGCCTTTGAGATCACTTTTGCAAGCTCCTTGAAGATGGCGGATGTTGACCAGTCCCTTGCACAGCCCGCGACTTCATTAACCGCTGCCTCGTCATTGACCAAACGAAGCGCATGACGGCAACCGAAGCTCTCGCGCACCCGTGGCTCGCCCAACTCGCTCCAACCGCCTCCGCGACCGCCCAAGCCCAACGACCCGACCTCCTTCCCTCGTTGCGCAAGAACTTCAACGCCAAAGGAACGTGGAAGCGCGCCATTATGGGCGTCCGCGCGGCCGGTGCGCTCAAGGCTGGAGGTGAGGCGAGGAGGGCGACGTTGTTGGCGGAGGCGACCGGAACCGAGGAGGAGAGGCAGAGGGTGTTTGAGCAGGCACAGCGGGCGAAGCAGGAAGCCGAGGAGGAGGCGGTGAGGATCCGCTCTTTCGCTCGTGCTCGCGCTGTGGCGCTAACCCAGACTGTCCGCAGAACCAAGTTGAGTCGGCGTCTGTCTTCGCCTACTGATTACGCATCCCCATTCAAAGACCCTTGCTTTCCCGTTCCTCGCGTACTTCTGTCTGCCATGACTACGGACATTCTCTCGCCATACGAGCGCCTGAGCGGGAGGAGAAGACGTTGCGAGCGGGTGACCTTCGCAGAAACGTGTCTCCACGCTTGCCTCCTGGTCAGCTGGTCCTGCCGAGCACTGCAGACTTCCGAAAGCATCGTCCGCTCGATACACGCGGCACGGACGACTTCGCCCGAGACGCAGAGCCCCTTCGCCTCTTCCTCGTCTCCCCACTTTCGTCTCCGCACGACGTCCTGCGTTCCATCCTGCTTCCTGCTCTTCTCATCCGACACAAGTGACTATGCCTCATGTTGAGCAACAGACCATGAAGGCGGCGATGTACTACGGCCCGCACGACTTGCGCATCGAGGAGGTCGCGAAGCCGGTCCCGAGAGAGGGAGAGGTGCTCGTCAAGGTCGCTTGGTGCGTACCGGGTTCTCTGAGTACGTTTCAACGTCGACTCACGACGCTTGAGCTCCTCAGGTGCGGGATTTGCGGCACGGGTTCGCGACAATGTCCTCCTCGACAGACTTTCCCCACATGCTGACCCTCTGCTCTACTCGCAGACTTGCACGAATACGACGGCGAGTCTCCAGACGTCCCTTTTCGACGTTGGCTGACGGGATCGAGTCGAATCAGCCGGCCCCATCCTCGTGCCCAACAAGCAACCGCATCCCATTACCCGCTCCTCGCTTTCGCAAGGTCCTGTCCGCCTCGGACACGGTGCGTTGGCTTCCTCTAGACACGACAGCGCCAAACATTGACGTTCTGCGTGAGCAGAATTCTCGGGAACGGTCGAGGAGGTCGGACCGGGCGTCGAGGGCGACTGGAAGATGGGCGACAGGGTCGTCATGTGCGTCGCCAGGCTCTACCGACTGCACCACAAACATTGGCTGACGTGAGTGAGGCTGCAGCGAGGCAGTCATCTCCTGCCACAAGTGCTACGCCTGCAGGAGCGGGTGCAACAACGGTTCGTTCCGTCTGCCATGCGCTCAACCTTTTCCGGTCTGCTGACCCCTCGTTTATTCAACGCAGCCTGTACCTCCCTCGGTTTCGTCGGCCTCTCCGGTCCATCAGGCGGTCTCGCAGAGTACTTCTCGTCGCCCGCGTCGTTCCTCCACCGTCTCCCGCCCAACGTCTCGCTCAAAGCAGGCGCGATGTGCGAGCCTCTCGCTGTCGCCATCCACGCCGTCAAGCGCGCGGGCTTTGAGAAGGGGATGAAGGTGTTGGTGTGCGGGGCGGGACCAATTGGAGTGTTCCTGACGGTTGTGCTGAAGGCGATGGGCGCTGAGTGAGTGTCTGCGTCGATCTGGCGTTCCGAGCGAGGCGCTGACCGGTCGAGCGCCCATCCGCAGCCTGATCGTGGTCTCCGAACCCTCGACGACCCGACGCAAATTCGCCACGCTCGCCGGTGCAACCCAGACCGTCTCGCCCCTCGAAGACCCCGGCAATCTCCTCTCCTCCCTTCGCGCCATGACGGGCGAGAACGAAGGCTTCGACATCGCCTTCGAAGCCGCAGGCGTCGAGTCCGCCCTCGCCCTCGCCATCTCAGCAGTCCGCACGCGCGGAGTTGTGCTGAACGTCAGCGTCTGGAGCAAGGAGCCGAAGATTGACATGAACCAGCTCGTGTTCGGGGAGAAGAGCATTCGCGGTGCGAGTTGTTATTTCGAGGATCATCCCGAGGTGATGAGGGCGCTCGGGGCGGAGGAGATCAAGCTCGACCGTGCGTCCAACCCTCCATCGGAGTGAGAGTCCAAGCTGACGAACCCGACGGGGCAGAATATGTGACGAGCACCATCCCGCTCGACCAGCTCATCGAAGGCGGCTTCGAGCAGCTCCTCCGCAACGCCGAAAACCGTAGGTCGCCTCCTCCTCCTCTTACGCCTTCGTGTGACGTCACTGAAGCTGATCGTGCACAGACGTCAAGATCCTCGTCTCGCCAAGCGGGAACCTCGACCAGCCGTTCTGAGCGAGCCGTCGCCCTCTCCCTTGTACAGAGATTTCGGTCCGTAGTCTAGCCTCGGTCGTAGCGTCGTTCTGCAAGTGACCTCGATTCCGCGCACTCCCTCAATCGCTCGCAACGACCAGACCTGAGAATTGGCGAGGATGGAGCAGGAGTAGGCGGAGGAAAGCGGGAGTGCCTGCGCGAGTCACAGCGGTGAATCGACGGTCGATGCGAGCACTTTGAGCTTGTCGCCGTCCTTTCTAGCCGTGAGCGAGTGCGTCGTTCGCAGCCAACTTGCGCGTCCTCATCATCGCTCTCGCCAACTCGCACCCTCACGCTCAAACAGCTCAGGCAGCTTAGCCAGCACCACCATCGCATTCGCACACCTCAACTTAGCCGACTACAACCCAACAACCGATTCTCCTCGCCCTTTCGCTACCACCCCGCCTAGTCCGCCAGCATGAGCCGATACGACACGGCACTCACCACTTTTGCGTGCGTCTGAGGTCTCTTGTATTCATGTGCTCAATTCGGATGGGCTGGGCAAGCGTCCGAACTCGACTGGTGTGAAGGGACGACTGGCTGACGCGGTTCCTCCTCCTCTGCTCTCCCCCTCGCTCTCCCTCCCCTCTCCGGCCCGGCTGTCCAACAACGCTGCGACGTACGATACGGCAACGCTTCGATCTACAGGCCGGACGGTCACCTCTTCCAGGTTCGTCGTCCGACTCCCTCTCCTCCTCATTCCGCTAGTCACTCACGCGCTTCCCTCTTCAGGTCGACTACGCTCTTGAAGCCGTCCGGAAGGGTACCTGTGCGGTCGGCGTTCGCGGAAAGGAATGCGTCGTGCTCGCCGTAGAGAAGAAGTCGGTCTTGCAACTGCAGGACCCGAGGACGGTCAGGAAGACGGCGATGCTGGATGACCACGTCTGTTTGGGATTTGCTGGTGAGTGCCCTGGGCGTGGCGTAGCAGAGGAACGACGCGGGAAGCGGAGGAATGGGAAGCTGACCACTTTGTTCCGCAGGCTTGACCGCCGACGCCCGCATCCTCATCGACAAGGCGCGCATCGAGTGCCAGTCGCACCGCTTGACCGTCGAGGACCCCGTCTCGGTGGAGTACATCACCCGACACATCGCCGGAATCCAGCAGGTTCGTTTCCTCACCTCCTACCCCAGCTTCGCTCGCGCTCTGTTGCTGACTCTCCTTTTTGACCGCAACGCAGCGCTACACCCAATCAGGCGGTGTCCGTCCGTTCGGCGTCTCGTGCTTGCTCATCGGATTCGATCACGACGACCCTCGCCCGAGGCTGTATTTGACGGAGCCGAGCGGAATTTTCAGTGCTTGGAAGGTGCGCAGCATCCGTCTTGGCGCTCCGCGGGACTTGCTGACCCTCCTGCTTCTCCCCTCTCGCTCATTCGGCCCTCCGTCACCCTCGTTCCTCGCCCAATGCGCTTCGGCATATTCTATATCCTCCTGGACACGCGCCAACCCACACCTCTCTGCTCGCCTTTCTCGCACGCAGGCAAACGCCATCGGCCGCTCCTCCAAGACCGTCCGCGAGTTCCTCGAGAAGAACTGGAAGGCCGACATGACCAAGGACGAGACCGTCCAGCTCGCGGTCAAGTCGCTCCTCGAAGTCGTTCAGACTGGAGCGAAGAACATTGATTTGGCGGTCATGGACGGGTTTGGGAGTGTCAGGGTGCGTCGTCGCTCACCTACGTTTCGGTCGTCTCTCTCGTCAGACGCCGGGCACGACTGATCGTTGGTAGTGTACTCCTGTGCAGAACCTCACGCAAGACGAGCTCGCGGCGGTTGTCGAGCAAATCGAGAAGGACAAGGAGGCTGAGGCAGAGCGCAAGCGATCTCGCCTCGCACAGGCAGCCGCAAGCCGAGATGCCATGATCTCGGGCGGCGGCATCGGAGAGGGCGCGGAGGGAACGGGCGCAGTGACGGCTGAGGAGGAAGCAGGCGCAGGAGAGGTCTAGCATGATGCGCAACTTGACCAGTTTTCTGTACACTTGGCTCTCGCTGCGCTCTTCACCGATGGGCTGTGCGTGAGGATTACTCTATTTCACGTTTTGCGGCGTCGAGAACGCGCGGGAGGATCGATGCGAGAGGAAGAAGGGGGATGCAAAGCTAGGGGAAATGCGAGCAGAAGCTCCTTCGTGCGCGCGCTTCGACAACCGGCCGCTCGTTCTACTTCTCCTCGTCTACCTTGGCGTACAACAGTAGGTAGGCGTTCTTCTGGTCCGCGTCGTCGTCGAACAGCTTTGACGAGCTTGCCGTCTCCCACCGCCGCGCCTTAGCCGATTGGGGACGGACCGCAACCTCCTTCGCGTCAAGCGTGCGCATGTACGTGTCGTCGAGCTCGAACCACGTAGGCGAATGGTATCCTCGTCGAACGGCGACGGTGTAGTGGCCACCCGAGGCGTGCAGGCCGTGGTGATATACGACTGCGAGAGCGAGAGACCGTGAACCTCACGTTCAGCTACAACCAGTCGTGAATGGGTGCTCACCTCCGAACAACTCGTACTTGGCGCCCGCGCGACCGACCTGCGCCTTGAGCGGCGCGCTCATGACCCGCTCATCGATGGCCAACTCCGTCCCGTACGCGACCTTCTTCGTGCTCTTCTGCACGCCGCCGACCTCGTCGTACAGGAAGCGCTTGAGGTGAAGGATGAGCACAGGCGGGAGCGCGTCGAGGAAGACCTGCTTCGTAGCGTCAAGTGTCCGGCCGCGCGAGGTGACGTAGTCGGGGAGAGATTCCGGCGCGGTGAGCTGGACGAGCGCATCCTCGATGCTGAGGACGTGGTCGGGCTGGATATCGAGCTGAAGGCGCTGGAAAGGCTCGATGGTGACGCTGTCCTTCTGGCCCGGACACCGCAGGACGCTGCGAAGCTTGCCGCCGAAAATGCGGGTGATGGGAGACTCCTTTGTCTCGGTCTGCGCGTGATCGAATTGTGAGCATACAACAAGGCGAAGAATTGAGGAAGCGGAGCGCACCGTCCTCGTGGTCGCAACCCTTCCCTTGCTGCCCACCTCCTCCCAGCCCTCATCTCCGCCAGCCTGGCTGATCGCCTTGCCCTTCCCCTTCCCTTGCTCCTTCTTCTCCTCGAGCTCCATAATCTTGACCACCTCCTCATGCAGCGTCTCCAGGAAGAACCCAAGGAACTCCTCCGCGTCTTCCTGCGTCCCGCGGCGCATCGCGTCAAACCGAGGGTTGTGGCGGAGCGAGTCGTGGATCGGGGTAGGCGAGAGAGGAGCGGGCTGGGAGGTAGCGGAGGAGGAGCTAGCGACGGAAGAGGCGGACGAGATCGGAGGGTGAACGTTGTTGTTGAAGGGCGGCTTTGGAGTCGAGGTCCCGGACGAAGTCGATGCATCGGCGTTTGCAGACGAGGACGCATTCTGCGCCGGGTCGAACGCAGGCGAGGTGGACGAAGCAGAGGTGCGGAATTCGGCGAGGAAGGCGATCCTGCGGAAGCGAGGTGTCAGCAACCTTCGAAAGAAGGGACATCGCGCGCAACTCACATCGCCTCGACAGCACTGCGCTCCGACTTGTCCTTCTCCGTCTTGCCCGCCATCGCCTCACGCAAGTCCTTCTTCGTACCGCGCTCGATCAAGCCCAACAGATTCCAGAACGCGCCGCAGTAGACCAGCGCCTGGAGCGTCGCATTCGCAAAGCACAAGTTGCCGTTGTTGATGAGTCCGCGGGGGCTCGGCGCTTGAGGCTGGTGAATGTGCGAAGGAGGGAGGGAGAGCAGGCCGAGGAGGGTTTCGGGGACGCCGGGGTGAGCAGCGCCGGGAAGAGTTGTCGAGGCGGAGATGGGGGTGATGCCGTTGGGCACGGTGGGCGGCGCGGCACCAGGAGGCGGGCGAACGAGATCGGCCCAGGAGCGCTTGACGGGAGCTGCGGCGGGCGACTTGGGCGAGACGGGCGCCGAGGATCCCGATATGGCGGGCTCGGTCGCAGGCGCGGTTGCGGGAACAGGAGCGGAGACGGCAGGCGAAGCGGGCGTAGGGGCGGCAGCAGGGAGCGACGAGTCGCCCTGCTTGGTCGTCGCAGGTTCGCGTGAGGCTTGAGCAGGCGTCGAGGCGGTCGTCGTAGGCGGCGAAAGCGGCGTTTGCGACTGCGTCTTCGGCGTGCTAGGCGCAGACGATGTCGCGGACGAAGCCGTGGCAGACTTGTCGTGGCCGGGAGTACCCTTGTCGCTCTTGCCCGTTGCGCTGACCGTCGAGCTGAGCGAATCGGCGGTGCGGAACTTGCCGCCAAAGCCGGCTGGAACGCGGAGGTGAGGGGCGAAGCTGAATGGTTGGGCGTCTCGCGGCGCAGGCAAGTGGTCTTTTCGTCTCCGAATACCGAGACGGCGAGGTGGAGGAGCGGGGGCGGGCACGTCCGATTCTGCCTTAGGTTCGCCTTCTTGCGATGTCGCTTCGACACTGCTTGGCGACGGAGACGGCACGACCGCTTCGGGCAGAGGACTGGGAGGGACGACGCTGGGACTGGTCGAAGGTGGCGGAAGAGGCGATGCGGGCGAGACAGGCAGGGACGGCGCGGGTATCAGTCGAGGTGCAGCAGATGACGGCGGCGGTGGCCGTTGAGGCGAGAAAGGCGGAAGGGGGGGATGAGGCGGATGTGAGGGCGGGTGGACGTGCGAGTGAGGAAGGCCGGAAGCGCCTGGTGGCGGGTATCCTGCGCCGGCGGCAACTGCCGGGAGGTGCTGAGGAGCTGGAAGGGGAAAGAGAATGCCGTTCGTGGCCATTGAACCGGGCGGCGGAACAGGAGGCGGCGGTATCCGACTAGGGGCAGGAGGAGGAGGCGGTCCGTGGTGTTGAAAGTACGGGGGCTGGCCGTGCGGATGTGTAGGCTGATGCATGCCGTGTTGGGCGAACGGCGGCGGCCCTGCGTTCCACCCGCCGTTTCCTCCGCCTCCACCGAGTCCCTTCCCTGCCCAAGGAGGCGGCGGCGGCGGTCCTCCCGCGCCGTGCATGCCCGATCCGCCAGCCATACCGTTCGAGGAGCTGATGGGATAAGGCGAGTACGGCCCATGCGAGCCGTACATGCCGTTCGGGTGTGGAGGCGAGAACGAAGAGATGGGGAACGGGTGTTGCTCGTAAGCATACGGCGCGGGTGGCGGGTGGTGCACGGCGGCTGACGTCGATGGCACAGAGTCTGGCTGGAGGAACGAGAAGCTCGCGCTGTGCGGATTGAGTGTGCTCACACGACCATTCGCAGACGTCGATGGATGGACGGGCGTCGCTTGTCGAGACGGCCCGGCGGTCGGTGTGGCCATGGTAGCGAGAGTGGAGAGCTCCTCTGCGGTGCTCTGCCAGCTGGTAGCAGGTTTCAGCGACTGGTCGAGCGGAAGACGGTCGGTGGTGGCTAAAGTCGGAGGAAGGCAAAGCAATACAAACGTGTTTGTATTCGAGCCATTACAACCTCGCTTCGTCCCCTCAACCGTTCTGGCGGGGCCATGGAGGGGTTCAGTTGACGGAACGAATGTCAAGAGAAGGCGTACGCAGTAGGAGAGCGTACGAGGGCCGACCTCTCGCCAGTCCTGCTGTCGCACGGCATCACAAGCTGCCAAACGACGTCAAACGCCTTGCTGTCGCTTTGCTTCCCCTGGAGAAGTACCTCCTGAGTAACGGGGGCAGGCTTACAGTCGGTGAAATGGGAACGCAGGCAACGCAAGAGACGAAAATGGTCAACCTTCCCAAGCTTACATGCAGTCGTGCGTACGCCTAAAGACCACTCGAAGCGTCTCGCACCCGTCCACAAAGCTCCTCCTTCCTCTCCACCAGATGAGCCCGCCGATACTCACGTCCCCATTCCGACGCCCATCTTCCCCTCCTCGACCTGGATCCTCAAACAGCCCCAATGACGGAGAACCGCCTCTTTCGCCTGTTCTCCGCTGATCGTCGCTGCTGAGGTCGTTTTCGCGGTGAAGGCTTGGAGCGGGCGACGGCAGATGGGGCAGTTCGAGGCGGCGAAGAGGGCGGAGGGGAGGAGCAGGATGGGCTGTGGCTGGAAAACCCAAATCAGCGTCAGTTCCGAAGGAGCTATGCAAGGGAAACAGTATCGCGCACCTTTGGGTCGGAAGTCTCGCTCGCCGCTCCCGACTTGGCGCCCACAGCATGCTTCTGCTCCTCCCTCCTCCCACTCGCACCCGCCTCCACGCCCTGCAGCACCTCACTCGCATGAGCAGGCGACGGACTCTCCATGTCGGACGAGAACGACGCCCTGCCATGACTGTCTGGGAAGATGTAAGCGCCGGGCGGAGGCGGCGAGGGAAGGGGGAGTTCTTTGATGGCTGGGTCGACGCTGGCGACGAGCGAGGCGAGGTCGATCGGAGGAACGGGGGAGGGGTCGCTCTCGGATGACGAAGGGGAGGCGGATTTGGGCGCAAGCGAGAGGGAGGCGACTATGCGGAGGAGGAGGAGAAGGTCAGCACACCCGCTCGAACCGAGGCAAGTCGGGGGAGACGAACACGCACCTTTCGACGTCAAACCTTCTTTCTCCACATTCTTCCCCTCTTCCTGGGCACCTCCCTCCTCCCCATCGTCCTCCTCGTCAACCATCTCCTCCCTCTCCTTCTCCTCCTCCCCGCCCGCCAAATTCTTGCTCTCCGGCAGAAACCCCTCGAGGCCTGTCTTGCGTCCGACGACAGGCATGAGCGGTCCGGACGGGCTGTGGAGGCGCAGAGGGTGGTGAGTAAGAGAAGGGGAGGAGGGGTGTTCGCGGGCTGGCGAGCGACTGGCGCGAGGCGTCGAAGGGGTGTCGTCCTCAGCCATTGCCGGGCGTGGTAGTCTGAAGCGCTTGGCGAGACGAAGCGAGAGGGAAGTGTGAAGAGAAGAAGGCAGAGCAGGTCCGGAGCAGGCGCAGCGACTCGTCCGTCCCTCGCGACCCTGCAGGGACCGCGCACAGAGTCACAGGGAGATGTAAAGCGCCGCACGACACTGGCAAGTGAGTGCAAGCGCAGGAAGAAGCGAAGACGGAGCTGACCTTCCCAACCCACGGAAGGCGCTACGAGCGCGCACTGAGCGAACCTGGAAAGCCTCGTAGTGTTACAAGCAGTCTATGCAAAAGGACTTGAGCGAGATAGATCGTACGCGGCCAATCCCCTCTTGTCCGAGTGAGAAGAGTGTCCATCCCCTCGAGCGGCCTCACTGCACCTTTTCCACCTTCTCGCTCATCTCGTGCCCGCCATTCAATCCCTGCGCCATCTGTGCCTCCCTCGAGTTCGCCGGAGGAGCCTGACTCGGTCCACCGCCCGCGTCACCCGTCACCGACTCTCCTCTCTCGAGATCCGCCCCGCTCAGCCTCGATTCCTGTCCATACCGAACCTCGTGTCCGCCGTTCGCCGCAACTTCGTGACGATGCCGCAGACGCTCTTCGGAAGAGTTGATCGAGGCGGGCTTGACGTGTGCTGCGGGGCCCGGGTGCGCAGAGGCAGAGGTGTGCTGGTTCGGAGTCGAGAGGGGGTAGAAGCCGTGCGTCGAGTCGACTTCTCGTCGGAGAGCGATGAAGTCATAGCAGAACTCGCCGGTCTGCGCGCGAGGACCGAGTGAGCTTCGAGACGACGGAAAGACAGCAGACGGGAACGCACCTCGACCTCGTCAACACCGATAATTTCGCCCTCCTCGTCGACTCGGAACTTGCACCCAGGAATAAGGTTGATAAGGAACATCAGAGCGTAGGAGACGACGAACGTCCTGCGCATGGGACAACCTCATCAGTCTCTGCCTCTCGCGATTGACGAAGAGCGGCGACTCACCATCCCCACACGGCGCAAATGTACGCCAACTGCTTCCCGACCTGGATATAGTGACCGTCGAGCCAGCCTCCATCGATGACCGTGTAGCCGTCCGTCGCGGCAATATCAGCCTGCGCAAACACGCCCGTAAAGACGAGTCCGCAAATACCCGCGACGCCGTCTGCTCCGCAAGGCGTTAGCAATGGAGGAAGGAAGGAAGGGAGGGGAGGAGGGGACGCACGGCAGGCGTAGATATCCATTGCGTCGTCAAAGGCGAAGAAGCCTTTGAGCGTCGTGAGCAAGTTGGACATGGCGGCCGCGACGACGCCGATGAAGATCGAGGGGCTGCGCGACAGCTTCACGTCAGTCGACGAGGTCGAAGGCATAAGGAAGGAAGGGAAGCGCACCCGTAACCGACGTAGCCAGCCGCAGGAGTCTGCGCGCAAGTCAAGCCCTCGTCAGCTTCCCTCCCTTGACCTGAACCGGAGAGAGTGCGAAGTCACAATCGCGACCAGTCCACAAATAGCTCCCGTGCAATACCCGACCGCGCTCCACTTCCTCTCGAGCCTGTAGTCGAGCAACATCCATGCGAGGCCACCGAAGGATGCGGCGAGGTTCGTGTTGACGATGGCGACGGCGGCTTTGATGTTTGCTGCAAAGGTCGAGCCGCCGTTGAAGCCGAGCCAGCTGTATGTTCAATGGCGTCAAATATCAGCTTGGAAGCTCGGGAGAGGTTCAAAGCGAAGGTAACGCGGCGGACGCACCCGACCCAGAGCAAGATCGTTCCCTGAATCACAAAGCTGACGTTGTGCGGCTACACCACAACCCGTCAATACCACTCCTTCTTTCGGAGGGAGAGAGAGAGGCGGGCGAACGCACCTTGAACGAGAGGATGTGCGTCCCGAACCCCCTTCGCTTGCCGAGGAAGATACTGTACACCAAGCCGGTGACACCGGAACAAATCTCGATCGGTCCTCCGCCCGCATAATCCAGGATGCCTGGTCCGCCCAACTCATCAGCCTCCTCTCAAACTCGCGGTGAGGGCAAGGACGTGAGACGCACCATATTGGAACGCCCAACCCTCGGGCGCCCAGACCCAATGCGCGACAGGGCAGTAGACGACGGTTGACCAGCAGAAGAAGAAGATGCAGGCTGGGAGGATCCGGCCTCGTTCGGCGGCGGCGCCGATGAGGACTGCGGGGACGAGGGCGGCGAACATGTTTTGATAGCTGGAGCGAACGAGCGTCAGCGAGTGAGCCCGCGCCGGAGGAAGGAGGAGGAGGGACGCACATCATGTAGGCGACTTGGGGGACTTTGTTGTTCGCCTGCGGGACGGGCGTCTCGAGCACGTGTCGGAGGACGAAGAAGTGCATGTCGCCGAGGAACTTGCCGCCGGTTGGGGAGAAGGCGAGCGAGTAGCCCCAGAAGAACCACTGCGTGCGCACGGTCAGTCCGAGAGGTAGAGACGGGGGAGGGGGAAGGGAGGAACGCACCTGGAAGGAGATGATCGCCATGGCTAGCATCGTCAAGAAGAGCACCGTCAAAGCGTTTTTCCGCCGCACGAGACCCGAGTAGAGGTATCCGACGCCCTGCGTCCGATACCACGCATCAGCCGCGGTTCCTGTAGACGGGCGAGGGGAAACGGACTCACAGGAATCATGAGCCATACGAGTGCGGTACATGCGAGTAGCCATGCGCTGTTTTGAGGGAAAGACCAAGGCGAAGAGAAGGTCAGCACCTCGGTGAACGGTTCTATCGAGCGGAGATAGTCGATCCTGCGGTCGCCCTTCGTCCCATCCTCCTACGCGCGCTCCCACTGCCTCCCGAGTACCTCCTCGACCCTCTCCCGCACACGATAGTCCTCCCTCGCGCTCGCTCTCTCACACAACCCCTTCCCGCGGGACCCCACCGACCCTCCTCCCGCACCCAGCAAACGTCGCGCGACTCACATATCACCCGGATCGTAACTCGCCACCTGTCCACCCGCAAGCGTGACAATCATGTCTGTCCCGCCGGGCTGGATCGAGTAAGACAAGGGTCCGGCGAGTTGGCTCGAGGCGATGAGGTCGCCGTAGCTGCGCGGGGCGGGAGAGCCAGAGGGAATGTCAGTGCATGGAGTGGGAAGGTCTGTCTCGTGGGCGAACGAGGCGAAGGCGGCCTTGTCGGTGCGTGCCAAGGGCGATAGCTCCGAAGGGGTGGAGCGATAACTCGACGACGCCGATGCCTCTGCCCAGCGAGAGCGTGAGGAGGTGGAGACGTACGTGATGTTGACCATCGTGTTCCCGTTGTCCTGTCCTGTGCTGCTGTCGCTTTGTAGCTGGCTGTGTGTGGGTTGTCGAGTGAGAGGGGATGCGAGGATGCGATCGGAGTTGGTTGGCCAGGCGGGCAAGTGTGCGGTAGCGTGTGGGTGTAGCAGGCAATCTAGCACGAGAGTCACAGGCCAGTCAATGGCAGTGAGCCAGTCAGACGGCGAGAGCGAGTCGCAAGTTGGCGAGAGAGATACGCGAGACACCGCGAAAGAGGAAAAACTTCACACCCAGCGAACAACTCCTCCCTTACTCTCTCCCTGGACACTCGTAGCACCTTCACACCCTCGTAGAGTCCATGCTCAAACCCGAGAGAGCCTCACCGAGAGTCGCGCAAACACGGCCGACTTTGCTCTCTCTCGCTCCGCCGCAACTCTCCCTTCCCCGCTCTCTTCATTCTCCTCTCTCCACAACGATCTCCCTGCCTCTCTCGTCGCCACAAGCTCGAGTAAGGGTGTGAGAACGTTGACGAGAGCCGTACAGGGCGCGGAGAGGGCACAACAGGGCGCGATAAGGGTTCGAAGCGGGCGACGTGAGCGAGAGAACGGCGTTAGGGACGCTGCCGCGGGTCCGAGTCGAGCGAGGCGGGCGCGCCGTAGTCCTGCACACACACTCAACCCTCAGCGACCCCTCGCAAGCTCGAGAGAAACCGCGCAAACGCACCACATACGAAACCTTCTCGGCGGCCCTGTACTCCTCAATCAGCTCCTTGACGACCGCCCGGGCTTCACTGAGCGGTTCGAGTCCGTTCTCAAACATGTTTTCGCGCTGGAACTCGGTCAAGAAGGCCTTGCGGTTGAAGAGCGAGTCGAATTGCTGTAGTTGGCGCGCGAAGAGCTGTCCTCCCTCCCTGCTCGTCAGCCTCGTTCTCGGGGAAGAAGGAGGATGTCAAACGCACCGAGGCGATCCCTGTATGGTTGGCGATCATACATCCCGACACCCTCGGCGGCGGAGGGGGCGCATTCGCTTCGAGCGCCCTCAGCGCCGTGCGGGCCTTGACGTACGGCGAGGGTTTCGTGAGCGCGACTTGGATCGATGCTGGACCCCAGGGGATGAATTGCGCGAGGGAGCGCTCGCGAATCCGGATGAGGGACTTGTGGACCTGCGCGCCGATCCCATCTTCAGCTTCTCAACGCGCGCTAGAAGGGGGGAAGGGACGCACGTCTTTCGGATCGAGATCGTCGCCCTGGATGATGTTCATCGTGCTGATGTAGCAATTGGACTTGGCGTCGCTCGCGAACGAGGTCGAGACGAGACGGTTCTTGGGTTGGAGGAGGCGCCGCATCACGTCGAGGACGGTGGTCTTGCGGACTGCGCGGGCCTGCGAGCGAGCGAAGGGAGGGTGTGCGCACGAGCTTGACACGGCAAAGCAGGACGCCGCTCAGGAAGAACGGGTCACCGCGGAGAGAGTCACCGGCGCGCACTCACCTGCTCAGCCTTGTCACTCATGAACGGCGTATAGCTCGTCGTCAAGAAGTGGCACCTCGGAGTCGGGATCAAGCTCGCGACCATCGAGACGAGGTCATTGTTCATGTAGCCGGGGTAGCGGAGCGTTTGGGTCGAGGCCGCCATGACGGTTGAGCACTGCGCCGAGCGTCAGCGAGGGTATAGTGCGGAAGAAGAGTGGAGGAAAAGAAAGGGAAGGAACGCACGAGCTGGTTGATCTGCACCATACTCGCCTGATCCTCATGCAGCCTCTCCTGGCAAATACTGCTCAGCGCCTTATTATCCAACACAACCACGCTATCCGCATGTTCCGCCAGTCGCTGCATCGTCAGGATCGAGTTGTAGGGCTGGACGACAAGGTCGCTGTTACCCGTGTCGGCGTTGGGGAAGACCGAGTTGGTTTGGATGAGCTTTTTCGGAAAGACGTCCGAGAGGCGCTCGAGGATGTAGGAGCCGAGACCTGCGCCTGTGCCGCCGGCTATCGAGTGCAGGAGCATGATGCCCTGCGTGCGGGGCGAAAGTGAGCGGTCAGTTCGCGTAGGGAGCGCAGGAGGGACGCACCTCGAGACTGTCGCTCCCCTCCGCTTCCCGCTCGAGCATCTCCGAAATCTCGTTCCACGTCGAGTCGCCATACCCGTGTCCTCGGGCGAACTGCGCGACGAACGGTTCAGCGAGACTGGTAGAGGAAAGCGCAAGGATCGAAAGGCACGTTGTTGCCTGCTCCTCCTCCCTCGGGCGAGCTGTAGAAATTCTCCGGGTTGTACAGGTTCTTGTACTTGCTTTCCGACTTGATGCGGTTCAGGACCTGTCCAAATAACCGAAGTCAGTCCCCTCCCCAAGCGGAACGTCGTCGCGCGCAACTCACCCTCGGTTCCAGGTCGATCATGACCGCCCGCGGGATATACCTCTCGTCGTCGGCCTGGTAGAAGAACACATCCTTGCGATCATGGAACGGTTGAGACTGGTTTGCGAGGGACGAGGTCGAAGCGAAGGGTGTCTGGCTGTCGCCGAGTGAAGTGGCCGAGGGAGCGTAAGGATAGTCTTCGAGGTGTCCATCGGGAGAGATGCCGTGTTCTGCGCAGAGTTGGGCCCAGAATTCGCCGCTGACTATCGAGAGGGAGCGGAGAGGAGCGGAGGGAAACAAGAGTCGAGTGAGTGGGCGGCAACGCAGCGGGAGCCGAAGAGCGGGTCGGAACGCACCACTGTTGCCTGCTTGTCCCACCGAGACGGTCACTGCGGGCGCACGAGCGGCGAATCAGCTCCACTGTCACCAAACAGATGAGGATTCCGCGAGGATGCCACGGCGCGGTGAGCGAGTTGGATGGCCCGATGAGCTTGGCCACGCCATAACCCTAGTGTCAGTGTACTCACAGAGTTCCCTGGGCATCCTGAGCGAGTGTGAGTACGAGGTGAGCGGGTCGACCACTGCTCGCGCCTCGTCGCGTTGGCTGTCGTCGAGGGAAACGAAGGAACGGCGCTCAGCTCGCTCTGGACGACGAGTCGAGGCTTGCAGATGCACTGCAACGTCGCATACAACGCAGCAACGAACCCTCCTACCGGCCCCCCTCGTTGACTCGGCTTTGTCCGTCCTCCCGACGTTCTCCTTCCCCTTCGCACTCTCTCACTCGCTCAGTACTCGCTCAGAAGACCTGCGCCGCCATGGACGAGTCTATCGAACTCGCAGCTCCACGCCCCGTCCTCGCTCGCGGCTTCGACTCGCGCCCGCCCCTCTCTCGTTCCTCGTCGGCCGGATGGAGCGATTTCGCCGACTCGAAGCTCAACTCTCCTCTCGAGTCGCGCGCATCGACACCGATACAGCATCTGCCTGTCTTGCCAGCCGCACAGGGAACCGATGCGGCCGCTGATGCTGTGGGGCGAGCACGAGGGTCGCGAGAGGGCAGTGCTGGAGCGGCGGAAGAGCCGGTGCGGCAGCGTATGAGGCGCATGAGCATGGGCGACGAAGCGGATCACGAGATGTCGGAGCTGCCGCCCGTGGATAGAGGGCGCGGAGCGTGGTCCTTCGTTGTTGCCGCCTTCATCCTCGAGTGCGTCTCCTATTCCTCCTTGACTCGCCCTCGAGCAGACTGACACGTCCCCCGTACGCCCGCAGAACCTTCATCTGGGGCTTCTCGTACTCGATGCCGAGCGTCCTCGTCTACCTCCAATCCCACGACCCCTGGCAGCAATCCTCCCTCGCCGCCCTCTCAGCAATCGCGACAGTCCTCCTCGCCGTCATGTTCATGGTTCCGATACTCGTCATCACTTTCTTCCGACGATACCCAGACTGGGTCAAACCCATCCTATGGGGCTCGGCTGTCGTCAACTGCCTTGCAATGCTCGCATCGAGTTGGGCGACCAAGGTTTGGCACCTCATTCTGCTGCAGGGCATCGTGCAGGGACTTTCAGGCGCGGTGTTGTATGCGCCGGTCTTGCTGTGGCTCAACTCGTTCGTCTGCACCCTTCTCCCCTTTGCCTCGAGCAAGAGCATCCGACTGACTGCGGTTCTTCTCATTCCCACGCAGCTGGTTCCACATGCGCCGCGGCCTCGCCTCAGGCATCGTCTTCGCCGGCACCGGCATCGGCGGCCTCGTCTTCCCCTTCATCATCTCTACCCTCCTCGACCGCCACGGCTTCGCAACCATGTGTCGAGTTTGGGCTGCCATCACCGGGGCGGTTTATGCGGTTGCCGTGTGGCTGATTAGGCCCAGGGTGCCGCCTACGAGGCCGAAGGGCGAGAGGGGTCCGTGGTTCGCGACGGGCGACGCGAGGTTTCTCAAGGATCCGGTGGTGTTGATGATGGTGCGTTCACGGATGGCTCGCATGCGCTGCGTTCGCTGTCAAACTTGCGCGGTGCTGAACGCTTATGTCGCCGGTCGCAGACTGCCACGTCTTTCGTCTCGTCGCTCGCGTACTTCCCCGTCTCGTGCGTGATTCTCCACCAGTCTCGCTCCGCATCTACGCTGACTTCCTCTTCGTCGCAGTCTCTACCTCCCAACCTACACGACCTCCCTCGCTTCCCCCCTCTCCGCCAACATTGTCGTGGTAGCGTTCAACCTCTCCTCCTCAATCGGCTCAACCGTGACCGGCTATGCATCCGACCTCTCCGTCGAGTGGACGATCGCCGTGATGGGCGTCTGCGGAGCGGTGCTGGCGTTGACGGCTTGGGGATTGGCGAGTAGCTTGGGCGCGGTGTTTGCGTTCGCGGTGCTGTTCAGTCTGTTCTCGCAGAGCTGCTCGTGCGTAGCGCTTCTTATGCATTCTTTCCTCTCGAGGCTCTTTCTGACAGTTGCTTTGGACGAACAGCTGTTGGGGGGCCGCAGCACGTGATTCAGCCGGCGCGAATCCTCACCTGTCGACGCTTATCTTCTGCACTTTCGGGATCGTGAGAGGCTGCGCATCCATCATCGGTCCATTCATCTCCACAACCCTTTACGACCAGAAAGTGGCGCAAGAACAGTGCGTCCCTTCTCCCCTTTCTCCCCTGCAAGCGCGTCGACTGACCGTCTTTGCGGAGGCAGCTCGTCCTGGGGTCGATACGGCTTCCGCAAGGTCATCATCTTCGTGGGGGTCATGTCGTTTGCGAGTGCGTTTGGCGGAGCGGGGATGAAGTGGGCGAGGGCGAAGCAGAGGAGGGAGAGGGTCAGGAGGGGGAGTTCGTCGGGGTGAGCCGCGCGTTTGCTGGCGAGGAGTAGAGGCGTATCGTTATTGCGCGCAAAGACGATGCAAGGTTCACCAAATCGTGTAGGCGTGTTGAAGCCACTCGAAAGCGGTTTCGAGAACGCTTCTCGCGCTCTCCTCCTCGCCCGCCTCTTCCGACGGACCTCTCACCTCTCCCGCGACGACAAGTCGACGTTTCCCTTCGATCCTGGTTGCCACGCCCTCCTCCGGCGTCGCAAGAGGCGAGTCGCGCGTTTGTATTCCTTCGAGTGTAATGCCAATACAAAGTTGAATACAAAGTGTGACTTCGCGCTCGGAGGTCCTCTTCTTGCTCTCGCCACTCGCTCACGCTCACACCGCGCACCTGCTTGCCAGAGCACACGCGCACCGCTCAAAGCCACACTCGCACTCCGCTCTCTCGCCCGCCATCCCGCCTCAAACGAGCCCCCGTCTCTGTCCCGCCGCCGTCCCTCCAGACATCTCTCGCAACCTCGACTTGGTCAGTTCACGCTCGAGCGCCCGTACAGAGCGGACAGATGTACTGACACACTCCGGACTGCCCGCAGACGGACGCCCAGCTTATGTCCCTGCGCGCCACCGCTAATCGACTGAACGTCCGACTCCATCCCTTCGATCCGTGCCATCGCATCTTCTCGTAAATCCCGCCCGACCAACCCAATCACAGCAATCATGGCTACCGTCAACATTCGCCGCGACGTCAAGGACAGCTTCTACCGCTACAAGTGCGTCGACTTCCTTTGTCCTCGGCAAAGGGTGATGCTGACCTTCGGCACTCCGCTGTGTTGTTCCGTCTCGCAGGATGCCGGTGCTCCTCACCAAGATTGAGGGAAGGGGCAACGGTATCAAGACGGGTGAGTTGCGGCGTGTCTGACAGGTGGACATCTTGAAGCTGACCTCGTTTCGTCCGTCTGCGCAGTCCTGCCCAACATGGCCGACGTTGCTAGGGCTCTGAACCGTCCTGCTTCATGTGAGCTACGCTCCTTGAGTGTAGCGAGGGACCGGCGGTTGGCTCGGGGCCGGGAGACGGCGCATCGAGCGGTTTGCAGGCGGAGCCGGACGCAGGAGCAACAGCTGACCCGCCTCATGACGCCGCGCAGACCCGACCAAGTACTTCGGCTCCGAGCTCGGCGCCCAGTCGACCTGCAACGACGACACGGAGCGCTACATTGTCAACGGCGCCCACGACCAGAACCGCATGCGCGAGCTCCTCGACGGCTTCATCGACAAGTTCGTCCTGTGCCAGTCGTGCAAGAACCCCGAGACGGAGCTCATCGTCTCGAAGGACGAGTACATCACGGCCGACTGCAAGGCTTGCGGTCACGTCGGCGACATCGACATGCGTCACAAGCTCAGCGGTTACATTGTCAAGAACCCGCCCAAGAAGGCTTCGAAGAAGGGCAAGAAGGGTGCGGCCGGTGCCGACTCGATCGCGGGTCAGCCGGGACAGGTCGACGAGGACGAGGACGACGACCAGGACGAGTTGACGCGCAAGATCCGCGAGGGTGCTGCCGAGGTCATGAGCGAGGAGCAGGCTGCCAAGCTCATTGCGCAGCGCGAGGCGGACGAGGATTGGGGCGAGGACACTTCACCCGAGGCTGTTGCCGCGCGCATGGCTGCCCTGGGCGTCTCGGGCGACTCGTCTCTCCTCGCGGGCGACGACGATGACGACGAGGCTGGTGGACCGTACGCCGAGTTCGCCACCTGGGTCAAGGAGAACAAGGACGAGGTCTCGGCCGCCGAAATCTACAAGGAGGCCGACGCGCGCGGCGTCGCGAAGAAGACGCACCGTCTCCTTCCTTACCTCTTCCCCGCCCTCTTCACCGACAAGGTCGCCGACGAGTTGCCCAAGTACCTCGCTTTGCTCGCCAAGCTCACCAACTCGGACAAGGCTGTCAAGGCGCTCGGGGGCGGCATCGAGAGGCTTCTCGGCGACGACTACCCCGACGCGGTTGCACAGACGCCCAAGGTCTTGATGGTCCTCTACCAGAACGACATCATGGACGAGGACGCGATCAAGCACTTTGCGACTCACGTCAGCAAGAAGGTCCGTTTGCTCCCCCTCCTTCCTCTCGCTCACCATGTATTGACTGTCGGGCTCTTCCTACAGTACGTTTCGAAGGACGTCTCCAAGCGCGTGCGCAAGGCGGCCGAGCCCATGGTCAAGTGGCTCGAGGAGGCGGAATCGGACGAAGAATCGGACGAGGAGGAGTCGTGATGCCTGGGTTCCCTGGTTCTTTCTCCCGCTTGTCGACTGTAACAACGCTGCACTACTCCTCATCTGGGCGACGGACGCGATTTGGTGAGTTGCAGTGAACTGAAGGTGAGAGAACGAAGGCAGACTTGTGCGCAAGTCGTCGTCCTCTCCTCATATCGCTCGCTGCGCGACGTCCAGCGGTACTTGGCGACATCAGGCACTTGACGCTGAGCCGCGAAAGCAGCGACGCAGCGGTCGAAGTGAGCAGGAAAGCGTCCAGACGAAACGGCTCGATATCCCGACAGCGACGATGGTTGGCGCGCTCGCAATAGGCTCGTTCGGACCGCAAAGGTCAGAAGAAGCGTTTTGGCGTGGCGGGCGAAAACTCGGGCATAGGTTCCCCTTCACGTAGCGACGAGGGTCAGCGGGGCAGCGAAATATGGTCGCGAGGGTGTCGCATTGGTGCCGTCCTCCTCCGGTGGAGCGTCTTTACAGCGCAATGTGGCCGGCACGAAGCGCAGTGCTGCTCCACTCGTCGAGAGCGAGCCTTCGAGCCCTCCGCAGGTTGAGAAGGCCGTCGGTCTCTCCGCGCCCGCTTCAACGCCCCCGAGACCCAAGCTGCGCCTGCCTGAGCAGTCTCGCGAGTCAAAGACAACCTCAGTCGTACAGTGACGCCCGTAGCACCGGCTCGAGCCGGCTCGCGAGGTGGTTCTCCGGCGCCAGACCGCTCGGACTCGTCAACCTCGCGAGCAGCTGTGCGAGCCTGCTGGACGGGGTGTGTACCGCCGATCGTATCGACTGTTGAGCAGGAGAGCGAGGTCTCCTGGCGGCTCGGGACGTCTCTGACTGTCGTTCTCCTCGTTGCTCGGACCCCTCGAGCTCGTTTGACCGTTCCACTGGGCCGTGCTGGCGGGCGACGGTGACCCAAGGTTCGTGTCAGTATGTCCGTGAGCTGCGAACACCCTCCCAAGTGGCTGCGCCGGTGTGGTGAGCGGTGTCGTCCTCGAAGCTGCGAGGCGCGAGAAGGGCCGGCTGCGCGGCGACAGCATCTCAGAAACCTTAGGCGTCTTCGCGCAGCGCGGCAGAGGGCCACGCGAGCCGTTCCTGCCAAGCGCGAGGAGTGGAAGCCGAACGCATCAAAGTGAATGGGAGAAGGAAGAGGAGGATTGCGGGAGCTGAGCAGGACGATTCGCAGGCCCGGCCCACGGCGACAATCTTCTGGCTCACAGGTAGTCTGATTCACGTCAGTGGAGATGCGCAACGCGTACTGGGCGACGGAATGGAGAGCGAGCTGATCCTGAGCCTGCAGCGACAAGAGCTGAGACAAGGACGAAGAGCGGCGCGGTCTGCGCGTTCAGGCGTTACACTTTTGCTAGAGAAGGGAGAGACAGAGAGGCGCGAGGTGAATGGGAAGTCGTGAAGAGGCGAGAGAATGAGAAATGAAGGGTATCTCGCGTTTACTGCTGCTGTTGTTGCTGCTGCTGGCGGCCGCCATACTGCGAACCGAGAGTGTCAGTGAGTCGCAATGACGAGGCGAGGTCGAAGCAGACGCACCCGCTGGCCACCGCCATATCCGCCGCCCTGTCCACCTCCTTGTCCACCGCCCTGTCCGCCTCCGCCCTGACGACGGCCGCGACCGCCTCCTCCAGGTCCGCGTCTGTGTCCGCCGCGCCCGAGCCCGGCGCCCGTCTCGCCAAACGCCTCCATATTCCGCTCGCGCTCCTTCTGCCTGTCGTACCTTCCTCCACCGTATCCTCCGCCACCCATGCCGCCGTACCTGCCCATCGCCGACTGCTGAGCCGGGTCGGTGCGCGTCTTGGCGTCGGACGAGATCGAGTCGAAGAAGGACTTCTTCGGGTTGTAGAAGTTCTCGGTCGGAGGCGGGACAACAAAGTCGTCGCCTTCGGGAGCCTGCGCCTCGCCTTCGCCAGCCGTGTCGCCACCGGTAGAGGGACCAGCAGCAGCGTCAGCGGCCGGGAGAGCCGAGGGCTTCTGGAAAGCGGCGTTCGACTTGGCAAAGTCGAACTCGGTGTCGGGGACGGGGACAGCCTGCTTGCCGCCGGCGCCGCCAGGGTACGGCTGCAGAGCGCGACCTGCGCGGTTCTGGTTCTCGCGGCCCTGCGACGAGCCCGAGACCTGCGACGAGCCCAAGAAGAGCGAAGGGCCGATGCCGTCTTCACGACGGCCGCCTTGCTGTTGACGAGGCGCCTGCCCGAGGTTCGCGCGCGACATGTCCTTGGCGAGCTGCTCGATGTCGGCCGGCTGCTTCTTCGGCGAGGCGGTCTGAGCAGCGTCGGTGGGAGCAGTCGGCGACCATGAAATCATGGCGGCGCCATTCGTCTCAGGGCGAGTCTCGTTCGGCGTCACGGGCGCAGGAGCCGTCGGAGGGACGGCGGGAGCAGACGAGGTCGGTGCATCGCTTTTCTGGGGCGGAGCAGCCGCAGCGGGACCGGCGGGACTGACGGGTCCTTGCTGAGGAGCCTGAGGCGGCGCCTGCTGCTGTTGCGGCGGCTGTTGCGGCGGGAACGGAGGCTGGCCGGGGAAGCCGCCAGGTCCACCTGGACTGAACGGGCCCGGTGCGCCGAAAGGGCCGGGAGCACCGAAGCCAGGGTACGGATGCGGCGGGAGGGGGCGGCCGAACCCGCCGGGAGGACCGAAGGGACCGGGTGCGCCGAAGGGAGAGGGGAAGGGAGGCGGGTACGGCGCGAAAGGCGAGCCGCCGGCGAGATGAGGAGGAGGCGGAGGGAGGAACGGAGATTGAGGGCCAGGAGCTTGCGGCTGTGCGGGCTTGGGAGGAGAGGCGGGAGCAGGCTGAGCGGGCGAAGTCGCGGCGGGGGCAGCAGACGAAGCCGGCGCGGCGGTCTGTAAAGGTACATCATCAGCTAAGCCCGCATGGCAAGAGTAGTTGAGAGACGCACGCCGACAATCGCAGGGTCCTGAGGAGCGGAGTCGTTCGCTGTCGGCGCCTCAATCTGCAAGTCCTTGACGTCCGACGCGCGGAAGACGATGAAGCTGCGCGCGTCGCTCTGTAGATTAGTGACGTTCTCCCGACCAGTCACAGCAAGCCGGACGCACTCATAGACGGTGTCGCTGGCGGGAACCTCCTCAGCGGGGTTCTCCTTCCTGCCCTCTGTACCGAGCGAGCGGACTGTAAGATGTGACACGTGGTCAGCGCATTGCCCTCGATCTGTGCCATCCCCTACAGGCTCGACGGAGCGAGACGCACCTCTCTCGAGCGAGACTGTCGCGGCGGCCGGGTCGATGGAGTGCAGGACACCCTGGTAGCGGATCTGCGCGCGTAAGAGACGGTCAGCACCGTACTACCTAGCCTCTCAGCAACCCCCACGACTGCTACAGGCCGTGAGCGAGTCGCGGTGCAGGTGAGCGGGGACGAGGACTCACATCGCTCTTCGACACGAGCGAGATGTGCGAGCCGATGAACTGGGCCGCCATGGTCGCTGCCTGCGGTGCTCTCGCGTGCTGCAAGAGGAAGTCGCGAGCGGTCGACGTGAGCGAGACGAAGGCAACCTCCGCAGGCGACGACCAGCAAGTCGAGGGTCGAGTCGTCGAATCGTTGCCTGACCACTGATGCACTGCTGTTCTGGGTCAATGACTACTTAAAAGGATTTGTCGGGCTAGCACGGCAACGAACAGAAGCCATCAAAGCCATTTCGACTCGTTCTCGCTCCGCCCCAGATTGGTCCCAGAAGCCTTGCAGCCTCGACGACGCTGAGGATCACGACGACCATGCAGAGCCCAATATGGTATATACACCAAGAAGCGAGGCTGTAGAAGATGTACGAGGGAGAACGGCCGGTTCATGCGAGGACAACCGGCATGCAGAATGGAACCCTCCTCCTTCCGCCTCCTTCGGCCGCAGAGAAGAGTTGCGACGAGCGAAGTCGACGAGACACGTCGCTAGGGCGGCGGGTTGAAGAAGAGCGGCTTGGAGGGAACGCAGGACGCGCCGCCGTAGCCTTCTTCGTCCGGATCGACGTTGTGGAATCGCCAGCCCCCCTGGCACATCACTGCGCAGACAAGTGTCAGTTGAGATACTGGAGAAGGCGGAGGAGGAGAACGCACTGATCTCGCACTCGCCGTCGGTGCACTCCGCCTGCAAGACGCCTGGCTGAGCGTAGCAGTCTCGTTGTTCCCGGCCGCACTGCGTCCAGTCGAGCTCGTCAGCGGGCCGAAGACGTCGCGAGGGAGACGCAGCAACGCACGGAGTACGGCGATGCGATGTCCTGGCAGATGAATGGTGCGCCTTCCCGCCTTGATCCGACGCGAGCGTATCCAGCAGGACAAGACCCGCTCTCTGGCTCGAGACCTGCCTGGAACTCTGTCCATGGGGTCGTATCTCGTCAGTAAGAGACGCTGAGGTAGCGATATTGACGAGCGCACCAAGACCGCAAGTCCCTCTTCGCCGCTTGCTCCGTTCCCGCTCACCCTCGCCCAACAACGCCTTCAATTCGTCCTTGACGAAATAGCCCTCGTCTTCAAGCTGCTGATAGATGACCTCCTCGCGCTCGACGTCGTCGCGCAAATCCTCGATGCATATCGCTCGCCGGTCGTTTTCGTTGTAGCCGTGACAGGGCGAGGCTTCGGATCGTAGTTGGCCGCTGCCAGCGCGAGTTCCATCAGTACAAGCGCGGCACAAAGACGAAAGGGCGCCCACCAAAAGCAGCCGTGCTCCTCGTCCAGTCTCGCCAAGGTCGCGGGCGGACACCGCTTCACCAGAAACGATGCTGCGCTCAAGTCCCCTCCCGCTCTTCCTCCCTTCCCCTTTCCCGTCATGCTCATCCCATGCCCGCCCTTCAAGCCCGGCACGAACCCATGATTGGCCATCTTCTCCCTCAACAGCTTCGAAAGAGAGAAGGCGAGGTTCGCGTGTCTGCCGCCTGGTACGCCGCTCAAGTCGCCTGCGCCGTGAAGACTCATGGTGTGCGGCTGAGGAGTGTTTGCGAGGTGGAGGTGAGCCGGAGGTGAGGTTGCTCGATCGCAAAGGTTGAGGTTAAGAAGGTCGGCGGAAGGCGAGGAGAGCGAGTTGCGGCGCCGCTGAGATCGTAAAAGAGGCGAGCAGGCAGACTGCAAGGAGAACAGACAACACAGCGCAGGAGGGAAGAGCAAGAGAGGCGAGTATCGAAAGGTGTCCGAGTCGCTTCGCACTTCGAAACCTGGAGCAGGAAGACGCGTTTGCCGGAGAGCAATCGACGCGCGTGCGGCGTCGAGCTTCTTGAAATTATGAGCGCCTCCACTTGAGCTAGCAAGCACTGCGGAAGCGTGCGGCATGTTCTCGAGAGCTTGTTTGGCGAGGAGGAGGACAACTTCGATGCTCGCGTTCGCTCGTCGGCTATCGACCTCGGCCTCTCTCGTTGGCTGTTACACAGAGCGAGCGCTGCTATAGCATGTCGCGCGACGACCAAATCCGCTAGAGCAAGAGAGGGAAGCTGCACGAAGTGTACGGCGGAGAACGAGGACTCGTCGCTGAAGTGCGGGTAAGGGGACTGCGAGCGGCAGATGCGGAGCAGAGGCGCTCCATGTAGCTGTGAGCAATGAGAAGTACGCAGCAGCAGCAAATATGCGAGACGCCGCCAGCGCCGAACTGCTGCCGGCCGTTCGGGAGGAGGTCCGGGTCCTGTCAGCGGTGGACCTCGCCGCGCTCGCGACCACGCAGCCACATCGGTGCCGCGCCCTGGCAGTCGATGTCGGTCCACATGTCTTTCTCATAAGTCGCCTCGGGGCTCTTCTTGGCCTCCTCCACCGCCGTCTCAACCGTCGCAAACGTGTTCGACAAGACTGGAAGTGCTCGAAAGCGGCCCGGAAAGCATCGTTATAGCATGGTAGGCCGTCCCCGGTACTTGCCTAGCAATGAGCGCCATTCCCACAGTTTTGAGGAGGACGACCGGGATCCGAGTATCTCGGCAGCCGTCTCCAGCGCGCCCTCAGCACTTGATGAGCCCAGAGATGCCCGGCATTGCCCAATCAGAGCCTTCATGTGACGTCCCGAGCTATGGCACGTCCATCCAGGCGAGATCCGTGGCGGGATACGACCGAGAGATGAAGCGAGGAGAGTGGGTCCCAGAGGAGCGAGGGAAGCGGCGGACGCAGCGGCGACGCGCGCAGGTCGTACGTGAGCTGTTTGTAAGGCATCCTAGCCTGCCAGCGGTCCTCCAAAGCGAGCGGGAGTGTGTGTCTGAGGTCGACCCCAAGCTGGCGATGCGGCGTTGGGTTGGTCTCCCTCCTCGACAGCGTCCGCTTGCTCACGGGCCACCAGCTGCTTGCCACGATGCTCCGTACCACTCTCGCAAAGACCATCCGCCCCGCCGTCCAGGTGCGCATCTCTCTCGCGCGACATCGCTCCCCTCGGCGGCGCTCTGTCCTCACTGACCGCCTCATCGCTCTCGCGTACAACGACAGGCTCGCACGCCGGCCCTCGCACGCTCCGTGCAGACGACCGCCGACTCGGCGCGCGCGATCGACACCTCGGGCGACAAGGTCAAGGTCCAGCTCCACGAGGAGTACTTCAAGGCGTACCGATGCGACACGCCCTCGCTCGAGATGGAGGTCCCCAAGAACCAGCTCGTCCAGGTCTACAAGGACATGGTCGAGTGCGTTGGGCGACCCTGGGCAGATCTTAGCTGCTGTGGCTGACCTCTGCCTCGTCCAAATTCCAGGATGCGCCGTATGGAGATGGCCTGCGACCAGGTGCGCTGAATTCGCTTTAACTCGCTGGTGAAGCATCGTTACTGACCAACGCATCAATCCGCAGCTCTACAAGGCTGTACGCCGACTTCCCCTCAATCCCCTTCCCATCCCGTTCATTCCGACATCCGCCTCCTCGCTTCCCGCTCGCTCGCGTTGTCGCCAATCACTGACACGATGACCCGCAGAAAATGATCCGTGGTTTCTGCCACCTTGCCATCGGCCAGGTGCGTTCTTTCGCTCGTTTCGTCGGCCCGCTTCCGCCGCAATCCGCTGACTTGTTCTTTCCGCGCAATGTAGGAGGCTGTCTCGGTCGGCATGCACCATGCCATCAAGCCCGACGACAAGATCATCACCGCGTACCGCTGCCACCCCTTCGCGGCGTTGCGAGGTGGATCGGTCAAGGGTGTCATTGCTGAGCTCCTCGGTGCGCTGGCGCTTCGTCTTCCAGCGCTCGAGCTCTGTTCACTGATCGAAACGCCATACAGGTCGCGTCGACGGCATGTCGCACGGCAAGGGTGGCTCGATGCACATCTTCACCCCTACGTGCGTTTCCTTCGCTCTGCGTTTCCCGCTTCACCCGCTCACCACCTTACCGCAACAGTTTCTTCGGCGGCAACGGTATCGTCGGCGCCCAGGTCCCTCTCGGTGCAGGTATCGCCTTCGCGCAGCAGTACCTCGGCCAGGACAACGAGCACGCGACCTTCGCCATGTACGGAGACGGCGCATCGAACCAGGGTCAGGTCTTTGAGGCGTACAACATGGCCAAGCGTGCGTTCCCTTCCCTCTCGACCGTTCTTGATGCGCGGTTACTAAGGGGCCGCATGGACAGTCTGGAACTTGCCGTGCGTGTTCGTGTGCGAGAACAACTTGTACGGCATGGGTACCTCGGCAGCGCGCTCTTCGTCCAACACCAAGTACTACCAGCGCGGCGATTTGATCCCCGGTATCCAGGTGCGTGGCTTTTCCGTCGTTCGTCCAAAGTTCTCGCTGACCCGCAACTTTTCGCAGGTCAACGGTATGGACGTCCTCGCGGTCATGAAGGCCGTCCGCTTCGCCAAGGAGTGGACGACGAGCGGCAAGGGACCCCTTCTCCTCGAGATGGTTACCTACCGGTACGGTGGCCACTCGATGTCGGACCCGGGCACGACCTACCGCACACGTGAGGAGATCCAGCACATGCGCTCGTCGAACGACCCGATCACCGGCCTGAAGAACAACCTCCTCGAGTGGAACGTCATCGAGGAATCGGCGCTCAAGAAGATTGACAAGGAGGTCCGCGCGACGGTCGAGAAGGCGGTGGAGGAGGCCAAGAAGAGCCCCGAGCCGAGCCAGGAGAAGGACATGTGGACCGACATCTACTACAAGGGTACCAACCCGATGTGGCTCCGTGGTCGCGAGCGTGAGGAGGTCCACCACTACCAGGACTCGGACCTCCTCCCGAACGGCCCCAAGCAGTTCGGCGCTGGCGGCAACACCCAGATGGAGTCGATGACCTCGACCGTCTAAGCGCCTGACTCTCACTTGTCGCTCTTCCGCCTCCCGTTTCGATTCGGCCCTCGCTCCGCCGTACCCTCCCCCTCGTCTACCTCCTTTCCTTCGCCTCCCTCTTCCGGTCTTCTCCCTCATCGTCACCCTACTCTCTTTCACGTCTACCACAGCCGCGCCGCCATCGGGCCAGCCGCCATGTCCATGTTTCCCACAGCCCACCTCTCGTTCTCAGTTCTCCCCTTTCCTCTCTCCGCTTTCCAACCTTCGCTCCCTTCGTGTTTTGCGCGCATCTAGAGAAAACAACCTCGGGAATTTCCAGTCTGTGATTCATACGGACCCTCTGCTTGTGTCCGACGGCGAGAGAAGCTGCGGATTCGACCACAGCCTTTCACGAGTCGTTCGCAAGCTCGCCTCGCTCTTGTGGATCAGCGATCGCCTGCAGTGTGTTGATGAGCTGAGGCGGGGCGAAGAAAGACGCTGAGAAAGGCTGGCGAGAGTCGAGAGGCGGAAGAGAGGGAGGAGGAGAAGGGGGAGACGACGAGAGGAAAGCGGCAGGAAAGAAGGGGGGACGATCTCCTCCAACGACGGCGAAGAGTGACAGTCGGAAGCAGGGCTGTTGGTTCGAGGAAGAGGAAGCGCTGTGGCTTAGAAAGTGACCTGGCCCTCACCCTTGTCTGCGTCTCGAGAGCGTACCAGCTAGTCCTCACAGAGCTCAGCTCGCCTGCCCGTGTTCACGCATCTTGCCCAAAATATGCGCGTTGCGAGACCGGAAGAATGCTGAGATGCTGCGCCGGCCCAACTCTCCTCCCCTCCCTTCTCGCCCTTCGCACACGAGAGACCTCCTTCTGCCCGCTCTACATCGTCTGACGGCGTTGAGGCGCCGGGCGCCCACCGCCGAGCTTCTTTTGCGCATCGTCAAAGCGGCGCACAACGACTTCGCACTTGATCGTCTACTCGACAGAGGAGTCAGTATCTGCGACCGGAGCGAGCAACACGGAATCTTGACGTACCCGGCAGAGCTCCTTCGCTGACTTGAGCTCCGTAGGCAGAAGCGAGAGACCGGCTGATCGCTCGACTGCCTCGACTGCAAGACATCGGAGAGAGGTGTCAGCGGAACAGAAGCTGTAGAAGAACGGCGAGATGTCGACGCACCCGGAACAACGAACCCTTCCAGCTTCGCCTCGTCGGGAATAGGCTCGTTGGGGAGGACGAAGGCGCCCTGCACCCACTCCTTGCCATCCATGGCTCCGGACGAGCCGTGCGGGACAAGCGAGCGGGCGGAGGCGTGAGGTGCGCGGGAGGCGATGAGGACCTTGGCGAAGTGGGTAGGAACGGCTGCAAGGAGAAGGAAGGATGTCAGCGAAGTATGCGTGACCAGACGCAAGAGGGCAAACGGACCGATCGAAGGCGGGCCACCTTGAGGAGCGATCATCTCGTAAGACTGCGGGAAGAGCGCGTCAGCGTCGAGGTCATCTAATGATGGTGGACACCATCCCTGCTGTGAAGGACGGCAGGAGAACGATGACCGGCAGGACAGGCCTCGGGAACCGAAAACTGCAACGCACCACACGCCACTTTCCATCGCGCGGATCCCGCTTGGGCAAGAAGAGAGGGACGGTGAAGACGTAGACATCGTCGAAAGACTTGGTGAGGTTGCGGCAGAACTGCGTGACGACGGGCGAGGAGTCAGCTCGTCTCTTCGGCGGAATGCGCAGAACGTCTCGCAAAAGCGAGCGCCTTTGCACAGTTCGAGACGGAAGGAACGGGATGCACCGCCTCGAGGTACGCCCAGTAGTGCCGGTTGAAGCCCTCGCCGACCTGCGGCGCGATGTTGGACAAGAGGAACGTCTCCGACATGGCGACCTGCGACTGCTTGGCGTCTGCCGCGGGTACCATGTGCCCGCGGTCCTGTCGCACGTACGAAAGGGTCAGTATGCGAGCTTAACGAAAGCGAGATACGTAAGAGCTCACATATCCCGACTTGAAGTAGTCAAGGAGCTTTGCGCGGAACATTTCGGGCACGTCCGCGTCCTCCTTGAAGACGGCGTTCTGGCGGTCCCCTCCGCCGTTCTGGAGAAGCTCGGCAGTGAGGTGTTCTGCCGTCCATGCAGGGATGCGGTTCCGGCGGTCGTAGGCGGCCGTGTAAGCCGTTCGGACGAGCAAGTCGGAGATGGGGCCTAATTGGTACGAACGTATTAGGACTTTCTGCGTCTACAAAGCCCGCTCTGGAATTGCAGGGAGCGAGGAAAACGCACCGATAGTTCCTCCACTGATGATCCGGTCCTGCACCGCTCCCTGCGCGAGGCTGCCATTGTAGACCTGAGCCGGGTGCGCAGGCCTTTCGAGTCGCGGTACGGGCACAGGCGACGCGCCAGGCTGCGGTTGAGGCGCGGTGGCCGGGGTTTGCTGCTGCTTTGGACGCGAGAGGGTGAAAGCGCCCGCCGCGCCAAGGACGAGGCCGGAAGCGCCAGCGATGGCGAGATGAAGGATGGACGACGACATCCGAGCCGGAACAAGCGAGCGGGCGAGGTCAAGCGGTCGTGGACGAGGGCAACGGAGGAAGCTCTCCTCGTCGAGGGCTGGCTCATATTACAGCGGTTCTTGCGGGATAGTCACAAGCACAGGCATCGCTTGAGAGTCTGAATGTTCTTTCGCACCGCCAGAACCCGCCTGCGAAACCCGCATCCACAAGAGACAGAACAACGACGACCGCAACAACTGCCCGTCTCGCTCGAACCACACGAGAGCAGGGCCTGGGTGGAATGTGATGCTGTAGAAGGGGAGTCGAGAGTCGAAGGCGGAAGAGAGGGACGAGGAAGGGGAGAGGGCGAACGATTCGCGCTTTCAGGAGGTCGAGGATGGTGAGGTCAGCGTCAAGGCGCTCAAAAGCGGTATGTCCAATATGATAGCATCGATTAGCCATGGTGGAGTGGAGCGGGGTCGGAAGTAGTTGTTGGGAGAAGGCGGAAAGGAAGGATTTGCTTGAGGTCGTGAGCACACCTCCCCGCGACCGCAACGGCGCAGAACAGACGCAAACACCTCGCCGTTGCACAGACATACTCCACAGACGACTCAGAACGTGACCTGGCCCTGCGGAACGAGGAATATCAGCGAAAACACGCGGAGAATCGGATTCGGACGATGCGGACCTTGCCCTGATATCCTTTGCTTGAAACGCCCGTAAATGGGTCTGAGCCTTGCTCAAGTAGTTTCTCGTTCGCTGCAGACTGCCACTCCTTGGAGAGGGTCTTGGGAGTCTCTTGAGCTGCGAAAACGGGGTCGCGAAGGCAAAACGTCAGTCTCGGCGACAAACGCTCCAAACGCCTTCCGACCTGCACCGCAGGGTGCACACGAGCCTCCTAGACACGCCTGGGGGGTGTGCGGAAGAAGATGGGGCGCTAAAGGAAATCCTCGAAGGGATGAAGGTCGACGAGGAGTGTGACGGCCCGACACCCGCTCCGACCGCCCGAATCGACGACTCACCGTTCTTGCGCATCAAGTAGAAGAGGACGCTGGCCGCGCCAAGCGCAGCGACGACGCCGCCAATGGTCTTGCCGGTGTTGACCTCGAGAGGGGCACGGGGGCCGTGAGGGCCGAACGCGACGTAGTAGGCTGGTTCGCGCGAGTCCCGGTCAGCACAATCGCGCTCGTGTAACATGCCCGGACACTCAAAGCGAACGCACCGGCCTTCTTCTCGTCAAGCGAGAGCTCCTTCCAGTCCTTCTTCTGCAGCTCCTCGAGGTGCTTGAAGGTCTGCTCCTGCTCGGCGGGCGAGAGGTTCTTCCACGAAACCTCAATCTGCGCGTGCGTTCAGGCCAGAGAGCGAGGCGGACAGCGATAGGAGTGAGGGGGAGGACGGGCGGTTGCGCGAAGGTCGGGTCGGGTGAGGATACGGGACGTCGACAAGATTTGGCAGGTTCATTCGAGTTCGTGGCGAGACATGTAGGGTTGGAATGTCAGTATGCAATCACAATGGACCTCCCGTGAGCCGTGTTGGGCGCGAGCGAGGGTAGCGATGAGGGAGCTGGCCGACTTGCGTTGGAGAGGCTGACGGGCGCGACCTGGGTGGACGCGGCGCGCGAGAGGGGCGCCTGGCGGACAACGCGGAGGGCACTCGAGCGGAGCATGGCGTCTGGCAGCTGCCTTGTGCGAGTGGGAGAACAGCGAATGGGCGACGGGGAAGGCGAGCACAAGCTCCTGACGCCAGACGACGTCGCTCGCTCTCTCGGGCGCAGGCAAGCTCACGATGGATTGCACTACACTCGCACAATCACCATGGAGAAGGGCAGCCCAGCCGCACCCGCGCTCGAGCGGTGTCGCGGGATGTTCCCCTCGCTGAACTGGCTCGTCTCGACGTCCTGACACGGCGCACGGGCTGGGGGACTCGCTGGGGAGTCCAGTGGATCACTTTAGATCGGAAAGGCATGACAGGCCGTCCAGACGACGCTCGGGGGGCGAGGGGGACTCCTCATCCTGCCTTCTCCTCCTCGCCCTCTACTCCAGTCCCCATCGGTCCTTCACGCCCCGATCTGCGCATTGTTTGCTTCGGCCGACTGCATGCGCTCCGGTCACTGCCCCAGTTAGGCCCACAGCGCTTGGCTTCGGGACCCTCTCGCGCTAACTCTCCCGCGGGATCCCTCACGACCCCCTCACTTCCCGCTCGCCTTCAATCGACGGCCTCCAACTCTGCGCGCTTCCTTCGCGGACAGAGCACGGTTCAAGTGACCCCACGACGGCGTGCGCTAGTACGGACGACCATCTCTCCATCCCGCTCCGACCTTGGCCTCCCGAGCTTTCCCTTCCATCCTTGCGAAGTCTCTTCCCTTCATCCCTGCTTCTCCTCCTCTCCTCCGTCAAGCTCACTTCCTTGCCGCCAATCACCATGCTCGCGCATGCCCTCTTCTCGCTCGCAACCTTGGCGACGGCTGTCTCCGCTGCGCCTCTTGCTGGTCCGCTGGCCGAGAAGGCTTCGATTCTGGCTGCGTCGGGTCCTTCGAACGTCGAATTCAACATCGCGTATTCGAGTAACCGGACCGAAGGACTGCCTACGACGCTCATCCTCGCAACCGGGTGCGTTCACTGCCTCGCCGTCCCTTTCTGTCCTCCTCTTCCGGGTTGCTGACCCATCCTACACCTTATAGCGGTACCATCGCAGGCTCTTCAGCCTCAAACCTCGACTCGACGACGTATCAAGCCGGAGTCGTTGGTGTCGGCCAGCTGATCCAGGCCGTCCCGGAGCTTCTGCAGTGCGTTTCGTTGTTCGCGTTATATCCTCTCGAGATGCTGACTTGCTGGACTGTGTGCAGTGTGTCGAACATCGACGGCATGCAGGTCTCGAACATTGCGTCCGAGGTGCGTAACCCGAAACTTGCTACTCACCCGGTCATTGCGCCTCGAACCGCCGATCTGACCCTCTCCTGCTCAACTACGATAGTCCATGCCCGACTCGGTCGTCCTCAAGCTGACCAAGCTCGCCAACAAGGCTCTCTGTACCCCGAACGCGACCTACGACGGCGTGTCCGTCCCTTCCTCCTTCCTCAGCCTCAAGCCGCTCTTCTGATCGCTTCTCTCGGCCGTAGTGTCATTACTCACGGTACCGACACGCTCGAGGAGACCGCCTTCACGCTGGACGTGACGCTCCAGTGCGACAAGCCGGTTGTGGTGGTCGGTGCGATGAGGCCTTCGACCGGTGCGTCGCTTCGTAACCTTTTCGGACTGGACACTGACCCTTATACTCTGCTGTTGAGTAGCCATCAGCGCCGACGGGTGAGCCGCCGATCTCCAGCATCAGCTTGACCCGGCAACCTCACCGACTCATGTCTCTCTGAACAGTCCCAACAATCTTCTTCAAGCCGTGACGACCGCTTCACACCCCGCATCTCGCAACCGCGGCGCCCTGATTGTCTTGAACGACCGAGTCTGCCAGGCTTACTACTGCGAGAAGACACAGGTTTGTTCAAGCTTCGAATCGCTCCTCCGTTTCCCTGCACGCACTGACGTTAGTTGGACAGGCCAATGCAGTTGACACGTTCGACTCGCCCGAACCAGGCTACAGCGGCGCCCTCCTCTCTGACAAACTTTTCTACTACTCGTCCGCCGCTCAGCCGACTTTCAAGCAGACTTTCGACTTGAGCAACGTCACTGCTTTGCCGGATGTCGACATCCTGTATGGCTACCAAGGAACGGACTTTGGCTTGCTCAACGCGACGATTGCGGATGGAGCGAAGGGTGTTGTGCTAGCCGGCGAGTTGCACAATCTTCCCCTCCTCTCAACGTGCGGACACCTTTAACCTGTATCGCACGTGTAGGGACTGGCGCTGGCTCAATCCCGGCAGCCGCTCTGCACGACATCGACGCAGCGGCGGCGAAAGGCATTCCTCTGGTCCGCTCGACCAAGATCAACGTCGGTGGGTTTGCACGGCGCTTTCACCTCAATGAATAGGTTACTGACGCTAGTCCACAGGCGCCGCTGTTCCTGGTGACGTGAACTACGACTCAATGATTGCTGGCGGTCTCCTGAACCCGGTCAAGTCTCGCCGTCTTCTCCAGGTGCCTTGTCTACACCCGCTTTCGTGCCTGCAACCCTTTGCGGTAGCTTACACCCCTCTCGCGCAGATTCTGCTCGCGTTGAACAAGACGAACGACGAGATCCGCAACGCGTTCGAGGGCAAACTCAAGTCCTACCTCTCGTACAAGCCCGGCTCCTCATAGACACTCAATCTCCTCAAACTATCCTTGCAGTAGAACAACGCATCTAGAGGTACGCAGAACGTTGCCGGCTTCGAGCAGCAGCAATCCTATCCCTTCGCTGTGCAACCTTCTCACGCTCCCCGACTCGCGTCTGCTCAGTTCCCCGACACCTCGCAAGCTTTCGCAGCGACGATTCGACTATGCTTAGCCTACGAGACGCCGAACAGTCCTGTCGGGGAGAGCAAGCGACCCGCATTTAGATGTCGACCTCCTCAAGTCGTCACTTCCTCTGCCGACCCTCCACCTTGCCCCGGAACCGCCGTCGCAGGCTTCTCTTCTGCTCTATCTACACTCCCAACGTCGCATCCACGCTGTGTACGACGCCCCTCCTCCGCTCGATAGCTTCGACGCCTGCTCCTGCCCTGCTCGAATCGAGAGAATGAACAAGGACGACCTTCCTCCGCGTTCGACGCCGACTCACGCGCTTTACCAGCGTGAAATCTTCCTCGATGGCGCCACGAAGGGCAAGCTACCCGAGTTCAACACAGACCCGGACGAGATGGAGGTGCGCCGGAATCCGCTGTTCCCTCACGATAAGCAGTTCTTGCCGTCCGCTGACTCCGTCGTTCTGCTTCCGCTTCTGAATCGACGTTGTAGAACGTCGCGAAGGAGACGCTGAGCAAGGGAGGATGGCTGTACGCAAGCTCGAACGCCGGAGTATCCTGGACGCACAGGGTAAGCTCCTTCCCGCTGTGGCGCCTGAACATACTCAGCCGCTCGAACAGTGCATCAAGCTGACTATCATTCTCAACAGGCTAATCGCGAAGCGTTCTATCGCTGGCGGATAATCCCTCGGTGCGCTCAAGACTTCCGCCGTTTCTTCCCTTCCGCTGACCGCCGTTCCTCGCTATATAGGATGCTCGTTGACACCAACCAGCGAGACATGTCATGCACGCTCAAGCTTGGCCAGTACGAGTGGAAGTTTGACGCTCCGCTTGGCTTCGCGCCAATCGGGATCAGTGAGTCTACGCATCCTCGTCAGCTTCGCATGTCTTGACGAGTCTTGCTCCCTTGGCAGACAAGATCTACCACCCTCTGGGAGAGTTCAACGCTGCGAAAGTGGCGGGCGAGCTGAATCTTGCGTACGCCCTCTCGACCGCCGGATCTCAGCCCATCTCCGAAGTCGCGCGCGTGAACGACGAAGGTTTCTCACGAGCCGGTCGCTCGAGAGCTCACGGCGCCCAGAATGGCCGATTCTTCCAGCTGTACTGGCCGCCAAACGACGAGCTCACGATCTCGCTTCTCCGCGACGCTCACCAGAACGGCTACTCGGCTTGCATCCTTACCCTCGACACTTGGCAGCTCGCCTGGCGTCACGGAGATATTTCGGCTGCCAACTACGCCTTCTACGTGCGTCGAGACTGCCCAAATCGACGCGGGGGTCGCTTGCTCACCTCCCCCTTATGCAGCGCGGTATCGGGCACGATCTCGGCAAAGCCAACCCGGTCTTCCAGCGCATGTGCCGAGAGAAAGGCATCACGGACCTCAACGCTCCTGAAGCGGGACAGTACTGGATCGACTTGGTTTGGTACGCGAAGACTCAGTCGCCTCTTTCGTCTGCTAAGCTGACTATGGGATCCTCGTGCAGGCACGGTCGACCTTGGAGCTGGGAGCAGCTTCCGTGGGTGATCAAGCAGTGGAAGGAGATTAGCGGAGGCAAGCCATTCGTGCTGAAGGGCATCCAGTCGGGTCAGTCATCTTCAGCTTCCTTCTCGCGCTATGAGACTCACAGATCTTTTCTGCAGTTGCGGACGCAAAACGTGCCGCAGAGACAGAGGGAGTCGACGGTAAGCTCTTCGCCTCAAGTAAAGAGGTCGGCACTCGGCAGGCTCACCTGGTCCGCTCGCAGGCATTGTGGTCTCGAACCACGCCGGTCGGCAGGTCGATGGCGCTATTGCCTCCCTCGACGCGCTCAAGTCGATCATCGATGCTGGCGTCGGTGAGAAGATCACTGTCATGTTCGACTCGTGAGTCGCGCCGCGCTCTCTCAGCCGCTAGTGGCAGAACCGACAGCCTTCCTTCCGCAGCGGCATTCGCTCGGCTGCCGACATCTTCAAGTCTGTCGAGTCTTCCGCAGCTCTGTCAGGCGCAGTCTACTGACCCTCACCTCGATAGGGCACTTGCGCTCGGCGCAAAGTTCGTCTTCTGCGGGCGGCCCTGGGTCTACGGGATGTCCATTAATGGTGCTACCCTTTTCACCTTGCTCACGTTCAGCTGCGCAACACTTCTGACCGCTTCCACCGCACAGGCGAGGCTGGCGTTCGGCATGTCATGCGCGGCCTCCTGGCGGAGTTCGACATTCTCCTCGAGGTTGCGGGCTATCGAAACCTCGACGAGATCGACCGAGATGCGCTCGTATATGTGCCGGAGGCGACGCTGCCTGCGAAGCTGTAGAACCAATGAGAGAGCCATTTCAGCTGTACCGGAATCTGGTCTTTGGGTCAAGGCGAGCTGAAAGCGACGTGGAGCTCGATCGTCTGCTCCCTCCGTCCTCAGCTCTTTTGCCTCCATCGGCAGAGGCGAAGAGCGCTTGAATGCTGAGGAAGAATCGGCGTTGGAAGTCAATCTCGAGCTGCCGCTCCGAGTGAATCCTACACTCCCGCTGCTGCCCGCTCATACACTCGCAAGCCGCCATGTGCGCCACCCGCCGAGATCCACACCCTCCCCGCCGTGTCCTCGCAGATACCCGTGACCGGCTCACAATCAGGCCCGACAAACTCCTCTGCCACCTCGACTGCACCGTCCTGCAGAGAGAGTTTCGCTCGGTACGCCATGCCGTCTGAGGATGCGACAAGGATGCTGAGCCCGTCGTCTGGTGAAGGTGAGTGCGACGTCGCACGTCGCTGACTGAGGCGAAGGCTGTGGATCTGGCTGCCCTCCGTTCGTCGCCATGTACTGATAGGTTGCCTCGGCTCAGCGACGTGTGCTAGTGAGGATAGCGGTACGGAGAAGACGGAGACGGTGCCGTTTCGGAAGCCAACGGCGACCACGAGTGTGTCAGAACAGTGGAAGGAAAGCGTGGAGAGGGCGTCGATCGCCGAGGTGGACGAGGCGCGGAAGACCGTCGTAGCGGGGTGGATACCGGAGACAGGCTGAGAGGCGAGGGAGAAGAAAGAAATCGAGCCGTCCGAGTGCGCCGCCAGAACGAACTTGCCACGCCTGACATCCTGCGCATCCTCATCGCCAATCTGGACCACGCTCATCGTGCTTACGGGCTGCGAGAGCGTCCACGTCGTGGTAGCCGTCGCAGTCGGTACATCCCAGAGCTTGATCGTCCCGTCAAGGGATGAAGAGATGACTTCGCGACCCTTGTGAGGACCGCCTAGTGAGGCGGAGCGCAGGATGGCGAGGCCGGTGACGCGTTTTGTGTGACCTTTAAGCACGCGCGGTGACGAGCCGTCCTGCAGTGAACATCGTCAGGACTTTGCGTCTGCCGGGAAGGGCGAGAGCCACGTACCGTCGCCGAGAACACCCGTAAGGTCATGTCGCTGCTTGCAGTCAAGGCCACCTCATTCGACGGGAACTGCGGACGTACGCAGGCGGTTAGACAGCAGACAAGCGAAGCAAGCGAGGCGCAACCCACGAATTCTGCCGCCGTCAAGTCACCAACATGTCCTCTCAACGCCGTCTCCTTCCCCTTGCCCAGCCTCTTCCCTCTCGTGCTCGCGCCTTCCTCGAATCGCACAACCTCGACAGCCCTCGCCTGGCCATCCCGTCCGGCGACGATCACCCTTCGCTCGTCCCCGCTCAATGCGAAGGATTCGATTCCGCCGCGGGCCGGCAGACGGAGGAGAGAAGGAGCGGGCGCTTCTTGCGATCCCGAGTTGGCGGAAGTGGAAGCGGTCGAGTCGGCGTTGAGCGAAGGAGTAGGGAGGAGGACAGGTGTCGGCGGGATGTCGAGTTTCGGGCAGGCGATCGTGAACTCGCTCTGGAGAGGATTCTGTCAGCACTTCACAGCCCGCAAAGTGCCTCCCGAGCGGAAGCTGACGGACCTTTGACTTCATCTCGACCTCAACGCCGTCCCGACCCTCGACTTCGACTTCGCCAGGCTCGTCCGCCTCGCTGACCCTAATCCGACCATTTACACTCCCCTCCTTCGCCTTCGCGGCCTCGTCCGGAGGGATTGAAGGAAGGCGGTAAGCGGAAACCCAGGCGTTCTCGGCGGCGACAGTCGAGCGTGGGTGAGTGATGTCGGCGATGACGTGCGGCAGCGAGGGCTGCAGAGCAATGTATGGCAAGGACTGGACCTTGGCTGGTGCTGACATGGTGAGGTGGAAGAGGGAGAAGCGAGTCGAGGGAGGAGGTGGGGAGGCAACTCGCTCGGGGCAGCTTCGAAGGCTTTGTGGCGAAGAGGACAATCTCAAGACTGATATACAGGATCACAAGCCGCGGCAAGGCGCTCACGATGTCTCGGACGAGGAAGAACCGGTCGAATAAGGTGCATGCAACAGATCCGGGACCACCAGCCTACTTCTTGCCCGACTTCTTGATGCCTGAGGAAAGTAGCAAAGTGAGAGAGGATTAGCGGACGGCCGTGGGGCGAGGGAGAGTAGCCGGAGGAAGAGGACGGATTACGCACCACCGCCGAGCAGAGGACCGCCCTTGGCAGCCTTTGCCTGCATCTCCTTGAGCTTCGCAGCCTCGGCCTTCTGCTTCGCCTGCGGACGGGAATTACGGATAGAAAAGCGGCGGGAGAGTGGAACAAGGCGGGAAGGAACGGGTCAGCAATGCCGACGCGATGTGGCTCGCGCTTGGCGAGGCGGGCAGTCGTAGGAGGTGTTCGTAGGGTGGCGCTCACCTTGAACTGCGAGGCCGAGAGAAGGAAGTCAGCGAGAGCAATGGAGAAGCACATCAGGAGCGGAGCTCACCGCCGCGTCGTCCTCGTCCTCCTCAGCCTTGCCCTTCTTGGGTGCCTTCAAGGGCTTAAGCTTGCTGTAAGGGAGAAGATAGGACAGCGTCAGTCTCTGGTTCGACGCGGCGAGACGAACGATGAAGCTGCGCGAGGCAACACGTACCCTCCCTGCAAGATGGGATCGCTTCGTCAGTCCCATATGCGAACAAGACCAAAAGAAATGCAACGTACCTGGCGGCCAGACATTGTTTACGAAAGCAGAGAGATTGAGGGACGGAGAAGAGGTGTATATCTGCAGGAGTAGGGTCGAATGGTCAGCCCGAAGCTCGCCAGTCACTTCCAACCCATTTCAGGCCATGCCGCATCCGCCTTGGACCGCCTACGCAGCCGTACGCCCGTCTCCATCCCCTCCGACCCCTCGAGCTGATGAGCATGGTGGCGACAAGACGGCGCCTCGAGCTCCCTTTCCAAGGGCAGCAGGCGAGACTTAAGCTGTACGAGGGCACTCACAGACGTCGATAGCCCTCCTGGGGAGTTTGATGTCGTCGAGTCGCCTGTTCAAGGCAGAGCTGTGTCGCGCACCCCTCTCCGCCCCTCGCATACGCTCACTTCGACCAAGTGCCGCTTGGACAGGCTAGACTGCTCGCTACAGATGAATGCAGCACCCGCATAACATACCGCGCAGACACGAGCGGCGCGACGAGGTCAAGAGTGCGTCCTCCTCCCCACCCGTCAATCAACCGAGGCTGATACGGCTGCAACAGTCACGATCCGGCCAGACCTGCCGCCAGAGCGGTCCATGTCACCTCTGCCGTCCTCGCCGTCCGCGCGAGAGTCTGGGCCACCGCTCAACCCAGCTCTCGGCTTCCGTCCAGTCGGTTCGTCTCTCGCTCGACCTGCGCACCGCTCGACACCGTCTGCGACTGTCCGCCCTTCATCGATCGAGCGATGGAAGGCGACTGTGGCAGCCCAGGTTTCGGCGATCCAGCGGGAAGGCTGGAGGAAAGGTCTTTTTGGACGAGCGAGGCTATCGAGAGCGGCAGGCGGAGGCGTCGAGACGACGCTGAAGCGAGCGGGACAAGGTTTGGCGCGTCTTTTAGTTGCGCAGTCCGACCCGTTATCGCCCAAGCCGCACCTACACGGCGACTCGGACCTTGCGGTCCCTCCAAGTCCAGGTCTGGGACGAACGGGACGGATACCGACGCTCAGTCGGCTAGGCCAGCTGGTCGTCCTCGTCCTCTTCGTTCTCGGCGTTCGGGAAGTCCTGCATACGGCGTTCGGCACATCTCGGCCCTTCCAGTCAGTACGGGTGAGGGGACGACATCCTCGAAGCGTTCTCTCCGACGTCGCGCCGCCCAAGTCTCGCTACGCGACGTCTGTCCCTGGCATGGAGCGCCACTGGTTTGCGGACCAGTCGTCCCTCGATCCTTACTCGGACGCGAAGACCGTCGGCGACACGACTGCGATCGTCCTGCATTGGAAGCGGACGGAGAACGTCGCCGTGATCCTCGCCCACCTCTGCCAGTACTCCTTCTTCGACTCGGTCTTCGTCTGGAACAACAACCCAGACATTCGCCTCACGCAGCAGGTACGAAGCTTTATCGAGCGAATCAGCCCACTCGCTGACCTCTTCCTCTGCAGACCTTCGCCAAATCCGGTTGCGCGCCCTCTAAACTCCGCATCTACAATTCACCTCGCAACATGCTCTTCGTCGCACGCTACCTCGCCTGTCTCCAGTCCTCCACACCGCACTGCTTCTTCCAGGACGACGACTGGGTCGTCCAGCCTCTCCGCGCCATGTACGCCCAGTTCAGCCGAGATCCGGAGGGTCCAGTCGTCGTGCACACGAACGAGGAGGTTGCTGCTCTGTATGGGCTAGAGTGGTGCTTTTTCAGTGCGTCCTCAACCGCTTCTTTGGCATCACTGCCGCTCACTCATCCTCCCGCAGACAACCCCCTCCACACCTGCTTCTCCTGGGTCGGCACTGGCGCTTTCACCTCTCGTCAACACGTCGAGCGGTTCATGCGCCTCACGAGCGAGCTCGCCTACTCGCGCGACGAGCTCGGCCATGCCGACAACTCGTTCACACTGTTCCAGAACGAGCCGCCTTACGTCTTGACGAGCAAGCTGAGCCAGTTGCCGAGTCCGTACGGACACAGCGATGGCGAGGGTATCGCGCGCAACAAGGCTTTCATCGTGAGTCGAGGCGCGCCTGATCTCGGTTGCGAGCTGACGCTCTACGCTTCACAGCACAAAGGCCTCGTCCGCCTCTCGTCGTATCTCAACACCTCCTTTCCTCCACCTCCCTCTCCCGACACGCCTCTCACGAACGTTCGTACCATCTCGCCTGTCCCCTACCGGCCATCCCTACCAGAGCCGCTCTCGCCTCATCCCTACGCCCACCACGCCCGCTCCCTCTGTCTTCCCTCCGACTCCTGCATCTTCCACACCAACATCGCCCTCCTCCCACCGCCCGATGCGACGCCCTATCCAGGTCCTGAGCGAGTTGGCAGCCTGCAGAGATGGGAGGAGCATCTTGGATGGGTTGCGAGGGGATGGATCGAGGGGGAGGAGCTGTGGAGGGAGGAGGAGACGTGGGCGCGGGAATGGGCTTACCAGTTTGCGGTTGATGGGGACGAGAAGACTGCGTTCCGGTCGCCGGATGGTGCGCTCGCTTTCTTCGAGTCTGCACGCTCTTCTCGACTGACGAACGGCTCGCAGTCGTTCGTGCTGGCGACTACATCGCTCTATCGCTTCTCGCGCCGCTCGATGCAGCTTGGACGCCGACAGTCAAGCTGAACATCATCCTCGAGGATGCGGTCAAGGTGTTGAGCAGCGGCAAGATCCGTGTCGAAGTGAGCGTCGACGGGCATCACTGGGTGAGTCTGGTTCGTCTTGAGCGAGATTCTGAGCTCATAGCGTCTGCTGCAGGTCCGCGCACGACATCCGACTTCGCCGAATGCCCCGCCCGTCATCCGCTGTCCTTCGCGCAGCCTCCACCGCTCGCCCCTCAGTCTCCACTCCACCTTGCCGTCGCCCTCTTTCCCCGACTCGAGGCTGATCTCGCCTCTCGCACGACGGCTCCTCGCAGCCGAACAAGCCGCCGAGGCTAGCTCAGGCGTCGTCCAGCGTTGGTGGCAGCGGACAAAGCGACGACGGGCGAGCGGCGTCCGCGAATGCGAGGTCTCGGTCTCGGCGGCGTTACCCTCGTCTTCCGCGCCGGCAAAGGACGGCGGCCTCGAGCCTGGGTGGCGGTTCGTGAGGTTGCTGGCGGTGAGCAACGCGGCGAAGGAAGAGAAAGGAGCGGACGGGGACGAGCTGCTCGATGTCGGCTGGGGCGTGTACGAGATGTGGCTCGTTGCGGAGAAGGTCACGTAGCATTGTTTGCATTAGCAGGACTCGTATCCATGACAGAAGAAGTCGAGAGCCGATTGAATACAACTTGAATACAACTCGAGTTCGTATTGGCGAGACTTAGCTCGCGAGAGGGCGGTCGCCTGGGCCGCACCAAGTCGTCTCGCTTCTTCGCTGTTGGCGGGTGTTCTAGGACACAAGGACACTCGTGCAACCTCTCTCACGCAGGCAGGCGCACCCGCTCTCGGTCCGCCTCGCGCCGTCGCCGACCCTCGACGTCTCGTCCTCGCGCCCGCACGCTCACGACCAGTCCGACGACAACGCGCACGGGAGACGACAGGACTCGTGCTACGATTAGGGACCGCCTGAAGACCGCCTGAGCCCGCTCGCGACCTCTGCATCGCGGTGTCGAGCCTGCGACGAGAGGTCGTCCTCCCTCTCCAGCATTCACCCGTCAGGCCCTCCGCCAGGCCTCTGGCCGCCGGGGGGAGCTTCCGCGCAGCAGCAGGGAGCTCCCCAGGGCACCCAGGGCCAGACTGGACAGGCGCAGCAGTCGGGCGCGTCCACCTCGCTCCTCACCATCGTCCGCGTGCGTCTCTCCCCTCTCCCGAGCTGCTCACCCACACCGGGCTCACACACTGACCGCTGCTTGGCGATACAGGCTCAGATCGTCTTCCTGTTGAGCACGCTGTCCGAGGACAACTTCAACAAGAATCGCGACGAGATCCGTTCGGTGCGCAACTTTACCTCCCATCGCCTCTCAAGGGGGAGATCTGCATCCTAGCGAGGGCTGAGGTGGAACTGACAGCTGACGTGCTTCACCACAGTTGATCGACTTGCACGGCCCCGCACCTCACGCACACCTCATCCGCCGTCTCATTCAGGGTGCAGCAACCCTCCTCACCGCCTCACCGGCGTCGCCTCCCCCCTCCTCCGCCTCGCAGCCTCCCTCGCCCGAGCTTCACCTCCGACTCCTCGCCTCCGAGGTCCAGCGCTGCGCACGCGAGCCCGCACTCGCCGAGCGCTTCCGCGACGCCGTCCTCGAGGGCGCCGAGGGACCATCCGGGTCTGACTCCGTACTCCGGTCCTTCTCGCTCTCGACCCTCGTCTCGCACCCAAATCTCTCCGAGCTCTCGCCGCTCGAACGCCTCGTCTTTTGCGCGCCCTTCCTGACCCTCCTCTTCCCGTCGGCCACACCCCCGACTGGCCTCAAGCGCGCAATCGGCCTCGACGCAGCCAAGCTCATCCGCCAGAGCCTCCACCCCGCTCTTGAGCAGCTCGGCTCTCCTCCTTCGACCGTCCACGACCTCGCCGAGCTCTCCCCGCTCCCAATCTCCCGCCTCTTGTCTATCCTCCTCTCCGACATCTACCTTGGCGAAGCTCCTCCTTCCGACTCCGACTCTCCTGAATCCCTCTTCTCGGACGACGACCGCCGCGCCATCGTCCTCTCCGCCGTCCGCGGACGCCTTGGCCCCGACGTTGGAGCTCAGGCTCTCGCTCACGCCTTCACCGAAGCCGCCCTCGACGACAAGCGCCGTCCGTCCGCAGTCTCTATCCTTTCACGCTTCGCACCCGTTCCCGCCTTGTCGACCCCCGACCTCGTCCGCAACGTCATGTCACGGTACGGAGGCTTGTCGAGCGACGGCAGCGATGTCGGATCGGCAGAGATGCGGGTCGCTCAGCAGCTCTTCGAGCTCATTGACCTCGCGACAAAGGAGGGCGACAACGGCAGGGGCGTCGATGTGGCATCGTGGGTTCGCGCGGTGCACGAGTCGCAGCCGGCTTTGCGGTGGGGCGACGTCGTGAGGGCGTACGACTCGCCTATGCGCGCTCTTCCCGACCACTTTGGTATCCGCGCCTTTGCGACTCTCCTGCAGGTCTCTCCCGCCCCGCCACCGACCGCCGAGGACCCTCGCGCCAACCCACCGCAAACGAGCGGTCTCGGACTCGTCTCTGCTCCGGGCGGTACGAGCGCCATCTCCGGCCTCTGGACCCAGTGGGGAAACCCTCTCCTCCAGTTCTCCCTCATCGACCGCCTCGTCTTCCTCGCCTCGTCGCCGGCTACCCCCCCCGGTACGAGCGCCTCAACCGAGCCGCACCTGAACCTCGCCAACCTCGCGAGCGTCCACAAAGTCGTCTCCGTCGACGATGCGGCGGGATCGAGCCCGACGATCAAGGCGCTCGCGCATTCGGTGCAGAACAGCCCGTGGAACGCGCAGGAGGTCACGACGACGCTCGTCAGGCTCGGTGGGGACGCTTCGAATGCCGAGTTGGCGGGTCGCGTGCACGAGTTGCTCGACCGGGGATGCAAGAGCAATCCTGAGTTGGTGTTGGTCGCGTTGACGCAGGTCGAGGTGAGCTCTCCGTTTCCCTTCCTGCTTTTGCCATTCCGCAACTGACATTTCGTCACTTCGCAGAAACCCTGGAACGCCATACACGCCGAGCTCACTGCCCGGCTCCTCTCGACCTTCCTCGCCGGCCACCCCTCGCACCAGCTCGTCTTCCTTCGCCTCTCCCAGATCGACCGCCAGTTCCTTTTCGCCGCCCTGCGCGACTTCTACGCCGAATCGGAAATGAACGTCACCCGCATCATCGACATCGCGCAGGACCTGAAGATGCTCGACCAGATCCTGGAGCTGCGGCCGTTCGTCCTCGCGCTTGACTTGGCCGCCCTGGCGAGCCGGCGCGAGTACCTCAACCTCGACAAGTGGTTGACGGGCCAGATTCAGCAGCACGGCGGACAGCTCGTGCGCGCGACGCTCGAGTTTGTCGGTCACAAGGTTCAGCACGAGCTTAGGAGGCAGGAGCTCGACCACCCGCCTGAGCCGACCACGCTCGCGCTCAACGCTGCGACGATCGCCATCTTCATGCGCGTTCTCCGAGCACAGTGCGTTTCCGCTGAATCACCGTGACTTGAACGTAACTAACCTCGCACGCACGCAGCCACGAGCTCTTCACCGGCAACGACGTCGAGCTCTTCAAGGAGGTCCGCACGCAGTGCCTGCAGCTTCACCCTCGCCTCATGAACTTCTCGCCGAAGAACAGCGAGTCGGAGCCGGGCATGGCCGTCACGTCGTTCTCGCCTGAGATCGAGGCCGAGTGCGACGCGCTCTACAAGCGCATGTACGAGCAGGAGATCTCGGTCGACAAGGTCGTCACCGCGCTGCGCCAGGCCAAGGACTCGGACAACCAGCACGATCACGAGTTCTTCGCCTGCTTCCTCCACGGCCTCTTCGACGAGCACCGCTTCTTCAACACCTACCCGCCAAAGGAGCTCGCCCTCACCGCGTCGCTGTTCGGCGACCTAATCCAGTACCACCTCATCGACTTCGTCCCGCTCGGCATCGCCGTGCGGTACGTCCTGGACGCACTGCGCAACCCGCCGGATTCGAACTGGTTCCGCTTCGGCATTCAGGCTCTTGCCAGGTTCCAGTCGCGCCTGAGCGAGTGGCCGCAGCTGGCGCACTCGATTCTCTCGATCCCGCACGTCCAGCAGCTGCACCCCGAGGTGGCCAACACGGCAAGGGAGGCGCTCTTGCAGCGCGAAGGCGGCGAGAACGGCAGCTCGCTCGGCGGTCTCGACGTTGGGCCGGAGCAGGAGCTGCCAAGGGAGCCTGAGAGGCTGCCCTTCTCGGCTATCCACGTCGAAGAGTCGGGAGGAGACCCGGAGGCGCCAGATGAGCAGACGTCGGACAAGATCCTCTTCATCGTCAACAACCTCGCGCCGTCGAACTTTGAGACCAAGGTCAAGGACATGGTTTCGCGAATGGAGCCGCTTCACTTCGCCTGGTTCGCGCACTACCTTGTCGCCCAGCGCGTCTCGATCGAGCCGAACAACCATCAGCTCTACCAGCAGTTCCTCGAGGCGCTCAAGATGCCGAAGCTCGTCAAGCGCGTCCTGCACGAGACGTTCGTCAAGCTCGCGACACTCCTCAACTCGGACAAGACGGTCCAGTCGTCGACCGAACGCACGCTCCTCAAGAACCTCGGCTCGTGGCTTGGTGGTCTCACGCTCGCCAAGGACAAGCCCATTCGGCACTCGAACATCGCCTTCAAGCAGCTCTTGATCGAGGGGTACGACTCGAACCGCCTCATCGTCGCCATCCCCTTCGTTTGCAAGGTCCTCGAGCAGTGCTCCAAGTCGCGCGTGTTCCGGCCGCCCAACCCCTGGCTCATGGCGATCCTGCGCCTCCTCGTCGAGCTCTACCAGTTCGCCGAGCTCAAGCTCAATCTCAAGTTCGAGATCGAGGTTCTCTGCAAGTCGCTCGATGTCGACCTCAAGGATGTCGAGCCGACCGAGATCCTGCGCAACCGGTCGAAGGAGCTTGCTGCGCAGCAGGCGGCAGCTGCACAGGCGCAGGCGGCCGTTCTACCCGGCCAGCAGGGCGGTGTTCCGCAGACGTCGGTCGAGCTCGCCCTCGCCAATTTCGCCCAGCAGCAGCAGCAGGCCGGCGCCGGTGGTCACCTCGGACAGGACGTCGACGAGCACGGCCTCCGCACCGGCTTCGCCAGCGCCGCCCACCACGCCCTCCCCGCTGCCGGTGCTCCGGGAGAGGCAGCCCGCCTTCCGCCGATGCTCGGCGTCAACCAGCCTGGCTACTCGCTGTCGCTGCAGGGTGCGTCGCAACGTTCCCCCATTGCCCGCTCAATACACGCTGACGCTTTGCTGCTGCAGACACCGTCTCGGCGGCCCTCCAGAACCTGCCGAGTCTCGTGGTGTTCAACTCGCAGCTCCCCATGTTCACGTCGAACCCGGCTCTCAAGCGCCTGATCTGCCTCGCCATCGACCGCGCCGTCCGCGAGATCATCGCGCCGGTCGTCGAGCGCTCTGTCACCATCGCCGGCATCTCGACTCGCGAGCTGACGATGAAGGACTTTGCGATGGAAGGCGACGAGAACAACATGGCGACCGCGGCGCACCTCATGGTGCAGAACCTCGCCGGGTCGCTCGCGCTCGTCACCTGCAAGGAGCCTCTGCGCCTCAGCATGATCGCCCACGCCCGCACCCTCCTCCTGCAGAACGGCTTCACCGACGACTCGCTCCCCGAGCAGGCGATCCAGGTCATCGTCGCCGAGAACCTCGATCTCGCCTGCAGCGTCGTCGAGAAGGTCGCGATGGAGAAGGCGGTGCTCGAGGTGGACGAGGGGCTCGCGCCGGCGTACCTCGCGCGCCGCAGCCACCGCGAGCGCTCGCGCGAGGCGTTCTGGGACACGGCCGCGATGGCTGCGTCGCACTACTCGGGCATGCTCCCCGACCCGCTGCGCCTCAAGCTCGGCGGCCTCTCGCCGCAGCAGCTGCAGGTCTATGAGGATTTCGCGCGTCTCCGCACTCTCCCTCCCGCAGCCGACGGACGCAACGGCGCGCTCTACGCCGAGTCGCCCGCCATGGCCGCCGCCAACGTCCCGCAGGCCGCCGCCGCCGCTGCAGCCGCCGCTGCTGTCGTCGCCGACGCCGGCGTCCTCACGGCCCCGCAGGCGATGGAGAAGTTTGCCGCGCTCCTCGCCGAGCTCGAACAGGCGCTCGCCGCCGAGTCGGTCCCGCAGCTCGCCGGTGTCGGCCAGGAGAGCGACCTCCGCCGCATCGTCCAGCAGATCCCCCTCGTCGCCGCGTCGTCCGCCTCGCGCGACGACACCGTCCTCGCCTGCTCGCAAAAGGTCGTCCAGCTGCTGTACCGCAGTGAGGGTGCTCTCGCCCGCGACGCCTACGTCTTCCTCCTCGACCGCCTCTGCGCCATCTCGCCTCGCGTCGCCAAGGAGGTCACCGACTGGCTCGTGTACGCCGAGGACGAGCGCAAATTCAACGTCCCCGTCACCGTCGCGCTCCTCCAGGCCCGCTTCATCAACGTCGCCGACCTCGACCTCCAGCTTGCCAAGTTCGCCGTCCGCGAGTTCCGCGCGACCGTCGTCGACTTTGTCGCCGGCGTCGTTGCGGCGTGCCTCGCCGAGGTCCCGCCTGTCGCGACCCGCGAGCAGTTCGCCAACTCGCTCGAGGCGCTCAGCCAGGGCGTCCGCCAGGGCAAGGCGACCGACGCGGCCCGCAAGCTCCTCGACGACGTGCAATCCCGCGGCACGACCAGCGTCCGCGAGCTCTCGCCGAGCAACCTCACTTCCGCCGAGGACGCCGCCGTTCGCGAGCAGCTAACCCTCTGCTTCGCCGAGTGGGTTCGGCTCTACCAGCAGTCGCACAACATCGAGAAGGCCTTTGTCGACTTTGTCGTCCAGCTTCAGAAGCAAGGCATCCTCAAGGGCGAGGAGATCTCGTCGCTCTTCTTCCGCGTCTGCACCGAGGTCAGCATCGACTCGTACATCAAGAACAAGGCGGCAGGTGGCACCCCCGCGACGGGCATCTTCCAGCCGGTCGACGCCTTTGCTCGCCTGATCACGTTCATGATCAAGTACCATGCCGACCCGACGGGCGCAAACAACGACAAGGCCAAGGTGCACTACATGAACAAGGTCCTGTCGATTGTCGTTCTCGTGCTTGCCAACTCGCACGAGGAGCTCGGCATCCACTTCCAGGCCAAGCCTTTCGTGCGTTCCCCGCCATCGCTCCCTCGCGAAGCTAGCAGCTGATGCCTCGCCGCTCGCAGTTCCGCTTCTTCTCGAGCTTGCTGTGCAACCTTGCGGCAATCGAATCGCACCTGGGCGCCGCGTACTCGACGATCTTGATCGGTCTGAGGTGCGGGCGGGAGATTTTCGCATATCCGAAAGCAGATGGCTGACCCAAGACTTTGACCGCTGCAGCCACTCGCTCAACACCTGCCAACCCTCTATCTTCCCGGCCTTCGCCTTTTCCTGGATCTCGCTCATCACGCACCGCTTCTTCATGCCCAAGTTGCTGCAGATGACCGAGTCGCGCGACGGATGGAACGCCTTCCTCCGCCAACTCGTCTCGCTCCTCCGGTTCCTCGCGCCGCACCTCCGCCTCGGCAAGCTCAGCGAAGTCGTCAGGACGCTCTACATCGGCACCGAGCGCCTCCTCCTCGTCCTCCTGAAGGACTTCCCCGACTTTGTCGCCCAGGCCGCGCCCGCCCTCGTCGATGTCCTCCCGTCGAACGCCGTCCAGATGACCAACCTCGTCCTGTCGGCCTTCCCGGTACAGGTCGCGACGAGGCTGCCAGACCCCCTTATGCCCGGCCTCGACCTCGAGTCGCTGCCGGAGGCGCAGAAGGCGCCCGCGTTCCTCGCCGACTACACCGCCGCGTTGACGGTCTCGGGCATCCTCCCCGTCCTCGACCAGTACCTCGTCAGCGGCGAGCCGGCCGACTTCGTCTCGATGGTTCTCGCACGCCTCGACCGCCCGAGCGCAAAGGTCGAGCGGGGCGAGCCGGCGGTGAACGTCCCGCTCGTCAACAGCCTCGTCCTCCGCCTCGGCGCGACTGCGATCAACCAGCACAAGGCGCAGAAGGGACAGGCCGGCTTCGACGCGTCGAGCGAGTCGTTCAAGACGCTCCGCCAGCTCGTCGAGCGTGCCGCGCCCGAGACGAGGTACTACCTCCTGCTCGCCGTGGTCAACCAGCTGCGCTTCGTCTCGAGCCACACGGCGTGGTTCAGCAAGGCGTTGCTCACCATCTTTGCCGAAGCCGGAGAGGACGACGCCACGAAGGAGACCTCGCGCGTGTCCGAGGCCATCCTGCGTGTGGTCCTCGAGCGCAGCCTCGCGGCGCGCCCAGTCCCGATGGGCGTGCAGCACTCGTTGAGCCAGCTCCTGCGCGACCACGCCTCGACGGTCGAGAAGGTCCTCTCCCGCCTCCCGAACGACGACGCCGGCGCGCGCGCGCTCGTCTCGCACTTTGCCCGCCTCGTCCAGTCTCCTCCCGCCGGTCCCCCTGCCGCTGCATAGTCTCCCTCCCGTCGCATCTCCCTCTTTCTCTCGCTTAGCTATTCCTCACGGTCGTCTCACCCATACAGTGTAGTTTTTGAAGTGTTTCTTTGCGTCGCTCATCATCCCCCCCCTCGTTTTCGCACTTGTAAGATACCAATACCAGACTCTTTTGCAGCTCTTGCGAGATCCCGTCGACGCTGCTGGGCGAGACTTGGAGCGCCCTTCCCGCCTCCCGAGCAAGTCTGGCTCACGCTCACTCGTACACGCTCCCTGCGCCCGCTTGACTGCTGCTGCACGCGCTGCTGGAGCAATGGCTGCGAACGGTTCGGGCGCAGACAAGCCTGCGCCCAAGAAGGAGTGGTTCCCGACTCGCTCGTTTCACGGCAGCTTGATCGCGCTCGTCCTCGCCCTCGCCGTCTTCCGGTTCTTCATTCAAGGTGCACAATGCTCTCTTCGTGGGTGATGCAGGGTTCGTGGCGACTAGACGCGTCCCGGGGGCTTGTTTGGGGATGCATGACGGGAGAGGTGGGGGAAAGCGAGATGGACGAGGAGGAGATGCTGGGACACCGTTGCAGCGCTGGGAGAAGCAGGATACGCTTCTGGGCAGGCCAGATGAGGAGGCGAGCTGGAAGGAGCGGACGACGGGTCGTTGCGCCTCGACACAGCTTTCGAGTTCGCAGTAATATCGCTCGGCGCTGATACTCATCTTCCTTGCTCATTGCAAACAGACAGCGGCGATCGGCATCACTGCAAGGCCTTGCTGAACGAGGGACGATGGCTCGACGACAAGCACACGAGCTGGCAGCCCGACGGTTGCATGCTGCATCCGTACACGCCGAAGCAGGTCGGGCAGTGCTTGGAAGGACGGAGCGTGGTGTTCATCGGCGACTCGACTGTGCGACAGGTCTTCTGTGAGTCGGAGGGGACCGTCCTGACCAAGGTTCACCCGCGACAATAAGCGTTTTTTGCTAATTGCGACCGTCAACAGACGCAACCGTCAAGCACGCCGATAAGAATATCGACACGAAGGCCGACAAGCACACAGACCGGACGTTCATGGCGGGCGGCATTCAGTTCTCCTTCTACTGGGACCCTTTCCTGAACGGAACTCGCGCAACGCAACTCTTCGAAGGAACCCTCGGCTCGGCGACTGGCCACGGCACGCCTACCCTCGCAGTCATCGGCAGCGGCATCTGGTACCTGCGGCATCCGAACTCGGGCGGCATCGACGTCTGGGACCGACGAATCGACACCCTCTTCGCCGCAACTCGCCCTTCCCTTCCCGCCATTGCCGACGAGGTCATCCTCCTTCCCGTCGAGAATGCCATCGAGTCGCGTCTGTCGCCTGAACGAGCGGCGACCGTTCACCACGACGACATCCAGAAGATGAACGAGCTCCTCGACGCCAAGCTGCGTGATGCGGCGACTTCGCCCGGAACCGGCACTGGCGGGATCGCAGTTCCTCGCTCCTTCAACCGCGTCATCGAAGGGCTCGATGACGAGACGGTCGACGGCCTGCACTTTTCCGACACGATCAGCAAGGTCCAGGCGAGCATCCTCCTCAACTTGCGGTGCAACGACGCGCTGCCGAAGAAGTTCCCCTTCGACAAGACGTGCTGCTTTCAGTATCCGACGCCGAACTGGGTTCAGGCGCTCTTGCTCCTCGTGCTCGTCGCGTACGGTCCCGCAGGACTCTACTTCTACTCTCGCTGTAAGTCCCCGCGAGTTCTGCCTCCTTTCGCAAAGCTGACCCTCTTTGTCCCTGCAGCCGACACAGCACCCATCGTCTACCGTTTCTTCCCCGACCAAAAGTACCTGCTGCCCTTCACCATCTTCGGCTTCTCCACGACACTCCTCTTCGTCGCCGACCGCACCAACCTCTTCCTTAAGGAGAACAAGCAGTACGACGCCTTGACCTTCGTCGTCCTCTGCCTCCTCACCGTCGTCGCCGGCGTGGTGACGATGAAGCCGCCTGAGAAGGACCTCGGCTTCCTCAACCGCGACCAGACGGACGAGTGGAAGGGCTGGATGCAGATCGCAATCCTGATCTACCACTACCTCGGCGCAAGCAAGATCAGCGGCATCTACAACCCGATCCGCGTCCTCGTCGCCGCGTACCTGTTCATGACAGGCTACGGCCACCTGAGTTTCTTCCTCAAGAAGGCCGACTTTGGTTTCGCCCGAGTCGCCAACATCCTCGTCCGCCTCAACCTCCTCACCGTTGTTCTCGCCTACCTCATGGACACAGACTACCTCAGCTACTACTTCTCGCCGCTCGTTACGATCTGTGGGTCGCCTCTCGAGTCTGCCGCTATCTGACTTGAGCTGACAAGCCCAACTCTGCAGGGTTCGGCATCATCTGGGTCACGCTCTGGGCCGGGCACAAGTACAACGACAAGCCGGCGTTCCTCCTCACCAAGCTCATCGTCGCGGCCTGTCTTACTGCGGCATTCTTCGAGATCCCCGGCCCGCTCGAGAAGACGTTCGAGGTGATCAATACGGTCTTTGCGACGAGTTGGAACGCCGGCGAGTGGCGGTTCCGCCAGACGCTCGACATGTGGATCGTGTGGGTTGGCGCGTTCACCGCCTACGCGTTCATCAAGATCAAGGAGTACCGTGTCACGGACGACCTGCGATGGCCTCAATGGCAGCGCTGGACGATCATCGCCTCGGCCGTGACGATGGCGGGCTACTTCGTCTTTGAGCTGACGAGGGAGAGCAAGTTCGTCTACAACGCTTACCACCCTTACGTCTCGATCCTCCCCGTCCTGGCGTGGTGCGTCTTGAGGAACGCGACGCCTTTCCTGCGCTCGACCAGCTCCAAATTCTTCATCTTTTTCGGACAATGCTCGCTCGAGACGTTCATCATCCAGTTCCACCTCTTTATCGCCGGCGAGTGAGTGCCCGCGTCCGAGCTCCAGCGATGCACTGAAGCTGACTGTTATCCGCGCGGCCCAGCACTCGCGGTATCATCATGATGATTCCTGGCGGCGCATGGCTTCGCCCGGTCAACTTCGTCGTCACCTCGCTCGTCGTGCGTTCCTCTTCAACTCTCTTACTCCAGCCCTCAGCTGATGCAGGATCGCGCCCGCGCAGTTCGTCTTCATTTCGAACCAGGTCGCCATCGCGACCGGCGTCTTGACCTCGATGATCTGCTACGTCCCCAAGCCCGCTCCCGGCTCCTCCGCCCGCCTCCCCTCCTCAACCCGCGAAGCGATCCCCTCCCTCCCCTCCTCCGCAACGATCGCCTCGTCGCACCCCGGCTCAGGCGAATACGTCGCGCTGTCAACCATGGCAGACGGGGACAAGGGCATGGGCGATGGGTTGGCGGGCTTGGATGCGAGAGACGGGTGGGCGAGTAAGGTTGGCAGAGTGGTGGTGACGGATTTGAGGGTCAGGTTTGCGGCGATTTTGGCGGGGTTGTGGGTACTGAACGTCGTTTGTGTGTCCCCCATCCCTCTCTATGCGCTCTGAGGTCCCTTGCTGACGTTGCGTTTGCCCGCAGACCCGGCATGAGCATCGAGCGGTAGACAAGGCGGACGAACAAGAACGACCTCTCCTTACCCATACCCACGACCGCACGCTCGTGCCGGCGTCTCTCTCTCCTACAGTTGGAAGTATCTTCTCACATTGGTTCTCTGCACTATCATCGGCATTTTGGCATCCCTTGGACGGGTAGGAGGACGAGGAGGAGAGGACCTTCGCAAAGCTGGGCTTTCGTTCGACCTCCAGCTGCTGTCCGGCCTTGAGCGTGCGGCGGTCCCGCCGAGCTTCTCACGAGACTGCGGCCTTGCTGAAGGACGTTTGCAAGCTGGCCGGGACGAGTGCGGCCTGCTCTCTCTTCTCGTCGTCGTCTCGTCGTCGCTTCTTCCCTCGCCTCCCTCCTCTCTCGCTCCGCACTTCGCTCTGATTCACGTCTTCGTTGTTCGTTCGTCGGCCCGCTCGACGGTTCTGCCCACGATAGCAAGCCTCTTCTCCGCCGCAGCAGCGCGCTTCGTCCACACCAGTGGAGTCGCCAAGGTTGCAGACTTGACGTCCTCGCGCCAACCTTGTCCTCGTCCATCGACGCCGTGCGCTCTTTTCGACTGTGCGGTCGACTGTTCCCTTCTCCTGCTTCGTCGTACAAGCCCCTGTTACACCCAGGCACCGTCGACCACGCGACATCCCCACCGCGACCCCGGTTGTTCTCCTCCCGCTCGCTTCGCTATCCCCCAGATCCAACGATGGCAGAACTCGTGTACGGCATCGCATGGGCCATCACAGACTTCACAGAGAAGATCTCGACTCTCCGCTCGCCCGTCATCCCTCAGTGGACAACCCCCTTCGACCCCGTACCCGGCGCAGGTCTCTTCGACGACCACGACGCGCCCAAAGTCCTCACCGAGCACCGACTGCACCTCGTCCACCACACCTGGGCTACGCGCCATGCCGCTTTGCATCTCCGCCTGTGCTGCCTCTGGGACGCCAAGTCGAAAGGGATGCGAGCGTGCTGGGCGGGAACGGTTGACCGCGAGACGCTCCAGACCACCAAGGACGCGGTCGCTGAAGCCAAGTGGGTCGAGGACAGGCTTGCGCAGGCAGTCGCTTGGTGCGAGGGCAGGAAGGTCCGCAAGTTGAAGCTCGTCAAGCTGGTCAAGATCCGCAAGGGGAGGGCGAGGTCAGTCTCACCTCGTCTCTCTGAGCTTCCAAGCGCCTTTAGCTGACGTTGGAACGTCGTTACGAGCAGCACGACCACCCGCCCGACCTACACCGAGACGCCCCCCTCGTTGCTCGACCTCCCCTACCCTCTCCCTCTCGCTCCCTCCTCGAACCGCCTAGCGCAGACCATCCCTCGCCCGCCCACTCTCACTCGCGAGACAGCCTTCGAAGAAGAAGAGCGCACGCGTCCGCCGCTCTACACCGAGGAAGCAGACTTGGCGCTCGGCGAGGAGAGCGTGATGGGTGGGATGTGGCACGACCCGAACGAGGTCAGGGCTTATGAGGCGGCGTTTGTCGATGAGGATGATGACGTGTTGAGGATGCTGGAGATCCACCAGCACCCGAGGACGAGTTGAGCGGCGGAAGGGTGGGTGAGGGCAAGGAGGGGGGTTCTGGGCGGTCTTCTTTGGGGCTGTACTTGTCGATTTCTTGTGGGTCTGAGGGTCAGCGAGGCAGGCCTCACCTTTCGTTTGCACTGTCTTTGTAGGCTGGTCGCGGGAGATGTATACCTAGCTTCCCTTTTCTCGCCCGTTCATCTCGCACTGCCGGTCCCCGCCGAAGCGAGCGCAGCCGGCAGTGAGAGAGACGCCAAGTGAAAATGACGTTGCCAAGCTCGAGAGACGCCAGAGAGGGTTGCGCAGATCCGGGTCGCAACGATGCAGGTGAAGAAATGCCAACAGAGCCTCAGAACAAACACGAAATACTGCGTCTCCCCAATTCCTCGTCTCTTCTACCGCCAGTGCGCCGTTCATCGCCCCTGGTCGAGCCAAGCCGCCCTCTCGCGCAGCCAATAGGCCATATAATGCGTCCAGCCTTCTACGACGCCTGTTCCGGCGCTGAGGTGAAGGCAGTCGTCGTTGGTGTGCTGTGTGCCAACCATCGGTCAGCGAGAACATCAGGGGGGAGAGCCGAGAGGGGACGGGACGAACGGCGTCGGGACGGAGGTTGGTGGGTCGGGAGATGTCGAGCCAGGTGATTAGCGGGTGGTTGAAATCGCGGACGATGTTCTGTGCGTCGAGGAGAGTCAGTTGAGCAGTGGTAGCGTGGATAGGGCGAAGACGAGGCGCAGGAAGCGCAAGACTCACGGCTCCGTGCTCGTTCATCCTCCACATGTCCGGCCAGCTCCACCAACTACTCTTCTTCTCGTCCTCCTCAGCCAGCGGTCCCTCAGCGTCATGACAATCATCATGTCCCATGGTCGTCGGACGAACAACCACCTCCTTCCCGCTCCTCTCCTCCTCCGTCGCACTCTCCAACGCCCTCGCAAACCGATTTAACAACTCCCTCAACGCGAGGTCGAAGAACTCGATTTGTGCGTTCGGTCCGCCTTCGGGCTTGAAAGGGAGGTTGAAGTGCCGCGCTGAGAAGTGTGCGCCGGTGGCGAAGATTAGGGCGCGGTATGAGCCTGAACGGGTTGCTTGGCGCTCGATCTCGAGCGCGTCGGGTGGAGTGGTCGAGGGTGCGTAGGAGGGCGAGATCGAGGTCGAGATGTTGCGGTATTGCGAGGGTCGGAGGAAGAGTTGGAGGGTGTAGTCGAGCGAGGGCGAAAAGGTTTCGACATCGGTGAGGAGGGCTTCGGGTGGTGAGAAAGGCGGCAGGGAGGTAAGATTCGGGTAGAGGGCGGTGAAGGCGCGAGGAGCGGATTTGGCGTGCACCGTCTCGAAGAGCGAGATGAGCTCGTCTGGCGCGAGCCCGTGATCCGTCCTGCGGGCGATAGCTTGTCAGCAACAACTCCAAAGTGCGTACTGAGCAAGTGCGTCGACACACCTGACGTGGCTGACTAGCGGCGAGCCATCGTAATCCCAATCCTCCGGGACCCTGAGCTTCCCGCTCTTCACAAGCGGACTGTCCGGGAGAAGGAAGAGGTGCTCCTCCTTGACCTGCCGCCACTCGCTCATGCTCGGGTACGGCCAGACGGCACGGACGTGCGGGTAGAGCGCGCACGAGAGGGAGAAGAATTGTTGTTCGGAGAGCGAGTCTGCGGGAGGTTGTGAGTCAGCTCAAACGTCGCAGGGCTGCGTATGCACGAGAAAGGGAAAGACGCACCTCCGTAGATGAGCCACGCTCCTCGGTCGACGAGGTCCTGCAAAAGCTTGACCGTTCCCTCATCCTCCTCGTCCCCCTCCCTCGCCAACCAAGGCTGCTCCACCTCAGCCTGACACGTCTCGCTCCCCGCCTGCCACCTATATCCCGCCGCTCTCCGCCTGTACCCGCTCATAGGCCACTGCCCATCCGCCTGCGCTTCACCCTCGACGCCTGGCTCGGTACCGGGCGGGACGACACCGAGGTACCATGCTCCTCGGTGCCAGTTTTGCGCGCATGCGCCGGCGTGAAAGTCGGGTGAGGCGTCCCAGATGGAGGTGTGTGGTCGGAGAGGAGGGTCGAGGGGAGTCCAGTTCCCGGACGACCAGGTCGAGGGAGAACATGCCGGTTCCCAGGTTGAGGCGCCTGGCGGGAGTTCGTCGGATGAAGGGAAGTAGTGCGACTCTTTTGATGCTGTCGAGGAAAAGTGACCGCCCGTTACGCGGTCCCAGCCTTTGCCTACGGTTGTCCGCGCCTTTTCGAGAACTTCGGGCGTCGTAAGCGAGTAGACGCCGGCGAAAGCGGCGATGGCGAGGACGACGGCGAGAACATGACGGTGTCGTCGACTCCAGTGAGGGTGGTCGACGGGGGATGAAGGGTCCGCATCGACGAGTCGCGAGGGAGACTGGTCGCGCGAGTCGTCGTCGAGGCTGGCTGACCTCCGCCTCGCTGCTGCCAAGCCTGCCGACGCGCTTCCACTCCGTGACCGTCTCCGCTGCCGCTTCTCGGGGTCGTCGAGCGATGAGGGAGGAAAGTCAAAGACGGTGCTGGCGTTTGAACTCCTCGCGAGCGGGAGGTAGTGTGCTGGTTCTGCGGGGGGTCACGAACGCGTTCAGTACGAGTCTCAGGCGGCCACTATCCATCCTTGCTCCTCGACGAGCGCTGCAGGACGAGGGGACGACGCGAATCCGGTTCGCTTGCGCGGGTGGATCGACGCGGCGGAAGGGGGCGATGGCGAGGTTGGGAAGGCCGTGCGTACCTCGTCTCCAGCTGCCCAGAGCGTCGCGCAGGGCGTCCATCCTGTCGTCGACCGTCGAACGAGAGATGGAGCGAGCGAGCGGTGGAGCCCGGCTGGACTGGGAAAGCGACGCGACGGGCGTGGAGCGAGGGGGCTCCCGGTACAGTGCGGGACGAGAACAACTGCGATCGAGCACAACAGCAGCAGCGGCGGCAAGCAGCTTGACAACGCTACAGTATGGAGCATCCAGCAAGACTCGCGGACTTGCCGCAACACAGGAGTCGCGGAGGAGACGGTCCCCCCCGACTGCGCACGCACGCAGCGAAGAAACCGTCTTCCCCAGAGGGCACTCGCTTGTCGGCGACTGTGTGACGTTGCAATTGGCCTGCGTGCGTGGACCTCGGGGGAGGAGGAGCGAGGAGAGGAAGCACGAGATGAGATTACGACTCGGCTGTATTCCCTCGATTACAACCCGGTCGTATTCAGACGATTACAACTGGCGCACAAGGTCTGATTACACTCCCGTTTGTAATGCTGGACCCCACTCCGTCTTCCCTCGCATCACGCTCAAACTCGCACACGGGCATGGCTGGCTCGTACAGCGACCTGGCGGGCGTGCTGCCCGTCACAGTCCCGACGCCGACCTTCGTCTCGCACCCTCACCTCCTCCGTCCCGACCACCTCGGAACCGAGCACGACCTGCTCCGCAACCCCGACTCGCTCGCGCGCTGGCAGTCGTACATCCGCACAGTCCAGGACGAGGTCGACGAGACGCTGCGGGCCTCGCGCGGCAAGGCGAGCGCCGTCGAGCGCATGCTCTTGGGCGACCGTCTCTCGACCAGGGACGGCCGCGAGGCGCTCCAGCGCATCGTCGACGTCTACGAGCGCGCGCTACAACACCACCCTCGGTCTTACACCCTCTGGCGGAACTACCTCGCGGCGCGCAGCGTGTTTGTGCTGGGAAAGGCGGGCAAGCCGCTCAAGTTGGGTGCGCCGAGGCAGCGCCGGGGCGAGGAGGGAGTCGGCAGGACGATGACTGAATGGCTCGAGGCGGGCAAGGGCGAGGTTGACGAGATCGAGGTGGGCGAGCGCGACTACGAGGCAGACTGGGAGGGCGCGCTCGACGGGGTCCTTGGATTCGAGGAATGGAGGTCGCTCGCTGCGGCGCACGAGCGGGCGCTCATGTGGCTTCCCCAGGTGCGCTAGTACTTGCTTCTGACAGGGCGAGGCCAGGCTGACCTTGAGATCCGCCGCAGATGCCGCGAATCTGGCTCTCCTATCTCACCCTCTTCGTCCACCCTTCCTGCCCCGCCGCCCTCTCGCAAACCCACGCACGACGCACGTTCGACCGCGCTCTCCGCACTCTCCCGCCCTCGCTTCACGAGCGCATCTGGCACCTCTACCTAACCTGGGCGTCTCCCTCCTCTCCCGCCGCTCCCGCGCCCGAAACCGTCGTCTCCGTCTGGCGTCGCTACCTCTCCCGCGACCCGTCCCCGACCTTCTACTACATCCACTCGATCCTCCTCTCGCTCGACGAGCCCCGGCCGCTCGAAGCAGCAAAGAGGTTGCTCGACCTCGCGCGCAAGATCCAGAAGGGCGAGTACAAGCACCCTACTGGCTCGGCTGGGGAAGTCAAGAGCGCGTATCAGGTCCTTGTTGATTGGCTCGAGGTGTGCGAGAAGTATGCCGAGGAGGTCGGGCTGGATGCGGAGGATAGCCAGAAGTTAAGGGTCGAGAGGGAGAAGGCGGAAGCTGCGGCTGAGCAGGCGAAGGAAAAGCAAGGTGCGAACGGCGATGCACAACCGGACAAACGCGCCATCGAACCGCCTCAGCTTCCCGCCTCCGTTCTCGACCCAACCTCGACAGAACGCCTCGACGTCGACGGTCTCATCCGCACGCACGGTCTCACCATCTACCCCGACCAAGCAGGCCGATTGTGGACCGGTCTCGCGACGTACTGGATCAAGAAAGGCGAGTTCGGACTCGCGCGCGAGACGTTCGAAGAGGCCCTCTCGTCCGTCGTCACCCTTCGCGACTTTACGCAAGTGTTTGACGCGTACGCCGAGTTTGAGGAGAGCGCCATCTCGGCTCTCATGGAGACTATCGCGGATGCGGATGAGGATGCGGATGCGGACGCGGAGGACAAGGCCGAGGACGAGAAGGAGCTGGATGAGCGCATGAAGAACTTTGAGGAGTTGATGGACCGACGGCCGTTCCTCGTTAACGAGGTGTTGCTGCGGAGGAACCCGAACGATGTGCAGGAGTGGGAGAAGCGGGTCGCGCTGTACGGAACCGACGACGAAAAGGTGCGTGGGCTCTCGTTGCATCCGTCTCTCGCTGTCCTTCGCTCTTGTGAGGTCACTGATCTTGATAGGAGCTCTTGCACAGGTCGCCGAGACGTACACCCTCGCGACCAAAACGATCCAGCCTCGCAAGGCTATCGGGTCGTACCACCTCCTCTGGACGCACTTTGCCAAGTTCTACGAGCAAGGCGGTGTGGCAGGAGACGCCGAGAAGGACATTGTCAGTGCGCGCAAGGTCTTTGAGAAGGCGACCAAGGTTTCGTTCAGGAGGGTCGAGGAGTTGGCGGAGGTTTGGATCGAGTGGGCTGAGATGGAGGTGCGGAATGAGTGAGTTCGGCTTCTTCGTCAGGACGTCATGCGAGGCGTCTGGAGAGACAACTCTCCGTTGTCTTGTTACGCGTTGATTGGAAGCCAGCTTACCAGGATGCCACCCGCAGGAACTACGACGAGGCGATCAAGGTCATGCAGCGGGCGACGGCCATCCCACGGAATTGGAAGAGCATCTCGTTCCACGACGAGGTGAGTGCCGGTCCTATTCGCGCCTTTCGCTTGCATGCCCGCTTCGGCGGAGGCGCAAGCTGCGACGCCTCTTTGGGCTTCGGGCTGACTCTTCTCGCTCTCGCAGTCCCTCGCGCCCCAACAACGCCTCTTCAAGTCTCTCAAGCTGTGGTCCTTCTTCGTCGACCTCGAGGAATCAATCGGCACAGTCGAGACGACCAAAGCGGCGTACGACAAGATCTTCGAGCTCAAGATCGCGAACGCACAGGTCGTCATCAACTATGCCAACTTCCTCGAGGAGAACGAGTACTGGGAGGAGAGCTTCAAGGTCAGTCAGGCAAACCTCCATTCTTTCACGTCTTCGCTAGTCAAAGCCATCGTTTGGGATGCTTCAACGTGTGCCGGGCTGACACGTTCCTTCCCTCTCCATGCAGATCTACGAACGCGGTGTCGACCTCTTTACCTACCCTATCGCGTTCGAGATCTGGAACGCCTACCTGAGCAAGTTCGTCAAGCGATATGTACGTCCGCCCGTCTCCTCTCCCAACTGCTGCTTTGCTGAACATTCACGCATCGATAGGGCGGCTCCAAGCTCGAGCGAGCACGCGACCTGTTCGAGCAGGCGCTCGAGACGTGCCCGCCGAAGTACTGCAAGCCGATCTTCCTCCTCTACGGCCAGCTCGAGGAAGAGCACGGCTTGGCGAAGCGCGCTATGGCGGTGTACGACCGAGCAACAAGGGCTGTCGAGGCAAAGGACCGCATGGAGGTGCGTTCGACTCGCCCTCTCTCGTCGATCCTTCAGTATTGACACTGCGTTTTGCAGATGTTCACCTACTACATCGCCCGTGCGACCGCCTCGTTTGGTCTTCCCGCCACCCGACCCATCTACGAGCGCGCCATCGAGTCGCTGCCAGACAAGCAGACGGCCGAGATGTGCCTCCGCTTCGCCGCTCTCGAGCGCAAGCTCGGCGAGATCGACCGCGCGAGGGCTATCTATGCGCACGCGAGTCAGTTCTGTGACCCGAGGGTGCGTTCCGTCTGTCCGACTGCAGCGGAGTGAGCGAGCTGACGCGACTTTCGCTTCGCAGACCAACCCGGAGTTCTGGGCGCAGTGGAACGCGTTCGAGATCGAGACTGGTTCCGAGGACACTTTCCGCGAGGTGAGCTGGTCTCCCTCAAGCGCCTACCTTTCACGCCGCTGCGTGACAGGACGTACTGCCGCGTACTCGGACCAGCTTGACTAAACATCCTCTTACGCTCGCAGTACCTCCGCATCAAGCGTGCCGTCCAGGCGGCCTTCAACACCGAGGCGTCGTACCTCTCCGCCAAGCTGGCTCAGCTCGAGAAGGGCGGCCAGTCTGCGCAGGAGGCGGTCCAAGGCGGACAAGTCGTCGACCCGATGGCAGCGCTCGACCGAGCGACAGGCAGCGGTACTCGTGTCGGCGGGTTTGTCGCTGCGACGAGCGAGAAGGCGGGCAAGCTTGCGGGACAAGGTGGGCAGGAGAACGGAGGAGACGAGCCGGAGCAGGCAAACGCGGACGAGATTGCGGTGGATGACGACGACGAAGACGACGAGTAGCAACGTGCTCGTGAAAAGGCTAGCATTATTGTGAACGGTACCCTGCGGCCTTTGAGGCTCTGCGAGAACAAAGGCTTAGTTCGCGAACAAGAGACGACTCGAGGAGCAGTTGGCTTCTCTCTCCCTCGCCCCGCTCACCCCTCGTCGCTGGAGAAGGTCGAGACAGCTGCTCGCAAGGCTCTACGACAGCGAGCATGGGCGACCACCTGCTGTCCATCCTGCGAGGGACCGCGCCTCCTCCTCCCGCTCCCCCCGCACAACGGCCGCCCTCGACGGCGTCGACGTCGGTCTACGCGACTGCGCCGCCGACTCCAGCACAGCCAGGACAGTCCCGCCAGCCCAATCCGCTTGAACAGCTCCTCAGGACGTTCTCTCATCCCCACCCTTCCAGCCAAACGTCAACCGGAAGTCCAGCTCCCGCCGCACCGCCAGTCCCGCCTCAGCTGCAACACAGGCAGACGGAACAAGGTGCTATGGGAGGTGTGACGAGCGCGCAGGGCGCAGGACAGGCGAGGGCGGGAGAACCTGCCTCTCTCCTCACGCTCTTTCACGGGACGAAGTCGCCTCCGAGTGCAGTACTCGCATCTGCACAGTCGGCCGGGCAAGGCGAAGGTTCGAGTGAAGGAGTGCTGAAGAGCCCGACCAGTCACCGAGGAGGAAACGCGAAGGACTTGCTGGGACTGCTCATGGGCGGGAGCGCAGGTCAGGCGACCACGCAGGACAGGGCGTCTGCGCAAGAGATGGGCGGAGCAGCGACCTCGACGAGCGGGGAGCAGGAAGGGCTGGCGAACCTGCGCTCGCAGCCGCGGGAGGCGACGAGTGCGCCTCAACCTCCTCCTACTGCTCCTTCTACCGGCCAGACGCCCAACTTTGCCTTCGTCTCGCCTTTCGACATTCTCGACAAGACCCGCCAAGCTGAACAATCCCAGCCGCCGTCGCTCGATCCTCTCTCGCCTGGAACCAGCGCGCCTCACCCGATTCTGCCGCCGCACTCGTCTCTTCCTCAGCATATCAGGCCCACCTCTTCGTCTCGTCGCACCACCAGCGAGAGCGACGGCTCCGAGGTCTCGCCTGTCTCCCCTCCCCCCTCGGCCTCTGCGAATGGAGTCGTCCGGCCCCTCACGACGAAGTACCTCTCAATCGCACATCTTCCGCCCAACCCGCCCTTCGCCGCTCCTTCCTGGGCACCCATCGGGCTTCGCCTCCCTCGCTCTGCGATCCCCCCGTCAGACGCGTCCGAGCCACAGCATCTCTCCATCCCGCTCGTCGAGCCGCACCGCGAGTCGCTCGTTTCGCCCAAACCCGAAATTACGCCCGTCGCGCTCTTCAACGTCTCCATACCCAATGTGCACGACGATGACGAGCTCGTCAGGCGCAGCAGGCGGACTGCGGGCATCTGGGACGGTGGGATTGCCTACGCGACTGCGGGAGGAAAGGGACGCGTGAGGGTCATCGACCGCGAGAGCGGCGCCAAGGTCTTGCTCAAGGGTGGCAAGAAGGAGAAAGAGATCGTTGACCTCGCCGTCAGCCCGAAGGCGATGGACGGCGGTCAGCGACTGGTTGCGACAATCGGCAAGGACGGAAGGCTGAGCGTGTGGAAGGTGCCGGACAGCTTTGACAACGAAGAAGCGGCGGAGCGAGAGTGAGTCCAACGCCTTCTTCTCGTCTCGTGCCCTTATTGACGGTTCTTCCTACAGGTGCGAACGCATCCTCGAGCGCTTCGCTTCCGGCGCATCCTCCGACTCCTCCGACTCATCCTCCCCCCGCTACACGCTCGTGCGCTTCGCGCCAAACTTCCCCGCCTCTCGCATGCTCGCCGTCGCCGAATCGGACGCGACAGTCGAGCTCGTCAACCTGCTCGACTCGCAAGCGCAGCCAGTCTCGGTCGGCAAGTCAGGCGATGCGAAGGGCGTCTCCGACGTCGCCTTGACGCCCGACGGATCCGCTGTCGCCGTCTTGTACGCAAACGGCAGCGTTGTTCAGTGGAACGTCGACGGCTCGAACGAGAAGGAGGTCCGCCAGGCTTTCCTTTCGGAAAGCGACCAGGCGAACCAGCTCGTCTTCCTGTACCCGCTGCCTGTCCCAGGTAACGTCGCCGAGTCTCCCGGTTTCGCCATCTCGTCGCGCTCCGGCACCCTGATCAGCATCTTCGCCCTCGGCGCCGATGAGCCCAGCATTGCCATCGACGTCCTCCGCCCGTCCAACGTTTCCTCCGCTTCCCTCTTCAGCCAGATCGCCTACCACGGTCCGAGTCAGACGCTCGTCGCCTCGCACTCTCTCCGTGGCTCGCTTTTCGCCTTCCGCCTCACCTTTCCCTCCCTCCCTGGCGGCGCTCTCCGAGTCAACCACGTCCTCGAGCACCCGACTCCCGCACCCGTCCTGTCGTACTCGCTCGACAACCTTTCGACAGCCGACCCGCGCACCGCTTCGGCCGCTCCTTCCGCTGACGACGGCCGCAATGTCCCTGCCGGTACCAAGCTTCGCTACGGCGCGCTCGTTGTCCACCCTGGCGGCGTGCACCACGTTGCGCTCGTCGCCGAGCACCCTCGCGCCGTCTTGGCCAATGGTTCGTCCTCCAGCGGCTCGTCCCACGATGAGGAGGAAGAGCTCGACGCGTTGGACGCAGCGATGGAGGCTGGGCGGCGCATGTCGCTCGAAGGCTCGATTTACGTCTCGAGCGAGATCGAGGTCTGCGTTGACGAGCCCGAGACCGACGAGATCAGTCTGAGCGTCGCGATTTCGCCGACTCCGCCTGTCGTTTCCGAAGACCACGAGAAGAAGCTTGGCGAGGTCGTCGACGAGAACGAGACGCCGCTCGCCCTGACGCCTCCAGTCTTCTCGCCGCCGTTGCAAGCGGTCCAGGCCACCCAGGAACAGCGCCAGCTCGCCCTTCCCTCCGGCTCTCTCCCCTCATCCGCCGACGAACCCGCCAGCGGAGACCTTTCAAATGGTCTTCCCGCCGCCTCGACACCGGTCCAAGAAGCGGGCGGGGAAATCGGCGCTTCCCCTACGAGCGGGATCAAGCTCGCTGGACCCGTTGTCAACGCCGCTATCAGGAGCATGAAGGCGAGCAAGGTGCCGAGCGGTAGCGGATCTCCGAGGGCGGGTGCGACGGAGAAGGAGAAGAGGGAGGTCTCGGCGAACGGAGACGCCGAGAAGGAGATTGACTCGGGGATGCTGGTCAAGGAGTTGAGGAGGATCGAGGCGAGTCTGCCTGTCAAGATTGGCAAGGCCGTGCAGAAGGAGGTCGAGAAATACGGTGAGCTGGTTCGCGCCTGACTTTCGGCAGCGTCCACTGACAAGCCTCTTCACAGCTTCCCACTTTGCCTCGTCTTCGCGCGCGCCGGCAGTTGACCCGGTCACTCTCTCCGCGTCTGTCGAGGCTGCCGTCTCGAGCGCACTCGAGAAGAGGATGGCCGAGATGGTCAAGGCAGAATTGGGTCGCGAGATTGCCGCGGTTATCCAGAGCGTGCGTGCGATCCGCTCGCTAGCCGTGACGCACCGCTGACGTTCCTGTGCTCGCAGGTCCTCCCGATCGAGTTGCAGAAGCAGCTCAAGCGACCCGACATGACCCTCCCGCTGTCGGCTTCCATCGCCACGACGATCGTTCCTCCTATCGAGCGCACGCTCACCTCGGCACTCGTCAACTCCATCGTCCCGACCTTCGAAGCGAAGCTCGCTGCGGCAGTCGACGGCGTGGTGGAGGACATTCGCCAGGAGATGGTTGATGTGCGCAAAGAGATTATCCAGGAGCAGAGCGGCTCGGTCAGCGTCCTCGAGGACGAGGTGCAGGCGCTGCGGGAGGAGGTCTCGACGATGAAGTCGATGCTCGAGAAAAGGGAGCGTCTCGTCTTGGCGTCCGCAGCTCAGGCCCATCCGCCTGCGACAACCTCGCCCCGCATCGCCCAGCAGCCGCTCCAGCACGCCCGCCAGCCTATTGCGCGGCACACCTCGCAGCCATACGTCGCGACGGGGCCCCTCTCACCCGTCGAGGCGCACCACCCTCTCCGCCAGTCGCAACCCCCCTCCGCCTCCTTCCCTCTCCCGCCTATTCCTCGCGCACAGACGCCGCCGGAGCGCTACGAAGAGCTCTTCACCGAAGCGATGCAGCCGCAGCACGAGCCCGAGTTCGCAGCGCTCCAGCACCTGATCAGCTCGGCGCCCGTCTCACGCATCGACGCCGTCTTCCCGCCGCCGCCTGCTGCGCCCAAGATCACGATGGCGGTTGTGTTGAGCCTCGCGTACAGGCTCAGCCAGGTACTCGCCAACAAGGACGTCCCGCTTGACGATGAGGGCAAGAAGCAGCTCTTGTGGCTCAGGAAGGCGATCGCCGCGTGCGACGGCAAGGTGCGTCCGACGTCTTGCCATCCTCCTCGTCCTAAGAGTTCGCTGACGCCCTCCGTTCCTGCGCAGCAACCGCCGGACCTGCTCCTCCTCATCCCCCGCATCCTCACCAACGTGATCGACAACCTCGTCCTGCGCGGTCGTCGGCTGATGGCGCTCAACGACCAAGCCGGCGCAGGCGACATCCGGCTCGTCCAGCAGTACGCGAACGCGAGGTTGAGCTTGTTTGCGCAGGCAGGGGCGGAGGGGCCGGGTGTCGAGGTGTTTAGGCGTTGAGACAGCGCGCTTCTCCCTTCGCTCGCTCAGTGTATATCGCCTCTTGCGGTCCGCCACGTACTCTCTATGCCGTCTCTCTCTCATTGGACTCCCTCGCTTCGCACATACCCTCCTCCTCCTCCGAGCTTCTCCCGCCTGCTTTTCTTCGTTACTTTACCGTCGTTAACCCGCATTGCAATGCATACTGTAGCTCTCTCGCACGAGTTCGTGGCCGACGAGTTGAGGGGTGACGAGGAGCACAAGCAGGGAGAGGAGGAGGGACAAGTTGGAGGTCGCCCGCCAGTTCGACTGCTGCCAAGTTCACGTCGGATGCTCACGCCATTCGCGGCTCGAGTGAGTCGGGAGGTCAAAGGCGAGCACGTTGAGGGTAAGGGAAGCGAGTCAACGACGAGGTGGACCTTCGCAACTCGCGTGCTCGTCTACGCTCGAGCGACTCGCGCTTGCTCACTTGTCGGACAGCGTTCCAGACGACTTGAAGTAGCGCTGCGAGATTGGCTTCCGTCATGTAACAGGTGCGAAGGGCGGAATGAGGCGCGAAGTTTCGTATCTCCTTCACATCCTGCAAGTCTACAAAGTTGAGCCTCCCTTCTATACCTCAGAGCTTGCACTCTCCGGGCGACAGAATACAAGGAAGAAGAACCCAGTCCTCACGCAGGACTGCGAGGAAGAGGTTGAGGGTCCCGCTCGACCAACGTCTCTCGCACGACGAGCGACGGACGAAGCAAGCGTCTCTTTCGTTGCGTGCGAGGAGGGGGAGTAAGACGGTTAGCGCGCATGGGTCGGAACTCGAGGGGACGCTGGGCGAGGCGAAGGGAGGCGAAGGAGTTTGGGAGAACCAGAGATCTGCCCCCTGCCTCAATGCGCAAACGCAGGTCAGGAAGGACGACGCACTAGTTACCTCCTGCATCGAGTGCCTAAGCCGGATCGAAGAGCCGAGTAGCAAAGACACGGAAGGAGCGAAACAAGCCATCAGCGGGAAGCGCGAGCTGGAAGGCTGGTTGGCTTCCTGGCGCATCAAGCCAAGTCGGGCGAGTAGAGGATTCTTTGTGCGTGCGAGAGCGGTGGAGGAAGAAAAGCAGGATGAGCGGGAGCAGTGTCACGATCCGTACGTTGAGGAAGGCTGGAAAGCGAGCGAGCGAATCAGCAGGATTCGAGGATGAGGTCCCTTAGCAGGTCAGTTCCGAGTCAGTCGGATCCTGCCCGAGTACAGTAGCCTACTCTGCACATCACGCAAGCAGGGGAGCGAACGAACGAAAAGCGCGCAGTAGTAGAGAAGCCGCATCTCTTCGCTTCGCTCGTCGAGCGTTCAACAGCAGCGTGCGCCTCCTCCACCTTCTGGCCCGCCTCTTCTCCGCGCCGAAGGAGCCAACAAGACGAGCGAGTGAGTGAGCGAGCGAAGAAGCTCCTCCGCTCGCCGACCATCCGTCGTCGTCCCCGCCCTCCCTCCCTCCATCTCTCACCCGCCACGCCCGCCACGCCACCCACACCTCCATCAGACCATAGCAACAGGAGAAAGCCATCCCGCCCCATCCCATCCAAAAGAGAAACGCGGAGAACCACTCTCTCCACTGAGGAGGTGGAGCTGTGGAGTTAGTGGAGAGGCCGAGCGAGCGCCGTCGGCATGCGAGTCGTCGAAGAGCGCGGGAGACGTGAGTTGAGTTCGTCTTGCTGCTGGGAGCGACCAGCAGGAGAGGGAGAGAGCGAGGGGAGTCCGCGGACCTTCCGTCCAGCGAGCGATACGAGCAAAGAAGCGGCTCGAGAGCGAGACGGGATCCCCTGCTGTCAAATTCCGATCCGAACCACCGACAAGCCGACGAAAGACGGCCGGCCGGCGGACGGCACACGAGCGGGAAGGGCGCAAAGAACTCAGCGCGGGTCCGCCTCGCGCTTCTGCTGTTTTTGGGGAGTAAGTTAGTGAGTGGTCGGGATGATCGCTTCGAGGAAAAGATAGCGAGTCTAGTCTAGGTCGAGGAGCAGGAGCAGGAGCAGAGCAGGGAGAGGAGGCGGGACGAGGAGCGCGAGTCTCCTCTCTGGTCGTTCCGGCCGGATCCGCGGAGTATGATGCTATTGCTGAGTTAGCCAGCCCGAGCCAAGGGAGGCTGTGAGTGCACGAGAAGAGCGCAACCAACGGAGCACAGTGAGCGCTTGCTTGAGCGAAAAGGACGAGAAGAGCGAGAGGGGTTTCGCTCGCGCCGTCTGTTGCCCCGGGATCCGCGTTATCTATCGCAGCAGTGGGAAGCGAGAGGAGAGTGCACTCTCGAGCAGGAGTGAGAGAGTGGCGCAGCTGAGAGAGAGAGTGCGAGGGAGAGTGAACTGTGCCCGAGTCCCTCGCGCCGAAGTGCTGAGTCCGAGGAGTGGCTCCGTCATGGCGAGGTGAGAGAGCTGGGGCCAGCGTACAGTAGTGTGCGAAACTGCGAAGTGAGGGCGGGGTGCGAAAATGTGCGAGGGAGAGAGTCCGTCCGCCGAGCGCGGGTGCGCTGGGGGTCGAAGAGGAGGTCGGCGTCGGCGCGAGCTGAGCGAGACGGGTGCTGCTCTTTCTCTCTCTCTTGCTCTTGTTCTTGACTCCAGAAGAGCGTCTCCCACTCTTTCTGAACCCCCGTACGAAAGAGCAAGGCACTCGAGCCCAACTTCGGCCTCGCCCGCATCCAGCCAGCCAGCCCGCCTCGCTCTCTCTCTTTCCCTCTTTCTCTTCTTCTTCTTCACCCGACAACTCTGCGCAACACTCGGCCATGTCGGCTCCGTTGCACAACAACGAGCACGGCGCTCAACCTGAGGTCGTCGAGGAGAAGCACGCCGCGCCTCCCGCCGCCGCCCAGGCCACCGCGGCTGCTCCCCAGCAGGAGGGCGCCGCACCCGCCGCTCCCACCGAGAAGAAGGCCGGTCGCTTCGACAAGACCTTTGTGCGTACACAATCACTCTTTCCACGCAAGAAGAGCCGGCACTGACGCGAGGAAACGGTTTGTTTTGGCCCACCCACCCTCGAAATCCCGCGCTCGCTCAACTCGTCCGGATCTCGCGCGATTCTCGCTCGTTCGACCGTGCAGGAGGAGGAGCGCGAGGTCAAGCATGCCCTCGTCGACATGAGCACCATCGAGCTCAAGGCCGAGGACTTGTACGACAAGGTGCGCCTGCGTCCCCCTCGCACCCCTCGATGACGAGCCAGCCTCGCTGACTCCTGTCTCGCCTCCTTTCCACCTCCTTGCGCCGTCCTTCCCACTCGTGTGCGATACTGCGGCACTGTGCGATGCCCTGCAGGACAAGGTCGACCTCGAGCAGGTCGAGATGGAGGACGTCTGGACCCTCCTCCAGTGAGTCGCTCGCTCTCCCCCCTCGCTCAGCTCGCCCGGCCTCGAGAAAGTCCCTGCGGTACTGGACACGGTGTCTGAGCATGTTGAATCACGGCGTGAGGGGTGTTTGGACGGCGCGCGACGAGGGGATTCGCGGGGCGTCGGGCTTGCCTGATTGGCTGCACAACACGAGCCCGCTCTTGCTCGGCCTGTGGCTCAGCTCGACTGACAATGCCCTCGTACCGTGCCCAACAGGTGCAAGGAGGACGGTCTCACCAACGCCGAGGCCGAGCGCCGTCGCGGCATCTTTGGCCCCAACAAGCTCGAGCACAAGGAGACCTCGGTCCTCCTTCAGTTCCTCTCGTGAGTTACCTGCTACCGCCTGAACGTTCTGAACGGCATGCTGACGACGTTGTTGTGCCGCGCGCAGCTTCATGTGGAACCCGCTCTCGTGGGTCATGGAGGGCGCCGCGCTCGTCGCCATCGCGCTCTCGAACGGTGAGGGCCGCGCGCCCGACTGGCAGGACTTTGTCGGCATCGTCCTCCTCTTGTTCATCAACTCGACCATCGGTTTCTACGAGGAGCGCTCGGCCGGCAACGCCGTCAAGGCGCTCATGGAGTCGCTCGCGCCCAAGGCCAAGTGCAAGCGCGACGGCACCTGGATCGAAATTGAGTCGTCCGACCTCGTCCCGGGAGACGTCATCTCGTTCAAGATTGGCGACATCGTCCCCGCCGACTGCCGCCTCTACGACGCCATCAACGTCTCGATCGACCAGGCCGGTCTCACGGGCGAGTCGCTCCCGCAGGGCAAGAAGGTCGGAGACCAGTGCTTCTCGTCGTCCATCTGCAAGCAGGGTGAGGCCGAGGGCGTCGTCATCGCCACGGGCGCCAACACGTTCTTTGGTCGCGCCGCGTCCCTCGTCGGCGCCGACGACGACTCGACCGGCCACTTGCAGCAGATCCTCGCCCAGATCGGTCTCTTCTGCCTCGTCTCGATCGGCATCTTTATCCTCCTCGAGATTCTCATCCTCTACCCGCGCTTCCACTACTCGTACCGCCGCGGACTCGACAACATCCTCGTCCTCTTGATCGGTGGCATCCCCATCGCCATGCCCACCGTCTTGTCGGTCACGCTCGCCGTCGGCGCCCAGCAGCTCGCCAAGTACAAGGCCATCGTCACCCGCATCACCGCCATCGAGGAGCTCGCCGGTGTCACGATCCTCTGCTCGGACAAGACGGGCACGCTCACCACCAACAAGCTCACGATCGACAAGTCGACCCTCAAGACGTACTCGAGCTTCAACGCCGACGAGGTCATCCTCTACGCCGCGTACGCCTCGCGCACCGAGAACATGGACGCCATCGACACGTGCGTTACCGGCGCGCTCCCTTCCGTCGCCGACGCCCGCGCCGGCATCAAGCTCCTCGACTTCAAGCCGTTCAACCCCGTCGACAAGCGCACCGAGATCACCTACACCGTTGACGCGACGGGCGAGATGAAGCGCGCGACCAAGGGCATGACGGGCATCATCATCGAGCTCTGCTCGCGCAACAAGACGGCCGAGGTCGAGGACCAGCTCGAGAAGGACGTCGAGGAGTACGCCGCGCGTGGACTCCGCGCCCTCGCCGTCGCCGTCGAGGACGTCCCCTCGGGCAACAAGGACGAGCCCGGAAACGGTTTCGAGTTGATCGGCCTCCTCGCCATCTTTGACCCGCCCCGCGACGACACCAAGCAGACTATCGACGAGGCCATCGCCCTCGGCGTCCGCGTCAAGATGGTCACCGGTGACCAGCTCGCCATCGCCAAGGAGACTGGACGTCGTCTCGGACTCGGTGACCACATGTACCCCGCCAAGGTCCTCCAGACCGGCGGCTTCCCCGAGGGCGGCAAGCACATGAACCTCGACGAGATGATCCTCGACGCCGACGGTTTCGCCGGTGTCTTCCCCGAGCACAAGTACGAGATTGTCAAGCGCCTCCAGGGTCTCGGCCACCTCTGCGCCATGACTGGCGACGGCGCGAACGACGCGCCCGCGCTCTCGCGCGCCAACGTCGGTATCGCCGTCGAGGGCGCGACCGACGCCGCCCGTGGCGCCGCCGACATCGTCCTCACCGAGCCCGGTCTCTCGACCATCGTCCACGCCATCCGCCAGTCGCGCGTCATCTTCCAGCGCATGCGCAACTACTCGATCTACGCCTGCGCCGTCACGATCCGTATCGTCGTCGGTTTCGCCGTCATGGCCTTTGCGTTCCAGTTCGACTTCCCGCCGTTCATGGTTTTGATCATTGCCCTCCTCAACGACGGTACCATCATGACCCTCTCGCTCGACCGCGTCTTGCCCTCGACCACGCCCGACTCGTGGGACCTCGGCGAGATCTTCACGTACGCGTTCGCCTACGGTCTCTACCTCGCTGCCGGCACGATCGCCTTCTACTGCGTGATCATCTACACCACTTTCTTCACCCGCAAGTTTGGCGTCAACGACATCACCGACCACAACGACCCCGACGTCCACATGATCGTGCGTCGCGCGCGCGCGCTTCCTCCCTCGCCCTCGCGCTTCCGTGCTGACTCGCGCTCGTTCCCCCCGCTCGTGCAGATCTACCTCCAGGTCGCTCAGATCTCGCAGGCGCTCATCTTTGTCACTCGCTCGCACTCGTTCTTCTTCATGTGCGTCGACGGTCCTCCTCGTCTCCTCCCTTCCTCGTGCTAACTGAGATTCGTCCTCGCTCGTGCAGGGAGCGCCCGTCGGTTGCGTTGTTCCTCGCGTTCTGCTTGGCCCAGCTCATCTCGTCGATCATTGCTGCCTACGGCAACTGGGGCTTCACCAACGTTCGCGGTGTTGTGCGTCTTGCCTCGTCCTTCTTCTGCTCCATCACACACGCGCTGACGCTCGTGAACGACGCAACAGTCGGGCGGATGGATCGGCATCACCTGGATCTGGAACATCATCTGGTTCTTCCCGCTCGACTTTGTCAAGGTGCGTCTCCCTTTGCTTCCTGGCGCTCGCACGATGCTGACGAGTGCTCTACGCGCAGTTCGGTGTTCGCGCTGGTGTCCGCGCCTGGAACCGTCGTCGCGGAAAGAGTGCGTCCCGACTCCATCTCTTCGCCTCCTCGCCCATCTTGGTTGCTGACCATGGTCTCTGTTCCCCGCAACAGCTCCTCAGGCCATCAAGCCGGTCGAGGGTGTCCCCATGACCCGCACCCAGTCCCGTCACGAGTCGCTCTACTCGAACCGCACTTCGGTACGTCGGTCCCCGACCATCTCCTGCTCCTCTGTTGCTCACTCTCTTCCGTCTACAGTTCCTCCGCCGCGCGCAGCGCTCTGTTGGCCTCGGACGCAAGGTGCATGTTAGTAACCAAGACCTCCAAAGGTTCGGCAGTCACCAGGCGTCCGCCTCTGGCGCCGCCCTCCGCGCATAAGCCTGTGCTTCGCCTAGACTGCGATTCGGCTCCAGTTCCTTTCGCCTTTCTCCCGCTTTTCCCTTTCATCGTTAGTCCCCTCCATCCCCGTCGTCTCCCCCTCGCTCTCGCCTTCGCATATTCCCCCCCTCACATCCGCTCGTCTCTCCGCGTGCTCTCTCTCTCTCGCTCTCTCGTCGTTAATATCAGACTCACACAAGTTCCTAGAGTACACAAAGACTGGTTCTTCGCACATCGTTCGTTCGCCGTGAGAGGAGGAGAGGAGAGGAGAGCAAGTTGGTCTGTCTACCCGTCCCGCCGCTTCGCTTCGCTTCGCTTGGCCTGTCGCTTGTCTGCTCGTGTGCCTGCTAGCACAGTACTGCTGCTCGAGCCATCCGTTCACCGCCGTCGCCATCGCCGCCGCCGACTGTCTGCTCCTGTCCTCGACTTCCGCAACTCCGCTCTTTACGCCTCATCATGTTTCGTTCGGCTGCTCGAGCGTGCAGGCCGCGCATCACACCTCTCAGGACCGCGCCTCGAGCAGTCCCAGCCCCGCGGCGGTCCTTCTTCTGGTCCTCGTCGTCCTCATCAGCTGCAGCTTCCGCAACCGATCTCGCCGCCAACCACGTCCCATCTGTCGCGCCAGACCTCCTCCCTCTCCTCTTCGGCGTCCTCCTCGCTCATGCCGCCATCGACGAGTCGGACGACGAGAAGACCCTGCATTGTCCGCCTTGGAAGGTCGAGTCGTTCGGCGACAAGGGGTTCGGAGCGGTCGCTGCGAGAGACATCAAGCGGGGCGAGAGGCTGATCTCCGAGCGCCCGTTGTGCTGCTGGCCGAACAACATCAGCGCGGAAGAGGCGAAGCGGTTGTTCGAGGCCATGTCGGAGCAGGAGCAGGCGGCGTTCATGGCGCTCGCGAGGACGGACGGGAGTGGAGGAGTGACGAATCTGGATGAGATTAGGGCGAGGAGGGCGACGAATGGGTTTTCGATCCCGTTGCCGGCCGCGGACGGCTCGATGATGGGCAAGAGCGTCGCGATGGTGTTCCCGAGGATTGCGCGGTGCGTTGCGATGTTCTTCCTTGACGCAGCAGTCTTGGTCCTGACTCTCGTCGATCTGCAGGATCAATCATAGCTGGTGAGCCTTGACGAGCGATGGTCGACTAGCTGAAGTTGCTCGACGAGTGCTAGCGACCTTGGCAACGCTTTCAGCGGCTGACACACCCGTACTGTACCACAGCGCACCAAATGCCGCTCAAGCAATGAATGTGAGTGATTTCTCCTCGCCATCGCTTCCGCCGCAGGACTGACCGCCTTCTCTCCGCAGTTCATCACCTTCCGCATGGAAGTCTACGCCATCACCGATATCCCCGCCGGCACCGAGATCACCATCGAATATGTCCCATCCCTCATTACCGCCTCCGCCCTCGAGCGAAGACAGAAGCTGCGAACCTCGTTCGGCTTCGACCGCTGCCTCTGTCCCGTTTGCGCCGCCTCGCCCGCCGAGGTTGAGCTGAGCGACAGCCGACGAAGGGAGATCAAGGCGATCAGTGGGTCGTTCCGAGCTGGAGGCGGGAACAGGGAGGCGAACTGGGCGAAGATGACGCGGATACAGCAGTTGCTCGACGAGGAGGGCTACCGAGGGTTGCCTGACTTCGGTGCGCGCTCACTCTCACGTACAATGCATGTCCTTCTAGTCGTGCTGACGGACTTTGTGCAGGCGACCCGAGCTTCAACCACGCCTTTGCCGTCTTCCGCACCATGCTCTCGCCTGCCCAGGGCTCGACTCCTCTTTCCGCCTCATCCTAGTCCTCGTCGACGCACCATCTCGTACATTGCAACTCTTCATACAGCCGCTCGACGTACAGCACAGCGACTCTGCACCTCCTTCGCACTCTCGCTCCGCAGCATTCGCTACGGGACTGACCTCGCTCGCCATCGCACGCTCACTCTCGCGACATGGCGCTCCCGCTCTCGCGCCCGAACGCCATCCGCTGCCGACGTATGCGGGAAATGTCGACAGCTTGCACCGCTCTTCCTGCTGTTCTCGTCATCGCCAGCCCAGGTTGAGACGAGACTTGACCTTCGTCGATGTCGGCGGGCTCGTCTGCCTCGTCTGCTGCTGCTCGTGCGAATCCCGGCTTACCAGCATCCTCACTGAACGAGTCTGAGGCCGCGTCTTTGCTGCGGAGCGATTCAGGCGCAAGTGAGTTCACCTTCTCTCGCCGACTCGCGCTTCCTTCGCTGACAATGGGTTCTCACAGGTCGGCTAAGTCGCCCGCCGAACGCCCCAAGAGCAGATATCGCACACGCTGCAACACCGCCTGCCCAGACCGCTGCGGCGCTGGCGGACCAGACGCTCCCTCAGCTGGGAGGCGACGCGGCTCACCCCATCGCAAGGTTGCGACAACTCGCTCTCTTGCAGTCTCTCGTCGCACGTCAGACGGCAGCCTTGGGCGGCAGCGTCGCGCCTGTCTCCCCGGGGCGCAAACACGGCGGCCCGTTGCCGCACCCTCATCCCCTCGACGGCAGCCTCTACCCTTCCCTATCCTCCCTAGACCAGCAGCCGTCGCCGGCCCATCCACTCCTTCCTCTACAAGGCGTCGACGCGACGATGAGCGGTTTTGGACCAATTCCGCAACCTAATATCTTCGGCCTCAACGAGCTCCGTCGAGACTCGCTGGGCGACTCGTCGATCACAGCGGACGAGCTCGCCGCCGCACAAGCCTCGCTCGACCTGTGGACCTCGACGGTGTTCAACAGCGCCTCGCCGTTGGGATCGCCGCTCGGGACGCCATCCGCCTATCCGTTCGACCAAACCAGCGCAGCATTGGGTGCACTCGGAGGTCTTCCTTCATCCTCCAGCGCCTCGCCGTACCTTGACTGGTCTGCTCTCTACCCTCAAGGTAGTCAGCCTTCACCGCCTTCCTCCGCCGCCTTTTCGCTTCCTCCCATCTCCACCCTCGTCCCGCAAGTCAACCACCTCCCTTTAGCTTCACCACACGACCGCCCCTCTCTCGACCGCTCACTCTCATCTTTCACTGGCTCGCTCTCGATCGACTCGCCCTCGACCCGCGCCGTCCCCTTTCTCCCGCCTGTCGAGAACTCCGCTCCAGCTTCGCGCTCCAGCTCGCCCACCCAGCGCTCTCAGCTCTCCTCGTCCCAAGGGGCAACGCCCACCCGACGCAGTAGCCGCGCAAACGCCGGAGCGCGCGGTCGAGCCGCTCTTGCGGAAGCTGCGGACTTGGGCGAGGAAGGCGGACGGGAGACTCGCGCTGGATCGCTGAGCGGAAGCGAGGAGGGAAGTTTGAGGAGGGGCTCGACGGGTCCGAGTAAGCCGAAGGAGTTGATGACGCCCGAGGAGATTGAGGACGACAAGCGGAGGAGGAATACCGAGGCGAGCGGTGCGTTGGGCCTTTTGCCTCTCCTTTCCTGCTTCGTGCTGATTGATTGTGTCGGCTCAGCACGCTTTCGAGCGAAGAAGAAGCTTCGAGACGCCGAGTTGCAGCAGACGAGCGCACAGCTTCGCGAACGACTCGCAACTCTCGAGAAAGAGAAGGACTCGGTGCGCTCCTCCTTCCCGCCGACCCTCTCCTTCAGTTTAGCTGACGAGCTTCGCGGATCTAACTTAGCTCACGAATGAAAATCGATGGCTCAGGGATATTGTCGCTGAGAAGGCCGAGGTCAACCCGCGAGTGCTAGATGCGTTGCGGTATCAGGCGAGCGGTGGGTCGGCGGCGTTTCGGTAGGAGTAGCTAGAGGCGTAGAGGAGTAGAGACGTGTACAGCGTTTTTCGTGACCAGTGAAGTCGACCCGAGCGAGAGTTGCTCAAAAGCGAGGATGATAGGCGACGCCTGGCAAGCTCCGATCACAGCAGTGAACAAGACAAGCACACGCAGACTGCACAGTAGCGTGTAGCAGCGCAAGGAAGAAACGGACTGAACAACCCTCGTTTTCGCCTCCCAAATCACGAGGTCTACGTCTCCTCTCCCGCTCCAGCTCGAATTCTCGCAACCCGCGCTTAACCGATAACAACCTTGCTGTCCTCGGGGAAGTCGTATTCGGGGATCTGCACGGGCGCGAAGGTGAGCAAGGAGGTTGGTCGAAGGAAAGGGCAAGACGGACCTCGAGGTTGAGGGGCGCAGGACCCTTGCGTGCTCGTCCTGAAATGTCATAGTGCGAACCGTGCTGCGTGTGCGAAAGCGCAGAAGAAGGGAGGAAGGAAGTTAGCGGAGAGCCTCAGCGACGAGCTCAAGGTGCGGAGAAAACGCACGCAAGGGCAGTACCATCCTCCGTAGTCGCCAGCCTCTCCGATAGGAACGCATCCCAAGTGCGTGCAAACACCTACTCGCGAACAAAGTGAGCGAAAGTCTGACGAGAAAAGCGGAAGCGGGACGAACCGAGCATGATGAGCCACTCGGGCTTCTTGACGCGCTCCGAGTCCTTCTGCGGGTCGCGGAGCTTGGAGACGTCGACCTTGTTGGCCTCCTCAATCTCGCCGGCGGTACGGTGGCGGATGAAGACGGGCTTGCCGCGCCACTGTGAACGCGACCGGCAATCCAGTCAGTCTCGCGCACGAGAGGTTAAGGGGCAATGCGAGCGACGCACCTTGATGATGACGTTCTTGCCCTCGGGGATGGTGGAGAGGTCAACCTCGACCTTGGCCAACGCAAGAACGTCGGACGAAGCCGACATGTTGGTCAAGAAGTCGGTGACGGTCGACTTGGCACCAGCAGCGGTGACAAGTCCCATCGTTCCGACCATGAAGTAGGAGAAGGCGCGGCCGGAGTCGGGGGTCGTCGCCTTGGTGTACTTGGAGAAGTCGGGAACCTGCGACGCGGCATCGAGGGTCTTGGCCGAGGTCGAGAGGGAGCGAGACTGGAAGGGCGAGACGGCGGAGGCTGTAAGGGTACAATGAATGTCAGTAGAAAGCCTCTCGACGCAAACAGCGCAGTCCTGATGAAGCCGAGTCGAGCGAGATGGACGAGGAGAGCCAGGTCGGAATCAACAGCAGGCGGTCCACCCGAGACCTGTCAGCACTCCAGGATGCCCTGCCACAGTCCTCGCACCCTCAGAGCAGCCCCAGCCCATGCCGTCGCCCGTCCACACCGCTTCGCCCGACCCCCTCCTCGACGAAACCATCTCGACGGGACCGGACCTCCTGGAGGCCTGCCGACAACGCCGTGCCCTCTCTCCAGCCCTCAGCTGCCTTCTCAGACCTTAGCGAGCGCCCCGCCAGCCCTGCGACCCGTTGCGATTCGCGCCGCCCCGTCCGATCCCATCCCCTGCTCGACGCCGCCCTCAAACGGCGACTCACCGTTGACGCGGGACTGGCTGGTGATGCCAAAGGGTCCTACGGTGGTCCTGCCCGCGAACGCAGCGGGCTTGTCTGCGCGCGGACCGGCGGCGCCGTGTCCGCCGTGGCCGTGAGCAGCGGGCTCACCTTTGGCGGCGAGGTTGAGCGCGCGCGCGGCGGGGACGCCCGAGGCGAGCGAGTACGCCGACGGTGCGAGCGTGATGGCCTTGCGCGTGAGTGACATCGTGCGAGCGGGTGAAGCAGCAACTCGGAAGCGAGGCGACGAGGCCAAGTGCTGCTGTGTGGCCGTGGATTGGACACCTCGCATCACTCTCGAGGGGCACCAGGAGGGCACTGTGCAGCTCGACAGGACCCTGGAAACGACCGAAATGCAATGCAAAGTGTCCGTGGAACAACAGCGACCCGACGAGGCGAGCGAGAACCAACCAAACCCAGCGAACGTCTCCTCCTCAGAACGGCCACATCTTCTTGGCGAGTGTTCGTGCGTATGGGATGTAGCTGAGCGAGTACCCTGTGCAGCGGTGCGGGGAGTTCAGTCAATGAGGGGGAGACGGGGAGGAGGAGAAACGAGAGGGGAGGCTCACATGCGTAGGCGAGGTAGGTGCAGACCGCAAAGACAATGACCAGCACGCTGCAGTAGAGGGCGTGAGCGGTCAGTCATGTCTGTCTCAGCTAGCAGTGGCTCGCCGCTATCGGCACGAAGCAGCGCAGCGAGGAAAAAATGAGGACGCACTCGATGCTGATCACGAACGCGAAGACGAATGTGAGGGCGATGCAGAGCAAGAAGATGGCTGCCAAGAGGAAGACTCAGTATATAGCTCGCGGGAATGGCCGGGACAGACCTGCGCAGTGCAAGGAACGAAGAACGAAGAACCCCGACTCACCCGCCGCATACCGCCGCACCGGATCCCACATCATCTTCAGCTGCTTCATGAACCCTAGCAGAAACCCAGTGCCTACGAGACTCGCGACGACGCCTACGACGTAGAGCGTTGCGAAAAGGGCGACTTGTCCTAGGGCGAAAAAGATGGCGCCGAGGAGGGAGAGGGCGAAGCCGACTACGACACTATGTGCGGCGTTGAGTGAGCACGAGAGCGGAGGAAGCGAGGGGTATGGGGAGAAGCGCAACACACCAGATGCCGAAGCCGTACAACCGTTGCGTTCTTGTGAGGTCGAGGAACTTGAACGCCGATTCATCCTGGAGCGCACGAGACGGTGCGTCAGCTTGCGAAAAATGACTTGCCACAGCAAGGCATCCTGATCCGCCTAGAGACACAGCTCCTCGAACGCCAAGCCAAAGAACCCGCACACACCTGCGTCGTCATGTTATCCACAACGCCCGCCGCTTCACTCCCACTCAGCGGGTTCCACTTGTTCCACAAGTCTGACATGTGCGCTCGAGTACTGGGAGGGCGAGGAGGGAGGGTCGTGCGAAGTTGGGCGATGAGGATGGAGAGAAGGTGAGGGGGTGAAGTGAGAGGATGGGAGGGCCGCTGCGCGTCACTTGGGGATTGCCGAAAGTTGCGTGGAGCTCTGGCTCGACAGCGAAGGCCGCAGTGCAGTTTGTAAAGCGGCGAGACGAGGTGTAAAGTTGGCGAGGAGTCGCGCAGCGGGAAACGAGTTGGCTGGCGAGCTCCGTTGCGGTGCGCGACGACAGCGGAGGTTGGCGTAGAACTAGCAGGAGCGCAGAAGGAGCGCAAAAGGGCAGAAGGCGAGGAGGAAGCGTATGGAGAAGCGTTCGAAGCGAGGGAGGACTTCTTCAGCTCTGCAATCCGTTCGTTCCGGCAAGAAACGGCTGTACTGCATTCTATAAACCTATATACTATCGAAGACGCGGCAGAAAGATAAGGGTATCTATAAGGAGGCGGACACCATCAAGGGAGGAGAAGGACGAAAAGACCTCGTCTCGACCTCCTTCGATGATCCGCCATCGATGCTCTAGGGTAGATAAAGACGCTGTATATGACGGCTCGTCGGTCACGACGAGGCGGAGGTGTAGTCCTCGTGGGCGGCCTGGAGGAGGAGGACAAACGCCTCGCCTTCGGGCGACTGCGATGCCTGCTGCTTGAACGACAGCGGGTTCTGCGAGCCAACCATTCAGTCTGCAGTTTGTCTGCTGGGAGCGAGTAAGCAGGACTCACGACGACAGGCGCGACCCAGCCGCTCGAAGTGTCGACCTTCCCGTTCACCGCCGCTCGCAAGGCAGCAGCCTGCTTGATGACGCTCGAGTCGGTCAAGGCGCCGAGCTGTGCGAGTCGGTAGGCCGCAGCGGCAAGAAGAGCGGAGCCGGATGCGTCGGAGAAGGAGGATCCAGACGCCGAGTCGTAGTAATTGGGCAGGAGGCCGTCGGACTGCGCGAGCCGAAGGAGTGAGCTTGTGCGCACCCGTCCTGAGCAAAAAAGGACGCACCTTGACATTCTGGAAAGCAGCCTTGACGATCTCAACGCCCCATTCACCAAAATCCGCCGCCTCGCTCGCGAGCGTCTCGTTCCACTGACTCTTCTGCACCGTCGCCAACACCCGGGCGATCCCGTGCGCCGCCCAGCCGTTACCGGTCGACCAAAGACCGCTGTCGGTAAAGTCACCCTGCACGACATGTTTCCACGAGCCGGACGATGTGCGGAGATAGGAACGGTAGAGCTTGATTTGGTTGTAGGCTTCGAGGACGAGCGAGCGGTCTTGCTTGACGACGCCGTAGTAGGCGAGGAAGGGAGGGACCTGCAAAGCAGACGGAGTTAGGGGAGACGAAAGCGAGGAAGAAGAAGAGAGGTTGGCGAACCATCGAGATGAAGTCTGCCCAAAGCGAGACCGGCTCTCCAGCTGGCCTATGCGAAATGGCGCCATCCGACGTCTTTGGTACCGAGTTGAGGAGGTAGTTGACCTCCTGCTCCGCCTCCGACAAGTACGTCTGCTTCGTCGAGTCGTCCGCAAACGCCGCTGCGACCAGCCAGCCGACTCCCAGTGCCGCAGGATCCGCCGCTGCGCCACCATTCTCGTACGCAAGCTGGTTTGTCCAGCTCGGACGAAGGGAAGCCCACTTGTGAACGAGCGACGAGAGTTCGGTCGGTTTGGCCGAAGCGGAGGGAGGGTACGTCGCAGACGAGAAGACCGAGAGGGAGGGGTAGTCGAGCTCGATGAGAGCCTCCATCTGCGTGCCGCCGACCCATCTGAACGGACAAGAAGGATCAGCTTGTATCAGAGGAAGAAGCGGCGAGAGGGAGGGCGGCGAACGCACGTATCGCCTGCAGATTCGTTCAGGCGCTGCTTGACGAGGGTCAGGACGTTGAGCGGTAACGCCGACGAGTCGAGTGCGACTGGAGCAGCGAGAGTCAGAGAAGCGACGGCAGCGAATGCGCCAAGTAGCTGGATCGCCCGCATCTTTGCCAGCAACGTTGCTGTTCCGCCGGCAAGCTGGACGAAGGACACTAGGCGTGAACGAACGACACGAACGAGTGAAAGTCTGAGCAGGCAGCAGAGTCGGAGCGGGTGAGAGGAGACAACGGACGGCGAACTTGAACAGGCAGGAGGAAGACACTCGGAAGCCGGCTCAGTCTGATCGAGTTAGACCTGCTGCGACTTCGAGTCTCGGCGAGCCAAGTCGGCGTCATCAGGACTGCGATGCCCCAGACCAAGTCGCGGAGACGGCGGGTTCGACGAGCTGAACGGGCAGGCGCCAGAACCAAACGCGGGTGCACAGCGCGCTCTTCGCGCTCGGCGTTTGCACGGTGCTGGAGCTTGACGAGTCGCTGGCCCAAGTCGGCTTCTCGCGCGATGCTTACTGTGGTTGAAGCATGCGGCCGTCCTGGGCGTTGCAATGAGGAGCTCGAAGCGCGCTGTGGCTGGATGCTGGCATTGTATGGCCAGCAGCAAGCTCTGCGAGCGCGAGGGAGCTCTTCGCAAGGAGCGGACAAGGAGGAGAACTTGCCGAGAGAGGCAGGTCGGCGAGGAGGCCAACTCCGTCGTGAAGCTGAACTCGACACTCTGCTGCTCTGCGTTGTTCTGCTGTATGAATTGCAGGCAAGGTCGAAGCAGCAGGGAGGTATAGCCGCAGAAGAGAACGGAGGAGGCGGAGCGGAAGCAGGGGAGCGACGAGCGAGCGAGGTGTGTATGGCCTAGTGAGAACAGTGAGATGCGCGCGACCTATGCAACCAGAACTGCGTGAGGAGGATACAGAGGGTACAGCGAGACTGTGCGAATGGTGAGAGAGGGACGACAAGGGAACAAGAACAAACGATGAAGAGCTGAAAGAGAACCGGGGCCGCGCAGTCGTGAGTGGGTATCGGCGGCGCTTTTTTATAGCTGTTGCGCCCAAGCAGACGTCAAGTCTTCCTCGAGCTTGGGCATCGACCCGCTGAACGAGTGCTGGGGCGACTGCATGTTCGAGTGCGAGGGCGAGATGGTCATGGGCTGGAAGGACGAGCCGAGGCCGCCGGTCGGCGAGCCGCTGCCACTCGAGCCGTTCGACGTGAACGACATGGCCGACGAGAAGCTCTGGGGGTTGATGCTGCCGCCCGAACCGCCCGCAGCCTGCTTCTGCGACTTGGCCCAGCGGAGACCGCACGCGTTGCAGAGCGTCTTGTTGCCATTCGGTCCCGAGCGCCACCTGCGAGACGAGCAGCGTCAGCTTGATATACTGCGAGTGAGAGGGAAATGAGGTGAACGCACTCGGGAGAGTCCGTACGACCGCAGTTCTGGCAGATGCGGCCGGTGTTGGAGGACGACGCCTTGGAGCCCGAGTCGGACGAAGCCTTGCGCGACTTTTCCGAATAGACGCTACCGCGCTTGCGACGACGGGCGAGAAGGTACTCCTTCTCGTCGCGTAGCTTCTTGTTGAGGTTTTGGACTGCGGCGAGAGGAAGGTCAATTCGCGCGGTCGACGGCGAGAGGGCGAGCTGCACGCACGCTGGTGGAGCTCAAACTGCCAGCTGGTCGGCCGCCGCGTCTCGAGTTCGTCAAAGACGTTGTCGCTGACCGCGCTCGGGTGCGTGAGAGTCTTGAACGTGCTCTGGAACGCGCCGGCGCTGCTCTCGCGACTGCTGCTGCCGCTGCCGGACGCGCTCGACTCGACGTCCGAAATGGCGGGCGAGCGGCCGGCCGGCGACGAGTAGACGGGCGCGTTGAGCCCGAAGGGACCCTTGTGCTTGCGCTCTTCCGAGCTGAGCTCGTTCGTCTGCGCGATAAGGGCGATGTGCGACGGGCCAGAGGCGATCTGCGGGATACTCGGGTCGAGAGGCTCGGGGTGGCGAGGGTAGAACTCTGCGAGTCGAGGCGAGAAGTCAGCGACGACGGATATTTTGAGGACTCGGGGCAACGCACTCGTGACGACGTCGACGACTCCACGCCTCGTCTTGACCTTGTACTGCAAACTGGCGGGAACGCCGAGCTGCGCCTGCTGGATCGTCGCCTCGAGACTCTGGCGGTACTCGGGGAGGGCGATGTCGAAGAGCGAGGTGCCGACTGCTCGAGCAGGGTTCGTCAGCCATACTCGGCACAAAGTCGAGGAAGCGCTGTACGCACCAAGGTCGTTCGGCAGGTAACCCAAGACGGCCTGCGTGCCGAGCGTCGCGGTGAGGAGGGTTCCCCTCGGGTTGATCTTGACCCAAAACTCGGTGTCGCCCAACCCGCCGTTCTGCCTGAGCTCGTTCCAGTTCATCTGGAGGACATCGCGCGGTCTCGCCACAGCAATCACACACTTGCGACCCTTGCCCGGCTCGATGTGCAGCTTGCCAGTCGCCTCGATCCAGACGTATCCCGAGTGCTTGCGGCGAATGCGGTAGAGGAGCTTGACGTGCGGGTTCTGGATCGACGAGGCGTCCTTGAGCTGGCGCATGACGGGTACGACGTCCGAGGGATGGCAGAGGGACGACAGCGTCGCGCCGACGAGCTCGCTCGCTTCGTACTCGAGCACCTTGGCGACAGCCGGCGAGCAGTACAAGAGCGAACCCTTGAGACTGAGGACGTGGACAAAGTCGTCCGCCTGCCCGAGGAGGAGCTTGTGGAACGCCCGCTTGTCGACTTCGAGGTCGAGCGAGCCGATCCCGCGCGAGGCAACGATGTCGAGCAACTCGTCGTCGGTCCGCATCGACGGCTCGCCGCCTGCGCCGCCCATCTGCGCGCCGGGCGAGGGCTTGGTGTACGACGCCGAGGTCGTCGAGGCCGAGATCGAGCCGCCGTTCCTGCGCGCGCCGTTCTGCTGGACCTGCTGCTGCTGCGGCTGAGGCTGCTGCGGCACAGGCGGCGACTCGTCCTGATCGTCCGCCATCGCCCACTCGTCCAACCCATCCACAAACGCGCCCGCCTCGATCGTCTGCATCGACACCGTCTTCTGCGAGTCGCTCGTGTCGGTCGTCGAAGTGATCATCGACGGGTTGCGGATGATGGCGTTGTTGTAGGCGTTCCCGACGAGCGAGTAGTTGACGACGTAGGTCCCGTCGCGCATGCGGTCGAGGATGGCGTTCGGCTGGTCGACGAGGTCGACTTGGAAGCCGACAAAGTAGGCGATCTCTTCCGTGTCCCAGCAGATCGGGATGCTGTGCGTCAAACGAGGTCAGTGTCCCAAGTCGGCCTGCGAGCGAGGAGCTGGACGCACATCGTGACGAGGTTGATGAACGGCCGGCCAGCCTTGGTGTAGTTGATCAAGCTCGACTGGCTCTCCTTGCCCGCCTGGATATGCTGTCGCATATGCCACTGCGCTCGACGCCCCATCAGCGCCCACTCCCCACTCAAGCGCGAAGAAAACTGCGCGCGAACTCACCGCCGCATTCCCATCCGTATACTTCCTCGGCGCACCCTGCACCGTCCCCCCTCCAGGCGTCTGCAAAAACCTACAATTCCTCCCGATGATCTCCTCGTTCGTGTAGCCGGTCATCTTGACGAACGTGTCGCTGACAAAGACGAGTGGTTGGTCCCATCTTCGGGCGTCGACGACGGCGAAGGCGCAGGATGAGTCGACGGGGCCGATCTGCGTTAGACGAGTGTTAGCGAGGGAGGGAGGGGAGCGGAGGGAAGAGAGGGTAACGCACATGAATCTGGGGGTTCGGTCGAGCCGCGACTCGTGCAAGGACGCCGAGCATATCGAAACCGCTTGACGAGTACAGCCCGGCGAAGTTACTACTCGACCCTTGAGGGGGTGGCGCCGGAAGGCCCATCGCAGTCGGGTTGAAAGGGACAGTTGGAGGCTGGGAAGGCGGGAGGTTCATCGCGAGGGAGGGGAGCTTGTACGCCGCGTTCGGGGTTGAGTTGATACTGATGACGGAGGAACCGTACGGCGCGTAGATGGGAGATTCGATTTCGGCTGTTGTTGGGATTCGGAGGGCGGAGGAGGCGGAGGCGACGGATGCAGCGAGGGTGGTTGCGGGAACGGAGGGGGGAGAGACGGCGAGCGAGCGAGACATGGAAGGCTGCTGTGACCGTGGCTGAGCGGGAGCGTACGGGACGTGAGACGTCGAAGCGACGGCATTGAGCGAGGTCTGTCCGCCGTAGCTGGCCGGGGAAAGCGTCTGTTGCTGGGGCTGCTGAGGCTGCTGGGGCTGTTGGTACTGCTGGGGCTGCTGTTGCGGCGCGATGGACGCCGAGAAAGCCTGGGTGTTCGACGAGTAGAAGGGAGAGGCCGAGGCGAGTCCGTCGAAGCGAGGAGTTTGCGGTCCGCCCAAGTTGAAGTCGAACGGCATCGGCGAGATGGCGTCTCCGGGGTTTCTGTACGAGTGCAGCGTCAGACTGGAGCGACATCGAGGTGAGGACGCTGCGCGCACCCGCTCGGGGGGTCTGTAATTCCCACACCGAGACCAAACGGATCCGACGGCCCGCCGCTCGCAAACTTGGGCATGGTGAACTGTCTGGAAAAGTTGCTCGGGTCGAACGCAGACGGGCTCAAGCGTGCGTGGTCCATCGGGTCGAACCCGCCGTACGACGACTGCCCGCCCTGCCTGCCCGTTCCGACGCCTGGTCCTGCTCCTCCTCCGGCGCTCGACATGCCCAAGCTCTGGCCGAGCGCCTGCTGGACCTCCTCGCTGACTGTCCTGTGGAGCGGGCGGGCCTGGGGACCGGCAGCCCCTGCGAGGGCAGTGGGCGCAGGCGAGTACCCTCCTGCGCCTGAAGCGGCGTCGGTGTCGTCGACTGCGGCCTGGAATGACCAGTACGAGTCGGCTGCGTGCGAGTTCATAGTTGTGGGATGGCGTGGGATGGGTCAGGAGTTCGCCGGAGTGCGCGGGAGGTGAGCGATCCCCGCGAGCGAGCTGTCGAGGAGCGGGAAGCGGGAGCGGGGGTGGTGGTCGAGCGTGCAGGGAGAAAGTGTGAGTCGCTGAGGCGGACTCGAGTCGTAGCAGTGTGCCCGTGAGCCCCTGAGTGAGCCAGCTGGCGAGTTTGGCTGAGCGCGGTGAGCGAGGGCGAGTTGGGCTTCGATGGCCAAGTTCATCAGGGCAGAAACACCTCCACTCACGCGCGAAACTCTCAATCACACTCCGGATCCCACCTCGGGTCCAACCGCGGGCCAACCTTCTCTCTCTCTCACTCGACGCTGTGCTGCCTCACTCTGCACTCGTCGACATCCACGCTGACGCTACACACGCTCTCTCCCCTCTCTGCACCCCATGCATGCGGCTGGCTGCTCTGCGACTCCCCTCTAACGTTCAAAGCCAAAGACAAAATCCCCGGTTCCCCTTCGACCTGGCTCCGATTCATTAACAAACGAGCAAGAGCGTGACGTCGCTCGAAAGGCGATCGTTCAGCCACGCCGCGGTTCGTTCGCTGGTCCCGCGAGGACTTGCCGCTCTCGCTCTCGCAGCCAGCAAAAGTCCTTGAGTCCCAGCTCGACCTCGGTTACGGACAACCTGCGGCTTGCGGCGTGCGGCTTGCGAAGCGGAGATAGAGGCAATTGGGCCGCTTTTGCTCGGTCGAAAGGAAGGAGGGCCGGGGGAAGTCTCGGAAGAGGAGGGCCGTGTCGGGGACGAGCAGGAGGGATGCGGTTTAATCAAGCAAGGCGGTGTGCTTCGTCGGACGTGTTCGAAGAGATGCAACGCGCCCTCAGACTCGCGAGGATGCCGCAGCCACCGTTCGCAACTCCAGCAGCGGCTTGCGAAGGTCCAGCGATTCAGCCGCAAGAGGACACCGTGACAGTCGATAGCACATTGCAGGCGAGCGCAATTGTCACGACGAAGGTGGAGACGGAGGCGCCAGCAAGTGGAGAGAGAGCCGGCGAGGAAGGAGGTCCTCGAGGAGAGTCGAGGGAGCAGCGAGGCTGTTTGCAAGAGCGAGAGTAGCTGATCTGCTGCTGCTGTTTCCCTGTAGTCGGCGCCTGGAGGATCGGAAAGAGGTGAGCGGGATGGTTGAAGAGGAGGACTGTAGGGCCGAGGCGACTTCTGGGCGACGCAGCAATGTTAGTCTCCTCGCACCTGGAGCGAGAAGCAGTGCGTAGGGAAGCACACATCGTAGCAGTGTTGTAGCAGAAGTTAAGACACCAAGGACGAAGCCAGTCGAGGTTGTGAAGCGAGCGACGCTCAGACAGCTTGACCTCGTCCTCCTGAAGCGTAGCGTGCCCGGCGATGCTCAGCTGTAGCAGCATCATCCGCCCGCACAGCAGCTTCACGTCGTCTCACTCGTTGAAGCGGTCAGCAAGGAAGACGAGGTGAAGCTGCAAGTCTTAGCATCCAGTGGAAGACGAGCCGCGTGTCCTGCGGGCGGTCCTCGTTCTTTCGGCAAGCCACAAGGCGTGTGCAGAAACCGCTCGAAAGCTACAAGGGACTGCGCGCGCACCACGTACCGCGGATCAGCCGTTCTCGAGAAGAGTAGGAACGAAGTCGGGCGACAAGAGCGGAGGTTCGCAAGAGACGCAGGCGGATGATCGCTTCGGGTGAGCCTGACGGTTCAAAAGCAGGATACCGAGTCAAAGTCAGCACAGTCTCGAAGGGCGGAGCGTGTCTTGTCGGTGGAGACGGTCGACGAGGGAAACCAAGGGCGATCAGGAGGGGCTGCCGCGGGTCCTACGTCCCAGCTCAGCACCTGTACATCCGCCTCATCAGCTGTTCTCGACCCTGCATCGAACGAAGGGCGGGACTGGCCAGGCGAGTCGAGGGGAGGAGGTGGGTGGTCGACGAGGAGGGCGCCTCGCTCTGTCGGGCTTGTTCGAGCGTACAGCCGTATCCTGTAGGAGCAGCTACGTAAGCCCAGCGCACCGGCAGCGAGTCTTGAGAGCGAGAGCCAGGGTTGGTGTCGCCCGCTGAGCCCGTCCCCGACGAGCAGCGCGCCCACCTCTTCTCCTTTTCTCTTCGTACTCTCGGCTCATCCCCGTAGCTCGGTGTACGTCCCAGCAACTCTCTCAGCTACCCTTGGACTGTACCCTCCCGTTACTCGCCAACCCCCAAGACGCGTGCGACCCCTCGAGGTGGACTGGCTCGAAAACTGGACACGAACCTAGCGGAGGGCGACAACGGCTGGGAGGGTCTCGCAGGGATCGCAGGACGGTGCAGAGGTGTCTCTAGAGCACTAGAGAGGCGACGCGCTCCGTCTGCTGGCGCTGCATCGGGTTCGGCGGGTGTTGCGAGGGCGGGTCGAGGAGAGGTGGTTGGCGTGGGCTAGCGTCGCTGCTCCTGGGGCTGGCTGGCTCGACGAGGATCAGCTACGAGCTTTCAGCTACGAAGCGACCGGCGCGAGGACCGACGGAGGTGTTCGACCTCGACCTCGACAGCACCAACCGTCGAGGATGGGCGCTGGTCCTCCTGCGCTCTAGCACGTACCTGATTGGCTCCCGGGACAACGAGCTGACTCTATGTTGCCTCCGCATGTCCGCCCCTCGTCAATTTCGACGCCGTCGCCGTTGTTCGTCCCTGCAGCATCATGCCCTTCGTGAGTCCCTCTGGGCCGCTCTCTTCGTGCTGCGACCAGTGCTGACGCCGACGCGCAAACCCGGAAAGGTGAAGGAACAGAAGAACTCGGCCTACTTCTCCCGTTACCAGGTGAAGTACCGTCGTCGTCGCGGTGAGTTCGCCTCCCTCGCGCCTCCCTTTCCGCCGGTATTGACGAGCGCCCGCTCACAGAGGGCAAGACCGACTACTACGCGCGTAAGCGTCTCGTCGTCCAGGCGAAGAACAAGTACGCCAGCCCGAAGGTGTGTCGCCCCCGTCTCGCCCGGACTCACGCCAAAACTCATGCATCTTCCCGCGCAGTACCGCTTGGTCGTTCGCATCACGAACAAGGACGTTATCTGCCAGATCGTCTCCGCCAAGCTCCAGGGCGACGTGGTCCTCGCCGCCGCCTACTCGCACGAGCTCCCCCGCTACGGCATCAAGCACGGTCTCACCAACTGGGCTGCCTGCTACGCGACCGGTCTCCTCTGCGCCCGCCGCGCTCTCACCAAGCTCGGCCTCGCCGACAAGTACGAGGGTGTCACCGAGCCCTCGGGTGAGCTCGAGCTCACCGAGCCCATCGAGGGCGAGCCCCGCCCCTTCAAGTGCTTCCTCGACGTCGGTGTCGCCCGCACCTCGACCGGTGCCCGTGTCTTCGGCGCCATGAAGGGCGCGTCCGACGGCGGTGTCTTCATCCCCCACTCGGAGCAGCGCTTCCCCGGCTTCGACCCCGAGTCGAAGGAGTTGGACGCTGAGACCCTGTGCGTTCGTCTCGCCCTTTCAATGCGCACAGCGTCACTGACAACTTCACTGGCACCGCTACAGTCAGCGTTACATCTACGGCGGTCACGTCGCCGAGTTCATGGAGACTCTTGAGGAGGAGGACGACGAGCGCTTCAAGAAGTGCGTTCATTCTTCGAGCCTCCTTCTGACCTCGAACTGACACGTTGATGCTCGTAGGCACTTCTCGACCTACCTCGAGGACGACATCTCGTCGGAGGACATCGAGGACATGTACCGGTGCGCATCACTTGCCGCCTTATCCGATGCTTTCCGCTGACTCCTTTCCGCAAATAGCGAGGCCCACGAGAAGATCCGCGAGGACCCCACGTACACCAAGACCGACAAGGCCGACCTCGCTGCCTGGAAGGAGGCGTCGAAGAAGACCCACCCCAAGAAGCTCTCGACCGCCGAGCGCAAGGAGCGCGTCAAGGCCAAGAAGGAGGCTTGGCTCGCGTCGCGCGAGTAAGTGGATGGACGTTGGAGACGGAGACGTGCGAGCTGAGAGTGTTCGTGCGACTTCGGGGTGCGGACCTGCAACAGTTGAGGCAGTTCGTACTCGACTCGCTTGCGTCTCCGAGAGCCATCTTGCTTTCGAGGGCTTTTTGCTACGCTTCAGACGCTCAGCTACTGCTTACCGAAGATGCGTTGTGAGCGAACTCGTCGACTTGCTCTCGCTCAATCTCGCTCTTACCTTCGCTCCCTATCTCAAGCTCGATGCCATGACCTTAGCGGCTACTTCGTGAGCTCGCAACGTCCCTACACTGCTATGCCTCGCGACTCACTGGGCTGCCCACAGCTCTCCACTCGCTCATCTCCTTCGACCGTCTGAACGCATCGTCGCCCTCGTCGACAATGCGCACGAAGCAGTCGCCGAGCCGAGTGGCAGCTCCAATGGCAACTTTGGGCCCGACGCAGGCGAGCTGAGCGTCGCACTCGTCGAGCATCGCCCTGAGCGGCCAAGTGGGGAGTTTGGCGATGAAGATAGTCGGGGGAAGGAGAGAGCGTACGTTGGCTTTCAGGCTCGCCTTGACCGGTACTGACTCTCGTGATATCACGCAGCTTGCTCGTCTTCCGAACGAGCGTCGCTGGCGAAGTTGCGGTTACCTCTGTTCTTCCCATCCTCGCCGACTTGGACATGCAAGTCAAGCAACAGGAGGATTCGTCCGCCGGTAAGGTTCTTCCCGTAAGGCAGAACTGTGGCGGTCGACCAAACTGAACTTCTCGCTCACAGGCTTCCGGATCACCCTCTCCACACCTTCTCTCCCTCCTTCTCTCGCACATTCCGACTCACCGCATTCGCTCTCATTCACCGCCGACCTCCTTTCACGCTCCGTCACCGACTTCGTCGCCGCCGTACGAGAAGCGCAGAAGCAGGCGGTTCAGGCGACTTCTGCGACTGATTCGCACGGCTGGCTTGTCCCGTACCTCGACTTGGCTTCGGCTCGTGAGGACGGCTCGGCGGACAGGAAAGGGCCAACTACTCGCCGGCGGATGCACGATGTGCGATGGGACAGGGTTGGTGCGGCGTACAGCGCTCGAGCGAAAGCGACGGACGACTCCGCCTTGGCAAACGGCTCGCCTGCACGGTCCTTCGACCCGACAGATACGGGTAGCGAGTATACGGAAGGCGAAAGAGTTGCGATAGAGCGCTGGATTGTAGACCGCCTACGAGAAAGGGAGGAAGAGTTTGTCAAGAAGGAGGAGATTCGGTACGCTAAACGCTTTCCCTTCGTCTTTGTATGGCACAGCTGACTCGTTGAGCGCGCAGAATCTGGTGCGGGACGTTCAACGTCAACGACAAGCAGCCCAAGAACGGCGGCGCCGACATCCAGGCTTGGGTTGACAGTTCGGGCGGCGCCGACTTACTCGTCTTCGGCTTCCAGGAACTCGATCTCTCGACAGAAGCGATGCTGCGGTACACGCCGTACCGAGAAGAAGTCTGGAGAAAGGCAATTGACGAGGCGCTGGAGCGGCAGGAAGGCGTCTCGTATGCCAGGGTGAGTTCGATTCTGCCTCGATCCGCCAGAACTGCTGACCCCTCGCCCCGCAGGTCCACTCTCGACAGCTCGTCGGCGCATTGATCTTGATATATATCCGTTCGGACGTGAAGGACCACGTTGGCGATGTCACGAGCGCAAGTCTCGCGACAGGCTTGATGGGCTTGATGGCGAACAAGGGCGCTGTTGGCGTTCGATTACGGCGTGTCGGCTCCATTGTTCACCGAAATGCCGCGAAGCTGATTCCTCAGGTCGCAGATGGAAAGACACGCCCCTCACCTTCGTCAACTCGCACCTCGCCGCCTTCGTCCCTAACGTCGCGCAGCGGAACGCCCAGTTCCGCGATACCGCCGCACAACTGCTGTTCCCCTTCGCGTCGTACGAGGAGCGGGACGCTTGGACGCCGAACCTCAAGCCTGATGCGCCGAGACCGCTCGGAGAAGGCTGGAGCGTGTGGGAGAGCGACGTGCTTGTTTGGATGGGCGACCTGAATGTGCGTATCAGTGCTGGGGTGATGATCCGATGTGCTTCTGACGGATCGGGCCCGCAGTACCGCCTCGAGCTGCCGCGCGAAGAGGTTGAGCGGATGATCGCGGCGGAGCAGTACGACTTGCTTCTTCAGTTCGACCAGGTGGATTCCGTGTTCAGTAGCCCTTACGCTGACTACGCTAACGCTGCTCTCCCGAACAGCTCGAAGCGCAGAAGAAGCACGGCTTGGCGTTCGACGATTTTGAAGAGTCGGCAATTTCTTTTGCGCCAACGTTCAAGTTCGACGTCGGGACAGACACCTACGACACTTCGTGCGTCTGCCCAGCTTTCACTCGCTGTCGCCGAAGCTGACGACCTCGACCGAAAGTGAAAAGCAGCGTGTCCCATCATGGACAGACCGAATCCTCTACCTTTCGACTCGAGCGGCCGCTGTTCGCGTCGCGCGGTACTTGAGTCATCCAGAAGTGGTCCTGAGTGATCACAAGCCCGTTAGCGCGACACTACAGCTTTCGGTGAGTTCGATCCTGACCTCCGTTTCTTCCGTCCAAGTCTGCTGACGCTCGTCGCAACAAGGTCTACGAGGTCTCGACTCACGACCGCGACAAGGTGCGACATGAAATTGTATCGAAACGTGCGTTGCTTTGTGCGCTCCGCAAGCCCACGACCCCCGCAGACTGACCCTCTTTGTCCGCAGTCCACTCCTTCGCCGGCGGCACATCACCGGAGGTCAAGCTGGAGCCTGGCCCTTCCGTCGACTTTGAACGCGTCGAGCTGGATACGCCGACGAGCCTCGAGGTTGAGCTGGTCAATGCCGGATCCGCAAGTCCTTCCATACCCTTAGAAATCGTAGCAAGCTTACGATTCCGAAGTACAGGTCTTCGCAACATGGGCTTTCGCGCCCAAAGACGGCTCGTCGTCCCTCACCCCGCCATGGCTCTCCGTCTCGCCGACATCCGGCCTCATCCTCCCATCATCTCGCCAGCGCATCACTTTCACCGTCAAAGTCACGCCCGACATCGCCGGCACTCTCTCTTTCCCCACACCTGAATCGCCCCATAACGATCTCTCTGAATTACTCGTCATCTCCCTGCGCGGACGCGATCTGTTCCTCGCCATCTCCGTCAAGGAATGGGTGCCGACCGTCTTCGGCGCCAGTCTTGACTGTCTCGCTCGACTGCACGAGCCGGTCAGGACGGCGTCGATCGAGCAGAGACGGCGGATTGGCGTGGCGGCGGCTGGATCTGTCGAAGACGAGGACGGGATCGAGAAGAGCGCGGTACCGGAGGTCTTGCATCGACTCGTCAGCTTCCTCGGCGAATACGCGCTTGACGTTCCCGGTCTCTTCGTCACTTCAGGCGAGCTCGAATTGACCAGACTAGTGCGGGACTGTCTCGACACGGTGCGTTTGATCCAGTTTCTCGTTCGACTTTTGTGCGCGCTGACAGCTACGCCGAACAGGGTGACGCCTTCCCCCTCGACAAGCTTCTCCCTTCTTGCGCCCTCTCTCAAGGTCCAGAGACATCCGCGATCCGCTCGGACGAGCCGGAAGACAAGCAACACCTCCTCGACGCCGTCTCAGCCCTCGATCAGCTCGAATCCGACATCGGCGCAATCTCCCTCTCTTCTCCTACGCTCCCTTCGACTTTTGCTTCTGCACCTCCCGAACTCGTATCCTCGCCATCTCGCACTTCGACACCCGCCGACACATCCTCGACACTCGCGGACGAGTCCGACTCTGCCGAGCGCTACATGGGACTTCACTCCGTCGCCGACTGTCTCCTCCGCTTTCTGGAGTCCCTGCAAGAGCCGGTCGTTGGCGGCGAGGCGTACGAGCGGGCGTTAAGGTGCGAGAACCGGGACGAGGCGTACGCGGTCGTGCAGAGTCTGGAAGAGACGGTGCGCAGTCGGCATATCTCTATACGCCTCTCCAACATCTTGTTGACCTGAAGACTTTCGGTCGCCAGCATGCAAACGTGTTGCTCTATGTCGTCGCCTTCCTCCGCATCGCAATCAAGCAGGCGACGACTCCTGCCGAACAAGCTGCGCGGCCTGACCGTTTCGGTGCGTCGCATCTTCTCCTCCTTTCGCTGTTCAATCCGAAGCTGACAGGTCCTGCTCCCAGCCATCGTCTTCTCGTCGGTCCTCCTTCGCCCATCATCAAAATCGGCCGGTCACTCAGCGTCGGGCAAGCCACTCGAACCAGCAAGTGTTCCGAGGCGGAAGAAGCAGTTCCTGGCGTGGTTGCTCGAGGGGTAGGAGTAGCCGGAGCGGACTGGGCGGGCTGGCGGGAAGAACAGGCCTCGTCGTAACGGACACCTCTAGAGCTGCTGGTGGACGGCCGAAGTGTGCACACTCATAACTTAACACGCATCCAGCATATCTCGAGCTTCACGTGGAGAGCGAGGAGATTGGAAGAGCTTGCGAGCGGGTGCGGAGCGTGGAAAGCAAGATCGCAGCCAGACCAGCACGAGTAGGAATCCAGAACCGCTCGGCCTTGCAACACAGAAGAAAGAACCGTTTTCTACGAGGCGAGTAATGCTTAGAAGGGCTGCGAGCGTAAGCGAGCGTCAGTATGTTACGCGGGGCGGGAGAGGCGGCAAAGGGACTGACCTTGTCCGAGTCGGGGGTCTTGTCCTCTGCAGTGAAGAAATGGAGGATCAGTATGATTGTGTTGAGCGTCGGAGACAGTGGGACGAACCGTAGTAGTTGGCGACCTGTCAATAAGAGGATGCGAGCAAATCGAGGCAGTCAGCATCCCATGCCCCTCGCAGAAGCCAGCAGCCTGCAGCGAGGGGAGGCTGCGCTCAAGCCACTGCCTAGCTAGCGGAAGCGCATGCTCACCACAGGGATCTTCTTAAGAACGCTGGAAGGGCAAGTCAATCAGTACTCCTCCTCGTATTCCAGTAAAGACGGTGGGGACTCACTCGGTCTGGAAGAGAGGGATGGAGGAACCGGCAAGGAAGAGGACACCGGCACCAGCGAAACCCCACAGCGCGAGGTTGGGCACGAGCCGGCTAACGAAGGCAGGGGTGAAGCCGAGGACGGCACGGCCGGGCTTGAGGACCTGAACACGGGGCCTGCGGGAGTACGAAGGAAAGGTCAGCGCGCCTGTCGTACCGTCGCAAGCTCGTGTCCGGGTAGTCGAGGAGGGGATGAGGCGGGAGGCGATGGTGATGGGGGAAGTCCACAGTAGCGCCCTCCGATCCAGTTCTTGCGCTCCGTACGAAGACTGAACTCCCTCAAAAGCTCAGATATGCCCGGAGCTGGCCCTCTGGTCCCCTTCCTTGCCGTGTATGGCCCCAGAGGATGGTTGCGGAACCAGGCGGACGAGCGACGTCGGGACAAGCGGGCGGCTGGCTGGGCGGGTATCGTGCGGCGCTATAGAGCTTGACTGTAAGCTCACTGGGCCATTTTTGAGCGTCTGAGCGGGGGTGAGCGGTTGTTGGCGGCGTCAGGAGCGATGCGAGCGCGACTTCGCCTGTCGAGCGGCGACCACACCCTGCTCCTCGCGCTACTGACTTGTTGTACCGCTAGACTTCTCGATCACCTGCTGCTGCTAGCGCTCGTGCGATCCCACGCTTCCGCCGCTCTCTGCGATGCCTCCGTCGACCAACTCGACCTCCTCAGCGAAAGACGCCTCTCCTTCGCCCGAATCGACCAAGCGCTCGGCAAAGACAACTGCAGGTGCTCCCGCGCGGTCGAAGAAGCGGGCGCGGCTGACAGTCGGCGATGACGAGACCGCCCAGGTCACTTCTCTCGAGAATCGGTACCGTCTGCCCCTCGCAGACGCCGAGGCCTTCTACGTGCCCGACTTTGTCGACGAGGCGACTGCTCAAGAGTGGCACGACGAGCTGCTGAAGCTGGAGGAGTGTGAGCTGGTCTCGCCATGGTCTCAAAACCCTCTCGCTCCTCGCTGAATCTACCTTCTGCTTCGCTCCGTCTTTCCTCGCTGGCAGGGTACCGCCCTACGCTCAAAGTTTACGGCAAGAATGTCACGCAGTCCCGCAAGATCGCGGGTGCGTCGTCTCGGCGCTTACTCTCGCCTGAGATGCTGCTTGCTCACATCCCTTTCCTCGTCCTCAGCCTTCTCCACGGACCCCGAGCTGGAAGTCAAGTACTCTGGTCACCCCGTCGACATGCACCAAGACTACCCGCCGCTCCTGCGCAAGATCCAGGACATGGTGGAGGAAAAGCTGGGCGTCAAGTTCAATCATGCCTTCCTCAACCTCTACGAGGACGGCAAGATCTACATCGGCAACCACCGCGACAACCGAGAGAATAGGTGTGTCCGATCTCCCGCAGCTCAGGGTTTCGCCGCTGACACCGCTGCAGGGTCATCGCCTCGCTCTCGCTGGGCGCACCTCGCACCTTTGTCCTCACGCACGACTCGCCTCCGCCTAAGACTGCTGAGCGAGCATCGGACGACAAATCAGCAAGCTCGCCACCGGCCACTACTTCCCTGCTTTATTCGCATCGCCTTACCCTCGCACCCGGCTCGCTTGTGATCATGCAAGGCGCGACTCAGCAGCGGTGGAAGCATGCGATACCGAAGGAGCCGAAGGTCAAGGACAGCAGAATCAGCATCACCTTTCGCCAACTGGTCTTCTGAGCGGTCTTAGGGGGAAGGATGAGGAGGAGGACGTTCCGAAGCTGAGGAGGTGGGGGAGTGGGACTTCGTTACGAGGGTGTGCTCCGTCCACTCGCACCTCAACAGCTTACAGTGCGAGCCTACGCTTCCGCCAGTCGCGATGGCCTCCCGGCCGGTCACAGCACTCGTTACCGGTCCGTTCCCCTTCTACCGCTGTGCCTCCTTAGCGCGCTCTGCATGCTGACAGCGTTTTGACAGGCGGCGCATCCGGTATCGGTCTCGGCATAGTACGCACCCTCCTCGCCTCGACCTCTCCCCCCTACAACATCCTCATCGTCGACCGCTCCTCCGCCTCTTTCCCCTCGGTCCTCTCGACTCTCTCGTCCGACTTTGGCGATGCGCGGGTACGGACTTGCGTCGAATGCGTTGCGGCGGATGTGACGAGGTACGAGGAGCTGAGGGATGCGTTCGAGAAGGCGAGAAGGAAGAGGGAGGGGTGGTCGGGACGAGTAGACGTCGTCTGTGCGATTGCAGGCATCTCGCAGGTGCGCTCGCGTATTTCAAGCTCGTAGGATGGCTTGCTGACGGCTTACGTGTGGCCGCAGGTCTTCACCGATCCTGAGGGCAAAGACCCGTTCCTCCGCAGCGCGAAGCTGGACGAGGACGGTCTCGCAGTCCCACCCAACCTCGCCGTTATCAACGTGAACCTGATCGGCGTCCTCAACACCGTCCATCTCGCTATCTGTGAGTCCTTCGCGCGACCAGCTTCTTTGCGCTGTCCCCTTCATTCCTCTCCTTCACGAGCCGCGGCGCTGAAACAACGTCGCTGACGCCCACCTCGACGCATCCAGCTCACTTCCGCTCACAAGATCCGGACGCACACGTTTGGCGCGGTCGGGTCGTCTGCGCGGGCTCGACTGCTAGCTTGTACCCCTTTCCGAACGAGAGTTTGTACGGCGCGGCTAAGCACGGTGCGTTGCCCTTCAATCGGCGGATCGATCGTCTAAGGGCTTCGCGGCGACGTCGACGGACCGGCACGCTCGTTCGGAGCGGACAAACTGCGATGAGCAGGACGGGCGCAGTTGTCGACGGCGACTACGGCGACTGACGTCCTCTTTGGCAGGCGTACTTGGCGTCGTCCGCTCGCTCGCGCCGACTTTACAACCGGAAGGCATCTCGATCAACGCTATCGCTCCGTCGCTCGTCGGTTCGTCGCCCTTTTCTCCCTCTTCCCGTCCCTTCCGGACTTTACCGTGCCTCCACCGAAGACTCTCACCCTTGACGGAACACTGAAGCGCACGAGTCACCCTGCAGAGACCGGCATCGGCAACCCTGAAGCTTTCGCCGCCTTGCGAGAGACGAACTGCCTCACGCCGATGGAGACGGTGACCAAGGCCGTGCAGGTTCTCATCGAGCCGGAAGGACGTTTGACGGGTGGGTTGCGACTCTTGCTCCGAGTGTGTCACGGGCCCGGCCATGCTGACAAGCGTTCTTGCGTCGCGCAGGCCAAGTCCTCGAATGCTGCCTGTCGTCCATCCTCCTCCGCTTGCCGCCACGCCTGCCGAACCACGACGAGGCGCGCTGTATGGAGATGATCTGGCCGTGGAAGGATGTCGAGCGAAGCGTGTATGGCTGGAGAAGCGAGGAGGGGGAGAGGTGGTTGCGGGAGAGGGGTGTTGAGGTGGTGAAGGAATAGCCTTCGCTCGACGAGCAGAGTGCAGCGCGCAGTGCTAGAGGCGCATAGGAACCAGATCATTTTTACGCGAGCGACAGAGGCGAGCAAAGCGCCAAAGGGCTTCAGTCGGGTAATCTTGACAAGGCGGCACTGTCCAGAATCAAAGGTGATGCGAGTGGTCATTCCTGCTAGAAGTACATACACGCTGGTCCCATCCTCTGTCCGCCGTCCGCCGTGCCCGTCCCCCATGACCTCGATGCGTGCGTTAAAGGCCAATTCGCTTGCTCCTCACGCCCGTCCGTGCCAGTCCGACTGTCCCGCACAGCTCCCCTCCCACCTCAGTGCGATAAGTACTTCCTGCCCTTGGAGAACCTCCGTCGAAGAACGTTGCGTCCAGCCTTGGTCCTCAGACGCTTGAAGAACCCGTGCTTCCTCTTGCGCTTGAGCGTGCTCGGCTGGTACTCTTGTCCGTAGGTTGCGAATCGTTTTTGCTGGGGCGCAGCGGCGGCAGGTCGCGAGGCGAGGAGCGAGAGGATCGGGGATGATGAGGATGCGGTCAAGGGAGACGGGGCGGAGAAGGGCGAGAGAGAGGGTCGCAGTGGGGAGAGGAAGCTCGGTGCACTGGACGGACGGAACAGGATGCTCGGCTGGGCTGCTCGTGGTGCGCACGCGAGTGTCGTGCGGATCGCAAACGAGTTGGAGATGGGCTTGGGCGCGGGAGAGGGGACGGCGCGCAGGGAGCGTGCGATGCGGGGCATGGTGCGAGAGGTTGTTCTGACGCCGGCTGGTGTCCTTGGCGAGTCGTTGAAGTGTGCGAGGTCGCTGGACGAGGAGGAGGAAAGTCAGGGGGAGAACAAATCCTCTGCTTGCTCGTTCGCTTTTCTGCGTAGAAACAGACAATGAAGACTATAGCACACTGAATACGGCCCGAGAGGCAAGGAAAGTCAAGCGGAAGCGTCGGTTGCTCTCCTCCTCGACGACGGCGAGTGCAAAGCGAGTAGGTATGGCAACGACAAGCGACTAACGGCACAGAATAGATGCGAGTAGAAAGAAGCTGATCACTCCTGCGAGACCCAGGCAGGCGAGTTCCACGGCGAGTCGCCCGTCCTGTTGTTGTATGGCCTCGACGGACGAACGTACGGGACGATGTCGTCCCACGACGAGCCGGGTTCGAGGAAGTCGACAATGTCCTCGCCGCGGATGACGACGCCGAGCTCAAAGTTGCTGCACCTGATGCGGACGTCGCCTGCGCCGGACTTGAGGCGAGAGACTTCGCCGAGCGCCGCCTTCGACAGGTTGTGCGATCCGAGGTAGACCATGAGCGGTGGCGCCGACGGGTTCTTGTTTCGAGAGTCTTTCCACTGGTAGAACTTCATGTGGAAGAGGCGTCCCGGGTCCTTCGAGGCGTAGTCGAAGAACATCGAGCGGACCTCGTCAGGCGTCTTGGGCCACTCCTTGTTGTTCAGACAGCAGCCGATGTTCGAAGCGGCCTGCAGAGGGAGGGCGTCAGCTGAGCGAACCACCAAAAACGCTGTCAGCGAGCTCACCGTGATGACATCGGGCGAGCAGGCTGCGACGGTCGCCTTCGTCGGGAAGACGATCGACCACTCCGGGAGGTTGCTGAGGGCGACGGGCGGCTCGGGAACGCCGGGCTTGGTCACGGAGACAGCCCTCGAGAGGTCGCGGCCGCGAAGGAGCTTGTCGGTCTGGTCGATCCACTCTGGTGGAAGCGAGCTGACCGAGCCGGCGCAGAACTCCATAGCGATGTCGGGCTTGACGCTCTTGGGGATGATCTGGCGGGCGAGCTCGTTGAGGCGAAGCATGCCGTACGAGCTTTCGCCGTCGGTCGCGCGCTTCGTGCCGGGAACGGAGGCGACGAGGTGGACGCGCCCTTCGGCCGAGCGGAAGTCGTACTTGTCGCGGACGCGCGAGATGACCTCCTCGGGCCAGTCGAGGTCGAGCATGTGCGCAAGGAGGTCGTGCTCGAAGGTAGTCTTGGCCTTGCGCTTCTTGCCGGGCGGAATCTCGGGGAAGGCGTGGATGTACCAGTGCTGCACACGGGCGGAAGTCAGCGAGCGTAGAGGCAGGCTGAAGCAAGCACACGCACGTTGTCCGAGAGATCCATGTCGATCTGCATCGTGTTGCACGACGTGATGACGAGGAGGAGGAAGCCCGGGTAGAAGAGAAGGAAGAACTTGGAGTGCGCGCATCCGCTCGCCCATGGATACAGCGGCCTGAGTCCTGGAGGGCCGAACTGCCTGTGAAGCTCGCGGACGACGGGGACAGCTTGAGCGTGTTGCGCCTTGGTCAACTTCGTGCGCTTGTCGAGGTTGATGTCGGGAAGCAGACCCTGCTGCGCCGCGAAATGGAACATGGGGTCGGACTCGATGGGACGGGAGTCGTAGATCTGCGGCGAGAATCGCAGGTCAGCAAATTAGCGAGTGTGAAGTCGGAGAGGCAGACGCACCGGGACGCCTCGCAGGCTGTGCGGTCCCTGGAGGGGCAGGTGCGCCGCAAGGAAGTCGTCCTCGACGATGAACGAGTGGCTCGCGAAGGCTTCGAGCGCTTCCGGTTTGACAACATCGCTGAGAGAGACGACATTGGTCGAAGTCGCGCGACCAGGCGTACGGGTCAAGCGCAAGGCGCCACGGCGGTACATCTCGAGTCCTTCATCCCACCTCTTCACCTTGGGAATCCCGCTCTTGGGCTGCGAAGGGTCGGAGGCGGATCCCGATGAGAGGCGATGGCGCTTGGCGGGAAGAGCGGTGATCTCGTCGCGGGCGCGCTTGTGCTGCGTCAAGCCGTCAAAAGACTTCCTGTGGGGACCGTACAGGCTGCGCGCGTCTTGCAGCGAGCGGTAGATGGCGTCCTGAAGCGCGGAAGTCTCGTGCGGATGGCGGGGGATGATGTCGACGAGGGAAGCCATGGGGGCGCGTGCGACACGGCCGTGTGCAGCCAGAGAGCGTGTCAGAGTCTGTCCAGCGCCAGCAGCAGGGTCTCAGGCGGGTGTATCGGGATGACAGCGAGTTGTCAAGAGGAGACGAGGTTGACATCCGGAAACGAGAGAGTGGCTCGCCTGCACAGAGCTTCTATGGCTTCGATGACACTGCTTGTAGTCTACTCTATATGTCTATGTCTCTTCCCGCGTCAGCCAGTCCGCCTGATCCGCCAGAGTCGGGAGTTTTGCGAGAGCCTGTGTCGGAATCGCCATCCCGGCCTTGCTGAGGCGGACGGCGAGGCGCATAGTCGCGATCTGCAGCAGGGAGCAACAGTCAATCGAGTTCCCTCGTGCGCAGAGAGCGAGAGGAGGCGCACCGAGTCGCCGCCGAAAGACGCGAACGAGTCGTGCGGACCGATGTCGGCCTCCGGGACCCTCAGCACCGACGCCCACTCCTTCGCGAGTCGCTGGACGGTAGCTAAGAGAGCAGGGTCGAGCGCCCTGGTCGAGCCATTGACGCCGCTTGGCGGGCCTGTCGAACCATTCGCCTGCTTCGACAATGGCCGAGGCGGCGCCACTCCTTCGCCCAGTTTGACCTGGCCAAGCTTGGTGCAGGGCGCTGTCGTCAAGTAGTCGAGAACACTCGCAACCGACTTGAGCACGTTGTCGACCTCGCTCTTCTCGATGATCCGCTCGTCGAAGAAGCATGCCAGCTCGAGCTTGTCCTTGTTATGCATGTCGGGCGTGATCTCGAACGAGAGCGTGTAGTTGGTCGGCATGTGGATGCGCTCGGGTGGTTGGCGGACGGGCCAAGGCGCAGCGGTCTCGACGGCGGGATCTCGCTCGGCGAGGGATTGGAAGGTGACGAGGATGTCGAAGAGGTCTGCGCGACCGGGTAGGTCGCAGAAGCGGGCGAGTTGCGACAGGGTGACGTGCTGGTGAATTCGGGCGCGACGGTCTGCCTCGGCTTCGGTCTTGGCGAGGGACAGAAGGGAGGAGTTGGGATCGAAGCGGATTCGGGAGGGGAGGACGGAGACGCAAGGACCGATGATCTCGTCGGCATCGACGACATCGATGTCGCGGCCAGAGCGGACGATGCCGACGTTGACGTCGGATGAGCCTGTATGGTGGTGAAGGGCGACGAGGATGGCCAGTCGACTTGCGATTGCCGGCGTGATGCCGCTGCGCTGAGAGAGGGCGTCAAGCTCGCCTGACCAGTGCTGAATCGCAGCGCCGGTGGTTGCCAAGATCTCGCCGTGAAGCGGGTCTTGCGAAGGCCAGCCGAGCGGTTTCGCGCCGTCAAGGTAAGACCGCCAGAAGTCGATCGTGTCCTGCGGCGGTGTCGTCTCGCTGAGCCACCATGACGCGACGGCGCCGAAGGAAGGTCGATCTGGAACAGGGATATCGAAGCAGAGGTTGCGGAGGTCGAGGGTAAGAAGCTCAAGGGTCCAGCCGTCACTGTATGCCCGGGAGTCAGCGAATGCTAAGACATATAATGAGCCTGGGCGTACCTCATTGCATGATGCATGCTCCAGGCGAGCTTCCGAGTTCCGTCAGGCAAGCTGAACAGGGCGAACGAGAGCGACAGCCGGCCCCATTCGAACGAGTGCGCCTGTCGGTCTTGTCGCAGCCAGCTCTGCGTAAAGCAGGGAGAGTCAGCAAAGATGCGAGTCTGCGAGTCGATGGAGGCTGCGCACCGAAACGACGGCGTCCAGCTCCTTCGCATCGCCGACCTGAATCTCCTCGATTCGGCTCCGTTGCTTCACCTCCTCGTCCTCCGGCTTCAGCACAAGAGACATTGTTCGCCCGAGCGTGTCGCTGACGAAAAAGACGCCACGAAGCACGTCATGCCGTCGAACGAGCTCGTCAATGCCGTGCTGAAGTCGCTCGAGAGGGAGCTCGATTTCGCTCACGCCGACGGCATAGACGGCCTGTGCATAGTAATGACCGCATGGCGAATCGAAGGATGGTGCGAGGAGGGCGTCTTGGGCTGGCGCGGTCGGGTAAACGTCGGAGATGCGGCTGAGAGGGAGAGAGGCCGACTCGAGCTCGGCGAAGAGAGCCTCCTTCTGGTCCTCCGGGACGAGCGAAAACGGTCGGTACGCGTGCCGGAAAAGGCGACCGTTGGTCTTGGCACCAGCCCCGCCCTTGCGCTCGAGGACGGTAGCACAGTCTGCGAGAGTCGCAGCCTCGACAAGGTCGCGAAAGGCTACACCAGGGTAGCCCTCGCTTCGCATGACGCTGACGAGCTTCATGAACCGGATCGAGTCGCCTCCGAGCTTCATGAACGCGTCTTCATCGGCAATGTTGGCGCCAACGGGGTCGTCCTTCAATCGCAAAACCTTCGCCCAAGCTCGTCGTGCGGCGTCAAAGTGAGGCAGACGAGTGTAGTGTCGCGCCTCTTCCGGCCCGTCAGCCTGCGCATCGCCGTTCGCTCCGTTCGCTCGTCGATTTCGCGCAGCGCCCTGCCAGTCCCAGTCCTCCGCCAGCCCTCGCAGCGTTTTGCGATCCGCCTTGCCCATCCCCTGCGTCGGAATACGGTTCACCGCGAGCCAATACCGCGGGACCATGTAGGTCGGCAACTTCTCGCCGAGTCGAGACTTGAGCGACTCGCAAAGGGTGGAGAAGCGAGGAGAGGTGGAGAGAGGGAGGACGGAGACGGATCCTGCGGAGTGCGAGTGGTGCCGTTCGCGCTGAGTGGCGGGAGAAGCGGTACCGTCGGATACGAAAGAGGGCGAAAGCTCGAGGAAGGCGACGAGGGCGGTGCCGATGCCGGGCGCGTCGACCTTGTCGACGATACCGCGCACGATGGCTGGGTCGGCCCTCGAGGAAAGGTTCTCCTCGATCTCGCCGACTTCGATGCGAAGACCGTTGACCTTGACCTGCCCGTCCTTCCTTCCCAGACACTCAATCCAGCCCTCCTTCTCCCCTTCTTCCTCCCAATCCGCAACGACCCACCTCCCCAAGTCTCCAGTCCTGTACAGTCTCTCCCCCTTCTCCCCGATCCCTTCGTTGCCATTCAACCCGATAAACACGCCCCTGTTCAGCTCTTGCCGGACATATCCACGCGTGACTTGCGGACCGAGGACGCAGATCTCGCCGATGCAGCCGAGAGGGAGGGGCGCGAGGGCGTCGGGCGAGTGGGAGGGGAGGATGTGGACGCGGGTATTGCCTGTTGGTTTGCCGATGGGGAGGGAGAATGGCGCAGGCGGGGACGGCGCGAGAGATTGGTTCGAAATGACGCCGACAGTGGTCTCGCTGCAAGCACAAGGTCAGATCAGCAGGACTCGAGAAGGCGGGTCGAGAAGCTGAACGCATGTCGGCCCATAGTCGATGCAAACCCGCACGCCGCGCTCCCTCCACTTCTCCCGAACACTCTTATCAACCTTCTCTCCACCAGTATTGACCTGCTTGATCCGGAACCCAGCTCTCCGCCACGCGTCCGCGATGCTCTCGCCTTTCCGAGGCTGGGCTTCTTCGTGCTCAAAGAGGAGCGCGGCGATGGTTGGTGTGAGGTCGACGAGGGTGCAGTCGAGTGTGAGGATCGTATCGGCGAGGGAAGAGAAGAGTGAAGCTGGGGTGGTGATGCAGATTGTCGAGCCGTGCTGCGCGGGTCAAATCCGTCAGGAATCATTCACCACAAGCGACGGAGCGAGCGTACAGCAAGCGTGTCCCAGATGTTCATGACGCTTACGTCGAACGAATAGCTTGGGAACTGTAGCACTCGCTCGCCCCGCGCTCGGCCAAAAACGCCACGGTAGTTCCTGCGAACAAGCTTCTGCGTTAGCAGGCCCTCGACCGATTTCGAGGCGCGAGCTTCCAATGCGGGAGGCTCGCGAGATTGAACGAACGCTGCCCACTCACCTCAGGAACGCCGCGACGTTCCGATGCTCGACCATGATTCCCTTCGGCTTGCCCGTTGTCCCGCTCGTGTAGATCACATACGCCAACCCGTCCTCCTTAAGCGTCGGAAGGCCACCGACGCCCGAGAGATCAGGAATCGGGAAGCGAGAAACGAGGTCCGTTGTCGAGGTGGACGAGCAGGTTGCGAGGAAGTCGAGGAGGGGAGCGAGGACGGCCTGCGGGTCGATGACGGAGGAGAACGCCTTCTTCCCTTCCTCGTGTGTCCAGCTTTCCCACCTGTCCTTCTCCTCATCAGCACTCTGCACAACCGCCGTACTCGCCAACATCCCCTTCTCTGCCAACTCCTCGCAAATCCCTCGCTTCCTGCCCTCCGGAAAGGACGGCTCGAGCGCGAGGTATCCGAAGCCGACGAGCGAGGCGGCGAGGAGCGAGATGATCATTGCGGGTGACTTGTCGACCACAACTGGGAGGACGTGCTGGCCGTCGAGCTTTGAGCGGGCTGATGCGTCGTCGAGAGAGAGGAGAATATGGGAGGCGAGGAAGCGTGCGAGGTAGGCGAGCTGCGAGAAAGAGAGGACGAGCGAGTCGTGTCGAGGAGAAGTCACGTCGGAGATGAAGTGCAGGGCGGGGTCGTCGGGGAATTGCTCCGCCGCATGGAGGAAGAAGTCGGGCAAGGTCTTGGCGGAAGGAGGGTAAGCTTCGGGTTCGTGGATCGTCGTGGGACAGGTGCAGTATTGTTCGAGAGTGGCGAGTTCATCGGAAGGAGCGAGGGAGATGGCTGAGATGCGGGTTGAGCGGGAAGCTTGGAGGATGGCGCGGGTCCCGGTGAGGATGTGCGACAGAAGCCAACGAGCTTCGAGTTCGGGAATGAGGGAGGAGTCGAAGGAGAGGGTTGCGGAGGGGTTCGTCGAGGCGGAAACGTCGACGACGAGGTGAAGGGGCGTCGCTGCGGCGCCTTGGTCGTCTGCACCAACTCCGCCCTCTCTCAGCTCCAGTGTCAACCGCACGCCGTCCTCGTCCTGCTTCTTCGGAGTCGTCTCCTCGACGCGCTCCAGCATCCATCCGACGGTCTGATCCCGGTTCACCTCGCCCTCCACAACCTTGCCGCCTTCGACGCCGAACTCATACCGCTCTTCTCCCGCATGTGCGGCCAACGCGAGTCCAGCAGCGACCCTGAGAGCCTGTCGCAAGCCTCCATCGCGAGGGGAATCGGGGAAGGGTATGCTGATCGAACGAAGCGACGGGCTCGCTGGGTCGAAGCGGTAGTGGGTCGGCAGTCGCGGGTAGTCTGGCGGAGGCATCTCCGAGGTATGGCAGGAGCAGCGCGGGTATCAGAGCGGGCAAGTCGTCGAGGAGAGGGAAGCATCGGAATTTGGCTCGGTCGCGACGTCGACTCCGCTCGGACAAGTTGATATTGCTGAGTAGCACGCTTTACAATGGTCCCTTACCACGAGCCAGATCTTGCAGGAAGTTACTGGCGCGGAGGGCGTCGTCATGGTGAGGTGAAAGTCGAAACTGTTCCTCTTCGTCTGCCTTGCTACTTTCCGCCCAGCTGGAACGGTGCGCACGGCCCTGCAAGCAGTGGCAATGGGCCGAAGGAATACAGGCGGACTTACGCGGACTTCCGCCTTCATCAGTTTGCCCCCACCTCGAGAACGGAACAGTCCTTCCTCCTCGTCCTCTCCCATTCTCCGCTCCTTGCGCTCCTGCTGCACTCTCTACCACTCTCAGCTAGCCCGACACCGAAGTCACCCGGCCCAGCACTCGCCTGCTACTCCTGCTCACCCCCTTCGTCCTCCTCACACTCCTCAACTTCTCTCGCGACCATGGCCTACGTTGGAAAGGTCGCTATCGTCACCGGTGCGGCCAGTGGTGCGTTTGAGGATCCTGCAGTCCCACGGGACTCCCGCTGACCTGGAGACTTCGCAGGCATCGGCCTTGGAATCACGGAACACCTCCTCAAGGAGGGCGCCAAGGTCATGGTTGCGGATTTGAACGAGCAGCAGGGTCAGAAGGTCGTCGCGGACCTTGCGAAGAGGTGAGCTCGGGGCTCGCGCATGCTTTGTCGGTGGAAGACGCGTTTCTTCCCGCAAGAACTGACATTATGGATCCTCTGTCTGCACAGTCACGGTACGGACAAAGTCGCCTTCTGCTCGACGAACGTCACGGAATGGTCGTCAATCTGCAACCTCTTTGCGCACACCTACAAGACCTTCGGTCCCCGGATCGACTTTGTCGTGCGTTGCGCGTCTCGCCGCCTTCCACCCTTCAAAGGTTGCTGACCCGCTCCTCGACAGTTCGCCAACGCCGGCATCGCCCAGATGCGCGAGATGCGTTCCTCCGACCCCACGCACTTCGCAACCACCGCCCACTCCTCCCTCAACGACCTCTCCTCGCGCCCTCCTTCGCTCGCAGTCATCCGCGTTAACCTCGATGGCGTCCTTTACACTCTTCATGCAGCGCTGGCGTACTTCCGCCAGCAGGAGAAGGATCAGGATGGGTGGAGGGGAAAGTTTGTTGCCACGGGCTCGAATGCGTGAGTTGCTGCTGCGAGCGCTCAACCCACAACGGCTTCTCACGCTCTTGTCTGAACAGGTCCTTCTATCCCTTCCCGAACGACCCGCTGTACGCCGCGGCCAAGCAGGGTGTCCTGGGCACCTGCCGAGCAGTCGGTCCAAAGGTCATCGACGAGGGCATCACCGTCAAGTGCGTTACGTCGCCTTCTTCAACAGCGCACCCTGCTCGTCGAGCCTGAGAGCTGCTGTCTGCAGGAGCTAGTGTAGCGCTGACACCTTTCGTTTCGACAGCTGCTTCGGTCCCTCCGTCGTCGGTTCGTTCGCCTCTTCCTGCGCCAGCGCGTCCCTCGAGCTCCCATCTTGACAGGATCGCTTTGTCTCTTTTGCACACAACAGCCACCGGCCTCGCACCTCCCGACTTCATCGCCATGCTCGAGCGCGAACACCGCCTGACGCCCATGAAGACCGTCACGAACGCCGTCGACGTCTTCATCAACCCCAAGTCCCGGGTCACCGGTTCGTCTCCCTCTCTCCCTCTCTCCCTCACTCGACGGCGAGACTGACAAGGAGAGTACGCAGGCCAAATCATCGAAAACTGCGGACTCAAGAACGTTTTCCGCGCGATCCCGACGTACATGGACGAGGCGGCGAGGCTCAACATGAACGAGTTCCATCCCTCGGACCAGATCGACCGCGCGCTGAGCGTCGAGGGTGCTGGGCTGGAGGTTGTTGCGTAGATGGGCGGAGGATGAAGGGCTCGGTGCGGGTAGTTGCTGTCTGAGTGTCAGGTCAGTGTCCGCCCTGTTTGTATTGATCGTTGAGCGGTCGTACGTGCTGTGAGAGGGCGGACGAGCCAGTATACAGCTGCTCAGCAACTCCCGCAAGCTTGACCTTCGCAATCTGAGAAAGGCTTGCTGAACCGCTTCCTTTCGCTGACTGGCCATTCGAGACGACAAAGTGATATCCGGTACTACGTTGCGATGGTACGTCACAGGATAACCCGAAGAACGACAGAAAGCGGAAGAAGCAGTACAACTGAAAGAGAGAGGTTCGGTATCGCTTTGCTCGCCTCGAAAAGCTTAGACGGGCGCGGTGCAGCCGAAGGAAGTGGCTGCGCCTTTCTTGAGCGCCTCGCGCAGGTCGGTACCCTGTGCGGAGGAGGAAAGCGTCAGTGAGGACGTTGAGGGTGAGTGGGGGAGAACCGGCAACGCACCGAGGCCCACATGCCGAGCGCTGCCGTCGCCAATGCGGCGAGGAAGAAGAGGAAGAGTCCGAGCCTGCGGAAGAGCGACATCAGCAAACGCAAGACGAAACTAGACGCCAAACACCTCCTCCTGGCCCCTCCTTCTTCTGCAAGCCAGAAAGACTCACTTGTACAAGACGCGCTTCATGCCACCGCCGAAGATACCGCGAGACCAACGCGACATGTTCGTCCAGTTGTCGACGCGGCGAGGGGCGACGCCGGGAGTAGAAAACTCCTCGTCTCCGGCCGCGGCATCGACCGAGATCCAGTAGCCGAGGGTGAAGAGAGGTGGGAACGTGTAGGTGAACTGGAAGATGCACCTGAAGCGCATACGAGCGAGTATCAGCACCCACGCGCGAGGACAGGGGTAGAACATCCAGGTGAACCGGAGGAAAGACGCACACGGCAGCAACCAGGCCGGACAAGGTTCCCACGGATGGGATAGCGCTGCCAATGACGAATGCCGTGCCCCAGAAGAGGACGACCATGCCGGACCAGACGACTCGTCCGCGGCTCGTCATGAGAGGCGGGCCCTTGAGGAGTCCTTCGACGATGTTGATGTAGATGACCTTGAGACCGATGTTGCCGTAGAGGCCGGCAGCGATGGCGCCGGTGATGAGGGCGATGACGTTCGTGACCGTCTGCCAAGCGTAGCGCGAGACGCCCTGGTAGGCGAGCGGGAGCGTGTACTGTCCCTGCATCGCGTAGACGTAGATTCCATAGACGAGGTCTGAAGATGGAGAGCGTCAGTCGCTGTCAGACTCGCGGTGGACATAGGCAGGAAGTGAGGGTCAGCGCCAGGAGAGGGACTCACAGCAGGTGATGATGAGGGCCTGCGCGAGCGCCATACTGCGGATAAAGTCGTGCGGACGGCGCATCTCGGCCATCAACTCGGGGAAGATCATCGAACCGCCGTAAGCGAAGACTGTGGGAGCCGCAGGAGTCAGAGCAAGGCCAGGAGCGAGGGAGAGGAGGACGCACCCATGTTCATCAAGCCGTTGACCTGCGAGAAGACCGGCTGGTTGACACGAGCGACGACGACGACCGGGCCAGTACCAATGCTGTCACCGTAGGTGCTGTAGAAGTCAATCAAGTCAGTACTGGAGACCAGGCGGGACGTGGTGGAGGTGAGAGGGAACGCACGCGGCAGCCGAGGCGTAGTTGGGCGGCGAGTGCGCAATGAAGGCCATCGAGAGGATGATGATCAAGATGTTCTGCATGCGAAGCGTTAGCTTGAAGACATCAATGCATGGTCCAGGAGGGGAAGCGACGTACGAGCCAGACGGAGCTGTTGGCGAGGAGACCGAGACCCTGAAGCGAACGGATCTGGCCGACGATTATTCCGAGAATCGTCCAGATAACAACGGCGACCGAGAAGCAGATCGCAGGGCCGTTGCCGCCGGCAGCAATCTGAGCGACGCCTGTTGCGCAAAGAAAGGTCGAGGGAGGAGGAACGTCGTCAGTCACGCGCTGACTTCCGCTGCCGCAATCTAGCGGTCTGCACTCACCTTGTCCGTTACTCAAGCAGATGAGACCGACGTTGAGGACGAGCTGCGCAGGAGAAGGGCAGAGAGTCAGTCCAGCCGTTCTTCAGGTCGCGGAAGAAAGACGGATTGTAGTACGACCGCCCACTCACCTGGATCGCCTGAAGGATGGAGCAGAGGTGGCGCATCCAGCTGCCGAAGACGCGGCCGCCCAAGTCGCCGAAAGTGCGGATCGGGTAGCGAACCGAGTCCATGTGCAGGAAGAGACGGTGGAGCATGACGCCGGTGATGAAGGCGATGATGCCGAAAACGACGTAGAGGACGACGCCTGATGCCATTCCCATCGACGCGATAGCGTACGGAGCGTTGAACGGACCGAGAATGTCCTGTGAGCGAGAAGTCGGGGTGAGTACGGGTCGCGGCTTCGCAAAGAACGACACAAGACGCACGGTAGTGATCAGGTAGAAGATGGTCGCCCATCCTGCGACACGGAGGGCGCGGCGAGCGTTGACAAGCTCCAACTCGCGCTCCGACAACCCCTCAAGGTCGGCTGCAACGTCGTCGAACGTGGGCGAGTCGGTAGCCTCGCGGACGTGGACGTCATGGTCCTTCTCGCCCTTACCAATCTTGCCCTTGACGGTGTGCGCGAAGGACGCAAGGCCGCGGGAGTGGAAGTCGGCGGTGTCGTTGCGCTCGCGCTCACGCTGGCGGGCGGCCCAGTAGCGGTACTCGGCGAGCGAGATCTTGTCGCTGCCGACTGTTTCGGACGAAGCATGCGTCAGAACGGTGCCCGGCGGGAGACGAAAGACTTTTCAGCCTCGCCGGCGGAGTAGGAGAGCGTCTGGCTGGCTCCGTCTCGCTTCGCACCTTGGGGCTGGTAGAACTGGTCCATCTGCTTCTCGCTCTCGTTGGCCTCCTGTTGCGGGATGGCAACGCCTGCGAGTGCGGCGGAATCCATGGCGGCGATTAAGGACGGTGAAGGTGCGGAGACGAGCGATTGACGGAAGCGTGGTCGGGTTCAGCGGTAGAGTCGTAGTCGCCGATACGAGTTGCTGTGGCGTCGAGTCTGAGCGTGTCGCACGACGGCAGAGAGCGAGAAGGAGACGAAGGAGGAAGAGGGAGCGGCCACAGGTTCGGCTTGCAAGGGTCGAAGCAAAGGAATGCACGCGGAACACTCGAGGTGGGGCCCGAACGCGATTAGTGCATGCCCATCTTGGAGCTCGAAATAGCCTCACCGCGAGGTTGTCGAGCGCAAGCCGAAGCGGAGGAGGGGAGGTCGGCCTCGCAAAACTGGCCAACTGACACGCCTGGCAGGGCTGAAGAACATCCTCGTCGTCCGTTCCTGCGCGCCACAAATGGCCCAGCGTTCGACGACGGTTTGCCTCGTCGTGGCGGCACCGGTGGCGCATTGCGAAGGTCAAGTCCTCGAAGCGGAGGCCATCGTATCCGTCGGCAACTGCTGCAGTTCTTGCGCCATAGGCCTTTGCTGCGGCGCAATCTTCGGCGTCAAAGACTGCTCGCACCGCGCGCTCACGAAAGCCAAACGCCATCAGGCCGCCAATCGAGGACAGCGGCCCTCTCGTGTTGCATGTGGCAACTCGCCGCCGCTGCGAGGCAATCTTTGTCTCCGTCCGTATCCCCCAAGAAGCTGACGGCAGGCCGTCGACGCATCGCGCTGTCCGCTTCCCAGGCCGGCCCTTCCTCGGTCCTCTCGAGACGGACAGCCTCGTACCGCGGGGGATTCTGTGAACGAAACAGATGCGCGGGGTTGCAATGCGGATAAAGCGTGAACAGCGTCATGTACTGTCGTGGACGATGCGACCCATAACGGGTGCGCAGGGAATCCTGTCCTCCACGAGAACCGCCCCTCCTTCTCCCGTCGCCGCCGGACTCCCGCCTCCTCGAGCTCCGCGCCTCCTGCTTGACGCCTCTCACGCATCGCTGTCCGAGTCATCAAGGACAATAGTGTCCGAGTCGTCGTCGCCGTCCTTCCTCCAGCGGTCCTCAACAAGACACCCCTTCGCCTCGCCCGTCTTCTGCACCGTAAACCTCCACGTCTCGTTCCACCCCTCTCCAACACCCTGTGCCGCCTCGCTCCTACTCCTCCCTCTTCTCCCGCCCTCCCCAGTCTTGTTCTTCCTCGGATCACGCATGGCGGGAAGCGTGAGACGAGCGACGGCAGGCGGGTCGTGCGACATCTTTGAGAGGGAGGCGTGGACTGCGGCGGGCGTCCAGGACGGCGCGCGGTGGACGAAGAGGTGGTTCAGGCAGAGGTTGGGGAGCTCGAGCGCCGCGGGCGAGATGAGCGAGCCCGAGACGTGGACGAGCTTGAGGTGCGGGAGGTACTGGAACGATTCGTTCAGCGGGAAGTGCTTGTCGTCTGTAACCGCGCACGAACGATAAGCGAGACTTCGACGCTCTCGGAGAGACCGCTAAGAACGCACCTTCCGCCTTTGCGCCAAACCAGCTTCCGCCAACTCGCAGCTCAACCAAAGCCGGACACTTCTTGAGAACGTGTATGAGCCCGCGCTTCGACAGAAGCGAGCTGCGCCAGAGCGTAAACTTCTTGACGCTGCGAGCGTCGCCGAGTAATTGGATGAGGTCGTAGTTCGTGACGCTGGGTGTGGCGAAGCAATACTCAGTCAAAGTCAGCAGTCGAGGAGGGAGTCGCCTTACTTGACTTCCACAAGGACGACTTCCGTGAGCTTGAGCGAGTGCAGCGGCGGATGCGGGAGAGTCGACGAGTCGCTCGAGATGCCGCACAAGCGCAGCGTGCGCAGACTCTTGAGCGTCGAGAGGGGTTTGACGAACTGCACGTACCCAGGTTAGCTTCGCAGCCTTGCGTAGGGGAAAAGGGCGAGACGCACCTGGCTGACCGACAACATCGATGGCGAGGCGCTCGGTTTCCAGCCAATGTCCATCCCTTCCTCGCTGCCGGCTCCTGCAGCCTCGCCCTTCCCAGAAGGCGCGAGGTCCTTGTTGAATTCCTGAAGCAGGCGGAGCTGTTCAAGGGGGAGAGGGGCGCATATCAGCCTCGCTCGATTGAGGGCGGGGCATAGCGTAGACGCACGTCGATTAGTGCTTGACATAGCGAGTTCATCCAGGCGGTCGTGTCGGCGATGAGGTAGAGCGAGACGCTGAGGAGGTACCGGCAGGAACCGAGGATGCCGCAGAGCGAGTGCATCGAGTGGAACGTGAACCAGCCTGCAGATTGAGAGATGAGGAACTCATCCGCAGTAGAGGCGAAGGAAGGGAACGGGACGCACCAGGCCACGAGCTGCTCGCCTTGACCATATTCTCGATATTCGCAGTCAATCGTTTGACGCCCCGCGCCATAACCTGCCCATGCAGCGTGCGATGAATCGCATGCGCCTGTACCCTTGTATCGATATCGAGTTCGCGGTAGAGCGCCGAGCGAACCTGAACGGCGAGTTTGCGGTTGGCCAGTGCGAGTCGCGCGAGCGAGTGGCGGTCGGCCTGGCCGCCAGCTTCGGAGGGGAGTAGGACGCATGAGAGGATTTGCTGGAGGAGTTCGCGGGGGAGGTCGGTGAGGCGGTCGACGGGTTCGGGCGGCGGGAGCCAGCGAGCGTCCTTAGGCGGCGGGGTCGGCGGCTGTCCTCCTCCATCGTCGCTCCCGGAGAAGGCATCGAAGTCGCTCAACTCCTCGACTTTGACGCGCCGCTTGCCCTTCTTGCGCTTCGCCGGCCGCCGACTTGACTCCCCACTCGCATCCGCATCCTCGTCGTCCTCGTTCCGCCTCGACCGCTTCTTCCGCCCGCCCGACTTTCGCTTCTTTTTCCCATCCTTGCGAGCATCTCCGCCTGCCTGCCTCGTGCCCTGCGAGGTCGAGGCGCCGACGTTCGAAGCCAGCCGAGATGACGAGGCGGTCGTCGCAGTCTGAGCGTCTTGCGCCCTCGAAGCCGTCGCTGCTGTGTCGGACTGCGCCGAAGCCTTGCCGCGAGCACTCGAGCGAGTCTGAGGCATTCCTGCCGGCGGTGTGAGCAGAGGATGTGCGGATGAGTCGGAGTTGAGGCGTCGAGGAGGTGTGGGAGGGGCGGCGAAGGCACCTAGGGCAGTCGGGGCGATTCGACGGGAAAGCAGCAGTCCTGAGAGTACGTCTGACAGCCAGCAGAACCCGCAAGCCAGCAATGAGCGATGTGTCAGCGGGAGAGGATGTTGAGGGACGACGCTGGGGACGACCGCGGGCGACTCGTTGCGCTGGCAAATTCTCCGTGATGGCTGTGGAGTATAGTCAAAGGGCTTTGCAGCTTGCACGATCAGTCACACGGCAGAGTAGACGAGAGCAGACACCGCCAGCTGCCCCCTGTTGCGGTCGTCCCCCTCGCCAACTCCCCGGTTTCCCTCCTTCTCGCTCGCCGCGCACATCACTTGCGCCTCGCTGACGACGCTGGGGACGTTGCTGCATCGCTCACTCGCTGCACAGTCTTCGCGCGGCCCACAGGGGCTCTCTGGCGGCGCCGGCCAGCCTCCCTCGACCTCCTTCCGCATGCGGGTCGCCAACGCCTCCGTTCCATCGCTACAGACGCAGCGACCTGCCGCAGACGGGCTTACTAGCATCTCGCTCCAGAACCCGCCAGCTGGGGCCGGCTCGGAGTCCTGCTCCTGCTCTCTCGTTGTCCGCCTCCCTCGACTGCTGCTCTCTCGCCCTTGCTTCTGTACCGCTCGCTACGCTCCTTCACGCTCCTTCACTGCGCCTCTAGACCGCCCGTCGTCGACCGACCAGCGCATGCAACCCTCAGGTAGGGCAGAAGCAGTCGACCCGCCTCCTCGCCCGTCCAACCTTTGTCGATCCCTCGTTCCTACACGCACCACACTCGTTACATCCGTGCAAGCGCACAACACCGCACCATGAAGACGGCCGCTTTCCTCCCCCTCGCGCTCGCGCTCGTCCCAGCCACCCTCGTCGCCGCGACCCCTCCTCCGGCACTCATCGACGCCCTTTCCGCCTACTCTGCCGCGGGCATCGTCCCGACCATCCCGCCTGGAATCAAGCACATCGAGCGTCTCGCCAAGCGCTCGAAGGACCAGGAGGCGCCGGCTCCGACGCCTGCCGCCAAGTCCGGCATGGAGAAGATTGTCATTCTCCCTGGCAGCGGTCCTGGCAAGAAGATCAACGGCACCGCTAGCAAGCCGCTTGTGAGTTCCGTCCTACTTCTCTGCCTCGTGGAGGACACTGGCACGGAAACTGACCTGAGCCCCGCTCCGCACTCCCGCAGAAGCAGCTTCCGAAGGAGAAGGCTGTTAATGCCCCGAAGCGTCGCGGCCTCCTTGCCACGATCGAATCGAAGCTCGGCATGGCCACGACCTCCGCCGAGTTGAGCCATGAGTCCGGCAAAGTCGTTGGCGACAGGCAGCACTACTGGTACATCGAGGACTCGGAGGACCAGTCCAAGTGGCGCAAAAAGGATGCTAGTAAGAGCGCTTCGAGCTCGTCGACTAGCTCGTCTGCCTCCGCGACGGCGTCATCGACGAAGGACAAGCGCGACATTGTTGACGCCCTCGCCAACGTTGGCGACGAGCTCGACGCGGCTGGCATCATGAGCTCGCCCACCTCGACGGCTGGCTTCGTCACCTCGACTCGTCCTGCCTCCGCTTCGTCGACCGCCGCGCCGACCTCCTCGTCGTCCGCCTCTTCCGTCGCTGCTCCGGCTCCGACCACTGCCTCAGGCAACAGCACCGACGTCTCCTGGACCGACCCGTCCTCCTGGGGGCAGGGTATCTCGAACGAAGTGACAGGCGAATACAACGACCTCAAGACTCGCATCAACAACCTCTCGATCCTGTCGAAAGTCGGCCTCGCAACTCTCGTCATCGTCTCGACTATCGCGCTCGGGTTCTTGATTTACTGCTGCTGCAAGCTCAACCAGCGCAGGAGGAGGAGGAACGCGGCGGAGCGTGTACACGCGAAGTTGCAGGCTCAGCAGGTCGCGACGGGAAGGTCGTTTGACGACAGGGCCACATGTGCGTTCTACCTCTTCCCTCAGCCACGCCGTACTTCGAGCTAATGCGCCTCGTTGTGTCCAGCCATCCCCATGCGCGGCTACGGCTCCGCTTCGACGTCCGCCTCTGCGCCGCAGGACAAGAAGGGCAAGCGCCGTCTCAGTTGGTCCGCACGCCAGTAGACGCCTCCCCTTCGGCGCACTCAACCACACTCGTTTCACCTTGACGGAGTAAGTGGCTGCGAAGAGGCAGCTCGGGCGGAAGTTAAGTACCTAGAAGAGCGATTCCCTTTTCTCCTGGCCATTCAGGCTGTCCCGTTCTATCTTTTCTTTCCCATCTTGTAGCACCGACTCCAGCTTCGTCCTCTGTAGCCTAGCGTTCAATGCATAGCGTCTGTCTCCGTCGTTCCGAGTCGAGTCGAAGGTGAAGAGGGCGACAGTGCCGTCAGACCTGCCGAGTCCTCCAGTGCGATGGCGCGGGGGTTCCGAAAAAGCCGTAGCAAGCCTTACACAGACTGTTTGAAGTCCACGAAGATTGCGAGGTGAGCAGCGATATCCAGGAGGAGCCTGAACCAGAACCACTCGCTACTCTCGCCGTTGCTGGCCCCAGAACCCCGCCAGCCACGCCCGCGAGACTCATGCAGCTCAGCTGAACGACCCAGTGCAGCGCACCCGACCCGCGATGCCTTGGACCCTCTCATCGCTCCTCTCTGCCCCACTCACGGCAGCGGCGTCGTACCTCCCCTCGGTGCCGTTGCCAGCCAACCTGCAGCAGAGGCTCGTCGCGTTCTTGCTCAGGAGGGCGATAGGCGGGTTCGTCAAGGGCGGAGGGGAGGGGTTGGGCGACGAGGGCAGGATCGAGGCGGATGTCCGCGAGGGGAGGTTCGTGGTCAGAGACGTCGAGGTGGACGAGCAGGTGCGTACAGCGACCGTATGAGTCGACTCGAGGCAACCGCTGACCTATCATCCCGCTGCAGGCCATCAATGCCCTCCTCTCGCCTCCTCATCTCCCCACTTCCGATGGCGATAGCGTCCCCGACGCTTCCCTGCGCTTCGAATCCGGCTCGATAGGCACCGTCACGGCGCTCGTTGCGTGGCCGCTGACGAAGCTCGACCTCGTCATCGACCAAGTCGACCTCGTCTTCCGCGTCTCGAATTCGCCTCGACCCGCCGAACCCCCTTCCTCCCCTCCTCCGTCTGAGATTCCGCCTACACCTCCACCAGACGCAAGCGACCCTCTCGCCGAGTCGCATATCTCGGTCTCAATCGCGCACGACTTCATCTCGCACGAGCTGCTCCCGTCAGAAGACGCCGAATTGCGCGAGTCGCTACACCTGTCGCCCTCGCTTGCATCGTCTGTCGACCTTCCTGGCGCTTTTGGCGGAGCAGCAAGAAGCAGCGGAGGGTCGGAGCAGGAGGCGGAGGAAGTCGAGACGACTGTCTTGGCGGGCCTCATTGAGCGGGTTCTGGCGAGACTGGGGGTCAAGGTTAAGCAGGTTCGGCTGAGGCTGCTGTGGGAGACGGAAGGAATGGATGGCGAGAACGAGCTGGATGTGCGGATAGGCGAGGTCGTGTACACGGGCGACGCGGGCGAACCTGGCGCCGCCAAAGCGCCGCTCGTTCGCAGCCTGCAAATCTCGCCTCCTCAAGTTTACCTTCGTCTCGCCGAACCCGCGTCGCCGTCTCCGACGACCTCGTCTCGACCGGCGACAAACCGTCGCGACTCGTCAGAATCCGACTCTTCCTCCTCCTCCTCGGGCGACGAAGCCGATCTTCTCGCCATGTCTCAATCGATTGCCGACCTGCGCACTTCAGTCTACTCGACGAGGAGCGGTGGATCTTCCAGCACCGCGCGGAGCGACTTGTTCGCGTCGGCTAGATCCGCGCCTTTCCAGTCGGTCAGCGAAGAGCCGGAGGAGGACGACCCTTTCCACGATCCGGATGCGGAGGCGCGCACCGCATCTTCCACTTCTTCGCCGCCTGATCAGCGAGATCCGCCTTCGCTCATTCTCTCCCTCGGCCCCTCCGACAAGCCCATTACGCTTCTCCTGTCGACGGTGCAGCCCGCATCCGACGGCGACAAGCCTTCCAAGCTCTCCCGGCGACCGGTTGTGACTCTCTCTGCCGACGTCGACAGTCCCTGGATCTGCGCGATCACCGCCGAACAGCTCGCCGCTCTTCTTTCCCTTGCCGCTCACCTGTCCGCCACTGCGTCATCGACTTCAGCAACCCCTCAAACCCCTCCGACACGATCCAGCACAAGCACTGCCAACTTTTCATTGTCCCTCCGTGCGGTTCACCTCCTCATCGCGCTTCCGCCAAAGGCTTCCGTTCCGTCACCGCCTTTCCCGCCTGCCATTCTCACCCACCCCGACACCGTCATTCGTGCGCCACATCTTCGCCTGCGACTCGAAAGTCTCGGTTTCACCAGCGATGCGTCTACGGGCATGCGGGTTCGAATCGACCACATTGCTCTGACCGAGACCTCCGCATTACCGGGAGGTGTAGGTAGCGAGGACGTCTGGCGCACCCTTCCGCTCCTTGTTGACGATGTCGCGCTCGCGAGCCGCCCGCCGACGGATGCGTCGGCTAACAGCCCGGACTGGGTGCGAGTTGCGACTGCGGGAGAAGGTGGACCCTCGGCGGCGCAAGGGGCCGTCTACGGACGAGACTGGCGCTTCGCCTCGAGGAACATGGGCAAGAAGAGCGCTTCGAAGGACGAGGGCGACACGACGAAGACGCCGGCGCTGGTCTTGAGCGCGTCAAGCAGTGAGGGTCTCGCCGTCGACCTCGCGCCTTTGCACGCTTTCATCGACTTGAGCGCGATCGGAAGGCTACTTCCGCTCGTTGAGCTGTGCATGGAAGCGCTACCTCCTTCATCGGAATCGGCAGTCCCGCAAGAGCCGCCCATAGCGCCGACGCCTCGTCCCTCAAGCCCTGCCTTTCCTACCGTCCCCCCTCGCGACATCCTCGACGACTTTGTGGGCACTCCCGACACGCTTCGTCACGCCTCATCTCAAGAAGCTTTCGCGCTGCTCGTGCGATGTCCGCTCTTGCGCATCGAGATCCGCTGTCCGGCGCCAAAGGAGTATCGCCTCGCGGCGCACGATGGGGAGCTCGTGCGGAGCGGTCGCCTCGTCGTCGATGTTGTCTCGACAAGGCTCGCGATCGGCAAGTCGACGACGAAACTTGACCTTGAGGCATTCGAAGCGTTCTTCGCCCTCAAGTCCGATGTCCAGGCTGCGCGATTCCTCCAGATCTCGCCACTAGCCCCGCTTACCGAAGACCCAGCGGCGGTCTGTCCATGCCTCACCGCAGCTTTCGGCGCAGCCTACCCTACCTTCGACGTCACCCTCCCGCTTGCACATGTTCAGCTCGACAAGCCGACGTTCGACGGCCTTCAACTATTCGCCGACGACATTTCGCAGTATGTCGGCATCGAGCTGGCCGAGTCGTCGTACGCCTCATCCGACGAAGAACACCACGGCATGCGCGGCACAAGGATGATTGGCTCGCGCTACTTCGGTGCGAAGAGCTTCATGCACCCTCGAAGGCGCCGTCGCGAGAGCGAGACGGACAGCACGGCGAGCACGGTAACAGTGCGAGGTCGTTCGGGAGGAGGCGGATCCGGCGGCCGCGCGGAGGGTCGGACAGCTTCTGCGAACGTCAGCGTGACGGATGGTGCGCCCTAGATCCCACTCATTTCCAGGAGCAGCGATTCTGACGTTATCGCGTGCAGTCATCGTCGACTTGCATTTGGGAGCACTCACGGCCGGCTCGGTGAATGTCCGCCATCTCCACCTTGCAGGATCAGATCTCGGGCTCGAGGTTGAGCTGCTCAAAGACGGCCACGCGGATCTTCGGGCGAGCCTCAGCGTGATGGACGTCAACATTGAAGACCAGTCGAAGACGACAGCTCCGGTGACGATCTTGGGCCGGACCATGCCGCGCGATCTCGTACGTCCACTCGTATCCATCGGCACAAGAGCGGTTCTCTGACCCCCCTAAACCCCCAGACGACGCCGTCGTCCGCGCTCGTCCAGGTCGGCTTCTCGAGCTCGACGGAGCGTGAGACCAACTTGAAGGAGTCGAAGGTTCAGCTCACGCTCAGCGACTTTACCTACTACCTCTCCGCCGATTTGGCCTGGATGCAAGACTTAGGCGCATTCGTCAAAGCGCCCGAAGGGGTGAGCCGTCCATTCGTCTCGTGTAGTCACCCTGCCTGACCGAGTACTCCCTGCAGGCCTTCGAACACGTCGTCCCAAACGAGCTCACCCGTCTTCGCGTACGCCTGAATTCAATCTGCGCCCACGTCTCTGCGCCGTCGAGCTCGTCACACCTCGTCCTTGTTATCGCCGAGGCTCGACTTCGTACCGACCTCATGCCCGATCTTCCCCGTACGACACTCTTGGCGGATGTCACAGGCTTGCGAGCTCTCGCGGTCGATAGCGAAGCCGACCTGGCGGAGATCGCGCCTGGTCTGCGACAGCAGGAGGATTGGCGGTTCTGGAGGGTGAGCTATGGTTCGTCTTGGTAAGACCTACGATGCACTGACGCGCCTTTCTGCAGGCGAAAGGCTTCGTGCCGATTGCGCACATCGAGCAGGCGTCGGTCGAGGCTCGTCAAGGCAACGGCCTCGTCTTGCCCGATCTCGACGTTCTCGTCAATGGCGCCAAGGTGGACGTCTCGCTCTGTGCCGACACTATCGCCAGCTTGACCACCTTCGCCAGTGCTTTCGTCGCCGATCTGTCATTAACAGGCTTGCACAGGTACGTGTTCTCGGTCCGTGTGCCGTCTGAGCCGCTGCTGAGCGGCTGCCCCTCCTTCGCAGCTCGCCTCGAACGTCGACGGCTTCCAGGGGGCGACGCGGAACGCGGAAGGATCCGGGCGACCTCCTGGCGTCGGTGGACCCCGCAGCCTTCGAGCAGGCTCCGCCTATGCACGACCTGCCTGAACTGCTCGACGACGACGTGCCGGCGAACACGACGTACATCAGCGACGCTCTGCTACGATCGACCTCACAATCAGCCGCGGCCAAGGCTCACCAGCGCACCGCTTCTTCAGCGAGCTTGCCAGCTTTCGGTCAAGCCGACTCGGCGCAGCTTCTCTCGGAAATTGATGGCGAGACGATCAAGACGTTGGTTCCAGAAGGCTTGCAGATCATCGACGAGTGGCTTGCCGAGTCGCGAATCGACGACGATGAGCACAGGTAAGCGGACTCGACCCGCCCGCATTGGCTGCCACGACTGATCGCTTGGCCCCTAGCGCGACGGCAAGCTCGATACGCTGCCGGCTGGTCAACTCGGACATCTCGATTCGCCTCCATGAAGGCTACGACTGGGCCGCCACGCGGAAAGCTATCGAGGAGGAGGCGAAGGCGGTTCGACGCCGGCTCGAGAAGATCCGACAGCTGCTCGCCAGCGGTCAGGCAGCCGATGCGAGCGCGGAGACGGCGTCGGTCCTCATGTTCGGATCGGTACAGCTTGGCCTGCCACCTGGCGCGAGCGAGCTGCCGGCGAAGGAGTTGCTCGCAGCTATCAACGAGGAGCTCGATGACTCGCCCACCTCGGACGCGGTCAGCACGGCCGCGTCAAGCTGGCAGAGCTTTCCAGGCGGCACCCCACCTGCAACCGCAAGACCGCCGGCACCTGCTGTCGTCGGCAAGCTGCGCAAGCGACTCACGCGCTCGAAGGCCTTTGCCATCGAGATCAACGTGCGCGACCTGAATGCCAACTTCGACAGCTACTCGTCTTCGCTCAGTATCCAAGCGTCAAGACTGCTCGGCGTCGATCCCGCACTCAGCTCGAAGATTCAGGCCGACATCGGCGACTTGGAGATCATCGACAACATCAAGACGTCGACTTGGCGCAAATTCTTGACCGAACTTCGTCCGAGTGAGGGTGGCGTGATGCGTCCGACCGGCGGTCGCATGGCGAGGCTCGAGCTGCGGGCGGTCAAGCCGGTTGGGAAGCTTCCGCATGCGCACGACGAACTCGTCGCCAAGGTCCGTTCTCTCAAGCGTGTCTTGACTTGCCGTTAACTGACTGTCACGTCACTGCACAGCTCCGAGTGTCGCCGCTTCGCTTATACATCGACCAAGATGCCCTCGACTTCCTCAAGTCCTTCGGCGCCTTCGAGCGTCCCGTCGCCAATGCACCCGCCCAAGCTAGTCGAGCATCCAAAGAGCCTTTCTACCGTGCGCTCCAGTTGCATCTTCGGTTCCTCGTGGCCGCTGACGCCCACGTTTGCAGAGCGTGTCGAAGTCTTGCCGGTCAAGCTCAAGGTGGACTACAAGCCGAAGCGGGTCGACTACAATGCGCTCAGGCGCGGCAAAACCGCCGAGCTCATGAACTTCTTCCACTTCGACGGTTCCGAGATGACCTTGCGGCATCTCGTCGTCACCGGCGTGAGTTTTGTTTCGTCTTCCCTGCGTCTTTCGGTCCGCTGACGAACTTGGCCAGGTCTCGGGCACGTCAACCCTCTCGAATCTCGTGCAAGACATCTGGTCGCCGGACGTCAAGGCGCATCAGCTCGCAGATGTCGTCGGCGGTATCGCGCCAATCCGCTCGGTCGTCAACGTCGGCGCCGGCATGGCCAATCTCGTCCTCCTTCCGATGGAGCAGTACCGCAAGGATGGCCGCGTCGTACGTGGCCTGCAAAAAGGCGCACAAGCTTTCGCCAAGCAGACGACGCTCGAGGCCATCAACGTCGGCGCCAAACTCGCGACCGGCACGCAAGTCATCCTCGAGCAGGCAGAGCATGTTCTCGGGGCCAAGTTCAGCCAGCCTGTGTCTGCCGAAGCGATTGCGCCATTCGCGCCCGACGTTCCGCACGACTCGCCAAATCAGCTCGAGGACAGCTTGGTCGACGACGGGTTGCCCGACCTTCGCAGCCGCTACGCCGAGCAGCCCGCCGACTTCCGCGAGGGCGTGCAGAGTGCGTACAAGACGCTCGGCGACAACGTCAAGGAGGCCGCACAGACAATTCTGGCGGTTCCGATGGAAGTCTACGAACGGTCTGGCAACGAGGTGCGCCCGCTGAAGTCCCGCTCACGAGTGTCACTGAACTGACACTCTCGACGTGCAGGGTGCCGTCCGTGCTGTCGTCCGCGCCGTCCCCATCGCCGTCCTCAAGCCGATGATCGGCGCATCCGGCGCCGTCTCGAAGGCGCTGCTCGGGTTGCGCAACACGCTCGACCCGAACGCCCAGCAGAGCGAGCTCGAGGACAAGTACAAGTGACCGCTACCCTATCTCGCTTCTCGTCGTCGTCCATGCAACACTCCCACGCCTCCTCGCTTCCCTCTGCCTCCTTCTCTCTTCCGCTTCTCTCGCATGTCTCCTCTTGGTCGCCCCGCTTGTCGTAACTCTTCTTGCATTGCATTCGTCCGCGCTCCTCATCTCGTTAGCTCAGTCCACTCGACTGTGGAGAGCTGGAGCTGTCCTCGTCCTCCTTTCGCGTCTCCCTCATCCTCGCTGCGCCATCGCTTCGCTCTTTGACGAGTCCTTCCTGTCCGCTGCTCATTACAGCATCCTGCGCGAGTGCTGCACTGTCCAGCGAGGCTCTCCCCGCCCTACGACGCCGCTCGTTTCTCCTCATCATTTTGGTCGACAAGCTCGACGCCCACGCCTGCGGTGTCGCTGCTAGTCACTCGGGAAGCTGAGGCGACAGCTCGAGGGTGTAGGGCCGACGTCGCGATGCATCGTAAGCCGCCAGCCTCTCCGTGTCCCCTCCTCTTCATCCGCGGATTCTCCGGACCATCGTCTCGGCGGCTTGGTGTTCTCGCGCTTCCGTTTCGTCTGAGGCTGCTACCCCTCACTCATGGCGCGCTCAAGACGCTCTCGCTACTCGTCCAGCAGCGAGTCGAGCTCGCCACCCGACAGCAGCGCCGTTGAGTCGCCTTCTCCTCGACGAGCACGGCGGCCAAGGTCTCGCAGACGAGGAGACTCGCTCTACTCGCTCGACAAGGCAGAGAGGAGAAGGGTGGACTGGGATCGATGGCCGCCTCGCTATGAGCCGTCGGAGACATCCAGCGACGAGACGACTGGATCCAGCGAGGCAACGGTGCGCCTTCCGCTCTCTCGTGGTCTGCCAAACTGTACTGAGCGATACTCTACATCGCAGGACTCGGACTCTGACGGCTCCCGCCGCCGCCTCCGACCGCCTTCGAGCGCGCAGTCCCAGCAACAACAGCAGACGAAAAGCTGCATGGTCTTGTTCATCGGTCTCGGCATCGCTATCCTGCTTGTTTCGCTCGGCGGTTATGCTCTCTTGCGCTATTTCAACAGTAGCGCAACTGGCGGCGCAGGCGGAGTACAAGTGATCACGGAGACAGTCACTCTGCCCGGAGGAGGAGGGGTTGTTACGACGACGGTGTCGGTCGAAGCTCCGGCGACGACAGGCGGCGCAAGTAGCAGCCCTCCCGCTTCACCATCCGAAAGTACTGGAGGATCGAGCGGAAGCGGGAGCGGCAGTGACAAGCAGCCTGGGATCAGCAGGAAGCGAGTCCTCTTCGTCTCCCCTCGCTTGCCAGGGTCGCAGCTGACGCTCATTCGTGACGCTCATTCGCTTAAACAGTAACATCGGCATCGGTTTCCTGCCAGAGTGCGTCGTCGAGGCTCACTTTTCATAGGCGAGGCTGACTGTTCAACCGCAAACTCAGCTATAAGAATCAGGATATGGCCAAGATTAACAGCGCGCTCGGCATCAAGAGCAGCTACTACGGGTGGTATGCGCAGCTACCGGAGAGCGGCGACTGGGACGGCGCGCAGCTGCTTTCGCAAATGAATGATATCAAGGTACGGCTGTTTCTGCCCGTTCTGCGCGGCTTTCTCGCTGATTTTTCTGCTCGATAGGCTTGCAACTGCATCTTCCAGGTGTGTAAAGCTTTCGAGGCTCAGTCTCGCCATTTGGCGAGAAGCGAGGTTCGTCGACACTTCCCCCCTCGCAGCCCGCAGTCATGCCGACGAAAGGCTGGCGAGGCCTGACAGCGAGCGACAACTCGCAAGCCAAAGCGATCGCGAAGGTGATGAAGAAATTTACCGACGAGGGTATCGAGGTGTGGCTCAGATTCGGTGCGTTCCGCTGATCCTGCCACAACATCCGCGGCGCCGCAACCCACGGTCTGCGAGATCCTCTTCCTTCGGCCTCAGCACCTTCCCTCACATTTGAGCTCGGAGACTGAGGACGACGCTTCGGGATTCGCGCTGACTGCCTCAACTTGCTGCGCAGCTCACGAAGTCAAGCAAGTCCAGCTCTTCGTCCAGTCGATGAGCTTTGCGTTAACACTTGTTCTGTACCAGCTGGTACGTCACCGACGGTACGTATCAAGGCGGCGTCCAGGACTTCAAGCCGGCGTGGGCGGAAGTCGCCAAAGCTGTCGCGGACAATCCGAAGGTCCGCATGTTCGTGCGCAGACCTTTCCTCTTTTCTGTTGCTGGTGGAGCGCAATGATGAGCTTACGGCGCGGCACAGTTCACGCCGAATGTCGCTGGCTCGCTCCAAGACTACGTGAACTGGATGCCTGACGACCTTAGCACCATACATTACCTCGGGTGCGCCCCCTTTCCTTGCCCTCTGTCGTCGCGTGAGAGAGTCGCACTAACATGCATTGTGTATAGCATCGGTGCGGTCGTCAATGCTCGCACGATTCCGCTCAACTGACCTTCGCAAACTCGCCTTTGCTCAGACTACTACCCGAAGGACGCCTCGCAGCGCTTTGTGGATATCGTCAAGCCGCTCTACGACAAGTATTGCGCCGATGGCAACATCCTGTTTGCAATGGGCGAGACAGGGTGCGTCGGTCTCGTCGTCGAAGTCTGCGGGAGGGGACGCTGATTCTTCCTCGCTGTGCACAGAACGCCCTGGAGCGCAACAATCGACGAGCGCCTTGCGTGGCTAGACCAACTGACTTCGGCGGCGACGGCGAAAGCGATGCCTTATTACGTCGGGTACGCCATCCGATCTCCGTCTCTTCCGTTCGCCGCTTTTTGCTGACACACCTTACACAGGATTTCCTGGTTCAACGTGCGCGCTGCTGCACTCCTTTACAGCTCCGAACTTTGCTAACCAACTCTCGCATTGCGCGCCAAGTACGACAAAGAGACGAGTGCGCAGTCTTTTCGTCTCGCTTCTGGTCTCCTCGACCGCCGAGCTGACATTCCTCGACTCGACAGACTTCTATCTGTACGACCCCGGCAACGCGGACACAACGGCCAAGGCGAAAGCCTGGCTCGCAAATGGGACGTCTGCGAGCGGCGCAAAGATGGGGAACGCATAGAGGGCGACAAGTCAGGGTGCATAGAGACGTGGTGTAGCAGTTCTACCTCTTCCTATAACTTGCATTGCTGCCGACAAGCTCGGGAGGTTGCGAAAAGCGGTTTGCCCGTCGAGGACGTCTACGCCGGCGTTTGCGAGCCCGATTTCGCCGCCCGCCTGTTGACCAGACTGACCAGACTCGAGAAGAGGAACTCGCTCAGCCCGTCCGCGCCCTGCTCCTGCACCCACTCGAGAAAAGCTGGTCGGAACTCGTTGAACGAGATGTTCAGGCCGTCCGGCTCCTGCGAGATTGACGAGACGTCAGCATGCGAGGTCGGCGAAGTGGTGACACCGTGCTCACCTTCGCGAGTTGCTTGAGCGAGCTGGTCGAGATCGGTCCGACGAGACCGCTGATCGACTTGCCGCGCTCGACAGCCAACACCTGCTCGTCAAAGCTGCGTCAGCAAAGCTCCTTCAGCGCACGTACGAGTTGAACGCACTGCGAGACAGTCCTTCGCGAGCGTCGCAAGTGCAGGATGCGTCGACAGTCCGAAGCTCGCAGAAGTCGCCTGACCTCGCTCGTCGCCGTACCCCCGCAAGTCCTCGAGGTCCTCGCTGCGTGCAAACTGCCGTCAGCTCCGCTAAGCCTGAAAGAGAAGCCTCGCACGCACGGCATGAACCCAAGACTCGATTGCGCCGGATCCGCAGGCGTCAAGAACCGTTTCTGCCAGAGCGTCGCGACGAACTCGATTAGGTGGGCGTTGAGTTCGGTTACTAGGCCGGTATTCGATTCGGAATTGATATCGAGAGCGGTCGAGGCGCCCGTGAGCGCTTCGCGGAGCCTGCAGCGGCCAAGGCGGAGGCGTTAGGTGGGGGCCAAGTGGGAAGAACTGCGCAGGCGACGCACCGAGCGAGTATCCCGCAGATGCGCGACAAGCTCATCACCTCGTTGCTCAACAAGCACGTGTGCATGATTGTGGCGGAAGGGAGAACGACGACGGGCAAGCCGAACTCGAGTGGGAGCGAGAGGGCGAGTTCGTAGAAAGCGAGCGAGGCGGAGCGGATCGTCAGGTCGTGCGGACGTTGCTGTGCAAGTTGTGTCAGCGAGGCTGAGCTAAGCGAAGAGAGTGCTGACGCACCTGGCAAGCCAGCTCGATCTGCTTGTTCGCGAACGACAGGATCCCCTGCAATGCGTCGAGGTACGGCGCGTCCGGTTCGAGCACGCCGAAAGCGGTGGTCCTGTCCAGAACGTCTTCGTCAGCGCGCAAGTCAAGGAGAGAGCACGCCGGACGCACCTCGACACCGTCTCGTCCCAATCGTCCCGTACGGCCCAGTTACTCACGAGTGCCGTCAAGCACGCCAAAAAGTCGGCGACCCACGCGCCTTCCACAGAATCGGCTTTGGCAAACGTCTCGAGCGGGCGGAGGTAGTGGTGGTACAGATCTGTGTGAGCTAACGTCAACTTGGTTCCGGCTAACAAGGAGGCAGATGCTGGACACACCTTCAAAGCGCAAAGGCTTGATGAGCGCGAAAAGGTCGAAGACGAGTTTGCGATGCGTGAAGCCGTCCCAGCGTTGCAGGTACTCCGCAAGGAACGGCTCCAACTCTTCCAGCAGTTCCTGTCGCCCGCTTCATTCGTCAGCTCCGACCCGATCGCAACAAGCTGGAAGCGGAACGCACCCCTGCGAACTCGCTCAACTCGCGTACTCGAGCGAACAAGTCTGCGACTCGCTTCGCGCCTGCATCCGTTGGCTCGAGGTCGTACAACTCGTGTTGAAGCTGGGCGATGACCCATGACGAGAGGCGCTCAATGTGATCGCCTGCACGTCTCTTATTAGCGCGTGCACGAGGGAAAGCAGGGGAAGCAGCATCACGTACGATCATTCTCATACCCGCCCCTCAGCAAAAGACACCAACTCCTCACCCTCTCTTCCTCGCCCACCTCCTCTTGCGCGACCCTGATGCGCTTCGTCGACCCCGAGACGGACCGCAGCACGCTGGCTGCTTGAGAGGGGAGAGCGAGGTCTTCGATGCGAGATGCGAAGGTGGGGAGGGTGCGGACGTCGCTCAGCGGGACGGCGGTTGGGGAGAGCTGGACACGAGAAGTGTGAGTGAGTAGATCTTAGTGGGAGCGAAAAGAAGGAGGACGCACGAGATCGGTCGAGTAGGTGATGGGAAGCGGAAGTTGGGTCTTCGTGTCCGCCTCGGTCTTGCGGCGCTTGGCCTGTCGCGACCGCAGAATAATACGTCAGTAGGCAGCCTTCCTGAACCCCGTTCTGCTATGAAGCGAGATCCGACGCACCCTCGGCCCTCCCTCCTCCTCGGCCGCTTCCCTCGCCCTCCGCACCCTCTCCCTCACTTCCTCCACCTCCTTCCTCTCCTTCCTCCGGCCACCCACAGTGGAGCGGCGCTGCCCGATCCCCTGATACACCCGTTCGGGCTCGAAAGAGCGGTAGGTCTCTAGTAGGCGGTGAAGGGAGGGTGGTGGGGAGGGGAGGCGGGTGAGAAGGGTGTGGCTGTTTGGGGATCGTGCAGATCAGTGATAGGTATAGGGGATCGGAGAGAAAGGAGGGAGAGGGGAGGGAACGCACAGGAAGTCGATGCGGTGTTTGACGATGTGGTGACGGCGGACGATGAGGCATAACAACTCGGCCGTTGACTCCCTGTGCACATCACCGGGAGCATCCATCAGCGTCTCCGCCTATCAAGGCGAGGGGAAGAGCGAGAAAACGAGAAACGCACCTCAACTTCCCAAACTCCAGTCCCCTCTCCACAACTCCCACAAGCCTATCCAGCCCCTCCCTCGCCTCAGGGTTAACCCATCCTTCTTCAATGAGCACGAGGAGCAAGTCGAGTGCGAGGGATTGGAGGGGGTAGGATGGACCGGGGGGAGACGGGTGCGAGAGAGGGGAAAGGAGGGTTAGGAGCAGCGGGAGCGAGAGGGGGGTAAATGGAAGGAGGAGAAGGAGCAGGGAGAGGGATGTCGAGGGAGCTGCAAAGGAAAGAGAGCGTGAGTCGCGTTCCAAGATCCGACAGCGAGGAGGGAGAGGTCTTGCGGCTCACTGTCCTCGCTAGACCCATGGAAGGCTGCAACGCACCCACTTTGCCACTGAAGCACGCCCCCCATCCCTTCCTGACCAAGTCCTCGGCCACCGCTCCCGACCCACCCCCCTCAACATCCTCATCAACCAACTTGCGCAACTCCTCGATGAGCGCTGACTGGGCGTCTTTGGTGGGCGCAGAGGTCGATAATTGAGTGAGGAACGGGGTGAGACGCGTCGAGAGGGTTGCGGACATGCGTGCGAGGGGCAGAAGAGAGTGGGAGAGGAAGAAATGCGGAAGGAGGAGGAGGAGGGGAGATGTCAAAGTCCGGGACGCAGCCTGCGCGTCGAATCGTGCAGTCCTGTGCAGGGAAGAGCGGACCCTCGCAGAACGCAAGAAGCGGAGGAGAGCGAGCGCAGAGAGGAAGAGAAAGAGTACAAGGCGAAGGAAAGTCGTTTCCAGGTCCCGCAGCGCTCTCCTCGCGCGAGTTTCCTAAAAAACCGGTACTGCTTGCTGCAATGCGTCGAAGACGTCCTCGTTGAAGAGACGGACCCAAAAGAACGACGAAATTCCGCTCCTGCGCCCGCATCCATCCGCCTGGATCCCGTTCGTCCATCCTCCATCCTGCCGCTCACACCTGAGGCACCACCTGTCCCCGCTCAACGCCCTCCTCATCCCACCACTTCCCCTCTCCAAGCAACCTCGTCACCTCCTTGACAGCCTCGACGATGCCCACATGTTCAACCTGATGGATCCTCTCCTCCAATCCCTCCAGCGACTCGCCCTCCACCAGCGGTACTTCCTTCACGATCACCGGTGCGCCCGCGTCCAATAGCGGAATAACGCGGTGAATCATGATGCCCGTCTTGGTGATCCTCCTTCCTCCCACTTCACCCTCGTTCGTGGCGGGATCGAGAGTCTCGAGGGTTGCGGAGGAGGAAGAGGTGGAAGAGGTGAAGGTCGAGGAAGAGGGTGTGTTGAATGCGTCCCAGGCGTCCTTGATGGCGTGCGCGCCGGGGAATTGGCCTGGTAGAGCGGGGTGGAGGTTGATGATTGGGATGGGGCGGTTGCGCAGCGCGTCTGAGGGGAGGGAGGAGGGGTAAGGGGACGAGCCGGGCGTGGGAAGGCCGTGCGAGATGGGAGAAGGCGAGTTCGGGTCGAGCGAGGGGAGGCAAGAGGTCGAGGAGGGAGGCGAGGAGACCCCTGCGTCGTCTTCGTCCCAGTCTCGTCGTAGTTCGTCGAGGAACCCTTCGCCGAGAATCAACATCCAACCCGCCAGCACCACCAAGTCCGGCTTGGTGTCCCTAATCTTCGTCGCCAAATCGCGCTCCCACTCTGCCCGTCCCTTTCCCTCATTGCCAGGCTGCTTCTTCCATCTGAGCAAGGGGAAAGACTCGGCTGGCGTCGGAGAGGGAGCGAATGTGCGTGCTCGAGTGAGTCCAAAGGCGTCGGTGCGGGAGGAGAAGACGGCGGTGACGGTGCAATGGGAGAGGGAGAGCGGGTCTGAGGCTGGCAGCTGGGTTGCGTCGAGGATTGCTTGCAGGTTTGAGCCTGTGCACGGTGTCTCGAGCGAGTGTGAGCGCTGTGTGAGGGTGAGCGAGTCGACGAGGAGGAAGGGGGAGCTTGCCTGATCCCGAGATGAGGACGGTGATGCGCCACTTGCGCTGGGTGGGCTGTGACATCCTCGTCGGTGCTCCTGTGCAACTCAGCAAGCCCTCACAGCGGTCAGCAGGCGACAGTCAGGACGAGACCCTCATCGCTTGCTCTCTCTCTTGACAACCACTCGCTCGCACGCTTGAGCTGGCTGGAGTACACTGTTTACTCCTACTAAGCTTGTACTGGACACGGCATGGCATCTGAGCCACTCCCAGCGCAGCGTGAGTCCCATTCTCACCCCCACTACCTCACCCTCGGGCTCATCCTCGTTACACGCGCACAGTCTCGGCGTACAGGCCATCCAAACACGAGAGGGACGCTTACAACTACCTCTTCGAGAAGGGTGAGCACTCGCTTGCACGCCAGCGGCGATGGACGGACCCAGACTGGCTGACCCCCTCGTCATCCACTTCCCTCGCAGCCGACACTCAGCAGCTCGGCGTACTCAGTGCGCTCTCACCGCCGTCCCCTCCCTTTGCGATTTGCTGACAAGTGAGCGTCCACAGCGGGCGACCTCGCCGTCCCCTTCTTCTCCCACTCGTCCCTCCCGCCCCTCATCCTCGGCGAGGTATGGCAGATCGCAGACCCCGACAACAGCGGATTCCTCTCGCCCGAGCGATTCGGCGTCGCCTGTCGTCTCATCGGTCATGCCCAGGAGAGGAACAGGCGTGGAGCGCCCGAGGTCAAGAGTGAGGACGTTGGAAAGGGTGAGCGCGGAAACCCCATTTCGCAGTTCAGGCTTGCGCTCCATGCCGAACGTGGTACTGATTTCTCGGCGTCTTCCCGCACAGCCGGCCCACTCCCGACCTTCAAGGGCTACGCCCTCCCCGCCCATCTCTCGCACCCTCCTCCCTCCTCGACCTCCTCCTCGAGCGCTCTCTCGCCTCCAACCTCACCCTCCCCCACCTCAGCTCCAGCTCGGCAATCCTCCCTCCCGCCCTCGAACCCGCGCCTAACCACCATCTCCCCCACCGACAAGGCCAACTACACGCGGATCTTCTCCGCTGCGAATGGTGGAAATGTCGGCGGATTGTTAGACGGTGATAAGGCGAGGGAGATTTGGGTCAAGAGTGGGTTGCCCTACGACGTTCTGGGCCAGATCTGGTGCTTTTGCCTCGCTCCTTCTCCTGCCACTTCTCGCGAGGGACGACAAGCTGATGAACCTCGAGGATCGTGCCGCAGGACCCTCGCCGACACCCACTCGCGCGGCGCACTCGACCTCACAGACTTCACCATCGGCATGCACCTCCTCCACCTCGTCCTCGACGGCTCCCTCCCTCGCTCCGTCTCTGGTCTCCCAAAGGTACTCGATCCGAAGATGTACGCCGCAGCAGCTGGGCTTCCTTTGCCAGGCCAGGGCGCGCCTACTCCCTCCACTCCCTCCGCCGCGCCCTCCACCCCTACTCCCACCGCGCCTCAGCAGCAGCAGCAGCAAGGAGGCTGGCTCATCACTCCGGCTGAAAAGTCCGAATCAGACACCTGGTTCTCGCAGCTCGATACCCAGAACCGAGGGATCTTGGAGGGCGATCAGGCTGTTGGGTTTTTCGGGCAGAGTGGGTTGGAGGTTGGGAGGTTGGCGAGGATTTGGTGAGTCCGCTTGCTTTTCTCTTCGTCACTTCTGCCGTTCGTCGGAGAGGAGTGACTGATTGAAGAGGTACGCATGGATTGCAGGGACCTCGCGGACTTCGAGAACAAGGGATTCCTTACGAAGGACACGTTCGCCGTCGCGATGCACCTCGTCAAGAAGGCCGTCGCGGACCCTTCGTTCGTCCTCCCCGACTCGTTGCCGGACAACCTCCGTCCTCCCACCTCTGCCTCGACCTCGAATGCGGGCGGGAGTCAAGTCCAGCGCGACTTGCTGGACTTAATGGACGACGACGACGGCGCGCCTTCGACTCCGACTGCCGCGCCCTCCTTCGCGCCCCAGCCTCAGACACAGCGCTCGCTCTCCCCTCAGCTGACCGGCCAACGCTCGACCATCCCCCCGCCCATCCAAGCGACGATGCAGCCTCTCCCGCTCTCGCCGCAAGGAACAGGCCAGCCGCAGCGGAGCTTGTCGCCTCAAGCGACGGGCGGGAGCGCACGGGGCGTTGGGATGGTCTCGAGTCCGCTTGCGACCTCGGCACCGCGCGGAGGGTTCGGGGATGACTTTGCGCCTGCCTCCTCTTCGTCGCCAGCTCCCGTTCCTCAGCAGCAGCAGAAAACCTCGTCGAACTTCTTCGACGAGAACGACGATGCGGATCTTGCTGCGACCGCCTCATCGCTCGCTTCCCGCGCGTCAAACCTCCGCACCGAGCACGCGAGCGTCTCGAAAGACCTCGAGTCGACCTCCGTTTCTCGCGCCGAACTCGAGTCGCAAGTCCAGGCTCACAACAAGGAGATCGAGTCGCTCCAATCGCAAGTCTCTGCCGCGCGCGAGGCGTTCGAGACTGAGCGTACGAGGGTGGAGGAATTGCGAGCGCGCCGGGACGAACAGAAGCGGGTTCTTGATCGTGCGAGACACGAGTTGATTAGCGCTCAGTCGGATTTGAGCGGGTTGAGGATGGAGAAGACGGAGATCGAGGGTGAGGTGCTTAGGGATAAGGAGGAGGTGAGGGAGGTCAAGAGGCAGGTTGCGATGGTTGAGGAGGAGAAGAGGATCCTCAGTGCGGAGATTGAGCGGGTTAGGAAGGAGGTGAGGAGGGAGAAGGGGTTGGGCGCTATTGCGCGCAAACAGCTTGCGAGCGTGGAGGCGGACCGCTCGAGGCTTGAGGGCGAGCTGGAGCGCGCGCGGGCCGGACACCTCGAGGGCGAGCAGGAGGAACATGGTCTCGTCACGGCCAAGGACGAGGCCGCTCTCGCCGCGACTGCTCCGACCGCTCCCGCCGCACACGCCGCTGCCGTCCCGCTTCCCGCCACGCCCGCTGGAGTCGTCTCCCCCGCCGCCAGCACGAAGAGCACCAACCCGTTCGACCGCTTCACTCAGACTCAGCAAGGCCTCTCGCCTCAACCGACCGGCGGATCGGCCAAGTCCACCAACCCGTTCGCGAGCTTCGGTACGCATGCGCAGCCGCAAGAACGCGCGGTCGAGACGCCTAAGCAGGAGGAGCAGACTTCGCTCCCCGTCGCGGCGGCCGCGGCGATTGGAACGGGCGCGCTTGCTGCGCTTGGAGCGGCGGGCGCCGGGATCGCTCATGCGGTCGGTGTCGGCAAGAGCGACGATGAGCACAAGAAGGAGGAGGCTTCGCACGGCGACGAGGCCGAGAAGGATCCCTTCGGCGTTCCCTCGACTGCCGAGGTCAAGGACGCCCGCGACGACGGCTTTGGCGACGACTTTGCCGCCTCGAGTGCCCAGCCCAGCGCGGGCGGCTTCGAAGACGACGCCTTCAACGTCACGCCGACTGCGACGACCGCTCCGACCGGCGCAGACGACGGCTTCGACGACGAGTTCAAGGCGTTCGACTCTGGCGCTCCTGCCGAGTCGTCCATCCCCGAACCGGTAGAAGGCACGCTCGGCGAGATTGACTCGTCGGCGGGCTTTACGGACGCCGTTCGCGACCTGAATGATGGCAAGGGTCCGGACGCCGTTGAGGGAACCCTCGGCGAGGTCGACAAGGACGCTGGGTTCGAGGAGGCGTTCAAGGAGGTCGAAGAGCACCACCATGCTCCCTCCACTGAGCACGAGGCGACTTCAGCGGCTCCCAAGCTCGACAAGAGCAAGGAGAGGGCAATCGAGGACGATGTCTTCGGCGAGGGCGGAGTCGGTACTTCGACGCCGCCGAGGGTCGACTACGACAGCGACAGCGGTGACGACGAAGCGGAAGGTCCTGAGGAGGCGTTTGGCTCCACTCGTGCTCACCAACGCGATCTCGAATCCTCCGCCGACGAAAGCGGCTTCGCGACTCCAGCCGCTGCTTCGACCGACCTGGGCGCGTCCTCCGTCGCCGACATGGCCGCCGTCACCGGTGCCGCCTCGCTCCCTCACAACGCTGAAGCTGGGCCGACCGCGGAACTCGCTTCGCGCGGTGCAGGCGAGCAAGCCCGCACAAACGACTCCTCCGAGTCGGGCGAGTCTTACGTTCATGTCGACGTCGGACCGACTGGCACGGCCGAGAGTGTGGACATGCTCGAGCCGCCCGCGCCCGCGAGCTTCCAGCCTGCCTCACCCGCTGTTACGCCCACTCAACGTCGCGCAGCTCCCCCTCCCCCTCAGCGCTCCGCTGCTGCAGTGTCGACGCCGCCTGTCGTTCCGGCATCCCCAGGCGATGCAGACAAGGGTATCGCCCCGGCCGGTGCCAACGTCGACCAGCCGGTCAGCAAGCCGGAGGACGACTTCGAGTCCGCTTTCGCCGACATGAGTGTCTCGTCTGCCCCTGGCTCTTCGTCCATCAGTGCGCCGACGGCGACGACCCAGCCGGACTTCGACTCGTTCGACAACGATTTTGAGTTCCAGCCCTCGTTCGACGAGGCCGAGGCGGTCTCTGCCGCTCAGACGGCGCACAACCTAGCCGCTGTCCAGTCCGAGGTCGCGCCCACGGACTTTGACGACGCTGCTTTCGCCGATTTCGACTCGACGTTCGCAAACAACCCGTCTCAGGCGCCGTCGCAGGCTCAGGCGCCGCAGGATGCCGGCTTCGACAGCGCTTTCGACGACAGTTTCGGCGTCTCGTCAACTAGCACAGCATCTGCCGCTGCACCGGCTATCACGACGGGCGAAGGCGCGGAAGGCGGCATCCCCGCTCTCGGTGCGTCTCTCGGTCCCGCCACGACAGCTTCGCCAGTCCCGCAGTACGCTCCTCCGCCCGGCCCGCCTCCTCCTCCCAAGCACCACTCGACGCTGAATGCTGGCGACGAGGACTCGGACGCGGTCAAGACGATCAAGTCAATGGGCTTCTCGCGCGAGCAGGCTATCGAGGCGCTCGAGAAGTACGATGTGCGTCTCGCTTCCTTCCTTCCACTACAACACTCATACTGACGACTTTCTCGTTGTACAGTACGACGTCAACCGCGCCGTCAACAGCCTCGTCGGCTGAAGCTGGCCCTCTTACTCACCCGCCTTGCGTCTCGCCTGCCCTGTACTACTCATCACCTGGACTCCCCTCTCGACTGCAATACAGCTCCGTATCAGCTCACCGCTCCCTCCAGCTCCCTTCGACGAACCTCCTCGCACGCGTGCTCGGCGGATTGTCCGGCACTCCGCGGATTGTCCGGCTCTGCTTCACCTCGCTCCCTCTCTTCCTCGCCTCTCCCACCACCGCCGCCTTGCTGACTTCAGCGTAAACAGCCCAGTCGAACTTGCTCGAGGAGGCGCACCCGTCTAGACTTCCTGCGCCCGCCCACCGCACATATCCATCTCTCGCTTCCTCATCGCACCGATGCCCTCGCTGTCGACAAGCAGGGCTCTCGCACTCTTCGCGAGCCTTGTTGCTGTCGCCAATGCAGCAGTAGCGCCGACGGAACCTAGCAATGCCAAGCAGGTCTTTACGGCCGGTCAGAAGTGCTCGTTCAAGTACGATCTCGACAAGACGGGCGTGCGTCTCGCCGCGTCCACTTTCATACCGTGCAACGAGCTGACAAGGTCATCGTTCGCAGGAATGGACGTCGATGGACGTCGACCTCATGACGGGTGACAACCTGCACATGGCACGCCCTCCTCCTCGTTCTGCCTGCGGTGCGTTTCGTTGACGTTCATCCGTCGCAGATCAACATCACTCGCGTTGCCAGCGGGCTCGACGGCACCAAGGGAGACGGGCGACACTCGTTCACCTGTCCTCAGGTCGACCCGCCGGCGCCGATCTACTTCTACCGTCAGTCTGCCCCCCCCCGCTGAAGAAGTGGGTATTCACTGACAGTCTCGCCGAGATTTAGAGTTCACGATGAACGGGACCGATCCGGTCTGGACGACGAGGTTCACGCTTGCTAGCCCGACCAACGAGACAGTGGGTTCGGGCCTCCTCCGTTATGAGTGTCGGCCTGACCCTTTCTCTGGGACAGGTCGACGCTCCGTACTCGAAACAGTTTGACGGCTCGGATGTGCCCTGGGGAGTCGGTCGCCTCATCTCGGCGGCGCCTGTCTCTTCCGGCTCGCACAACGACACTCCTGGCCGTCAGCGTCGCGCACCACCTCGTCTTCGTCGACATCTGGCTCGGCAGCGCCCTACTGGTTTACGCAAGGTTGGCCGAGCCAGTCGACCGCGTCTGCTTCTTCTGCCTCCGCTTCGAGCGCCTCAAAGGGCTGGACCTGGGGACCAACGACCGCTTCCAGCGCACCTGCGTCGACAGCGACGTCTTCGGCCCACACGGGCATCACTGGCTTCCACGAAGACGGACGCTGCGACGCCAACAATAAGTGTCCCGAGACTGCGCCGTGTTGCAGCGAGTTTGGCTTCTGCGGGACTGGCAGGTGAGCTGCTTCCGCGCCGATACGGGCAGTAGATCAACGCTCATGCTTCCTCATTTTGCATAGGAACTGTCTCGCCGGCTGCAACCCGCTCGCCTCGTTCGGTCCGACCGCTTGCGCTCCGGTCCCTGCTTGCAAGAATGGTGAGGTACGCAGCCTTCCTCTTAGTTTTCTGAAAGCGGCACAGCTGAACTCGTCGGCATCTTAGTACCGCATCAACTGGGACGCCAACCGCGTCCTCAGGAACTCGTCCGTCTGGAACGGCGACGCCGATACTTACGACTGGATGGTCGACGACCGTGCGTATTGCCCCTCCGCTACGTAGATCCTGCGGACCTGACCTTGCCGTCGCAGTCGGAAAGGCGGATCTCGGCGCCGTCACGGCTGACGGAACTTCCGGCACCTCGGCTCTCACGCTCAGCTTGACGAAAGAAGCGAACGGGACGACTATCTCGTCCACTCGTTCAATCCTGTACGGCAACGTCACCGCCAAGATCAAGTCGGTCGCAGGAGCAGGAATCGTCACGACTTTCTCGCTCGCAAGCGGAACCGGCGACGAGATCGACTGGGAGTACGCTGTTCTCTCGCTCGTCAAAGATGACATCTCGCTTACTAGGGTTTGATCTTCTAGGTTTACGACAAACAGCAGTACGACTGCTCAGACGGCTTACTTTTCTAGAGGACAAGTCAACGGTTGTACGGCCTCGCACCTGCGCGTTCTCCTCGTCTGATCCGCTAACGCCGTTGCGGATCGCAGACGAGTCTGGCAAGGCGGTCAACGTGACGGACCGCGAGAAGGACTTCCACGATTAGTGCGTTCGTTCGACGTTATCCTCGACTGTTCTGCGACTGACCGCTCCCGCACGCAGCACGATCTCGTGGACGCCGGATCAGCTCACTTGGTGCATTCTGCTCTCACTACCGCCTGCGCTACTCGGTGCTGATGTGCTCGGTTGCAGGCTCGTCGACAACGTTGTCGTTCGCAACGTCTCGCGGAACTCGACCGCAGATCCGTCCAACCCGCACATCTTCCGCTACCCCCGCACACCCGCGCGGATTCGCTTCTTGTGCGCTCCATATCCTTGCCGCATGGCCCGCTCCATGCTGACCCGCTTTACCCTCCAGCATCTGGGCCGCAGGCGTTGAAGGCGCATCGCCGGAGATTGTCGACTTCGGCGGCGGCATGGTCGACTGGGACGACAAGCAGTACCAGAAGAACCACTACTTTGCCTCTTACGGTGCGCCACAAATCTGTCAGGTCTTTGCAGCCTTGGCTAACTTGGGCGCGCACCGTCAGTCTCGTCCGTTAAGGTCGCTTGCTATAATCCTGGCTTGGTCTCGACATTGCCCATGGGTCAAGACGCCCCATACGACCAGCCTGGAGCAAAACCCCTGTCGTCCGACCCCTTCTCCGAGATCGCCAACGCTTTCTCGTCTCGGTCATCCGTCTCTTCCTCAGCCTCTCGTGCGCCGTGGTGGAATCCGCCGAGCGCCGCTGCCGAGGATGCGAGCCCGCTACCGACGCTTTTTGCTGGCTGGAGTGGGCGTGCGCGGCTCGGCAAGAGGGAAGAAACGATTGTTTCGATGCGGGAGAAGCGGGCAGACGCGAACTCGAGTCCCGCTTCCTACCAGTACACCGGTGCGTCTCGCGTTTGTAGCGCACAGAAAGAAACTTACGTCTGCTGAATGTAGGACTCGACATGAACGGCTTGCTGAACATCCTCGGCGGTCAAGCGGTTACGACGACTAACGACGACTCAGCAACCGGTCTCAACTGTGCGTGCCTCACCTCGTTTGCTCTTCGTCTCGTGCCTCACCTCGTTTGCTCTTCGTCTCGCTGACATTTTGATGAGCGTGCAGGGCCAGGCTTGTCCAGCATCAGCTCCTCCGTTTCCGCATCTGCTCCCACGTCTGCTTCATCTGCTACGAGCGATTCGAAGTCGGCATCTTCGTCCTTGTCGGCTTCCGCTTCGAAGGCGTCCGCTACGTCCTCAGCATCAGCCGCCTCGCCGAGCGAGACTTCCGAGCCGCAGACGATCCAGGAAAAGTGGGATCGGCTCGGAACGGCTGCTCATATCGGTATCTAGTGCGTCCTCACGGGCCCCCTCTCTCGTGCGCACAATACTGACGCAGTAACTTACTCCGCTCGTCTACCAGTATCGGTGGAGGCCTTGCCGCGCTCGTGCGTCCTCGAAACCTTCCTGCCCATATCTGACTGACGCAGCTGACCCGTTCGCCTTTCTGCCAGTTCATTCTGGTTCTGGTCGGATGGCTCTGGTGAGCAAAGCCTCGAACTCGCTGTTGTCAGCGCCGCAACTGACCTTAGGTATCGCACAGGCGCAAGGCAGCCTCGTCTCGCAAGCAGACTCCCGGCCCGGACGCTCGCGGTCCTTACGAGCCTATCGGTGAATTTCCACGGTACCTGCGAACTTCTTTCTATCGCTGACGATTCGCTCGCAACGTAGGCGACATGGGCGAGATGCAGCCTGCCGGTAACTCGGCTTTTTCAGCGCAGCTCGCTGGCCGACTTTTCCGCTGACTGCTCGTCTTCGCAGGCGCCATCTACCGGGGCAACGGTCAGATTGAGCCTGGCCAGGACCTCTACTCCGGCGGACAGATGCCCTACATGGCCGCCGCCACTGCGCCAGCCCCTGCGGGTCCATCCGCCTCTCGCAAGTCGTCGTCAGCCTCGACGCGCAGCAAATACGACCAGATGGCCGGCAGCGTGCCGGGCTTTGTCTCGTCAAGCAGTCTTCGCGCGAAGAAGTGAGCCGGGCACAGGGCGATGAGAAGCGGTCGCATCGGTCAAGGGAAGAGAGCGACGCGTGCCATGTTGGATTCAGGCGGCAGCGGTAGAGCGACTTTCGTACTTCTGCAACGCGATCTATGGCTGGACAGCTGCATCGAGCCAAGGAGAGCTGATTTGCAAGGCATTGGGAAGCTCAACGCTTTCCAGAAGCTCGAACGAGTAGTAAAAAGCAAGCGTTTCAAGCGCCACCGACACCCCGTTCAAGCGGTACGTTGCCGTACCATCTAGACGACCTCCATGCCGCCCCACTCGAGCACGCGGAAGAGCGACTCGTCCGTGACCTTGTTGACCTGAACGCCGACCTCCTTGACCCAGTCGATCTCGTCCAGCTTCTTCCACTCGCTCGCCTCAACCGCATCGACGCCCTTGAAGAGGAGGAAGACGCGACTGACGACGTCCGGCTTGGGGTCGACGTCGAGACGGGCGGCGCGCTTGTAGTCGCTCTGCGCGAGGAAGCGGAAGCCGATGTGCTGGCCGGCGTCGCGGATGCGGTTGAAGTGCGAGAGCCAGTACGTGATGAAGTCGTTCCTCGCGGCGGTGTGGAGCGAAAGCGCGGCGAGCGTCTTGTCGAGGTGGGCGAGGAAGGCGGCGAAAGGGAGCGCGCGGCCGTTCGAGGCATCGAGGGACGGGTTCGACGGGTCGAAGGCGAAATGCGAGGGAAAGGGCGCGGTCGTCTTGTACGCCTCGGCCTCCCAGAAGAGGTACTTGAGCTCGAGGCCCGATGCGACGTCGACGAGAGAACCGTCGGGCTGCGCAGAGACCGTCCAGCTCGCGCTCGTCTCGCCCTGCTTGCCCTTCTTCGGATCGACGGCGGGGTAGAGAGCGGAGAAGTGCCACTCGGACGTGAGAATCACCGAGACGGCGGCGCAGTCGAGCGGCGTCGGCGGGAAGAGGTAGATGACGGGTTTGCCGCCACATTGGGTGAAACACCACATGAGTGCGACCTCCTGGTCTGCTGGATCGATATTGTGGTGCTTCTGAAAGTCCGCAAAAGTCCCCTGGCCAGAGACTGGATCGCCTGCATAGCAAAACCTGAAACTGTCCCTGGGTTTTCCGATCACGTTGGCGAAAGTTTCGACGATCTTGCTCATCGCTGCAGTTTGCTTGACTAGAAAGAGGAAGTCGTCCTGCGCGTGAAGCGGTGAGCCCTAGCCCGCCAAGAATGGACGGTCTGATTCCTCACCATTTGCTCGCCGCCCTCGAATCTGAGTCGATACCTTGACGGCGTTGTTTCGTGGGGAGGAGAGGCGGATGTTCTCTGCTTCCGTTCGCTGGCCGGGAGCAGGTTCGAGGGCTGAGGCGATGGCGATAGACAGCGCCTGCGCTTCCGGTCTGGCAGAAACGCAGCCTCCTCGTCAGTCCCGCTGCCGACGTCGACCTCGACGCGCAGCACCACAGGTTTGTCTCCATCTCCATTCTGCGCCAGCGCCGCCGCCTCGCTCTCCCAACCGCTATCGGTCAAGCGGACCCATCCGAATCCCGCGACCTCGCGCTCGAGGAGAAGCGCGTCGGGGTCGAGTCTGGGGAAGAGACGACGCGTTTCGTCGATAGCATCGGCGAAAGTATCGGGAAGGGCGATGAGGAACGAGCGTTTGCCGCGTTGCAGGATGAGCGAGGGTTTCGGCGAGGAAGTCGACGCGTTTCTGCGAGGCCCGTGTGAGCAAGCATTCCATGAGCGGGGCCAGTCAATCTTCAAGCGTACCGAGTGCTCGTAGATGCGCGTCCTCTGCCTTTCTCGCGCGGCGCCATGGCGAGATGGCGAGAGAAGCGAGGTCGAGTGATGAGAAGTCGGGGACGAGAGGGAGAAGGGAGCGAAGCCTGGACTGGGCAGGTGAGGGCTGACGGTGCCCAAGGGATCCAATGAGCCTGTAGCAAGGTCAAGCAAGCCGTGCGAAGCGGGTTGCGACGGTGTGAAGCGGAGAAACTGAGGGCGACGGAGGTGCGACTCGGCATGACTGGCTGTACGAGAGTCGCAAGTAGACGATTTGGTGCGCAAAGGAAGCTTCCGAGCGATTGCAGTGATAGAACAGGCGCTGCATACTTGAGAGGATATCGTCGCGTGCTGGAGAGAGAGACGAGCGAGTTGGCCCGCCGTTCCGACGATGCGTGACCCAGCCGAAGCAGATGGCCACAGTCGAGAGAGGGCCCGCCTTTGCAATACAGTCGGCCACTCTGCCCTCAGTACTTTGCCTTCCGACATTTGCCGCCCACCACTTCGACGTGCAGTACCAATTCGACCTCGCCACCGTCCGCAGTGATGCCCGCATGCGCAACAGTGTCCGTCGCAAGACAGTCCTTGCCATTGTATTTTAGCAGGGAAGGTCTTGTGCGGTCGAGAGCGAGAGCCATGTGGACTGTGTTGTAAATGGTGCGGAAAAGGGTCGTCAAGCGTGCCCGTATCCGCATATCAGGCTCCTGTAGGAAAAGATCAGCCTGCTGGACTGCTATGATGAACGCGGTCGCGCACTGTGAGAGGTTCAACGCACTGCATTGCCGTAAGTGCGGATAATGAGCACGACGGTTGGTGATGGCGGCAACGTGTCATCGTCGTCAAGCGAGAGCTCGAGAGTCCATGCCGGCTCCTCTGCTCTTGTGCGCTTCGCAGCACGGGCAGTGGGCTCTGCGTCTTCCTCCTGCTTGATCCGCTTGAGCGGCTTGTCCTCCTCGACTTCCGACTCTGCATCGCTATCCGCCTCCACTCCGACCTGGAGGATGATAGGACCGCTCTTGCCATCCTGCGTTCGCGCCGCATCCGTCTCCCAGCCGCTCTCCGTCAAGCCAACCCACCCAAGCCCATCCACCTCTCGCCACAGACAGATCCGCTCTGCGTCGAGCTTCGGGAAGAGTCGACGTGTCTCGGCGAGTGCGTCGGCGTAGGAAGAGGGCAGGGCGATCAGGAAAGACCGCTTGCCGCGACGAAGGAGGAGCGAAGGTTAGGTGGGCTGAGCAGGAGGGGTGAGGCTGTGGGCGTCAAACGGCAATGTGAGCGGGCCATGAGCGCTCGTACAGCAGTAAAAGGACCACTTACGCGCCAGAAGCTGATGCGGCTGCACCAGAAGGGCCGCTGTCGACCATGAGTGCCGTTTCGAGATGAGGAGGAGACGCGGGCGGGGAGCGGGGAGAAGCGCTTCGTGAAGCTGGCGGGAGCGTGTCGGACGCGCAATCGGTCGAGAAATTGGTAGATCAAGGGCGAGCGCGCTTCCCAGCGGCGCGGGCGAAGTGTGAGGAGGACGAAGAGGCGAGAGCGCAGAGTTGCGAGGACCGCGAGAGACATGCGCAGCGTACAGGTCTCCCGGGCGATATACGGCGCATGTAGCACTCTCTGTGCAGTCTATAGACTCTACAACTCGCCTTCTAAGGGTGCCATCTCGGTGTACCCTCGCCAGCCGTATCCGCCGAACCATCCGTTCCATCCCTCGCCGATCAACCAGTACCCCATGTACAACCCAATCGTGATGACCATGAACAGCTGAACCCAGACGAGGTCGACCTCGAAGACCCAGCTGGGCGGCTCGTACCACTTGCGCAGGGGGGGCCGGTCTGGCGGGCCAGAGACGGTGACAACGAGAGAGTGGACGAAGCCGGAAGCGGTGTTGCGGTGTAGGATGTAGAGCGTTTGGAGCTGTAGCGACTGGGTCAGCACATCAAGCGAATTAGAAGGGGTCGATCTGCGACTCACCTCCTCATCATACCGCCATTCTCCGTCTCCGTCTCGCAGCTTCACCTTCAGTCTCCCCTCTATCGCAGCTTGACCGTACCTCCTCCTCGGCAAGAAGACCTCGGTCTCCCTCGCGCGACACTCAACGCCGACCAGCGGCGGAGCGTCGGGTTCCGCCTCGTTCTGCAGTCGTTTCGGGACGGACTGGGCGAGCGGGTGAGAGGGTGGGATAGGATTAATGTAGTCGAGGGTGAAGCGGCGGGTGTGAAAGTCGTAGGAGGTGCGGATGGGGATGCCGGCGGTCTTGCAGGCGTACGGTCGCTACGAGCAGCAAGCAAGACACACTTCAGCGAGCCACTTCTGGCGATATGGGTCCTCAGCCAAGGAACGCACCTGGATGGCATCGAGCACTCGCGCCCCGACGTTCAACCACGCCTCCTCCCCTCCGTCTTCGCCAGCCTTAAGCGCTTGAGGCGTGACGTCCGAAAGCGAGAACCAGCTGAAGTTCTCGCCGTTCCAAGAGTCGCCCCATTCGTCGTTGTTGAGCGGGTTGTACGTCCAGAGGCTGCCCAAGCGAAAAAGGTTAGACGGGTTTGCGACTGGCGAGGATGGCGCGGAAGCTCCCGCACAGCGCCGGCGACTCACTTGAAGTTACTCAACCCCTTCTCTCCAATCGCCTCACAAATCGCATCAAGCATCCGTTCCTGCCACTGAAAGTCCTTGCTCTTGAACGCCTCGCCATTGTTGAGGTCGAACGGACAGCCCGTCTCGCCGAGAACGATGGGGACTTCGCCGATTCGACGGTAGCCGTGGCGGAGGATGTTGAGGATTTGGGTCGTGTAGCTGAGCGTGCGAAGGGAGGTTAGCTGGGCGTGGCGGTGAGGGAGAAGACGAAACGCACTTCTTCTTGAAGCCTTTTCGTCCAAAGTACTGCGAGAGACAAAAGGGAGAGACATTGTTTAGCTTCCACATCCTACTGAATCATCGGTACATCGCTGCGGAACAAGCGAGAAGCCGAAGAGACGGGGCGGAGAGCACGTACCAGCGCTTTGAGCAAGAACATGCCCTGCACGACGGAACACGCGTCAGCACATCGAGCACTTCGCCCTCGACACGCTTCTACCCGCTCCTGAAAGGGGACGAGAAACGCGACGGAAACGAAGCAGCCAAACGCACGCTCGATAACCCCTGCACATTCGCACTCATCCACCCGAGCTTCTTCTCGAACAGCGTCTGCAGGTCGTACCAGTGAGGCGTGAAGACGAAGTTGGGTGGTCGGTAGGCAGGAGGGTAGGACGGGCAGAACTGCGAGACGGAAAGAACGACAAGAGGTCAGCCATGTCTTGCCGACCGACTGCTGAAGCGTAGTACGCGAGCATTTTGGGCTGCAGAGCGCTCGAGAGAGACCACTGACCTCGTTCGGGATTGGCTCGGCGAGAGTGATCCAGCTCTGCGGATTAGGCGGTCTTCTCGTCCGAGCCGAAAACTTGCGGACGAAGGGGAAGTAGAAGTCGCTGCGTCCATCGAGTTCAAATACAGTCCGTCAGCATACTGCGAAAGCACGAAAGGTGGACACCAGCGGAATGGCGGACGCACCGGTACCAATCCACCTCCTCTCCCTGCTTCCGCCTGCCCTTCCGCCCGTCCTTCCCGCCCTCAACCTCCGCGCACCCCTCAACCACACAGTCCTCCGGAAAGCGTCGAAAGTACTCCTGCTTCAACACCACCCCCTCCCCGACTTCTCCCTTCCGCTCATCCCATTCCCAAACCCCATGTTCGCGCCAGATGCAACCCGTCGAGCTCGTCGGGAGGTTCTGGTATGCGGGAGAGGAGGGGGAGAGCCAGGCTGATGAGCGCCGAGGAGGACGGAGGAGGACGTGGTGCGTTATCGAGGTGACGGGGAACGAGGGGGCGTAGTGAGGGATCAGAACGGGGTGGCCGAGTCCGAGGGCCCAGCTGCGCGTCGAGCGAGGTCAGGGGCACGGAAAGCGAGGAGCGGGGGAAGACGCACGACTGGACGGCGGAGGGGAAATAGCCGATCGCGAGGTCGGTGTTGAAGTCCCACGAGTAGGGCGAGAGGAGTTCGACGTAGCCGCGATGAGGCTCGTTCATGACCTGCCGCCGAGCTCGCTCTATCAGCGAGGGATTGGGCAAGTGAAGAGCGGGCGACACACCTCGAAGCCCATGACCGCCTCGCAATCCCTCAACTTATCCGCGAGCACTCCAAACGCCTCGCACATACTCTCCTGCAAGAAGACCTGCAACCCAACCTCCTCGTCCTCCTTCCCCGCCCGCCCCCACTCTCCCTGATGCAACCTCCTCCTCACCCTCCTCTTCGGCGCAAAAACCTCCCCGGCCCAGAAGACCGTCGCGGCCGTCGCAGCCGCCAATTTGGTCATTCCGCTCGGCCAGACTTTCGGCGGTGGATCGTCCGGCTCGAGATGGAGGTTATGCGCGTGCGCAGCGCCCGTCTGCTTGAAAGACCGGATATCGAGGCCGATCAGGGTGAGTGTCCAAGTTGGGGCGCCTGAACCGCCCGAGTGGCGGGACCAGACGTCTTGGTGCGGATCGATGTAGCATTTGAGGCCGTATTGGGGGAAGAGGGAGAGGAGGGAGTGAAGGTAGGAGAGGTAGGAGGTGTCGTAGAGACCGGGTCCGGAGTGCTCGAGCGCTTCCCAGGGTACGACGAGGCGGATGAAGGTCAGGCCCCAGTTGCGTAGGCGGGAGAGGTGCTCGTGGCTGTCTCGGCGTCGCAAGGTCAGCCTGAGCACACGAAGAAGGGAGAGCGAACGGAACGCACGACTCCTCCAACGGCCACGGTCGTCCAACGAACGACACCCCCTCCCCGTCATACCACTCCTCGCCCATCTCTCGATGCGTAAACCCATTCGGCTCAGAAGGGAGCTTGTTGAGCCCGCTCACGTTCGCGCCGTGCAGGAGTAGTCGGCGGCCGTACGAGTCGAGGAAGAAACGGCCTTGGGAGGAGGAGAGCGGGTTCGGACCGATTGAGGAGGAGGAGAGGGAGGCTGCTTCGGAGTGGGTGGAGCCTGGGGTGTAGGTTGAGGAGAGTGAGGGGTGGTCGAGGAGAGGTGGGGAGGACATGGTGAGAGGAGGAGGGCGAGCGGCCTGCGCTCGAGTTGGAGGACGTTGCTGCCTCTCTAGCAAGCTCTGGAGCAGTACAGACAGTCCCAGCGTTCGAGGCGAGTCGAGGGAGTCTGGTTGACCCTCGTCGGGAGGTGCGTTCGCTCCTCGACCCCGTCATCCCACTACAGCGCGGTCTGGTGCTACAGCGACGGCTTGCACTGCACCGCAAGACACACACGGATCTGTCGCTCGCGGCGCAGCTCGTCCCACGCTCTGAACCCGCTCGACTCGACCGCTCTCCTCGCCCAAACTGATGAAGCGGTTCAAGGTGAAGGACGCGACGAGGGGCAACACTACAGGGACTACAGCGTATCGAACATGTAGGGGAGGCGGACGAGTGTGCGGGATACGCCAGCTGCTTTTGCTCGTTGCGGACCGACCTCGTCATGAACTCCTGCTCCTCTCTTAACTCGCAATCCACCAATCTTCCACTTGCGATGCTGCCTTCTAAGTTAGCTATGTCGTAGTCTGTGGAGCCAGGCGAGGCTGCCATCGTGACCTACGAAGCCGCCGACGTCGCCTGGACGTCTCCTGCGGCGCTGTTGCACTGGCTATTCCTCCTCTCACAGCCAGGACTGCTTCGCTAGCTTCCTCCGTCATGCTCCAACACCTCCCTAGCTTATCGGCGTCCTGCCTCGCCCAGCCAGAACGAGACACGGTCGTCCGCCGTCGTTCGCCGCCCCGAAGCTGTCAAATTTCCCCGGCTGGACCTTCGCCTTCGCGAGTTCGCGCTGATAGACTCTACTTCGTCCTCTCGCAGTGGCCCGCTTTCCCCGCCAGCCGAACTTTTGATAGGCGCACCGTGCTAGACGGCAGACGACGATAACCTGCTCGCGGCTCCAGGCCAGGAAAGGGTCGGCTCTCTGCGCTTGTTGATCTGCTCCGCCCGTCTCTCTCGCCTCCTGCGCGACTCTCTCCCTCGTTCTCGCTGGTTCACTCGCTGCAGTGTGCGCCAGAAGCGAGTGTGTCCCCTTGAAGTCGATTGCAGCCAGGCACTTGTTCGCGGTCGAGCGAGACACGATGAGAAGCGAGTCCCCACGAGGGATTCCTTCCTTCGTCTCTTAGTTGCTACACTCTACTGTAGACTGCCACAACGAACAGGGGACGATGGCTGAACAGGCCAACCCACCCGACCGCGCTCGCTCGCACGACATCGACGCAGACCTCGTCGACGACAAGACGGGCATGGCAAAGTACGCGGTCAGTCTACCCGCACTCGTATCCAGCTACAGTGCACACTCACAGGTCTGTATCCCGTGCAAACAGTGCGAGCAGTGCAAGCGGCGCAAGCTCAAGGTGCGTCTTCGTCTCACGCTCACCCTCCTCCTCGCTAACCCCCACTTCGCAACAGTGCTCGCGGACAGTCCCGACCTGCACGTTCTGCGCAGAACACTCGCACGACTGCGTCTACAGCAAAGTCATCCGCACCCCCTTGACGCGCAAGAACCTCGACGCGGCAGAGAAACGCATCGCCAACCTCGAAGCGTTGCTGGCGAGGCACTACAGCGAGAGGGAGATCACGCGGTACGAGGAGGACGGGACACTGCCGAGGCTGCAGGGCGCAAAGGGTGCGTCGCCGGACACGGGGTCGTCGAGGCCGGGAACGGCACACTCTCTGCCCCCTCCGCCGCCGTCGACCAGCCCCGGCGCGTATCCTACACCCGCTTCGCAAGTCGCCCCGCTCC